GGAGATGGCCTCCTTGATGGCAAGCTTGACGGCACGCTGGGTAACGAAGCCAAGATCGGCACCGGAGAAGCCGTGGGTCTTGCTGGCAATGAAGGGAATGTCGACGTCGCCGGCGACAGGGGTCTTGCGGAGCTGAGCCTGAAGGATACCCTCACGGGAAGCCTGATCGGGCAGGGGAACGTAGACCAGAGTGTCGAGACGACCGGGACGGACAAGAGCGGCATCCAGCTGCTCGGGACGGTTGGTAGCACCGATAACGAAGACATTCTTCTTGGAGGTCATACCGTCCATCTCTGTGAGAAGCTGGTTGACAACACGGTCGGAAGCACCCCCGGCATCCCCGACGGAGCCACCACGGGACTTGGCAATGGAGTCCAGCTCGTCAAGGAAGACAACACAAGGGGCGGCAGCACGGGCCTTGTCGAAGATGTCACGAATGTTGCTCTCGGATTCTCCGAACCACATGCTAAGGAGCTCAGGGCCCTTGACTGAGATGAAGTTGGCAGCGCACTCGTTGGCGACAGCCTTAGCCAACATGGTCTTACCGGTACCAGGAGGACCATAGAACAGAACACCACGAGAAGGCGAGAGACCGAACTTCTGGAACATCTCGGGGTGGTCGACAGGGTACTGGACGCTCTCGATAAGCTCGCGCTTGACCTCCTCCAGACCACCAATGTCGTCCCAGCGGACGTTGGGAACCTCGACAACTGCAACCTCGCGGAGAGCGGAGGGGTTGGAGACACCGAGGGCGTAGCGGAAGTTCTCCATGGTGACACCCAAAGAGTCAAGAACCTCGGCATCGATGGTATCCTCGTCAAGATCGATCAGATCCATCTTTTCACGAATCTGCTGCATGGCCGCCTCAGAGCACAGGGAAGCCAGATCGGAACCGACGTAACCGTGGGTTTCGGCGGCAATAGTCTCGAGATCGACATCCTCACCAAGCTTCATGTTCTTGGTATGGATCTGCATGATCTCCAGGCGGCCAGTGGGGTCGGGGATACCGATGTCAACCTCACGATCGAAGCGTCCGAAGCGGCGGAGAGCAGGGTCGATGGAGTTGGGACGGTTGGTGGCAGCCATGACGACAACGTTGGAGCGGGCCTTCATGCCGTCCATGAGGGTCAAGAGCTGGGAAACGACACGGCGCTCGACTTCACCGTTGGTCTTCTCACGCTTGGGGGCGATGGAGTCGATCTCATCAATGAAGATGATGGCGGGGGAGTTCTTCTCGGCCTCCTCGAAAGCCTTGCGCAGGTTCGACTCGGACTCACCGGCCATCTTGGACATGATCTCGGGACCGTTGATGAGGAAGAAGAAGGCACCGGTCTCGTTGGCGACGGCGCGAGCCATCAGGGTCTTACCAGTACCGGGAGGTCCATACATAAGGATACCACGGGGAGGCTTGATACCGATGGACTTGAAGAGTTGAGGGTGGCGGAGAGGCAGCTCGACCAACTCACGGATCTGAGCCATCTGTTTCCGGCAACCACCAATGTCATCGTAACCGACTTCGTTGAGGTTACCCTCCTCGTCCTCTCGTTGGATGGGCTCACCCTCGCAGTGAATCACTGTGTCCTGTGCGACAATACCAAATTCGGGGGCGTCAACTTCCACAACCTTGAACTCCACCTGTCTCATACCACCTCGTACTGTAAACAGGTCACCCTGTCGGACTGGTCGGTATGCCTCGCGGAAGTAGGGAGCGAGGAAGACATCGAAAATAGAGCCGGTTAGGCCCTCAATGGTATCGGCAATGGGAAGGACGGCAATGCGCTTGGCCTAAATTGGAAATGACATATTAGAAGATACCCAGAGCCGGGGTAGGAAGAGGGAGCGCACATATTTAATATCGGGGCAGGCGTGAACGGTGACGATGTCACCGTGCTTCACACGGAGATTATGGCGCACAACACGGTTGATGCGGACGCTTCCGTCATCCAAATCATCATCCGCCAAAACAATAAGGACGGTATCCTTTCTCTTCTTTCCCTTCACGAGGACCTATTATGGAGATTGGAGATCAGCGGACATCCAAAAGAAAGTGCAAAAAGTGGATATCGCGTACAGTATCGCCTCGGAAGAGTTGGAGAGTCTCCATGGTGTTGTTGGACAGAGCAATAACCGAGTTATCATCGTTGACGGCATCCGTGACGCTGTTGATGTGGTGTCAGCTTCTCACTAAGAACCATCTCAAGTAGCTCAATGTTGGCTTACATCAAAGAGTTGGGCTTCTTCTTCTTCTTGAGGATGGCAGTCGCAGTGTCGAGCTCCTGTGAGATGTCAGCAACTGCGCGATGGCCAAGCTGTGCTAAGTCCGCCTTACATCCTTGTGCTCAGCGCCTGAGGCATCCCTGGTGACACTGTTAGCAAATCGAGAGGGAGATCAAGATGCGCCATGGGAGCTCACCGAAGGTTAACCCTCTTCTTCTCATGAGTGTGATCGGGCTCGGAAGACATCGTGAAGGATCTGAGATGTGTGACGTTGACGGGAACCGAGCTTGGGAAAGGGAAATGTCAAGGTGTTCACAAGCGAGCAGAGTTGCTCTATAACGTGAACGATAAGCGGAAATGTAACAAGTGACGATAGAGATGCAGAAGAACCGGCAGATCAAGAAGTAGACCTGGCGGCGACGGGGAGATGAGAGGAGGTGTTGGAGCTACCAGGTACCCGTCGAGTGACGATATGCCCGGCCGCTGACTTAAGCTCGGATTATGTCATCGACTACGGCGAATCTGATGGAAGTGCGTCGATCGGTGCCTTGTTGCCTTATCGGTCCGGGATCGATACGTCGACTACTACAAAGATAGCATGCGGTAATTTATTTGTCCATAGACCTATCCTAATCAACCATTTAATTCTTCAACATAAATAGATGGGCGACGGGAGCAAGTACGTTTCAACGTGGAGACAACTAACATGATTCAGAGTTCTCCCACTTCCATACTCATAGCTGTATTTACATCTGTCTACTGAACGCTAGATGTGAGTCTTTCACAGCTCAGAGCAGTCGGCAGTATATTGAGTAGTTGGGAGCAAAATTCTAATTTAAACATGAAGGTGACCATCTGACCGAAAAAGCCCTGAAGTTATTGACCGAAGTTACCCTGGTAGATAGTGTTTGACCCTACAACACATTATGTGTAGCTGTGGGTAAGGGGTAAAGCCCCAATCATCCTAGACGGCTTTAGTGCAGCCAATTGAACTATCAATTTGACCACCAATATGTCTACCACGAATGTTTATGATTGGCTTGCTTTTTCAGAAATTCGCTGAAACACTGCCGATGGGTCCAGGAAGGTCTCTGCCCGATAGCACTTCACACGCCCGGCATCATCCTTCCGGACAAAGAAAACAGCAAAACCGGGAATAGTGATTTCATCGGTGTCTGGGCTGTCACCTTTGACAAGATATCGGATGGTCGCGGCTTGATAGATACGAGGGGCGACATAGTCAAAGTAGCGGATCTCGTGACTCATCATGCCTAGTTGGCCGAGGACGGATTTGAACATCTGCCGCACGTCGCTGCCCTTGATCACAGGGCTATTTGCATATTGCATCTCCACATCGTCGGTCATGAATTCGTCAAGCCATCGATCGGTGTCGAGGGTAGCACTTGCCCGGTGGAACTGAGTACCGCTATAAGTTTGTTGTCTTGCGATTTTATGCAATTGTATGAAAGAAGTAGCCTTACCCCTTCTAGCCACTCCAACACGGCGCCAGCATCAAGCTCAGGACCGGCTGACATGATGAAAATGAAATTAGGAGGATTCAGTACACGAGAACCTTTGAGATACAAAGTAAAACAGGCATACAAGGCCCACTGAAGACCTGGTCATATAAGTAGCTCTTACAGATTGCTTATAAATTCAAAATCGACGAGTGTTCCGATTCACAGCATGTCTCTGAGAAGTTGGACCGTGCGTATCTATCCTATCCAATCACAGGTCCATATTAATCTCTACCGTTGTAGCCGAATATTGATTCGATGGTCTTCGCAGCCTAATTAATCTCACTGCAGTAGTTGTTCCAAACCAGCCTCACGGGGCGATAGTCAGCCCCGATTCCAGAAAGTCTTTGGTGCACACCTCCACCCCGACAGAATCAAAAGTGATAAATGGGTTTACAATCACCGACCAAAAGCTGTCCGCGAAAGTAGCACTTCTTATGATACGGGAAGGCCAACCCTAATATTCGAGTCAGAAATGTGTGCATATTTTCAAAATATCGCAAGTATCTGCGATTATTTCGAATCTTGGCAAAGCTGCATGTAGCTTTTTGGTCATTCGAGGTGTGCTACGTGACTGGCACTCTATCATACCGGACAAGATGCAGATGGACAGGGGAATCTCTCGGAGCTATTTTGCAAGGTCTAACGCGACGTTCAGGGGGGCGATGGATAAGTCGAGAAGCCTCCTGCACGGGGTGGGTTAGATAAAATGGAAAGGGAGAAAATGAGGGGGCCCACAGAGCTATCGTCTGTATGGCGTTTCCGTGTAAGATATATAAAGTGTGCTTCCATCCATGTGTTACAAATACAGTACCTATTCTTTGAAATCGGGGACCGACAGTCGAACCGGACATAGCTGAGCGTGTCTCAAATTAGGGATCGTGAACTAGCTTCATGAGAATATGAAGTTAAAACCGAATTCAAGTATAACTGTAAAAAAGCATCTAAGAATCCTCTCTCTCACTAACTAGGACATCATTTTCAACTACCATATTTGATAAAAGCTTCATCACTTGATGATAAAAAAATGCGTGTGGTCTGGAACTTGACATTCAAAACATGAAACAGACTGGACGATTCAACGCAACCTCGAAGTACACTCCGTCTCTATCAAACGACACAATATTGCCTCATATACCTCGTTTGTAACGAGCTATTCCGTCTCTTTTCGGCGCTCTAGAAAATATCAAGCCATTTACCCCTGGATGCTGATTGAGAAGCCTCGGCTCTAGGATTTTCAGAGCCCTCGGTGTCTTCTCCCTCCATCTACCTTGGAGCCTCCACCGGGAACTCTAATTCAGTTCCTTGAGGGACAAAAGATGCGTCAGTCTCTTGCTCATCGCCCTTTTTAAGAGCCTCCTTGGCGATCTTTGCTTTTGGGGCTTCATCCTCGGAGGAACAATCGGAATCGGAATCTTCATAGTCTTCACACTCTTGCTTCCTACGTTTCAGAGGGCCGCGCTTCATAGGAGCGCACTTCATAGTAAAGCCTCTCGTGGCCCTCTTCAAGACCTTCGCCTTTGTAGCCTCGTCCTTGGAGGATTCGGTGGAACCGAGATCGTCAGATTCTTGCTTCTTCTCGTTCATAGGACCGCGTTTCACTGTAAAGCCTCCCTTAGAAGCCGCATTGTTAAAGATTGTCACCTTTAGGGTTTCGTCCTCAGAGGATTCAGCGGAATCGGAATCGAAATCGTCGATTTCTTCGATGTTTTCTTCCTCGTCTTCCTCGCTCGAAGCTATCGAGTTCTCGCGTTTTGTGTCATCCATCGCAGATTCTCTCAGCTCCTGCTCATAATTCTCTGCAATCGCCTTGAAATCCTCGCGTCGCTCTTGTGGGACTCGCGGGTGAGGATCGTCCAGGCGGGATTTCTTCGCTGAAGATCCATGGCTGTCCGTCGAAGCCCGCTTCGTGCCCCTTGCTGACCCTGATATCTCCGAAGACGAAGTTGAGGGTGCCCACTCAACACTCCTCGGGGGTAGGACGGCGTGCGCACGAGTGCGCACGAGTGCGCTTTGCTGTTAAGCTTTCCAGCAGCTTTACTCGTCTCTTGCCCGACTTGGATGGCGTGAACTTTTCATAATCGGATGAATCTTCTAGTCAACGTCAGTATATTATCCAGTAAGAGGCTCGCCCCCGCTTTCCTCTCCGACCGGAGGCTCGCTGTCACTATTCTCCTCGACGGGGGAATCATCTTCATACCATCCGGCTAGAGGCTCATCCTCACTATCCTAAGGACCTCGACTAGGGGCGCATCGTCATCCTGGTCATCCCTGGCTATATCGGAGAACTTGGTAAAAGTATCCTGTGTTTGTTACCGAGACATCTTCTGTTTCCTGGCTGGCGCAGTACGAATTTCATCATCGTGAATGTCTCTGGCCAGGGTTTCCTCATCGGAGGACTCGACGGGCTGGACAACCTTCATCGGCCCAGCTTTCCTTGCCATCTTCCCATTCCTGAGTGACTGGGGAGGAGGCGCCTCGTAGTCATAATCGGGCGTCTCAAAATGCTGCTGCGGAACGTTGGAAAAGCGCTGCTCACTATCTTAAGTTTTCTTCTTGCGATTATTTACAGGAACGAGTCGCTTCTGAAAGAGGTTCTTCACAATCTCGGCCCTCTTCAGTTGACAAGGAACCATTGGAAGATTTGTTTACCGGTTGCATCGGGGTTTGCTTTCCATTGGAATGAGTTACTGGGACAAGTTTAGGCAGCACAGAATAGGGGTGTGCCTTATTTGTAATAGGCTCAGGCCCCTGTCCTTCATTAGTGTCGTTTTCAAGCTGGTCTTCGTCACCGTAGACCTCGTCATCGTCCTTGGACTTTTGGTAATGTGGACCGTCGTAATCAGACTGGTCTGAGTCTGAGAGCGGGTTTGAATCTGAATCTGATGGCAGCGCGGGCTCACGCACGAGCTCGGAGAACCCCTGTGCCTTCTTGCGCTCGAGTTTAAATCTTTTTGAACACACTGATTTATCCTTCGTGTCCTGAATCTTTGGCTTCTGTTCTACTTTAGACTTGGGCTTGCGCTCAGACTCAAGATCTGAGTTAGACTCAGACTCAGATATAGGCTCGGGTTCAGGTTGAGGTTGAGGATCAAGTTCAGATTCTGACTCAGGATCCGAATCCGATTTTGTGTGTATAGGATCGCTTGCAGGCTTGGGTCAAGGCAAAGGAGAAAAGGAAGTCAAAGGGGAAGGTTCGATCTCGGGCTCTGGTGTAGTCACACGTGGCTTCTTCTTCGAGTTCGGCGATCTATTTGATGATTTCTTCGACGATTGCTGTTTCTTCCGAGGCCCCTCATCAAGCCACATGTTTCGCATTGCCTTGAGCAGCTCGTATAATTGATCTTCGATAAAGTCCTCACCAAAAGCCTGGATACTCTTGGGCATGTAGTCAAAAGTATTGCATGGACGCTCTTTTAAATCTTGTCTATCTATTGAAGATTGGAAATTCCAGCTCGGCCGGGACTCATAGACATCTCGGACGTATTTCTCAACCACAACCTGTTTCTCGGTATCGTCTTCAATTTCAAGTTGCCTATGAGCCTTCAACCGAGCAATTTGGCTGGCTTGGATTTTTGCTTCTGATATGCGAGCCATCTTGGGCAAACTTATGGAAGAAAGATGTATAGACTCTTCGACCTATCCTCAGATACAGTAACGACCACTCTCGCATTCCATGCAAAACAACATAGACAAGCACTTTCAACCCCTAATCACATGGTATACTAATCTGTATATGGCTAGTCCTATGTGTAATAATACGTTTCAAACGTGAATTGTATGGCTCGGAACAAGTTGTATACATGTGCTGTTACAGTTCAAAAAAATACCAAGCCTACCGCAAGATGCCCATTAAGTCCTTGTATGACAGACACAGCCCCGCAATATCCTCACCATAAGGCATGAAGCGAGAGCTTATATAGTATGTAACGCTCTACTGAATAGAAACCCAAAATACACTTCTTTTTTCTTAACGGCAACTGATAACTTCTAGAACCTTTTAATCGAAGAAATTTGAGATAGAGATCCTCCAGCACAGTCTTGAGTAAATTGAATATGTATTTCTCAAAGTTGTCGCTTAGAAAGAGTGTCAATGGGAGACACTCTAGTTGTAGCTTCTGTAGACGTGACATGGGTCTCTTCTTCCAGTGATGTTTCAATCTACGATTGAGCAGATTTGAAGGGTGAAGTTTCACCTGTACTATGCCATTCTTTCCAAGTGGATATGGATGATAAAGTGGATGGATGATTAGGGCCTAATCGCTGGCCGCGACATTCGGCACACTTAGCCATCATTTGTAAGGCAGCTTCATCTTCGCCTAAGCATCTCAAGGTGAATGCCAGATTATTCATGCTGGTCAGAGTAGAGGGATGCTCTGGCCCAAGCACCCGCTTGCGAGCCTCTATCACCTGGACATTAAGCTCTTCGGCCTCCTTCCATCGCCCCTGATTCCAGTAGGTTGATGCCAGATTAGCAATGCTGGTCAGAGTAGAGGGATGCTCTGGCCCAAGCACCCGCTTATAAGTCTCCAATGCCTGCACCTCAAGCTCTTCGGCTTCCTTCCATCGCCCCTGATTCCGGTAGGTTGATGCCAGATTAGCAATGCTGGTCAGAGTAGAGGGATGCTCTGGCCCAAGCACCCGCTTGCAAGTCTCTATCACCTGGACACCAAGCTCTTCGGCTTCCTTCCATCGCCCCTGATTCCGGTAGGTTGATGCCAGATTAGCAATGCTGGCCAGAGTAGAGGGATGCTCTGGCCCAAGCACCCGCTTACAAGTCTCCAATACCTGGATATCAAGGTCTTCGGCTTCCTTCCATCGCCCCTGATTCCAGTAGGTTGATGCCAAATTAGCAATGATGGTCAGAGTAGAGGGGTGCTCTGGCCCAAGCACCTGCTTGCAAGTCCCCATCGCCTGTAGCTGAAGCTCTTCAGCTTCCTTCCATTCCCCTCCAGAACTATACGCTAAGCCTAGCATATTTGAACTACTTATTGCTTTCTCATTCTTCAACCCAAATAAATCTCTCCTTGCTCTCATTGCCCTCTTTGCCATATTTCTACCATCGACGAAGTTTCCTCTTGTCAATGCAAATGATGCTGCTTTGTGAAGCAGTGATGCCCATTCTTCCATTGAGGCTTTTCCAACATGTTGCCGCATCAGCGTGCATTGCACATGGGGAAATAGTAATTGACACTCTTTCCAATTCTCAAACTCTCCATCGGGGAAATTCCTTTCGAGCCTTCGGATAAAGATCTCCTGCCAGTGCTCTAGAAGGCCTTGAGCTTGAAGCCATTCCTGCATTCCTACCTGGACTAATCGATGCATTTCGAAGTTCACTTGGTCTGAGGTGACAGATATCAGCGAATAGTCTCTGAGCAATAATACATCGTTCTCAAACTTGTCGATCTCGCTGGATACGCTTTCATCATCATCTGTGTCACTTATATTGCTTTCTTTGTCAGTTTCCTTTGTAGCTTTGCCTTCTAGTAGGAGACTGTCAGGGATCCCTTGTCTATCAAAGAAGCTCATAAGAGATAAGAGACCTGCCGCTGATGGCCGTCTTTCCTGAATGTGCTCAAATGATATCTGCCAGGTAAGAAGGATAGCACTCTTGGCTTCTGGGTCTCTCCGAAGCTGGCCCCCTTCATAATCAAGAAGTTTGATTTTCTGGCGATCGCTCTTCTGAAACCTTTCTAAATATTTCGTGACTGTCTCTCGTGGTGCTCTTTGCTTAATAAAGGCCGCCGCCTGTACAATCGCGAGCGGCATAAACTCTAGAGCTGCAACTAGCTGAATCATTGCGGAGCGATCATATTGTGTGTCGACCTTCTTTTCAAAGAGCGAGATTGCGTGGGGTTCGTTCATCGGTTTAACCGGAAGTATGTCATATTCTTCCACGGTTCTTAAAGCCACCTGTCTACTTCGACTTGTCATCACAATACAGCCATTTGAGTTCTGACAGAAATATGACCAGATCGATCGTTCAGGCACACCACTGTCATCATTTACCAGCCTAGACTGTGTTGAAGGTATCGCGTGGAGAATTTTATCATCGTCGAGATTATCCAGGACGAGGACCCACTGTCCAGTTTTCGCATTATCTAGCCAGTCGTGGAGTAGCTTGAAAATATTTGCCTTAGGATCCTGCCGACCGCGTATCTTGGCTCGGTCGGCAATCTCCCTGCAACTCTGCTCAAAGCGAGTTGCATTGCTCGCATGAATCCAGAAAACCCACGTGTCAGGCGATCGATCTAGAACTCGATGGCAATATTCGATTGCAAGTTGCGATTTCCTTATATAAGAATTAGTAACAAGTGCGCGTAGTGTCTGTCCTATAAACTCACCCTACACCACCTAGGCCGATAAGTGCTATCCGAGCACCTTGCGTAGAGCCTTTTTCTTGTATTTGATCGAGTAGTATTCCACAATCAACGAAATCTGGGTCGCGACGGAACGGGACGGTGGAGAAGGGGGGGCGGTGGAGTTTCCGGTCGCTCTGGGTCAAGAAGCGGCGATTAGTCCTGGCTGGGATGGGGGTTATGCCTTGTGAAAATTACCTGGGGGCAGATGGATCGATCCATGATTAATTCCCACCTGGCTCCCTGAGTTTGTGTGGCCGAACGATATGGAAGTCATGGTGTGTTCGCGATAGATTTTGATGTGTCTCTGGGCAGAGCAAATGTCCTAATCTCAGAAGATAGAAGACAATTCATCCTCAGCCTCACTATCATGTGACCTGGGCGCTTAAATTGATGAGGTGATGAGTTCTATCATTGGCATAGAGCCTGGACGCCTTCTTTGCTGCAGCAATTTAATCGAAGAAAATTGAACACACACTTAACCTAAACAGTCGAGCTATGGGGGTGGGTGGATCTTGGTCAGTTTCTTCGCGTCTTGGAAGACGGCATCGAACCAAGGCGCAGAGTACACTGTATATTTCATATTGGTGTTTTGAAATTGTGGTATTCGTAACCTGGTTAGCTATAAAACGGGTTATTACAGCTATTCATATCTGAACTAGCGTCCCACATGATTAGTGTTTGAAACAGTCTCTCTGTGTTTCCGACATGGAAGGCGATAGCGGTCACTACTGTAGCGTCGAGATTGATGATCGAGGTCCGAGGAAGTATGATTTGATGGTTGTATTCGAGAGCCGGGTGTTCAAGCAATGGAGGTAAAAAATATGACAGAATGGAGATGGATGATGGCTTTCACTCTCATAGTCTTTGTCTATAGGGAATATCAAAAAGTTTCAGAAAGAATCGAAAGGAGAGGGGATAACATTTTGTTTCTTTTGCAAGATGGATTTAGAAGCCTCTTTGACGGTGGATTTAGATAACAACAAAGAACTCTAGCTCAATTTCTAGGTCAACTGCGGGAAGCCTCGCCGCAATGAAAGACAGCAGGCCCCGCCCTCTGACCTAGCAGTATTCAAAAGCTCAAGTTCATGAAAGGGGCACTCGTAAAATATAGCACTAGAAGTGTTTTGCGCCTTGTAGGTTACACCGTGGATACATAAAATAATATTCGAAATCAGATTTACCTCTACACTCTTCAACTTTAATTCCCGATCCCTAATTCTAAACACGCTAATGCGGGTATGGTATATCCGTCGATCCCCTTGTTCCTAGGATAGAAACTGTATTGTCCTGGAAAGACGCGCGCGTTGCGCGCATCGGTCCTGGAACGAAGAACTGGAAAAGAAACTTTACCAGGTGACATGGGCAAGGTGCGTGCTGGATCCCGTGTCTGACGACATCTAGTATGTAAATCACGACGACAAAGATGAGAATTGCAAACTAGATAATATAACAGACAAGATGTATCAAGCCCTCTTTGAAGGCCGCTGGAGATCGATGAATGCGGTCAATGACTTCGGAGCATCCTGCCTATCCATTACAACCTCCACCAGATTCAAGCCTTTCCCACTCTGCAGCTGTGGGCCCTGAATAATTTCCTTAAGCTCTTCCCAGGTAGTCACTTTTTGTGACAGGACTGGATATTCGGGATCGCATTCAGGGGCCCCAAAGAACTTCGCGGCTTCTGTATAGCTCCAAGACTGGATGCAGTTATAGTATGCATGTGGTCCATGAATCACTCTCTCAATCGTATACCCGTCATTGTTTATGACGAACAAAATGAGATCGAGTCGGTTTCGGATCGCATCACTGATTGCTTGAGCAGTCATTTGAAAGCTCCCGTCTCCTTCGAATATGATTGTTCGGCCTTCGGGTCGAGTGCCCTCTTGGACCATCTCATGCTGTGCCTGAGCAGCTCCGACGCCTGCACCCAGCATAGATCCAATTGACATCCAAATTCCAGACTTGATAAGAGTTGTTTTAGAAGGAAGCGTGAAATATTCCGAGCCACTCCACGCAGTTCCTGCGTCCACTAACACAATGTCACTTGACTTAAACATGTATGAAATTGTTGGCCAGAAGTGAGATTGATCGATAGGGCCCGAGAGTTGTGCTACCAATGTAGGATTGCATCTTTGGGGAAAGTCGACAGCTTCCGGTAGCGCGCTTGGTGGAAGACGAGATGGGTCCAGTAGATGCAAGAGTCTTTTAAAAAGAGATTTTAATTTCAATCCGCCATACTCAGCCCCGAAGATAGAGATGTACTGCAAGTCAAGCTCAATTGTAGTTGTTGGGGAAGCTAATGTGTTGAAGCCGTATGTGTTCGTATCGGACTTCAAGGGTGCAATGTGTATAACTAAGTCGCACTCTTTGAACCACGTCTCTAGAGTTTTGGATCCAGCAGGGCCGTTGTAAACACCATGATAGTGAGGATAGCTCGTGTCGATGATTCCTTGGCCGAAAGGAGTGGCGAACGCTAAGAGACGGCTGGTTTTCAGAAATTGATTGACCTCGTCCGCGACGCCAAACCTTTCTGTGAAACCATCAACAACAACAACTGGCTGTCTACACTCATACAGCCGTTGCAGTATACTGTTGACGACAAAATCCTCTAACTCGAGCTTGACAACTAGAGCCTCCAGTTCCTGGTCCTCATCAGCTAGTAAGCTGTTAAGTATAGGTTTTCCGAGTCCCGCAGCAGAAACTGGGACATGAACCATATCTAGAGGCAGCTCGATATAAACAGGAAGGCTTTTCTCGACACATTTTTGTAAGGTCAGATCGATGAGAGTGGGGCTCGTTATGGCATCGCGGAGGTTTGCTTGCGCAATAGTAAAGTTCTGATACATATTGGCAACGATCCTGCAGTTGCCTCCCCCAAGAGAATGGTGTATGATCTTACCTTCATCCTGGGCAGTAGTGGTAGGCGTTCCAACAATATGAACAACAGGAACTTTTTCAGCAAATGACCCAGCAATCGCATTGATGGCTGACAGTTCACCAACACCAAAAACAGTCATGAGAGCACTGATGCCTTTTATTCTCGCATAGCCATCAGCTGCGTATCCTGCAGTCAATTCCGCTGCGTTGCCTGACCATTTGAGTCCGCAAGTTTCAAGATAGTCAAGGGAGGTGAGATTGAAGTCGCCCGGAACCCCATGTACAGTACGAATCCCAAGTTGGAAAAGCCTGACGAAAAGATATTGTGTCAAGGGTACAGTCAATCCCAGGTCATCTGTATGCGATATATCGGCACTTGAAGGTGTTGCCACAGTGCGGCCGTCACTGGATGAAGAGGAAAATGGGGAAATACTGATCTCTTCCATTGTACTTGGCGTGTAGGAGAGTGTCTTAATCTCGAGTGGTTCCACTTTAAATTTCGAACAAATTTTTGCGTTTGGTTGAAGATAAAGTGTCAGGAAGCCCGGCAATCCACTATGATTATGCTTTGCAACAGGTTATCCTTTGCCTTGAGGATCGGGTAGGCTTCCAACAGATTGTCCAATAAATTGGCTGGCTAGTTGGAAGATCCAAATTATCCCATGGGCTCCACATTGGGTGCATCACATAGATCCTATCTCAAGCAAGGGGATCGCATTTTTCAAATTTGCGCAGCTTGGTGCCAATTTATCTCGGCCGATCAGATCATGCTATCTGTCAAAGCGCCGAATGTCAACTGCATGCAAGTTTCCAGGATTTTAATTATAGTCGCTGAGCTTGCAAGCTACTCATTCTCTCTCAAACATGGGATGCATGTTTGAGACATCGATTAGGGTTTCCAAAGACTTCAGGATATGGTGTCATAGTGATAATTTGACAGATTTGCCGCTTGATTTCCATTCCGTTGAAGGTTTTGACAAGTCAGCAAAGAAGGAGCAAGAAGCATGCTGAATGAAATAAGATTGGTGATCTGCCTATCCAGGAGGAGGGATCTGACAGACTTCTGAAGCCTCAAACGCCTGCTAGAGCACGTCAAAGTATGTGTTTGGGAGGAATGTACTGTATGTATCCATTTTTCGTCCGGCGTTTGCAGAAAGTAGAGTTTGCTCCATTGAAAGCATTGGCTCATCACATACCAAGAGTCCAAAGGTATTCTGCAGGATTTGGGTATGGTGTCGCCTAGAAAACTTGGATGTGGATCAAGTGGCATTACTGTAGTGAATTGACTTATCATTAGGTGTCCATAGTTATTTGACATTCCATTGGATAATTGAGACTAGTAAGATTAGCGGTATAGAGAAAAGTTAAACGCGCATCAAGGAAGTTTATCGCTAACTCACCGCCATAATCTTGAGCAGGGCACGGTAGCCTTTGGTTATGCAAGGTCTCACTAGTGCTACAGATTTTGATGCGTTGGCTCCCTTTACTCACGTACACATATGTCAAGACTGAGCTCTATCAAATATTAAGATCGAAGAAATGAGTCTTAGTCAGGAAAAGAATGTTCAGGCGAGGTTCAGCAGTGGGTCCTAGTAAGCACTCGGAACGTGAGGCCACCGTCGTGGGCCTGAGCAGACATAGACTCAAATTCTTGATATTTAACTCATAGTGTGGCAAAAATAAGAAAAAATAGAACATGCATTTCCAATATTTAGGCGGAGATGAGGAATCACATTTATTTATGCATGACAAATTGTGGCGCATTTGGACAAGGATATTTATTTTGAAATATCATAGCTCCATCACAAACTGAATTTCTAACCATTCCAAAAATCACGGATATCGCTACGGATTGGACTTTGATATAAGCTTCATTCAAGATGACGAATGTCGAGCTCACTCTTCCTGATGAAAAGCCTAAACAGTCCAAATGGATGTTTGGCTCTGATGAATTCAATCTCGATGGCTACATCCAATTTCGGCCAATATACTCAGAAGCACTTTACACTGAGATATACCGCTACCACAAAGACCAAGAAGGTCAATGGGACTTTGCACATGATGCCGGGACCGGACCTGGGATCGTTGCGGAGGAGCTGGCCAAAAGATTCACTGCGGTTGCAGCCAGTGATCCAAGCACTTGGTATCTGGCACAAGCCAAGCAACGGCTATCCTCAAGCAGCAACATAGGCACGATTATCTTTGGTTGCCATCCCGCAGAAGACATGTCTTGGCTTCCTGAAGCTAGCGTCGACATGATCACGATTGCCGAGGCAATCCATTGGACTGAGCACGAAAAGGTTCTGAAGTCTGCTTCAGAGACACTGAAACCTGGTGGAACTCTCGCTATTTGGAACTACGGTACACTCCCGTTCTTTGTTGATTCAACTTGGCCTCAGGGCATTCTTGAGAAAATTCACGAACGGTGGTTGGAAAGAATCAAGGCAACCGCAAAACCGGACCAGATTATTCGTATCAAGAGATCTGTCCAGATGAGCCAATCCCGTATGGATGTCATTCAATTTGATGGAGATGTATGGAAATCTGGAGTTCGACGAATCCATTGGAATTCACATCACCCACCGATGGGTTTGTCTAAGGCATTTGAGTACAATGGAACTTTTCTCTCGCCAAATTTGGATGATGTTGTGGAAAGGAGGGAGGATAAGATGCTTCTGAGCCATTTTGCGGATGCAAATTGGATACGTGGCTACATGGATTATCTCTATCCTGATTTGCCGTCGGACTCTCTTACGGAAGACCTACTCGCAGAGTTAAACAAGGCCATGAGGGAGACAGCTGAGAAGCCACAGTTAGCTTGGACAGTCTCAGTGATACTCGCTTCAAAGTGTATAAAGATGGAGTAAGAATGATGATAGATATCAGACAGCCTTTGTTCATAGTTTTAATTCATCCGGGCTGAGATACCCAGTATGGAAATGAAATCTCCTTTGCAAATTCGAATTTGTCCAACAGTTTTAACTTTGAGCCTCTCAATTCTCGTCTGTCTTTGAATGTAATCTATCTTTAATTTTCCCCATGGGTGCCAGTAGATACCAACGCAGAAATACTATGTACATATCCACATTGATTTGGATTCCCGGTTTCCCTCCAAAGGGATCTGATCTACTTTCGGTTAAGGAGCGGTGAGATCAAGACATAATCGTATATGATTCAAATGCAGGGTAACATGCATGAAAGAGTGGAACCTCTCTTGTATATGTGGCGTGTAGGCATTATTTCCGTAGATCGATCAGTCGATCTGGTTCTCCACTGAAGCTCTTGCCTATTGACGACGTGCATATGAGGCAATTCTACTGCAACTCCACTATTTCTCCACTTTCGTACTGTCTCATTTCCTAGTCATTTTTCTTTCAGCCATAGAGAAGCTCCAGGAAGCCAGTGATTATCGTGTATGGTTCCACGTATAAGAAGCCTGCTGAAGAACTTTTTTCACACTATTCATATCTATATTGACTTTGTCCTTTTTCGTTTTGTTTATTTCCACTTCTGTTCAATTTTGAAAAACAATTCTCTCGAGTCATTATAGAATGGCTATCATTAATAACAATGATACTCATTCCACTGTGAATAACCAGTTCAATAGAAATCTCGTTGCAGACTCAACGGCCATCTCTCCTAGCGTCCCGGAACTAGTTCCCCATTTGCTAGATAAAATCACCTCTTTCAATCATTCTTTCAACATTAATGATTCAAAGAAGCGATTTGATTTGCTTAATGTCGCTCGATTACTGGTTTCCGCTCTTGAACACCCAAGAGAGTCAATGCTCAGACTTTGTTGGTCACAGGTACGGCTCCTTCACTCATATCATCAACGCATGAGATCTAATCTCAATCTTCCACATAGTCGACGACTCATGCGGCTATTGATACGGCAGTTAATATGGGTCTCTTCATCACTCTTTCACGAGATGAAAATCCGAAAACCGCAAATGAGTTGGCAAAAGCAAGTGGTGGGGACCTCAAGCTTGTTGTTAGGATTTCCATTTCGATCTTTCTATCAGCATCTAACTAAAAACTATTGCCAGCCCGTATTTTGAGGCACTTATCTGCTATGGGCGTGATCCTCGAAACCGGTCCCGACGAATACAGACGCACCGGACTTTCAGATTCATTGTGCTCACATCAGTACATCGAATTTTATCGTTGTGTGTAAGTCACAAAATTTCCAAATCTTACAGTCAATTTGCTCATTGAAAGATCAGATCCTCCCGTATCACAGACGGAGTCCTTGCTCTTCCTGCCTATCTCAAAGATGCCGGATATCAAAATCCCTCTAATGGCAACGATTGTGCTTTTCAGCTTAAATATAATACAAAGTCTCATTTCTTTGACTTCATCAAATCTAACCCAAAGGTCGCTGCTGAATTTCATAACAACTTGAGTACTTACAGCCAAGGAAGACTTAGCTGGACGGATCCTAGCATTTACGACGTGACCCAACTTATTCAAGGCATGAAGATTGGAGAGGATGAAGTGGTACTGGTGGATGTGGGAGGTGGCCAGGGACACGATATCTCTGAGTTCCGTCGCCAGTTGCCTAATATAACAGGTCGGCTAGTACTCCAAGATTTACCGGAGGCAATTGGGCATGCCAAGAACTGATCGCTGCATCCCTCGATCGAGTTGATGGTGCATGATTTTTTCACGGAATAGCCAATTAAAGGTATCGTCTCTTTCCATGTTTCTCAAGCCCAAGAACTAAAATCATGTGTTAAGGAGCCCGTGCCTACTTCATGCATCGTATCTTTCACGATTGGGCTGATGAGGAGAGCCGCAAAATTCTAAAGAACCTCACTCCTGCAATGAAGCGTGGATATAGCAAGCTTTTGATCCATGAGCAGGTTATCCCAGAAACCAGGGCCAACTGGGAGAGTACCAGCCTGGATCTCATGATGATGGCTCAACTAGGGGGTATGGAACGATTGGCTGCTGACTGGAAGAGTTTGTTGGAGTCCGTTGGGTTGAAGATCACCAAGATTTGGACTCCCCAGACAGGTGATGAGAGTTTAGTTGAGTGTGAACTCGCCTAGAGAGGAGATTAACAGTGACAATGCCCCGCGGTCGGTTCCAAGGATGCGGCTGCGAAGTTCAACAAAAACTCTCTAAAATGAAACATCAACGGCCCTCGTTTGTAAGGGTATCCGCGTTTCCAATGTGGTCTGTACTCAGTAATCCAAACTGTCAAGTTCGCAAATAAACGCAGATAGCGATTCCAAAGCACAGCGACTGACAATGACTCGTATTGAGCTTGAACACACAGCTCAATCGTGTCAATTACAGGTCCGCTCGAAATCAGTTTCACCATTTTATTCTCCGTGGTTCTTTTTAAACCTTGGCCAGACCCACTTCAATCTACAAATGTCCCAGTCTATCTAGGACTCTAGGAGGGAAGCTTCTGATTGCCTGACTCATATTTCCACAGCACTTATCGACTATTCACCTAGTGAAGCCTACCCCTTTATTACGAACCCACTTAGCCTATATCTTCAGGAGGAAAGATAAGGACCAACCGATTCCTAGGAGGGTATTATAGAGTAAAGATCATATGAGAAGCCACCGGTGCTCATTGATCGGAAAGTATTCTGTTTTGAACAAAAAATATCTTAGTACGTTTCTTGTGACCTTTAGTGTTAAGGATGGGTTGGACTAGGTAAAGGACAAGATGGTGCGGAACAATAACACCAATAGTAGGCCTGATAGAGCTAAACTAATCCTTGCAGAAGGAAAGTGAACTGGATACATGCATCTTCCTATTGTACATTTGTGGGATCACGTGGCACTCGCTTCCATGCAGGTTATCTGCAGGTTATCGACGGAGGATGGGGGTGTTCTTTACCGCGTCCCGATATGGATACTGGATAGCCTCATGTTCTAGATTGTACCGTAACAAAAATAATCCTAGACAAGTCACGAATGGTAGTATCGCCGTCTAGATATTCGAATGATACCCTCGCGCTCGATTGGCTTAATTTTTTTTAAGAACATACCTATCTTCGCGCTTATAGTGATCCACGGTTATTACTTTTCAATAACTATAGCTCGTACCTTATGTAGGAATTTCTTTACCTTTACGAATAGTGGAAGACTATCGCCTTCATCTTCCCTCCGTATAATAAGTATATCATTCAGCCTCTCAATAGTAGTCTATTTCGCGCCTTCAAAGAGAGAGAGAGACTCGCGCGAAAAATAATATAATCGCCTAGTAGGGTGGAGATACTAGGGATATAGATATCTTCTTTCGCGAGATTACTAGGATTAAATAGCAAGCTATAACATCCCATATAATCCGGAAGGTATTCGCTAATCATGGTAATTATCTATTCAATCCAGCTCCAGTCATTAAACGCCTTGATACAACGAGATTGCCTACGCCAGAGCTTCACTAGCCTACTAGGGATACTCCGCCGCCTCACTTATCCAGTTTACTATGTTCTCCGCCTAAATCCACGGCCTAGGCACGCCGTACATAAGAGAAGATATCTAGGATAGCCAATCGTAAGGGTATTAACCCATATACTCGCCGGCAGATCAATCGGCTTTCCCGATAGGTTTTACAGATAGTACGGGAGGATAGGAAGATACCGCCTCCAAGCTTGTTTTTAACCCCTGAATCGGCTACGGAAGAGGCTGGAACTGCAGAGGTACTGAGCATACTACCATTGGATCCTATATACTATACCAGTACCGATTATCTATAGTGGTGGGTGGAGGAATACAGCTGAATAGCATCAAGAATTACGTTGAGCCTTGGGGGACCAACACCCGGAACGGTGTGGGTACGCCATGGGGCTTTGAGGGGGATAAAAATGTTTTCGAATACTACCATACAGTACGTACTCTAGTGTGAGATCTTGTCTCGCGAAGGAAATATCGATATTCCAACAAGCCGATGCGTCTGTTGAATCAACCAAACGGGAGTCAACCAAAAAACCCAAAGCGGCAAGTCCAACAGCCCCATCCAAGTCCACCAAATCCATCAAAGCATCAAAGAACCAAAGCACCCATTGACACCCGAACTCCGCAATTCACGTAATGCTTTCTCCGTGAATTCATCCCATCTGTATTCCCCATCGGAACCGGAAATACCCTATCGCGTGAAGATACCCTTTTCAACCGCCACCTTCTCCACATCAACGAGCCGCTCGTCTCGGGAAACAGCCTTTTTAATTTTAATATTACTTGAGCTCGCGGTGGCGGGACGCCTAGACACCATTCTTTCGTTGGCGTCGGTAATAGATGGTCGCGGCTTTTTTTCTTTGTGCCAGGATGTGCTCGAGTAGATGTTCTGGGTCGGAGTGTCCCGGATATCGAAGCTCATCTCGTTGAGGATTCTTCCGGTGACATGGTGAAGGACTCCTTTGACGCTGTTTGGGGCTATGGTGGGCTGTGTTTCTATGTAGGTCGATTGGTGGTTGCGGGGGCCGCTTCCGAGGGATTCGACGCTGTATACTTTGTAGCTATATTTTGTAGCTCATTGTTTCGGGTCAGGTGGCGTAGGGGCAGAAAGAGGTACTGCGGTAAAGTCAGTAAGCCCTTCAACTAGCTGAAGAAAGAGTAAAGTTGGGTTTGGCGGGTTATTGAGCCCGGCGACTGCATAATGCACAGGAGTCTTCGGTTGGCTCGAAAGAGCAGTACAAACACGGGATGGTCAATTTTCAATGTCCCTGCTTGGAAGCCCTCACAATATCTTTTCTACTCTCGCATTGAAACCTCGAGCAATAGAAGTGTATTGAAAAGAACAAAATGGTATATTCAGACAAATGGTGAAGTAACAGGGAAATGAGAATAGAGGTGAAACAGATCATGCTTTGGCCGTTGCCGCCCAAGTGTCACATATACCCCAAATGCCAGCGCCGAGACTGATAACCCCAACAAGGTGGTCAGGGACGCCAATGCCTTTTTCAAAGCACCAGTGAAGACACAAAGGAGCCCAGAGAGTGTTGTTGACAAGAGACTTTCGCCATGAGCGGGTCTCCAGGCGCATAGCTTCAGCGTCCTCGGCCTTGGTTTCCTTGGTCTCGATGGTACCCGCTGCGGCGCGTTGTGCTGCGACGCGCTTCTTGCGCAGAACGTGTTGACGCCAAAGGACAAAGAATTCGAAGAAGATGTGTCCGAACCAGCCGCGCGTGCTCCACATCTCCCAAATCCCAGGTCCTCCGTGCTTGTCAATGAACTTCTTCGAGATAACACCCTTCGACGCAAGGTATGACACGTTCTCCAGGAATTGGTAGATCACATTGGAGATGACTTGTAGGATGGTCAGCGTGCGGATGATGGGGTCGGCAGGTGGCGATCTAAGAGTCTCGGATCCCCAGACCCAGAGAGGAATGAGGCCGAAAAGACGCAGGTTATAACGTGTCTCTGAGGCGAGGGAAGAAAGGGCAGCGAATTTCGATTTCGTTCCCGCCGGGGCGGGTTTCACATGCTGCGATGCGGCTCGGCCTTTCAGGCGCGCAAGAAGGGAAAGTCGAGTTTGTAACGCGATCCAGGGCGCGGATGCGCACAAGTGATGCAAAATTGAGGCGACATAGTTCACTGTCGCTAATACTCGCTCTTCGCCGGCGGCTGAGGACAGAAGTCCGCGGAGTCGGTCAGCGGATGCTCAGATGAATTGAAAGGAAATCTGCAAGTTGGAGCCACATTTTCCAACTATCAAATGCCAATGAAGAGGGAAACATAGAGCTCTTACAGATCTAGCCGTCGTATCGTCGTGTCTGTCGCTGTCAACGCCGCAAGCAACTGTCGCCGTGGTACTGTCTTCCCCGCGGTTATCGGACCTTTCCCCACATACTGCTCGTGTTCCGCGGCCTTCGAGGCATCGGAGGGAGGGAGCTCAGGGTCTGCCATGCTGTGCTGAGGGCGGAGATGAGAAAGACCAGCTTCTTGTCATCGGAAAAGAAAATAAAGTAGAGCGGTTCTTATCACGGAAATCGCGCAGAAGGAGCGGAAGGGACCGAGGTTCGGAACTGGGTTGGGACTTCCTTAATCGGCCGGCTCCACTGCGGGTATCACGTACACGCTCCGTACGACCTCGGACTTCATACTTCGGACTTTATTCTCACCTTTTTGATCTCCTCGGGCATTAAAATCACTCAGTATAATCGTTAATTGTACATGGTGCTATGAAGTGTCTCGAGATCTCTATCGTACATAGCATTTCCTCTTTGCTCCTTTCCCCTGTGCTCAGGCAAATCTCATCTATCACGCTACCGCCCGGAACCTCTCCTCAAACCGGACCTACTCCCTGTCAGAGGCATCATAGAGGCTGTCAAAATCATGGCCGGCCTGCTGAGGCACTTCGGTTTCTTGGGTCAGTCCCTGGGAAGGACTGACACTCTGGCGGAGAGCGGCGGAGCTGACACCCTGGATGGCCAGCGCGTCTTGCTGCTCCGTGACAAGCCGCGTGAGCTCCTTGTGCTCCGGGCGACTTAGGGCCTGCCACCGGTGCCCAAGGGAGTATTCCCAGCCGGGACAGACCACCAGTCTTCCTTGACTCTCATATTCCTCCCAGATCGGGTGCCGACTGATAGAAAGCACTGGGTCAAGGCCCATCCTCATGGAAGAGCACTGTCGCTCGCTCGACCGGGAGACAATGAAACGAAGGTCAGTGATAGACTGACTGAAAGATGAAATTTGTTCGAGGTTTCTTGCCTTAAGCCATCTCACGCGCGCGCCGACTTCGAGGTCTGACAGGTGCTGCCAGTATACCCACCAGCTGGTGAGCTTAAACTGCTCCTCGGTCCACCCCCCGTTAAGGGCGTGGCGGAGTACCGGAGCCATGTCTCGGCCAGACAAGTACCTATTCTCCAGCCACCAAAGGCCAAATTCACGCCCGCGCACCCAGTGCATCGGACGCATCGCTCTCAGGACGGCGGCGTCAGAAATCGGACGGTTCAGGTACTCGGGGATGTTGGGCGGCGCGACGTATGGCTCGTTGACCACTTGGTCAATGTGGCCGAGGGACCGTTCGGTGAATTCCCAGTGGCATAGAGGGCAGAACATAGCTCTGCAAGGACCTCCGTTCCATGGGCCTTCCTGAATGTCGCCATCCTGATGACTTTCCCTGTCGGTCTGTCGTGCGAGCCATGCACACACTGTTGTCCCCTCTCCCATGGTCGGCGGTCGTGCTGCATAAGCAGCCTTTGAGGCGCGTTCTGCTTGTGCTGCGCGGTCTCTTGCTGCGCATTCAAGGACCTGCAACTTCTGGTTCGCGAGCTTCTGCACCTGTGCTGGAGTGTACTCCCCTATGGTAATCGCTTTCTGCATCCACTCTGCAAGGGTGCTGATATCAGGGCCCGTGATGTCGGTATCGGAACTAGTAGCAGCAGGGCCAATTGAAGCAGGGCCAGTTGAAGCAGGGCCAGTTGAAGTAGGCCGGAGGGGAGTATATCCGGTGAGGGCAAGGGCATTAGGAGAAGAGCTAATTAAAGCAGACTCACTGGCAGCAGGGTTGAAGAACGAGAATTCACTAGGAGAGGGCACATTGCCAGCAAGGCCAGGAGGAGCAGAGCTGATGGGACTGAAGCCACTGAGATTAAAGACATTGGTAGGAAGTGCAGGCGGAGCAGATTCATTGGCAGCAGAGCCGGGAAAAGAAGGCACATTGGGAACAGACTTGCTGAGAGTAGGAGCAGCAGGGGCAGGGCCCACGGTTCGAGGAGATGCATCAGTCCAGTCAGGCGTGTCTGCAGTACAGGACCATAAGAATCGAGCAGTGCCTCCGCAAATATCACAGACACGCTCTGGGGCGTCCTCATTGATCCAATATCTCAGGACCGAGTTGTGGTGACACTTGCCAGGACAAGCTTGGTAGCGTGTATGGCGGATTAACTCGGGAGTTTCATTCATGTCAGGTAAGACGTGGGGGCCGGGCATCTCGTCTGTTGGTACGGTTGAGGAGTATTGAAAACGTTGACAAATCCTCAATTCAAGGATTCCGGGACCAGTCCAACGCCCAGGAAAGGCTTCTGTTGGTGTCCTTGAGGGATTTTCGAAGTCAAAGATATCAGGATCAGGCGCACGTTTGAGATGAACTTCTGTACGTGTCTTTGAAGGATTCTCGAGGTCAAGGACATCAGGATCAGAGGCCCGTCTGGGATGAACCGCTGATGTCTTTGAGGGGTAATAGAATAGGGAACCGTCTGCGCGTTCATAGACGGCAGGATAGTCATCAGCTTTCGGAAGCAATGACCAAGTTCTCTCGTTTTGGAAGAGTTCAATATCGGAATAACGACGGTGAAGCAAATCACAGAGGGGAACTTCTTCGACGCGAATGTCTTCGTCTTCGGCCTGATCCCACGCGGGAAAGCTCGAAATTGGCGGGAAACTACAGCGTCGAAAGCAAGCCGAACGTATGAAGTCTGGTGTGGAGTGATGGTAACGAGAGGCAGGCACCTGTGGCCATAATCCGTCGTTGGCGGGGTATCCAAATTTCCTAGCATGGGCGTCGTTCAACCTGGACGAGTAGGTATTGGCTCTATCGTTATTTCGGGGGATCTCCTTGTCATGGAATTCATCGTAGATGTTACCAGGCGGGCCGTGTCTGAAGCTGATTCTGTGTACCGGCGTGTGACCTTTGTGCGAAACCGCATAGTCATAGGATGAGCTCTCCGAGTTGGGATTGTCGTCCTTATCAACGATGGCAAACTCCCACTCTGGTCCCTCCAAGGAGTTAGTACGCACAAGTTATGGCGTGTTCCGACGGAGGGTAAACGATGTCACTTACTGGCCACCCACTTTCCCGTGTATCCACGGTGTTTTGATCATCCTCATCGTCCTCGGCAGCCTCGCTCGACTGGCTAGGGCTAATGCTTTCGACAGCATTGTTCGTGACGCTCGGGTCACGCATCACCGTATGAACAAGAACGTGCGATTTCGAAGGCGTTGCTGGCCCTTTGACGCCGGCTCCATCACTGCTGTTGTTTATTGATAAATCAATTTGTTCCAGCTGGTGTTCATGCTCTGCTGAATGGGTTTCTGGTCGATCACATGAATCAGTCGATACTCCAACGCCGACCACTCTAAACGGAGCAAGGCTTACCCAAATCTCTGTTCTCTTCCCCGATAACTTCACGAAGAGCACTAGGACCTTGCTGCACAGGAGCTTCCTGGGTCGACCTAGCACGATCCACCCCCATCAAGCTTTCTTCAGAATCCGTGGACCCTTGGGTGTTAGCTTTTCCGAAAACCTTCCGTCTAGGTTGGGACGCGAGACTATGTGTCACTGGCGCAGCAGCCGAAGTCATATCTTGAGGTGCTTGAGGGTTGGGGTAGATTGGATGCGTGTCTGACGAAGTGAGATCGCTGGCGCCAACCCGCTTGGCCATTTTGTGGCTTTCAAACTCGCCCAGACACTCTGAAGTCACCTTGAATGAGCCGAGAAGCTCTTCAGATTCAAAGTCACGTTTGAACAAGCGATTGATCAAGATTTTTTGAAGTTTGGATCTAAAAAAGTACGGGAAGTGAAGGGTAGGGATGGGAAGGAAGAAGCGTTGCGAAGAACAGTGTCAACGCACGGGTCCACGCCTGGGACGGATTTAAAGTAGAAGGCCCATTGAGCAACGACTAATCGATCCCAACAGGCTTTCATTACGCTGTTTCGATGAATTACGGTGCTTTAGATACGTTCTACGTGGACCGAGTGGTCTACACCATGTGCGTGGAAGATCCGACGTGATATAATCCATCACCAGCCAACCCAACGCTATTGTGAGCGCCATTCACCTAGGCCGACGAGGGTGGCTCCGGCCTCATGTCTGACTGACCAGTCCAGTATTAATCTCCAGCAGATGATCGCAGCCTGATGACACTTTCCATGCCATCTATCATCGATGGAAGGCCGTGGAAACGATTCACTGTTAAGTGAAACCAGGTCCATAGCAATCATCACCCCTATGGCGCCGATGAGCGATGGTCATCGGCTTTCATACATGATGAACCATCTATACATTCTCCAGGGGCGCCCTGTAGGGCATTGCTATGACTTCACGCATACTATTTCCATACCGGCCGATTATCACGTCCACAACAAGAAAAGTTCAAAACTCCTGGCGGCTTTTGAAAGGAGGATATATTTTCGTCTGACGTTGGGTGAATGCGAACGGTTCCATGCATTTGGGCGATTGCCGATGCAATCAAAACAGGGGCAGGCGTATGAAATATTGGGAGATGGATTCCCGTAGAAGATGATGAATTACGGTCAGTTGACGGTGGTAATGTAAATTCTCCTGGGCAAAAGGCCATGGCTTGTCCTCCCGTATGCTCAAACATTATAAAGTGTGAGTCAATGGCATTCTTACATGTAGAGGAATAAAGAGATGTCTTCAAAAACATCTTGAGCAAATTCTGGAAGCCACTTGAATTTTTCCTTTCATCAGGCAGTTATATATATATATTCATGTCATGCATGCCGGACAGCGGAACGAGAATCCCGTCGAGATTAAGCATCAATCCATTGAAGAACATCGGATTCGAGAATGAAACCCAAGACACTATAGAAGACGTCTTCGGTGGCACTAGTCAGAATTATCTGCATGCAAAGGACGGGTAAAAAACTCCCGAGGTCCACTCCGTTGACAGGACCTTGGAACCGGGGGACCCAATGTGTCCTATGTCCTGGAAATTGCGCGATGGCCGACGGAGCCCCCCGATCTCCGACGACCTCCGCCTAATGGATCTCGCCGGGGGTCTGCCCCATCTCATCTGCCGATTCGAAGGCCGACCGCTTCCCATTCATATACAGGATTCTACCCCAGTTTTTCACCTGGTCATTCTTTACAAAACCCTGTGGCGCGGACCAGCCCTGTATCACCAAAACCACCAGGTACGTCGGCCCAAGATTGGCCCAATCAGCCTTGCGGGCCTCGGTTACCGGGCCCAGCCCCCCTCGGACAAGTCATAAACAAACACCCCCAACCCCCTGTCTCTTGCTTCCCACGCGATACATCGTCTTGTTATCGTGTCTCTCCATTGACCGCTTTCCCATCCTCATAGGCGCCTCCGGAATCTCTAATCCCGATTACCCCCCATCATATCCATCATGTCCGTCAAGTTCCAGGAGGAAAGCGTCCGCACGGTCGCCCATGCTGCCGGCAAGCCAGAGGATCTGGCGCATCGCATCGGTGACCGATTGACGGGTGGAAAGGGCCAGATCGGCTATCTTCAGGTATGTAGGGCCCAAAATCTCCGATCCCCGAACGCGCCCACTAATCCGAAGAATGTGGATCGCAGGCCTACCTGAAGCAGCTGCAGCAGAACCCGCTGCGCACTAAGATGCTCACCTCCGGTGTGCTCTCCGGTCTGCAAGAGCTTCTCGCCTCGTGGCTCGCTCACGATGTCGGCAAGCACGGCCACTACTTCAGCTCGCGCATCCCCAAGATGTCGCTCTATGGCATGTTCGTTGCCGCCCCGTTGGGCCACGTCCTCATCGGCATTCTTCAGAAGATCTTCGCTGGTCGCACTAGTCTGAAGGCCAAGATCCTCCAGATTCTCGTCAGCAACTTGATCGTACGTATCTCCCACGCGATATCCCGAATTAGCGCGCGACAATGCTAACTGGAACTCTGTTTCCGTAGATCTCCCCGATCCAGAATGGTGTCTACCTCTCTTCCATGGCCGTTATCGCCGGCGCGCGCACCTTCCACCAGGTTCGCGCTACCGTCAAGGCCGGCTTCATGCCCGTCATGAAGGTCAGCTGGGTCACCTCCCCCTTGGCCCTGGCCTTTGCCCAGAAGTTCCTTCCCGAGCACACCTGGGTACCCTTCTTCAACATCATCGGTTTCTTCATCGGCACTTACGTCAACACCCACACCAAGAAGAAGCGCCTGGAGGCTCTCCGCAAGCGCTACGACCAGCGTCGCGGTCCCGAGCACGAGAAGCGTGACTACCCTTGAGCGAACCTCGTACCTTGCAAATGAGTCGAGCAAGTACACACACACGCGTGTACCACGATATCCCTCCCATTTGTGGCTATTTATCCTTTTCTTTTGTACCTCATGTCTTTTTTTCCTCCCCGGTGTTTTGAACCTGTACACATTCATGCATCCCTCTGCACCAGATATCTATTCTCCCTTGATGTTATTTTCAATCTTACGACGAATGGCCTTCCCCAATATACTACTTTGGATTTGGATCCTGAAAATAAGTGCACATATGCTTTGATTCCCATCTAAAGCGAAGTAAACAAAGGCCCGCATAAATACCGCTAGCCTTGGACATAGAATATGGTCCTCCCTCACCCTCGTAAGTGGATCTTTGATCTCAAATGGTATCCACAGACAGGTGGACACAGAGTAGAGTAAGAGGAAAGCTTACTCAACATCCATCTCGGACCCCTTCCCCCTTCTCTCCTTAACGTAGTCCACAAACTCATCCAACGCCCCAGGCCAAGCCCCATCGGGACTCCACCAGCCGAACTCCTCATCTTCCAGAGACTTGCGCATGAATACCTCAACCTGCTCCCACAGATCCTTGTTAACTGGCTTCTTACCGCGCCCCTCAAGGAACTCAAGCCACCAGTCCAACCATGGCGTACGGGCCGTGTTCCACAACATACCGCCATGGTCGGATGTAAAGAAGAGCTTCCACTGATCGGCGGCAATTTCGTATTGAAGATTGCGCTGGCCTTGCATTCTGGAAAGAGGGAATGTAAAGCGGTATACGCGGCGGAACAGGTTAGGGTCGTTGGGGATTTGCTTGCGAAGGTATTTGATGTATTCCTTCATTCGATCTTCGTTGTCGCAGCTATGTGGGGGTTAGTATTGTCGTTTGGTGAAGAGGACGAAGAGTGGATGACTTACTGGGCATTCTTCCATCCGTCGATGAATCCGTCGCGCGTAAACTCGCCCATTGAAGGGGATTGACACATCTCCAAGACAGCGAGACAGGCTACCTCATCGAGTTGGACTTCAATGGTGTTGAGGAATGTCATGGCGCCGTCGATGCCGATGCCATCTGGGCTGTCTTGTGGGTCATCTGTGAAGTGTGAGTATGGATTTGCAATGTAAAATATGGAATGAAATACCTCTGTATTTATCGAAGATGGTGCTGAGAGAGCTCTTCGCTGCTCCACGAGAAGAATCACTCCCGAAGAAACTGTTTTTCGACGAGATTGTCAGCTCTTTTGTCCATGCTTTGACGCCCTTGCTTTTGCGTCGACGATCTGGAGGCCTTGAAGGGCTTGTAAATATATTCTCTTTCGAGTGGCTCAAGGTATCCTGTACTCCTGAAGCAAGCCGACATTTGATACCCATGGCTGTGGAGGTTGTTGAAGGTTCACTCCGGGGTAGACACCGGAGGAGAAAAATAAAAGACATATGGAAAGTCGCAGAAATGACGTGTTACGCGAAAAGCCTCTCTTGGAGCTTACCTATCAACTGCTCTTTCAACATTCCATGCCACTTGCTTCAGATACTATAGCAATTTGTCAGTCTAACGCTCAACGGAACATCAAACCTCCCGCACGCCCCGACAAACAGAGCTCGGAGATGCATCACTCCTTGGTTTACAAATCAAACTTACCTTCGAAGCTATGGTCCGCTGGGAATTTGTCAAATCGACAAACTGGTCGATAGCGTCCTTTTGCGCCGCGGTGTAGGCCGGCATGGTGGGGTTGATATTGGTGCCCCGCGATGTCGATTATGGCGACGTAGGGGTGTGAGTGACTTGAAACGATGGCGCGTGGCCTGGGGTTCGGAGCACTAGCTGTATACCTTGTGATACCTAAAACGAGGCTTAATTTTGAGCAATGGCGATAGGATCGTCCCCTGCGTCGATGCAACGGATCACCGCCCGCGGGCATTATTGTGATGACTCAGCTTTGCCTGAGGCAGGACTTTGGATTTCAACAAATGGAAGTAATTACCATTTAGAGCGCATACGATGCCTAGAATAAGTAGCTTTGGGGGAAATTTTCTTGTTTAAACCTATCTCTAAGACCTTTGGGGTAAAATGTTAGTTTTCGCATGTGCGTCTGAAGGAAATATCTTTCTGCGTGTATGTACTTCTGTGCGAGGCCGGAATGATTTATGAGGTAGAAATTACATATTGAGATCGATGGTATTTGACTGCAAAGCAAGACTTTTTACGTGACAGAAATGACTCCATTAACTCCCATCCTTGATCAAGTATGCGAACATGCAAGATTCTATCCCCCCACAGCTCATCCTTAAGTAGTGAAAAGGGTATCCTCCTATTGAATGTTAGCTCTGCTCTGTATAGAGACCAGACAGTTCATCGAAACGTGTATTGACTCACCTCACGGAGGTATTCTCCAACATCCGCTTGTCTGAAGAGGACAATACCGGTAGGGTCCAGCTTCTTTGCCTCCTGGGTTGCACGTGCCGAGACTATTTGTCCGTTAGTTAATTCCCGCATATTCAGGCGACCGAGTGAGATATTACCTCCGAATCCGAGGGGGGTATCATCCTGATTGTACACAATGACACCACTGTGCTCAGGGCAGTCCTCGGACCAACGGCCAACGTGCGCCTTCACGACGTTGCCTCCGTAAAGGAAAGGCATCTCTCCATTGGCCTTGATCCACAGCTGTGAAAAGTCAGCAGATGCCCAGTTGCTGCAGGTGTGAGTTTAAATTACCTTGTATCTGGCGTGGGGAGCCACCACATCCAAACAAGTCAAGTTGAGCCTGAACTTTCCAGTCTTTGTGAATTTACCCATCTGGGTACCAGCGGACAAGAGGTTGTCGCGGGGAATTGAGGTCGCGAGGTTCGCAATGGCTAGGGGCATATAATAGACCTGGGAGCGTTATGTTAGCAAAGAAAGTATTACACGGGGCAATTGCGCATCGGCAGGCTCTTACTCGGCTTCCTTGCAGACGGAAGACCATCTGAGGTCCGCCATCGGTGGGGGCGACAAGGCTGTTCAAAGAACGCCCTGTGTAGTGGGCGAGCTTTGAGAACAAAGTTTTGGTCTCTTCTTCAGTGAGTTGACGCATCTTGACTTGTGGATGTCGTTGTTACGGAGCGAAGCTGGCTGATAGAGACGCCATTTTTTTCCCAGGCGATAACAGATCACATGATAGGAGAACCCACTTGTACCTATCAGCACGTGAGGAGCATGCGATAGTATTGGCAGAAAAAAAGTCTCGGTGCACAGGCGGTGAGGGAAAAGTTGGACCGCCTATTCGCCGCAGACCCTTCAGTTTCCGACACTACAACACCGATAAACAACAAAATGGCGCGTGGTGCGAATGTGAAAAGGAGACGTTTGAGCCCTCCTGCCGAGGGGGAGGGCTCTGCCTCTCGCAGCAAAGACAATTCCTTCAATCGCGACGATGAATGGGATGTCGAAATGGACTACGAACGCCGCCCGCGCAAAGGGAACAAGAAAGCCAATGAGCAAACCCGATTGCCGATTAAGACCTCCGAGGGACTTGTTGAAGCTATGAAGGAGACTGAAGAACCAGAAGACGCAGGGGAAGAAACCGACAGCTTCTTGGGTACCGACGATGACGGTGAAGGCGAAGGTTCCGAAGAGGAAGAGGAGGTTGTTGAAGAGAAGAAGCCTAAGATTCCGATCAAGGTTCAGATTATGAAGGCGAAGGAGGACCTTGCCCGAATCGCCATGCTGATCAACGAGGACCCCGAAGAAAATATCGCGCTGTTCAAGACAATGGCTGAAATGGTGGAGAAGGACTCGCCGATCACCGTCAAGAAGCTCGCTCTGGCGTCTCAAGCTGCGATCTTCAAGGATGTCATTCCCGGATACCGAATTCGCCCCCTCAGCGAGGAGGACAAGACCGCCAAGGTTTCAAAGGATGTGAGAAAATTGCGCGATTTCGAGCAGTCTCTCGTTTCCAACTATAGAAACTACGTCAACAAGCTGTCCACTATCACTAAGCCTGGTAGATTCGTCTACGTTGATCCTGGCCTGAAGAGCATCGCCATCAACTGTGCCTGCAGCATGCTTCAAGCCGTCCCGCATTTCAACCTCCGTAATGACCTGCTCAAGATCGTTGTGAACCGCCTCGCCAAGAAAATGATTGATGCAGACCAGATAAAGTGCCGTGAGACAATGGAGGATATCTTTGCGAAGGACAATGATGGCATCGTTTCTCAGGAAGCCGTGCGCCTGCTCGCAAAGATGATGAAAGCTAGAGACTTCAATATCAACGAGACCGTTTTGGATACCTTCCTTCATCTCCGTCTACTTGGCGAGTTCAATTTGAAGGCTTCTCAAGACCGCGTGGACCGCGAAGAGGAGGAGCAACCCCATGGCAAGAAGCAAAAGCAGAAGCGCGAATTCCGCACAAAGAAAGAGCGCAAGGTGCAAAAGGAGCGCAAGATTGTCGAGAAGGATATGAAGCAGGCAGATGCGATGGTTTCTCATGAAGAACGCGACAAGAGCCAGGCCGAGACTCTTAAGCTCGTCTTTGGTATCTACTTCCGTATTTTGAAGGCGCGCATTCCACACCTGATGGGTCCTGTGCTTGAGGGTCTGGCCAAATATGCCCGTCTGATCAACCAGGACTTCTTCGGTGATCTGTTGGAGGCAATGAAGGATCTCATCGGCCATGCCGAGCGCGAGGAACTTGGCGAAGAAGGTGAAAACCAGGAAGAGGAAGAAGACCAGAACGAAGAGCGTGCGCCTGCATCGGAAAGCAGGGCTCGCGATGCGCGTCGCGAAACATTGCTTTGCACAATCACCGCCTTCGCCCTGTTGGAAGGACAAGACACTAGCAAGGCCGCCGCAACCCTTCACCTCGACCTCAGCTTCTTTATCAAACACCTCTACCGTTCCCTTTACTCGCTCGCCGTTAATCCCGACGTCGAGTACAACCCGAGCACCTCTCTGCGTCTCCCGGACCCCAATGCCCACGGAGAAGATGCCCAGGCTCGTATGCGATCAAAGAACAAGGTCAACTTCCAGACCCCTATGGTCCTGCTCCTTCGCTGCCTGCAGTCATCCCTCCTCTCCCGCGCACACGGTATGCCGCCACCAATTCGCCTGGCCAGCTTTGCCAAGCGTCTGATGACTACCTCGCTCCAACTGCCCGAGAAGTCCGCCATGGCCACCCTGTCTTTGATGAACCAACTCGCGAAGCACAACCAACGCCGCATCTCATCTCTGTGGCACAGTGATGAACGCAAGGGCGATGGCGTGTTCAACGCATACGCGAATGATATCGAGAGCACGAACGTCTTTGCAGGCTCCGTGTGGGAGGGCGAGCTTCTCCGCATGCATTACTGCCCGCAGGTGCGGGAGTCAGCTATTGATATCGAGAAGTTGATGAACGATTCGAAGTAACCGTGTCTTCGTGTATAGATGTCTATAATAGAAAAAGTGACCCGGTTCTTGTATGTACGCGTTGATACCATTTAACTGCTTTGGCATGTTCTTCCATAGACAGTGTTCATTTGCATTCCATTTAGTTCCTCAGTGAATGAAGTTCATGCTCATCAATCTATATGTGATGTGTCTTATCTTCCATATACATGGTTTAGTTTACCTGTAGGTTGACGAAGGCCGGCCTAGTTGGCGCAAGCCCTGGCCAGAGGCGTAAATAAGTCCCAAGATAGATCTTTCCCAACTTCTCAGCCCCACTAAACGCGCTGACCTGGGGCATTCGGTTGACATTTGGCTGCGATTGAAGCAAATTTTGACCTGTCACCTGAAAGCATTTGAGATCCCAAGAGAATTAATCAGCTTCCAGGTGACGAAGCTACCCGTACAAGTACAGATGAACACCCCCATCATTACCTAGGCACTCGCCAGGACAAGAGACAAGGTGAGTCCCCCGGTCTTCAGCTTCGGTATACTAGATGCCCGAGATAGAAATATTGGTCCATGCTGTTTGTTATGACTTTAGAGAAGATTAACGAGCACGAGCAGGGAAAAGGTTTGAGTTTCATCAACGCATTCCTTGAAACTAGGAAACCTTTGTAGAAAATTAGTCATTACTGAGATTATCTCCAGTATGTCCGTCATACTTTCCATATGCTCTTTCGATGAAAAGAAGGAAACAATGAACACCGCGTTGGAAACTGTGCACCATTATGCGCCTTTGAACACCGTGAAATCCGCATTGGATCCATAACCCTCATGAAACCACATTGTTTGATACCCATAAGCTTGAATGTGCACTTCATCTGCCGGAATTGGTTGCGAGCAGAAAGATTTAACGAAAAGTGCCAAAGAAGCGAGGTATGAGGGAAAAACCTAGTGCATTGTATCTGTGTACCGTTGTTCATGAAGAGATACCTGGTCCTGAACCCAACCATGCTCAGTATCATCGAGCAGGGGAATGTGCAGGTTGTCGTTAGCAGGGCTGTAAACGGCCTGCTTCAGAAGCTTTGCGGTGTTCTCCTGCAGGGAGGTGTGCTGCATGGCGGAGTGGAAGCTGTCAGAGGCTGATTGGACCTTGGACTCGCTGAAAGACGAGGCAGTGGTGCAGGTGGAGGGGAAAGAGCCACGGGTAGAGCATTTTAAGCCGACCTCTTCGTTGTAACTGAAAGAAGGCCCGGGAGACAAGAGGGGTATGCCGCTGTGCGAGGAAGAAAGGACTTCATCCTCGTGCACGACATTCTGCACAGTCGCAGCGCGAAGTGCGGGATGCACTACGGTCAGGCTCTTGTTCTCCATCTGAGCGAACTTGGGAATATTCCGCGGAATCGCAGGAATAGGAGGAGTAGGAGTCGACGTTCGCGAGCTGCCATCGTCAAGAAGTAGAGTGGCCTCGGTGCGACGGAGGGATGGCTGGTATTTACCCGTACCGTTCTCGTGGTGATCACGGCGGTGGAGAAAACTGAAGATGGATCGTTTCTTTCCTTCATTGGAGGGGGTGCTCTCGAGTTGCTTTTCTTTGCGGTCAGAAGCGTTAGAGACTGTACCTTTCGTGCCGGTCATGAATCCTTTCTTGGCAAGGGACATACTTCGAGGCAACGTACCGGCTGACTTATGGTCCTGTGCTGAAGAGATTCGGGGTCGCAGAGGAAAAGGAGCATGGGCAGACGCTGGGGTAGGTGGCATAGGCAGAGCATGATCGTGCTCATTGATCAAAGGTTGAGTGCTACGGATAGTCGACTCACTGTAGCGCTGCACATCCATCGAGGTGTTCGATGGAGCTTCCATATGACCCTTCGGAGCTTCAAGCTCAGCTTGAACAGCGGTATGTTCGTCCAAGAGTTCGATCTTCATCGGAGTAGCTGGGTAAGAAGAAGGTGTGAGCTTGGCGGCGTCCATCTGAGCCGTGACGCGTCGGTCAGTTTGCTCTTTCTGAGTCTCATCAAGCTTGTACTTTTCATCCTGGGCTTTGAGATACGCCACATCCCTTTGTATTTCCTCGGTCCTGCGGCGCTGACAATTAATGAACTTCTGAAGAGTATCGGACGAGAACTTGTTGATTAGGGTCTCCGTCTTATGATTCAGATCCTCGTAAGAGCGACCCAACGAACGAATTTCGGCTTGTGCTTCATCCATGACTTTCATCTCGAACGTATTGAGTCGTCGCTCCATGACACCGACCTCAAGGCGACACTCCATCTGGAACTTCATAATTTCTTTGGAGACTTCGAGCTGCTTGCTGTTTAGGTCGGCTTTGGTGCGCGCCAAGTCAGAGATGGAATTCACCTGTTTCTGGAGCTGGTCGCTGATCCAGTTGGCCAGCTCATCCAATTTATTGTTGAGGTTATTGATACCGAGATCAGTCTGTCTCTGGATTGAGCGGACCATGTCAACAAGGTCGTCCACTTGCATGGGAATGCTGCGACTCAGAGAAACAAACCCCTCCAGCGAGAGGTCAGCCTTCTCTATGCGCTCGCGGAAGGATGGAAGATAATCAGGCATAGAGGTCACAGGAGATTCATTCTCTTTGTAAGCAGTCAGGGCCGGAACATTCTCCTTGGCTGAAACGGAGGGACCACAGTCTCGCTCAGCCCAGGGTCGTGGCATATACTTGCCCTTGCCTAATGGCTTGAGAAGGTCTCCACGCATGGGGTGCGGGTCCTTGTTCGATGGGTAGATGGGTACCCCCCGGGAGACGCTCGGCCTCTGAGCAATGTCCGTGCTCGTACGCGAGATGGTAAGATTCTTTGGTCGACACTTTCCAGTAGGAGTGGCTCCTGTGTTGTACTCTGCGCTGGAATCGCTTTTGGTTTTATCCTGAGTAGTGGAAGAACTCTGGCTCTCAGCAACAGAAACATGGCGGCTTCGGGTTCTGGACGGAACGATTCCATGCGCATTGGTGTATGTTCCCGAGGGAGGTAGAGGAATCTTACTCGGTGCAGTACTAGATTGAGAGCTGCAACCGGAGACCTTGCCATGGTCGATGGGCTTCAACTTCGCCTTGAAGTTGTAGTTGCTTTGTGCCATGGAGGGAATGGTATTTGGAGAAGTTGCACGATGGAAAGCTCTCTTGGAGCTCTCATTAAACGGCTCAGGAAGCTGGAGCACCGAGGGAGAAATATTAATATCCTCAAGGGAACCTTCCTTGCGCAAGTCCTTGAAGCTTAACTTGGACTTGATGAGATCCACTTTGGACCGCTTCTTCATGTCTTCGGGAGTGTAAAGGTCACATTGAAAGGGATTGTGTGTGAAAATAGGATCCGTCACCGAGTGATTCTTGAAAGTAGGCCGAGCTGACTCGTCCCCGGAAGGGGCCTCGACGCTATCATGCCGTGGCTTAGGCATGGGAAGAGCAAGGTCCCCGTCGTAATCAAGATATGAAGTCTTGCGACAAAGGCAAGGATGAAAGATAGCTTCAGTTGGGCTGCTTGGAAGCGAGTCACCTGTTTAATCACTTTGTCAGTTATCGAAAATATTGGATAACAGGACAGGAGCGGGCAACAAAAGCAGCTTCAGTACTCACCAAAGCCCTTGCTTGTCTGCCTGTCTTCTTCCCATTTGCGTCGAGCAACAACAGAAAAAGCGTTACCAGCGGTAACAGATGGAGGAACCGACTCTGACACGGAAACAGGCAGAACAAATGCAGGAGGAGCAGGAGGTGGAAAGGGAGGAGGAGCTTCAGTCGTTGGAACTGTTACACTATCCAGGGAATGTCGAACGGTGGTATACTCAGAGGATTCCTTGGGTGACTTTCCAGGTGATCCTTTAGGGAGTTTGGGACTCAAATGTTCGGTTTGAAATGGGGGGAATGGTCCAAACATCCTGGGTTGACATGAATTAGGATAGTTGGAGAGATGACTGACCCAGAAACACAACAGCAAATGAGTGAAGAGAGGGGATAGATGATGACGGCGTGCGGAATAGATGAAATTGGGGAGCCGTGGAGAAAGAGAGAGAGAGAGAGAGAGACGGGGAAGGTGAAGGAAGTAAATGGAGGAAGATGGAGAGTGTCCGTGTAAACATCTCAAGGATGGGGACGTGGACGTGGACGTAAACGCGGACGAAGTTCTCTTTGCACGAAGTCTACAGAGGAATTTAATAGATAATGGCGCATAGTTAAGATAATTCATCCAATTCATTAAGTTCATCGTAAATGTCATACACGCTGGAGAGGCGAGGCCGCATCTCGATCTATCTCAAGACCGGCCAAGCTCATCAACATGCTAGACGACAAATGGAAATCATAAAAACAATAGGAAATAAAGCAAACAAAAAGCAAGTCAAAATCCGAAAGACAAGGAAAATCGTAATCAATACAGGGGAATCAAGCGCAAAAGAACATTCTGACTTTGCTTTGCTTTTCAATCAAAATCCTTCCTGCAAACACAAGGTGAAGGGACGATCAGTGGTAAAACGCACGCCAGAGTATCGCAAGAATAGGGATCACAGCAAGCGTTGTCCAAAACGGGGCCCTGGTGAATCAATGTTAGTATTGCGTATTGAACGCGTATTTCTTTTTTCATTGAATTCGATATCCTTCCATGCGCAACGTCAAGGAGGAGTGGTTTCCAGTCACTATCTTATTTGCCGTCCTTTCCACGGCGGCGGAAAGGCGAAAAGATAGTTCCAAAGAATCCTCCGAACATAGTGCGCAGGAACGCCTTGAGCCAGTTGTCAGGTGCGCTATTCAAAGAAACAGCAGTCACTGACCGGTTCTGGCTCACGGGACGAGCATCCTCCTCATTAGCGTCGTTGGTAGCGGCGGTTTCCGGGGCGAGCTGGGCAGGAGTCTCGGTAGACTTTTGGGCGGGCTCCTCCTCGGTTTCGACCTGGGGCTGCTTGGTGGCAGCGGAAGTCTGGGGTTGTTCACTGGTCATGCTGGCCAGCTGGTCGGTGGAGGGCTGGTTTAGCTTGCTGAGAAGAGCTTCGCGATCAACAGCAAGGGCTGTGAGAACCGGATCAGCTTCGAACGATGGGACTGACACGTTGTTGGTCGAGACAGCGTAGGGCTGCAGCTTACTGTTATCGGGCTGCGACTCTGCTGGGGCCTCGGTCTCTACCTTGGCTTCCGCAGGCTCGTCCTTGGTTTCAGTGATGGTCGACTCCTGCTCTGCTTCAGGGGCCGGTGTAGACTCAGCTTCCTTGTGCAGCGCAGAGGCCACACCAACGGCAGCAACCCCGGCAACGGCAGCGGCAGCTCCAGCGCCAATCACCTCAGCAGTAATATCGCTGTCCTTGGCGGATTCTTCTTTAGTCTCCTCATTAGGGGCGTTCATCAGCTCACGGAAAGCAGAGTACTCCTCAACAGGAGCTTCAGTCGCAGCAGGAGTCTCCTCGACGATGGCAACGGGCTCCTCTTCCTTAGTGGCGGGGATGTCCTCGGCCTGCACAGGCTCTTCCTGCTTCTCGGGCTTCTGTTCAGTCACAGGGGCCTCAACAACTGGCTCTTCTTTCGTGGCGGGGACCTCCTCAGATTGCACGGGCTCCTGTACTGGCAGGGTTGGCTCAGCAGCGGGGGTAGTCTCAGGCTCCACAGCTTCAGTGGAGTTTTGCTCCTCAACAGCTGGGGTAGGCTCCTCCACAACGACAGCCTCATCGGTAGCAGTAGGCACCGGGGTCTCCTCAACGGACTCCTCAACGACGGGCTCATGGACTATAGGCTCTTCCTTAATAGTCTCCTCGACGATAGACGCCTTGACAGTAGGCTCCTCGACAGTAGGCTCCTCGATGGCGACGGGCTCCTCGACCACAGCCTCCTCAGTGGCAGCAGGAGCAGGTTTCTCCTCAACAATATCCTTGACAGATTCCTCAACGAGTGGCCCCTCCTTGATGGCCTCTTCGATGACGGGCGCCTCGACAGTAGGCTCCTCGACGGCAACGGGCTCTTCCTTGACACGTTCCTCGACAACAACCTCCTGAGCGGCATCAGCCTCAACAACAGGAGCCTCAACAACGGGGGTCTCAGCGATGGGGGCCTCTTCAACAACGGGAGCCACGGCAACAACAGAGTCTGCCACGGGCTCGGTCACGGTGGGCTCCTCGGTGCTAACTTCCTTAGTTTCTTCCTCGATAGCAGCGGCCTCGACAGGAGCTTCAGCCTCAGCGGGAACCTCAGTCTTCTCCTCGACAGCGGGAACATCAGCAGCCTCTTCATCCTTAGCGGATTCTTGAACTGCAGGGATATCGACAGTTTCCACCTCTTCAGCAACAGGTGCCTCGACGGTCTTGGTCTCCGGGGCGGCCTCAACGGCGGTAAAAACCTCGGGCTCGGCGAGATTCTCCTCGACCTTCTGTTCCTCAGCCACGGGGACCTTGGGCTCTTGAGTGAGGGCTTCCTCGGCAGCGGGCTCGGTGGCAGTTTCGGGGAGCTCGACGGGAGCTTCAGTGACGGCTTCCTTGGTAGACTGCTCGGCAGGGGCTTCGAAAGTGGTCTCAATGGGCTCAGCAGCGGCCTCCGTAGCAGGCTCAGCAATGGACTCGGCGATAGGCTCCACGGACGCTTCGGTGACGGTCTCCTTAGAAGTTTCTTCAGCGACGGGCTCGGCAATGGACTCGACGAGAGCTCCAGTGACGGGCTCCGCAGCGGGCTCGGTGACGGACTCAGTAACCGGCTCAGCAACGGGCTCAGCAACGGGCTCGACGATAGGCTCGACTGGAGCTTCGGTGACGGGCTCCGCAGCGGGCTCGGCAACGGGCTCAGCAACGGGCTCGACGATAGGCTCGACTGGAGCTTCGGTGACGGGCTCCGCAGCGGGCTCAGCAACGGGCTCGACGATAGGCTCGACAGGAGCTTCGGTGACGGGCTCAGCGACGGGCTCAGCGACGGGCTCAGCGACGGGCTCAGCGACGGGCTCAGCGACGGGCTCAGCGACGGGCTCAGCAACGGGCTCAGCAACGGGCTCGACGATAGGCTTGACGGGAGCTTCGGAGACGGTCTCAGCAACCGACTCAGTGACGGGCTCGGTGTCGGGCTCAGTGGGCTCAGTGATAATATCATTCGTCGATTCATTGGCAGGCACATCGGTGGTAGAGGGTTCCTCGGGGATAGCCTCAACGAGCTGCTCAGCCGGAGTCTCCCGAACAGATTCCTCAACAGACTCCTTGGCCTCACTCTCCGCGACAGCCTCGACGGGAGACTCAGTGACAGGCTTTTCGGTGAATTCTTCAACTGGTGAATCAGCAGCAAGACCTTCCACGGCAGCGGTCTCAGCAGCTGGGGCCACGGATTCGTCGGATGCCTTCTCTTCCACGGCGGGTTCCTCTGTAGTCTGATGCTTGGACTCTTCGATGGACTCCTCGGCCTTGGAGGCTTCCGTCACCACCTCAGTGGCCTCCTCCTTAGTAGGCGCAACAATAGCAGCCTCTTCGGTGGTAGGAGGCTCGACGGGCTCAGAAATAGCCGCGGGAGTCTCTTCGACCTTGGACTCCTCGGCTTCGGGAGCGGGAGTAGGCTCAGCAGCCACAGGAACCACTTCAGGCTCGGTAGTGGTAGTTTTCTGCTCTGGCTCGGCAACTGCAGTCTGTTCGGCGGTCTGCTCAGTAGCGGGCTCCTCGATGGTAGTAGTCTCGGTGATAGGTTCTGCGACTTCTTCCTTGATCTCAACAGGAATAGGCTCTTCGGCCTGCTGAGCTGTCTCAATCTTGTCATCAACCGGGGCGGCAGTGGTCGTCTCCTTAGTAGGTTCGGGGGTAGCCTCTGCGGTGGCAGTTTCCTGGACAGGAGCTTCCTCGGCGAGCTGCTCAGTGCTAGGAGCTTCGGTTGGCTCCTCAATAGCGGGCTGCTCCTCGGCGGTCTCCTTGGAAACTTCGGGCTCCTTAACAACGGGACTTTCAGCGGGAGCTTCTTCCTTGAACTCGGAGGCGGTCTCCACGGTAGGCTCCTCGGCAAGTGTCTCCTTAACGGGCTCCTCGGCGGGAGTCCCTTCGACTGGAGCTTCCTTAGTGACCTCCGGGGTCGATTCCTCAGGCTTGGATTCTTCAATTGTAGACTCTGCGGGGAGCTTCTCGGCGGGGGCCTCGACGGCCTCCGAAACAGCCTCAGTCGTAGTCTCAGTAGCTTGCTTTGAGGTCTCTTCTGGTACAGACTCTTGAGTAGCTTCAACGGACTTGGACTCCTCCACGGCCGGTTCGGCAGTAGTAGGCTCTGGAACGGGTTCAGTCTCCTCGCTCTTGGTGGGAATCTCGGCGGCGAATGCCTCTGTGGTGGGTTCTGACTCGGCCTCGGTGGATGTAGGCACCTCCTTAGTAGGCTCGGCAGATTCTTCAGTGGTCGTCTCGGGCTGCTTCTCAGAGACAGCTTCTTCGGTGGGCTTGTCAGCCTCGACGACAGGCTCGGATTCCTTCATCTCCTCGATCTTCTCAGTCGAGTCGATGGGGTCGACCTCTTGCGAAGATGAGACGTCGGCAGAGTCGAAGCCATTCTCGTCGACCTTGGCGGCGGCCTTCTTCTCCTTCTTCTTGGCGTTTTTCTTAGCCTTTTTCTTCTGGGCTGCGGTCATTGTAACCTCGGTCTCAGCGTCGCCGTTGTCGGCGGACTTTTCGTCGACGATTGAGGATGTGATCGGCTCGACGGAGACAGGGTCTTTGGGCAGAGTCTCATCAGAGACTATATCCATCGTTAGCAAGCTGTAGGATCGAGATGTGTAGCTCATGACGTACCACTTTGGATCGCCGCGGTCGCCATGCTGGCGGTCGTTAAATCGTAACGGTCGTGAAAGGGTGAGGGGAAAAGCAACAAAGGATTTGCAACTTGACCAGCAAAGCAGCACTAACGCAGGATCAACTGTACAAACAAAGCTCGCAGAGCAAAATGGTATAATTAGAGGTGTGAGTAGAGGTGTAGAGAGGAAGTCGGGTCGGGGAGCACGATTAAAAAAAAACTCGGATGCCCAACTCGACTGTACAACACAAGCGCATATGATTCACAGCGTGGGGCAGGTTGTCACAGTGACCAACTCGTGCTTTACTCCATTCTGACCAAGTCTGCTCATCCGGCTCGTTTGTCTAGTACGAATCCAGCATAATTGGACTTCCGTTGCAGCCCAATGGCCAGACGTTGTGGTCTTGGGCCACTGGGTCCCCACTGGTGTCCAACATGCGGTGAAGCTATCCGAGTCCTAGGTACCTTGGCTGATCCCCTTTCCCTTGGACTGCAGAATACGAAGAGCTGAACAAAAGCTATGTACGACAGCCGGACCCGATGTACATTACATTACTCCCCTGCGCGGTCGCATCCGGTCGAGTCGAGTCAAGTAGAAAGCTCCCGATGGGAACAGAAAAAAAAAAAAAAAAGGAAGTGGAGCCCAATGCAGGAAGGTACTAAATACGCACTAAAGATGCACTAAGAAGACTAATTATCACTAGGACCCATCCATCTACCCTCTGATAAACGGGACCCAATAAGGGACAAATCCGTGGAGGGACGTATCTCCACCTGTCAACTGCATTGATTGCCGCGTGATCTGATGCTCTTGAAAAACACGGCCTGGCGGTTCGCCCGGCTTCATTGGCTTTGCTCTAGTTTGCCCGAAACTAGGGCAATAGAAACCTAAACAATGGAACAATAACAAACTCGGTGGCCGCGGATGTCCAAGGCTGGTCATCGCAAGTTCCATGGGTCTGCGATGGGGTGCGGCATGGCATGACACATTCGCCCTCGGTTTCGAATTGATTCTAAGACATAGTTTGCACCATACCATTGAATCCAACCGAAGCCACGGTCCCCGATCCCGACAGCTTCCTCAAGGCTAAGGCCAGCAGAAGCTACCTTAACAGCTTTGTACCCGAGCAACCTCGGTCTGAGCGGACCCGGCCTTAACCATCACGTAGCTCCCAGCTCCACTCACGCGGATCTCCGTCTCAAATCCATTCCGCGCACCCGTAGTCACTTTCCGGAGATCTTGCTCGTCATCGCCAAGGTACACTTCCCACGTCCGCACTTCTATTGCTCCCTTCCAACTCGCATATACCTTCACTGGCCCCTTGCTGGCCCCGGACCCCGCCCGGCACGCATAAAACTCGGTGTACTGGTCGGCTTGCCTGTCCACGCTGATCGGAACGCTCGGTAGGACTACATCCGGTTATCATAGCTGAACTTTGCTCTCATAACGAACGCGTCGGAGCCATCGTATTCTTCGATTTTGGGTGTTGCGCCGTGGCCCAGGAGGACATGGTCGTTGGACAGGGGTTATTAGCTGTCTTACGACTAGGCGTAGACCACTTCTTCTGCGTCCGAGAAGAGACGCTCGGGCGAAGCGGTCTTTGCGACAAAGTCGAGTTTCAGTAGGAGGCCGACCGTGGCATGTGTTCCCTCTGAAAAGGGAGCATTGTTGTTGTTGTGAATATGAAGCGTAACAGTGCTGTTCATGGACTCGACGATTCGCACATCGTGCTGGAAACAGAATGTAGTTCCTAGAGCTAATTTAAAATCGCCTCTGGTTGGTCCCTGCGACAATCTGTCAGTAATATGGGATAAGAGGGAAGGTGAGCCCCTACAACCAACGTCCACTTAAGCTTGCCATTCTTGTCAATGGCGTAGATGCTGCAGAAGCCATGCGAGGAGACTATGTACTCTCTTCCCTATACCGCATAATTGAGTTCAGATGCGCAAAGTCCCATGGGTCACTCTGGCTCGTCCCGGACCCATCAAGGGTGTGTACGAATCTGCGATAGGCATCACCTCGGGCTGATTCAGTGCTCTCCAGCTGAACACAATGTCGTTGCTCTTAATGTCTCGTAGGACTGACTGTCATGAATCCACCCATTGCTCGACCCACCAACACTGGTCAGATTTGTCTGGGTCGCATTGAATGCCGCAACCAGAATAGTTCCCTGTTCTATAATTGCATCCTCGTGGAGATCGATGTAAGATGGGAACGCAGACTCGAAAGCCGTCTGGAGGTGGCGATTCCCATCCGGAAGTGTGATCTCGTGGATCTTCTCGTACTCTTGGTTCAAGATTTGAACAGAGCCGCGCCCGTACCCTGAGGTGCTGATCGTGCCGCTCCAATATGTCAGAACAGGCTCGCCATTTAAGGTCTGAGGTTGAAATGCCGAAATATTCCCAAATGCTCCCTGCCAGACGAGTTCGCTATCATCGGTATAAGTAGTTCGCGCACCACGGCCTTCTAGAACCTTTGTGGAATAAAGGAATATGTACCCGAGCTCTGTCTTCCGGTTCTTAGTGATATTCATCACTGGTGCTTCCAACGATGGACTCTTGAATGATTACTGCATATGCACTTCCTGCCAGAAAGGCAAGAAGAGAAAGACCGAGCATCTGCATCCTGGTCAATTGGTCTGATCTGGGAATAACACTCTTTCAAGCTTCCAGCCTCATGAGCCCATTGCAGTTATTCTGGACTTTCGATCATCTATGGATTCATTTATACATCTCTCCCTCTCCCCGCTGATGGGGATAATTCATGATCTAAAAACTTTTAGTCTCTAGTTACTAATTCTAAGCGAGCCCTGGATGTCATTATCATTCATTCATCGGGATGAGTACATCTCCACTTGCCGGTTGGAAGACGCGGCATTTCCATTCCTTGGTGGTCCGCTTGTCAAAGCGATGGCTTTCGACTATTTTTCTCAATCACGAGGATTATTATTGGAGCGCAAACTTTAATTACAGGTCAATGCCGCTTTTCAAGTTGAATGGAAACCAGAACTGGGGTAAAGTGTGGGTGAATGGAAATTTCTGGAAGTAAGCTCTGTACGTTTAGCAGTATTGATCCTTAGCTCGCTTCTAACCGACAAGACTGTTAATCCCGAGATCCCAGTACACTTATATGCCTGTGTTTAATGGAAAATTACACGAAACCCCTTCGACTCCAAGCTTGGCAGCGGCACAATCAAATCATGAGCGGGCTTGACATCCTTTTCACTCGTGTCGTAAAGGTCAAAATCTGCACCCCCTGAACGGAAAAGCGTAGCGACCACATGGTTGATTTCAGCGTACGCAAGACTACTCAAGCCGAGTCAGAGATATAAGAATACTAGCAGCTGAGTTAATAACACTTACTTTGTTCCCAAACATCGCCTTGACCCCTTTGAAAATGGGACATAATTGCGATTCATCTCCGGTGTAACGTCCGCAAGCCATCGCTCGGGGAGGAATTCGTCAGGACATGCAAAGACGCTCGGGTCGCGATGGGCGTAATATGCAGACATGCCAACAGGCACACCAGCTGGAATCGTCCACTGCCTGAATTGAAGGGCTTGTTTTGGGGAAACGCGCGTACGACGGTGCATGGTGCCGAAGCTTAGGCTGTAATACAAAACATCTGTTAGCGCGGTGCTCAATCTAGGCACAGAAGAAATAATAGAAATACCGAAGACCCTCTTTGATTACTGCCTGCATATAATGTGCTGTCTCCAGTTCAGCCCAAGTCGGTTTCTTCTGGGGGTAGTTCGCCATGATGGGTTTCAGCTCTTCTTGGAGGCGCTTCTTGATAGTGGGATTGGCCATTATGTGGTAGCAAAGGAAGCACAACGATCCGGCTGTAGTGATGGTTCCGGTTCCGATAAGAACTTGAGCTTCTTTGGACAGCCGGTCATCTGTAAGTTCAGACGATGGGAGGTCGCTGTTGAGCAGATGTCGGAAAATGGTCGGGCGGCTACCCATCATCGACGTGTCTTTGGATCCCAAGGTTGCCTTTTCACTCTTGGCGACTCGGAGATGGTCATCGCACATCTATCAAGGTCAGCAGATTAGTACTCCTGGGACTGGGATTCTATTACCATCTTGAACTTATTGAAGGTCTGAGTTCCGGGGACCAGCTTTGCCAGAATGCCCACAGGAATGAGCCGAACGATGCTGCCCACTTTAGTCCTCACTCTTCAAGTAGTGGGAATCACTTACTGAATTAACCAAGGCAGCCCCATAAACAAAGGCAAAGTCGCAACCCCATTGTGGAATAGGTTATACCACCACGGTGAGAATTCCGGATCATTCAGCAAAACGTCTGGCGGGTCATCCATACATAGCCTATTAATCACATCACCAGAGTAAGCCGTGAAGGCATGGTCCAGTCTCACTACCTTTCCAGTTCCCTTGAAGCTTTCGAACCGGTTGACGATCAGTTTCTCGGTCAGCTCGCCTAGCATTGGCTCTAGCCTTGAGATACCGAGTCGGGAAAAATAAGGATCAAGTGGCTTTCTTCTCTTGCGGTGGAGATCATGCTCTATCGTTGCGATGTGAGAGTCCTTGAAGTCTACGATACCTTCGACAAAAGCTTCATATCTGTCCGTGGGGCGAATTGAGCCCGCGACGTAGAGTTCATCGTAGTATTCCGAGTCGCGGATGGAAAGCTCGAAAGGATTGATCCTTACTATTGGTCCTATATGCCGGAGCTCTCAGCTCTTCTTCTTTTGCAATGCGTACAGAGAGGGCGAAAAGCCATTCGGACCTACCGTACTTGTTGTGCATCTTCTCAATCTCAAATAGATATTTGCCTTTGTGGACAAGATCATAGTACAACTCGTACCAACATGTTACTGCAGCAAGCTTGGGGCCTGGGAATTTTGCTAGAGGACACAAGAAGAGGCGGTAGATGACTAGGCTGAGTAGATAGACTGTCCCTGCGCCGAGGATGGCGACAACAGCACGCCAATTGGAATCTATAGATAAGAGCAAGTAGGCCTCCATTTGGGTGCCTTAGTGAGAGATCGAGTCAAAAGACGTCCACACCAAAAGCTGTTCGTGGTGCCTACGAGGTTTGCTAGGAATTCCTTCACATATTATAAGCGCTTGGGATGCTACTGAAGCTGGCATCTGCCTTAAAAGGATAAATCGGTGAATCGCCTAATGCGGTGATTCCCCATTAGGTAGGTATGCTGCTGCCCTCTCCGTCTGATTCATCACCCGACATTATTAGTATCTTACATGGTTGGTCTCGGTGTCGTGGCTTGTCAACTTCTCTCCCCTACGTTTTGGGTCGGTCGGAGTTTGTCCTAAGGAGGACGTCCCCGTGAATACGACCCTTAGCCATACAATTCTACATGACAGGGAAAGAAATAATATAAGAGAAATGAGTCGTTCGCAGAGTAATACTCAGTGGCAGCATCATTAATGCTAAGAAACCTTGCATGCGGAAAAGTAGTCCTCGAGTCCCCTCAAACCTGTGCGGTGATACCGTTTTCTTGGTTTCGATCCATCTCGTGCTGCTGAGTCTGTACGTGCTTGTGTATTACCACCTGCATTACCTCCCCGCGGCCTGACCCGCTCTGCATCCCTACGCATACAAATGGCCTGCAATTACTCGACACTGATGGACTCCTCCCTGTACGACAGGGAAGATCTTTGCCCTGGAATCCATCTCCGGAGGCATATAGCCGGCGAGCTTGAAGAAATAGGTGCTTTCAGGGCCCAAGAAGACTGGCGCCGCTTAGTTGGGCCCTTGCCAAAGCCTTATGCGGGTCTCTTGGGTCCCGACTTTAGCTTCATAACTGGCGCGGTGCCTGAGTGTCGCCCAGATAGAATTGAGGTCATCGCTTATGCGCTGGAATTTGCTTTCATCCATGACGGTATGTGCTCACTCTCTGGAATTGACGCACGATGCTCATTCATACAGATGTCATTGATACGGATGTCAACGATGCCTCGTTGGATGAGGTGGGACATGCATTGGACCAAAGTCAGACGGGCAAACTCGAAGATAGAGGCTCCGATGGAAAGCGTCAAATCGTCATTCAAATCCTTCGCGAGATGATGGCAATTGATCCAGAAAGGGCGGTAAGTGTCGCTAAGAGCTGGGCTTCTGGCGTCCGACATTCAAGTCGACGGAAGGAGGATACGAATTTCAAGACGCTTGAAGAGTACATCCCCTACAGGGCCCTCGATGTGGGGTACATGCTCTGGCACGGCCTTGTCACATTTGGATGTGCGATTACTGTTCCCAACGAAGAGAAAGAAGAAGCAAAGAGGCTTATCATACCTGCGTTGATTCAAGCCTCGCTGCTGAACGACCTGTTCTCCTACGAGAAGGAAAAGAACGACGCCAATATCCAGAACGCCGTCTTAGTCGTCATGAATGAGCACGGGTGTTGCCAAGAAGAAGCAAGAGGAATTATCAAGAAGCGCATTCGCATCGAATGTGCTAAGTACGTCGGCAATGTCAAAGAGACCAATGCGCGGACGGATGTCAGTGACGAGCTGAAGAGGTACATCGATGTCATGCAGTATACTCTTTCTGGCAACGCGGCCTGGAGTACTAATTGCCCACGATACAACGGACCGACCAAATTCAATGATTTGCAGTTATTGAGAGGCCAGCACGGCCTGGCAAAATACCCGTCAAGGTGTTCACCGGAGAACAAAACCAGTGGCTCCGTCGAGGGTAATTGCCACGAATCCAAAGAAAACGAGCTCAAGAGGAAGAGGAATGGCGCCATGGATGCTGATGAGATGAGGACGAATGGCATCCGTGGTGTCAAAAAGCCAGCGCATATCTCACAACCAAGCACGGATTCGATTGTTCTTGAGGATGTAGTGCAGTTAGCGCGTGCTTGCGATCTGCCAGACTTGAGCGATAATGTGAGTTGCTTATCTTCCTGTGCTGACGCTGCTCCCACTGACGGTGATTCCAGGTTGTTCTTCAACCATACCGGTACCTTACCTCCCTCCCTTCCAAGGGTTTTCGAGACCAGGCCATAGATTCTATCAACGAGTGGCTCAAGGTACCTCCGAAATCGGTAAAGGTGATCAAAGACGTAGTCAAGATGCTGCATAGTGCATCTCTCATGTGAGTCCTTCTTGTTATCTTCCAACGTACTCTTCCAGTGTCTGACAAACCCAGGCTCGATGACCTTGAAGACAACTCTCCACTACGTCGTGGCAAACCCTCTACGCACAATATCTACGGCATGGCTCAGACAATTAATAGCGCTACATACCAATATATCGCAGCTACAGATATGACCGCCCAACTCCAGAACCCAGAAAATTTTCGTATCTTCATCGAAGAGATGCAGCTGCTACACGTTGGGCAGAGCTATGACCTCTATTGGACGCACAACACGCTCTGTCCGACCGCTACCGAGTATTTTAGAATGGTTGATATGAAGACGGGAGGTCTCTTCCGCATGTTGACGCGGATGATGGCCGCAGAGAGTCTGGTCGGCGGCAAGGTTTCCAACGGCGATATGAACATGTTCAGTTGCCTTATTGGACGTTTCTTCCAAATTCGCGACGACTATCAGAATCTCGCTTCAGCTGACTACGTCAAGGCGAAGGGGTTTGCCGAAGATCTTGACGAAGGGAAGTATTCCTTCACGCTGATCCACTGCATTCAGACTCTGGAGTCAAACCCCGAGCACGCTGGGGAGATGATGCAGTTGCGGGCGTTCCTCATGAAGAGACGACTTGAGGGTAAGCTTAGCTTTGAGGCCAAGCGCGAGGTTTTGGCGACCATGAAGAAAACGAAAAGCTTAGAGTACACGCTTGGCGTTCTGCGGGAACTACACTTCGAGTTGGAGAAGGAAGTCGGAGAATTAGAGGCGAAATTTGGCGGGGAGAACTTCACCTTGAGGGTGATGCTGGAGTTGTTGAAGGTATAAGAGAGATAGATTGGTAGAAAGAAGGGCATGTTAGTTATTTGATGCCAGCGCCTCTATGTCTATCAGGTCCTCGCCTCTAATACTGCGCCACCACTCGCTTTGTCGTACAAGTTCTCCCTCATCGCCACCTAACAAAGACCAGTATTTCCTCAGAAACCACACTTTTGCCTCCCAGCTGCGGCTGTCCCATGGAGTACCACTGGAAGCATATCCAGTAGAGGCATCTCGATCCTTCCTCCCAACTCCTGCACCTCCCCAACAAACTAAACCAGTGATGGCATCGCGGAGGAATTCGTCCTCATTCACCTCTTTCTGGTGAAAGATGAGATTCTTCCGTAACGTCCGGAAGGGCAGAACATCAATAAATGGAGGGTGATCGATAGTAATTTGATCACTGCTCGGCCTCAAGTCCGGCTTGAGTGTCTTGAAAATCCTCTGCACTGTACAGATTATATTTTCCTTAGCCGTGCCATCCGCCGATGCTCTGATCGACCGATAGAATGGTGAAGGAGATTCCGCGGCACACACCATTTCCTCCGTAAGGCCAACATGCATTCTAAGTGTATCCATTGCAGCTAAAGTGCAGATTGTTTCCAGACGAAGATGGTTGGCATACAGATCTAGTGCAGGTGCGACCGTTCCAATCATGAGTATCCTGACCTCAGTACAGCTGTACGGGCCGGGACCGTGTGTTTCCACCTGGATATGTGGGTTAGGGCAATTGCATTTGACGGCCGTGGTCGTCCCATATTGATCAAGGTTATCTTGTTGGTTATCATGAATGAAAATGGAAGGATCAACGTGCGTTGGAGGAACCCATACACTCTGTGCTGAGGAAGAAGTTTCCGAAGGTGAGATTTGTTTTAGGGAGTCTGAAATGGCTAGTATTGATGAGGAGATATCTGAACGTGATAGTTGTGATGTGTAACCCCAAATGGTAGAATCCCAGATGCTTCTTGGCGACAGGGTATTATCTGAGGTTATCAGATGTGTTGTAGGGTCCCAGGTGTTCAGTGCTGATGTGGTATGATCTGACAGTGGAAGGTTTTGGCAGTCCTCCAGAGTAGCTGTTGATGAACTGTGAACCAATGAGTTCGAAATATTATAACCTGGGATCGACTCGGTTTGGACTGTGCCCGTTGTCGGTGATTTCTGCGCCAGCGACGCTGCAAGCGTTTCGAGGTTCTCCATTCGCCCACGGAGCTTTTCTCCTAAAGAAAACCACTATCAGTATTTTTGCCGCAATGTCTTTCCTCGAACTATCTGGTAAAAACAAGCTATCCTCACGGTATCTGCGTTGCGCTCGGATGTTCTGTTGCCGCCTTTTTTCGGGATCGCGACGGACGGGTTTTCGCTTCTCCATTCCCACGCTTTCGCTCCATGCTTTCTCCATGATGTCCCGTGGTAACGTGTATATCGTTGTTAAATTGCATCGATCTTTGACGTAAATGGTTCGATGAACGGGGCAGCTAGGTGGGACGGGGTGATGGGGCAAGAGCGGAGAAAGTTCACCTGGGGGAAAGCGGCTGCCTACGGCAGACGATAGTGATCGACTCTGCTTATTTTGGTCAGTTGTCAGATTATCATGCCGTGACTGCAGATATTCTTATCTCCTCAGAGTTGAGTTAATTTCCAAGGCAGCTCTCGGAAGTTTCCAGCATCTGCGGTGGAACAGAGTTATGATCTCTACAAGGCGAGTAAATCCCAGACATTCTCATAAGATATACATTGCAACTAGACAGTACTTGCGCCTCCCTTCAATCTATTGAGACCTATAAAGGAAGACGAAATAGGATAGGAGAGACACAGCGAAACCATTATTTCTAGAGATCTTGAGTTGCTTCATATGGAATCGAGGAGAATTGTCTTTGTACGGGAATTCCATGCGGGAGCATCTTCTTGCTTTTCCCCGCGATATTCACTACCAAAATTTCAAGGTTAATTGATTTGACCGTAGATACTGACATAATCTATGGCAGGGATAGACACTAGCCTTTAGGCACCCCTGGGAGTTGTCTGAGTTCTGTGTATCTGATTTCGTTCTGAGGCTGACAAGAATCGGTATTTCCTCATTCAGTCATTCCCCATTAGAAATTCACCACCCTTTTGAGCGACTCTGAGCAACGGAACTTTGCCTGTTTTATGGCCGTCCCCATTCCAGAATGGCCATTTCCCAAAGCTTAAGATGGGATGGATTTCCCCCTTCTGAGGGTTTTCAACAGCTATCTAGCATCGGTCTCGTTCTCACCCTCCTGACCATATCGTTTAAGCCATGCGCCTTTCCTTTTACTCGGTATCCGCCTGTACCCTGGCATCTGCTGTCATTGCTTCAGCTTCATCTTCGATATTTAATGTCGCGAATTTCGAATCGAATGACATTATCTACCGAGATGTGGCTGTCATCGGCGGCGGCTCGGCAGGCACATACTCCGCCATCAGTCTGAAGGACAAAGGAAAATCGGTCATTGTTGTCGAGAAGAAAGGCAGACTAGGTGGCCATGCAGAGACTTACCTTGATCCTGTGACCGGCACTCCGGTAGATATGGGAGTCCTGGTCTTCCACAACATCACTGTGGTCAAGGACTACTTCAATCGATTTGAGATCCCCTTGAATAAGGCGGACGAGTTTTTGACATCCGAGTTCTACTACGACTTTCGCACTGGAAGACCAGTCTCTCCAACATTTACTCCATCGGCAGAGGATGTATCCGCAGCTTTTGCAGCCTATATGGCCCAGTACTCAAAATACCCTGGTCTGATCAATGGGACAATGCTTCCGAGTCCCGTGCCCGAAGAACTGTACATGCCGTTTGGAAAATTCGTGGAGAAGTACGGAACCCAAGCAGCTATCCCTTCCATGTACTACTTCAATCCGGGCGTCGGTGATATCTTGTCAAACCCGGTCATCGAACAATTCCGATACTGGTCGTCGTATATGGTCGGGTCTGTCGCGACCGACTTTCTAGGTCCCGTCCGCCGCAATGTCAGCGAACTTTACACCAGAGCCGAAGCAGAGCTGTCTTCCTCCTCCAGCCTTCTCCTTTCATCTGAGGTTGTTCACGCCCACCGTGCTGAAGGTGAATCGGCTATTAAGCTCGTTGTCCGCACCCCAAGCGGCCCCAAGCTCATCATCGTCAAGAAGTTGGTTATCGCCTTCCCCCCGAAGCTCGATTTTCTGGCCCCGTTCGACCTCAGTGCCACTGAGAAAACCCTCTTCAGCAAGTACATCGATACAGGCTACTACGTCGGTCTCGTAAAAAACTCAGGCTTGCCCAAAAATGCCAGCATCTCCAACGCAGCCCAATATCATACCGAATTCACTTTTCCATATCTACCAGCAGCGTACAGCTTCGCGCCCTCAGCGATCCCCGGTCTGCAGTTGGTCACCTACGCCACGGGCCAGACTTCCAAGTCGTTGCCTTTGTCCGATGAGGCTGTGAAGACGAACATTATTAATACCATCAAGAGGATCCAGAAACAGAACCCAGACAGGTTCACCACAACCGAGCCGGAATTCGTAGTATTCGCTTCGCATGCCCCGTATAACCTCCAGGTGCGTTCTGAGGATATCAGGGACGGGTTCTATGAAAAGCTGTACACTTTGCAAGGTCAAAGAAATACGCACTGGACTGGAGCTGCATGGAAGGGTGAGGACAGCAGTTTGCTTTGGAAATACTCAGAGGAGATTGTGGTGCCACAGGTGATGGAGGGGCTGTGAGCTAAAAATATAGACCACGACTTTTCATGGGGACAATTTAGGTAGACGAGATAGCTTGTTGGTTATCGGGGCTCGTCGGTACTGCTGGCGGCCATGGCGAGATGTGCGCGCCTCGTTTCAATATAAGAATACGTTGAAAGAGCTACGTTGGCATGTTCCACGGAGTGACTAAACTACACCTTCAATCTTAAACAGATAATGTACACTACTTTTTTGCTTCCGCTCTCAAATTTCTTTCACTCGGAATTGAGGGCGAAGTTCAGTGTTGGATTCCCCTTCGACATACGCGAGCTGTTTCCCGATAATTATTGAGCGGGGAATCAGTAGTTATATTCAATTTTAATAAATATTAAACAACCAAACAACTATCAGAAACTATTAGATGCGAATGGCATAGAAGCAAAAAGTCAACTAGAAAACACCTTGGAACCAATGCTTACTCGATCTCAGCGACTGGCTTCTTGACCTTCGGAACACGAAGCCACCAGTACAACAAACACGCCGCAAAGATATTAAAGGCGATGTATACCCACATGAGCCCAAAGTTCCTCCATATATCTGAGTAGTTTGACGAAACACGACTGAGAAACACATTCGTCTCTTTGATTGGGCAGAAGCTGCAGTCAGAAGTCGCCATCTCGTCTTGAAGATACCCACCCATATTCGAAATGTACGACTCCATATACTCTCCGCAAGTCGCATTAACTGGGTCAAAGCGCAGGTACTCGTTAGTTGCGCAGGTTACATCCGTGTTCGATATACCCACAGAGAGCATCCCGCTGACCAGGTATGTGAACGGCGAAACGCGGTACATAAAGATCCAAAACCCAGGGAGCTGATCTGGTGTCGCCAGAACGCCGCAGAAAAGCAGGCAAAGCAAGAAGAGGAGATTGCCCATATTTCCGGCGTTCTCGGCGGCATCGAATGCTGAGATTATGAAATGCGCAAAGGTGGACGAGAACAGGAGGAAGGTCCAGATCATCAGCCACATTTGCGTGCCCCGCAGGGTCACCGCGTCTGTTGGTTCGGCGTTGTGGTACAGACCGATCGGGTAGTACCAACACAGAAACATAAGGACAGACATGAGTGAGTTCCAGGGGAGTTCGACGACGATGTTGGAGATCATAAAAGCTTTCCAAGAGTAAGTCTTTGAGGGGCGTTCGCGGACTTCATACAGTGCGCGCTGGGCGACGAAATGCGGCATGATTTGCTGGATGAGCTGGCCGAAGAGAGTGAGTAGCATGAAGATGCCGAACATCTGGTTCTGGAGTCCTTGGATCGTGTTGGGTGCGTGGAAGAGAGAGAAGCCGACGAAGAGAGCGGACAAGACGCAGAGGGCGGCCTTGGAGTAGATGTAGGTTGGTGAGCGCCAGATTTGCTGGAAGACTCGGATTTGGACTTCGCGAAGCTGAGCCCAGAACGGAGCAGCGAATTCACGATAGTGGCCTTTGTATTTGCGCTTTTGGTCGAGCGTGGTGCGGGACAAGTTGGCTTGTTGAGAAAGTTCGTGTTTCATCCCGGCAAGGTGCTCTTGGACTCGTGCGTACTCCGGGGAATTAACCCACGTCTCGAACCAGTTTATGTCGGTGTGGCTTCCAGGGGCGGCACCGATCACGTCGAGCATCCATTCGGCGGGATTGGCGGCTGGAGGACATGGAGGGCCACCGTTGCGGATGAAGTAGTCAATCAGAATTTGCGAGTTTTGGCCAATTTCTCCAAAGTAAACGGTGCGACCACCGGCTTGAAGAAAGAGGAGACGATCAAAGCGCTGGAACAGCATTGCAGATGGCTGATGGATGGTACACACTAGGAACACGTCAGTGATAATTATGAATGCATGATCAGAAGCGTACAAATAGCTTGGCCATTCTTTTTCAGTTTGTCGAGGAGATCAAGAATAGCCCAGGATGTCTGAGAATCAAGCCCCGAGGTCGGTTCGTCCAAGAAAAGAAGCAGAGCCGGTCTGGCCGCAAGCTCGACCCCGATCGTGAGACGTTTTCGTTGCTCAACATTGAGACCGTCGCCAGGGATACCGATTACAGCATCAGCATATTCAGTCATGTCAAGAAGCTTAATCACTTCTGTCACGTAGTCAACTTTCTCTTGACGAGAAAAATGAGCAGGTTGACGTAGAAGAGCAGAGAACTCAAGCGCTTCTCGCACTGTAGCAGTACCCAAATGCAGATCTTGTTGCTGAGCGTAGCCGGTCTTGCGTTGAAAGGAATCATCACGCGGGTTGCCATCCACGAGTATTTCTCCACTGATGACCCCCATAGTGGTCCGCGTAGCCAGAACATCCAATAGAGTGGTCTTTCCAGCCCCAGAGACCCCCATAAGTGCCGACAAGGTCCCTGGCTTGACCCATCCGTCAACGTGGTCAAGAATCCTGCGATGATTCTCTTTTCCAACATTGATATCGAAGCAGACGTCCTTCCACTGGAAGATTGCGGTCTGGCGTTCGACCATGGCAAGGTCGTCCGGATCGGTCTTCTTGACAGAGACGTTGCGACCACTGCCCCCTTCAAGATCTTCATCTGACTTGCCCTTCTTCAAAGCTTTGTGCCCGCGAGGAAAAATAAGAATTTCGCCCTTCGGCTTTTTCTCGGTAATAAGGTCAGTGGCGACTAGATAGACAGCACCGAGCAGGAACATATAGGCGAATATGACTCCGATATTTCTCCACTTATGCGAAACAGTATATCCATACGCTGAGTGGATGTATGAGTCGCCATTGACAGAGCGCTGTCCGGGTACTGACCCGACGGTGGAGCAAACATGATTGGTAGGCCCGAGATCCGTGTAGAGAGGGCCTGATGGAACAAAATTCATGCACGTGAAGTCACGGTTGTGGAACTCATTGATCAAGAGGGACTCAAAGCCATAGTTGATAGGGTTGAGATAGGCAATCCAGCGAGCCCACCCCAGCATATACCCTGTTGGGATAGCGAATCCGGTATACATGCTGAGACCGAGGAGCAGAACGGCGGAGAATGGTAAAGCTTGAACAAGGGATCTGGAGAGCGATGCCATAGACCGGAAGAACATGGACATGGTGAGAGTCAGAACGAACGAGGTGAAGACAAAGAAAAAGAAAGCACCGGGTTCTCTTCTCAAGTTGGTCATAAAGTAGAGAACTAGATTCGATGTAATGGTGTTGAGAATCTTGTAAGGCAAATCCATGATCACTGATGAAACTGCTTCGGCAGATGGATGGTAGAGAGCATATCGGGAGTGTTTCTCTATGATCGCTCGTTGGGCGTACAGAGTCAGCATTTCGAGACCACAACCAAGCGCGTTCATGAGAACGGCAAAGAAGAGAAGAGCGCCACGCTGAAAGAAGGTACTTGTGTCGGCCCTGAGGTTGTAGAAAATACTGGCGATAACGAGGGCCATGATAGTATTTCCGAATAACGAAGAGATTGTGACGCTTGGATCAGCCTTCAACCGTTGCCATCCACGCCACAGGCATAGTTTCACCTGTTGCACATAGGAAAGAGTGTAGGGTGACGATACACGCTGAACCTTGGCTTGCTGAGCTCGCCGAGATTCCTTGAACTTGTCCAGATATTCACCACCCACTGCAAACTTTGTATTATATCTCTCAATGTCTTGCACAAGCTGTGCTCGCTCTTGAGAGGCCTTCCATCGCGCAGCGAACTCTTCCGGTGTACGAGGTACACGGTCTTTATAGCCTTTTTGCACGACACGCTCGAGGTGGCTAGTCATAGATGTGAGGAAATCGGCATCGGTTTGCCGGTCGGGGCAGACAAAGCCCATATGAAGGAAGTATTGCTTCGCCGTTCGTGTGTGACCGAAGTAGATTTCGCGACCTTCATAGAGAACTAGGACTTTATCGAAATAGTTGTAGGCGGCCTGAGGAGCTTGGTACAGAGAGACACAGGCAGTAGTGCCATTAATGTCTGTCTGCATGCGCAACGTCTTGCAGAACTCGATGGCATTCGCACTGTCAAGACCGCGGGTGGAGTTGTCCCAACATTGCAGCGGCGCGTTGCTCAGGCAAGCTTCGGCGATACTGACCCGCTTGCGCTCTCCACCAGACACACCTCGAATGAAGTCATTTCCGACGATCGTTTTCCTTATGTGGCTGATACCGAACATGGCCATGATCACGTCTCGCATGTGGCTGGCATACTGGGTCGCGCTCAACCCCCCAGGAATGTGCCGTGGTGCTCGAGCGCGCGCAGCAAAGTAGAGAGTATCTTGAACGGTGAGCTTGGGGAAGTGGACGTCAACCTCCGCGGTGTAGATGGCTTCTCCTCTGAACTCGTGGGCCATTTGCTTTGCGCTCACACCTACCAGAAAATTAGCCAATGTTCGCGCATCTGAGTCAGCCGAACATACCTTGGAAATTGAGTGTTGAGTTCTTGTCGATATGAAAGCCATAGGTCTCTCCAGCGATGGTCTTCAAGAAAGTCGAGCATCCCGATCCAGGAGGCCCAAGAACCACCAGCATCTCTCCAGCCTCCACCAGTCCTTCCAGGTCCTGTAAGATATGAATCTTGTGTTCCTCTTGACCGAGGACTTTTCTTGCCAGGCCGAGCGCCTCTAGCCAGACATTGCCGACGCTTTTCTGGTAATCCGTGTCGGAACCAAAGCCATGCACATTGAGATTGTTGAAAGCGGCACCCAGGGTTCGCAGCGGATGTGCCTGCTTGTCCTCGATTTGCATCTGCAGCATGGCCTTGCACCACGCCCGAGCATTGAACTTTTCGCCATTGGGGTCCAAGGCAGATCCTGCTTCTGCAGCAAAGGGACTTTTCCCCGTGTTCGAATAGATTTTCTGCTCCGTAAGGTGTCTAGCCAGCTGATGAACCTCCGCTTCCCTCTTCTCCGCACTGGGACTGGAAGTATTGCCGACCTCGTCGTCGGCATTCATGTTTGCTGGTTTCCGTCTTGGAAGATATCGTAAAAATTGGTGTCAAAATGAGAAAGCAGAAGACACGAGGGTCACACTAGATAAAGCAATGCCCCTTTTGCTGTCGCTTCTGGTTTTTTGGCTGAGGGCATGATGGATAACGCGATCCATGATACCTATTTTGGGTTCCAGTCATGCAAACAAATTGTCCAAACCGCCAAGCCAATGGCTCTCATCAGCCAAAATCAGCCAAAATAAGCCAAAATCAGCCAAATGAATGACTAACGTCAGCCATATCTTCAGGCAGCGAATCAGCGAATGAAAGTGCTGTTAGCTCATATTTCCGCAAGCTCTCTTGCATACTTTTGGAAATCCTTTCCAGTGGCCTATGAGCAAAGAAAGAATGGGAAACGCTCAAGCTTTTATCAGAGCGGCCTTGCCATTATTAGAGCTGCCATATGTTGCCAACTGGGTCGCCAGCCTAAACATGTTTCAATAAATTCGGCCGAGGGCATTCCTCTTTCTTCTAATCCAATAGTCGGGGTAATACAACACAGTATCTTGCCAAATCTACTGAATGCAGACACTTTTTTCAAATTCACAAACACTTGTTTCAGCTCGCCCTAGGATCGCCTTCTGCATCTCCCCCAGGACATCGTCACTCATATTCTTCATGGCCGCGAACATCTCTATCATCGCCCTTAGTTGAAGCAAAATCAAAACGCGCACTAAGTGCTCCCATTCTTGTCGAGAGCTTACTTCGTAGTCACCCAGAAGGAGTTCCCGCCAATCCGACAGCATGTTCATAGACGCTGACTTGGTCGAAACGGATGGAGAAGAAGAAGCGGCGCCAAAATCCCAAACCTCAGGGATGTGATCGTAGTCCTGCAACGATGATAGTCCTATGGTCGGCTGAGTGTCAGATGTGCCATCTTTCATACTATAGAGTACAACAATTTGCCCGCTGGCCGCAACGATTATCTCCATGATAAAAACCAGCAGGACAAAGTTCTCCCTCTTGTTTTTACAGGTGATGCAGTTGATCATCCAACGACAACAATTGATGGCTTTTTTCTGGTATGCAATGGTTGTGTCCAGTTCGGCTCGATTCCTGGTATTACAACTGGTCTTGAATTCCTCAACAGCAAAGACAACTGCAGCCAGGCACTGACATGACTGGGTCGGTGGGGTTGGTGGTAAAAGTAGATTGGAGGTGTGTAAATATGGGAAGTTATCCGTAATGTTAATATCAAAGCCAGATACATCCTGGGGTGATAGTTCGACTTCGTCCCCTGAACTTGGTGACGGCGATGGAAGATTTTCAGAAGTGAAAGAAGGCAACTGGGAAATGATAAGGCCAGAGAGAATATCCCCATCTTGAACGCTTAATTGTTGGCTCAGTCTCTCCAGAAAATTCGGGTCAAAACGTGGTGAAACGTCTGTTGAAAATTTTGGAAGCAGCTCCTGCACCTGGCCTTGCCCGCTGTCAAATTTGCCGCCCTCTGGGAGTGAATGTTGCCTGTTCAAAGCTGTTTTTTCCTGGCTGGGCTCAATGTTGATCGAAGAAGTCGAAGACTGGATAGACAAGTCTAGCTGAGACTCGTGCTGTGCGAGAATGGTGCTTTCCTTGCGTGTCCTTTGACTGCGTCCTTGTTTCATAGAACTGAACGTACACGCTTTTCCGAGCCTTTTGCATCGGTTGCAACCATCGTTATTCGTACGACATCGGATCTGCACATTTGGCCCAGATCAGTGAGTATAAAGACTTGGTAACGTATGTGACCGGGGTTCACAGGGTATTACCTTTTTGGTCCTGCATATGTCACAGGCTGAGTTCCTCTCTAGATTTGACGATCCATGCGGCCTCTTGACAAACTCCGCCTCTTTGTCCTGGGAGTTCCAATGAAGAGTTCCGAACATAATGCAGAGTACTGGTTAAACGGCTTATGTTCAGATTACCGTTGCTACGGCCTGGGGATTAAGTACTTCATATTATTCGTATATTAGATTTGTAATTTCTTAAACGGGATAGTTGCATCGGGAAAATTCGTTGTTCAGCTTCCTGTGTGGTGGAGCGGATCTGCTCAGCATTTCAAATCATACGAAGTTCTTGGCTTGCATGATCTCACAGCCATGTCCGTCGGGGGTGATTCAGATCCCAAATTGTTTCTCGAAGCCCTGGCCCAATAAAAGTCGCAGTGCTGCCTATAAATCGACGTTTGGTCATATCTGCTGGCCAGCTCGCTCAATGAGTCAAGTTATCGCACTTGAACCAATATGACGGCTGGCAAATAGCCGGTGTTGTAACCAATATGGAGAAACCCTCTTTTTGGGGGCTGAAACATGAACTTGCCACCCCGGGCAATGCGCGAGGCTGTTTGAATAGTACGTTTTATAATCGCACTCGGCTGGATAAGATACGATCAACACACTCAAGCTGATGGCATTTACTGCCTTCACGTGGTCAGAAAATATGAGACGCGCGCACTGTTAGACACCTGAAAGCCGCTTCTAACCCGGCAAACCTTACATCATGTTAATTTCAAAGAACACTTCGGAGGGATCAAATATTAGGGGAAGCCTAAAGCACGAGAGCCTGTGAACGGGACGATGGGAAAAAGCAAAGAAAGGCTGCCAGGGCCCGGAGGTCGTCAAGTGGGTCTCTAGACGAGTGGGACCCTACGACAGCGCTCACGCTCTTCTCCACACCCTAGGCAGAACGGAGCCTTAGAGTCCGTTGTACATCTTCGGCGGGTAACTATGGGGAATTTAGCGATGGCGCAGGGGTTCTGTTCTCTAGGTGCAGCTGGGCGGTTCTTATTTGGAATCAACTTACATGGGAGGGGTTGCTTGTGACACGTGAGTGACGACGGCAAGTGGTTGGGTTGAAACCCTGGTCGTTATAGAAGCAACTGCACTCATGGTTTCGATCTGCTTGAGCTGCGAGGTGAATGGATGTTGCGAAGAGCAAAGTTGTTGGACCTGATATCCAGAGACAACCTGCCCCTTGGCCCATGGGCCCCGGAGTAAGCGCCGTGAGGATGATACGTACATGTAAGAATTTGCTACTAGATGTAACCTACAAGAGTTCGTTTGTTGGAGAAAAAAGCAGTAGCCAGTAGCCAATCACATCATTCGGGTTCCCACAGAGTAGCACCGAGGGTAACATACAGACTGAGCCGGAGGTGAGAAGCACTCTGCGAAGGCTCCCCTCGTTGAACACATTGCATGGTGATCGGGAACCCGCCCTCTCTCTTACGTCTGCTCTCAAATTGTTCAAGGGATGCTTAGGCTGGGCTGAGAATCAGGGACTGACGTCGATCAGGCCCGGGCCGACGAAGAGAATTCCACACTCGACTACTAAACCAACATCGAGCAAACCCCGGCCGCCAGAGCTAGACCTACAGCGGTTGGCACGCAGGGAGCGGCAGAGCTGCGAGTCATGCTCGCGCACGGGCCCCTTGACAGGTGCTTTTAGCGTGAACTTGAATTCTCACCCGCTATTAGAACATGGGACCCGCAATATAACCAACTCTCTGCTTTGCTAGTCGAGGCACCCGGAAAATTGGTCGTTAATGCATTTTCATTGCAGCCTGAGAGAAAAAACACCGATGCAGATCTCAGGTGTGAGGAAGTTCCTGCACGGTTTCTGCAGGTTAAGAGACCCCAGGTGGTCATCCATTGTAGAAACTCGGCCTATAAGGGTCCGTGGGTGAGCAGATTCAACTTCCTAGTTAAACCGTACAGAGTACGGAGCGAACACATAGAAATTGTCGAGGGCCACACTGCTATCGTTATACCTTCTTTTCATCCCTCGCATGCCGTCAACTACTTTAAGCTCGGACTGGACCTGCGAGTTTTACTCATGTACCACTTTGCCTTAGCCTTCCGTTCATTAGATCTTGCGTCCTACATTGATTCCAACTATGTTACAGTTGGTCGGGAAAAGGATGAGCAAATGAAGATGCACAAACTTAATATTCTGATCGAAACCAACAACGGAAAGAGTGACGGGGACCTTACACTAGTGATTGACAGCTATAGGTTGAACCTTGAGGAGGCCAGATAACTTATATGCAACTATGAATTTGAGACTCGGGTTTAGTTTACCTTGTATTCCCTGCCCAATCTATAGTCTGCTGCAAAAGATTTTAAAGTTCTATCATTTGTTTTTACTTTGCTCATGTATCTTCATGCTAGTCCTCTAATCATATTTATCGTCTCCCCCGCCATTGATTAATAGTAAATTTGAGCGTCTGTGCCGGTAGGCTTTATCTGGAGAAGAGCACTATGATTGAAGTGAGATCAATTTAGAGAACGGAATACCTTGTGATTCAAGGTTAAATGGCTCCGGTGGAGTAAAGTAACATCAAACCATACGTCATTGGTCTTTTTGAATATCCATAAGCAGAAACAGATAACGTCCTCCTTGGTTTGTAGTAATACTTGTCAAAAAGAACACGAGAAAAACAACATGGTGGATACCAGTGTGTCTTAGGAGTTGAGAAGAAATGAATTTATGGATGAGAAGGTGGGTATAACTGGATGTAGCGGCACCTTGGTTGAGCCTCTGAGCCAGAGTAGCTGCTATATCCCGGCGTAGTGGGCCGGGGGCTAAAGCATAGAGATCACGATTTAAGACTGACCGCGCTAGTCGAGATGTTAGCCCTTTACATTATCTGACGCATTTTTGAACAACTTCTCCTCCGTATGTCGAGTCTTCTTTTCGGTAGCTATCGGACCTAGCCATGGAAAATCCACGAAACCCGTATCTAATGATTCCTGGCAGCATTTTCAGTTTGCAAAATACTGCACTCATAATAGGGAAAGCGTTAAATCGTTAATATCAGCTTGTAGTCAGGGCTTCCACTTTCGAATGCATCGATTCATAGAGACTGGATGGATTCACATTGTCCTTTATTGAAATTGATATTTCACATATCTTAGTCTAGCTCGCCGGTCGAGAAGCAGCAAAAGCATGTGCACTAGAATAATAGCCCAGCCACTCTTCCGAAGGAATCTCTCTCATCTATAAGCCACATCTTGCACTAGTCGATTTCCAATATGGTAAAGGAACAAAATATTTTAAATTGGTGTGACTATAAAAAAGATAGTTTTAGTAACCTTGGAAGTTGAAGATATATAAGCGAGATAACTATAGCTGAGTTAAATGATTTCGCCGCCGCCGTCCTCCTTCCTCCCTCTCCCTCTCCCGCTCCCTCCGCCTCGGAACGAGTTGAACGGACCTCACCAGGGCCTACCGTCGCCGCCGCCGTGCCGAAATTCTCTCTTCCGTTGTTTTTCTCCCCCTTTTCCTCTTGCCCCTCCCCCGGCGATCAACTCGTCCCCGTCGTCCAACTCAGTTCTATGCTCATTAGGTTCTACCACATGACGTCAAAGCCATGGGCTGCGATGATGGATCACAGAGTCTGCTGAGCCCACTTGAGGTGAGTCAAGTGGTGGATGCATGGCGTTTACAACACCCCCTTAAAAGCTTCAACCTTCGAGACGGCTGATCTTGATTGTTGGAGCGGGAGCCACCAGTGATAGGATCGCACTTCTTCGCAGTGCTTGTGACGAGTAGCCCTCGGGTGAAACTAAGATGAGTCTCAATGTATCTAAAGCTTTGTTCCCTTAATAGTGCATAGCATTAGACTCGCATAACAACGTTCTCAGTGGCATAATTTACAGTCATTCTCGAAATCGGCTTGACCGATAGACACTCAATCACTCTTTTCTGGCCCCACTGCCAAGACCTTAGCGCAGATCACTAATTTGGCCAGTCACAGTAAGTTGAGGACCACTGTAAAATGATGTTTGTATAGTATTGTAAAGCGCTAGTAAATTTACACAATGTGTAAGAGAATTAGGTAAAACCCTGTAGAAGTCGGCACTGGGGTCTCCGCAAAACAATCCGTAGACAAAACAAGATGATTTGATGATTTTAGTTTCCCATTTTTCCTTCTCAGCCCCTCAATATTCCCCCCGGCCTCTGCCTTGCAGAGAGGGTCTCCTTGGCTTAGGGAATATCATAGTAGGCGATAATGTTCGCGAACTCCTGTTTGTCTAGGCCTCTTTTATTTGCAGGCAAACAGCGGCCGATGGCGCAGGCCTTAATAGATCTGCATACAGCATATTTGGATCGGTAGGCAGTCTGATGCACAGTTGACACGGATAGTTATTGCATGGATATTTACCCCTCTTGTAGCTTCAATTGAAACAGCACCATTTCACATGAGAAACGCAAAATATATGCTTATCGATAGTGGCATTCATGGAACCAGTACCATTCGACAGCAATAGCCATGGGGCTCGGATTGGGGAGAACAACAGCTCGATTCGTGCAGGGTTTTATCCTCTTGGTAAAACATGCAAACCCAAAACTTCGGCCTTCACGAACTAATCGCCTCTTTCCATATAGGCCGACCGCGAACTGCCAAGAGTGTGCGTAACCTGGCATTTTCGTACTAAATCCAGGGCCGGTTGGAAAAGGTCAAGCATTTATTTTTGCAGATGGCTCCGGAAATTGGTTTCACTGTCCAAACCCTTCCATTCTTTCTGAAACCCTAGTGTCAAAATCTAATAGCCTATGATACAGTAGAATTCGAAATCAGCTTTACCGCCAAACTCTCTCATTCTCTCTCCCAGTGCCCCACTTCTAGCACGCTATGCCCACTTTGGCCAGAAAGTCCCACCTGTCCTATCCCCGATGTACCTTTAGGTTATCACCAAAAATACCGTAACCCGAATTCCCGGCACCGGGCAAACCCCACTTATCGATATCCTTCTTCGTCCCTAACTCCGCGCGGATTCCTCTCTGAGTCTAGCTTTATCGTCCTAGGGGCTGTAAATCACAAATCAAAAAACGAGACCTTTCTTGTATCTTATCTAAATGATATGAAATTGCCATATTTCTAAAGACTGGCCGATATCATTTCAAGGTTTTTCTTTTGTTCAATCAATATACTGTATGTAGGAGAGGAACTCCCTAATAAAGCCATAATGAGGCCTCAATTCTGCTTTCAAACTATGCTAAATTGTATCATAGAAATAGATAATTGCCATACGAGCGGAAACAATATTGTCCTTCAGAGTGTTGATTTCGTCTTCAATGAGGGTGAGACATAGATCCTCTCTAGCTTCTGCGGGATCACTTATCATCGTACCAGCTCTTATAACGTTTTCACAGCTTTCTTGGATTTGGTAGAAACCCAACGTCATTGCTTCATTTCGAAGGTATTTCCCGAGAAGAACCAACGAGGATAGGTCCCTTTTTAGACTGATCGTATGAATTGTCAGAATAACGATTGATGTTGACAGGAAATTCCAGTCTTTGCAAGTTGCGTAACCCAGGAGACCTATTGATGTTCGAGATCAGGGCTTACAGGGCGTGTTCCATATCCTCAACAATCTTATCGGCTCTTTCAATGAAACCATACAGTGCCTTCGAACTGGTCTTACGATTTTCTTCGTAATCCATCTCTAGTAGCTGGGAGAAGACGGTCATATCAAGGACCCGCTTGAGTTTTGTCTTAAATTGGTCGTCTCCCATGATTTTTGGCGAGGTTACCCCGTGACGGCCAGAAGGGGAAGGGGACGGAAAAGTTTCGTCGACTTCTCTCGTGGTCCTATAAAATTATTGCTATAGTCAAAGATTATAGCATGACTTGCTCAGGAATTAAAGGAAGAAAAATCGAAAGAAAAGGGAAAGGAAAAAAGAGAAAGTCTAATGCGATGAAGCTTAAGTTGAGAAAACAGCACAGAGTTAAGGAAGGAGAATCTGGGCAATTAGGGTTTGCCCGGTGCCGGGAATTCGGGTTACGGTATTTTTGGTGATAACCTAAAGGTACATCGGGGATAGGACAGGTGGGACTTTCTGGCCAAAGTGGGCATAGCGTGCTAGAAGTGGGGCACTGGGAGAGAGAATGAGAGAGTTTGGCGGTAAAGCTGATTTCGAATGTCACTGTAAGAGCAGGCTTGCAGTATCAATATTACTGTTACATCGGCCATACAGTATCATATCTATATATTGAACTTAAGCTGCCATTTCTCATACCTGTATGGTCTATCCTTATCAATATGACTTTTGCAATTACTTGACGATTTGAATACGTATTATTGCTGATTCCTCTTATCTGATTTGCGCGTTACTGCTGTCGAGTGTAGTACATCTCCACATCTATTCACCAGCTATTAAATCCAGTGTATTGACCCTGCCTATATTGGATTTGGCTCTTATGTTCCAGCATGAACATCGAGGGTAGTGATAAGCGATGGGCCCAGCCAGTAGAAGAGTGCCAATCGCAACTAACCAACCAGCTGCGGTGAAGCCATCTCCCATCTTATCAAAACGGACCGCCCAGTATATACCAAGAATAGCACTTCCCGCAACATTAAGGAAGATTAGGAGAAATAGGACAACACATGTTCGGAACCTGAAGATGCCGGCAGGCGACGGGGCCCCAGCAGAGACTGATGCGATTTTAGAGTCTCTCTCAACAAGCTTCTCCAGATGCTGAAGTTTAACTCGGAGTTCTTGAATTTCCTCCTGGAGTCCAACTCCCATTTTTTCAACTTCTCTTCGGAAATCGTCATGTTCTTGTTCAGCATCCCCTCGATGCTAGTTTCACCATGATGGCTTCCCAGTCAGTCATAGATGTAACGAAGATAATAGCTTTTCTTCAATCTGGATTCAACCTACCCGAATAACCCCATGATTAACACCAGCTTGAAAACCAGTATTCGAGGCACCAAACGATATCGAGGAAGCCATGATCACAGAAACAGAAGGCTCCTTGATGTCCAGGGGAAGCGAGCGGGGTAGCATATCAGCCGCAGAAATAAATTTTCTCAAACCCTCTTTCGAAACACACTATTCCTATTGCCGTTACTCTGTCCCTGAACGCCTACCTTGGCAGTAATCCAGTACAATTATAAATGACGGTGTAAAGATAGCATGCGTTGGAAGCTTGTGTGGTCTCGAGGGCTTCCGGAACATTGATCCTGCAAACAAGGCAAATCGAAGAGATATCTGCCTAGTCTTCTGACTATTTGGCCAAAATTCGAACTCTCTCTCCCCATATCAGCGGCAGGATAGATCAAAATCAGTTCCACCAGTCTACTCATATCGATTTAATCTTGAACCCCATACCGAAAGCCTATGCTCTAAGAATGTCAAAAGCAAGAATGGATCACTGGAGCCGGCCCCGCCCTAGCGTCTACCAAGCAGCTAATGCGATACCAGCGCCGCAGCTTCAGATGCAGGTATCCCCATGCCGAGATCTTCTTTGCTGTACATAGGACAGTGTATAACTTCGCGTGGTACAGTATGAGAACCCCAACGAACCCCACCGAACCCCATAGAACCGGGCAGAATATTGTAGTTCCAAGTGATGTCATCACGTTCGGTTTCATTGTCGGCCCGTCATACCTAGGGCTACCCCACTACGGTACCTTGACACCGTCCGAGTAGCACATTCAATCCACAACCACCCCACTTTGTACCGACCAATATGGCACCAAATCTCAAACCCCCACAGCTGGAGCTTATTTATCATATGATTCAGAGTAACTCACTAACGACTTCTCGGATGGCCCATGCCGCCAACTGCAGCAAACAATCCATATTACATATTCGCTCCAACCTCAAAGTATTCGGGAACGTTAGGGCGCCGCGAAACGGTGTTGGACGCCCGCGAAGTATCACGCCATTCATGCTCGAAACCCTTTGTGAATATTTGATGGAGAAGCCGACTTTATATCAGGATGAGATGGCTCTCTTCCTGTGGGACGAATTTGGGAAGCATGTGACAATTCAAAGCATCAGCAGAGCGCTTGCTTCGGTTGGATGGTCGAAGAAAGCAGCTCGACAGATTGCAAAGGAACGAAATGCAGATTTGCGGGACTTCTATCTCCACAATCTATCGTCTTTCAAGTCGTACCAATTAGTCTTCGTGGACGAGTCGGGCTGTGACAAAAGGGCGGGGTTTCGACGGACCGGTTGGTCCCCTCTCGGTGTGACACCAGTCCAAATTTCGAAGTTCCACCGGGATAGACGTTATCAGATACTCCCTGCATATGCTCAGGAAGGAATTGTTCTCCGGCGGGTATTTCAAGGCGCTACCGATGCCAATGTTTTTGAAGACTTCATCGAGCAACTTCTGCAACATTTTAATAGGTGGCCAGGGCCAAAGTCCGTCCTCATTATGGATAATGCTTCTTTTCATCGTACTGAGAATATCCAGCGGATGTGCTTTGATTCCGGTGTTAAGCTAATATACCTGCCCCCTTATTCACCAGATTTGAACCCTATCGAAGAATTCTTCTCCGAGCTTAAGCAATTCATCAAGCGGAAATGGAAGGAGTATGAAGTCAACCCAAACCAAGGGTTCGACGCGTTTCTCGAGTGGTGTGTTGACGTGATTGGATCAAGAGTATCAAGCGCCAAGGGTCATTTTAGACATGCGGGTCTAATAATTGATGAACTCTAATTCCCTCAGCTAGCGGCATAGAAGATACATAATCATCGCCATTGCTTACAATTTCTGGACAGAGGCTCTATTACGTTTCCACAGAAAGCGCCCCAGAATCCACTGTCTTCCCAGTCCCTGAAACGGGGTTCGCCACCAACAATTCCTCGGACGCAATGCGAGGCGGCCTTATCATATAGCTCCGGCAAAGGGTCGTTCATGTCATCAAGCCACTTCAACGCCAGTGTGAGGCGCTCGTAATATTCAACGGGGCTCTCCTTCAAAGAGAATTGAGTTTCCAAAGTCGTCATGTGCCAAATCTCAAGAAGCAAGATTCCGAGCTCGAGAAGTGCTATCTTTGGATCTATATTCTGTTGGGGTAATACGTTCGTGTTGCTATCATCAAACGTTAAAGACACAAATGGCCGGCCAAAATCGATGTGAAGATGGCACCGAGAGGCATTATTGACATCGTTTGTCGGCCGAAGCAGGAAAAATATATCGTCTTTTGACCACACGCTTCGCAGCCACTGTGTTTGTAGGAGTTTTAGGAGATTCGAGGCGAGTTTGAGCGCAAGCAACATCCGAAGTCTTAAGGGAAGAAGAGTGCTAGTGTGACTTGACTTATTATCACAAAGAAGGAGAGCCTTCAGTGTTATCTTGTCGGCTTGGTGATATGGAATTATCGTCTCTTCATAAGAACGCATTGTTGCCATTTTCTGATTTCCAGTGAGTACAAAGGAAATATGTCGCTCCCTGTTTCTGGCCGTTTCGATAGCAGCACAGATGTTATCGACGAAGGTCAACTCAGGGCCTGCGGATGTACTTCCCGGGACGACAAGCTTTACGTGAGACGATTCGGAGGGCCGACTGACAAGGGACAAGTTTGAATTATCATCGCTGTCTTGTTTCAACACCTGCACGGCCGCTTCATTCCACAATGTCTGCCCTTGGAAGGAGCTTGCCGCGAAAACGAGCTGGAAGATAAACATAGGTGCACCTTTTCTAATATGTTTCAAAACGTCTGTAGCGGTGTCGACTCTGTCTTCGAGAAATAGCTTCGCCTCGTGTTTGTTATGACATCCCCCCTTAATCCCTGAAAGATAGCCAGATATAAGTCGCGGGCAAACCCCCGAAACTGGCCAAGAGCGTTTGCAAGCTTCGTCGCTTTTCTGGACGACGAGTCTCCTACCAGTATGCGATTAGACAATATAATCTTTGTAAAGCGATCCAGGGTGTTGGTTGTATCATCAAGGTCTTGAATGGAATCCTTGAGTTCGCTTGCTCTGAACGCAAGTTTCGCTTTTGGAATCAGGTCCAGCCATCTGTTATTCACTTCTTAATTTCGCTTTATAATTCCAAGCAAGTCGTCTGTTGGGTCCTGTTGCAAAATATAAGTTCCGGTAAGCGCAAATTCTGACTATTGAAAATCACTTTTAGTAAACAGACCTTATTGGCAGGCACCAGATCTGAGATATTCCCAGCTGTCCTTCTCACGCAATCATCACACTGTTTGAGCACCCCGGTAAATGCAGCGGCATTTTCTGGTCCCAAATAATCCAGAACTCGATTTTGAACGCATTCATCATTCAAATATCCAACTGGGTCATCATCTACGAGCAGAATATCCTCACATCCGCTTCTGATGAGGATTGACCTAACTGTCTCTGCGAGTGTTTGCTGTTGGAGAAGAAGTGCAAGAGCTAGCTTTTTGACGTAATGCCTCTTCCGAATGCAAAATCTGCCTCTCTGAATGCTGTCTTTGGACAAGTCAACAGCTGCGAAAAGGATCGGGAGAGCCCCAAGCAAAAGACCCGCAACCTCGATTCCTGACATGGGATCCTCTTGACCAGAAAAGAATGAAAAATCGTAGCGAAAAAGAAATTGCGATTCACACAGTTCAGTGACAACAGTATGCCACACCGAGATAGGTCTGGATGCGGGGTAAGACGTGTGTTATCGTGATTGGTTGGACCTTGATATTTGATTGGATAGCGGGGTTATTGTGTTAATCGTGCTCCTGCGCAATGTGACATTCTCTCGAAACCTACAGATATTTTCCATGACAATTTGAGCAACCTGGATGCCTTCAGCCGCGCGATCAAACATGACAGAGGCAACAAAGTCGGAGACACTCGCCGACACAGGCCTTGAGACCATGAAACTTTTCAATAAGGTCAATTCTATTGACAACCCTGCTTCAAATCCAAGACACAGAGCATGGCCCAAGGCCCAATTTGCGGCAGAGGCCGACCGCTTTGAGCTGTGGGCCGTGAATTTAGGTCTTTTCGTATCGGGACATGGCTCTCTGGATTACCGTGTTAGGCAGGCAGAGAGCATTCAACATACATTACAAAGATTCATAACAGCTCTTAACATCTCGTTGATCGAAGGTCAATTCTCTTCTTGGTTGCACTTTCCATAACTAGCTAATGAGAGCCTGGTTAGTGCTCGAGTACGCCGCAGCAAATAACGACCCACCGACAACAGAGTCGCGAGGAGATCCAGCAGACGACCTTTTGAACATAGAGTCCCCGGACGTCGATACAGACTCAGATATAGATCTGCTTCTGGACGATGTAAAAGATCCTATTGACCGACTCTTTAAGCTGTCAATATGGATCCGCAATCCATCATCTAGATTCGCGTCATCAAAGGCGCTACGCCATCAACAAATCGATCCGGAGTCTAACGTTGACTTCCTGAAGGCGGTCAAGAAATTTGACTACGATTATGTCAGCTCACTGTTTTTGCAGTATCGGAAGTCAAGAGTTCGAAAGGAGCATCCGGAGATCTATCCACCAGAAACCAGTGATAAAGATGTGGACGATGTGGACTTTGTGTGGGAGCCAATCCGGACTGTGCTGTCGCAACATAAAGCCAACCTCTTGAAGGACACCGAGTCATTCCTTATCCGTCGTATAGCCCTCGCAAATGTCCGCCGGAGACAGCAGTTTTCCTACTGGAAGAAACATCGGGGAAAGCTCAGTCAACATTCAAAGGCAGCCACACAAAACATAGAGGTACGCAATGGCATGGCTACAATTCGACTCAACATAGATATACCAGCCAACGAAGCCTCAACTGCCTTAATACGCCCTTCCCAATCTGTTACTACTGCTAGTCGTTTGAACGTTCCTCAGTTGAATGTCAGGGATGACCTATCGAATGCGTCTGTTTCCGAGTATGCTCCTTCACTTTGGCAGCCCGGCAAGGAGATTGTGGATTTCCCACCAGCGCCACTCCTGCCACTGAACGAAAGGTTCTTCGAGTGTCCCTACTGTTTCACATTGTGCTCGAGAGAACTTCTAAATGAAAAAGCATGGAAGTAAGGAAGCACATAAACTGGTGTGGCAACCAACCAAACACCGCTAATCGCAACTATAGAGCTCACTTGATACATGACCTACGCCCTTACGTATGCACATATGAAAACTGCAGCAACTCGGGTCAGCTGTACGACACCCGCCAAGATTGGGTCCAACACGAGAACTCTTCGCATAGAAGGGTATTGTGTTGTCCAGAGCACCCAGATCAGACTTTTTCTAAAACCGAAGAATATCAAGAGCACTTACGCAATAGGCACATCAACTTTGGCGACGAGGCCTCTGCGAAGTTAATCAGCAACGCCAGCTTTTCATCCTTAATATCTCCGGATAGATGCTGTCCGATATGCTTATTATCTATCTCTACTGCTACGGCATTACAAGGCCACATTGCACTGCATCTAGAGCGACTTTCATTGTTTTCACTGCCACGATCTGTTGGCGATGATGATGATGATGTAAATAAAGCTGGTTCAGATGAAGCTAACTTTGCTTTTGATGGCTCCAGAAATGAAGACTTCGACGAGGATCTGGACTTCATGGAGAGAGGCGATATAGGACCAGAATCCCCTTCTGGCTTTGGTTTATTGCTGCAGACTCTCGAGGGTCATTCAGATCTGGTTTGGTCAGTAGCCTTCTCGCCCGACGGCCGACGGCTGGCGTCGGGCTCTAGCGATAATACCGTGCGACTCTGGGACACAGCAACGGGCTACCTGCAGTATATCCTTGAAGGCCATTCGGATCTGGTTTCCTCGGTAGCCTTCTCGCACGACTGCCGGCTGTTGGTGTCTGGCTCCAGTGATAATACTCTGCGGCTCTGGGACCCAGCGACGGGCGGTCTGCAGCAGACTCTTAAGGGCCATTCGGACTCGGTTTCCTCGGTAGCCTTCTCGCCCGACGGCCGGCTACTGGTGTCGGGGTCCGACGATGCGACCCTGCGACTCTGGGACGCAGCAACGGGCGCGCCGCTACAGACTCGGATCAAGTGATCGTATAGTGAACAGATTCAGTGCGAGACCCAACAGCCCAAGGTGCAGCTGATGGAGGCGACCAAGAGCAAGCTCGGCGACAGACCATGCTGAGGAGCATTGCTAAACTAGCTTTTACCTGGAAATCATCTGGCAAAATTGCGGATGCCATTAATTTGCTGGGATATTGTCTACCCAATCGGGACCGTGCCATAGAACCTAATCATGCTTGTGTTTTATCAACTGCCAAACCTTGCTTTTGTGGGAAATCGAGGAAGAGACATGGATACGTCCATGGTGATAAGGGCCATAGCTCGTCGATTTCCATGGAATGGCGACGTATAAGAGAGGACTCAATAGAGAAGAAAGAGAAGAGAAGAAAAAGCAAGGGTGCGGGTTGTGATAGTAATGGGAGGGCAGCTTGCCTCAGCAGTAGATCGATTATTGGCTCGCGGTCTGTCGAGCCGTTGTCTCTCTGCTCTATAGATTTGCTCACGAATCATACCAGGTACATCTTCATGCGACTGTAAAATTCCACCGCTCTGCACACATTTGACCAAGCTCTCCAGCTGATCCCGGTAGAGCTTATAGTGTTTTTTCCCGTAAGGATCCTGCCAGCAGTGCGGGCCGAGTTCACAGGACCCAGGACAACGCATCAAAGCATATACCTCTTTCCAGGCTGAGGGCTCTCCAGAAGCTTCTTCCTCAGCATAGATCTGTCGGTCTCGGTCTTGAAGCATTCGCTGAGTAGCAGACGAAATACCTTGTTTATCAGTAGTCCTGCCGCTTACGTTTGAGCTCGAAGCCTTCATGAACCAGATGATTTCGCAATTGCAGCCATCTCGTCGTAATTTTAGCCATTTCCTCAATGAAAATCAAATTTGCATCCAGTCTGCCGCATCGTATTCCCGTTGGATGTTTTCCAAGAAGCGTAGAGTTCCCTTTCGTTGGAACATCTTCAAAGTATAATCAAACTCAACCAACAATACTTTTCCACCTTGGATGTAGATAGGCCGAACGAAGTCCATGGAATTCCAAGATAAGAGAATCGACCAGTGCGCGTGGGTTATTAAATTATGTCAATACGAATACCGCGGTGGATCGGAGATACAATTATCCTTCATGTTTATTACTTATTGAAAAGGGGATGGCTCGATGGCTGTCTGACAATACAGACTGGGCAACAGCAACCAACGAACAACACACACACAACCTGCACGTAGTAGAGGTCGTCCTAGGGGAGGTCGCGAATGTCCTTGGTGAGGCCGTGAGGTCGTACGTGCAATCCTGGACACAGCAATCCTAAATGAGGCCGTACGGTTTTTCCCGACTGAGCCCGTATGGAATGTACTTAATATAGCATGTTGAATGAAAGAATGTAGTGAAAACTGGAATGAATTGGGTAGATGCCTCCCCTCTCTCTATCCTCATGTAGAAGCTGCTGCTTACACCTAAGGTATTCGTGACACCTCAGGCCGCAACTGTATTCATTATGTCATGCGTTCCACCACTACATTATGTAATCTAGAATCCCCCTATATAAATTGGCAGAATCAGGGGTAATACAAAAACAGAGCTTTTGATATCGTTGATTGGTTGCATATAAAACATTCCGACAAATTAGAATCACCGGTGTATCGGAGGGATTGCTGCTTCAAGGTCCCGTAAGTCTTGACATTTTGCAGTTTGAAGCTTAATATCTCGATCCATATCAGAAAGAGCGTGTCCAGGCATGGTTTCAACAGTTGTAAATGCTGGACGACGGGTGCAGTTGGCAAGTGGATGAAGCGGAGTATCAGACGTATGGCTTTCATGCATATTCATATCCGGGCCATGTTGTCTTTTGATGCAGTAGGTGACAACTTTGATGAAAAGATACAGTATAATAAAGACGGATATCCCTAGTGCCAGCCCGACAAGCGAAGATAAAATGGATTCAGAAAGCGAGTATTGTTTATCAACAGCCATGCCGAGTTGTATCACTAGTGAAAGTTGATTTCTTTTCCAGGGGGTAGGTTTAAACAAGACAGTCGTATCTGTTGGGATTTTAAAAGACCTGGGGAGTTCAGAATGATCGGATACGTCACGATTATATAGTATACTCTACACTATCCTGTAAACGTCTGCCGCCGAAGCCTAATCCGTCAGAAGCTTGAAACACTCTCTCATCATCCCTAAATATGATGCACTAGATTAGTATGATGAGATAGATGGATAGTCTAGGGGAAAAATTGTTCGAGTGTATGACCAATACATATAATCTCGAGTCATGCCTCAAATGGTTGCTATAAGTTGTTTGCTTGTGAGGATGATGAAACGCTTAGAGACGGCATCGCTCTCTGGTAGTCAATTTTCTGTTAGCCCGGTGCATTTCACTATATTCTTCATCCCTGCGATAGCGCAAAGAACACAACCTTGATCTACAGTAGGACAACTCGTCCTCAATTACACACACAATTTATTAACGCCCGGCGGCTAAGCCGAAAGGGCAACTATCAATAACTACCAATACATGTCCTTATGAATACCGTGTCTCCTTTGAGCCCATACATGGTTCCTCAATTACAGTAGATATGAAAATTAGTCACAGAGACGTGAAGGCCTGTGTTGACGAAGAAAACGGCCATCTTGCTTGTGGGATGAGGTAATAAAAGATAAGTCACGATGAAGCTTGAATTCTGCTACGGATATTGATTCATCGCCATCGTTCCAGCATTGTGCTAATGCGCTCGGAATTGATTTATGAACTAGCAGACGAAAACAGTCTCGTTGCCAATTTGGGGGCCCTATATGGAGAGTTGTTAACCTTTGTACTTGCTGCCATTTCATGACGAGAAGACACACCATGTAAACCAAGTTGCGATGCACGATGCGCCAGGTACCCAAAATTTGACGCTCCCAGTTGTCCTGGTATTGGCCATAGGCGTAGAGAACCTGGCCCTCGGTATCTCCTTTACCAAAGTGGGCGGCACGAAAGTACGTTACCGATTGCGCGGTAGTGGGTGATAGTACATCGATCCACTGGGTGCCGTACAAGTGCTGTGTCGTCACGCATGCCAGGCTCTGCTTCAATACAGATTGAATAGAATGCAGCGGTGTCAAGACATTCAGGGGTTCTGAATAGTTAGCTATGGCGTCAGCGCTGAACACCTTGCTGAGGGCATCGAAGTTTTTGCCATCAATCGCAAAAGGGTAGATCGCTAGGGTGTTTCGAATCGCCTCAATAGTGCCAGCATCGGTATAAATCTTGGGCGTACAGTCATTGGCGAGGGATGAAAGTTCAACAGGGACGACATTGCTGGTTATGGATGCAATGGCCGAGCCAATCAGGGAGAGTGAGAGTGCGCAGCAAGAGAGGAGCTTCATATTTGACAACACAGTAAAATCAATCGAACGATAAAGTAATGTAGATGCAATTCCCTGCAGGTAATTGTCTCGTATTTATGGTCGTATAGAGGAACCCCCGGATATTGGATCCGTTTCCCCTGAGTTTAAGACGTGGTGGACTAAGTGTTGGCTTCGCTTAGAAGCAGTGGCTGATAATTTAAGCACGGATAGCGTAAGAATGTGATTTGCTAGCAGCCAATATGAGTGAACACAAGAAATCGAAATCCACTGTGGGCAACGCTTTGACGCCTCGGGCGGGTTCGCTTCGTCTTTTGGCCCGGCTAACCCTTGTCGATGTTGGCTCAATGCAACGATAGCACCCCGCTTTTCTGAAACTCGAATTGTCTGAGGGAAGGCCCAATGGCTGCCGACTGTGGCTACTAACTAAGACCAGCTGAGATATGATTATATTTGCCATACGGCTCCTAACTCGGCCTTCTACTCGGCCCCAGTGTTGTCCCAAAGAAGCCGTCAATCTATGCACCCCTGGTAATGTTGCATGAGGATAGCGTTTTCATATGCAGGGTTAGTAGCCTGACTCTTGATTATTGATGAAGGTTGTGCCTAGTACTTGCATAGATAATAGGCCATGTTGGGGCGGACTGTTATTCAATGCTCTCTCACGCCGCAAGCCATGGCCTGTATTTTCCCCATGGTGCTCCTTGAAGCAGTTGCTAGAAACACGGCCAACGCCCCCATGACGGGCTATAAATGTTAAATTTTCAAATATTATTCGCCTTAACGCCCCTGGTCTTAAGAAAGTAATGGATTTAACCATCTATGGCCCTTTCTCTACACGGCAGAAGCGAGCGGGAGCCACGATAGAGACTCCAATAATATCCAAATGGGGCTAAACGGTAACTAGCCCTCATCGGACAAGGCAGACATCATCGGAACAGTTATTTTGCCTAATTTTATGAATTACTATAGGCTCTCATGCGGATAGGCCTAGTTTTCGCCGTCGTTCTGGTCGCTATTCGAACCCACTTCCAATACCAAAGCAGCCAACGACTGTTCATCAATGATCATTGTATTCTTTTTGCCATGTTGTGTCACTTTGCGACAGCTATCGTCTATCAAATGGTGGCTTCTCCGATGTACGAGCTCGCTTATGTTGGGGCGGGTCTGCAGCTTCCAAGGGTGGGTTTCATGGATCGGACATTGCTATTCCTCAAACTGCAGTATGTTGGTCCTGTGGGGTAGGATCAGCACCTTCCCGGGAACCAGATCGGACCGAGCCAGAACACTCAAATCAAGCGCAGCACGCAATAATCAGCCAGACGAAAAAGACGCTTTGAAATCACCACTTCGAGATTCTATTGCTGCCGTTGACTCAAGCACACCTACAGTAAGTGAAAGTCTCTCCATCTTCATTTCTCAAATTTCCTCATTTGATAAAAAGGATCCTGCTGAGCATCGCTAAATCTAGAGGAAGTTCTGCAATGTGCTATCTGACCACAACCATAGTTGATTTGCATCGGCATAGTCAGAATTCATCATTGAATACAAGTCTCCATCCCAGGAAAAGGTTGGAGGCCCTAGCATTGCAGATGCCTCATAGGCACCGGCCACATTGTGTGGTGTTTCATCGTTTATTATGTCGTCCGTCGATTCTCGTCCAAGAGCTCCGTCTTGTAGATGTTGAGCAAATACTATAAGAATTCAGTCGAATATTAGAAACAAGTTCATAGTTTTAACGACTCGGCACACATATGGCCCTACCTTCTTGTAAAGGAGCCAAGAAGGACTCATTATCTGCAGCCTGTGAAATGCCAGGATGGCTATCTTGGCTAGCTGATGCGACCGCATCATCTTCGAGCAAACTTCTGGGCTGCATGTTAAGCGATATTGGCGGACGATCACCAAGAATGAGCTGCTGTTCGAATCGCATGACCGCAGCTACCGAGTCCTCAAGGATTCTCACGCTTTGAACTGAAAGAAGATACTGATCCGAAAAGCTATTCTGATGTAGACGGATAATAGCCATAATACCCTGCTTTGCTTTTTGGCTGGAAAGTGACAACGGCTCTGAAAGGCTTATTGCGCAGAGAACTACACCTGCCGTGAAAAGGCAGATACCAACATGCATAATTGCGTGCGTTCTGCGACAAGCCTGGAGGATGGAACTATAATGGCTCAGCTCCGATGTTCGTAATGCAGCCTGAAGCAATTCTTCCCTGTGGAGAGATGATTCCTGTCCATAGGCAGTGGTACCACCACAAGTCGTGCCATGACCGCTGTCCCCAAAAGCCACACTTCTGTGAAGAATAATTTGGAGATTGTCATAAGTTAATTGAAGCGCCAAAGCTTGCATCTGGCAGAGAGATGGCTTCGCTGAAGGCATATCGTCCTTGTATGTCTGTAATCGTAGACTTGCAGGCAGCTGTCTTTGCCAAAGTAGGAGCTGACCATGGATGTTGTTTACTGTCTCCAACCGATCCGTCTGGCTCCTTCGGCCCAGGAAAGGGCCCATCAGCCGATAAAGCTTGAACTTTTTTCGATGGTATTCGAGTTGAGAGCTTTGCTCTGAGACTAGTTGTCCTTCAAGGTGTACGTTGGCTGGGGGTTCAACACTGCAATCGGACTCGTCTATTGTGCAGGTCCTTCCGAAAGCGATGGCAGCGTATCTAGTGCGTCGTTTGAATTAGGTCTGAGCCTCATGTCGGAAGAGTAAGGAAAGAAAAGACAGGGGTTATCAGTGATGCTTACTTATCAAAAACTTCAAGCGCCCACCACGACCGCCGCCTCAATTCTCTGTTGATACTGGAGATACCTTTCCACATAGACTCCCGATGTAATCCCATGATCTGTGCGATTTTAATTCCGCTTCCGAGAATACCAAGCCCAAGTGTGGGACGGCCGTTGAACAAATGGAAGCTACCTAAAAGTATACAAACTTGAACAGCCTCGACGTTTGGTGAACCAATAATATAGCAAAAATTATGTTCAACTCGTGTGAGGACAGTTTCGGAAAATTGCCGCATTGAAGATTCGTCTCGTCCAGTCGATCCGTCTAGTGAGGAATAGTGGGCACCTAGTCCAAGAGCCAGCGAGGTAAGCCAAACAAAGTTGTTATCGACTGATCCTACACCTTTAGTGGAAGCTAACAAGTTCTCGTAGCGTCGTCGAAAGTGCCCCTCGTGAAAGACCTAGAATGGAATTAGCGCACGCATTGACGGGCTCTATTCTAGGCATGCTACCATCATGAACCAATTGACTGAGTTGAAAAATCGATCAATTAGTGTATTGAGCACTTCTCTGGGAGGGAGTGGTAATCCGATAGTATCTTGCCATGATTTGGCGCTGGCTGAAACTGACCCTTCCATTGCCCTCCCTCCCGGCAACGCTGAAGTGTCGTAGGCCGGGTGATCACGAGAAACAATCTTCTAAATTCAATCATCTTCAAACGAGCAATAAAGCCAGACAGAAACCTTACTTTTGTGCTCAATTCCAAAATACTCTGTTCCGGTAGAACGGCCTTTTCTTCATCTCGGGGACGAATCTGGTTCTGGCTAGAACTAGCTTGCGTTTCCACCGCCGCAGCCTGTTCTGTCGCGCCAGTCTTTCTACTAGGTACGCATGGCACGCCAGCTCGGACACACAGTTGGCATGGTCGACGTCGATCGCACTGATCTTCCGTCAGATCTTGAATGAAGACTATGACGAACAACCTACTCCCGACTTCCGTGAACGGCATCTCTGACAGGCCAACGAAACCTTCTGCCGTCTGGTGGGATTCATGATTTGTAGCTCCTAGTTGTTCAATTTCGCGCTCTGGCGTCCGACGGAGTTTTCGGAGTGATGCAGGCGAACATCCCCTCGATTCCCCAGCCGCCACAACAGAGCGGGGTTGTCATACTACACCGCCTGCATTCTCGAGTAATACTGTCGGGAATTTACGTGGGGGATAACCAAATTCAGCAGTGGATGCCTTGGCAATCAGAAAGCAGTGTCGAATGAATCAAATGCGCTAGTGTAAGATTCTTCTCCACTTTGACCGATAAGGTTCGAACAAGGCTGACAAACTCCGTCGGAGTTGTAGTCAATGGCGTCACGCAGGAAAGAGGCCGGCCGCGACCAGTAGCTTCAACGGAGGGATAAATACCCCCCTTCAGTCTACATTTCAATGATCTCTTCTCAGAACTAAATCTATCAAGTTCAATCGACACGCCACTTAACTCAAGTATTTCGAACAAAGAACAAAGAATGGCGCCCCCTCGCAAAGCTCTCATTGCCATCACTTCCGCCCATGCTCCTCTATACCCCGAGGGCAAGGAGACTGGTAAGTCCCCAAAGTGGAAAAGACAGTTCAAGGGCTGGTGCTAATGTAACCCGCATTAGGTTTGTTTATCACCGAAGCTTTGCATCCGTTCCTTGTTTTCAAGGATGCAGGTTTTGATGTCGATTTGGTGTCAGAGACTGGAACTTACCAGGCCGACTGGCTCTCGCAGCAAAAAGATTGGCTAAAGGATGAAGACAAGGCCATTTGGGAGGACAGCTCTAGCGAGTTTCGTTTGAAGCTTGACAATCTCTTGAAGCCGAGTGACATCAATCCCAACAACGTAAGTCTTTTTAATCAATTGGATACCGAATCGCGAGCTAAACGCATTTGCAAAAAATCAGTATGGCCTTTTCTTTGCTTCGGCTGGTCATGCTTCCTTGATCGATTATCCCGATGCCAAGGGTCTACAGAGCATTGCATCTAAGATGAACACTGATGGTGCTGTCATCTCTGCTGTGTATGGACTCCTTCATATTCCTAGCTTAAGATGTTGCTAATTCGTAATAGCTGTCATGGCGGAGCAATCTTCCCAGGAATCATTGATCCTAGTACAGGAAAGTCGATCATCGCCAATCGGAAAGTGACTGGCTTTACTACCAAGGGTGAAGAAGAAGAAGGGGTTCTCGACACCATCAAAAGCTGGAACCGCCCTACCATTGAGGCCTCCGCCGCAGACTCTGGAGCCACGTGTGAGTAAAACGAGCGATTGCTTAATCGCTACGTCCCAACTACGGTTTGCCGTTTATGTCTGACACGACTTTAGATATCTCCCCTCCTGGTCCCTGGGACGCTTTCACCATCACTGATGGGCGCATTGTGACCGGTGCCAACCCTGCGAGCGCGCATGTGACGGCTGAAGCCGCGGTTAAGGCATTCAACACTCTCTAAAAGCTATGCTACTTAGGATTTCAATACTTTCCAGCACCTAGGTATAAATAAGAATTTTCGTTTTTCATTTTTATCAAATCAGTACCTGTTACGTTACCGTCCAGCGCAGAAAAATCCCAGGTAGTCAGAAACCTAGCAATTCATGATACCCGGCAGCTTCTCCAGCATGACATTCCAGGTGTGTGGCAAGGACTCGTCTCAGCGATCCAAGAGTCGACGCCGTGAGAGACTGTTTATGTCGGCTCTGGAATTCCACAGATAATATTAGATTTTTGATTGCTGCGACAAGGACAACGTAGATGACTTGAATTGCTGAGACACTGCTTGTAGTTTGTGATCAAGAAAATAAAGCGAGTTTGACGCCATGTAACGGGGGTTTGCGGAGGAGCCAGAAAGCTCACGGGGGAATGCCTCTAGTGTTTGTACGACTACGAAAGGCTTTTTTTTCTTTTTTTGAAATACAAAAAATATTGGTTTGAAATAGACCTTCATCCCCCAATGATGGCGCTGAGAGCAGCCATTGAACACTTAAAAAGCAGATGACCCCAAAGCCCTTTTTGTCAAGGATAACATTAGGTAGGTGAAGGTGTGGGTTCCGCCCCTCATCAAATCATCTGCAAGCATTTCTCTTTGTCTTCAAAAGTCACCCTCCATTTCCGATAACGCTTGATTGCTTTTTGTCCTCGTGTATGTAGGCCCTGTTCAATCCCCTGATATTGCTGATCAAGCCTCGACATGTCTCCAAGCTTTTGGTGGAGCGTTTGTGCCTTCGTACACGCTTTTTTGGCAACCTCTCAAGCAACCCTTTCACCCTCTCGGGCCCAACACGAGCCTGCATCCAAGACCCACCTTGGACCTAGAAATTCCCTAAGCTCTGTGTGTACCCAGAATGGCATTATCACCACTTCGAAATTTATTTCCTACAATAATCTTTGGGGAGAAAACACTGCAACCTCCGGAGGCCAGTGCACATATCTGGACGCCGATTCTGTGGACTCAATTTCCTGGCAAACATCGTGGACATGGGAAGGCGGCAATACTAGTGAAAAGCTATGCTAATGCCGCTCTCGATATCGAAGCTACAGCTCTAAATTCCATTATGAGCCCCCTTCAGATTGGACTCGAGGTAAGGTACTACTCTTGTTCCTTCTGATATTATATTGACCGCCAGCGCTACACCGGCGATGTCTCCTACGATGCCTTCCTTCTTTTCATCCGAGGCGAGCACAACTGGATCTCATGACTACGAAATCATGATCTGGCTTGCTTCCTACGGCGGTGCAACACCTATCGGCTACACCGCCGGCTCTGTCACTACCATGAACGAATCTTCAACGACTTTTTCAAATATCTCACTTCCGAGCAAGGCGTTCCCTTGAGCTACTATCTCCAGACTATTTGTGCAGACACGGCGACGTTTACGGGCTTGGTTCACTGCCGATTCTTAAACGATCTCACTGGTGCGGTCTGATCAGAAAAGAAGACATCTTTTATCGGCGAGATCCCGTCACTCGAAGAGAATAATAGTCTGAGAGACCTGAAATATCCAGTCCAGTCTGTTTATAGCCCTCAGGGATATCTATCATATTTTTTTATATTTTTTTCAAAGACCACATGCTCAATATGTTTTCCATGACATGACCCATTGATAGCTCCACCCTCAATATAACCTGAATGCCGATGTAAATGATCAAGGGTGTGGTCTATTTTCTGGGCTCGGTTCCCACCCGTGGCCTTTTTGCGTCTATAGCTTCAATTCCCAAAGTTCACCTGTCAATTTGATCCCGAATGTATCATGCTCTTCCGTTTGAGTAAGCTGATACCCTTCATTCTTATATATCCGCCGAGCAGTTACCAATGTGCTCTGAGTCCACAACACGATCTTCTCATAGCCCACTTCCTTCGCAAATTCAGTGCAATGTCGCACTAAAGCCCGACCAACACCGAGGCCCCGGGCACTCGGCTCCACTAACAAAAGGCGAAGCTTAGCCGTTTGCTCCTGTAGTCGATCTTTCACTAGCATGATGCATCCAAGGAACTGCCCCTCTCGTTCGGCAATCCAACACCGCTCCACTGCGGGGTCGAGCTGTTCGATGAAATCTGCGGCAATGCGCCCAACGAGAGCCTCGAAGCGCTCATCCCAGCCAAATTCTTCATGGTAGAGTATTCCGTGGCGATGAATGATAAAGCCTATATCACCTGGGCGATGGGTCCGCATGGTGAAGGAGCGGCTTGTGGGTTCCGTGTCTCCCATGATAAGGTATTCAGGGGCTAAGCTTGACTGTGATGGATTGAGATCTTATTGGCAGGAAATAATGTAATCCCAAGAACACCTGGCTTTGTAATTCATGATATGCCTTTAGATATTTCATGGGATGACTCCGAGGTCGGTGTCAGCCTTCTCGACAGTTCGATGTCATTTAAAGGGCGCAAACTAAAAAGTGGGGCTGGGAAGCTCCATAGAACTTTCATTATTCTAAAGATTTCTTTCTAACAACAATCCTTCATTTTCTATCAATCTTGAGTATGTTATAATTTCGCATGGATATTATGTGGCAGACTCAATGGCTAAGAAGAATACCCGCCCAAAGGCATTTTGATTTCAAGATTCTTAAATAAACGTGTGCGAAACCATCCCAAATCTCAGACCTACAGAATCATAGCTACTGGTTCAAAATATGAGAGAAATCGGCCCCTCTGCACCACTCCTCCCAGGATGTTGTCGGACACAGGACGCCCAGCTATTTCAGTCAGCAATCATGCTTGCCTAAGACGAGATTTGAGACTGACATGGTGTGGAAGAACGACAGAAGGATCACCGCCGGCATAGCCGGGATCGTCCATAAGGGCAAACATCTCCGCAAACTCAAGGGCAAGCGCATGGTCGAACGGGGCATTCTTGACCCATTCCTCAATTGAAAGCTCGTCATATCCGCCGTATGGTACATCCTGGGTCTCGCACCACACTCTCAAGGACTCTTTCCAGCTGAGCATACTACCAGCCCCAAGTAGATTCTTTCCTGGTGCAACTTCCAACAGAGCACGAACCAAGTAGCCAGTATCCTTGGTAGTGAAAAGCTGAGGGACTGGGGTCTCCCCCTTTCCAACTAAAGCAAGGCGATATGAACCATCTGATTGCTGTATGGTGTGAGTCCAAATTGTGATGATACAAAATTAAACAAACTTACCTTCCTTGGCAATATTCCAGCTCCCCAGTTCATCATATAAGACCCGATCTGGACAACAGACATCTTGGCAGCCAAATCAGGCATATTCGTTTTGATATGCTCTACGACCAGAGCCTTGCTATCGAAATGATAAATATGCGAGAGTCGTCCATTAGTCCAATAACTGGCATTGCAAAGTGCGCTCAAGATGAATCTCTGTAGGCCGCCCGTCTCCGCGGCCGCATCCGCAATATTTCTTGCCTGTTGTTGCTCATAGTAGAAAACATACTCGTTAAGAGGCTGTCCCTCTCCAAGCTTGGATTTAGTGGCGGGATCGAAAATTGTGCCCCAGAAATCAGTTGTTCCGAAAATGGCGTATGCGCCTTTGAATGCCTTGACCAGCGAAGCTTTATCGTCCAGGTTGGCCTCCACTACTTCAACTCCTTTGGCCTCCCAGTCTGCTGCCTTTGCGACATTGCGAGTAATTCCCCGAACCTTCCAGCCGTCTTCTTTCAGAAAAACGTTGGCAACAGAGCCGCCCTGAATATGAGTGTGTGTTAAAATTTGGTCAACCAAGTGGCGATGGTTTCTTGCCTGGTTCCCTCTAAGGCCTACCACAACAATCAACTTCGACATGACAAAAACTTTGGTTCGGGTTATTGCCGACTTTGGGTTGCTCAATGTTTTAGTGGTAAATATAATTCTATAAAGAAATTATCATACAATTCGTGCTATCTCTTCCGTTCTTATATTTTCGCGTGCTGATGACATTTGGGGGATATTGGCCCGGCCGCCGAATTTCCGACTCCAACGGGAAATAGGCCGTCCTCAAACCTAACCAGAGCGATAAATCTCGGTATTTAGTCACTTTACATAATAGTACGTCATTTTTGAAAGAAAATATTGTGAGTCACCAGCTTCAATAAATTGGCGATTGTGCTGTCAATTTAAATTCCTTCAGCCTTTGCCACTAAACTGACCTCTTCGAACTTAGCCATTATAAGGAATATGGAATCGGCCAAAAACCTACAAATTTGTTTAATATGTCAAGTCATATTTAAAACAAGGAGCTAAGTAAACATTTCTATCCGGGGATTGACCTCCAGTAGTACCGTATTTTACAAACACGACATTCCTTCACACTCTACCTCAAGACCCCTGCAAGCCTTGGCATTTACCCTTCTGCATTAACACTAAATAGATAGTGGCTAGAACTTCAGGCCTACTATGGAACCGAGGATATCACCTCTCGGCAAAGCCCAGCAGCCGAGCGTTCAACAATGCTAACGAGAACTTGATACAAGTCAGAAGCAATAATGGCCCCTTATACTGCCAAAATCCTGGCTGAACTTCCATACTCAACATTCTTATGTTGGGGTCAACAAACTCATAAACCTCTTTGTCAGCGGTTCTAGTGCTTATATTAATGCTCCGGACGAAAGTTCGCCCGGGCCGACTTCAAAGAAGACACTTTTCTTGAATTCTTTTCGAAAAACTCTCTTCCCATTTAATATTATCTCCGTGCCAGACACTTGCTTTTTCAAAATGGCTGTTGGCGGCTGTTTTTGCGGAAAGGTTCGGATCGAATATAGTGGCCAGCCTATAACATCGGTTAGTGTATATCCGAAGTACGCATTATTTTCATTAACTCAATATTAACGATATGACCTTTCAATAGGCACTTTGTCACTGTTTTGATTGTCGCAAACTTACTGGCACTCTCTACACGTATAATTTTGTCTTCAAAATGGCCGACCTGAAAATCACTGGTAGTCCTAAAGAAGTGGCAAAAACGGCGGACAGTGGAAATCAAATCAAAAACTATTTCTGTTCAGATTGTGGTGTGTGCTATCAACCCGATTTTGGCAAAGCATTGACTAAAAATATCCATAGGAACGCCGCTGTATGGGCTGAAAATGGAGTCTACCGGAACTCCTGGCGAGACGGTCATCCTCCGGGCTGGAATACTGGATGATATCGCTGTTCTGAATGAACACAAGCCTAAGGTGGAGATATATACTGATGGACGCGTCAATTGGATCAGTCCCGCCGAAGGGGCTGATCAACTAATCGGCATGCCACCACTCCCATAATCTAGTATTCAAATATAGAGGGTAACCTTGTTTCGAAGACTACTGTATCAAAGAGCGGCACCCAGCTTTTTTGTCGCGTTTCTTTATTCACTCGACGGGGAATGGTCTATTCTGATTCCTCAATCTTCCAAAGAAAGAAAGAAAGAAAGAAAATGAACTGTATAATCACTAGCTTAATTCTAGACTTAATTTACAGTTTCCAAGCGATACTTTTGAGTGCTACAAGAGTTTCATGCTGTAGTTTTTTTTCCTACAGACTACACACCTCTCGCGTGTCAATCATTTAGTTCCGACTAGGAATCTAGTAGCCATATTGGTTAGGATCAACGTTGTCGAAGTGCTCCTCGGCCTGTCGCTTGGCCTTCTCACGATCAATGAAATCCAGGCCCTTGGTCTCGATCTCACGGTCAATGAAGGCACCAGAAAAACCAGCAAAGAGCTCCTTGGCCATCTGGTGGTTAGGAGGCTGGCCTGTCAAGTAAATAGGTCCTGTTAGCTGCTGATCTTTCTTCATCCTGTTATGCATGTCGGAGCTATGTAGAATCTGCTTACCGTTCTCAGCAACGTGGTTCTCGTATGCCTTGGCGGCCTCGAAGCTGGCAGCACCAGCAATCAGCTCATGAGCGAAGGAAGGCTCGTGGTCCTGGGGGTTGGAGTTGTTCCACTGGTCGTAGTTGTTCGCCTGATCGGAATCATCTAGTTGCGGTAAGCGAGGCGTTAGTGACTGAGAGGGAATTCCCATAATAAGCTGGGAGTAGCAATTATGAGGGGATTAATCACTCACCACTGAAAAAGCCCATTGTGATGGATTGAGAAGATGATGATGATAAAGGTGCGAGTTTGAAGAAGTTGGGAGAGGAAAAGGGGAAAGGAGGAGAGAGGGGTAGAGGGGCAGAAGGTATCTCTTACTGAGCGGGGTTAGGCTCGCGCTATCCACTGGATCACTACACCAGTGAAGTATCGATGAAGTGGCGCTCTCCTAGTCACGTTAAGGCTTAGCTGAGCTTGTTTATAGAGTAACCTAATATGGATTAGCGCGTTTTATTATGCGATCCTAGGTGACCAAACAATCCCCAAAACTCTCTAACAAGACCCGCCGTAACGGAATACGCAAGGAAAGTGAAAGGACAAGAGAAAAAAGAACAGAGAGTGAAGAAGAGAAATTTAAAACTACAATGTATCTCAAAGAAGGCAGAGGGCAACAGCGGTCAGGCTGTACAAAAACAAGTCCGGTAAAAAGCTTCTGGTGCTGAAGGTGCCACGAGGCACCTGTACTTTATGAGGCAATCACCTGGCCTGTAATTTCAAGAGATTTTTCCAAGCTTGTAGAATTCTCACCGGTCCATCTTGAGGTCCATAATTTGGAAAGGCCTCTGACCCCCCTGAGGGTTGTTGATTCCATTAATCTAGCCCTAGGTTGCCGGAATGTTGGGTCCTTTAATAACATATGACTTAAATCGGTTTTTAGGGGCTCAGAAGCTGTGTAAGCAACATCTGTGGAACAAAAAGGACCAAAAATATACGCTGAGGGCCATTTTGTCGATTGTGAAGGGAAAAATTGATAGACCATCCTTTATTTATTCGAAAAAAATTCCTTCCGGCTCGGCTTCTTATGATGTTTCCTTGGCATTCGTCATTCAGATCTTTTGAAAGCCAGCATACATTGACCCCTGAAGATATTTCAATGATCTGTCTCGAAACATTGAAGTAGACAGTCTCTGTGTTGGATGTGGTCTGAGTCGCAACTGAAATTTCCCTAGATATTGTCTTCACTGAGTATTTTCTCTGTTCCAGGTAGATAATGCAGACATGGGACATTCAATTACTACAGAGACCGGCATACTTTTAACCAATCATTGACTGCAGCTGACTTTATGTAGCTATGGGCAACGCCGCTCATGGATGGAATGGGGATGCCCATCGAAATAGACAATCAGAAGATTGGTGGAACGAAAGCACCGATGAAGCTATTTGGAAGCGAAGGACAGAACGTGCGAACCCCTTTTTGCGCGTTAAAATTAAATTTTTGGTTTCTTGGTGTACGTCGAATGATCCTATCTACGTTCGACTTTGAGGGGTCCGTCAGGGTCTAGCAGATGAAAGCCATGGTACATCTACATTTGGTTCCAAGGTCAACGAAACACTGAAGCACAATGGCATATTTGACTAAAGGTGTAAAGGAGAACATGCGAGTGAGATATCTGCTCTAGAACTTGTACTTCTCCTCTTGGTCCTGTGTAAGGTGTGATTAGCTATTTTCTGACGACATTCGAAATGCGATGTGAGAATGAAACTTACCCAGTATTTGTTGAACCCAACGCCTTCGCAGACCTCATCGTAAGTCAAAATCATGGGAGGAGCGCCCACAGTCATGCTCCTCTTGAGCCCATCCAAAGCCTCACGAACACTTTTCAGGTGAGCCGCCACCAATGTCCAAGGATACGCGACCGCGCTGTATCCCAGCTCCGCGAGCTCCGTGGCAGAGAGATTCTCGGTCTTTCCACCCTCAATAATGTTTGCAAAGATCGGAATATCAATTTCCTGCGCACATCGCTTCATGGCATTGCGATCGGGAAGAGCCTCGATAAAGATAGCGTCGACACCAATACGTTTGAACTCTTTGGCGCGAGTCATGGCTTCATCCCAGCCATGCATCAATGCGTCCGTGCGGGCAAGAATGAATATATCTCTCCCTTCATTACGGGCATCAACTGCAGCCTGAATTCGAGCATAGGCCTCTTCACGGGAGACGACGCTCTTTCCTTTGGTGTGTCCGCAACCTGGACATGGTCAATGTGATGTTTCCAACGGATTTGAAGTCGATCTTCACTTACGCTTCGGCCACTGCTGGTCTTCAATCATAGCACCAGCTGCACCTGCAGCTGCAAAGCTCTCAACAGTTCGCTTCACATTCATAGGGCTTCCGTACCCGGTGTCTCCATCGGCCATAATGGGGATGGACACTTGACGGTATGCCTCTTGGATCTTGTCGCAAAGCTCAGGCATTGAGATATATCCTGCATCGGGGAGCCCGTATGCTGAGGCCACAGCATATCCCGCTAAGAAGACTAGGGGAAATCCCGCCTCCTCGACCAGGCGCGAAGAGAGCCCGTCATAGGTGCATGCGTGCGCGAGAATTTTGGTGGGATCGTTGCGAGCCTCGAGCATCATCGTGCGCAGACGCGATGTCTGCTCAAATGGGATTCTTCCTCGAACATTTTTCAAAGTCAAGTTCACGGTCGTGTTACTTCCATCCTGCGGGCCAGAGCTCTCGGGAGCTTCGAATTGGAACGGATAGGGGACAGTGCTTGCAGACATCTTGGGTGGTTTTGCTTTTGCTTGGTACTCAAAAGATGAAGTTGAAATGAGAGATGCAGAGCCTTTTAAGTTATGGATATGAATGCGATATCGGCAAAATGTCATCTGCAAGTTGCCCCAGCGATGCATGCAGCGGATACTTCAACGCGGGTATTTGGCACTATCCGTCCGCGGCTGGTTCCCCCGCTCGACTCAATCATACCGAGGGTTTGCAGGCAGGGAGAGCGGATCACCGGGTCCAATCACAAGATCATCATATACATTTGGCTCTATGCTACGAAGTCAATCAACGCGGGGAACCTAGCATGTCGGCAGTTATTGGTGCCCCTATGCCTGTGGGGTACCCCAGATTTTCTTAATTGGTACGCCTCAGCAACCATTAATGATTTCCTTGGTGAGCGGCAATTTATATGCGAAGAGAGAAAGATAATTTAGTTCCCTTCTTCCCTTCCACATTAGCTGAGGAAAGACCTTCTTTTCAACTCTTCTTACTTGCACTGATCGAGTAAAGCATCATGTCGAAATACAAAGATCCAGAGCAGCTGCCCAGTTGTCAACACTTTGAAAGTACTGCCGCTGGAAAAGGCGATGTTCAAATTATGGTCCCCGATGACCGACAGTCTATTATTCGAAAGAAGGTGAGCTCAAGTTTTCTCTTGAAGACCAAGCCAATCTGACATTGATCCAGTTCGATCGCCGGGTCCTTCCCATTGTTTGTATTCTCTACGTCCTGTCCTATCTTGACAGAGGTAAGTGAAAGACGCCACTCACCCATATGGCTATTTCACGCATACCATCTCACACATGGAACAGGAAATATTGGTAATGCTAAAGCCGTGGGAATGGACAAGGACCTCAACCTAACCGCTCGTCAATGGTCTTGGGTGCTTTACTCATTCTACATCTGTTATATCATATTCGAGTGGACGACGATCATGTGGAAGATTCTCCCGGCACACGCTTACATCGCATCGTTGTGCATTTGGTATGTTCAACTTACGCTATATTGTGGTTTTCTTCATGCTGAAATCGTGTTTAAGCTGGGGTGCAGCGGCAATGTGCAGCGGTGCAGTCAATACCTTTTCGCAACTGGTCGCTTGTCGATGTTTACTTGGTATTTTTGAAGCTGTCTTTGGCTGTGGTGCACCCTATTTTCTTTCCTTGTTTTACCAAAGAAGAGAGCTAGGTTTCCGCTTGTCACTGCTTCTTGGCATGTCTCCGGTGGCGAATTGCTTTGCATCAGCTCTCGCATATGGCATCACCCAGATCAACGGCTCATTAGAGCCATGGCGGTACCTATTCATCATTGGTAAACGAAATCAATTTGTATGCTCCAAGGCTTCATAGCTAATTTCTGGCAGAGGGAGCTCCTACAATTCTTTTCTCGATAGTTGTATTCCTCTTCCTTCCAGACTCCCCAGGATCGGCTAAATTTCTCAGTGAAACTGAGCAAACCGAAGCCGTCGAGCGTCTTCAGACTGTTGATAGAACAGCAAAGGGAAAAATGCAATGGAGCCAAGTCTTCCAAGGATTGACCGACTACAAAAATTACGTCCACATGGTCATACATTTTTGCTGCAACTATTCGTTCTCGGGTCTATCAAATTTTCTACCAACAATCTTAACGAACATGGGCTATACGTCAATAAATGCGCAAGGGCTGGCAGCCCCACCTTATCTTGCTTCGTTTTTCTGCTGCGTTGCCGCTGCTTTGGTATCAGATCGATGGGGAAATCGTGGCTATGTGGTCACCTTTTTTGCTTTAATGGGTACAGCTGGTTACCTCATTCTGACCTGTGTGCAGGACGAGTCAAATACAGCCACACGCTATGCTGGCGTCTGGCTCGCGACGTGTGGAATTTTCCCCTCGCTCTCCATCAATATCACCTGGCTATTAAATAATCAGGGTGGGGATAGTAAAAAGGGCGCTGGTATGGCCATGTTAGCCATATTTGGACAGTGCTCTAGCTTGATCAGCAGCTCCGTCTTTCCTGATGCCGATGCACCCCTGTATACGAAAGGGTGCGCCCTTGGTTGTGCTTTCACTGGCCTAATCGCTGTTTTGGCCATGGGACTGCACGTTTCTTTGACCTTGGAGAACAAAAAAAAGATCGTCTCTATGGGCCAGTCAACGAAAACGACAGGGTCGATGTGACCGAGGGAGGCGATCATCCTAACTTCCGATACTTGACTTGACTTGATTTGACTCGACTTGATATGACCGGATTTGCAAGATTGACTACGGTCGGAACATGACCAAATTTGTTATTTTAATCTCCATTTGCTACATTAGGATGAAAGCAAATTCCTCTTTCAAATTTTCATGCCTCAGGACGGTGACATGAGAGATCAGCGGTCGCCGCTACATCAGTACATAGACCTGACCCATCATAACTTCTTGCAGAAGAGAAATATTCAAGCTTCTGAATATAGTATCTTTGCAGAACTTGATAAATAGAAGGACAGCCTTCAGTAAACATGGCCATTGTCCATATAACGCGTGCAATGTCATCGGGGGAGACCGGACCCACCCGCGGGTATTTCAAAAGGCCGCACCTTCCCCCGCATATCCATCTTCCATCTTTTACGCCGTCATGGAAAAACGTCCGCCGCACAGCAGAGCTGTGATCGATCATGAGTTCCAGCGTGCATACAAGGCGTGCACACCATGCGCTCGACGAAAGGTGAAATGCCTGCCGGGAGACGGCGACAAATGCATCCGATGCAACAGACAGCAGCTCAACTGCGTTTTCAGCTCCAAGAAACCGTGGTCTCGACCTTCAAAGAATGGCGTGGAGTCACAGCCCCTTAGAAGATCGCGGATATTGAGAAACAGTATACCGAGGTTAGATAGAAGTTCATTGGGCCAAAGTATCATCTAATGACGGAATTAGTAGTTCACAGTCGGCTTCCCTTGCCCAACCCGAGACTCAGGATGAGGGTTTACCTGCATCTATGTTACAGAGAGTGGTATCCAATAACAAAGATGCTATGAGTATCCTCTTCGAAGCAGCTCTTTGCGAAGAACCACGAGATGCACCGGCCAGACGAGAACCATATAACACGCAGATATCGCAGACCCCGAATGAAATGGACACCGTCCAAATTTGGAATGCTCATCGTTTCGTCAAAATGGGCTGGTTTACAGCTAAAGAAGCTATGAGTCTTGTGGATCTGTAAATCGGCGCCCCTTTCGATCGCACTGCGGTGCGGCGCCATAACGGCTCATACTAACCTTGCCCCGGTAGTTTTTTTGCAAACCTAAACCCGCTTTCTCCCATCTTGACTGACTTCTATGCTTGCCATAAGAACCACTTCTATCTTGTCACTCAAGAACCAATGTTAAGTTGTGTAATCCTAATGATCTCCTCGCGATACCATACACTAGCAGGAGTCGGCAGCTCTTCTCGAGCCTTCTTCATCCATCAGCGCCTGTGGCAACATTGTCAACATTTACTTCTACGCTTGAGTCTTGGTCAGGAGAAGATATCAAAAGCCAAGACACGGAATATTGGGAGCATTGAGGCATTGATATTGCTTTCCGAGTGGCACCCGCGAGCACTGCAATACCCCCCGGAGGCGGATGGTTGGGATTCCGATTTCCTCATGTCACATCTCGATGCCCGAGACCCACCTTTGCCGACTGAGGAGACACCTGTGTCCGACAGATGGAGAGAGGATGTCGTGGAGCCGACAAAGCGGTTTGAGCGCATGTCTTGGATGGTTCTCAGCTCCGCTTTAGCTCTCGCTCACGAACTAGGCGCGTTTGGCCCCACCAAACGACTACCGAAACCAGACGATCTTGTTCGGATAGACGCAGCAATATATTTGGAACATCTTGAGCTGCGCCGCCAACGTCTCCCAAGCTTGTTGTTCGTCTACATTAATGTCTTGTCCACTCGCATCGGGTGCACATCGCCCATTTCACCCGAGGTAGAGGTCTCGCCTCCTGACTCGACAATACTAGGTCCAATTGATCACATATGGTTATCCTTCATGAATTCGTGGATTAAACTCACGAGATTGACTTGTTCAACTATGGCTGAGCTCTCTCCTCTGGTGAATACGACGTCGGGGACCAGATCACCGGGGAGTTTTGTTTCTATTCTCGAAGGAAAACAAATGCTACTTTCTGATTGGCATCGCCAGAATCTCAGTACTAATTTCATGGAGTCCCCTTTTATGGAAATTCTTTTCATAGAATATCAGCACCTCCGTATACTGATCAACTCGGTTGGCATGCAGAAAATTGTGCAAAAGGTTCTAGAGCAAAACAGTTTGCAAAGCGGGTCTACAATTGATTACCCCTTCATCGAAAAGGCACGGCAGACAAACATGACTGTCCGAGAGTATGGCTTCATTGAAGAGGTGATCGATGGCTGCTGTCAGACTCTGGGAAAGGTGGCCGCGCTGGGAACAGCGGGCTCCCTACATTACTCACCCATGAGACTCCTGTTTCGCACAATTAGCTCTTCTATATTCTTGATGAAAGCTCTGGCATTGGGGGTTCGCAACAGCAAGCTGCAAGAAGCTTTGCAGATACTCGACCGGGCTATTTGCGCTCTCCAGGACGATAACCAAGACGATGTCCATTTGAAGGCCCAATACGCTATCTTGCTGAAGATACAGGCCTCAAAGCTCCGGAGAAGCCTTGTTTCCTCACATCAAACGGGCTCTCTCCAGAAAACACAGTCGAGTGATCCTGGAAGGGCTTTGCAGCTGCCCGAAACAGCGCCACCACACGCGCAGCCTATTCATCAACAAGGCACGGAGAACGAAATAAGCTTAGATAACTTCTCTAATTTTGATTTCAACGACTGGCTATCATTACCTTTTGATCCGTCTATGGCACCTTTTGGCCCATATGAGGGAGACTTTGGGGTTCGTATGGATGGTGTTGATTTGGATCTTGACTTCCTATGGCAATTACCTGCATGATGTGAAAAGTCACATCAAAGCACTGCATTATATCAACCATCCTCACAATTGAAAGCAATAAAATGGCCAATATGCGCGTTTTTTCTACTTCTAAACGACGATAGTGCAAGCAAAGGCGACCCAGTCATCCCATTTTTAGATCAAAATTGTCGCTCGTTCCCGTTAGGTGACGAATTCCGACTCCGGTCCGGCGATACCTGCTGAGCAATTGTGGAGTCCATGGGGCCTCTGGCATGGTAAATCGGAGCATCCCGATCCTGGTACAACCGGAACGGGGACTGGTTTACCGCACGAGACCCTGGTGGCTGAATAGAGCGAGACCGCGCGGAGTCTCGCACATCGTCGACGGAGAAGCGTCTGTGATCGTTCCTGATGATATTGGTTGGGACAGGGCTTTTATAGATTCCTTGGGCCATCTCCTGTTGCATGAGTTTCATCTACATTGCCATGAAGTCACGGAAGATTGTCTTATTGATATCTTTGGGTGGGGACTTGGGCGTGGTCATGCTTTCGGCATCACTGACAGAGTGGGGACACTGGATGGTGAAATCTTCGCCTCGATGTTTGAGCTTATTGTTTTCGTCGCTGTGGACCTTCAGTGCTTCAAAAAGCTGACCGTTTGGCTTCTTGAGCTCCAGCAGTTCTTCGGCGTGCAGCGCCAGTTTGGCGTTGAAGTGCCGTTCGAGTTGGGCAATCTCATCCGTGTGGGCTGAACACTTGAGAATGGCTTTGCTGCTCTGTTCCTGAAGCTCAAATATCCGATCGGCTTGTAGCATTAGCTGAGTATTGCTTTGGTCGCCCTGTTCATTGAGTTTCGAGAGCCATTCATATTGACTCCTCTGAGTCGCAGAAAGCTGCCAGGCGAGCGACTTGAAGCCGTTGATATTCTCGTTATGCTATTCAATATTCTTATCGACGTGTGCCTGGTGGTGGATCAATTTGGCGTTGACTTCATCGTAGCGGCCTTCGAGCTTCCGAATCTTCCTGGCATGCGTCTCGATCTCGATGCCAAGCTCCTCGTTCTTCTCCACAAGCTTCGTGATTACTTGTCCCTGCTTTGTGAACATGTCATAGGTCCAGTCGCTCTCGCTTTTGACCTTTGTCATGACTTCTTTCTGGACACTTCTTTCGATGTGCTCTTTTCTCCCCATGGTTCGGTTATTAATAAATTCGGGAACGGACTGGGTCTTTGTCATCATTCTCTCCCATGCATTTATCGAAACTATCCGAATTCCATCCATGGCATCGGTTTCTGGTTCGAATCGTCACTTTAGAGGCTGCCTGCTTTAGAGGATTCGAGAGCTGCCTCTGGGGCATCTAGAAACCCAGGAATCAGCGGCGGTACAATACTTCTCGTGAAATTTAGTCACCCGACTCACTGATAGCACTCACTGTGCTGATTGAGTTGATTTTCTTGTTCGATTCCTGTCGATGAGTTAGGTTTGAGGCTTGCTGCTTCTGAAAGTTGGAGCCAGCCCAGGAGGGCGACTTTAGGACTGGTCACTTGGTTCGGAAGCCATGGTTTCGTATCAGCTTTTGGTAAATGTGAACAGATCGCTGATTTGATTTGATTTTTCTCTCCCTCTTGACAAACTAGTAAAACTAGTACGCTTGATGTCAAAAGTGCGGTGTTGTCTTCCTCGTAGGATGTTGTGAAGGGAGACAGGGTGAAAGGGAAGCCGCTCAGGATTGAATGAAACCAGTCGAGTCAACGCGTCTAAAAGCCAGATGCTTGAGATGGATGAATGTGTGAAAATTCAGCGGGTTTCCAAAGTGGGGGTGAGGCCCTCTATAGATTCAAAGACATTTACCAATATCATCCACATTACGCTTCAGAGATCGGCTATCTCTACACTCACCAAAACATCACTGAGCTCGATACCATACGCACCGATGCTCTGAATCGGTGCTGCACCAACGGTCCCCGGTATCAGTGAGAGTATCTCCACGCTACCGAGATCATGGTTGATGCAGTATTCCACCAGCGAAGACCACTCAACCCCGCCGACTCGCAGCACTGTGCGAGTACCATCTTAAGATACGACCTCAACGCCCTGAATCTCATTCTTCAAAATAATGTCATTGTACTGCTCTTCGGGTAGCAGGATATTACTCCCGCCGCCAATAATCAAATGACGGTTCTCCCTGCGAGGAGATCATTAGGATTACACAACTTAACATAGGTTCTTGAGCGACAAGATAGAAGTAGTTCTTATGGCAAGCATAGTGGGAAATTCAATTGCAATTCACAAGACGATCCATCCTAGAGCTGTGAATATCGAGATCGGTCCATACCCTGCTTTCACAACAGACCTGCAATCCCAGATCATGACGCTGCTTTCCCTTGCTTGAGGGATGATGTGGAAAGTATTAGGAAGTGATGGCAATAAGCTGACGTAGCTGACAGCGCTCCCCAGTCTTTGATGGCCAAAAAATTTGGCACTGTGAGAGCGTCTTTCTTTTGATATGACCAATGAGAACTGCTAGATGAGCATGTGCTAGATTTTGCTTTTCATCTTCTGATTAGACAGGTCGTGGTTCACCGGGGCAGCCCGATGGGGAGATCTCGCTATGAGTTATCAACTGCACCAGGCCAGCCCAACATTAGATCGATTTCCGCACAATTGAAAATGTCACATACACCTACAAAGCTTGGCTGCGTGGGTCCATCAATCAAAATGTGGCCATACTCCGTTCTAGATTATTGTGAAATAATGATCGCACAAATATAAAAATAATCAAAGCACGCTATGCCGGGTGTAGCAAGGAGTGGATCTCAAGGAAGCTGGGGAAAGCTCATCGAGAATGTGTGTGGCACCGATACTAGTGTTGTACCTGGAGAGCCCCCGTTGTGGCTTTCGACGTAGGGCAAACAGATGTTGGCCCCAGGCAGCCTATGGGTCCGGACCTCCTGAATCGAGAATCGTGAATCAAAGGGAGCTTTGGCTTTGGCTTTGGCTTTCGGCTTCGGCTTCAGATTCAAGCATGTACATCTAGGTATGTCCATCCCTATCTCGACGATACTCAGATCTACAGCCGCTATGCCCAGCATGCCAGATCGTGGCTTCTCGTGGGAGCTTAAACCCTCGAGAGCCGTTACCCTTGGGAACCAGCTCAACAGCTCAGACCAACAATACAAACAACCCCAGCAGAGCTTGGGTTCGAAATTACCCTGAATCGACATGTTTCTGCCGCGACGCGTCTCTTGAAATTCAGCTGTGTCGGTACCTGTTAACAGAGCTGATACCACCCCCCCTGTATTGAAGGGCTCCACTGCCCCATCAAGTGGATTAGATTCATCACCTGGACGAGACTGGGACAGGGGATTCCGGCTACAGGTCTCCGTAGTCCCGTATAACCCGTCGTTAGAGACAGACATTTGTTGCTATGCAACAGCTACAGATGTTACGCCCCCTGCATGGATGTATTTTCCGCGCATATCAAAGAGATGATCCCTCAATTGGCTAGATAGGAAAGAAGTAGCCAGCTGTCCTCTTCTCGCCAAGTAATTCCAGCATGACCTCACGGCGGGTCTCTGGTCGATGATGCCTTGATGAGTCGGATCGATGGATACCGTATTGTAATTTTACCCGTACCCTAAAACACCCGACACGCGGCCCCTGGATCTTCCTCTCGTCCCCTGGGGCACTTCCACCACTTCCATCACCATTAAAGTAGCCGGATGTCCCTAGCAAGCTGCCATTCAAATTAAAGCTATTTTTTTTTATTTCATTGTTATTTTCAACATATAATGTAGTTGGGAGTAGGATACCGCAAGGGTGTTAACGGTGCCGGCAATCCCGATAGAGCTTGTGTGGGTCCGCCAAGATCCGACTGCAGCAGTTCGAATTATCCCGGAATGAGCCTCTTCAGCCTCCGGATCCCTGTGCGACGTTTTATAAGCCCTCGCATGGGAGCATAGGGGTGCTCCGATGCATGTCAAAGGTATCGGGCTGCATCTATGAAAAGAGCCCTTTATGATAGGCGTGTCAGTCTGTCAGCGGTTCCTTGGCCGGGGGGTCCCGGATAGGTAATATTGTGATCCGGTTCTGGCGGACCCGGAATCCTTAGGGTGGAGGCCGATGGGGGTGGACTGGAATTTAGGAGTCCATATCCATATTAATTTTTCCCTGAAATTTTCGCGCTCCTGCGGAAAACCTATAAAAGCATGCCTCGGGCCCGTGGCTGCACCAGCGTGCGATGGCTGGGAAAACTGACGAGCCGAGCAAGCAAGTAGTCCGAAGAGGGCAAGATCCGGTCTGTCCAAATTACGTGTTCCCAATTAGACCACTCGGTGAAGTTGATTTCCGAGGAAAGGGAGGGTAGGAATATCCACCTGACCCTCCTTTCAACCGACCAAGTGGCTCCCGGGGATGTTGGTTGCCCAGTGAATCCGTATTTAGTGGACCTGGAATCCGAGTCGGCCCGGTTTTGGCGACGCCGGGAAGAAATCTGGAAACCTAGCGTCTGTTTTAGGGTGCCGATACCATTATGATTGGTGTAACAGATGTGGGTCTGTGGATCTGGGACCCACTCGATTAGAACATGATGATCCACTGCAGGGAAGGGTGAGAAAAAAAAATTTGGGAAGCTTACTCTGAGCTCGTTTGCTCATTCCCATTCCCCCTTCCCTTCCCACCCCCTAACTGTGAAAATAAGGGTCACTCTCGATCTAATCACAAACAATTGAAACATTGATGCAGGGGAAACCAACTAGATGAAATTTATTTGCTTCTGGGGAACGAATATCAGGTGGATCCGAACATACACGTAGACCCGAACGAACCCGAATCCAGCCTGCGATACCTGTAAGAAATGAAAGATTGTTGAAATACAAGGTAAGCATTCCATGTAAAGGTGATTTGCGAGTGAAATACTCCGGCGTCCGCACAGAGTAGGGCTTTTTTCACACGCGCACTAGCCTCGACCGGGAGGCGGACGGGCGAAAATTGTGCCGTAGAGTATTTATGTCCTGGGACGACCTTCTTCCGTAGTTTCCCAGCTTTTTCTCCCTGAAAAGTTCCTATCCATCCCATAACCAACCCTCCCTCCAAACTCCTCTCCAACCATCACAATGGCCTCCCGTGTCTTCACTCAGCGCCTGGCTTCCACCATGGCCCAGACCTCCAAGGTCGCTCGCCCTGCCGCCCGCTTCCAGCTCAACGCTGCCACCAAGCGCACCTTCACCCAGAAGGCCCCCGCCGCTACCTTCGGTGCCCCCAAGCGCGTCGCCGCTCCCACCGTCCTCCAGGCCAACGCCCGCCAGGCCTTCCAGTCCGCTGCCCGCCGCCAGTACTCCTCCGAGGTCGCCACCGCCATGGTTGAGGTCTCCAAGAACCTGGGTATGGGTTCCGCCGCCATCGGTCTCGGTGGTGCCGGTATCGGTATCGGTCTCGTCTTCGCCGCTCTCCTGATGTCCGTCTCCCGCAACCCTGCTCTCCGTGGCCAGCTCTTCTCCTACGCCATTCTGGGTTTCGCCTTCGTCGAGGCCATGGGTCTCTTCGATCTCATGGTTGCCATGATGTGCAAGTACGTCTAAGCGTTTGATCGAAGGGCTTTGAAGGAACAAATAGAAAAGATCTCCTTTTTTCTTTTGTCCGCCGGGGAGGGTATCTGGTCGTGATGTATTACCATGTACTACTTTTCAGCGTCATCTACAACTTTTCCTTTCTGTACATATAGAGTCTATATGGCCTACCTATCCCGACTTCCAAGAGCCAAACCAAAACTCTGTGTGTTGCGTCCTCCGGCTGTATCACCATTTCCTAATAGCTCTTCCTGCGTCTTCTGCCTCTTGAGCATTTCATCGTAGATTGGCCTCTTTCAGTAGAGATGGCATCCAGATCTCAGTTCTGGACTTGTCGCGATCAGTCCCTGAATTGGAGCTCCAAGCTCAATCATCACAAACAGTTCAGCTGAATCTGGGGAGTCGCCCTTGCTTCCAAGTTTGACGATTCCCGCCTCGGGGCTGCTACGTGTAATCTTCTCCCATCGACAACACTACAACCACCATCAATTGGCGGTCAATGCTTAGCCATTTGAATCCACTCATCACATTCGGTCGACTGAGCTAGCTTGGTCTATAATTTTCTAGCTATGGGAGCAGCCTTTGGAGCTTGACATCCCCGGCATCCCCAGCGCAGAGCCTGCACTAGCTCCGGGACCTCGGGTAGCGCGTTTCCGCATGGGCCGGCTGACTCAGCTGCATGACATCAAGGAGATGAATTCATTATCTGAGTATATAGATCTTAGATGATCTTAGTGAGGTTGCAGAATAACTGTCTGTGTAGCAATTCGCTGAGATGAGTTGTATTACTAGGTCCGTGGTTGGGGTGCGACGTGGCTGCGTGGTTGCAATAGCCGGTGTCGGCTACCTAGGAGGTTGCGGAAGAGTTTGATACCTAGACGCAAACAGTTAAGGTACAATACGATGCGATGTGTTATTGATACTCAATGACTCCTCCTAGTCAAAACTGAGGCTTGCTTTCTCTCTCGAGGTCTTTTAATGGATGGTTCTACTTATATGAGGTCCTAGGTTCATCCCTTGGACTTCTTGGCGATGGAGAGGTCCGGGTCCGTCTACATCTTTGTGCATGCATTTTATAGGTACAAGAAGAACATTTCATGACCCTGGACTTGAATGCAGCCATTGGCCTATATATAGTCATGTGCGTAGTTTTTCTATACGATAATAAGCGTCCCTGAGATGCTACAAAATAGGCTGCATGGGATAAGTATATATTGGACGAGCATCACGTTATCTGACACACATTGAAAAAATGACATACTGCTGACTTTATGCATGGAAAGGTGTCAGAAAGGTAGAATCATGCCTGTCAAGAAGAGTTGGTCTATTTTTAAATAGCTAATGACACTCAAGAGTTGCGTGTAAGGCTGCAGCCTCATTTTGTGCAAACTTTCAAGGGGCTACGGCTACGGCCACGGCAATCACGAAACCTCCAAACACAGCACATCACATCAGCCACACAAAGCAACTATCGAAGTTTATGAAACAGTTCAATCCACATTTAATTAAGTATAATCAAAGTCATTAAAGTCAACAGACAGGGAACAAGTAAAGATCCAGACACAAACAAATTCGACTCCGATCATGCCACAAGACTCGCTTGCTCAAATGCTGTAGGGAAATAGGTATCATGACATGGGAATAGGAAAGCCAAACAAAGCGAGCTAAAGGTGGAAGCAAAAAGGGGGCTGCACGTTAAAATATTTCCAGATCTTCAAACTCCACAACCAGCCCGTCCGCAGATCCAGCCGCCAACGAACTATCCAGGCTCAAGCCATTCATCGCGTCGAACATAGTCTGCCCGCGACCTAAGTTCATAGGCCGGCTCGCATACATCCCAACATGAACAAACTTATCTTCAACACCGTAAAAGAACCAATTGACTTCCCGCAGCTTCGTCCACGTAGAACCCACCGCCCCCGGGCTCCGAGCAAACGGCGAAGCAGAAGGAACTTGGTACCAAACCCAAAGCGCATGACCGATACGTTCGAGTTTGATGCGTAGAGACTGAACACAAGGTCCCTCGGCAGATTGAACAGGAGACACGCACCAGTCGGCGCCATCTGCCGTCGCGCTAGTTGAGGAGGCATTGACGGTGCCTGATGAAAACTCCATGCCAGCTTTGACCCATTTGCACGGTGGCCGGACGCCTGATCGGCGGTCTGTGGTGATTGCCGGGGCACCCGAGAAGGACTGCGGCGCTGCGCCGGCGTAGATGACGAGGCCGCCTTGGTCCCATTCCATTTCCCAGTCGGCGCTGACGGTGACTTCGGCTACAACGAATGGGTGTCGTAGGGAAGTGAATACGATTGGCGCGGTCGATGTGTCGCCGTTGGGGGGCTTACGCCATAGATCAGTGTTTGGACCCGCTGTTAGAGTGAAGTATTCCATGCACTGCGGAAGACTGAACTCTGGTGGTAGGTTCAAGGCTGTGAAGGAGGAGCCGTCTGGAGGCATGTTGAAGTAGATTTTTTTGGACTTCGAAGACGCCTGGCAACTCCTGGGCTTCTTATGCCTTATATAGAGAATTGATACCGATCGTGCTGACTGTCCAATGCTGAGTCAATCAATGCCTCTAGGTGGACTGCGCTTCACTGTAGAGTAATCCAACCGAGTCTGTGCGGATCGTCAGACGGGAAAGCCGGAGATACAGGGGACCACAGCATTCGTTCCCAGAGAATGAAAAGAATGAGGCGAAGAACCAAATCGACAGGAAATTCCGATTCTTGCGGGGCAAATGTTGGGATATGATGTCGACTGTGCGCGTTATGCGGATGAGCAGCCGCATGCGGGCATCAAAGGAACACGACAGAAAGAGAAAAACAAAAACAAGATGAAAATGAAAACCCCCGACACGGGGAATTTAATTTGTGGCTAGTCACTATTTATATTATATCTTCCCCCTGGAGCTCAGGGGAGGGCAAAAACAGGAGCCTAGCAAGACCAAAGCTCGAACCACCTGGGGACAACCGAACTACCGGGCTCCCCTCAAAGCAACTGGGAGCACTTCGGGTGGGCTCTGGACCTGAAGACCGCCAAAATCTCGACAGATGGTGCGGACCAGTTTGCAAGTGGCGGGTCATCATGCATCCTGGGGGATCCATCACGTCGTGGATCCTAGGGCAACGTGGGAACTGGGAATTGGAACAAAGGAACTAGAGCTGAAACAGATCTTTGTCGGTGGGTTCATTCTCTGTCCAGCCGTGCGACGGACGTGCGACGCAGTGGCGAGCACAATTATACTTCGGGGATCTGTAGACGATCGGTCGGGTGGGAAAACACGTTAACGGGAAGACTAGAGCTGAGTCGGCTCCAGGATCTTCCCTGATCGGGGCGTGATCGGTGTGGTCTGACAACTCTGGGGACATACGCTTCTCAGCTGCAGGTGGCGGTGATGCTAAGCCACAGCCTTTTGCCCTGCAATCGGCTGAATCTGGTCTATCGCAGGTGGAGTGACCGGAGGTGCCGTGAGTCTTAAAAGCGTTCGTCCCGCCATACTCCGACCTAAACTACCTTCCTAAGGATCCTTAGGGCAGGTGCAATGATTTGCGTGGCTAATTATAGCGTCTCCACCATCTTTACGATCTCGTATGCGCTGGCACAGGCGCCACTCGACTCGATCTTGACTCCAGCTGATGACACCACCTGAAGTCTCTGTATAACAAACAGTCGCTCCCAAATCACTCGTCATAAGATGATTCTAGATGAAAAGGATATCACGCGGGGCCTAAAAATAATTGTATCTCACAAACAGGAAAAAAGGGGCCAAAGCCACGAACTGCGCGCCAAGCTACCGGGCGTCTCACATGGCCTTAAACGAGGCTCCCGCCCAATAGTAACCTTAGTGAAGCGACATATACTGGCTAGCCTTCTCCTAAGGGTTCATGAGGCTCTGGGCATTACGCCCGGGGAAACGGGAGTTAAAACCAGCTCTGATGACTCGCCGCGCGTGGATTTCTCCTTTGCGCAAGTCTCCTGCTCTATTACACCCTGTGCAGTAACAGTAGCTAGAGAGGAATTCACAACTTCGTTTGAAACGTATTTTGGAATACTTTTTACATTGGTCGGCCTCGCTCCAACATGCCTTCGCACGGGCTTTTCGCTCGCTACAGCTACGGCTATAGTAACTCGAACCCGTGGAGCAGAGAGTACCGACTTTCATTAGACAGGCTTGATCAGCCTAAGTCTTTGTTTATTGCTGAATTCGCTTTCGATGTTCTGACTCTGGCTGCCCTCATCTGCGGTATCATCTGGGCATGTTTGATCCGCAACCACAGAGGTGTGCTGAAGGGCGTGCTCACTTCTCTTTTTACCTGGCTTATGTATGTGAATCGCCTTTTGCGTAGCGACACGTGCTAACAGAAAAAAATTCAGTGCCATGGTTCTAGATATTATTGAGGAGAGTCTCTTCCTGGCCGACGTTACAGTCACCCAGTACTATCTAATCGACTTGTTCCTCTATGACTTCTTCCTCCTGCTCAGCGAATGCATGCTCATTTTCGTCTTCTACAACGTCATCCACAAGCTACTCGGCCATCTCACGGACTCAGGCAGACCATACGCTGCTGCCGTTGTAATACACTGGATCGCTCTAGCTTTCGCGGTTGCGCTGGCTGTTGCTTCGTGGGCCTTATATGTCGGATACCTGGTGGCGTTCGTGCAGAGTTCAAGCGATTATCACCTTGGGACAATATATAACAAGGTGGAAAGTGCGCGAGCGATCTATTTCTGGTTAATTTCACTGGAGATCCTCGCGTGGTCCATCTTTGCGACTGTCAAGGCTGGATCCCATCGCTTTATCTCGAGAGTGAGTTCACATTCAACATTGCAAACTTGATGAATACGTGGTAATAATAGCATACAGATGCCCGCGGTCGCCCTCATAATTGGCAGCGTCTTCTGGTTCGCCCTAAACATGAAGTGGGCAGTCATCGCCATGCGCTACTGGCTTCCAGCCGACGGGCGTGCTCCTCAATATCTATCAACCGCCGTGTCTGTCTGCCAATTCTTCTTCTGTGGAGGTATCTACTTTGGCCTTCTCACCTGTTGCATGAACTGGAGCAAAGTCGGTGGCGAGGATGAGAAGCGCGTGCCTACGCAATATGCTGTGCCTGCCAGCTATCCGATGTACCCGGCATATACGACTTATCCCCAATTCCCGCAGTCCCCTCAGGAGTACCCTCCGCATATGCAGCAGCTTCAGGGTCAGCAATATTATCAACAGCCTCCGCACCGACCCCAGCAATAGAATTCACAGCAGTGAGGTAGTGGAGGCCTGAACAGTGACGAAATGGAGCTACGAGCTCCATTGTCAATACATATGCGAGGCAGCTTTGCGATTCAACTGCTCATGTGTTTTCGTTTGCGTTTCAATTACGCGACTATGATTTGTTTAAACCGATATCCCAGACCTAGTTTGGACGTTATTATTGTTCACGAAATACCCATATTGACAGGATAGGATACCCAAATTGAAATTTCCGATTCTACATTCCTTCTATTCTGTAGAGCGTAAAAGAGCATCAATATCGTAAGCTGCTAGCCTGTGACCGCCAGAAAATCAAGATCTGGTTGTTTCTCAGTCATTCCATCTACACTCCGCAAATGTCTTGGCAAAGCAGGCGGTGGCGGCAAAGCGATCACATCACCCGAACATCTATCAAACTCAGACTAGCATCCTCAACCATGGTGTGCGCCAAGTGCCAGAAAAAGCTCAAGTCCACTGAGCTCGCCACGCCGGGCGTCAAGCGCAAGAATGATATGTACTACGGCTCTCCGTCTACCACTTTAGGCGGTTCTTCGGCGGCTGGTGCGGCAAAGGGCAAATCCACCCTGGGAAACACGGGTATTGGCAAGGTATGTTGTTTTTGCTTGCTTATGTTGTCTTCTCTCTTTGTTTTTTGGGGCATGGCTGAGTCAAATGCAGAACAAACTTCTCAGCGCGAAGGCGAAGAATCCTTATGCGGCATATGCTTCGTCTTGTGAGACTTGTAAGACGAAGACTGAGGCCGGGAAGAAGTACTGCCAGAGATGTGCTTATCAGAGGAACGGTATATTTCTTCTCAAACATAATCGTTTCCGTGATATCTTTGCTAATGGTCTACCTAGCCTGCCCGATGTGTGGCAAGAGTATGTCTGGCAAATCAGCCAAGGACCAGCCCGTTGTGCAAGGCCAGAAGTTCAACATGAAATGAGTTACATTTTCTGCCCGGGTTGGGGGTGATTGGATTTGGTAGTATTTTCTCTCAGTGCTCTATCACGGCATGGCGTTCGGAGTCCCAGTCAGGGCTATGTAATTAGGATCTAATCTCGATGAATAAATTTGATTGACAGTACAGAAATAATCTAGTTATACATGGCATGCGCGGTAAGAGTATATGCAGTGCGTCGATGACGCGTCATACCAGGCAACAAATCGCCAGTTCCTGGTTCCTGGCTTCGAGCTCGCTGCTCTTTGTTCATACACCAACTTGATCCAAACTCCGGTATACACTCCTTATCGATCCAACCGCTTACCGATCGGCAAGCATGTTCTTGACGTAGCTGTAGTATTGCGGGAGCACATGCTTCGCGATCTCGTCCTTGGACAACCACTTGAAGTCCTTGAGGTTCTGGACGTTGGAAGACAAGTCGGCTTGGCCGGTCATCATGCGAGTTTTCATGAAGAAGGTCTTCTCGCCGTGAGTCTCGGCGCCGGTGGCCTGGTCGATGTGGGGCTTGCGGTTTTTGTAGACGTGGTGTCCGGCGGGGTGGTAGCCGACCATCCAGGTGTTCATGTTGACACCGGCGGATTCGGCGAGGGTGCGCTCGGCAGCCTATAATGAGTACTTAATTAGAAAGACTGCCTCCGGATGAGATTATGTGTGGGCGCATGCTCACCTCACGGATGGTCTCCTCGTCCACTACGGGAGAGCTGGGGAACTTCCAATATCCCTCCTTCGACTGGACAAGGAGATAGAGAGTTTGGGGGAGCAACCGGTTCAGACTCTTAAAGTCGCCCTTCTTGTCGGCCTCCGTCACTCGCGAGAATGGCCGCGGGATCTCTTCCTTCTTGCTGGTATCTTGGGAGGTGGCGTTGGCTGTGGACTCAGCATCGTCAACCAACTTCTCCACCTGGTACTCGGGGTCAGACTCTCTGGACCCCATGAGAAGTTCGTCATTCCATGCGTCGCTGGCGTACGCGTTGTAGTTGCCGATGTCGCGTGCCGGGGTCCGGCGCTCGGCGATCTTCTTCTTCCAGTCAACATCGGCGGGGGTTCCACGCTTGAAGTAAAAGTATTTGGTAAAAGGCAGCGCCAGACGCTCGTTCAGACGCTTTTGGTAGAAATGGTAGGCTTTCTCGAACGGTTCGAGGTCGCGGGTGATCTGGGGCGGACGTGAAAGGACAACACCGGCGTTGATGGTGTAGACGGGCTTCACGACGGGGAAAGTGGTATCGGGGGCAGCGGTCGTTGACTGCGTCGCAGCCGCAGCAGAAGCATAGTTGCGGCGGCCGATGGTTTCTTGACAGCTTCTGCACACGCCGGAGTCGAGCCTTGACGGGCCTGGATCAGGGGAGTTAGTGGGAATTCCAATTCATCATAGATGGTACATACGTAGCAAGGAGGCTACGCGCCGGGCGCCATTGGAACCTGACGACATCGTTATAGAGACAGTTGATGCTGTTTCGACACCCTTTGCAACTCCGAGAAAAGTTCCAGCAAAGTCACGTTGGCACTACACCGAAAGGGGACTAGCGTAGAGCGGGCCACATAAAAGCGCGATCTCCGCTCCAAAGATTTTCTCTTCTTTAGGCACCCATTTCCTTATCGTCAGCTGCGTCTAGTAATTCCCACGACCAGTCGATCATTTAGTGGTGTCTAGAGCGACTTCGCGGCTGATTCGCTAGCGGTACCTTCGTATTGTCCAAGGTGTACTGTTAGATAGATGCGGCGAACATTTCGGCACTTCATTGGTGCTATCTCTAGGTATCTAAGTAGTAATACAAATTCATTTGATCCTCTCAAGCAACTATAATGTCTGTCAGTTCATGTTTCCAGTCTCCCTAGCCACGCTAAGGTCTATGATCTCTTCGTACATGCCGAACATGCGCAGCTTGTTTCCGTAAACGCTCCAAAAATTTTCGGTCAGTGGAGGAACTAGCTCGCCATTGCGAACCTTCCCAGCGACTGTACCTTCAGTCTCGACCGGGAAATGAAGTGAATCCTCCAGAGAGAAAGAACAGCTTTTGACGTCGTCACCCTCTGCGAAGTCCATCAGGTCGATCGGGTTGCTTTGAGCTTGTTTGGAGCGAGCATTTACGAGGCTATTGAAAAACTCCTGGGCATCGTACAACTGATCATGAGCAACTTGGAGTTGCATGCACAGCAAAGAACCCATTGCGCCCCGAGGCACAGTTATCTCCTTGCGAAGACGAAGCTGAACAGAGAGCTTGAGAAACAAGATGGCTGTGAGCATGCTGTCGTAGCCTGCCTCGTGAAGGCTCTCATGCCACAAGTACTTCCCGTATGCATTGTCTAAGGCCGTATAAATTCCTTGTTAGCTACCCGCGAAGTGAAGAATTCTCTGTAACATACTAATGGTGGGAACAGTCAAACTGGCCATCATCTTGCAGGCCTCCGGTAGCGAAGAGCGGGCATTACTACAGCCCGAGTAGGAGGTGTATAGATATTTAGTATCAATCACGAGTGGAAACATCCGGTGGAAGAGAACCTGGAACTCTCCTATCGTGTCAGGCAACTTGCCGATGAAGTGGTGGTAGAAGAATATCAAATCGGTGAAGCAGTTGTGTCCAACGAGGACTGCCCGATTGTCCTTGAGATGTTGCTTGAGGGCAGAGGCGAGCTCTTCGAGGATGAAATCCGTGGGTTGGGTGAAGAGATCAGCAAACGAAGCGCTTGGGAGGGACGTGAGATCTCCTCCTATTAAAGCGTCAGCAACCCAGCGAAATCCAATGCCTTTCAGTATTATTTGCTCCGCCTGCTCCTTCTGTATCTGAAGCCTCCCACTGTTCGCGTCTGTCCCAGTCTCCTGGACTTGAACATATCCGTCGCACGCGCTGGCTTGCAGGTTGGGGTAATCGATGCCCACCATAGTCACCAAGAGGTTCCTTTGCTGATAGTTCAAATAGCCAGGGAGATTATACTTAGCGGTAAAAGGTGGCATTCTTAGAATTCTTGGGGATCGACCTCGGAATATCCAGGCGTCAATCACAGCGTGAGCTGCCCGGCGGAATTTCAGAGACTCGGGGACTCTACCTCTCGGTTCCCAGGTAAAAATGCGCTCGGAATTTAGATCAAACGTTTCCCGGGCCTCTTGCTCTTCACGGTGAGTAAGGTAGTGGACACCTTCCTTGCAGAGTGCATCGATGCCGAGACCATGTCCCAACAGATAATCGATCGCTACGGAAAAGATATGAATCATTATGATGGATACAGAGGGCGAGGAAGACATACATGCGCTTGAGACCGTCCATTCACGGTTGATCTTTAGGGCCTGGTCCACGATGGGGCTCAAGTTAATATTGAACGGCTTGATCTGGTAGACGCCTGCATATGCCAGTGGTCAGCTTGAGTCTAGAAACAAGGCTGCAGATACCATCACGTACCATTTTCGGTGTCCTTACTGCAGAATGTTAGACCGACCTGCAGAATATGGTACTTCTCAGCGGCGCGTTTGTTTTCCAGATACCGTTCTTGGAGAGACAGACTCCGTGGTCCCCTCTCGGGGAGGCCAGAGCGATCCCGGAGAACTCGAAGTCGATCGCGACGAAGAAGCTCTGGGTGAGCTCTTTCAGGAGCCAAGGAAGATAGGATTGGAAGTTATGCTGGCCAACGTCCATCTTCTTGATGGATGAGAGCAAATGAAATTGTATTTGTGAGAGAGGTGAAACCAAAGGATGGTGTAGGCGCGAGATATGAACTGGGCGTGGAGAACAAGAGTTAAATGAGCATGGAAGGCGAGATGAAACGTTTGAAGTGAGAGGAAATGCGGAAGGAAGAGATGCAGAAGTAAAAACGGCACTTGGGCGGTTCCATTTAAGAGAAGTGCTTGACATGTTGTAGACGAGAGAGTGATGGTCATTATACGTGTACAAACGGTGCCTGCCCACGTTTATCGGCGTTATAAATCTGAATTGAATGATAATTAGCGACATTTTCTACTGTCTACAGTGATTTTTGCCCAGAAGATAGACACTGCACCTCGTAGTATACCTAGGGAGACCATATCCACTCGAGTGACTGATGGATAAAACACGTAATAGACATCTTGAAGTAAGAGAAATGTGCGTGGGAACTAAAATTGTGTTATGCTATGCAGTACGACTAATAGATAAAGCTGTCACCAGCGGTTGTGAGTGAATTTTAGAAGCAAGCAGCAATAGTAAATGTGGCTTATAGCTCGGCACACTGAGAAGGATCCTTAGAATAACGCCTAGCGCTTAAGATCTACATGCAGCGCGGCCAATTAACACGCGAAGAGATACCTTAAACGGCGTTCTAGAAACCGAACTTCAAGATATATCTCTTTAGCTCTCGGTATTCGTAGCGAGTGCAACTAATCCCGTACCCGAGGCCTTTTCCCAGCTAGTTTCCCGATGGCTATTGCCATACGTACTCCAGCTTCCAAGCTTCCTGGCTTGGGAGCATCTTCAATGGGATTTCATGATGATGCTTGATTTGACAGCAAGGCCATTATTCATTAAGAGGCGATTTTTGCTAGAGCTCGGACAATACAGCCCGAATACTAGTACTGTCTCTTTTTAGAACGCTTGAAAGATTTTGGGACATAGACCGGTGCCATGACCAAGGTTGAGACGATAGATTTGGACAGAAAAGATCCTTCGTTACCCGTTCGTATCATCTGCTTCAAGTGCTACTGGATAAAAACGAGGATCCTTCAAAAGGCATAAAATGCAGTAACAATGGCAGTGTATGACCGACGTAAACATCTGAACGTTCACGGGGAAAGCAATCCCGTGACTAACCCCGGACTTGGGCGAGCCGAGGGAAAACGACAGCCGATCGCAGAGTTCCCGGCGCCAGCTCTCCTTCTCTTCCTTCACCATCCATCTGTTCTTTTCTCGTTTATGTCCCAGAAGTAAACTATTTCGAGTGTTGCGCCGTTCCATGCTTCTGGAAAGCACCGCCTGACGCAATGTCGACACATACCAAGCTCTCCTCGTCCTCTACCAGCCCCACGAGGCTCTGCTCCAAGACCTACAAGAAAGCTTCCCAACTCTACCTCACACGACGCCTACCGGAATCGCTTGCATCCCTACAGCCAATCATCAATGTCTCGTCGTCACAAGATGAACAACAATACACGAATGGTGACTCGGCCGCGGCCGCGCCCGTTGCGCCGATCGCCACCGCCCCCGGCACGTGGAGAATCAAGGTGTGGAATCTCTACATCACGCTCCTCAGCGCAATAGTAGATCTCGGAGCAGAGGAAGGGAAGAATCAATTCGGTCAGAAAGAATGGAAGACAATTGCGACACAAGTTCGCGAAGGCGGCATTTGGCAGGCCGTTGTGCAGGGCGGATACCAAGGCCGGGAAGGCTCCGTTGACGCCGAGGTTGTCTATAACTTGTGGGTGTTCGCTTTCTACCTTCGATCCCAAGAACTACACTAACGCATCCTAAATAGAGCAACATTACTCTTGAATCACTCCTCCTCTCAAGCTCTCAACCAGCAACGACTCGAAACCTACCTATCATCCTACGGACAACCCAACCTTGACCTTGCAGACCGTCTTCAAGATGCCTCCAGTGGCTCTCCACCTCCACGGATCTCCGCCACGAGCGGAACAGATACTCCAAAGGACCTGGCTGCCCGTGTGCGGATCATCGAGCTGTTTGTCTTGCATGTCCTTCCCCGCAACGAGGAATGGGAGTACGCACACGAGTTTGTCAACATGAGCGAAGTTTTAGACGAAGAGCGCAGAGAATTGTTCATACAAACTTTGGAAGGATTGAAGGAAGAGAAAGAAAGAGGGGAGATGCGTGCCGCGGAGTTGCAACGCCAGAAAGACATGGAGCGTGAGCGGCAACAGGATGATGAACGCCGGAGAGCCGAGGAGGCAGCCGCAGTCACACCTCCGAGGGCCAATGGGCACAAGCGCAATACCAGCGAGGTCGACTATGGGATTGAGAAAGAAAGCCCGCGCAATGCTTCCAAAAGCAAGGGCTCGGGCTCCAAGTCCCCGGATAAGTCGCCCAGCGGCGGCAAATCAACAGCACGGACTGCTCTTTCATCTGGCTCGAAGAACTCGAAGAAGCAGGTCAAGCCCGCTCCTCAGGCGAAGTCAAAAGCAGTGGCCAATACGCTTCGCAACCTGTTCAAGCATATTATCCAGAGCGTGTCGGGCAACCCACTATCAATAGTGCGCACTCTACTCTTCGTGCTTGGAATATTGATGGCGGTGAGCCGACAGGACGTCCGCGAGCGAGTCCGCAGGATCACGGGCTCCGCATGGGACAAAGTGAAGGGCACCGTCGGAATGGGTGTGAAGGTTAGCTATATCTGAGATATCAGCTCACCATGAGTTTTTGCCTTCAACATTGCATTACTTATCGTGTATATCTTTCTTGTCATCTGAATAATCCCTTGTTTTTTCCGGGGATATTTGCGGTCGCATATACATTTTCTTCAACTGTGATTGATTTTGTCTATGTATTCTACCATAAAATGGACGCATTTTTATTTTTGGTCGATTTCTTTCTACCACACCGGCCGAATGAGAGTTATTTAGTAGCATTCGCCCTCCATTGATGTCAGTGTAAAAAGATTAGATTCATATCTTGGACAGCACCGGGTGGGCAGACTTTGGCTTCTCGAATGCCCTGGACTCGGCCCATCCTGTCGGTTATCAATGGTGGAAATCTGGTTACCCATTGCGAGATCCAGGTGAAATTAGGTATGGTAGAATAGAAAGGTACGCTGAGCCAGCATATCCCGCTCTGGGCCCTAGTTCAGGTGATAGAAACGCTTAGAAATCAAGATCAAAGGTCTTGTATAGGTGATTCACGTTCGGCCTAAGGAATAGCGCCACATGAATCAATCAGTGACGGCCATTTTCCGCACTGCACCAGATAATGGATCCAGTTGAACACTATCGTCCAATCAGAACTCGACGGCCCTCCAGATCCGCTGACAAAGAAGCCCGGTGTTTCTTAACTCCGCCACGCCGACACAATTTTCAATGCTTATGAATTCTTTTATAAGAAAAAAAAAGTGGAATTTGTAATCCCATTAGGTGGCTTTCAGCCAGATCATTGGTGTTGACACCCGTGGCCCCGTCTATCTACCATAAATAAAAAGACGCTAAAACTACCCCTCTGTAGATATGAAAACCGCTCATCAGCCTCTTCTGTGGACTTTCATTCTCTTCATTCCTCTAACCTACTACCTCTACTCTACTTTCACAATGGGCAGCAACGCAGTTGAGTTCAAGAACCCGGCGACTACCACTCTTATGGAGTTGGTCAAGTCCCGCCGCACTTACTACAACCTCAAGGCCGAGAGCCCTATCTCCGACGATACCATTGACAGCATTGTCCAGGACTCTGTCCTCCACGTCCCCAGCTCTTTCAACACTCAGACTTCCCGTGTTGTCCTCTTGCTGAAGGAGGAGCACAAGAAGGTTTGGGACATTACCATCAATGTGATGGAGGGTCTTGTCGCTGCCGGCCACGTCCCCAAGGAGATGTACGAGAACAGCACCAAGCCCAAGCTCGAGAGCTTCAAGGCCGCCTACGGAACTGTAAGTAACTTGCTGGTCTATTGATTGTGAACAAAAACTAACCTATCCAGGTCCTCTTCTTCGTTGACTACGAGTCCCTGGCTACTATCAAGGAGAAGTTCGCTATCTACGCCGACAAGTTCGACCCCTTCGCGCTTGAGTCCAACGCCATGTCTCAGTACCTTGGTATGCTTGACTCTTTCTAACATTCCTCTTGCAATGGTCCTAACAATTCACAGTCTGGATGGCTCTTGAGTCCGAGGGCTTCGGTGCCAACCTCCAGCACTACACCCCTCTGATCGATGCGGATGTCCGTAAGACCTGGGACCTCCCTGAGTCCTGGAAGCTCGACGCCCAGTTGGTTTTCGGTGTCCCCGCCTCCGACGCCGGTGAGAAGACCTTCGCTCCCCTCGAGGGCCGCTACAAGGTCTTCGGCAAATAGATATGCCCCTTTTGTTTTTTAGCCAAGACTATGCATAGAACATGACTTCAATGGAATCAAGACATAATTAAAGAACTTCCTTCGAATTCAATGAGTAGGGTTCGACAAAGAATCTATATAAGGGTATGATGAAACTGATTTAGATCCATCCTGGATTTGAATAGGGAACTACAATACTCTCTTTTCATCACGGGATCTGGTCCGTGCATCTCGAGGAATGCGGGTAGATCCGCTTCGTCACGCAACATTTTGGGTTTTCTTCACGCTTAGTATTCTGACAGGACGTAAAAACAAAACAAACTTGGAATTGGATTTAGGAGCCCAAGAGGTACGTTGATCTATCAAAGAAGAAATTACCAAGGCCGCCTAAACCTGCAATCTCGCAGCATACGATCCAAATCCTCACACAATAAGTGGATTAGTAGTAGTGCGGATGATCGGGATCCGAAAGATCAAAGATAACACTAGAGTGAGGCTTAGCGCCGCCACGATTGGCGAACTCTTTGCTAAAGTCGATAGAGCGGTTGAAGCTTAGGCTTCCGTCATCGTTGATGTCGATGTACAGTACTTTGAAGTCAGCTGGGGTATTGATGATTCCGATTTCGCCAGTCTGTACAAAGTAGTCTGTATTGGGTCAGCAAAGAGCTGATTGTAATACGAACCAGCTATCTTACCTGTCACAACCAGATGTTTCTGATCCGGAGTAACTTTGACATAGTGAGGTCCAACTGTAGGTTGGTCCTCATCTGGATCATCAAGTCGCTTGACGTTTTTGAGATCACTGATATCGAGAGCTGCAATGTGATTTGCGGTTGTCAGAGTGAGATAAAAGAAGCGACCGTCTTGGCTAATATCGGTGCTGTAGTGAAAGAGAAGCGGTTAGTATCGCACACTCAGTTGGAGGAGAGGGCGGGTCGCATACTAGATGGCGACGGTATCCCGAGCCTTAGGTCCAAGATCATATAGCTCTTCAATGACACCTTGGTTGCCATTTCCATCTTTTCGGTGGGGATAGATGACCCAAACTTGTCCGAGATGGACAGCAGTGGCGAGAGCAGCACCTTCGGGGTGGCCTGGGATAAACTTCACATCTTGGATTCCACCTCCCTAGAAGGTTGATCAGCATCAGTCTTGCTTGAGATTGATTTTAGGTCTGCAACAACAGGAGGAGGAAGACCAACATTGGGAATGGTGAGGGTGCTGATAATTCGTCGTGAATCCAGATCCCACAACCGAAGAGTATTGGCATGCACAACGCCCAAGCTAGGTTTCAAGATGCTCAACGGTACGACAAAATCACTAGTTAAAATGACCTTCCGCTTCCAATCAATACTCAGACCATGAGGAGAAAACTGTTCACCGAGAATGTTGAGAGTGCCGTCCACATCCTCGGGCCATTCATGGATGATATCAAAATTCTCGTCTGTCTCAATAAGCCGTCCTGGAGAAGTACCCAGCGCGGAGCCCATGTATGTAATGAAGAAGCCACCATCAGGCTTAGCACGAACTTCATCCGCAATGGAGGACAGAATTGCGCGATTGCTTTTTTTGAACTTGGGGCGATAGGGATTCGAGGTGTCAAAGTAGAAGCCCGTATCCTATGCGAACATAAATTAGTATTACTGATCAGGTACATTGTGCAATTGAGCGAGACGCACTTGGGTTTTCAGCAGGGAGAGCAGTCCTCCACCAAAAAGTGTCTTTCCGTCCAGAGATGGACCCAGGTGATGAGGGTCATTTCCACTAGAGGGAACATCGGTGACCCAGAGAAGAGTACCAAAGGTGTCCTAATAAAATTAGAGTAAGAAACCCGCATTTAGTTTCTGGGGATGGATAAACCTACATCGTCAAGACTATAGGTAGCCAGGAAATCTTTTTAATGGTTAGCAGCTGTAAAGAGAGGAAAAGCAACTGGAAACCACCCACCCTTGTGAAATTTATCACCAGCGCCAGTCCAGAAATAACCAATTTTTTTAGGTCTAATGTTACTGGGAGTAAACGGAGGGCTCTCTAGTGGAGGTGTGGGAACCTGCAACACTGGCAGTGGAGGGGCATTAGAAGTCAAAGGCTCTGTCACCCCAGGGATAGTGGGAATGAGAGGGGGAAGGGAAATGCCGAGAGACTCTCCAAGAGAGATCAGAGACACTACCGTGACAATTGAGTATCTCATATTGCTTGGTCGATGGCGTAAAAGATTTTCGGCTGTCGGTTCTTGGATGAGCAGATATGAGAGAAATTCTACCATGTTAAATAGCTCTCTTCTTCCCGAAGCTAGAAAGGTTTACCTGCTACTCAATCCCTCAGCTCATTCTTCGAAAAATCAATATTGAGCACGCCATGCTCACATTTCTTGGCTTGATGGGATATTTGAAATATCTCAAGACGAGCTTTATCTACGATATGGCGAGTTCCTCATAGCAGTCGAGAATACGAGAGCCAAAAATTTCCCGTAAATGGCAAAGCAAGCTGTCAATCCTTCGGGATCACTGCTGAACCTAGAGCCAAGACAAACTAATGCTTAGAAAATGTCGTGATTGAAGTCAAAGAACGCTGGCGATGAGGCGCGGCATTTCATCTGCAGAGTACGACTCGGACGGCCGGTAGTTCGAACTCTGAATTACTCTCGAGGGATGAGCCTCAGCGGGGTCCATGATTCTCCCATCGCCATCTTCTGTTTACTGATTTTTGGGACTCTTCTGGCATTGTGTTATTTACGATTAATGCCTGAGGAATCTTAGAAAATGTCGATACAGTTTCTAGAGATTCATCTCAGCCCTGGTTAAATTGAACTCCACTCATAGCCAAGAAAGCTACACATGGAAAAATTCAAATTTGAGGCCAAGAGGCCAAATCATAGCTTAGTGTAGTTGCTCGTGAACGAACTCATACAACGGACAATCTTCCAGGCGCCAAGAACGGCCAAGGATATCAAGACACGACTCATTCGTGAAGCGAATGAGGTGATTGAATGCAGGTTCGACTTCAGCTATCTAATATTACTGGTGCTTCAAAATAAGGGTCCTTCCCGTATCTGTCAGGGTCCCGGGATCGGCACTAGGAATTCCTCATGGGTCCCAGTCGCACGGTCCCGGCATGATATTCGCCAACATGCCAAGGATAGAGCAATACAGCCAAAGCTTTCCTCGGGAATCAGGTCTTCGTTGGTCGCCGATGCAGGGTTTGGCATTTTCGCGGGCTGTCGCGCTATTTAGATGTCAAGGTTGCATCATTTCCTCACCATGGCCTAGTATAGTCGCAAGAACACGGAATGTCTATGCGGCTAGATCTTTGGATCGACATCCATAATCGCGATCTTTATTAGGAATGTTGTCATTTCTGTTTTTTCTCGGCACAAAAGTGATTCCTGACAAAACTGTAACTCGGGTTGGGTATATAATGGTCATTACTTAGGCCATGAAGAGAATGTGAAGCCAAGGTCCGCTGTTTTTTATTGCAAATTTTCTGAACTTCCAGGTGGCCATAATGCGATTCCAAAGCTTTGCACTTGTGGGTCTTCTCTCATCAACTGCCCTAGCAGTGCCAAAGCTCAAGCGATCTAGTCCTGGGAATGCAGAGCCGATCAACGATGAAGGAAAAGGAGCTCCTTTGCTCGGTAAGTCCAATCTAAGCTTTCCAGTGAGCATCCTGCTAAAACGCTCGACCACAGGCGGAACCAACAAGGCCGTAGACCTCCAGAACCCCGACCAGCTTCGCACGCCCAAGACCGATAACGGCTTCGTTCCCAACGTCAAGTGGAGTTTCTCCCAGTCTCAGACCAAGCTGTTTCCGGGTGGCTGGTCTAGAGAGCAGGTTATTCAAGATCTTCCCCAGAGCACCGATATTGCCGGTGCTCAACAGCACTTGAAGAAGGGCGCTATCCGTGAACTGCACTGGCATCGAGTGGTATGTCTCCTTATAAGATGTCATATTGGGCATTGACTAACTCGCGGATTAGGCCGAGTGGGGGTTCGTCTATAACGGAAGCCTCCTTCTCACTGGCGTTGATGAGAATGGTGGTTTCACGACCGAGAAGCTCGAGACTGGAGATATTTGGTATTTCCCCAAGGGTGTAGCGCACAATGTTCAGGGGCTCGATGATGAGAATGAATATCTGCTCGCTTTCGATGATGGTGACTTTGAAAAGATCGGGTGAGTTTCCCTCTGGTCCTTCCAAAAGAACATTGCTAATCAGAAATCTCAATGATAGGACTACCTTCATGATTAGTGATTGTGAGAGAAGCAACACTACTCTTTTGGATAAAGACTAACTAATTCTTAGGGATCTCACATACTCCAAAGGAAGTCTTGGCCAAGAACTTTGGAATCAGCCCTGACGCCTTCGATAAGGTCCCTTCGAAGTTCCCATACATTCTGAACGGCACCGTCAGTGAAGATGCTAAAAGGGCTCCCGAGGGCACTCTTAAGGGTAACTCTTCTTATGTTTTCCATACCTACCAGCATGACCCAGAGCCTGTTCCTGGACATGGTGGGACATTCCGCAAAATTGATTCCCGCAACTTCCCGATCTCCGAGACCATCGCTGCCGCTATCGTTGAACTCGAGCCTAAGGGTTTGCGCGAACTACATTGGCATCCTAATGTAAGTTTTCTTCTTCTCATTACCCGCTCACTAAGAGCACATAATCATAAAATGAATAGGCGCAGGAATGGCTCTATTTTCACCAGGGCAATGCCCGTGCAACTGTTTTCATCGGTGACTCTAAGGCTCGCACTTTTGACTTCACCGCTGGCGACACAGCTGTTTTCCCTGATAACAGTGGTAGGCATAATTCATTCCCTGGACTATGACTAAAGCTGACACGTTTTGCAAGGCCACTATATCGAAAACACCTCGGAGACAGAGAAGCTTGTTTGGGTTGAGCTATACAAGAGCGACCGCGTGGCTGATATTTCCTTGGCCCAGTGGCTTGCACTTACTCCATCAGACACTGTTGCAAATGTGCTGAAGCTGGACATTGAAGTGGTCGAGCATATCAAGAAGGAAAAACAGCTACTTGTTCAAGGCTAGATTCTCATGTTCATGTCACATGGGATAATGTGCGGGGCTGCGATGGTATCCTTCATGAGCTCTTATTTCTATAAAGTGCTTTTCTTCCCTTACGACTCTGACTTATATAACCATATCCCTTAAATAAACCAAAGACAGTCCTTTGTAGCCAGTGCATCTCGCCTTCACCATTATATTCGCCGCGTATAGTAGTTCGGTAGTCTCATCCTTCGTTCCACTTCCGAGGTGCAGTCTCCCGCTGCATGTCCCAGTAATGCACTCAAAGTCGTTACGTTCGAGGGTCTTCGTCTGACAATGGGCAATAGCCGAGCTCAATATCGATACGACCGTTCATCGTTATCTAATATAAGTGAGAATTTAGTGAAAAATTCATCTGTTGACTTTGTTGACTGACATGGTTGGAAGTACCGACGTTTGCGTAGTCCTCTAGCAGAGCGTGAGATATGGATCCTGAGCACTAGTTGTACCCGCCGCTTAATATTAGGGAAGGGTGTTAGTGAGCAGGTCTACAGTTGACTGGCCCCCCAAGACCAAACTTACCGACCCATCGTTATCGTGCACTTGGTGAAGATGGAAATGACTTGATGGTTGTGAAATGAAGGTCAAAAAAAAGGCAATGAGAATGGCCACGTAGATGAAGAAAGGTTGGTAAAGCTCAGAGAACATCTCGTTGGAAATAGGCTCTTGTAGTCAGAACCAAAGGGGCTGTTTCATTCAAGCACTGCCCACCTTTATGTGTACTTGGTAATATATACTGACGGGGCGTAAAGCCTGAGAGATCGGATAGGGGAGAGCCCTGCCATATGTGCCTGCGACTGTCTGTGAGCTCATGCGAGGAGAATCGACAGATCGTTCCTTGAAACTTGCATTAAACCCTTAGGGTTACAATGAGAAAGTGGTATACAGGTGGCCGAGAATATGACGCATAGCCCCGTCTGTGCCTAGCCACGAATGGATTTCTGTAGAGGTGACCTCGCTGATTGCTGATATTATTAGATAACGCATACGGCCGGACCAAGGAGATGCTTGAGGTAACCCTTGTAGGCGGCCATGAGTTACCTTTCCGGGCGTAGTCTACCACCCGGGCCGATTTATAGAGACTTTTGAAATGATGAGTTGGAAAGGAGCAAAACGACGCCTGTCATTACACTTAGCATCACTTGGAGGACGAGATTACGGTGGACTTTGAGAGCGAAGACTCTAGGTCCCAGATATGACTACCGTGGTCGAGATGCAGCTGGGGCGTTATCTAATTCTCAAAATCACATCAGGAGCTTGGAATAGAATCCACAAACCCAAAATAGGAGCCGTGCATCCACATATAGGAACCGAGCGTCTCCGAACAATAAGATGACCAAGAATAAGCGAAGAAGAATTCCCGGGATATTGGACCGGGAACCCAAGGACCAGGCCCCTGGAACAGACCGATGAATGACGCAGCCCAAAGCCCCTGCAGTTCAGCAGGACACGTCTCCAAGCAAATCCGTCAAACCCGCGATGATCCATTGCCGGAAAAGTCTAGCCGAGAATACGTCTACTGCCTGAGGAGACGAAACACACTTATGCAAGACTATACATTTCCCGCGATCCGCGAGCAATGAGAGTCTCTCGTTGTGCAGCAGAGCCCCGAGCCCGTGCAGACGCGCATGTCAGGCCCGAGCTACTGCCGAACCCAGGTCTTTGGTTCCGCCGGCCCGCACCCACCTTTCCACACAATCGGGTCGAAAGGATGATCGCCCAATGAAATATGCTGAACTCCCTATTCGGAACTCTGATTGCTTTTCATTGCCTTCTGAATTTGCTTCCCAGGCCTCTGTTAGTTTAATCCTTGTCAAGAAGACACCGCCCCGTGGGTTGACTCTTGCCAATTTGGGTAGTCGGGATGTTGATCCTGCGGCTCTGTGCGCGTACCCCTCCCTTGGGACTATTGTCTTCGGTGGAGACCTGGTTGAAGCAGTGTAAAGAGAAACGGGATGAATCTGGGCCGGCGAAAAAAATCCGCTAAAAGATAAAAAGAGGAAAACTAGAGGCGAATATCTTATAAAAATGCATGGGTCCGGGATGCAGGAGGCAGCGAGTCTACGGAGAACCCCTCCATGTTCGCGAGGGAACCAATTCATGCGAAATCTTCATGTGGAAATTTGTGTTTTGAAATCACAAGCGCTGTCGCTATAAACCATGGCCATGAAGGCAGTAGAAAATCAAACTCCAGTAATGCAAACATGCAGGTTGTGCAGCCACCCAACACCAGGCCCGGCCAAGCCTATGTCAAGTCAAAAAACATAAAACTCCATAGGCACTACCACCAATGCTTTAATAAAAACCGCTCCTCCGTTGAGTAAAATAAAAACCACCTTTAAGCCTTGTTGGTGATCGCCTTTCTCTTAAGAACACCCAGCTCCTCCAATTTCGACCACGCCTTGCCCATGTCAGGACTGTCCTCGCCTAGGGTTGGCCGAAGCTCCAATCCATCCAGGGTGCTGAGTGAGCCGCTTGTGCCAGCGTAAAGCAAAAGCTCCAGCACGCTTCTGCGTAACCGAGTTACTTTGTCCAAATGGCTGAGGTACTTCGCATCTGCGCTGGGGTCGGCAAGAGGGAGAGTGAATGGGTCGTTAATCTCGACATTTTGCTCGCCCTTCGATCCGTCCTCCCAAGTGACTGCCTGAGTCATTTGGTCATTCTGATCAAGGTCGGCAAGAGCATCCGAAAGATCTCGTCGATTGTCCTGTTGGGGGATGATTGCCTTATCCTGGTCTTTCAACTTCTTGCGGTCCACATTGGTACCATTGCCTGTGAGGGCTGGGGGGTAGAATCCAATGGTCAATGGGTTACCGCGGATATCAAGCTTCCGTAGGGAGCAAGGGTTTCCGCGGCCATCTCGGCCCAGTCGGCTGAGAATTTGACAGATGCGTCTCATTCTGGCCAGTCGGTTTCCAACGATAGACAATCTGGAGAGACACTTCATTCCCACAAGTGGCTCTAGCTCAATGAGTGAGTTGAAGTTCATGTTCAACACCTTGACGTTGGGGAAGTTCGATGAAAAATCATCGGGAAGAGCAGGCAGGGTGCAGGCAGCCAGATCGAATAATTGGAGTTGAAGCAAAGGTACCGACGGCGAGAGACACCCAGATGAAAGCTTGTTGGAAGACAGGAACAATTTTCGCACATCCTTAACACAACCAAGATCGAGATCCAGAGCAAAGCTCGAATCGTTCTCCAAAAGCGAAGATTGCTCTCGTACTGAAAGTACCTCGAGGTTGTGGCAGTGCTCCAGGCTAGCGATAGCAGACAAGCAGTTCTGGTCAAGGTAAAGAAGGCTCACAGAAGATAAATTCTTCACATCAAACCGATCCAGTCGGTTTCCAGAGAGTCGAAGGGCACGTAGGCTAATAAGTGATGATGAAGCTTCGAGTCGTGTGATTTGGTTGGCGCTAAGATCAAGGGTAGAGAGAGACGGAAGCCACTCGATATTCCGAACCGAAGTCAAGCAGTTATGACTCAAGTCAAGATCACGAAGTCGAGTCCTAAAAAATCAGTATTCTACACAGTAAATATGTGGTAAGGCAACCTACAGTTCAGCTCCTTCGAAATCAACACTGGTAACAGAATTGTTACTCAGCTTCAGGCTCAGCAGCCCATTCAAATCCATGATACCGTCGATGTTGCGGATTTGGTTGTCGTTTGCCTTCAATTCTCGAAGGTGTATCAAACTAGAGAAACCATCCAGCGTTTCAATGTCGTTGCCAGAAATGTCCAAATATTGCAGGTTGGTCAAGTGGCTCCAAGGCGTGAGGTTTGAGAGACAGTTCCGAGAGATCTTCAAAGTTCGCAAGGTTGAAGGAACACCGCTCAGCTGACCAATGTCATTATCGGAAACATCGAGATCCTCAAGTCGAGGACAGAAGTCACTCAGCTTGTGGAGAGTAATCAGTCCCTTTTGACGAAGCACCAAGCGGCGGACATGGTCCCAGTAGGGCTCATAAGGTTCTACATCAGTGATGTGCTTGATGAGATCCTCTGTCGCGAGAGCAAAAGTTCCGTGAACCTGTCTCAGCGACTTGGGATTTGTCCGTTGGGCCACATAGCTCATTTCGAGATTCAGGGGGTGGTCTGGCTGGTTCACAGAGAATTCAGCGAGAGGACTCAGATGGAAACTGTAGTTTGTCTGCTCGGGACTTTGAATGTGGACCAAGGAAGTCTCAGCACCACCTGCACCTGGGGTCTGCTGGACAGCCATCGGATCACCTGTGCGAACAAGGCTGAGATCTTCGGCGCCTTCCTCGTTTCTTTCTTCGATTCGAGAGATGGGACGTCGGATAAATGGCTGGCCGCCCACAGAAGTTTCACGGCCAATCGGCCGTGCGGTGGACCGCGATGGATCATGCGGCTGATCCGTACGAGCTGGACTATCTTTCGGTGACTGAGCTGTGTCAGTCACCTCTCCCTGTTCTAAAACCGATTCCTGGGCATCGGAGCCATCTTTATGAGCGACGTGCGACACAAGAGGTGACGAAAAGGTGATTGTCGCAACACGAGCCTGTTTTGCGCGAGGCTGTGAGCCAGGTACAGGAGCCACTTGGCCAACTTGACCTTCTTTCATTTCATCCGTGTTCCATGATGTGGCTCTGGTGCCCGACTGAGGAACACTCGATGTGAATCGTGTCGCTCTAGACTGCAGGGAGCTCGCACCCATTGAGGGCTCACCGTCCCTTGTGTGTGGTCGCAAATCAGTCTTCCTGGGAGGAGCACCTGCATCGAGAGTACACGCAGGATGATCCGCACTCTGATCCGCAGACAACCTCTTTTCAGCAGAGCTTAGTCCATGGACTCTCAGCATCTCTTGCAGCTCATCCACGCTCAAGTCCGGAATATCCTGGAAGGGATCATGCTCAACTTCACGGAGAGGAGTGGGGATCGGCGCTTCAGTGCCGTCCTTGATCCACTGATTTCTTGACCGATCATACGTGAAACCATTCACTTGCTGGGGAATCAAATGGGATACAAGGTCAGAAGAGAGCATACCTTTCGCCTGCGAGTTTTGAGACGAGCCAGTTGGAACAGAGTGAACGCTGAATCCAGACATCTGAGTGTTGATTGTCATCAGGTCTTGGGCGATATTCTCAGCAATGTCATCGATTGAAGCACTAGTCTTGCGCTTTCTCTGTTCGGGGGTAAGTCCCCCAAGTCGGCCGTCATCCTTATATGAAGAGTAGCCGTTGAATGACATAGCCGAATCACTGCCATCTTCCCTTTCTTGATATTTCTTCAGATGGCTGATGATGAGTGGGTTCAACTCCTTGGGCTCCCGCTGCTTGCGTAGGTCTGTGCCGTCTCGACTTGGAGGACGAGAAAAGGCTTCCCGAGTAGATTCATCCTCGTAGCTGAAATCGTTCTCTTCGCTGTCTGGATCAGACTCCTGCACGCTAGTCAGACCAACATTCGATCGGCCTTTGGACCGGATCAAATCCATGATCTTGGTAGCCTCATTCAGATAATCCTGAGTAGTGATTGACCCTTTACGCGACGTGTCACTAGTGCTAGTAATTTTGAGAATTGGGATATCCCCTTCAATAGAGAACGAATCTGAATAGTCCAGTTCATCGAAGTTAGACTCAGAAAAGTCCCTGACTGGGGCAATTGAGGGTTCATGAGTCGACCTGATTTGGCTGGGAGTAGGTGTCCTGGGTCGTTGCACGGAGTGAGACAAGCCAGGAGGGGCGAGATAGTCTCCATTTTCAAGGTGCACGCCATGTTGTAGCAAGCTTCTTTGCAGAAGAGACATGCTGTCACCGAGCTTCGGAGGAGAATCCCCATTTTGGTAGGAGTGTTCCGGCTCTGCGCTGTCTCGCAATATTGTTCGGCGGCGCTTTGGAGTTGGGTCGGCTGCTTTTTTGGGAACTCGTTTAACTTCGGGGGATGCCCGATTCTCCTTCTTGTTGAGACGTGACAATGAAGTGTCGCGGACATGGTCGAAGTAGCTCTGGCGAGTCCATGCCGATGGCTTTCGAGTAAAACTGGAACTTGCAGTCCTGGTGTAGCGGAGAGAGCCCTGCTGAGACGCCCCGTGGAGATGATGCTGTCTACCAGATGGGACTCTCCGTGAGGAGGGTCGGGATCCAAATCCTTGGGCTTCGTCATAGACCAACTTATTTTCGTATGGACTGGCATCAGAGAAGTCAAATTGATCGAGTTCTCCATCCCCAAATCGGCTCAGTCGAGGTCGTGGGATATTCCGAGAGGCAAGTCGCTCATTGAGCTTTGACGATATTTCTCTCAATGGCTCGTGTCTGGGAATAAAAAAGCTGCGGCTCTCGCCTTTTCGCCGCGCTTCTTCTGATGGCGAGGGTGGCCCCTCACCGTCTGATACGTCACTGAACTCTTCAAACTGACTCATCCGCCGCAAGAGACGGTTGTTCGTGAAGGTGTCGTGCTCGCCAAACAGCTTCAGCGGACTGCCTGATGATGGCATTTTAGTTTCGTTTGTCGCATCCCCCGCTGTTGAGGGGCGAACATGGGAGGAAGAAGGTCGAGGCAAAGCGGGGGATCCTTTATGCTGCGAAGGGTTGAAGAGAGGGGAACTGCGAATTTTTGTGTTGGCGAGGTTCGCGGGGGACAATCGATGTGAAGGAAAGGGCGAAGGAGTAAATCGATGACGGAAAGAGTGGTTGCCACGGCGGCTGCTGAAATCCACTGTTCCCATTGAAAGGTCTTGCGGCAAGGAGTGACTGGTCACATCCAGCAGACTATCATCTTGCGGTGAGCCTTCGGCGCGGGGTTCGCTGTGATTGTAGAAGAGGAAGCTATCGCTGGCTGCCGAGTCTGGCCGGCTGTCATTGTTCATTGACAGGCTCTCGAGCTTGTTGGTGACTTGCTTCAAGGCGGAATCAATCACCTCCGATGTAGCTCCGCCTTCCAGTGTGTTCGGTCGCGTGAATGTAATCGGCGTGATGCCCTCATTGCGAAGGTCTTCCAGCCCACTGGCCGTTCGCTGCTCGGTGTATCCCCATTGTGAAACGTCCTCTTCGTCGTGATCCTGATCTCCAGGTCGTTGGGCTGCCCAAGGTGCATGATTGACCGTGCCCAGTGGCGACTCCATGCCGGTGCCCGTTTCATTGTCGTCAAAAACACCTGGGTCCTGTTCAAGGCGCTCGTCGGCGTCTTCTCTCACTGCGCTATCCTGTCGCGAAGTCGCATCGGTGAAATCCCACAGCGGGTCGTCCTGCTTCGTGAATGGGATTGCGTCTTGCTGCGGGTTCGTGGATCCAGGCGTCGGCGGCTTGAACACGCTTTCAAGGCCCATAGGCGCGAATAAATCTCGTTGTTCGCCCACGCCAATGTCTCCGTGCACCAGTCGCTTCCGCCATTCGGGTGTGGCCGCGCTCTCCTCTTCGGTCTTTTTCGGTTTAATTTGAACCGTGCTTTGATATCCCGACTGGCTGGAAACATTCGAGACCGACCGCAAAGGGGAGCGCGTTTCCATGGCCTGTGGCTGCTTGCTAGCCGCGCCGGATGAGGGCCTCGGACTGCGCTTCGGGGAGGCCTTCGGAGAGGCCTTCGGGGTGTATGTTTTGGTTTTGGCAGGTGTCGGCGACTGGGTCGTTGAGGGTTTCCTGCGAGTTCGAGGTGTTTTCGGGGTCGGAGGCTCTCTTTTATAGAAGTGACATGGCCGAGTCACCTTTTTGTCGCTGGCGGGTGACTGTTGTGCCACGGATCGACGGGCGGGCACTGGAATGCGACTAGGGGTATCCTGGGCGCCCGTTCGAGGAGAAGAGGGAGGGACGGACTTGGAAGGGCCAGGCGTCACAGGTGTTGTAGGAGAGACAGGCACCGATGGCCAGTCGTCGGACAGGCTGTCGAGCCATGGTTCGGCGCCCATTTTCCCGCGTTTTCTGAGTTTGTTTTGATGGCGCGTCTCGCTCACCCTCCAATGGGTGGGGGATAGGGTGGAAAAAGAAACGAACTGTCAGTCCATGGAGACAAACCCATCCGATCGAAGAACAGTGGAAAGTGCGGAGATGCGTTGTTGGTCCGGGCAGTTGACTGCTCCACTGGAGCTCCCTTGTTTATTTTCCCTACGCGCCACCGGTCAGATTCGAACTTTTCGCTTGACACTTGACGATCAGTAGACTGTACCTGTGTACTTTGTTTACTTTTATTTATTGCACCTCTCGCCCACAACCTAATCGATTAGTCTTAGCCTATGATTCATTCAGTCATACTCTGATTGGCTCCGGATTCACTGCCCGATGTGTTGTCGCGGTCCCACTCCTCTCAACCCGAAGAGCCTTGACCGATACTTCAGACAGTTTAAGACTGCAAATGGACATTGCTTTGTTTATTGCGTCTATCAGTAGCCCTGGAGAGTATTTACCTAGCAAGTCACTATCCTAGGTCCATGTTGGTGCTATTTGTAAACCCCTCACCTCGGTTGCTATGCGATCGCAAAGACCCTAGTCCGGTTTCTTAATTTAAATCAACCCCAGTGGACATGTGGTAATAAATATCGGGTGCACTCAAATTCCACAACTTGTCACAATCACCCAATCCTTACCCAGGATTTTAGTAATGAGTAGATTTTATATGAAATAAAATAAATCTTAGTTTACGACTTCGGAAGTCTGCGGGTTGATATATATCGTACCTCAACTCTTGCATAAGTTCTGGAAAAACCCATCCAAACAAGTGAACTTGAAAATAGGGACCTCCCGAAATCAAAACCCTTCTATAGCGACTGTCAGAACACGACCTGGGAATGCATAGGATACACCATTATAAAGCAAGGTGCAATCGATGACGGTTGTTGGGTTTAAACTGCAGACATACAGACTTCCTAAATAGTACTAGTGCACTAACTACTAGGCTTGAAACAAACCGCCACAGACTAAAGCACCGATCTATTTTCCCGAGTCTCGATCGGGTATTGAGGTACCTGATACTTGTGAGTATATGTAACGTCGGCATGCTAGTTCACTTAATCCTGTAAATTATCTACATTACATCTCATTTAAATTAATATTGCTTCAACTCACATAGACATGCCGCTTGTCGACCACTCCAACCTTGACACCGAGGCTACATGTCTCGGCCAACTGGGCAACTTCGCAAATCTTCTAACGGAAATACGACTTATGATATGGGATGCCCTCTTCAAAGAACGAATGTTCAGCCCCCGGAGTTTGGAACGAATATCTTGTCCATCCTCTGCTGCAGCCGCTATCTCCACCGCGAGATCTCCTACGTGGCCTACGAAGATATGACACATGAAAATCAAATCTATACTCCAAAAGCCGCAAGAATTCTTTTCGTCATCAACATTTCATCTAAAAGACTACATATAGAGACCGAAACCCAGACCAAGCACGTCCGAAGACATATCCTGAACTTTCCTCATCACCGACTCCGAAACTGCCGCCTCGGACTAAATATTGCACCTCATTATCAATCCGATTTCGGACAGATGATAACTATATGGCAATCGATCAACAAATTCGTCGATGCGCTCAATGATATTGAAACCTCACCCCAGACGCCCGGGCCCTATGTATGTATACGTCTACTCGGGAAATGGGACGACGAGAGATCGCCAAGACAGAGTATCAGGGATACAAGATCGAACATTCCTTATCGATACGACCACGATATCGCAATACTACCATTTGCTCGCCTTCCAAAGACGAAGTGGGAATGTACGTTTCCCCCGGACTTTGGGCTATCGTTGCCAGAAAGAAACATTCCCTCAGCCATCAAACTTTCTATGAGCTCTCCAATATCCACCTAGAGAATTCAGAGACACTGAACCCCGCTCAAAAAAAGTGGGCTTACAATAATACCTCCGAAATCCAACGCTGGCTCACCGATATCCGCATATTCCTCGACAACGCACTTGACACTGTCCAAGGACTTTCAGCTAGAATCCTGCGCCGAGAAAGATTTCAAAATTGGTATGAAGACGGCAACAAATGGAAATCAGCATACGAAGAACAGTTCCAATTCGATCTAACTAACAACCGCGACATTGTGATGAAATATGACCCAAATCTCAACAAGGCTCGACGGCGTCATGAGATGCTGATCATATGGCATCATCTCGTCCATGCACCAGAAGACGACAAGGAGCAAATAGATGCGACCTATCTATCTACAAAAAGGGCTCTCTATACCACATGGAACTCTAAAGCTTGGTTCACAAAGAAGGCCTACGGCACCGAGAGGATACATCAGGGCGACATGGCTCCCTTCTGCAACCATTCGTACATTTATCGTGATTACAAGAGGCGCTCAGGTATGAAGGCGTCATCATTTGCATTATTTGTTGGTCAAGCTCGAGCGGAGTCTGGTAAACCATGTATACTGAATTATTTGTCTATAAATTAGTTTGCGAGGAGCAGGAAAGAGAGATATGACATTTGTATTTTGATGCAGCCTATTCCCGTGGAATGCCAAGTGAGGTTAGCGGGATGACCATATGTACACCAGGACATTAAGCACTGACAGGCATCAAACTTTAAGCCTTCAGCACACACATTTGCTTATTATTGGCAAGATGATGTCGCTTGATGGAAACTTGCAACCCGGAGCAAAACACCCGTCAGAACCTTTGAAAAATGTCCGAGAAGAGGTTGATGACCACTGGAAGAGTCAAGTGTCTAGGCCTATTTTCCTTAATGGTTGACTACGAAGTAGGCAGGAAATTGGCGTAACAATTCGGAATATTTATTCACCCCAGATCTAACTCCTATATTCTTGCTCCGTAAATGATTTTTACAATGTGACACATGAAAAGGCAAACCGACCCCCTTAAACAAGGAGCCTCTCGAAGGAATATTTGCCAACCGCCTTGCGACGGAGGTATCCGATCTCACGACTGGTACGAGACTTGGTATCGCCAGTGGACTTGTTGATCTTCGTTTTCGAAACATCGGCTGTGGCAGGCTTCAGCGACAAAGGCAGCATCTTGCCACCGGCATCGCCATCGTATCCGTCCTCTCCTTCACCGGGGCGACCGAAGATGACAAGGTCAGCTCCGTTGAGCTTCTCATAACGAACAAGGTTGGAGGAAGCCGAGGTCTCATCATCGATCTTGGCAACGGCATCTGCAGCGGTAGCAGCCGGGGTAGACACTTGGTCAGCAAAGCGGAGGTACTCGAGGAGAATACCCTTGAGGTATGTGGCCTCCTCCACGCCGGCAAGGGCGGCGGAGACTTCGGACTTCATATCGGCAATCAACTCCATTTCACGACTGGCGGCGGCGATGGCCGAGTCTGAATCATCGCTGAGGTCCATGGCAGGTAGAGCGGAGATCCAGCCGGAAGGGCCAACCGCATCCACCGAAGCGGTCATGAGGTCGATAATAGTGTTGAGAGAGAGGGAAGGAGTAATTTGGTCAAGAGTAATAGGAGTAGGGGGGTTTTCGGTGCAACGCGAGGTGTAGCCACCGGTAGCAAGAGAAAGACGGAGGTGGTGAACCAAAGAAATGAGCTCTGTCCGCGACAGGTTCGAGCGCAGAGACTGAACGATAGCGGACGTAGGCTGTGAGTGGACCTTTTGAATAGACGTATTCAGGCCAGTGAAGATATCTTTCAAAGTAACTGGTTGAACTCCGAGATGGCGAGTGAGTTCCTGCGTGGGCGTAGCAATCTCACCGCTAGTGATGGCACGAGCGGTCTCCTCCAGAGCACTGGAGTGCAGGCGAGCCTGATTCAGGAAGTACTTAAGCGCGTAGGCCAGCTCATCAGAGGAGATGGTAGAGGGTCCTGCAAGGACTTGATTGACCTTCTTGAGCGAGGAATCGGCATCAATGAGAGATTGGACAAAAGAACCGGTGACCAAAGGCTGAAGAACGCGAGGTTTAGAGGCCCGGCGAAGAGCGATCTCGACGTTATCAGGAGACAAATGACCCAGGCCAATGAGCCAATCGCAAGTGGCGGAAGGCCAGAGCACAAGGCGTAGTTGAGAAGGAGAAGAAGCGGAGACTCCATCCTGAATGTCGGAGTCCTCAACTGCAAACATCTTCGACAGCAGGAAAAGAGTGGACTCAGGGTTAACATATTGTCCCCGATTAGGAAGAGTCTTAGGCGCATCAGATGAGCAGAAGTAACTGAGAACCGCCTTGTCAAACTTCTCAGCATTCCTAGTCTTAGCCGCCTCGTCCACATCCTTTGTCAACCGGTTCCATTTCTCCACCTGTTCGGGGGAGGTGAGTCGAAGAGAGGTCATGTTCTCGGAACGGTGCTTCTTAGATGCCATATTCCACTGCGCAGCAGACGAGCCGATACCGCGGCCAATGGCATCAACGAGAAGACCATCGCGCGATCGCTTCAGAGAAGGTCCGGAATGGCTGTGAAGAGACGTCAAATCGAATGCGATAAGTGTGTTTCCCTTGGTTGCGACTGCGATTCCGAGCTTTGCAAAGTAGCTGATGAAGACCATTGAGGCATCCGCGTTGGTGCTGGCCCCAGACAGGACATCACCCGCGGCGATGCTTCGCTGCACAGATTGATATTGTGTGTCGTACACTGCCACCAACGAGTCACTCGCGCCAATGACGCATTGTGGTGAAATGCGCATGACGGAGGAGAAGCGCTCATCGAGAACGAACTGAGAGGTCACAGAGGGTGAGTATTGCGAGAGATCAACGTTCAAAAATCCCTTCGAGAACGACAACTGAAGGCCTGCTGAGCCCGAGTGGAAGGTCCATTGGAGGCCATCACTATTGACTTTGTCGAGGCCGGACGGGGCAGGGACTTGAATTGTCTGAAGGTGTCGAAGACGTTGACTCTCTTCGTGGCCTCCTGATTTCGCGCTAGCAGGGACAGAGAACATCTGAACAGTAACGTCCTTCAATGCAATCTGGTAAGCATCCTTGGGGTGGGACACAATGAGCAAAATGGACGGTTCGTCGGTTCCAGAAGCCGTGGAGTCTCCTAGAGCCAGAGCGGCCAAATCTAGTCTCCGCTTGAACAAAGCCTTTTTAGCATCCTCAAGATCGACTAGAAAGCATGAGTGAACGGCATGCGTGGTGGAGCAGATCTTGGAGATTTCGCTGTGCTGGATACTCCAACGCTGACTTTTCAGATCGGACGAAAGTCGGCGCACACGACCGTCCTCGTGAACGGCGAGAATGTCGAAGGGGTCGGTCTCGTTATCGTCTTCGACAGTGTAGGGCACAATGCCAACAAAGTTTGTAGGGCTGCTTGAGTCGGTGATAGTGGCGGCGGAGGAAGAGATCACCGGCGCAGTGGAGCCACTGCCAATTTCTTCAACAAAGCACTTGATCTGGCGTTCCGGACGTGTCGCCGCGGTATATGTCTGTCGCTTGACGGAGGACTTCTTGGGCAGCTTGCGGCGAATAGAGCAGGGTGTGCAAGAGAAAGTAGACTGCGGAGGGACTGCGTACGAGGTCACAAGCTTGGGTGTTTGCACCTACAGAAAAGAATGTCAGCATGCACAAAATTAGACACTGGATCGAGTTTCATACATTGTAGATGTTGACAGCTTCACCATCCACTGCAACCGCGACTTCATAGCGCTTGCGCTTTTTGGCGTCGGCCAGACTGAAGACATCGCTGATGCGAGTTTTGCCCGTGGACGCATGAAGGGGGCGCGGCAATTGCGCCAAAACCGATGGCGATTGCAAATCCATGACGCTCAGAATCACAATCTTGTCAAAGGAATTATTCCTAGTCCCTTCAAAGCCTGATCGGTGAAGCTGCAAAGCCGTCCCAACGGGGAAATCTGAAAAATTTTCGGGAGAACGACGGGCCGGACCCACTACTACACTAGTCTCAGATAGGAAACGGCGCATCTGTAGCCCGGTGATGTAATCAGGCTGACATAATCCCATGAGACGCGCCTTTCGCGTCGGACGTGTAAAGCGCAGATAACCGCGATAAAGACCGTTTGGCCTTCTCTTCTCTGTCCTCGTCGATGACCCGAGTCTCGACTATAACTGCCTTCTGATGAACATCCCTTGATCACTTCTCCTGCCGCCCCTCCTTCTGGAGCTACTGAGGACTTGAATCCTATGGACACCCTCACATCCCATTCACCAGTAGCCATGGGACCGGGCGAGCAGCACGCGGTCCACCCTTTCTTCAGACAGGGTATGAGTCTCAAGTCTACTTTGACGGTCCCTTCAGCTCACACCAAAGTCTCAGACTTTGCAGTCCCAGGAAAACCCAATCACTCCCTTCCCAATGGCAACGCAGTTCCAACGCCAACCGATGTATTCGCTCACGCCAACGAAGAGCAATCACCCCAATTTCAACCATCCAACGGACCTGAAGTCCCGAGGTCTCAAGCCTCAGCACCCGTAGGCCAGGATGAAGACCCTAATGCAAACCGACGCAAGAGACGCAAGACGGAGAAAACCAAGCCAGATCAGGAAACGAATTTGAACACAGGACTCTCAGGATGGCTGGGAATCGAGACCCCAGAACCCGTGGCTCCTGCACCCGTCTTTGATACTCAACCCGCTCCTCCCATCGCTTCCCTCCCGTCGCCTCAATCCCCAACCAACGATAGCGGCCCGGCACAAGACCTGAGCTTTGACGAAACAAACGACAAAAACGCGTGCAATGAAGGGAAACGGAAGATATTGAAGTTGAATACTAATGGTAGACTGTTGAGCTCTCCTCCTGCCAGCTCTACAGGGATAACAGACCCAAAGCCGGCAGGAAGCAAGCGACGAAGAGGTGGGAAGGTCCGCAGCAAACTTACCATCCTCAAATACAGCATCGAAGGAGAGAGAGGGATTGGGAGCTTGATCAACCGAATTCTCAATGGCCAAATGGTATATACACCTGCTCCTCCACGGCCTGCAGTACCCCAAAACCGGGTAGTGAAAGGGCCTGCGAAGCCAACACACCCTTTTTTTGTGAAGAAAGCGCCACAAAAGCCCCAGGATGACACAATCTCTGGTGGCTCAAATACTGGCTCAAGCAAGATCAATGCCCCCGCCGCATCAGAGGTCAAGCGAGAATCAAGGCCGTTTCCAACATTTCCCTCAACATTCAGTCGCAACAAGTCAAAGTTTCCTGACCTTATTGAACCCTTGTGGCCACCGAAAGATCTTGTTCATATCCGTCCTGTGGACTCGGCACAGGATGTCCGGCCCGCCATCCTCGATCCCCTTACAAAAGACCGAAAGAAAGCCAAATCTCCGGCCATTTCTATTGGCGATGACGAGAATGCCCTTTTGACCAGCACATCCTCTGCACGGGAGCTGGCAAAATCGTACATGGGAGGCCATGGCACATCGAATCTACGCATGCCTGTACGGCATATTGCCAGCGGACGTGTTCTGCAGACTGCCATTGACAACCAAATGTCCTGGTCCTTACCAAACTCGCGTATTCCACCTCAATCTGTCGCCCCAGTTATATCTAACCTGAGATCGGCCTTGTTATCATCTTTCTCCGCTTTTGATCGTGGAAAATATGAATCGCAACTCTGGGCTCACAAATACGCACCCAAAAAGGCCGAGGATGTTCTGCAAACCGGTCGCGAGGCCCAGGTACTTCGTGACTGGCTCCGTCACCTCAAAATTACCGCAGTCGACACTGGAAAGACTTCTAAGGATAAGGGCAAGTCCAACCCAAACCGAGACAAGAAAAAGAAGAAGCGGCGAAAGAAGAACGACAAACTCGACGGCTTTATTGTCTCTAGCGAAGAAGAGGCATCTGAAATGGACAACCTCTCTGGATCAGACGATGAGCTGGCTGGAGATGTCACAGTTTCCGCTCAACGAACCCTGATACGATCAGGAGACCTGTCAGTTTCTTCATCACAGGGAGGGGAAAAGGGTCGGATCACAAATGCAATCCTTTTGAGCGGCCCATCGGGCTCTGGCAAAACTGCTTCAGTCTACGCAGCAGCCAAAGAGCTTGACTTTGAAGTGTTCGAGATCAATGCTGGCAGCCGCCGCAGTGCGAGAGACATGCTGGAAAGGGTCGGGGACATGACCCAGAACCATTTAGTCCATCTTCTGAACGACACCGACGAATATTCTGCCAAGCCTCGAGCATTGGAAACGGAGGACGACGCAAAACAAAACAAGTTGATGGGCTTTTTCAAAGGACAACCGTCCAAGAGTACCAAGCCTGACAAGAAAAGTACTCAACCCAGTCCGACTCCCGACAATGAGGCAAAGCGGAATCGTGAACAAAAACAATCTTTGATTCTCCTCGAAGAGGTCGATCTGCTTTTCGACGAGGACAAACAATTTTGGACTGGCGTTTTGACCCTCATCAGTCAGTCAAAGCGACCCATTGTCATCACATGCAACAACGAAAGCCTAGTACCAACCCAGGACATGTCTTTACACGCCATTCTGCGATTTCAAAGGCCCCAGCGTGATCTTGCAATCGACTATTTATTACTTGTCGCCGCAAACGAAGGCCACGTTCTCAAACGAGAGGCTGTCAGCAAGCTATACGATGCGTCGGGTATGGATATCCGAAAATCCTTGATGGACCTGAATTTCTGGTGCCAGATTGGCGTTGGAAGTGAAAAAGCAGGTCTTGATTGGATTCTATCCTTGTGGCCTCCAGAAGCGAATGTAGACCAGAATGGAGATAGAGTCCGAGTCCTCAGTCTCAACACCTACGAGCCATATATGGGCTGGTTCAACCGCGACGTCTTGCTGGAGCAGGATTCTTTGGAAAGTGAAACAGAAACTCTGCAGAATACCCTACACTGGTGGAGACTCGGCATACAAGACTCGGAGGATGCGGCCCGCGGCAGTATCACGGAAACTATGCCTCACGATCATTATCAATCGCGGTCAAAGATGGAGCAACTTGATTTGCTGAGCCGTGAAGCGGACTACCTGGAAATGCGAAGCTCACTCGACATTCTCTGCTCAGAGTGTTCTTTGAGCATGCTGCAGGCAAGTATTATCTCCACTATCGACTCGGTATCAGAACTAACTAAGCTGCAGGATGTTGTCGATACGTCTGCTCCTCCACCTCCAGAAGGTCATCGCTCCAACTACCTCGAATCTTACCCGCTCCTGCAGGCTGACCTGCGACCCGAACACTCTTCTCTAAGTGAGAGCATTAGCCTCACGTTCAATGCCTTGATCTCACGATCCTTCCGTCCAAAAACCGGAGACCACGAGTCTTCTAGCGTGGCTCGCATTTTCAAAGGCTGGACCAAGGATGGCGCACATCGGATGCATTTCCCGAACACTCTACCTACCTTCCAGAAAGTCTTTGAGCCTCTCATGCGTGCGAATTACTACATGCCCATCCCCTCTGGGCGATTGGCACCTTCGTTTGAAAACAGCCTTGCCCCCATTACCGAAGATATCGCCCCTTACGTGCGTGCTATTATGGTCTTTGATGGTCGATTGAAGGAGTATCGCGACAATTTGCGTGCAATCTTGACCAGGGAGCATGGCTCTGGAGACAAAGTTGGCAGAACCACCCGCGCCAGCCGAGCTGCGCTCGAAGGAGGTGATAAAGCTTCCACACGAAAAGAGAGATGGTTCCCGGCCGATACGAATTACTTTTGGATTCAAGGCACGGGCAAATACGAGTGGCAGAACATTTTGTTCCAGATGGGACATTTCCACGTTCAGCCCGCCGTGGAATTCACCGAGGAAACGCCCAGTCATGATTCTGATGAACAACGATCTCAAGAAAGAGATTTATAGCGATGTAATATATCGTTTTCTGCAACCTATATGAAACATACATTCTTCATCCTTACTTAAATTGCTGCCAAGAATCTTTATATTTAGACGTAGTTTTCTTCTCCAGGCTCCCCCATCTTTAAATCGGTTGATGTTCAAGGGAGTGATTGGCGAGCTGCAGGTACATCCTGAAAGTAGAAGTAAATCAGCAGTAAGCATTGTAATATTACATCACCTGGGAAGTTCACGTAGAGGAATAACTACAATCCTTTCGATGTCCCACGCCCCGTCTTCGTGTAGATGTCGTACATGATGACATTGCGTAGTCTTCGGCGTTCTCGCCAGTGTATATGACCACGTTTCCCCGAAATTGTGCATTCATTCCTTCTTGAAGATGTTCTTTGAAAATGGCGCCTGTAGTCGGTTAGATTACTGCTTCCTTTCATAGTGTTGTAGTTACTATCTGACCAAATTATGCATTGGCCCTTGTTGCTAAATACCAGCAAAGAGCTTGCAAAAGCAACGCTGGAACACACGTATACCCAGAACCCAAAGTAGATGGAACGCATTTCACTCAGTTACCAGCAGTGCGATGACTGTTGGGATGAACACTAGACACTCGCGTTTTCTTCCCCCCAAATAGCACTAGGCTGAATTCGGCTAAACAAAGTCTCCACTCTTTTGTGCGATTTTCCATCCAGGTTCCACTTTTGCATGCTGTTCCTTTGGGACTGCGATGCTGTGCTGGTACTGTTTTGAGAAAGGATCAGGTGACAGCCTCAGCAAAATGGAAACAGGCTCGAAGTAACACTTAGAATGATCACGTGCCCGCTAGTCCTAAGATAGACTAATGTGCTCATTAATCACAAGTGACAAGATATACGCCAACGGCCTTGTCTATCAACAATTGATGGTCTGCACGTAAGAAACTTTACTCTAATAAGCTACCGCATCTGGTCGACAACCTCGGAATGGGCTGCCTAATCTCACCTTATATTTTCAAGCTTCTATCGTTCGGCCTTTTTCTATCATTCTCTGCTTGCATTCCTCCTGTCGCTGGATGTCTTTGATTTATCTATTCCGGCAGTCCTTGGAACAACAAGCCTGCACTTTGTCGCAGCATCATTCAGCATGACCCCTGGACTGAATGTTGCGCCAAAGAAAACCCGAGAAAGTACTTCCAAAGTCCGGACTGGATGCAGCACTTGCAAAGCTCGTCGAGTGAAATGCGATGAAGCAAAACCTATATGTCGACGTTGCGCCATTGGAGGTCGAAAATGCGAGTACAGCACTGCACGTACAGCACCACCACCTCGAAACGTGGTCACGGTATATCTGCCTCCTACGCAAAGTCAACCGGTGTTCTTCGTAAATGACCGCGGCCTCGACTTCTTCCACCAGAACCTTGCTGCGCAGTTGGACGGACAGTTCACTTCACAGTTCTGGAGCAAGCTTGTATTACAACTATCACACTCCGAACCATCAATTAGACATGCCGTATCGGCTGTCAGCGTCGTTTATCAAGACGTCGAGTCGTCTTTACGGCATCCGGCAGGCTATGTCAACGCCAACCCTGAGGCTCAACAGGAGTGGAACAAAGCAATGAAGAGCCTATCAGCTCGAATTCAAGCACATCCCAACTCGAACTTGGTACCTTTGACCTGCTGCCTTCTGTTCACATGCATCGAGCTCCTCAAGGGCAATATTGAATCTTCTATGCTTCACGTTCAGAGCGGATTCAATATTCTAGCTGCGCTCCGTCGCAACAGTGACGCAGCCCCGGATCTAGGCTCCAATCTCTCGTCTAACGATCTTAAAGCCATCGAAGGTTATATCGTTCCGATGTTCTCACGTCTGAATGTACTCTGTTCTCTCGCTGGCAGAATAACTCCGCCAATATACGCTCCTATAGCTAAAGAAGACTCTCCTCAGGAAGACCTTACTCAGTCTAGACAACAGCTCGTCGAGATCTCAGATACCTGCATCCGATTCATTGGCAAAGTCAGTCCTCACGCAGCTATGTTCCAAATTGACTTCGACATCTTCATTGAACAGGTTAAACTTCAAACAAGGCTAGACGCATGGCACGACCGGCTAGATGAACTTCTTGAAAGAATGCAGGCTGCCGGCAACCCGGCGAAACAAGACGCGCTCAATCTACTTTTGGTACATTACAAAGTCATTTACATTTGGATGCGAGTCTGCACCACAGCTGGGGAAATGGCCACAGACTCTTACCACATCGACTTTGAAAGGCTTGTGCATTACGCGGAACAAATCTTCAAGCCGGACGTGGGAATTGCAACACCGCAACAGCTGTCTTTCGACATACATATCCTGGGGCCTCTGTACTATACCGTGCTGAAATGCCGTCATCCCGCAATACGAAGACGCGCACTGGAAATGCTGCAATTGGCGCCTCGGCGGGAAGGGCTCTGGAATGCACATTATGCATACGTAACTGCCAAACGAGTGATCGAGCTGGAAGAAAGGCATCTCAACGGGCAAGAATTGGCAGACGAGACTTCGAGAGTGTATGGTCTTACCCTGCCCGATGATGAGTCACGGATCTACAACCTAGGCGAGATGCCTTTTGACTTTCGGAAGTTTGAATACAGCATCGTGCCCAGCCCGGCTTATCCAGGCATACTTAAAGCTGTGTTCCACACAAAGCCATGGGGGCTCTTGGGAGAGTGGCAGACAATCACGGAGTATATCAAGCTATGATGCTGTGGATATCTGTTGTTAGTTTTTCTAGAAGTAGAAAGTGCTATGATGCCTCCAGATTTCTCCAGCCAAAACTCCCGCCGTCAATACAGTGACAAAAAATGCTTGCGAATCCTAATTATATTGCTGATCGAGCTAATACATATACCTCACCAAGTTCCAAAAGCACCACAAGAATATCTAGTCCGAGATTTTACACTCGCCATTGAAACCTTGCTGCAGCTCTGCAACATAGTATACCGAACGGATGAAGATGAGTACAACAGCCGCGCCAAGCGCATACCGGAACCAAGTGAAGTTTTTCGTGTCCCTCAGCTCGACGAAGCGTTGGGGGTTAAAGATAGTAGGCGGCAGTAGGACACGTAAAACCTGCGAGGTGACCAGGTGGGCCGGGTCGTAACTGTCTAACCAAAAATAACCTCGTAACCGCCTAACTAGAAAAGGATTAGCGCCTTCAAACATACAGTTCTCGATGTGGTTGAGCAGAGAAAATATACTTAACAATGAGTTAATATAGCGGTAAAAGAATCAATTACCCTGTATAACAGTGGTAAAAGAAATTTTTGTTTCAAAGCGCTCATCGGTGGCCCACTTTCTCTGCTACTGAGGTTTTTAATCTGTAATAATCTACCGTATATATTCCCCCTATGCCATTTCCTGAGCTCGGATTTCTCTTTCTTGCTCTACGCCGCCTTTCTCACTTCTTAACCAGTCACTTGACGTGCTCGTCGCCTCCTCCCAAGCTCCATCACAGATCGCTGCATGTCATGGCCGTGAACAGGGCGGAGAAAAAAACGCTCGATTATGCCCTGCGAGCGCTGCAGCTCATTTTCGCCATCATCGTCATGGGAACAGACGGCTACGGTACGTAGAACTAATGCATCCTACTCTGTCGACGCAATGTTGAGTCTGACCCCATCGCCTAGCTATCCACGTGTTTCGCGGCCACACTGTCTACGAACACTCCTGGTTCGGCAACTTCTACGACTACTATGGCGTCCCTGATGCGTGGGGCTTCTTGATGTTCTGCGCTGCCTGGACAGTTTTGATCGTCATCTTCCACCTCATTGCCGGAATCAGCTTCGCGGATCGTGTGTTGATTGGATACATTCGTGTCGCGGTCGAGGCTGTAGCTGTCCTCTCATGGCTCGCTGTTTTCATTGCTGTGGCTGTTCAAATTTCGACCGACACATGCTCAGCAGGAAAAAACTCATGTGGGACACTCAAGGCGGCGACAATCTTCGGGGCGTTTGAATGGCTGCTATTCATGGTTACCGCAGCCCTGACTGTCATGCTCGTCTTCAACAGCTCTCACAAGCCAAGGATTTCTACGACTAGACCTGATGCAGCTGTTTGATCTGCGCGACAGGATATCCGTGGATATAGAAACTAGCCGATGCTCCACGGACGAGTGGAAGTCTCGCCATCATCTGTTGAGAAAAGTTGCTTACGATGGTTTATGCTTAAGTCGTATTATCAAACGACTGCAGGACTAGCAAAGGAGCCTGAGGTTGATACTTCTGCTTTGAATCACGATAAAACATGTAATCCATTGGTTTATTCCGGTAAGAGAACATACGACGGACTGTTTCATGACCTAGAAATATATGAGAAATTTAAATTCACCAACAGTACTGGAATTATTTATAGAGTCCGCAGAGACTGGCACAAACTCAATTTCCAGAGGTTGTTCGTTCGGCATATTCTGTAAGACCTCATCATCCGTCTTGCTTGAGGTGCCTTATTTCTTAGCCTAATCATGACTAGCGCAATATGAGTGGGGCGCTGGGAAAGAAAGCGTGAGTGTCTGAGGGGTAATCAGTTTTCGAACTCTACTATAAGTCTAAGTCAACATGAAGTGTTAAGTCAATATAGCGGCATGAGACACATCGGTGCTGGCTTCCGATGAAGATCCAGATATCGTGATCAGATGCAGTGCAAAATCCACTACCTGGAATTTCCGTCTCGGTTTGAATGCCATATAGCCTAATAATCGAGTTTATGATGCATTGTTTCAAGTGCATCATGTGCAGAATGTGCCCAATGATGAAGATACCAAAGAGATTCCTGGAAATACTCATTCGGCTGTGCGAGTGACTCTATGACAATGCTATTTCACATTTGACCACGAAGCATCTAACTTGGCTAGGACCTCGCTCTTTGGAATTTCATCAGACCATCTACCACGCGGTCTCTCAAAAGTGGACGTAATTCTGCCATATGAGACTCCACCCAGTTGACCAACTGGTCGCAGCTTTTCCAAGCCGATATGACTGTATTCTGCATCCGCAGTACCTTCCTTTACCCAAAAACGAGTGGCCTTGATCAAGACATTGGCAGCAAGACTCATGCCAGGTTGTTGGTGATCGGTGAACTCTTTGATATCGATGACTTTGCCTTCTATATTAAACACCGACTCCGCGACCCGCGACGGCTTGACTGTTGTGGAAGGAGCTTCCGTGAGACCCGAAACATCCCATTCTGATACCCCGTAGGGCGCATCTAGGGAGCTAGCATTCACAGCTTCGATCATGTTTTCGGAAACTGTATTAATCACGCACTCTCCTGTTTCTTTCAAGTTGCGGTAGGTATCCTTGACCCGGCCTGGACGAGAAGAGAATCCCACAATGAACATTGGGGGATCATGATCGATGACTTGGAAGTAGCTAAACGGCGAGAGATTCTTCTGACCTTTTGCATTCACTGTACTGATAAAGCCAATAGGTCGAGGTGCAATGCCGGAAACCAGCAGACGGTAATTGTTGATCATCGGCCGATCAGACGCGTAAGGATCTATCTCGTGATGTTTTTGGGCTAGACCGGCGCCCTTGTCTGGCACTCCCTGCCCGTAATTCCATTTGGGATAAGGAGATTTAGTCACTTCAATAGGTGCCATATGGTCGAAATCAGGGCGCTTGGATTGCACTTCAACGAAGTTACCGACATCTTGAACAACTTTGTAATTTTTCTGGGCCTCTAGGTCGCTTCCTGAAGCGGCGGCGGCAGTCGATGAGCTCATTCTGACTGTCCCTAGTTGCGAATCTCGAATTGAAGAAACGCGAGAAGAATTGAAGGATCTGTTCATGTGTCAGCTTCGAACACTAGATAGATATGATCTTTACCTACTGCTTAGCCAGCCCTCGTCCGAACATTCTTGGTGTCCACATATTGAAAAGGTTTTTGGAAGACTCTCCTCAGCAGTTGCTCTGAATTTCTGTCAATAATAGTTCTTTTACCCCAACATTAACCAGTAGATCTGATATTCCCTACACGTGCTGCCTGTTTGCTTAGAAATTGAAGCCAAGAAAAATCGGGGAGAAATCCCGAACGTCGGATCACCCAACCGACGTAGTGGAGATAAGATTGATGAGCAGAGACCTCACTACAAAACAAATATCGAGAGCATTTCCTAAGTATTGCGAGGGAGTTCAAGCAATCAAAGCTGGCAGTCAAGTCTGACTACCCGGTCAAACACCCGCAGATACCGATGGTAATTTGGCCAAATGATATGTTACGGAGATAACTGAGACCATCGTCAATAATACAGAGGCTATTTTGAAAGAGGCAAGATCAGGCCTTAACATAGTTGTTCAAGGAACTGTGAATTTCCACCCAGTTTTGGATTTTTCGAAAAGCGACATATACAACTGACAGAGGTCTTTGTGAAGGATGTTAGTAGTATGCCTGGTTTGCCTCTGTATATGATCCGGCCTTCCTGTACGGTCCCGCACGTTCTATAGTGGAATTATCCAGATTGCCGGCTGGGAAGACATCCATGTAGATCTCATTACCGTGGTATATAATGAAGGGCTATAGCAGACTGCCTCGCGGCTAACTTGTGTGTGTTTTTGAAATCTGCCTGCGAAGAACTGAAAGAATGTATTCGAGGCGTGCTCGACTGTCTGGTTAGAACACACTGCTTGAAGGATTAAAAACCAGTGTATTAGACAAAAACATACGATCACTGTATTCTTGATGGACACGAGGGAACCGCACTCTTGAGGCTGGTGGCTTATTACTTAGAGAGCCCCGAAAGATTGCTCTTGGAATACTGCTTATAAGTAATCCGCTTACTCGTTTTGTTGCTCCACTACAGGACCGGAATATTAGATATAGTGACCGGTTTTCAAGCTCATTCATGATTCATAATTCGTTAAAAATCCGCAGTAGCCTGATTCAACTGACACAACCGGCAGATTGCATAATACTTTCCACGTCTAGCTGATCCGCAAGATCAAGCAACTCCCTAGGCGGAAGGCTAACTGAGGAATTTAGACCCAACAAGTCCCACTCAAATTCCTCGCCGACCCCAACATGGTCCAAATCATAGACTCCCTCGCCCTCATCTGAAGCTCCATTGAAATTAACTGGAGGCAAAGAGATTGTTGAGAGATTAGGAGTCAAAGGAGCCAAGATTTGTTCTAACTGCTTAAGCTCCTGCTTTCGGAGTGGTGCCGCCAGATTACCCTTTGAGATAAGCTTGTCTAGCACACTGTTGAGGTTGTCACACCAGGTGTTACTATGGATTAGCTCAGGGGAGATTGCGCGAAGCAAGTAGAGGACGAAGGCAGATGATGATGCATCTTCGATCTGGAAAGGTAGGAACGCATCTAGGAAGATATAGTTAAATACCACAGTTCTTATCACGGGTAAAAATCAAGAACACACCTATGAGATCGTCATCGGCCAATATTTGGAGTGTTTGGAGAATAGTCTGGGCGGAATCGGCGCAACATTGTAAGAGCGAAGCGACGGGTGGCGAAAGTGATATTGTTTGGGACGTGCGTCTCTCGGTACGTTCAATGTGCATATGGAGAGCGCACATCACAAGAGGTCTTGTTGTCAGAACCACACACTGTTATTGTTAGCTTCCTAGAATGGACTCTAGGATGAGGGTAGTCTCACATGGTGATGGGCCAGCATCAGTCGAATCGCCATCTTCGATGCTCGACTAATCAGCCCGTGGAAGTGTGTATTCAAAAAAGCAGTCAGATCGTGGGATAGCTCCGCCATGCTATGAAGGATAGACTGCATGTTTCTGACAAGCGAACCGTTGAACTCGTCGCCAACTCCGTAGACATCTATCAATTCAAGATTAGCAATTGACAAATTCTTAAGCAGTTGAAGACACACTTGTCAAGATTTGGGCCATTAAACGCGATAGACGGACGTGCAATGTCAAGTTAATATGCTCAACTGAACATTCGACATCTGCTGGTAATCTGACTGTAATGTCTTCATCTCTAATCGAGCTCGGTGCACCAATAAGAGCAGAAAACTCCCGGTCTAACATGTACACCACCCAAAATATGGTTCTGCAGCGACGTGAGAGTTCCGGTCCGCCCAATTCTTCTGGGACATGCCGATGGATACCTTCTATTATACAACCGCGCAGAGCTTGTCCAATCTGGGGTCGAGATTAGCATGCTATTAATTTAAAGGGACAATGTGCAGACTCACATGCTGGAAAGCAGCCCGTCTCATATCAATGGATTGGAGATAGACAGCTCCCAGGCTCAACGCCTGGATACAGGTTAATGGGTCTTCGTGCATACCCGACAAGTCCGGTAGAAGAGCCATTGCCCTTGACGCATACTGGTGACCCGGTGGAGCCCCAGATGTGTTCTTCTGAGTGAGGAAAGCCTTTCCAAAGGCGAGAACAAGAAGGTATTGGGCGTACCAATACCGTGAAGTCGCCGCTTTCGCTGCAGGGTTCCTGTAAAATCCATGTAGATTCCGAAGATAAGCATCCTCATCAATCATGAATGAAAGAAAGCCAAAGTAGAACTTGACAGTGTTGAAAAGAAACAATGCATAGTCCAATGGTGGCAAGTTGGTCACATCAGGAACTTCGTCGGTGTGCGCTGGTTTCCATTGGAGCTTGAATGCCATTCCATCTAAGTGCCACGGGTCCGGTGGACAGTTAGACTCGGGTATTCTTCTTCCTATCAAGGCAAGGACACGACGACAAAAGGACCATGATGATGTCGGGCCCATGTACCCTGGAATATTTGCATTAGCAGGCTCAATTTCATTTGGCAGAATTTACTCACAGAAGCGACCATCCGGTGTCTTCGCAAAGGACGGATCTCTATCCACAAGAGGATTTCTAGAGAATCGTGACCGGCGTCCATCTTCAATATCGGGATCGCTCCCAGAACGCTCTCGCTGTTGACGTGGAGTTTCTGGGAGATGAAAAGATGAACCTATCCCTTCAAACAACGTCATCAATGGGTGTGAGCCTCACGAGGCTAGGATGGAGAACTAACCGTTGCTTATATCTCCCAATTGGGCTTCCGATTGATCATCCAAAAGATATGGCGCTGCATTTGGTGTTGCCTGATTAATATCATGCCCGACATATGAGGATTCACCAAAAGGTTCATCTCGCGAGGCACTTGTACGACGCAAACCGTTGTCTTGATTTAGATGTTCCTCAAGCTGACGTAGATAGCTGGTCGTATTGGTTAGTTCTGAATTACATCGGCTGGACGTCCATGACTGACCGCTCCGATACCGAGACCCGCACATCCTCAGGAGGGAATTGGCAGCGTTGCTTCTTGCGAGCACATCTGGTGCAGGGGTCCGATCCCGAGCACTTCACTTTCATGCTCCGACATCGTACACATCTTGTATAAGGTTTTAGAAGAGACTCTGATCATTGGCGTGCTAGGCAACTTACGCCTTCAGACATTTCTTAGCTTTCACTTTGTTTGCTGTCGCAGGCATACCGGATTGTAGAGCCGAATGAAGCAACAAAGCAGTACAGAGTCGGTGCTTTTTCTCCGAGAACAACGATGAGGCGGGGTAGAGTAAGAAGATGCAAGAAGATAGTGTCGGGAAGGCCTTCCGACGTGCCTTATCAGCGAACCTTGTCAAGCCCCACGTTATGAGATAAGAAAGTGGGCCACCGAAGTCTCCTTTGAGCTGTCATTGGTCGATTGACCCACAGCAATTGCCACTACTGAACAAGGTCTCAGGAATACATAGATCAAGAATAGTACGTAATTAAACAGGATCTTTAAGCATAGTACCATGCCTCAAACTAAAATCGCACCAGGTGCCATGGATAAGTTCTCTCAATCAATCATGTCATCATATCAACAAAGTAGGAAAAGCTAGGAATACATCACTGTAAATTACAGCCGGCTCAGTTGCTCAGCTAGTGCAAAGAGAGGCGGAAATTGCCAAAACACAAAACCCGAAAATTATGAGGAAGAGTATATTGTTTGACCCAGATCAGGCTTTCCAAAAGAATAACGGAATTACCCTATAATTGGTGTACCCTCGGGAACCCTTGGAGGTGATACAGGCCTTTCGTTTACACAGATCCATCGATGGCACATGATGTTTGAACAAATCAATGTAATACCTATTCTTATATAACCGTCACTTCACCTGAAGTCTACTCCTTCATGTTCGTTACTTCCATTAAGTTTCAGAACCATCAACCCACAATTCTTCGCCAAAGCTCCTGGCGCAGAGCAGTCACCATATGTTGTGTACGCTCAACGGCACCCTTGTTTTCAATAGCCCGACGATGAAGATATTGCATGCACTCGGAGACTGATCCCCACGCCATGCATTTGAAAGCCTTAGGAACTGACATGTTCGCCGCAGATGAATCCTTCAAAGCACGCTCATAGTTCTGCACCAGTTCGCAACTAAGCTCGTCTGCCATTCCTTGGATCTGTCCGCATTCGAGCATCACCGTTGGCTTGTGTGCAAGCAGACGGTTCTGGTGAGTGGAAATTGCCTTAGCGGCGCTCGCGGCATTGTGTGTGGCAAGGAAAAGGGCAGCGTGAGGGAATGTCAATTCTTTGATCCCTTCGGGCATTCTGCGACAGAGCATTGTATCGGCAATTAGATCGTAGGATTCATCTGTCTCTTCCTTGGTATCGTGGATGAGAGATCGTGTTTCGTGTTCAATGTATGCTCCTCGAACCAGTTTAATTCCAAGGGCCCAGCCCTCCTTTGCCGCCAAGGTGATGTGATTATCGAGATTTGCCTTTGAAGCTTTCAAATATCCCTGAATAGTGTTGTACACAAGCGGTTCATCGGATTTGTTATGTTTTCGCATGATCTCAATAGCCCAGTCATCTAGGCCGTGCTGGAGAACCTGCTGCTCAGCATCTAGCCACAGGCGTGATCCCTGTGCTTGAGCAGCGCTGCAAATTTCATCCATAGCTTTGATCATAACTTCGGGCATGGCACTCTTCTCTGCCATGCCGTCAACGGCAATTGGGCCGGCACCTGTGAGTCTGGCAACGACATTAGACGAGAAATCAATAGGAAAGGAAAATGAACTCACTTCACAGCCAGAAAATCTCCAGATCCGACCATACTGAGAGTATCGAGTGTACCTCTCTTCCATTCTTCCACCATGTTATAGCACTTGTCACTGTAGGTTGTCGAGCCAGCCTCATCGCGAGCCAACTTCTCGTTGGGGTCCAGCACGATCTCTTTCGAATAACCCAGAATGACTCCTTGATAGCCAATGCTCTTTATATCTGCAACTGTTTTCGACACTTCTGCCCGATTCGTGCCCGCACAAAAGTGATCATACACTGTCCATCGGAGGACTTTATTGAGGATACGGTTTCGATCGGGGTTGAGGATCGCAGACTTGGAATTCGTGACGACGTTGAGCACGGCTAGTGCAGGCTTGAGAACTAATTTGGAGGACATAAGAGAGGTCAAGAGCAAAGAACGCAAGACAAATCTGGTTGGAAGTCTTGCCATAGACGAGACTTCCAGTGGAGGCTGGGTTGTTGGTGTGACAACTGCTGCATCATGGAACCTTTGCTTGGTTGAGCGATGACGCCGGTAGATTGCTGTTTGCACTTGCAAAACGCGGGTGTTCACTCCAACGTGGAGAGACGTAGATCGAGGAATCATTTTGGCGAGGACTGACGAGCAAGAGGGTTGACAATATGTTCTTTCAATATGTGGTGCCCGAAACACAGTGATGGCGTTGGCTATTATATTATTGATAACAAAAATCTGCCTATATTAATGCGACGGCTTCTATGTCTACGATAGTCTATCTCCTCGCCGCGATCTACCGATGCGCTGTCTAAACGTCAGCCGACTCCAGTCGGATGGACCCTCCGATGGTGGGAGGGGCGTCGGACAAGGCGTTCTTCCAGCCAAATCAACTGACCAAGAGAAGGGGTTCTTATTGCCAATGAATTTCAAGGCAACGGCCCGGTGAGTACCCCTCATTTCACTTGAGCCGGGCCGGTTCGTGGGATTCAAGGACTGTGAGGTTATCACCGTTGCATCCTAGATCTGATTCAGGCAGGTTCCGTACCATTACAGTCAGTCGTTTGGTATCATGTCAAGTAGACTATCTAATCCAGAAGAGCCATTATCCCGACTCGTAAGCCGAGGCTTGTGTTCCTTCAATATGTTCTCTCGCGTTCCTGTTCGTGGTAGAAGGTTGTGGATGTCCACTTTCGAAGTCCACGGGTTGATTAGATCTTTCCGATGTCGTAGACGGGCGGTGGGAGTTATACACCGATGGCTGATCTGAAGATACTTTAGTTTCCAGAACGTCATTTACATACAATGAGGGAGCTTGTGGCCTGCATACTGTCTCGTGAGGCAACTGGCCTGGTCGGCTTTCTGGGCGCTGAAAGGCCGGCCTGCAAGGCAGAATGCAAAAGTTCCCACTGCATTTATAGTGTTAAACTATGCTACGGAGGATATTTAGCGGCATTAATGTAATATAGAACACTCACAGGATGCTGCAGAGCTGTCCAATAGATTCTAAGCGTGTCTATCAGGCTTAACATTACTTCTACGGCAACCAGCAGCGTTCACAGCTAGTTCCCTCACTGCTTGGTTACGGCGAGAAATCTCTGTAGATGGGAGTACTATGTCTACAACAAAGCACCATAGCCAACAAGGAGGGGCAGTTGTGAAACATCCTTTCGGTCATAAAGGTAAGGCGCCAACAGGCGCTCAAATAAGTCTACATGATGAGTGACAGTCTCTGCTGCTTTTCTTTGTGTCTCAGGGTAAATGGTCGGGCCCGTGGGGATGTTCGAGAGTAGAAGAACAATCATGGAGTGTTGGACGGTTTGTCATTGATGATAAACAGCATGATGAAGAAGTAATAGAATCTGGACTTCGGGCGTTTTATCGTCTTGACGGACAGAGCCCCTCACAAATTCAACTCGAATTGATATATTGAAATATTTTGGCATGTGGTATTTGCATGAAAGAACTTCTCTATGTACATTAAACCTCGTTAGAAGGGTATTCGACCTTCTCGAGAGGAACGAACTCCTCCTTAATGGTGCGAGTGCTAACAAATCGCTGCAGATGGGCCATCGTGCCGGTCTTGTCATTCGTGCCCGAGTCACGACTTCCACCAAACGGCTGCTGAGCCACAGTTGCGCCAGTGCACTTGGTGTTCAGGTAAAGCATACCAGCAGCATGCTTCAGGATGGTCTGTGCGTGTCGGCTGGCGTAAGGGTCCATGGCGAAGATACTGCCTGTCAGGCCGTAGCGGGATGTAGTATCAATCAGCTTCAAGGTCTGCTCCCACTCCTCATCTGGATACACATAAACACCCAGAACAGGACCGAATAGCTCTTGGGACATGATCTCGTGGCGGGGGTTGGATGTGCGGTACACGGTAGGGTGTACATAGAATCCCTCCTGCTTGGAGGCCTTGCCACCAACGACAAGCTCCAGCTCCGGATCATTCTTGGCCTTCTCGATGAAATTGTTGAGCTTGTCGAAAGACCGTTCGTGGATCACGGGATTGATGAAGTTTCCATAATCTTCAACATTTCCAACCTTGAGAGCAGCAGTCTCCTCAGCGAGAACTTTTTGGAACTCAGGCCAGACGGACTCTGCCACGTAGACGCGCGAGTTTGCAGAGCACTTTTGTCCCTGGTATTCGAATGCTGCCCGAATGGTGTTCAGAGCGGCACTTCTCACGTTCGCCGAGGGGTGCACAACACCCCAGTTCTTGCCACCAGTCTCTCCGACAACGCGGGGGTACGAATTGTAGATGGCCTGACCGATTCCATCACCAATCTTCTTTTGGATACCCTTGAAGGTAGCGGTCGACCCAATAAATGAAAGCGCACCGAACTCAGGCCTCTTGAGAATGGTGTTGGTGACTTCTTCAGCGTCGCCGGGCAGAAATTGAATGACATCCTTGGGCAGACCAGCTTCAAGCAGGATCTTGTGAAGCAACCAACTTGCATGCAGAGCCGAGTCGGAAGGCTTCCAAATGACAACATTGCCGAGCAAAGCAGCCGGTCCGACAAGGGTAGCGCCAAGTGCGGTGAAGTTGAAGGGGGCGATGGCATAGGTGAAGCCCTCCAAGGGTCGATACTCCATTTTGTTCCAGATTCCATCAAGCTGGATTCTTGGCTGCTGAGCGAAGAGGGCCCAGGCCTCTTGGACATAGTGGCGGAAGAAATCGGCAGTCTCTGCTGGTGCATCAATCTCTGCTTGCCAGATATTCTTGCCTTGTCCGAGCATTGTCGCCGCTACAATCTCTGAGCGATATTTGCCGGTGACAAGCTCGGAAGCGCGCAGGAAAATGGCAGCACGATCCTCGAACGGAGTCGCCTCCCATGCTGGCTTGGCCTTCAGGGCTGCGTCAATTGCGGCGTTGGTTTGTTCCGGTGTGGCGGACGCATACTTGGCAACGATCTCGCTATGTTTTGAAGGATTCAATTGGGCTCGTAACTGTTTTGTTTCGACCTGCGTGAGTACGAACGTTAGAAATTGTCAAAAGGTCCTGTCATCCTTATCGTACCTCTGAACCGTTGATCTGAATCGGAATGGTAAATGGGAATTCACTCTTAAGCTTTTGGATGGTTTTGGTAAGCTCAGCTCTCTCGGAAGAGCCTTTGGCATAGTTAAGCTTTGCGGCCGTTAGCAAAGATCCAGTGGGATATTTTCTTTAACTTACCATTTTCTCATTCTCAAACTTGGGTGGTTGCAGCATGGTCAAGTACCGGCGGGCAATTCCATTACTGGATAAAGCCTTGACGCGGCTCACGCCAGCTACACGGGTGATTATTGAAGGCCGCATATCTGTATCTCAACTAAAGAGCTTGTAAAATAGAACGCAAGTTCAACGGCTTCCCCTCATCGAATCTTTAAATATGGCGAACGCATGATTCTGCCTCATACCACACATTTCGACCGCCGGAAGACCATCCCGAATCAAAGATGCAATAGTATCGCAGCTTATCATGCAGTTGGCTTCCATACTCCACCGTTGCGGGGAAGATGTGTATCGCATATCGTCTGGAGATGTCGGGATGGCCTTCCGATGTATGATAAGAACACCCTGCGTCATTCGTCCTTGGTAATCGGCGAACATCCGATATAGACATGCAGATCTGGAATCCCCCTAAAGTGTCTTCAGGTAATATCGGAGTCTTTCAGTAAATCGGATTTTGATGTCGCCGACCAATGCCGGGGAATCCTACGTTAGGACTCTCCTATCACTCCCGATGGATACAAACTGTCTCTTACTATGATGAATCACCAAAGGAGTCTTATCAAGAGTCAAACTATTTTCCCTAGCAAAGGAGCAATTCTTGAGATAGAAAAAGGTGATTGACTATCAAAGGGCGGAAGTCTCGGGGAGTTACGGTAAAACCCGTTGTATAGCCAATGTTTTAGCATAAATACCCTACTATTTCCTTCTATTATGTGGTAGTAGGTGGTATGAATTCTTTATTCTTAGATGCACTGGAGCGCTGATATCCGCGGCCAAACAATTGTGTATCAATCAAAGTTCTATCAATTTGATGGAGCCTAACTAGGTGCGTCCAGGCTGTGCAGGCGCCTGCATCAAACCCGAGAGCAGAACTTGGTGTCCTTAAATCCAGGCTCGCGGCTTGCAGTAATAGTCACAAAAAGAGAAAATGGCCTCCTGTCGGAGGCCAGCACAAGGCAAAGTGTACCAAACCCATACAAAACCAGGCCCAATTGAACAACGCCCGCAATATTTCACTCCTCCTACTTCCTTTCAACCTCCTATTGTTCTCCCGCCTCTCGCTCGTCAGTCGATGATCAAGTACTTTGGACCCTCAATTAATCGCGATGGCGTGTTGAATCGATGAATGTTGAGTATCCTAACCATTCTCGGGGGCACAGTCTTGCTGTTCGTTAGTAAATGGCCTTTCCACAACCTACTCCATGGCCGGAGACAAAAATTTCGTATTCATCATTTGTGAAGGGTGCTAATTGATTCATCGACCAGTTCTTTTCAGGATGCTAATCATGGAGACTTCCAAGGCTGTTCTGTTCGATAGCGCCACCCAGACGGTGACTAAATAAGCACCGAGTTATTTTCTCTCGCAAAAAGATAATAGAATCATTCATATTCACATTCTACCATATAAATCTAAGAATGAAGTTATCATGAATATCAATTGTAGGACAGAGACATTCCCGACATGGTGTAGGTGTCGGTGATCCACCGTGCGACCATCCCGACCGAGCTTAGCTCCGCTTGATCGACCCAGACCTTCGTCATTATCGCCATCACCTCCACACCCCGAATCCTCACCCCCAGACATTCCACCGGCGGAGTCACAATGTCTCTGTTTGGAACATCGCCAGAGGAGCCCTCTGCGGCACCGGCCCAGAGGTCCAAATCCTCGCTCTTCGCGGATGACGACGGCGACGATAGCTCCTCCACTCCTTGGAATCAGAACAATACGGCCAAGCGAACTGCACGGCGCGACCTGGTCCGCACCTTGCTTCCCGCTACCGATGTCCCCGAGAGCTATGTCGACGCCTATGATCTGATACTCAATAGCGGGGATAGGGTCGGTTCCGGAGTCGGACTGACCTCGATTAGAGAAATTCTGTCTAGTAGTGGCCTGACTGCTTCTGATCAGGGCAAGGTCCTCAATCTGGTCGTGTCTGGCGACCTAGAAAACTCTGGCGGGCTGGGTCGTGCCGAGTTCAATGTCTTGCTGGCGCTGGTCGGATTGGCGCAAGAGGGGGAAGACCTATCTTTTGATGCTGTCGATGACCGTCGCAAGAGTGAGTGACTTCCTTTGAACCCTTTGAATAATGCTTTACAGCCCATAGCTTAACACAATCTACACGCAGAGCTTCCCCAGCCTAAGAGCGGCTTCCTTAACCGGCTCCGAACATCGAATAACGCGCCCTCCGACCCCGCGGAGGGACGACCAGCTACGCCCCCGCCCCAAGTGACACCGTTACAAGAGCCAAACTCAGCGCGATCCCGGCGTTCACGACGAGGATCTTTGGGCCTGGGTGGCGGCTTGGAATCCGACCCATGGGCAAGTCCAGAATTGCACCGTAATCACAACCACGAAGCTACCACCACCGAAGAGCGAGTCAAGGACGGCTTTGAGCGTGTTGTAAACGGATTCGGAAGTATGCGCTCTACAAATGCATGGTCTGGTGGTAGAGTGGCGGAGGAGGCCAGACAGAGCGAAGCACCACAACAACAGCAGCAGCATACAAACGGTCGAACCGAGTCAGCACCGCCCAGCAGCTCCGGCTCTGGGTGGGGAAGCAATATCGGTGGGCCACCTGGGAATGATACGTTTGTTGCTGGACACGCCCCAGCCCTCGGTGGCTTCGGACCTCCTGGTGACGACCCTGGCGATATCGCCCCCCGGCGTCGGTCTCTGGGTCTTTCGCGGCCTACAAACCTACGGGTCGAGGAAACCGTCACGATAACTCTCCTCCAGGAGAAGGAGGGCATGTTCATGTTCCAACATCGAAACTACGAGGTCAAGTCGCCGCGACGAGGGAGCACAGTTGTGCGTCGGTACAGCGACTTCGTCTGGCTCTTGGATTGTCTACAGAAGCGATTCCCCTTCCGACAATTGCCCCTTCTCCCGCCCAAGCGCGTGTCAGGTACGTCCAGTTCTGGTTGAGGCACTCCAAGTTGTTTGCTCACCTGTTTGGAAGTGAATGGTACTCATTTATCAGCGGATTCGACTACTTTCCTGGAAAAGCGGCGCCGTGGACTTATTAGGTTTACCAATTCTCTCGTTCGACACCCCGTTCTTGGCCAGGAGCAGCTGGTGACTATGTTCCTGACCGTTCCCACAGTAAGTTTCGACCCACTCTATCAATCGAGACGTACGTCTGACTCTCGACCAGGAACTATCCGTATGGCGCAAGCAGGCCACCATCTCCGTCCAAGACGAGTTTGTTGATCGTGCTCTCCCACCTGATCTGGAGGATTCTTTGCCCGCCATTCTCGACGAGACCTTCGAGACTGTCCGCAGCGGCGTTCAAAGGTCTGCGGAAATCTATATCAACCTGTGCACTCTGCTCGAGCGACTGGCCAAACGCAATGACGGCCTGGCTGCCGATCATTTGCGATTCTCCCTGGCTCTGCAATCGTTGACCGAGGTCACCAAGGACACTTACTCGATCGATACCAATGATATCCCCGCACTGAATACCGGCATCACCTCGACCGCCCGACACCTCTCGGCCAGCCAAAGTCTGCTAGAAGACGAGGCACGAGCCTGGTCGGACGGTGTCCTCGAGGACCTGAAACGCCAGCGAGACGTCCTGGTCAGCGTACGGGAGATGTTTGATCGGAAGGACCGGTACGCGCGGAACAATATTCCGCAGCTCGAACGCCGGATCGAGGCCAGCGAACGCAAGCTGCAAGAGCTTCGTGCCCGACCAGCCGGAACCGCGAAGCCAGGCGAGATTGAAAAGGTGGAGGACTCCATATTCAAGGTACGGTGACCGATCCTATATCGGGGGTTCTCCGAGACTAATAAACTGTGCAGGACAAAGAGTCAATCGTGCAGCAGCATGCGCGAGGCGTGTTCATCAAGGAGTGCATCCGCGACGAGCTGATCCACTTCCAGTCGAGCCAGTATCACATCAGCCGTCTGCACCAGGACTGGAGCCAGGAGCGAGTCAAATATTCCGAATTGCAGGCGGATAACTGGCGACAACTCAGTGATGAAGTGGAGGGGATGCCGACCGGAGAGTAGAAGTAGTTGGGCCGACCTGGTCGTACATAAGGGGGACTTACTTTCTGACGCACCGAGACCCGACTAAGTCCACATTTTTGGCCAAGCGCGGGGTGCGCGATCCCCGGATTGCAGTGATGTTCTTGCTTGCTTTTTTTTTTCCCCTCGTGATTTGCCCCAATTTCCCCCAATTTTCTCCGCAAATGCCTAGCATTTTTTTCGATTGAATGTTTCACATGTTGGAATCCGGGCTATGTGTTTTGAATTCCCCATTCCCCAGTCCGCCTTGTTGCAAGAGTGTTATACTGGAATCATGAAACACATATTGGCTTCGAAATCGAACACATCGAAAAGTCATCCCATAGTGACCAAAGTACCCTAGGTACATAGATGCGTAAAAATACAGGAACGATGACGTCCGCAAGCCACGATTGGCGCAGATCCACCGAAGAGTGGATGTAATGGAGAATAATGGTCAATTTGAGACCAATTAAATAGACTCAAATGGCGACGGCCTTGGCGGCTCACAGGGCTGGGCAGCCAATCTTTCCTTGGCCTGAAAACGTGTAAAATACCGGGATCGGCTTTATCACCTTTGTTCCCTTTCTTGAAGACTCTGGGGTTTTCTCTTTGTGCTAAGTCTGATCAAGGTTCTTCTAAAGATCAATTACTATTCTGCCATATCATCCTAGCTGTCTCTAAGAGCCCTGATTCTAATTATCCGCCAGCCAAGACTCGTCCGCCGACGACGTGGGGCGCAAAAGTCTCGGCTGACGAATCCCGCCCGTTACAACAAGACCTCGTTCTGGGCAAATCTCCTCGAGCGCGCAAATCGCTCCTCGGCCAAGAGTCCCCCCAAGACTCTGCGCCCTGCTCACTCCTCTCTTCTCTTTCTTAACCCCTAAGGACTGGTTGAAACTACCAGTAGAATACCTTTCCCTTCCCCGACCTCCTCCGCTTCCTCGTCGCGCTCGGGCAATCAAGCATCTATCCCCTCCTCTATATTTCCGACTCTGCCGGCTCCCCGAGCGTCAACCCGGCACCTGTCGACCGGAATTACCGCTCAGCCCTACAGGGCTCGTCGTCCGACCATTGTCCGACCATTCTCCACTCCCACCACCTCCAAGGCATGAGGAGCTACACGATCATTCGAGGCGGAATACCATCTGGTAATTGATTGAGGAACGGGGTTGCGACTCTACATAGTCCCTGAGTCTGACGCGCAAGTCCCTACACCATGGCGTGGGATCATCTGGACATCGATAAGCCGCATCTGGCGTACATGATCCTTGGCGGCTTCACGGGCCTGTTCATGCTGTGCTCGCTATTCGTCAAGGAGAAGCTTTACATTGGTGAAGCTACTGTTGCCACGATCTGTGGTATTATCTTCGGTCCGCACGCTGCGAATCTCTTCAATCCCCATGAGTGGGGCAATGTCGACAAGATTACTCTCGAGTGTTCGCGCATTGTACTGGTCGTGCAATGTTTTGCCGTTGGCGTCGAGTTGCCCAAGGCTTATATGGAGCGTCACTGGAAGTCTGTTACGTTGTTGCTGATCCCTGTGATGACGTGTGGTTGGCTGATTACCAGTTTATTTATTTGGTGGATGGTACCTCCGCTGAACTGGTTGGAGAGTCTGGTATGTGCTGCCTGTGTGACGGCCACTGATCCTGTCTTGGCTTCGTCTGTGGTTGGTAAGGGAAAGTTTGCCAAGCGTGTGCCTAAGCATTTGCGTGATCTGTTGTCTGCTGAGTCTGGTTGCAACGATGGCATGGCTTTCCCTTTCATTTATCTTTCCTTTTATATTCTCCGATACCGACCAAATGCCGGAGAGGTTTCGCTGAACTGGTTCTGCATCACAATTCTCTACGAATGCATTTTCGGCGCCATCTTCGGCTTTTCAATTGGCTATTTGGCCCGCCATGCCATCAAGCTCGCCGAACGAAGGGGTCTGATCGATCGAGAGAGTTTCCTAGTGTTCTACTTCGTTTTGGCTGTTTTCTGTGCCGGATCCGGCAGTCTCCTGGGAATGGACGATCTACTGATTGGATTCTCATGCGGTGTTGGCTTCAGTAACGACGGATGGTTCACAGAGAAGACCGAAGAATCGCACGTTTCCAACGTTATCGATCTTCTGCTCAACTTGGCATACTTCGTTTACTTCGGGTCGATCGTGCCGTGGGAGGACTTCAACTCTCCCGACCTGGGCCTGACGCCGTGGCGATTGGTTGTGATTGCGCTTTTGGTCATTTTCTTCCGTCGCATTCCGATCATGTTGCTGCTAAAACCTATAATACCGGACGTCAAAACATGGCGTGAAGCCCTTTTCGCTGGTCACTTTGGTCCCATCGGTGTCGGTGCCATTTTTGCTGCAATTCTGGCGCGAGCTGAATTGGAAAATGACGACACCCAGCCTTCACCGGAAGGTAGTCTACCTTTACCTGGTGATGAAAACTACTACATTATTAGGCTTATCTGGCCTATTACGACCTTCCTGGTCATCTCGTCCATATTGGTGCACGGATCTTCAATCGCTGTGTTCACCCTTGGCAAGCGCATCAATACCTTGACAGTCACCCTGTCTTACACTCAAGCCAACGAGGAGGGTCCTTCCTGGATGAACCGTTTGCCCCGTGTCCAGTCCATTGCCAAGGGCTCTATGTCCTTCCGGAAGAATGACTCACTGGAGGGCTCGTCCGAGGAGAAGCTGCCAGAGTATCCTCCTGGTACCCTGCCGCCAATTGGCATGCCTGGTAACTTCCTTCGCCGTGTGCGCGACGACGACAGTGAACCCCAGAGCGTCCAAAACGAGCGTCAAAAGCCTGTGCGCAGAAGAAAGCGCCGTAAGCATGACGGTGCAGGTGGTCCAATCAGCCAGTCTGCTATCATGCCTGCAAGGCGCACTGAAAGTGAAATCGAGGCCGAGGAAGACCAAAAGGAATTGGAAGAGCGCGATGCCGTCGAGCGTGGTACTTCGCCACCCAACGCTGAGCGCGACCGCTTCGGCCGCGAACCTGAATTGGAGGTCTTCCAAGAGGGTCACCACATGGTTATCGAGGACGAAGAGGGCAATGTTCTCAAGACTGAAAATACTAGCCACTTGACTCCAGAAGATCAGGCGCGTCATATCGAGGAACAGCGCAGGCGTCTGGAACAAGACAGGAGTGGGGAGCTGGCGGCTTCCCAGAGCCAGCCTCACAAGAAGGACGAAGGTGAGGAGATCAAGGAGGCTCTCGATAAGAAGGCCGGCCACCCCCTCGAAAAGACTCGCGGAAAGTGGACCAGCTGGATGGGCCGTGGCGGAAAGGAGCAGAGCAAAGAAAAGCCCGTGGAGAAGCCGAAGGAAGAAAAGCCCAAGGCCGACTCTGCCAAGCCCAAGCACCGTTCTGCCCATGCTTACCAGTTTGGTAACACTATCATCGTTGAGGACGAGGATGGTGAGGTGCTGAAGAAATACACCATTCCTGGCGACAAGTCTCATAGGCCTAAGCCCGTTCAACCCGAGACGGAAGCCGGACCATCCCGACCTCCGCTCAAGCGTGGTATCACTCGCATGGGTACCTGGTTCGGCATGGAAGAAGATGGCAAGACCGCCCAGGCTGAGCAAAAGAAGCCTGCACCAAGAACCCAGACCGAGGACTGGGCCACGGATGACGGCTTGCGATTCACTCTGGCTCAGAGCCAGGAAGTTGATTCTCAAGGCATTGGCCACAAGGGTCGTCGCATGAACAAGCACGAGTTCTTCCAGCAGCTCAGAGGCCTCGATTCCAAAGCCCGTCGCGACATGGTGCAGCAAAGCGATGCCCCCGAGTCTGTGAAGGAGGCTGCTATGGACGACGCCAACCAGGAGGAGAAGCAAGAGCGCCGGCTGTCTGCCGCTGCCGCCGCTGCCACCACCGGTGTCATCCCCGAGGAGGCAGCCGAAGAGCTTGAGTCAGAGTCTATGACTGAAAGCGAAGTCAGCGACGATGAGACCGACGACGGCCGTGGTCCTGGCCCCAACGTCGCCTCCTCGCTGGCCAAGTTTACTCACGGTAGCTCCGCCCAAGAGCGCCGCAGCAACCTCAGCCCTGCACCTCGCACCCGAGACCGTGCTCGCCGTGACTCGGAAGACGATGGCACTGAGCGTATCCCTCCCTCTCGTCTCCGCAAAGCCGCCGGCCTCGCTGCTCCCCCACGCCAGAGAGACGACGCCACGGGCGAAACACCCGCCGAACGTCGCCGCCGTCTAGCAGCCCTGGGCCAAATCCACAACGACGATTCCGCATCCGATAGCGACAACGCCATTGCCTCCGACAGCGACGATGACGGCGAACCCCGCCAAGTCCCCAGCAAAATCTCCTTCGCCGAAAACCTCAAGCCTGAACAATCCAATCAAAGCGGTGATCAATCATCCCCATCTGGCTCCGGCTCCGGCTCAGCTTCAGCTTCAGGCACAGGATTCACTCCGGGCCACCGACCCCGCGTCTCCTGGGGCGGCGAAAAGGGTCGAGGCTCCTAATACCATACTCTTACCTCCCTCGTGAGGCAACGCTACATCCCGCATATCTTGCGCATCACTGCTTTGAGTGCATGACCATTTGTCACGCAAGATGACACAGTGTACACAATCACTGGACATGAAATGTTTTTTATCATTCGAGTATTTTTCGTTTTTCCGCCTGTGCATAGTACATTTGTTCTGGGAAGTAATTAATGCATCGAGCGGTCTGTGATTGTTCGAAATTATAGTTCTTATTCACTGGTGTTACTAGAGGAGAGCGAGATCGTGAACAATGCATTTTGATTTGCATAGCCATTTTTGTCATCCGTAAACGTACTCGGCGTAGAGTGCTATTTAGCCATCTCATTTGACTTTCTACAGATGTAGAGATAAATTGGAACCTAAGATGCACGTGCAATATTATTCGGATTGAAAATGAGGTATCAAACAAAAGCAAGACTATGTATCTCTAAACCATTGAATACATCCACAGATCCCTCTAATCCATCGTCGCCTGCGACTTCATAACCCCCCTTCCGAAGAACTCACTAACAACACCGAACCGATCTCTTGAGCGCGACAACTCCCCCTTGAACAGATCGTGCTGATCAGCCGAGTCAACCTGGCGCTGACGAATAGCACGTAGTGTGGAATTCGTTGGCGCACAGACAGGACACTGAGCATCCTCAGAGGGGTTGAGACAGCGCTCGTGGAAAGAGTGGCGACAGAGGAAGTGCACGGTGGGCAGGTCTAGTGTGCCGCCGCAGGATTGGCAGCGACGAGACTGGAAAACGATGGGTTGGGTGGCGAGATTGTCGAGTTCTTGTTTCTTGGTGGCTGTTTCGGATTTGTAGCTTGTGATGAGGCGGCGGTTCTAGAAGATAATTAGGATTTGGTTATAGCTTTGGCCATGGGGGACAGAGCATACAGTGGTGATCTCTTTGCGTTCACGGTCAATGTTATCGCTGAGATACTTCTTGACACGGCCCATTGTGACCACGGCGTTGTTGCTAAGGGCTTGGATCACTTGCAGCGGAGAGAGAAGGCCGTCTTGGTCGATGCGGCGCAGAACGACATCCAGCTCTTCGCCCGCTTCCTCGAGAATTTGTGGGCTTGAAGCAAAGTATGTCAGGGCATCGACGTAGAGCTGAGGCTCGTCGGGACCGTAGCGCCTCAGAGCTTGGATGGCGCCTTGAGTGTCCTTGGCGGATGTAAAAGAACGGAAAATGTCCAGACGAAGACCTTCTTGTTCGCGAACAAGTGTCGAACCTTCCCGGAAGTTGGAAAGATCGGAGATGAGAAGAACATTCGAAGTTGAGATAGGAATCTAGTCATTTTAGCTGGGCAAATTCACATCACAGGTTGAGGTACTTACGTCTTTTCCTTCAATCAGCTTCTTCGCCTTGTTCTCCCATTCTTGTTTTTCTGTCGGGTCTTTCTTTCCCTTCGCGGTGTCGAGATACATCTCGAAAAGCGTCGTGAAGAGATCGACCTTGGAATCCTTCTTCAAGTCGGGCTGTTGCACAAGGGTCTCAAGGAAGCTGATGAATTCTTGTGGGTGGTCGACAAATGCCGAGAACGCACTTCGAGGCTTTGGAACATCGTATTCCAATGGTACATCAGCGGGGTTTTCTTCAAACGCGGTGGTCTCAGAAGCCGGAGCCTTGGTCTGAGTTCTGCTCCCGCCAGTCATATACCGCAGCGGGAGGAGTCCCGCCAGGCTTTGCATGGTGCTTGTTGGTTGTGAATGAGGCTCGGCAGGAAGCTCAACATCAGTGTGCGGCCGATATTGTCCAGTATAGTAAACCTTGAAAAATTCCGTTGTGCGCTCGGGGCAGTGAGTCAGGAGGACTCGGGCGTATTTCATCAGATTGTGATAAGCCTTGTCGAATTAGTATCTGAGCCCCTGGGTGTACTCTTTCATTACTTACCGCTTCGGGTTCCAATCGCCAGATATACTCCACAGCTTCGGCATACTTCTTGGAGTCCTCAATAAGTATATCGACCACCATATCATTTTCTCCGTGTTTCGTGGCAAGATAAGCGGCTTGTTCGAAGTATCCTCCCTGGCGACACATTGCAATAGCTGTCTCCAAATCAAACTTGAGCTCCCCGGGAGCTTGAATGAATGAGTCGAGCTTGCTGGTGTCTTTCAATTTTGCGTAGCAATTCAAGAGAAGTGTTGTGTGGTCCACTGTCGCACGACCGTGGTCATGCAATTCCTCCAAATACTCTATCAAGTTGTGAATCCGCTGCGTATCCAGATACTGTATCACAAGTTAGCAAAGTAACCTCTCGTCAAACCTGGTGTACTGAACGGACCTTGCGAATGACTTGAGATGGTTCTGTATTGTCAATTGCTCGAAGGTACTGCTGCATAGCTGTGTCGTAATCGCCACGCTGGTAGAGGAAATCACCGTACTTGCGGAAGATGGCATTCTGTTGCAGAGGATCGATGCCAATCTTTTGCGCAAGATTGATAGCCAGGATATAAAGATTGCGCTCGTAGAGGATTTCAAGCCTTTGCTGTAGGCTCTTTTCACGGTATCGGAAGATCTGCAACTGGTAAGATAACTGGTTTCACCGTCTGAAGTCGAATTGCATACCTTTCCCTCAGTCGTAAGCAGATAGAGATCACCCCATTCCATGAAGATATACTTCATCGGTGCCACTAGCGCCTCACTATGAGCAATGAACTTGAGATCGGTATCAAGCAGTGTGAATGTCGTTGTGCCAAAGATTTCGTCCCCAGGGCTGACACCATACTTGCGCAACGACTCGCGTCTGCCGGTACCTGCTTTTGGAGGGCAAACTAACGCCACGTAGTCACGGAAAGACTTGATAGACGTCTTGGGGCTCTCGAAAGCATAACTCTGCCCCCGGCCCCGAGGACCATATGTGTAGACAGCATCCTCTCTAGCAATGAGTATATCCCCCGTCTCGTGATCCGGAGTCATGCAACCCAGCGCACATCCGGTATCGTCCAGTACGCGCGCAGGCTGACCCTGTCCCCGTCCCGAGATAACCAACGTGAGGATGCGGCTTGTCGTAGATATATACAACACAGTGACAGACCCCTCCTGTATTTCAAGACCCGTAATCGGCTCCTCCGATTCGAACACAATGCGTTGGCGCGCGCCGCGGTCGTGAATCAGGTCGCCTCGGATAATCGTCACAGATCCATTTGCAAATCCAACCGCTACTTGCGAGAGATCGTCTACAGCCGCAAACGCTGAAATCTAATCTAATGTCAGAAAGGAGCCCAAATCAAAAAAGTTATTGGTCTCGCGCACCGGAAACTGCCGTCGCGCATTCTGCACCGAGACGGTCGACAGACATTGCGGCCCACCTCCCTTCTTCTCCGTATCCAGCGCCCAGACCTTCAATACCGGCTCATTCGACATATCCTCGGACACCGTAACGAGTAGGGAGGTACCATCGATCTGCTTCATGTGCATGATGGAGCCGGCGTCGTGGGCCTTGAACGAACGTTTGACGCGGAAACCCTGAGTGACGATATGGATGAAGCCATCGTGGGTACCGAGAAAGAGGTTTGAGGAGCCGGTGCAGAGGCTGGAGAGGTCGCTCTGTTCATTAAGTGAGCTGGTGGTCCGTATGGGGGGAGGTGGATTGAGGCCTTACACCGAACGGCGCGGAGCTCTCGTCTGGTATCTTGACGAGCGAGACGTCGATGAAGTTGAACGCTTTCCACTGTGCTTGTTAGCAATGCAGATACAAGGGACATGGACTCTCGTACTGATGTCAGAGCCATGACTGGCCATGGGTTATCTGGTGACGGAGCTGCGTTGGAGATGGTCGGGAGCTCATCCCCGCTGACGCTCGGGCCACTTTGTTCCTGCGGATCTAGAAATTGGAGGACTCAGCGCTTGAATACTCTTATTCTTAGCTTCTACTTTACATTTCTGGGATTCTGAAACTTTTTGAAATATGCATTCAAGTTCTATTTGTCAAGAAAAGAAGAAAAGACGTCATCGCTCCAATTTGGAGTTCAAAGCACGCTACAGATGGTGGAAATGGGGAATCATAAGGATCAAAGCAATCGTGACAGACTGAAAGATGTGCTGTCGTAACAATGAAGCATTGGAAGTCGTCAAGTGAAACATATCAGGGTCTTGAAGCACATGAGTGTATATTTTGAGATGACTTGCCCATTCTACCGTGCTGGCTGGCCGGTTGAATCTCTTTGAGGAAGTCAACGCTCTGCCCTAACCAGCTTCCCAAATCGTCAATCGCCTGGCTCAGGGGAAAGCCATCTCCACCTTGGAGACCACCTTGGCCATCCTGGGCCGTTGCAGGCGTGTCTCCACTCAGGTCAAAGGGCAGAGCAGTCCCCTGAGTAGTGGATGGGTTCACGGGCGCTTGTTCGGACGGGTGTACAACATCATGTGGACTGGAGTTTCCAGCCCTTGATAAGGCTGTCACACACACATTTTCTGCAAATGGTGGCGAGCCTTTTTGAGATCTACATTCACTCTGAGGTATTCCAAGTTCCTGGGGATTTGATTCTTGCGGTGACGTCGGACGGTAAGCTTGGGCTTTCTTCTCGGTGCTGAACGTGAAAGGCGTAGCGGCATCGATCATACACTGCGTGCTCATAGCCTGCGTTCTGTCCCTGAAAGTCTGCCTGGAGCTTCGTGGTAGGGACTTACCTGCCGCACTAGGTCGATAAAATGGTGTTTCTTGTGCTAGCAGTACGGAGTCATCACCAGAAGGAGACTGGGGGCGTGGCTGAGCCGGTGTATTGCCCTGGCCCTGCTCAGGGCTTTCCAGGTCATCTTGGAATGACTTCTGGGCATGAAGTAATGCTGCTTGCGTTGAGAGCTGCGTATCGGGGCTGTTATCTCCGGTGTGCTCGGTGTCTGTCTTAGGCATCGCTGTTGAGTGCAATGATGGCATGCGGTCTGACACGCCGGGAGGAGGAGGTATTTCTTGCGCAGATGGAAAGTCTTCGTAAGAGTTATGCTCAGTTGGGACTTGTGGGTATGTTGCTGTGGATTCCAACTTTTCGGCGTCGGCAAACCTCAGGTCCTTTGATCGAAGAATAGACCGATTCGCTTCCTTTGCACTGCCATCATTCGAAGGCTTTACGGCTGGCTCTGGTGCATCTGGTACTATAGTATCGCCATCTTGCACCTCGATGGTCTCGGCGGACTGCGGTGCTTCCGTGAGTTTTTTGCCAGGAGACTTTGAATGGACCTGCAGGGTGGAGTCTTGGTGCCAACGTCGATACTCAAAGCGCGGTAATTGAGATGACGAGTTAACCACACGGAAAGACGTAGCCGCATGTCCATTTTCTTTTGAAGATATCTGGTCATTTTGAAGCGATGAATTGGCGACTACAGGAGCTTGATACGTTGACGAAACAATCGTCTGAGCAGACCGCGGCAAAGCACGGGAAGTGGCGCCCGGATCCAGATTGCCGGGGGTAGTAGATATGTTTGGCGTCGGTAAAGCAGGAGAATTGGAAGTCTTACTTCCAACTGAGCGAGAAATGCCCGTTCGAGAGGTGATATCTGCTTGTCTAGAAGCAATCTTCGAAGTCGGGGAGCTGGGTGGCTCAAATCGCCCAAAGTTCATGGGCTTCCGGTCTTTTCTCAGCCACTGGTTTGTATCATTTTTTACAAATGTAACATCGTCTGCCGCTGTATTTATGGATGAAACGTCTCTCAATTTCTTCGCTGAGAGGCGTGGGGCTCGATTCTGCTGATCCGTTTCTACTTTCTGGAACGGTCTCTTTCGAGCTGACCCGATAATAAAAGAAGACTTTGGGTGCTGAGCCGAAACAACAGTAGATGTCTCAGCAAGAGATGTATCAACTGAGGGACGAGATGTCGCTAGATCGTCTCTGTACTTCGGGCGACTTGGGTCTGTTTCCTGTACCACGGGCTCCGCATCCCGCACACGAGAATCCGACCCGACCGTTCTCGAATCCAGATCGGCCGCAACCTTCCGTTTCTTGGTCCATGGGTTCTTCCAGCCGTCATCGAACGGGCCGCGGAGAGACGCAGAGAGAAGAAACAGAGGCTGTCCTCGAAGGTATGATTCAGCAAGTTTTTCAATTCTTCGGTATTTGGCAGCAAGAGCAGCATCGTCCAACTCATCGTCGGAGCCCAGCAGGTCGTCCGGGTTTATATCGGAGGTCGCAAGTGAGCATGATTCGATGGTGATCGGAGAAACGGGCTGCGGGAAGGGCATCGGCGTGAGGTGTTGATATCGCCGCTTCGTGTGTTCAGGGCGGCAGTCGAATACCGCGGCGCAGCAGTTGGAGATGGATCCGGAGGGGTTATCGTCATATCTGGTCGAACAACAGGGTTGGGCTCGGAGCCTAACGCGAAAAGAAGCACTCAACGCGTGAACTGCCCCAGCAACCGCGGAGTGCCCACGCTCACGTGAGACCCACCCTAAGTATACAAAATATCACTTGCTCTTTTACTGTAGTTATACAGGCAGCCAGTCACTCTATAGCTTATAGCTCAGACTTCATCGTTCGGAAGTTTGGAACATTCTCAGTAAACCTACAATTACAGTCTCTCCATACTCCTAGAAGGCGCCATTGCCTAATTCGCACTTTCAAGAAAACTAGTAGGCATTTGGCGGTCATCTTGGGAATATTCGGAAAAACGGAAGACAAAATGGGAAACAAGATTGGATCGAATAGGCTAGTCGAGGCATAGGGTGAGCGATCAGATTGCGTAGTGAGCCAAAAAGGGCGATGTGATTGCCCCTGTACTCCAGATGCCGATCGCTTGTGAAGCAGTTGGGTATTTCTATCATCCTCGAAAATATTTACCAAGTTGTCCGTTCTCGATAAAATAGTTCTCTATCCCATCTATGTCCCGTCTATATCCCGAGCTGTATCGCAAAGAGCCTTTCGAAGAGGACTCGGATTTCAAAGTTGAAGGTTCCAACCATGATACTCCTATGCTTCGGATCACATGCACAAGCAATTGAGTACACCAAGGCTGCGAAAGTACATTCCCCCAGAGGCAAGGACTTCCAATTGGACTACAAGGAAAGTATCGAAGAAGAGAGAAACTAAGACGAGGACCTGCAAGACTGTTTCATGGTTGGTAGCAGGGAGATGTACTTTCTCACACGGCACACAACACTACGAGAGTACGCAAGCCACAAGTCAAATGCAAATCGTATTCACATGAGGTATAAGCATAATTGAACACAGAAAAGGCAAAAAGTAAAAAGATACCTAGTCAATCAATACAGCAGCCACACCAGCAAAGCCTACAGTCATCAGGCTCGTACAACAAATATCAACGCTAACAGTGTGCCAATAAAGGTAACTTGATTGACATGACAAAAAGGGGAGGGGGGTTCTATGGTAATTCGAGGGTATCGAAGCATTCAGTTTGGTGCCGAGGCGCGGGTAACAGAGAAACGGGGGGAAAAGTGAAGAAGTGAAATAGAGAAAAAGAAGGAGAGCCTCGGGACTTTAAATCATGACATTGCCGCAAACATAGGAAGACAAATCGGAAATAACACAGGGGGTCGTTAAGTAGTCATCATAACGGAATTCTCAGCTCGCTCCTTCATTCGCATAGCCTGGGCTTCCAGAGACCGCGCCATCAGTTTAGTCACAGGCCACACTGCAGCACGGTCTAGAAGGCTGGCTGTGGCTATTAGTATTTTACATCCGTATCCGCCCTCCACGACGGAAGGAAGGCGTTGCATCACGCTGAGTGCAGACATGGAATTGCTGTTCTGCACTGTTCGTTGCATTTTTGATTCAATGCTTGAGAGGATTTCTTTAATCTTGTCGATCAGCTTGCAGTCTTCGTCTTCGAGGAGCATTACGCCTGGAACCTGGGTGAGATCGATGTCGTCACGACCCAGGATGCCGAGGTAGGGACCGACGCGCTCTTGAACGGTAGTTATCCATTCTGCGAGAACTTGAGAGCAATCGAAGGAGCACATTGCGCATTGGATGGGCAACTCGCGGGATGAGAACTCGGCGAATGTGTTGCCGAGGCGGTCGGACATGTTTATTGAATCGGCGGCGTAGAAGGCGGCTTTGCGAAGGTGTTTCTCGCGCTTCGATTGACCTGTTTTGTAGACGTTTGAGAGGGACTCCATAGGTTGTTCTTGGGTTGGGGTTTTGGAGAGGGTGAGGTCGGCTACGCCTAGGTCGTTAATGGATTCTCGTCGGCCGTCGAACTGGCCGGTAAGGGAGGGGTCCACTAGGTCATTCATATTTGTGTCGACCTGTTGGAATATCTCTGTGCCTCGGGCGAGCTCGTCTGCCATGCCGTTCCAATCCCGTTGCCAGAAAGCCTCTTTGCAGCGACCCAAGTTGACGAACAGCCGAACGTAGGCCAAGTCCAGAAGTGGAATGCTATCTGCGGATAGCGGCCCGGCGCCAAATGGATTGGGTCGCTCCAGACTGTGGACTGGGTTGCTTGCCCACGCAGCCTGCCAGGCTCGGAGAGCCGGCTCGATATGTGCTTGCATGGCTTCGGTTTCTTGTGAGGTCCATTGGCGGCCCATGTGTCGTTGCCGGGTTTCCCAGATATAATTGTGCAAAGAGTAGATAAGAACGAGACATCCGAATGTACTGGGTTTATTGTCTGCGCTGGTCGGGTCGTCGGAGTTTCCACTGCCGAAAAAAACATTCGAGGGTTGATTCTGCTGCTCTCGTTGGCTAGCAGTCAGAAGAGATGTCAAAGCGGCAGAGAACGAAACGCTATTGACAGAGGCTGTAGAACCTCCCATTTTCTTCCACGCTTGAGGAGATTCGGCAGCCCAAACATCCTCCTCGCAAGGGAGGTCAAGGCGGATTTCAGAATTTGTCAAAGCAGGTGCGTGGTTGTACGCAGATACAAGGAAGCTTGAGAGTACAAAGATGGCGTAAAGGGTACGCTTTCGCTCTTCAACGATTTTCCAATTCAGCCAATCTTTTCGTTCTTTTGGCTGACTGAACGACGAAGACATCCAATTCTCCGTATCAGCTGCATCAGATACACTAAACCCGGTGTTGAGGTGATCGTGCGGGAGGTTCTTAGAGTCCAGATGGTGGGTCAATTCAGCCGCGCGGGCCAAACTAACCAAAGCGGCGCAGTGAGTGCTTGCGATATCCGCTGACGTCTTGTCACCACAGCTATGGCCGTAGATCACGTTCAACAACATTGCCTGGACCAGCCAAAGCGGTGTATTTTGAACTGAGTTGTCTCGTGCAGAACTGGAACGACTGAGTGCAGCGGACATGTCGGCTTTGCGTCGCTCTTCAAGGTACAATTGGATCATCTTTTTCGCGGCTTCGAACAAATCTTTAGAAGCAGCAGCGTCATATTCGTACAGGGCACCGATGGCAGCCATCGAGAGTATCAGGCAACCTCCGCCTCCTGCGACACCGGTAGAGCTGAGGTTGAGATGTCCACTGGGGGTGCGAAGGTTGCTGGTGTACTCGGGAGCTTGGAAGTTGAGGGTCGGGATGTGAAGAAAAGGCATATGGGGGTGAAAGTAGGTGATGTAGGCGGAAATGTAGCGCTGCATGTCTGAGGTGCTGGGCAGTTGACCGGAGCTGTTGAAGCCAGTCGAGCGGGCGAACAACTCGCGGCTACTCAACATACTAGAGGCGGGCTGAGAATACTTGCGATGATTGAAGCCAGTGGGCTGCGACATGCTCGCTAATAGAGCCTGTCGTGTGGAGTCTGTAAATGTATCCGTTGAGACTGGGGAATGTTGACTTCGTAGGGCACTATTCGGGAAAGGAACGTTGAGAGGATTAGGAGATTCTCCGTGTGTTGCCATAGATGATGATAACATACTCTGCGAATGTCCCCCCACGATGGGCTGGCCAACCGACGTCATGGATGGAGGGGTGGCGTAGTTCTCGGCAAAGGGGTTCTGGGTCATCAGTGACTTGGGCGATACGGTCTCTGGCGGGATCCCCAACTCGTTCAGCGTCGTCGGTGAAAAGTCGATGGCGAACTGGTTGACCGAAGCGTGTGTCGGGAACGGGTTGTGCCAGCCATTGGAGATCGGAATGCGGTTGGGTCCATCCAGCATGGCCTCACTGATTCCACTCTGGCTACCCGTACTCATCGCTGAGGGCGACGACTCGTCGATGACCGAGTCGTTGCCGTTTCCCAGCGCCACCGCCGCGTCGAATCCGTTCATCCAGTCGAAGTTCATTTCCTCGTCCATCATGGGATCCGTGGCGGGGTGCATGCCGTGGGGGTTGTGGCCGAACGGGGAGGTGGGGGTGTCACCAAAGCCCTGGGGAGAACCTGCAAAGTGTAATTGTGCTGGGTTGATGGTGCTACCGTGACCCATCAACATACCATCGATGCCCATGTCAAAGCTGCCGTAAACTGGGGCTGTCCGCAGATTACCGGACATGTCCATGGGGAGCCCTGAAGTCTCCAGCTTGGCCAGTCCGTTTACCGGAGGGTGGCCCGAGCTGAAACCCCTGTAGTCCATACTTGAGCCGACCGAAGAGCTCAAGCTGGGGTGATATGCATGGCCTTGGTGGTTCGGAGCGGATGATGGGTTAGCACCGTCGGGAAGCCCCAACGGGTTCCCACCAACATGACTGATAGTGTTTGCTCTGGGGCGCATCGACGAGGCATTGTTAGCAATAGAGTTCTTCCGCACCCGATTGGCGCCGCCAGGAGCACCACTCGTGCTCTCTCGGCGACCATTTCTGGGACGAGATGACGGAGTAGAAGTCATGTGCAACTTTTGCTGATGACGGAGCAAGAGATCGCGGCGCGCAAAGCAACGGGCGCAGTCGGGACATTCAAAGGGCTTCTCCTTCGTATGGGAGCGCTCATGGCGCTTCAGGTGCTCCAGTCGCGCAAAGGAGCGACCGCAAGTAGTGCAAACGTGCGGCCTCGGCTTATCGGTCTTGGGAGGAGGGATGTTCCCATTGGCGGCCTGGCCATTGGCCTCGACCTTTTTAGTCTCCTTCGGAGCTACCGACGGTTCAGAATTCACGGAGCTGTAAGTATTCCCGGATCCGTGGTACTTACCAGGCATATTTCCGGGGACTTCGTTGATACTGGCAAGATCAATCATAGGATCTAACAGCATCCCTAGAGAAGCGTGATTTACCCCACGGAGCAAGCGTCAAAGCACCGGTCCCAAATGGAGGGGATGGTTCGCAAGTATGCGATGCGGGGGTCCTTTGGAATGCGAACGGTCACTCTCCGGACAGGGACGAGGTTCGTCGATGTTTGTTGATTTACACTGTGTACTGTCGCATCAACGACTGATGTTATGTCAGCCCATATTTTCTTTGACCCTTTGATGATGCGTAGAGGGGCCAAGGTGACCCAGGGTAGCGAGGTTATTCATGAACCTTGGCCGGGACAGGACCCACCAAAGCAAGTCTATGGTGATGCTTTTGAATCGTCTCGAGCGAGTTCGAGAGGAAAGGGGTCAACAGGAAGTGAGGACCTGCGGCCGGTGAACGGAATGGCGTCTTGGTATTGACGTCTTTGGGGAGGGGGGTATCAGCAAGGCAACCGACGACTGGGAGCACGCAACCACAGCACAACCACGAATCGATACGAATTCACGATTCACGATTCTGTGGCAAGACCAAGCAAGAGCACACTCACAGATATGATCGAAGGGTTACAAGGTCAAGCTTCCCTGAACTGCGAATGCTCAGAGCATGCAAGTGGATAAGCCGGAGATAACCGAGATAGCGCGACAATTGCAGATAAGAGTCACCGAGAGCTATCCACACCGGGTCAAAAGAGAGAGAAGTTGGAGGTGAAGGGAGGTAGAGGTTAGGAAGGGCAGGTTGGAAGGTTAGGATACGAATAGGAATAGGAAAGGAATTAGAGAAGTTGCCTCCGAATCAAATGAAAGGTACCTGGGTCTGGGTACCAGCGCCTGTCGTGGCAGTAGTGGCGGTTACCACGCCGTAATCACCTGGTTGCCGTCCGATCTGTACCGGTGTACTTCAAGCTACGCAGTCCTCAACACAATCTACACAGGTGCGGCAAGTACCGCCCCCGTACACCCAACATACCCCAACCCTCGCGACACGAATACCTCCACGCCACACGCACGAGGTGACAGACGCTTTACGAGACAAAGTACAATACTGAAACTAAGTGGAACCCGCACGGGCGGGCGGCCTGCATCGCCAATGGCCAGGCGGCGATTACCCAGGGTGATACTGAATGCGGCGTAGACGCAATCTTACACGCACGGTGCTGCGCCGGTCGGTCCACGCCCACCAGTTCACCAGTTCCTGGCGTTATCGGACAGACCCATTGGCCACTCACTTTACTGGCTTGGGTCTAGTGGCGTGGGTGGATGTAGGCCCCGAGTTGGATTTGGAGTTGGATTTGGATTCTGTAACCATGGACGATAAGGCAGAGAGGCCGGTTTTACCTGTCCCCCGTGACGGGAGTACCGTGGATAATCACGGCATTCGTAGGGGGGCGAGAGGGTGTTAGGAACTAGAAAGGTACAGATGGCGGATAGCGTATGAGTATGACTTGTACAGCATTCCTCCCATATTACACTCTATATTACCCCGGAGGCGCTTGGGTATCGTCACGGTGGAGTCCCGGGGGGGGAAGGCTGGCCATTCAACTTGATCGCTCACTATGATACGAGATGCCATCTCGTGACTGCACGGGGGCCACCGGGCCCTGTCTGGTTTCTTACCTAGTCGATTATTTTGGGATTCCGATACTTCATTAGTGAGTTACTGAATTACTTTGTTACCTCGTTACTCCCAGGTACGATCCACCCTGGGGTCACGGCGGATGGATCCGCAAGGCCCAAAATAGAGGGCCATGCGCCATTTTTGTGGGGGAAGCAATTCGAGTTCGTGTGGGGGATTTCCTTTTTCTCTTCTGGCGCCAATGAAACGCTGCCCAAACGGCCTGGAATTATTGGATGATCCATCCCCGGCTTCTTTCATTGCACATGCCCTCTCCTTCTTTGGGGTGGCAAACTCCAGTTATGTCCCAGAGGCTGGAGGCTAGAGGCTGCTTGTGGCGAAACTTTCTAGAAGTCCCCCGGTTCTCCTTTGACTTTGAGACGCACGTTGCAGCCAGGCCGGTTTGAGTTTGGTCGCACGGAATGGGCAACCCACCCCGTCCCCAGGATCAGTGTTTGATGCGGCTGGATCGGAGTCTGGGGTTACTGGGGTTGTGACGATCCTAGAATCTTGTCAAAGTCCTCGGTTTACACATAACACTTAGCGCTCTAGGCATCAGCAAAGGGGCCCTCCTCGGTGCCGCGAGCTTCCGAGTCTGGTGCAGGTGTCTGTGACGCAAACAGACCTGAGATGCAGCTTCAAAATACAAATGACCATGCAGATGCAATGGAAAATGCATATTGCAACGGACTATGCAGCGCTAATCCTGCGTGGTCCTTCTGGAAACCGTCGCCTCCTTACTTGACCCCAGACGTCGCACGGACATCTCGTTTGCAGAATCCCCAGACCCGAGCAATGCGCACTAGACCACTAGGGCAAAGTCTGATGGTGAAGCAGGTGACCCGACCTGACAAATGAAACCAAGCCACCGCGCTCCGTTCTGGCACATTGAGCACTCAACTCGGCATTGCCTTCCGGGGCACCTGACCTGAGCGATTTTATGCTCGGATATGTCTAGATTGCCTTTTTTTTCTTTTCTTGTTCTTTTATCCGGGGTTCTAGAGTCGTACAGACTATTAGACTTGGACTTTGCGCATCTATGTATAGCTCAGACATTGGTGAAATTGTGGACCTATACGAAAAGAAGCATATCCGAATAAGTACTCTCAGAAAGAATGCAGGTCCACGGCAAAAGTCAATTACCGTCCAGCTGGCACTAGACCCTATTCACCCGGGCCATGGCGCCACGAGGCCCTGGGCCCTGGGCCCTCCGACTCCCCTGGCTGATACAGATACCTCAGATACCTTAGACACCTGCGTCATTCAATCGATTCGTTATTGCGTAACCGCGCTTTGCGGGTGATCGCTGACGGAGATGTGTGCAACATTCTGTCAAATCCTGGGATGAAGGGCAAGCCACGAAACCTTGGCTTCGAAGTCTTGAGTAGTATAGATAGCGAATACTATAATTCTCCGATGCACGTATCCCGGTCCTGCGTGCCACGGGGGGATCGCCAGGTGGCCTGTGCTTGCCACTTGTGCACGATGGCATCAAGTCTGCCGATGGCGCAACGGCTCGGACATTAGTCCACGGACTGATCGGACTTCAAGCCGTTTTCCCGCGTGTTTTGTATTTGGTAGTGTATCTTGTAATTCCCCCTTTGAATCCACCCTGCTTCTGGGACGAATGGTACGGCGCGTCAGATGGGGTGGCTCCCGGATTTAGTTTCGTTGATGGGGAGACCGTTCTGCGCTACAGTGCTACCCGTGCTTGGCCGTTGATCTCAGTGGCTTCGTCCCGCTAGCTCCATGGAGTCATCCCAGGATGTATTTGTCAATACACTGTTTGTCCCTGAGGCTCTCTAGGATTCGCTGGCCCTATGCGTTATTGTGTCCACATGCGATAACGCAAGTCCGCGGGCAAAGGTCCGCCGATTGCGGCAGAGGTGGATGAGGTGGACTCGGAGCATTTCCACTCTCATGAGTAGGGGTCAGAAACGTACAGGTACAGATGGAGTGCATCCTTGATGACATTGATTAGATCGCGAGGTGTCCCTGTCATCCCATTTTAGCTTTTACCAGTCACCCTTGACTCGACCAGCTACTCCGTACTCGTACTGATTACTAGAAAGTCGAGTTGGGATCTGCCGCTCGACAATGGGGCCGTAGTTCTTATCTGAAGCGACAAATCAACTGGCTAGTATTAATTTGAAACACACGGCCGCAACGGTATACAGTAGAGTCTAGACATAAAGTGGAACCTTTGGATAAAACATGGGAAACTACAACCGCAGATGATTTCAACATCTAATTGGCTTTCATCCCTTTTTTTTTTTTTTTGAGACGGAATTTTTTTCGTCAGCAAGGCTCCGAATCCGAATCCCTGATAAGCTCTTAGCATTACACGATCGGCCTCGCTGGGTAGACGGCAAAAGCTAAGCCCGAGGATACTACATCGCCTGCAGATTGTCATTGCTGACATCGGGGTGGACCGAGCTCAGGAGCTCAGGAGCTCAGGAGCTCTCGCAGTCCCTGCGCTGATGATCCAACATACAGTAGCCTATCAAATACACAGAGAAGGATATACTGGCATTCAATGCCTGCAGGATCCTCGGGTGGCAATTCAGGTCGCAGTTGGGCGAGGGATCTGCGAGCAGAGGCCGTCTCGGGAGTCAAATGCAGCGCTAATATCAAAGACCCAACAAAGGTGAAGAGATGATGGTATTTCGGTTTACTCAAGTTTGGGTTCCACGTTGGCGAATCGACTCCAAGCCCAAGCCCAAGCCCAAGTGGACCTGATGCGCGCACCTGGCCGGTGACCTGATAAAGTAAAACGTAAACCCGTCGCGACATTGCCCGACACAAGCACGTCTCAGCTAAGTTCCATGCTCCAAGCTCCATATTCCATATTCCATGTTCCATGATATAGATTCACCGGAGAAAGCCCGACTTGAACTCTACCCGTGCAGAGACACGATCCAATGTGATTGATTTCCGGCGTGCATTAGCGGACCTCGCAACGGATGTAGCCTTTTCCCGAGGATCGCCTAGACCTAGACCCGGACCTGCACCTGGGCTTGGGCTTGGGCTTGGACTTGGACTTGGGCTTGGACTTGGACTTGTGACCTGGCCCCATTAGCACTACCTGGTATACCTTTTCTGATGGTAGGGCCCTGGAGTATGCCCACAGTATCTACAGTATCTACATACTTGCCGGCACACGTACGAACCATTTCAAATATCAGAGCCTCCGTAACACAGCTTCCGTACAACATGGAATCCCATGCAATCCATGCATGTCATACCTCGGCCACTGCTCGCGAGTGGAAACTCGCACAGACAACACAAAAAGCACTGCCCACTGGACGACCAACGCCCATCGCGCCACGTCCTGATCGTCTCGATCGTCCTACCACTCGCCTAGGCCCACACACCCCATCTGACTGGCCCCAACAATCCACTCCAATGTCGGAACCGACCAGCCCATGCAGTGTCGCACCCGACCCGGCCCCAGCCTGGCGCCAATCCGATCTGGCGATGGAGCGCAGAGGACGCGCAGTGACGGCGTAGACGCATCCCTGCTGTATTGCGCGCGCGTATTACAGGACCAGTGCATGATGTGTTCGGAGTACCTTATGCCGGTGGTACGTGGGGTGGTACTGGTGCTGGTGGTGGGATACTCTGGGATTCCCTTGACTGTAGCTGAAGCTTCCCACGCTAGTTTTGGTGAATGTTATGCATTTACAGATTTCCCCCCTCCCTCTCTTTGATTTGATTATTGATAACCGATAGCGTTTGGCCGAGACTGGTTCTGATTGCTTGGGGCGGAATTGAGAAAAGTTCTTTATTCCGCGCTTTCAGGGTTTGTGATGGGTGGGATTGAGCATCCGTAGTTCATGCTCTTCCACGGAAAGTTGCCTGGAGCGCGGGACATAGTAGACTCCAAGCTGAGGCTGTGGGAATACGATTAAGAGATCAACATTGCCATTAGTAAATGCAGGTCTAATCTACTCCAAATATGTAAAGCAGGTTTTTTGTTCATCGCCCGTCGTCGACGGGCTTCAACTCCGATTCCGATGTAGACGAGTAAACCTCGTACTCGAATGGTATATGAGCAGGACATCACACATGAAATTCTTTTTTGGGGGGTCGAGCGTACTCGATCTGCTCATTAGACACTGATGGTCTTGAAAACACTGTAGTAAATTATTAGCATTGCATATACGCGGAGTGAAGCTTTCCAAAAGTTGACGTACCTGAACCCACTGCCACCGGTTGCCATCAGCGCACCCGGCATCTGGTTGTGCCAGTGCACCTCCTTGACGGACTCCATATAGTGAACGAACAGAAGCTGCGGCGGAATATCCGCCATGCCAGCCTGACGGCTCTCTTCGTCATCCAGCTCGACAGCCAAATCCCACAGGGTGACCGTGTTGTCAGCGGAACCGACAGCGACGACACTGTCGTCAGTAGGGTGCCACTCGATACTGGTAATAGGCTCCTTGTGGAAGTCGAAAGAAGCAACAGGCGAGGCGCTGATCTGACCCGCATTGTTGGGCTTCCAGTGTCGCAAGTCCCACACGGCCCACTGTCCATCGTCGGCACCAGTTGCCAACAAGTGGAAAGTCTGGTTGGCCCAGCTCATGACGTTGACATCGGTCTTGGAGATCATAACATCCACAGCGGGCTTGCGAGACTTGGATCGCACATCCCACACCTTCACACTACCGTCGCTGCTCGCGGAAGCGAAAACGTTCTTCTCGTTGGGGGACCACTGAAGCTCCTCGACCGAAGACTGGTGGGCAGTGAATGGACGGGAGTCAGTAACCCAACCTCCACCCTCAGTACGGGTGGTCGCGTAGATGAGACCGTCATTGTCACCGGTCAGCAATTTGCCGAGCGGTTGCAAAGGAGACCAATCGAGAGCGTAACCTTCGGACTTGTGCATGCGGAGAGTAGAAAGAGGCTTGTTAGCGGAGGGAGGAAGAACGGTGCCGGGCACGTCGAAGCTCTGAAGGTGCGCAGTAACGTCATGAATAAGAATTTGAGAATTCTCTAGCATAGTAGCTGTGAGTGTCTGCGGGGGCTTGGAGTAATCCGCAGACTGCGAAGGTGTCTGGTGGGCGCGGATGCGGTTCGTTGTGGAGCCCAGCGGGATAGACTTGTGTTCCAGGATGGGCTCGCCCATGTCGTCGTCGTCATCGGAATCGGACTCGGAGTCCTCATTCTCACGTTCCATCTTGCTCAGTCCGCTCATCTTGAGGACCATGAGCTCGTTGTCCTTGGCCTTTGTGCCATCTGCCTGGGTGCCGGCAACTGCGTACACCGTAGCGGGGAAGGTCTTGCGGTTGTCGCCGAGCGAATCGCGAATAATGTCGAAGGAAAGACAAGGCCATGGTGTGTTGAGAGCGTGAAGCATGTCATAGGTGGACGGGTCGGGGGAGAGTGTCTCGCCGGGAGCCAATTTTGTCCGACCAGGAATGAAAGTCTGCTTGTCAACATCCATAGCCTCTATTCAACGTTAGTAACAATGCCGTGCCCCAATTGATCTGTAGGTCGTAGATTGTACCTTTCTCTTCCTCCTCGCGCTCTGCATCCGGGCGACCATCGACACCGGCCTCTAGAATTTCGTCCTCGCTCTCGAATTCATCCTCGAACTCGTCCTCGAATTCCCCGGCCTCGTCCGGGATGGCGTCGGCCATGGGGCGCTCGCCTGCCTTGAGGGCAGCCGAGTACTCGTCGGTGTCCGCAGCTCTCTTAGACATGGTGAAGAGTAGTGAAGCGGGGTGTTCTGGAAAGAATGAGGGACGATAAGAACTTTTTCAATTTGGGCACGCAGGCCCACACTAAGCCTATCGGGGACTAGCGTATATCCCGCGCAGCGCAGCGTTGACAAGAGCTGAAGCCTCTCGTAAATCCGACAGCTGCTCTCTTTCCAGTTTTTGCGGTTTGCATTTCGTCTGTGCTGTCATTCGGTCGCAGCACTCATCTGGTTTCTTGTGTCATTGCCCTCGGTGCACCGAGATCACTGTCCGACCGCTGTTTACGCCAACGGGCGGTTCGCCAACTCCTCACCCAAACTTGATTCTCATACCTCCGATTCGTCCGATCTACCTGACGAGGAAGTGTAGAAGATCACTGCAGTACATAACATCCGACTGGACGTATCTGTGATCTGATCGCCATCGGAATTGGTCGGTGATATATCACACAAGGGCCTCCTTTCCCCGCAAGCGCTGACAGACATCCTCGAGCAGGGCGCGCCTACGAAGAAATCCCCTGACACAATCCCGACTACTACCATGGATCCGTTGCAGCAGCAGCCCGTCATGGATGCTCCTGCTGTTGCGGAGCCGCAGCTCCCTGCAGAGGAACATGCGCCAGAGGTGCCGGAGCCTCAGATTTCCTCCGAACAGCCCCTCGAGCATCCGATGGATCAACCCTTGGAGCAGCCGATGGAGCACCATGCGCCAGTCAGCGTCAACGTCGAAGAACCTTTTCCCGAACGGGCTACGAGCCGTATCGATCACGGCTACAACAGTGACTCCAAAGCGCACTATCACTCTCGATCGACTGATTTCCACCACGCCGCTCCTGAATATCCTCCTCATGATACTGATCAGTCTGCTCGCCTTACATCATCTCCCTCTGTTAGCCAGCAGCCCTCTCTGCAGCCCTCATCACGCCCCAGCTCCAGCTTCTCCAGTGGCCCAGAGAGATATGGTCTCTCTCAGCAGCAGCAGCAACAGCAGCAGCAGCAGCAGCCGTCAGAAGTTGCCCAGCGACAGGCGGCCCAGGCCCAGGCCCAGGCCCAGTCCTCGAAGAACAGTGTTGTCATAAAGGTTGGCATGGTTGGAGATGCCCAAATCGGAAAGACCAGTCTCATGGTGAAGTACGTCGAGGGAAGCTGGGATGAGGATTACATTCAGACACTGGGTATGTGTGAGCCGCTCTGACCAAATCGTATTATTTCTGACGTGACATACAGGTGTCAATTTCATGGAGAAAACCATCTCCATTCGCAACACAGAAATTACCTTCTCTATCTGGGATCTTGGTGGTCAGCGCGAGTTCGTCAATATGCTCCCGCTAGTCTGCAACGATGCCGTGGCCATTCTCTTCATGTTTGATCTCACTCGCAAGAGCACACTGAATTCTATTAAGGAATGGTACCGTCAGGGTCGTGGGTTTAACAAAACTGCTATCCCTTTCTTAGTCGGCACCAAGTATGACCATTTTGTCAACTTCCCTCGGGAAGACCAAGAAGAGATCTCCCTCCAGGCCAAGCGATTCGCAAAGGCGATGAAGGCCAGCCTGATCTTCAGCAGTACGAGCCACAGCATCAACGTGCAGAAGGTGAGTTTTTTTCCATCTGTTCCCTTCAGCCATCCACTAATTCTCCATAGATTTTCAAAATCGTCCTAGCCAAGGCATTTGACCTCAAGTGCACAATCCCCGAGATTGAAAATGTCGGCGAGCCTCTGCTGCTGTACAAGAACGTCTAGAACAGACTTGCGCTGACGAATATGTACCCTGGGATGAAGTGATGCTCTTGATGATCGATCCTGACTCCTGGCCCTCCTGGCCCTCTTTTCTGTGAATTTTTTTTCTTTCTTCCCATCATGTATTTCACGTTTATTATGTGTCCGGCTCGCCTTTGGCTCATCTTGATCATCAGGCTTCGGGCCTGAGATATCCAGAAAGTCTGCGACCACGATTGGTCTTACTTTCCTTTGTGTCCATTGACTTTTCCGGGGCTATTCCCCGTACTAGCTACATTTTTTTTGTGGTGATTTTTTCCCCTAGACGGGGCCCATATAGCCGCCTCGAGGCGTTTGGGAGTCCGGTGGTATGGAGAAAAAAATCGAAATATAACTTCCAACAACGTTCCCAGTCCACGTGTGCCTGTTCCTAGCCATAGATATTTGTAGATCTGACCCATGGTCCCTGCGAGGCGGAACACTCCTCATTGGGACGATACCCCTCTTCACGCGGAGCGGCCTCTAGAGAATTGTGAGTGTTTCGTCTGCGCAATTTACACGGTGTCAGAGTTCTTCAAGGCTGCTACCTCCTGTGGTGACTACTTTTTGGCCCCCAGCTTTAAAGGACGCTGCACCCGGCCCCCGCCAAGCCACCAAGTGGTGGGTGTGACTGTCGTTACAGCACCTCTGTTTCAGGGTTCCTCTCCTCCACCTGGGCACCAGGACAATTTCGCGAGAAGAAAAGACACCATGACTGAAGAGCCGCAGCTGGGTTCTATCCAGGAGCGGATCGCCGCCCTGAAGTTGGCCCAGGCGGCCAATCCCTCTGGCCCTGAACCACCGATCTTCCGCCCCAACATCGACCGCAGCAAATCCGCCAACAACCCTCCCTCCTACAATGTCACCGGCTCTGTTCTTGACGGCGCGCCCATAGGAAATGAGCCCGCAGGCAAGCGGCCTCCAAGACCGGTCCCGCGCGCGGGACCGCCTCCGACAGTGTCGCCAAAGCCGGAAGTGAAACCCAAGAAGCCCCCTCCGCCCTTGCCTACGCGCCGATCAGATCGCCTGCCTCCCCCGACACCAGCGCGCGCCGATATTCGTCCTACACTTCCACCTCGCAGACCTACGGAACCCTTACGGAGGCCCTCCGCCGAGTCAGTCACCTCCGACGCATCACACTCGACAGCGGCGACAAGCGTTCGCGGTACCTCGACGACGTCCGTCAATTCCAATGGCAACGGCCGCATCAAAGCGCCCGCGTGGGGAGAGACAGCGCTGCCGGTGCTGCCTCCGAGACGCCCAAAGGAGGATTTCACAGACGTGACGCCATCGCCGTCCTCACGCTCCGAGTCTAAGCCCGCCGAGGGCAAGAGTATTAGTGGGTTTGGCTTGAGAAACAAATTGAGTGCCAACGTCAGTTCCTTACGAGGCAAGGACTCGTCGTCTTCAACTTCTCCGTCTCGCCCGGGCTTGTCGTCCATGCTATCTCGTTCCAAGACCTCCACCGATACATACTCTGCACCCCAGCTGTCCTCACGCCGGCCCTCGGAGCAGAGCATACAATCGACTGGGGCCGTTGAAGAACAAGCTCCTGGCTTGCCGCCGCGACGGCTACCCTCAAGGACATCTCAGACAGATCTTCGTGATGCTCGGACGGGCGGGTTTGGGGGCTTAAATAAGATGCCGGCGATCCCTGGGCGGCCCAACAGTACACCAACTGGTGGAGCGCCTCCGCCAATTCCAACGGGGACTCGTCCAGATCTTTCAAAGCTTCTAGCAACAAAGCCGCGCTTTGACGGCTCGGCAGCCCCAGCTAGCATGCCTGCTGGCTCATCCCACACAGTCTGCTTGGTATGCAGGGACTTCTCGGCCCCAGACCAACGTGCAGCACAGTATCCTCGTCGTTCGCTTCCAACCCAGGATTTGGGATGGCTGGCAGATGAGCTGACTGCTCCATTCCCCTCATTAACCGACAAGGCCCGAGCTATATTCACCTGGCTGCATCATAACATCCGTTACGATGTTGACGCCTTTTTCAACGACCGCGTGAAACCTTCAACTCCTGCCAGCACTCTCGCCTCCGGCTTGGCAGTCTGCGAAGGCTTCGCTGGTCTATTCACAGCACTTGCCACAAAAGCCGGCCTAGAATCCATTGTGGTTTCAGGCCACGGCAAAGGCTTCGGCCACGAAGAACTTGCCCCAAATTCCCCAGTCCCACCCTTCAGCACCGGCCACGCCTGGAACGCAGTGAAAATAGACGGCGGACGCTGGAAGCTAATCGATCCTTGTTGGGGCGGAGGCCACATCCAAGGCGCCGGACAACCCTACATGCAAGTCTTCGATCCACTGCACTTCACCATGTCGAACGACGTCTTCGGCTTGAAACACTACCCATCAAACAAAGAGCACTTCTTCCGCGACGACGGCCGTCCTCAGATTAGCTGGGAAGAGTACATGCGCACGAACCCGGATAACCCTTCCGGTGGCTCGCCGATCAGAATGTACTGCGGTGTCGGGAAGAACGACATCGGCAAAAGTACCCTCTATCCCACCGACGGCCGTATCTCTGTCTACAACACACCGAGCCCCGTCCGCTTCCAGTTCGGTCTTCTATGTGAACACTGGACACTCGCACACCACAGTCGTCGAAAACCAGGTCTTTTCCTACTCTGTATCCACGGCGTGGACGGCCGCAAGGATGAACGTCTACTATTTAACCATGTTCCCGGCTCTGGACCCGGTGGAGGTGGCGAGTTCTGGTATGTGGATGTCCCTGATGCGCGCAAGCTGGGCGCACCGGGTCAGAAGGCGCTGTTGGCTGTTCTGACTAAATTCGGAGATCGGGAGGAGGAGGAATGTCGCGGGCTTACGGCTGAGGAGTATAGGGCGCAGTTGGGTGGAGTTGTTATGGCGTGGGCTTATGTCGCTGAGTGGGAGTTGGTTGCATAGTATTAATGCTTAAACATCGGTTCACTCGAGGCGTTGTAGCGTTATTATTAGTTTATTTTTAATATCATCAACGCGGTTGTTTTTGGATTTGGATTCTTTGATGAACAGGGGAAGTTGAAAGACCCTGCGAACTGTAAGACGTTCTGTCCACTACGTACTGGAAAATCTCAAGTGTTCCATTGGATGCCTGGGCATTTCCAAGAATTGCTCCATGATGTATAAGCCCTACTCGGTATAACTAGACCCCAGGCCACGAACTAAGAAAAACGAGTGTGCATGATAAGTGAAGTGTTTCTTTGCGGAACGAGATTCAGCTTCTATGGGAATATCTGACGACAGAAAATGCAAATGGAGCTATTTCTTTCCCAATCACATGAGAAATCTCAGGCCTAAGTCCTCTACAGTGGAATTCGACAACAGATTACCCCCTTAGACACTCTGGTTTCTTCCCCAGCACCCCACTTCGATCGCGCTTAACTGAATTCGGGGAAAGTCCCATCATCTCTCCCGAAGACGTATTTCTGGTAGATCACCAAAAGTCACCGTAATCACAGGTTCCGGCATAGAGCAGGCTATACTTGCCGAAATGCCCCGCGGCCACACACTAGAAATCAAAAACAGTACACCCGGCACTCGTGCTTTGTTTCTCGGCCCTACAACAGAGAGTACGCAAATGCCGGGGGCCCGGGAAGGAGCGATCTCGAGAATGACTGTACTCTTGCAACTTTATGGAAATCGGTGAGGGTTTGGCTCAGACCGAGAGATAAGGACACCCTGGCTTATGCAAAGCGAAATGCGGCTCTGGACAAGGCTTCAGAACAAAAGGCACTATTTTCGACTTGAGGACACATCCTTCCAATTCAATTTGCAATAACTTCTACACAAATAGTTCAGTACTTGGCCTGATCGTCCTTATGCGCCATGGTTGTATCGTTGATTGGCTGGAACAGCCAGGCGTTTTCAATCTTGCGGTTGACGTGCAAGATTTCCATAGGATTCATATTCCTCGTATTAACGCCGAATTCAGCGGCACTACCGTCTGGCATCGTTTTTTCAAATGGCCACCAATAGCATCTACGTTCAGGCGAATAATTTCAGCCAACCCATTGAGATCCACAAACGAGGAGCCGAGCGAGACTTACACGCATCCGCAATTCTCACAGAAATCGAATGACTTCTCTTTGTCTCCCCAAACGTACTGAGAGAGTTTGGCGCCTTCTTTCATGTCAAATTTGATTTCATCCACTTTGTAGTACGCCCAAGCGGCTGCGTAGCGCCGACAGATTGTACATTGGCATTCGTTGATTTCCTCTGGTTGATGAGGCACGATCACGGTGATAGCGCCGCAATGGCAGGTGGATCTGAGGGATTTGTCCGCCATCTTAATCGAAAGGTTAGGCCAGAGTAGAGTGGAGCACAAAAGTTTGAGTTGGGCACAGGGACTGGGGTTCTAGTGATTCTTTCAACAGAAGGATATTTTATTGTTGAGGGAAACGGGAAGCCATTGACAGCTTCTCAATATTTATATATTGTAGAGGGGGAGCTGCTGACTGTATGAAGTGGGGTCTATCGGATGATTCAGCATTTTGTGATATACAAGACTTTCCCGTAGGAGGGCAATACAGACACATCTTCTCTTCTAAAACCACCCCTACGTGCTCTCCTCTCCTATACTCTCCTCCCTAGACCGACAGTGTGTGTGTGTGTGTGCCCAGTCTGCGTGGTCGGACAGCCATCGAGCACTCCCCATGTCAATATCTTCCATGCTCGTATACTAGCTTTGAAGCTCTGATCTGACGTCTCGGTCGCCTCTCTGGAAACTGGGCGTTCGGCTCTCGGAGACCGCAGTCATCCGGTCTGAAAGACGTGACGTCATTTGGCTGGTCCGCTGGAAGCATCTGAACCGCGCATAAAAACAAAGTTTCCTGTGGCGGTCTCACGGAAGAGGTCATATTAGTTTATTTGCCAGCGAGATCCCCCATTGCCAATTGCCTAGTGCCTAAACTGATTAGGCAGATTGAGTGATTCACTCCTACAGTGAAATTGAAACTTCAATACGCCACGATGCTGTGTCTCCATTTGCAAAATCCCTTGAGTACTGTTGGAGAGATAGCAGAACCAAGATAAATCACTGATAAATAACCTGAATATGTGATATAAAAGCCATGAATTAAAAGAGTGACATGACAAAAATGCAAAGAAGCAGTAAATACAAACGCAGGTTCATAATCGAACCCGAACAAGATCGTCAGATACATCTAGCAGCTGCAACCACCAGACGCACCGCCGATACCACAGGCATAAGTCGTAGTCCCACAGTCCTGGTATTTGCTGCAAGTAATCCAACTACCTAGCCCAGCCTTGTTCGCAGTCCAGCACCATTCACCATTGCTACCACACGACTTCCAACAATACCCCTTCGAGCAGCCGTATGGCGCGGCAGTGTAGCACGCGTCGGCAGCTCGCTCATCAAGAGGGTCGCGAGTCTCAAACTGAGTGGAGTTTTTTTTTTGCTCCTCGTTGAAGGGGGCCAAAGAGGCATCCTCGAGATAACGCTCGCGGCCGAGGGGGTGCTCAACACATTTGCGAACATCGGAGGCGCTAACGCCCTCGGGGAGCTCATGAGCCTGGATCGACATCGCACCACCGAGGCTTCTGCACTCGTCGGCAATATCGTTATCGGGAACAGCAACAGCGGAGGCTGTGACAGCGCAGACGGCCAGGAGCATGAGGTTCTTGGTAATTTTCATCTTGAGGTCTAAGAAAGCAGTCAATATCTCCAACAAGTTCTTGCAAGAGGTACTTCTTCATACTGTGAATCAATTGTAGAGAGGAAGGCAATGCTTGAGAAGAGTATATTCAAGGACGTGATTGAGCTGTAGAATGATTTTCAACGATGAAAGAATCTTCCCTTCTTATACTCTTCCCTCTCGGCTCTGTCGAGCCCTTGCCCAAGCCGAAAGTCACGATCGTATGCGCGATTTTCTTTCGCAAGGCTACATCTTCGAAAATGGCCTATCTGCTTCGCTGGATCGGATACTGCAAAGACCTGTTTGCAAGTTAATCCTTGAAGAGCGGAAGGAACGTAATCTCCGTGAGTATGATTTCCTTGCGCGGTGCAAAGCTTTTGCCAACGTCAGCAGAGTCAGCTCCTATTGGCGCCCTCCATGAGCCCCCTCGATGTCTTCTTGTAGGCATGCGGTACAATTGGCCATGTCTCAACTCAGGGTCCAGTGTGTTGATGTGCGGGTCGAAAATACCTTGGCAGCTGAGGCCGAGACATGGGGGCGGAACCCTGCAGATCATTAGCTGCTCGTCAAGGTCCAAGTAGTTAGTTCCAACCAAGCTTACAGTGACTTAGCGTTGGATAGCGATGGGAAGGGTGATTTTAGGAGTTTTGGTATAGCCTGATGGTTGTCTTTGGGAATGGCATGCTTGAGTTTATGCGTGCTACATATGCATTTTACTTTTATTGCCGTTGATATTATAGGATCATAACAAGAGTCTTGGCAGGCGCATAAATGAGAATTCCTCAAACAAACCAAGCGCCTTTTCACAGACATGAGGGGGTCAGGTCCACAATCTTGAATGGTATGATTCTGCTGAAGGCTGGCACAGCGGGCATAGATGCGTCTTTGGTGGACTTTCACGTATTCTGGGCGCAACAACGGATGTTACTCCACTGGGCTGTGTGTTGTACCCGGCCATCCAACCAAATTGAGGCAAGCGGGCTGCCTGAAGACAAGGCTTGGACCCTTAAACTCCGCCCGACCGAGCTTAACTAAATTGAGTTTGAAGAGGCTTGAAGGGGCCGGGCCGCCTTGGACAACCGTCCAGAGCGCCACTCCCCGATAGACAAAAGTATTGGTGATTCACAACTGAGTAAACCTTCTCTCAATACCCCACCATTGGATATACGGGGTCCCCCTCCCTGAAAGCAAGCCCACTGTTGATTTGATGTACGCTGAACTTGCGCGAAATGCCTTTAATTTCAACTTCAATGGCTTGCATGTGCAAGCGCTCCTTCTCACTCACTCACTCTCTCTCTCTCAATGTAGTGATCCTTTGAGTCGCCGTTTATCTGGGAAAGGTAGCCGAATGAAGACGCAAGAGGGGACATATCGATCTAGCCGTAACGCCGAACAACGGCGAACGTTTCACATCACTCCGTGGGTCGCCTGCTTACTTTTGGAGTTGGCTCTCTCTCTACAGACAAAATTCTTAAAAGCTCGAGTTAAATCTCCTGGGACACTCTTCCATTTCTGTGAGGATTCCACGCATATATAAAGGTGGATGGCGTCTCGAGATGAACATTCAGTACTAAGAATAGCTGTCGTCCATTCTAGATACAAGACATAGCGCGAGGAAGCAAAAGACAGAGGCTTTCTCGCGTTCAGGGCAGCCCAGATGCATCATTCGGATCATACATATAATCTCTCTTGTTAATTTTTTTGATGCATTTTGTTCCTAGGTGTAACTTTGCGTACTACTTGCGCCCACCCTCATTCTCCCGCGTCCAATGTCGTGTAACCTTTGTTTCATTGCAGAGGCATTGATTTCTTTTCTGTCTCGTCATTCACATCATCATCTAAGGTAACAATTGATACCTTGAGGTGTGCATGGAAACGTGGCTCAAGCTGAGATGTGAAAGGAGGTCCGAGCGTTGACGATATTTACGTTTTTCAAGGATTTTAGTGTAGATACGGCTTCCTGGGTTTACGAGTTTAACTCTTATATCCCCCCCCTCGACCATCGATACAAATAAGGAGCCTCGACATGGTATACGAATACTTACCTACCTCAGCCACCTTCATGAGCTTTGTTCCATTATAATCTCTCAATCTTTCTAAAATCTATCTTTGAAAGGCTATATCTAACCTCCGAATAAGCAAGGCATACATCAACAAAATGATGGTGTTCACCATCTTCTCTGCAATACTATTTTCCACATTTGTGGTGGCAGGTCCTGTCAAGGAGGACGAGAGTCAACTTGAAAAAAGACAGATATGGTAATGAATATCAGAGTCCCAGTCATTGAAGGAGAATACCGAATACTAGGCTGACTGATATGGGGTGTGGATAGTGTGATGGGGTGGCGTCTGGGGTGGCGTCTTTTGCACCGGCGGTGGTCTTGGAGATGATTGGACTGTTTGCGTCGGAGGAGAAGGGAGAGTGTAAAGGAAATATTAATATTATGTTATGAGAAGGTGACTTAGCCCGGCTTTCAATAGACCCTGAGGCGCATTATGATGATAAAGAGGAGGGTCTCGCTTTCTGCTCATATGTTGGGAAGCGCGGAGATAAGTAACAACTTGAGGTTTCAGGCTGTTGCGAATATGCTAATTAGGAAGGATACGGGGGTGAGAAGATTTGAGGGATGAGCCTTTGAAGCAGAAGAGATGCAACTTCATACGTGTACGGATTGTGGTTGAGGTTAGAACTAAATAATGGAATTAGGAAATTCTTATGACCTCTCATGATGAGAGGGCTACGTACTATCGATAGGAATATCGACCCAATGGACGATCAGCGAACCGAAAAATGTTTCCTAGCTGAACGAGGAATTGACCCGCCACGGTAAGTGGATTCGAGAAACATTGCAAAAGTGAAATGCGGGACCAATGACTGATGTGGTCCGAATAGGGGGCATCGGGGACACTTGATTTCTCCTGACGAGGCAGATGGCGAGGACGAGCTTAGAAAGATTTTTCCACTTGGGCCGAGCTCTTCGATCGGTCTATCGACACGACTAAGAAAGGAGAGATTGGAAAAGGGAAAGGCAACCTATCGGTACCATCCGTCAGTCAACTGTTAGAAGGTCAAATGTGAAACCACTTCATTTCGAGTGGAACCTTCCATGCCGCCGATACTACCACACAACGTGCACGTCCACGTCAAAGCATTGCATCAACCACGGAATCAGATGCAACAGGTACAAGATTTGAGGCGCCAGCCCCAAAAAGCCTCAACCGTACGGGAGGCTTCGTAAAGTTTTCAGAGAAAACGCCGATTACATCACACAAACCACAGCTGGCCAGTAGCGTCGGTCTAATAGCGGCCGAAATCAATATTCCCAGGCCAGGTCCGTGCCAGTCACTGTCGCGAGACAGGATTATGCGAGACTCATTTCCATTTCCAAGGTTCATCCCCATATATTAAAAAGGAAGATGCGGAGGGAATGTCCGGGGAATAGGCATCCCGGTGTACGAATTCGGATGCGGGCACCCCAACCTCCGCAGTATGAAGGCGGGGATAGTTCGGAGAAGGAACAAGCCGACGCAGAAAAAAAACGAAAAGACTAGGTTGGCAGCGCAAGGAGCGGGACACTAGGAGCTAGACCGGCCCACATAGGTCAAGAATGGCCAGTCTCCGGGACCGCGCAGAGATTGAATCACGGCCAACAACCGGGATACACGGGATTGAGGGGAACGGGGCCCGAGTGTACGTTGTCTCCGAGTCCACTTCGGCGTGCGCCGGCCAGTCATGCCGTGTTGCTGCCGGCTCAGGGCGTCGATTCCATACCTGTTCTGGGCAAATGCCCGCACTTGGGGACCCCGGACTGGGGCATTTGTGACAGGGTAGAGTTTTCTGTTTTTCCGAGTGGGCACCCGGCTAATTGTCTCGAGAGATTAATTCTGTCTGGACTTGGCTGTGGTGCGATAACAATAGGGTAGGAATAGGGTGTCAGCAACCCAGGTTTTTTTTTTTTTCTAAAAAAAAAAGAATTCACGGAAGGGGTGGAACTGGACCCTGGGCCTTTAAGGCTTAGCAGCTTTAAGAGCTGGGAATTCATACCAACTACCACACGATCTATATTTCCATAGTCTTGGTAGACTTGGCATCCCGAGTCAGAACCCGAGTGCGGCCCAGTGTGCACCAAGCGTGCACCAAGCCGACAGCAGGGATCTCGCCGACGCCGAACGAGCCCTCCCAGAAGATGACCCGATTCAGACCTACTAAAGTCAGCCACGAGGCCTGATTCCCCGGATCCATCCAGCGATCTCTCTGGGTGACCAATCAGACCATCGCATGTGGAGTTTTCCCACCAATCACACTCCTCGGTCCCGGATCAGGCACTCGATGCTGAGACGTTGCACTCGTCTGTAACTATGCATCCCCATCCATTACATCCCCAAACCCACCCCAGATTGAGATTATCCGAAATGAGCCTGTCCACGCAGAGGGTGGGGACTGAGCACGATGGGATTCTTGGGCCTGCACCCCGTAGCCAGGAGAGTCGATCTATTTAAGTTCTCCCTGTTCCGGCGTGCTTTTTCTTTTCTTTTTCTTCTGTTCAGTTCCAGCTTCCCCCCCTTTCTTTCTTCCTTCCTTCCTATACCTGGGATCACCGTCTCGGCTCATTCAAGATGGCCGTGGGCAACATCTATGTGATCGCCGCCGTCGCCGTTATTGGTGGCGGTCTATTCGGTTTCGACATTTCGTCTATGTCTGCTATTCTCGGCACCACTGCCTATAAGTGTTACTTTAACGAGGGCCCCCTTGGTCCTCCCTTTACCGATGATGATCAATGCTCTGGTTTGAGCTCGCTTAACCAGGGTGGTGTGACTGCTGCTATGCCTGCTGGTTCCTGGCTTGGTGCGCTGATCTCGGGCTATATCTCTGACCGTATGGGCCGCAAGTATTCTATCATGGTTGGTTGTATTATCTGGTATGTTGATCATGCTAATCTTGATCCTTTCATTTGCAAGCCAATTGAGCATGTCACTAATCACACTTCTTTCCCCAGGTGTATCGGTTCCGCTATTATCTGCGCTTCTCAGAACGTGGGCATGCTCGTCGCCGGCCGTGTCATCAACGGTCTCTGCGTCGGTATGGAGTCCGCCCAGGTCCCCGTCTACATCTCCGAGATCGCCCCTCCCTCCAAGCGTGGCCGTCTCGTCGGCTCCCAGCAATGGGCCATCACCTGGGGTATCCTGATCATGTACTACATTTCCTTTGGCTGCTCCTACATCGGAGGCGGTACCTCCTCCACTTACAGCACTTCCGTCTTCCGTATTCCCTGGGGTGTGCAGATGGTCCCCGCCATCTTGCTCTTCTTCGGAATGATGCTCCTGCCCGAGTCACCTCGCTGGCTCGCTCGCAAGGACCGCTGGGAAGAAGCTCGCGCCGTCCTCACCCTTGTCCACGGACATGGTGATCCTAACTCCCCCTTTGTGCAGGCCGAGATGCAGGAGATCGGTGAGATGTGCGAGTTCGAGCGCCAGCACGCCGATGTTACCTACTGGGAACTGTTCAAGCCCAAGATGATCCACCGTACCATGACTGGCATCTGGTGCCAGATCTGGTCCCAACTCACTGGTATGAACGTCATGATGTACTACATCAACTATGTCTTCAACATGGCCGGCTACTCCGGTAACAGTGCCCTGCTCGCTTCTTCCATCCAGTACATCATCAACGTGATCTGCACCGTCCCGGCTTTGATCTGGGTTGATCGTTGGGGCCGTCGCCCTACCCTCCTGGTCGGCGCCGCCTTTATGATGGTCTGGATGTATGCCAACGCCGGTATCATGGCCATGTACGGTACCGTCGTCCCTGGAGGTATCGATGGTGTCGCCGAAGAATCCATGATTCTCTCCGGTGCCCCAGCCAAGGGCCTGATCGCCTGCACGTACCTCTTCGTCGCCTCCTACGCTCCGACCTGGGGTCCCGTTTCTTGGGTCTATCCCTCTGAGCTGTACCCGCTCCGCGTCCGCGGCAAGGCCGTCGCCCTTGCGACCTCTGCCAACTGGGCATTTAACACCGCTCTGGGTCTGTTCACGCCCGTCGCTTTCGCCACTATCCGCTGGCAGACGTACATCATCTTCGGCGTGTTCTTGACTGTTATGTGGTTCCATGTCTTCTTCCTCTTCCCCGAGACTGCTGGTAAGACTCTTGAGGAGGTCGAGGTGATTTTCGAAGATCCTAATGGTATTCCGTACCTTGGCACCGCTGCCTGGAAGACTAAGCATGATACCAAGCGGACGGAGGCTGCTGAAGCTGGTGACGTTGAGGCTCTTGGTGATAAGCTTGCGTTGGGCGACAAGTCCGTTGTCTCTCACAAGGAGACTACTGCTTAAGTGTTGAAGCTCGATGGGCGTTGAGTTTGTGGCGACTGTGTCGTTTCACTGGATGATGTTATGTAAAAAGTTTTCGTTCAGGAAACATCTTGACATATAAGATTTCTATTTTTAATTTATCAATTCCTTGAGGAACTGAACTATGGATCATTGCAAGTAGATCTGAACATAGCTGTTACAGGAATCTGGGGAAGAGATCGATCTGCAGGACCCCCGGAGGTGGCGGCTCAATCCACTTGGGCATTGGAGTAATATTCATTTGCAGCCCCTCGAAACAAGGTTGACCTTGGATTATTCAATCTTTCGTCGAACTAATTTCAGGTACAAGGCGTTGACACTGCTATTTCACAGTTGGTGCATACTTGCATCAAAGTACTGGGGTTCTTCCAGGGCTACTTCGAAATTTGTAGTAGATGACGTAATTGAGCACGCGGTAACTATTTTCAAGAGGCTTAAAACACGATCAATATAGCGTGTAGAAACAAGCTACTTGCTATGACAAGGAAATCTTTTCAGTCAAATAAATTCCGAGAATCCGGCCCATAAAATAAGCCTGGCACCGGGACCAGCTCGGATAGCTCTGAATCAAAGCTATGGTGATCAGGTACGGAGTTCCCACTGTGGGACTTGGCACTCGCCTGGTCCTTTGTGTACCCGGAAGAGATCATTGAGTTTGCTCGGATTGTGTATTGCGTAGTAGTATCGCATAGTATCGCACAGCTGACGTCTCTGCAATGCATCCGCTGCGTTGCAAAGAGTAGCCGGAGTGTTCCACCTTAGAGAGACCGAGGCATCGTGAACGCCAAGAGCGAAGAGAAGAGCGCGGAAATCGGGCTGAGAATTCAAGTGGGTCGAGAATTAGCCCCTGGGATCGGGAAAAAGAAAAAAAAGTGATGGTCGTCACCGATGAAACCCAATCTTCCGTGATTTCACATTTCCTCCTTTCCCTTCCCGTCAATGTTCCCCCGGAACACGTGAGCGATCTACAACTTTTCTGCCCATCTATCTCCCCGTTCTCTTTGACCTCCACCATCGACCTCAACATACCTCGTACTCTCGTATTCGACTCCCGCCATGGTTCGCCCGCGCGGAAGGTCGAATCTGGGCGTGGACATTCGGGGAGACACCAGCGCTCCCGCGATGTCCACCATGAATGAAGTCAGCCCGATTGAGCCTTCCTCTCCCGACCTGAGTAAGGTACGTGGTCTCGATCTCCCGACTCGACTCCCTCTAACTCGGCGCGTCAGCAATTGGACAAGCAGAATGCAGACAAGGCCAAGACACATTCTAAGAAGCGCCGCAATCGCTCCCTCCTCCACCGCTTCGCCGATACCTGCCTCCGCTACACCTGGCTCCTTCCGCTGCTCGTCATGACCTTCCTGCTGTCGTTGTACGCGGTTAACCCGACTACTTCGAACCCCATGCATAGCGCCATCTTCCTATCCTACCCTCAGCCGCCCAAGTCGCCCGGCGGTCCCATCATGTACGGCAAGGGTAAGAAGGATATCGCTTTCGTGGCCTTCTACACCGTGGTGCTGTCCTTCACGCGCGAGTTCATCATGCAGCAGCTCATTCGCCCGTTCGCGGTGTACTGCGGTATCCGCGGAAAGGGAAAGACTGCGCGCTTCATGGAGCAGGTGTATACCGCCATCTACTTCGGCATCTTCGGACCTTTCGGTCTATACGTCATGAAGCGCTCGGATATTTGGTACTTCAACACCGCTGCCATGTTTGAGGGCTTCCCACACCGCGAGCACGAGGGACTTTTCAAGGCTTACTACCTCCTTGAGGCTAGCTACTGGGCGCAGCAGGCTATTGTGCTTCTGCTGCAGCTGGAGAAGCCGCGCAAGGATTTCAAGGAATTGGTTGGACATCATATTATCACTCTGGCGCTTATTGCGCTCAGCTATCGGTTCCACTTTACCTACATGGGTCTTGCGGTGTATATCACGCACGATGTTTCGGACTTTTTCCTGGCGGTATGTGGAAATTACGATAACATGGGACGGAAGACCGAGCTAACATTGTTGCACAGACCTCCAAAACACTCAACTATCTCGATGCGTACATCACCATTCCCTACTTCGGCACATTCGTCGGCATGTGGATTTACCTCCGCCACTATTTGAATCTGAAGATTCTCTGGGCCGTTCTGACTGAGTTCCGCACCGTTGGACCCTTCGAGTTGAACTGGGAGACCCAGCAGTACAAGTGCTGGATCAGTCAGTACATCACATTCGCTCTGCTGGCCAGTCTGCAAGCCGTCAACCTCTTCTGGCTCTTCCTGATCCTGCGCATTCTCGCCAACTACATCTTCAACAGCGTCACGAAAGACGAGCGCAGCGAAGACGAAGATGAAGAAGAACTTGAGACAGATCCCAAGGCTATCGCCACCGGCATCGAGAACCAAGCCCCCCAGCTCCTCGTCAACGGCGAACCCGCTGAGGACCGCGGCCCTCGCCCCCGCAGCAAGAAGGACGCATAAGTCCACTGCCCCTTTTCCTCGAACCACTGTGTTAGTGGTTCACTTTCAGAAGGAAAGAGGCCCCAAATTTCAATTTTGTCTCGACACCGGTTCCATATATGGCGCGCTCGCCTGTTTATAATTATGCATAAAAGGGAATCTAAATTTGCAGGCTTGGTGTTTGACCGTTCGGAGCGTGTCGTTTCCCTGTCTTTCATGTCTCATACGGTTGATGGTTGTACTGGATGTTGGCATGCTATATGATGCTGTGCATTATGCATTATGCATTGGTGGGAGATTTTCTATTCGTTGCACAGTTTGCCTTTTCATTAAAGGTTCATTCGGCTGTTGTGTTTATCACTACCTTTTTATTCTCTCTTTATGTTTGTGCTCTGTGGAGACCCGGGATCGCTCAAGGTATCCGTTGGATCTAGCAGAGACACTGTTGATGCGCTGATACGAATATATCAATGATCTTCATGTGAATGCTTTTTGTGTAGCTTAAGTGCTGAGTGGGCGTGTGGATGTGAACTCATATATAGATGTTACTCTCTTTAAGGCATGGAAGCTTTTTGAAAAGAGAAGACTATGGGAAAATACAAGATTGATCAATTGATCGAGATCATGTCGGACATTCAATTCATGATCTCCAAGTGCTAGGTGTACATGTACAAGAGACACTATTGATTCTATCCGTAGCAAAATTCGAGGATTCAGACTCGTGCAGAGCTTACTCAGACTTGTCCGACTTTCCCTCGGCCTTTCCTTCCTTTTCGCTCTTGTCAGATTCCTTTTTGGCGGCGGACTATGGATCAGTTAGCTTGGTGACCTGTGATGTAGAGTCAATCGACAAACCTCATCCTTGTTCTCGTTGGAGGCTTCTTTCTGAGGCTTCTTGTCGTCCTTGGAGTCGTCCTTGGAGTCGTCCTTCTTGGCTTCCTTGTTGTCCTTGGAGTCGTCCTTCTTGGCGTCCTTGTTGTCCTTGGAATCGCCCTTCTGAGCTTCCTTGTCGTCTTTGGAATCGCCCTTCTGAGCTTCCTTGTCGTCTTTGGAGTCGCCCTTCTGAGCTTCCTTGTCGCCCTTGGAGTCGTCCTTGGACTCATCCTTGGATTCTTTAGATCCCTCCTTAGATTCCTTGGGTTGTTCTTTGGACTCCTTGGGCTCGGTAGACTTCTTTTCCTTCTCATCGTCCTTCTTCTGCTCAGTAGCTTGTGTCTCCTTGTCTTCCTCCTTGGGTTTTTTATCTTTCTCCTCTCCAGCATCAGAGTCAGAAGATGCCTCCTCTACCTTCTCCCCAGCTTCTTCCTTGTGCTCGCCATGAGCATCATCGTGTTCATGGCCATGAGAGTTGTCAGAACCAGAAGGCCAGAGGTAGTAAATCATAGGGAGGGTAACACCAGCGGACGCAAGGAGCCTATAAAAAAAACATTTCGTGAGAACACGTAATCGGCCCAAGTATAACGACATACAACATACCATGGAATATCACTACTCGCGTGCTCATCATGGCCCTTTCCACCGGTAGAATTGAACCTCCTACCCAGAACCTGACCGCTACGCCTCACGACCGGAGTGCGAAAGGCCTGAGCTGCATTAGCAGCGCGGAGTACCGAGCGGCGCGCAAAGACCATGGTGGTACGAATTGAAGTGCAGGTATAGAGAATTGAGGAAGTGTGGTAGAATTAGAAGAGATTAGAGAGGAGGCGAGGTTACCACGAGACCGTGAGACACTAGCTAGCAATTAACTAAGGTACAAGGCACGGAGCCTATCGTAAGACATCATCCCCAGCCGCTTCCGATGGTCTGTGCGGGTGCCACGGTGATGTAATGGTCCTGCAAGCCTGCTTTCTTGCCCGTCTCTGAGTGTTGGATATCATATGCGAGGGTAGTTGGTATCCCTGGGGAGGTACTGATTGGTTTGAATAGATTGGAGTTGCCTTATTTCGTCCCTAGATGTGTGTTCCTATCGAAGGGTTCATAGCTCGTGGGGACGGGCGGAGACTCCTCCCATCTGATTAGATTGACAACATCAGTGAGGCTGATGGTGCCAACTGACTTTATTATTATGAATGATCTGATCTTATTTGGGCCCAATGGTTCGAATTGAGGTGTTTAAGCATTAGATGACTTTATTCTGATTTTACTTACACCCAGTTCTGCCTCAGGCAACCAGGCTTCTAGGCATCAACTCAGCTTCTGCCTGAGGCGAAAGACCCCACGTTTGGCGCAGCTATCAGCCTCGTTGACGATAACGTTCTCAAGCTTCTCCCCTCCTTTCTGCACAGACTCTTACGTACCGCCCAAGGCCTTGTCACAGCCATGGGAGACCGACACGTCACCCAGCAGAGCATCTTCACCCTTCTGGGCAAGCTTGACGACCCCGATGCCGACCTGCGATACATGTCCCTCAATGATCTATTCAACATTCTCAACAGCCCAAACTCCTCATTCCTCTCTGGCGATGAGCGATCTGCCTCTAAGCTGGCCGATGGTCTGCTCAAGGCATTGGATGACCAGCACGGCGACGTTCAAAACCAAGCGTTGAAGTGGTGCGTGACATCCTCCTCTGCTTTCCGTTCGCGACTAATGCAGACCACAGTCTCGGCCCCTTGGCTCTTCGACTGCCATTCAATGCGCTTATGCCCTTGCTTGAAAAATTGACCAACCTCACCTCCTCCCAGACGCTTGACACCTCTGTCCCCAATACCGCCCTTCGTACCATTGTCGATACCCTCCCTCGTCCTCAAGCCGGACAGCCTGCGACTCCGTCCGCAGTCACCGCATATAACGCCGTATCCAAGGTCTTGATTCCTAGGCTGGTTGGCCCGACTCAATCAAGCTCCGGCCGACGCGGCTCCGTTGTGCGGGGCATGTTGGAGAAGGATCCGTCCAAGGGCTTCAGTAGTGATGCCATCGATGTGCTCATTAAAGTGGTTACATGTTTCGGACCGCTTCTTCAGGAGCATGAGCTGGTGGCTCTGACTGAGCCCGTCATGGCCATCATTCATAACGACACTGCGGGAACTGTAGTCACTAAGCGTGCGCTGGCGGGCATTTCAGGACTGGTTCTTTTCTACTCTGATTCCCAGCTCAATGCTTTTGTGAAGCGCCTGGCGGATACTCTGGCATCCCCGGATATTTCCACTGTCCACAGACGTCATCTTATTGCGGCGATCGGTACTATTGCCCGAAGTGCCCCCGCCAAATTCGGCCCACATCTGAACAGTCTTGTACCATTCGTCTTCTCTGCTGTTGGGGAGGAGGGTGTTACAGCTAACTGAGCTGGTTGCTTGCTCTCAATAGTCTGCGGATAGACATTGCAGACTCCAAGTGCCTGGCATCTAGTGTCCCTAATGCAACACCGCCAACCTGGGCGATTCATGTAAGCGTTTACGAATGTTAAGCCTACTTTGCCGGTAAAGCAAATCGCGCAGCTTGACTTCTAAGGCAGGATGCGTCAGCTGGGAGCTGTATAGGATACAATGGAGGGCCAGCCTGACTGAACTTAACGATACCCACGTTGACTTTCCATGCGAACATCTTCTATGTCATGGAAGATTCAAAAACAGAACACATCTGCATATTATGGAACATGTTTAACATCGAGGGGCGAGCTCTCCTCATCATTTAGCTTTAATCTCGCCAATGCAACTTTGCTTCCTCGCTAACTCCGAATGTGCCCAACGTACTTGCCTTGAATGGCAGTCTTTTGACTTCCCTCACTTCTCCCACTTCTCGCACTGCCCCTTCTCACCTTTCTCACCAGTCTGCATAGCCAGCTTACCCTACATTCTATTGTCTTTTTTACCTGGTGCTATACTTCATGATGCGGTTATATCGGTTCCTTGTTATTATCGCCCTTCTCATGGGCATCGCCCAATGCTTCTTCTTCGATATTGTGAATTCCGTCCCAACCGACACTGTCCTGGATCAGCCCGAGCCAGCCGTCGAAGAGTCTGTGGCCGAAGTTGAAGGCCAGATTGAGATTATTCAGTCCCGCGAGTTCACCCAGAACGCCGACTACAAGTGCGGTGCCAAATGGGGCAGATGCCCTATGGGCACCTGCTGCTCTGCCTCAGGTAAGTCCCAATCCAAGTTGACCGACAACGCACTGACCAGACTCGGATACCAGGTTACTGTGGCACCTCCCAGTTGCACTGCCGCTCTCCTGACTGCTTGATTGACTGGGGCCAATGCGATGCCGACCGAACACCCGAGGGACCGCCCACAAAGGACATCCTTCGCCCTAGCATTGGTAAAGTTCCGTACGGCCCGCAGGAGATCCGTTCCTGCACTGTTCCCGGAACAGTCGCTTTGACATTTGATGATGGCCCAACTCGGTATACTGGTGAACTTCTTGATCTGCTCGACAAATACGAAGCGCCAGCTACTTTCTTTGTCACCGGTGTCAATAACGGCAAAGGCCAGATTGATGATCCCAGCTTGCCTTGGGCTCCTCTCATTGAGCGTATGCTACTGAGTGGTCATCAAATCGCCAGTCACACCTGGTCACACGAGGATCTCAGCAAAATCACCCCGACCCAGCGCCGCGATCAGATGGAGAAGAACGAAGCCGCCCTGCGGAACATTATGGGAAGCTTCCCGACTTATATGCGCCCTCCTTTCTCGAAATGTCATGCTGGCTCTGGATGCCGCGAGGCCATGGGCGACATGGGATACCACATTATTCTCTATGATATCGACACAGACGACTGGAAGAATGACAGTCCGGATCACATTCAATTATCCAAAGACCTTTTTGACAACGCTCTTGCCAAGGGAAACCCTGCGACCAAGTCTTGGCTGGTCATTGGTCATGATGCGCACGAGCAAACTGTCCACAACCTTACAGAGCATATGCTGAAAACGATTATTCGACTTGGGTATCGCCCCGTCACAGTCGGCGATTGTCTCCAAGACCCGCGCGACAATTGGTACCGCATTGACAACCGATGGCCCGGCCACAAGAACAAGAAGAAGCCACCCAGGAAGGGTCCTCAAAAGGGGATTCCACAACAGGTCTCCGTCGATGGCAGCTGTGGCTCAAACTATACCTGCCTCGGTTCCCACTTTGGACTATGCTGCAGCAGCGTCTATCTCTGTGGAAACACTACCTTGCATTGCGGCGTCGGCTGTCGCAAAGACTCTGGATACTGTACCGTCGAGACACCCTCCAACGGCGACCCATGGGATCCCAAATTTCCAGGCAAGAGTGGCAAGTCTGAAGGCGAGTCTGATTTTCGCGCTGTTGGCACCGCCGCTTTGACTTCGCTTCTTCTGGCTCTGATTGCCGCCATGTTCATGTGATTCTCTTGAGTCCAATATTTGTTACTTGGGACGGCCCGACTGTGGGTTCATAGGATTCAGCGATGTTGTATTTATATCCACCCCTCGTGGCTGCTTTCCCTGTCCCTCATTGCCTTCCCACTCCGACGAGGTCTGGTTTCACCGAACAAATCCCCGTGACTAAGGTCTTTAAATGAATCTTTTTACTTCGAAACGAAGTTTTGTGTTCTTTTCATCGTAAGACTTGTCATTCCTCACTGAGATAAATGCCCATCGAGGCATTAAGATGCAAAGTTATGTATATTAGAACCAGTCCCACAAACAGATCTCCAGATCAAATCAAAACAACAGTCCATGCAAGAAACAAAGGGGTATAAGAATAATCAAAGCAGCACAAGAATCCAGAATCCGGGATGAAAATGACAACTCAATCTATCCATCACTTCCGAACAACCTTCAACAAAGGCGCAATCCGCGCCCTCTTACTCAGTCCTACTCGGTATGGCACTTTACCCGTCGATGAGATGGGGCTGTGCGCGCCTGGTGTTTTCCGTGTCTTCATATCTGGTTGAGGTGTTTGGGGGAGGGGGTTGGTTGGTTCATTGAGTGTCTCTAGGACGGGTGTTTGGTCTGTGCTAGGGACTGTGGGCTTCTCAACAGGGATATCAGATGTAGCTTCAGGAGCTGGAACTGGAGGCTCTGGGGCTTGATTCTCTTTTAAGGCTTCCGCGTCAATGGGTTGTTCAGATGTCGTCTTTCGCTTGCGTCCTCGCTTTTTCGGCGCCGGCTGTTCTTCCGATTGCTTGGATTGAGCCTTTTCTTCCATGCTTGGATTCTTTGTCGATTGAGGCGCATTTCCCTTGATGGGTTCTGGAATCGTGGTTTTCGTGCTCGTGTTGTTGGCATCCGTCTGAATAGGCCTTGGATCTACCCAGATGACATCGTCGTCCGCGGCACGAGTCTTCTGCATCACCGAATCCGCAGTTTTGCTTCTTTTGACCTTTTTCTTGGTCTCTTTCCCATCTGGTGGCAGAGGAGCTTTAACCTTCAGGATTGTAACCCTATTAGCCCTGGGGGGTTCAGCTCCCACAACCTCTTTCTTGTTCGTTGTGGTTTCTCCACTAGTTGCAGCTTTAGAAGGTCGGCCTGGCTTCCGCTTCTCGGGCTTACTCTTAATGGACCCGGATTCCACCATGGCGAGTTCATCATCGTCATCGTTCTCTGGCATCGACTGTTTCTTTGGAGGCCCGCGCTTCTTAACCGTGGTTACCTCGACAGTCACCGCAGGCAAAGAGAGCTCGTCGTGGGTATCAGCCTCCGAGTATCGTGGGGACATCAGGCCTGATCTGGCATTGTCGCTCTTCGCGCGACTCACTCCCGGCGACGCGACAGATGACATTGGCTCTGTGTCATGTGGAGAATATGGCTGTGATTGCAGAGACTTGGATCTCCCGGTGTCCTTTTGTGGCGGATGCGCACGCGAATTTTGAGTGATATGGATGGTTGAAGGATATGAGATTGTTTCTCCGTATTCTCCAAGAGGAGAATCCACGGTGGTCGACGCTACGGGTGTACTATACTCGTGACCGTGTGCCTGAATAGACGGGACAAGTTGTGTCGCCTCGTATGAAGGGTAAACCACTTTCTTAATGGGCTTGGATTCGATATTAGTGACCTCGTTCGTCTGCTGGTACTGGTAGATCGGCATGGTAGGGAAAGAACCCGGTTGCGATATCTCGCTCGAATACGGCGTCGCCGTCGAAGGGAGACGCTGGGCAAGACTGGAAGCCTCGTCGTCAAAGAGGCGCTGCTGTGCAAGCCCGATTTCTGTCATCATTGCGCCTGTGCCTAGGTGTGTTAGTTCAAGCACCGAGGCTTGTTGGCTGCACGCACCAATTGATCCACCGCCGCCTTCACCAGTCGATGGAATCCACCTTTCTTCGCGTCGCTGTTGCGATGAATTGAGATTCGCGCGGTGATTCTCTTGTGATTGCAGGAACTGGTCGAAGTTGACGTTTAACTGTAGCTCCGCGCTAGCATCATGGTGCTCAATTGGGTAATGTGTTTGCTGGTCCGCGCCGGGATCGTGGTGTCCTTGGATAAAGGACTCAAGACCCTGGGGCGGGTCAATGGAGGTCGAGGCCTCCTCCTCAACAAGAGGCTCGTCCTCGTCGGAGTCTTGGATCACTCGGTCCCAGCTCATTGGAGTGTCGTCGTGGATGCGCAGTGAGAAGAAGGCGAGCTTATCGGCGCGTTGCGATGAGACACGCGATCACGTGATGATAAGCACAGTCTAGACTATGGAAATACAAATAGGAAGTAACTTGTAGTTAGGTATTTTAATTTGAATTATGATGAGTTGTACACGCATATGTTGCGCGCTGTTGATATTCAAGACTCGGCGTCTAAGAGTATCCTAAGAAGAAACACAAGGCTTATGCACGATGCGAGTTAACAGGTAAAAGGGCAGGTCTTGCAGACACTGCCAACGGAAAGAAAGAACGCCGGACTCATCCACAATGGTAGGTGTGAAATCCCAGCCCTCCGCGGGCTTATAACACCAACAGAGCCGACAGATCAAGAACAGAATCTCAAGGATCCAGCAACTCAGATGCAACAGAAAGATACAGAGGTATAGTCATAAGTCACTGGGTATCTTAGGCGACAGACGCAAATGCACCGACTCGCAAAATCACAGAACACCTCCAGGTAAATTGATTTGCCCTTGGCGTCCACCTTCAAATCCGGCACTGTTGGGCGCTGAACCGGTGGGTGGGTACGACGTCGGGTTATCCGGATGAATTTTTCGCAACATGAACATCGGCTTCCGTCCTTCCTTCTCAAGTTGTTTGAAGAGTAATAGAGGTTTCTCATCTAACGCGAGGCATCGTTCCTGGTCGCCGTAAACGATATAGAGTGCATAGTTCTTCGGGTCGGAGTGAATATTGTATTTCTTTAGAGCAGCAGGAAGGACCTTGTAACACGGGTCCTCCCAAGACACACGAAATGATTTGAAAATTTCCACGCTGGAGGGCTCGCCGGTGTTGCGATTTTCCGTGCGAGATGCAGAAGACGGTGTTTCTGTTCGAGGCGGTTGCTGACTGGGAGTGTGCCGATCAGCTCTGGACAAGCTTCTTTGTAACTCTTCAGGGTGATCATGTCTGGAGTTGGAGCTGGGCTGGGAGTAGGAACGTGGATTGAGTGTCTGGTGCTGAACAGTGTGGGCGTTGGGAGATGTCGGTGATGGAACTCCAGGTGAGTGCTGCGTTCCTCCATTCATCGAAGCAGTGAGGTGAGAAGAAGCAGCAAAGGCGGCGGCAGATGGATCAAGACTGGCTCCGTCGGGGTAGTTCCGCCCCTCGTAGACGGAAGGAGGGATATGTGTCGGTGAGTTATTCTTGGGTGTTGCGCCTCCACCATACGTGCGTTTGGAGAAAGCCCGACTCAGTTTCGATGACGAGAGATTATCAACGAGAGTGAGCTGGGAAGGTGATGTTAGAGTTGCACCGTCATGATAGGTGTCTGATGACTGGCTCATGGAAGAGGGCGGAGGAAGCGGCTGGTGTCGATCTTTGGCGATTTTGATAACGGGCAAAATTTCTTCCCTTAACCGTCGGTAATCCTCTGCAAGGCGGCGCATTTCCGCCTGTACTGTGATAATGGTTTCATCTCGACGCTGAATTGACTGAATGAGACGGGCCAGGTCGTCCTGGGATGCAGTTTCGTTCATACTTTGGTCGGCAGCTGTGCGAACTGTTAGCAGGAGCCTAATTGACCAGCTTGGCGAAGGAGACGTACAGAGAGGGATATAGTGGTCAACATCCAGAGGAACATGCTGTCGAACTTTGATCTCATAGACGCTTTTCAAAATCGTCAACCGATGCCCGACACTGTTGATGCCCATTTCCTTCAGTTCATCATGTTTGAGCGCGATAAGTGCTTCGCCCACGATTCCATTCTCTACAAAGTCGCTGTCAGAATTGGTACTTGCCACAGCGATAAGTCTAACTTACCTCGGAAGGTCCCACAGTATTGGAGGAGACCGAGCGATGTCAGAAATTCAATACATTCATCTGCTGTCCATTCCGAGATGATTGATCGCGGGGTGCGTGGGCCGTCGCTGCCGTAGCCGAATTTGGTGGGGGTGTGTTCCGAGGATGGAATATCGGACTCAATGGGAGAAGCCTCGAACTCCGTTTGGAGGTGTGGCGAAGTGATTACACTGCGTTCGTACTCGTCGTCCGCATCGGAGTCGGCGTGATAAGAGGTGTGAAGCATCGTGCCGGGTAATGTTCAGCGGCAAGGTTTTGTGCGCGAAAGACGAAGTCCGCTGGATTTGCACCAGTGCCGCCAGCAGAGCAGGGTTGTCAGACAGAGCTGACAGGGAAGCGCTTGGTAAATATGCGTCGGGTGGGTCTAGATCATGAGAGCGCGGTTTAATGAGGGCGGAGGGAAGGCTCGAGCCTGTCAAGCAAGCATAGACCGCAGTGATTGCAGAAAGGACAACACGCGGTTATATCGCGCGATGCAAGTCTGGAGGGACTTTGGGCCCCCTGTGATGATAGGCGCCGGAGGTTGAAAACGAGGGTAGACGCGGGAAGGAGAGCGGGGAAGCTTTCCCGGTCGCGGGTTATTGTTGATGGCTTCGTGGGGTCTGGAAGAGCACGCCAGAGCAGCCGCGGGACAAAACCAGGAGGGAAAGATGATAGCAGGCGACAGCGATGGCAGATACACAAGCGAGCTGGGATTCTCGAGGTCGATGGGCGTCGCAAATGGGACGCATCGATGGTGTGCACGTGACACGGTCTGGACTCGGGCACATCCGCACCTTTTTCTCTCCTTTTGTATATCTCGCTGATGGGGCATGAATTTTAGGTTATCACCTTTAATGACGATGCACTAATTAGTCGCTCGGGACTAAACCTTCCTAGAATGGACCCAAGGTGTCTTGGATCTCACGGAGATCAGCGAAATAGAACTTGTTGGCCACCTTGAGCGCCCCACTCGCTCGGTGACGCGCGGGCATTGAGACTGGAGAATGCTTCTAGACTCTTGGTCGAGTGACAGGTTGTCTACTGATAAAGTTTGAGCCGTTTTCAAAGTTAAGATGAGTTACCTGTTTGAAGGGATTGGCCATCTGACCTCTTTCTAGGTACCTGTGTATACTCTTGTGTCCCAATGGTGCAAAGGGAGTGCCCGCATTATTGACAAGAGCAAATAGAATTGATCGGGCTTTTTGACATGTCTACGGAGATAATTATTAGAACTAGAAAGCTACAGTAGCTATCTGTATTGGTATTCACACGGAACTTGATCACTCGATTTCAAGGTTTTTGGAATTTGGAACTTTACAAAACATGTAGTATGTTGTTGATTTTTTATTTGGTTTTTGGGAGCTGTCTATAACCGTAAATTTTTCCAAGAATCCCTTCGCACCGCACCCTTAGATTTGAACCGATTTAACAGAAATGAAAGACATCATCTTCTTCAATATAGGTTTAGGTACCACCACCGCAGGTTTTTATGTTGACGGTTATGACCACTGTCAATTTCTTAAGCTGTTCGAAAGGCATAAAACTGCACGGATGCTTGTGTCTTGATAGACATGCTTGAGGCCAAATTATCAACCAAGAAAAGGATGAATCGAGAGTAAAAAACCAGATCGAAAGAGTCGCCTTGCCAGGGCGGTGGTTATGTCAGCACACTCCGTGTCGCCTCCACGCCGATTGGCCTGGATATCATGAGCCGTGGCTCTCAACCTTCACTTTTCTGCAATTGACTGCTCAGTGACAATTGTACATTCCGATATCTCTCCGGGTGTGCAATGGATACATCTCTTTGACCCGGTGTCTATTCTCCCGGCCGACCCTATTCTCTCCTTCTCGTCGGCTCCCGAGTACCTTACCTCCGGTACTAGGACGGTTTGCGCCCGCTCAAGCATAGCTCGTTCCTCCGCCTACAAGGACCCCACTCTGGTGAGTATGCACTCTGACTACAAATCTAGTCTCCATATCCCCTCTTTTCATCGTCTTGCATTGGCATCGTCGCTGCAGCGCTAACCGGTATCGCCGCCGCATTGACAGGCCGGACCGCGGAACCATCGTCATTCTCAATATCCACTTTTACGCGAGCTGCAACTGCCTCTCGTCAGCGCCAATAATCATAATCAGTCCGTTCTTCGACAAGCACAATTCAAACCCGGGGCAGGTTCCCCTTTTCTTTCTGTTGCCCGCTGTCGCAAAACCCTGCCCGGGAACCACCGGCGCATGCGACAGACCGCAAGCCTCGACTCCGAGCCCGTTTTGACAACCACCTTCAATTCCGAGTCCCTGCGGCGCATTTCCTGGCAACAGGTTATACCACAATTCACACTCTGCGACGAATTCTCCCAGCCCGAGGGCTCATCCGCGGCGTGAACCCCGCCGAAGCCCTCTAACATGCCATCCTCAACCCCCGCCGGCGCTTCTTCTACCCCCGATGCCCTTGAGTCCGACCTCCTCACCAAACTTGCTGCCACCTCCGCGTTGGAAGAGCTGCAAGAAACGCTGCTGGGCTCGCTCCACCGCGCAGGGTGGACCGAAAAGGTCACCAGCCTCGCCACCGAACTCCTCCGCGCCGGCCGCTGCGAGACATTCGACGACGTGATGGAAGCGGTCGTGGCCTCGGCCGAAGGTAGATCTCATCCGGCGCTGGGCTCAAAACACTCCAGAGAACAGAACGGAGAAGCAGCATCGAACGGTACGAAAGAAGGAAAAGCCAATGGAACCAAGAAGGGCAATGCAGGCAATAATACAGACAACACCCCATACGACCCGTTGAAATATATCGAGGAGGTCGACGTGCGCATCCCGGACACAGTGGTGGACGAGGGCGTGCGTGGCCTCAAGGACATATTGAGAGAAATGGTTGATATGGAAGATGAGGGTGCTCCGAATGGAGACAAGAAGTAACGAATCTGCATGGCGGTGATTCCTTTCTGTATTAGTTTTCTTTCCTGTGGAGTCTTGATATGGTTTTCGGCAATGGCTACGGCATTGAATCTGGCATGTGCCCATCTATGATTCCTGGGTATGCGTGCATGATGGGCGCTCTCACATCGAACTCGAATAGACAATTGCATTGAACTGGGGACTTTCCGCCCCGAGAATGATTTATGTTTTCCATCCGTCAGTAAACTTTCTTCTAATCCTGAGAGGTTGTGTCATTGATGATGATACCCGAAGCCCTGGTTTGCTCCAGTGCCTAAGATGTCGCTGACTCAAGGAATCGATCTCTGGGACATGTAACTGTAACTTGCCTCGAAGGACCAAAAGAAGAATAGATATGACGCCGGATGCTCAGAAACACTGACACGATATCGGCAATCTCTAGCATCCAGTAAATATTTGCCTCCCTGACCCTCTCCTGTGCCACATCTAACACATCCATCATGCAGCATGTCTCAAATTTTGGCAAGACCACATTGATACCAACGGAGATAAGAACTGAACTGCATAAGAAGTATAGAGCATCCGAAGATGCGGAGACATCCAGAAGTCTTTAAGAGATTGAGTGCGTTAACGCCAGGTGTCTGGTGAAACTTCCCCGAAACTCTAAGGCGACAATACCAGTGGGAGGTATTCTAAAAAAGATATAAACAGGATGTTCAAGCTTACAGATGAAGAGCTGAAGCGAGCCTCTGCGGATTGGGAAACAATACTTGCATTTACCATTGAAGGACGAGACAAAAACAAAAGATCGGACCACAAGCGAGACTACGGATTTAAATCCACACATGGTTGCACAAAGCGATTAAGACTTAGAGCAGCATTAGATGAGTACAAGCTTCTCTGAGATCCCCTCGACTAGCTCACTGCTTCCACCAAGAAATTCCATTACTCAGTCAACGAAAGACCCAATATCTCCTAGCAGCCTCCCGACTTGGCGCAATACCTTCAAACCTACAATGCTACAGTTAAAGACTTGACAGAAACCTATCAGCAGCTGACTGAGCAACTCAGAATCAGCCAACTCAGAATCAGCCAACTCAGAATCAGCCAACTCAGAATCAGCCAACTCAGAATCAGCCAACTCAGAATCAGCCAACTCAGAATCAGCCAACTCAGAATCAGCCAACTCAGAATCAGCCAACTCAGAATCAGCCAACTCAGTCTACAGTCCCTTGAATCTCCGGGGAGTACCGTCTCTTCTTCTGTTGCAAGATAATCGGCCAGTCCGAAGCCTTGGGAGTGCTCAAGATCTAATGAACTGAATGGGGTCTCAACTGCATCCAGACCATCTTGGAACCCGAAGTTATGGATATAAATCAGGCCTTTGATTGACCCATCCTGGGCGGATGTGGATTCTGCCTTAAATTCAATTTCTTGATTCAATGAGTTGTTTTCATCGCTATTATTCTTGTTATCTTAGTGTTCTGTTCATTCTTTGGGTTATTTTTCGTGTCATATATGTGGTGCTAGGTACGCGTTGGTTGAACACAGAGCGTACCGGTTTATATGATGAAATTAGACATTTGTTATGACTATAGAATAATTTCAATCAGAAGCTGTCACAACAACTTGCTTGTGATATGTAGCACTGGAGCATACTATCAACGTCAAAGTGTGCGCCTTATCAGGTCTGAAACCCTGTGGTCTGTTCGATGATAAGGATTGAGGCGCACATACAGTAAACTACACCCAAGCAGAGCCGATAGCCCTTAGTGAGTAAACGTATTGTTCCCGTCGCCTGTACGCGCCCCGAAATAGGGGTCCAGAGAGGTGGAGATAATCGGTTGGTTCTCAGCGCTGGGCTAGGCGGCTCAAGTGGGTCTGGATGGCCGCAACTACCGTCACCCGTCTGACTGTATGTGGTTTTGCGCGGGCTACTCGAATTCCTATATTTGATAGAGAAGTCATTTGCAATCAAAGAGGTGGCTGAGTCGGCAACTTGCTCATCAAGTATTGAAAGATACACGAAAGGGTCCAGAAATCAAGTTCGCTTCGGAGCACTCGAGCGCCTGGGCGTCCGAGGATTCCTAGGGCCGTATTAAGTGGTGCATCAGGCATTGTCATGTTGTTCAAGAGGAACTCACATCCTGTGCCCAGTTTACAGAAGGTCGGATGCATTCTGTTTTGCGCCGCTCTTTCTCTTTCTGAGGAATTTCATTTGATAACCAGCCCCCAAAAGGAAAGATACGCCTTTGCCACGCTTCTCACGGGCGAAGGTGAAGTCGAATTCCCAGACGTGGAAGCCCCATACCTACGAGCAGCTCGACTGCTCACTTTCCAACTTCTACTTAACCCTCGTGCTCGAAATGAAACTTCGATGTCCTATTCCTCATCCTCGTGACTTCAAACGTATCCGAAGGACACCGTCCAATATTCGCGAATGACGGGGCTACAGTAATTCCAGTTGAGAGCTTTGTTCATGGCTGGGTTCAAACTAAATGGAGCCGGTGGAAAGACATTCTCGCCAATTTATATCTATGACAACTCACGGATTATGACAAGGTCCTGTTCCTCGACGCTGACTCAGTGATCTTCCACCCAATCCACGACATCTTCACTCATCCGGGAACTGAAATCCGCCAAATACTGCCACTCCTTGAAAAGCATACCAATAGTTCCGTGGCGTCTTTGATTGGAACCCCTACCAACCACAGCATGCCCGCCTCGTACATGATTACCGGAATTCACGATCCATGGGTAGAAATGGCCCTTCCTCCCGTCCCCGGCTCCGAATTCTACACAAAGAATAACTACATGAACGCAGAAATTCTTCATTATGGACCTTTTTCCGCGAATGGGATGAAAACTTTGTTACGTATATATGTGAGTTGCTTTATGGTATTTTGTGTTATTAATAACCGCATCAAATCAATAAATATAGACGCTTGCAGATGATGACAATAGGTGTCGTACGAAACAAAATCGACCTGTTCAAACGCTATGGAGCTTGAAAGATTACATAGATACCTCGGAGTTTTGGGAGTCACATTGGAAGGGTACCCATGATTGGTCGTCATCCTTCTGGGTAACCTTATTCGGGCAACGGCCGACCCGGACATCGGGGAGAAATATCTTTGCATTGCTTGGAGTCTTGGGTTCTGTTACAACTGTATTTAATTCTTGCCGTGACTATGCTTCTTTGATATAATACCCGATATTGAGGTTATCACTACACTAAAGTAGAACAGACCCCCAAATATGAGGAATAAGGTTGTCAACAAAGTTTCTTAGATCTGCGAGCTTATCTGCGAGCTTAAATTCGCTCTATCCAAGGATATTCAGCCCTTTAGCGGACATGCGACGTTGTAGAGAGTCGTTATCCAAATTAATCAGACTTGATTTCAAATGCTCCAGCTTGAGGGCTTGACAAAGCCCAGGAGACGCCGTCGCTCATGACCTGGTCCCAGTATTTACTCGACAATGGAAGCTTGTCGCCAAATCTTCTGAACCCATGCGGCACGCCACGGAAGACATGGACATCAGTAGGGATACTGAGCAGCAATCCGTCAGTGTAAATTTCCCGTTCAAGTGATTGAAAGACTCACCCGTTATCATTAAGAAGCTTCGCGTAGAAAAGACCCTCATCACGAAGTGGATCATTACCCGCAATGCCAAAGGTTGTAGGTGGAAGCGCCTTGACCTCTTCCGCGGTCGCATTTCCGGGATTCATACGGAGGTCCTTCTCCGCACCCCCAGCGCCAGCAACGCCAAGAAGACTCATAAACATATTGATGCGATCAACGGGCAGGATGGGCGCCTGAGCACATTGCTTGTAGCTAGACAATTCAGGACTCTTGAGCAGGTCCAATCTAGAGCCATAGTATTCACTCTGAACGAGGCAAGGGATCATCAAAACTTGTCCTCTGATTTTGGGACAAGCTGCCACCTTCTTGTTATCGCCGCGAAGCTGAGCAAGTGCTAGCGAGGCGGTCAATTGGGCGCCAGCAGAAATGCCACCCACGACGACTTGATCGCTAAGGCCGCCAATCTCAGCGATGTTCTCGTGAGCCCAGACGAAGGCGTCTTCGACATCGTCCCAGGCGGTTGGGTAGCGATATTCGGGAGTGTGACGATAGTTCACATTAAACACGACGACGGGCTCGCCCTTCTCCACCCGTGAGGTAACAATGCGAGAGCAGATACCATCTTCGGACGGGAGGGTTCCAAATAGGAAGCCACCGCCGTGAAAATGGATGTAGACGGGGAGGCGCTCCGAGGGATCCACGCCTGCGGGGCGATAGGTGCGTGCCTCGAGTTTGAAGCCATCGCGAGCGATTATAGTATAATCTTTGAGCTGGACCTTTTCACTGAGACCTATATCAATGAAGCATTAGACAGATGTTTGTACACCGCGGATAATAGGGCTCACTGACCACTGCTCATTGCCTGAGCAGCAATATCTTCGCGACTTTTGTTGAGCAGCTGCTTGAGCTCCTCCAGCGAAACGTCAGGGAGCTTGGGCAAGCTCGGCTCAAGAGCAATCCAGTCGGCACTGGGTCCAGCATATTCAGTATAGTCGGCCATTGTGAATGTATACAGCACTGGTTTCTCGATACTTGTTGGTCATCGGAAGATAGAGCTTGCCAGGTGAGCAATACCCCTCATGCGGGCACCTCGGCTCGGCTATGAGCACATCTCCATCGGTACCCCACATGTGGATAGCAGCACATCGATCGGGGTTTCCCAAATTCCGGTCTTCAATACAAAGAGACTCGGTCAAGAGATAACACGGGCTCAATATATTGATATGAGCTCCTGGGATTTGACTGAAATTGGGCCCTGGTTAACTTCCAGTCCCCAGCCATGGATCCGGATCCCGAGATACCAACCACCACTTCCTGTTCCTTGAACTTTAAGTCGCCATCGTGATAAATGTAGGCTACCATGGTGATCAAATTGGAAATCTTCGGGTAATTTATGTTCTATAGCTGATAACGGCTGCGCCAGCGGGCTACAAACAGGCATGAGCGAAGAGGCAAGGAAGACTCGACGAGAGCGAAGCATGCTGGTTCTATAAAGAGAGTGACTTCCACTCACGCTGCAGCAGTAGACTTTCAATACATTTCCATGATTATGGCATTCTAATTACTTAAGACAGGGTATCATCTAGCCAGCCGGCATTATACATACAGGGTTGTGACTCCCTTAAGAATGGGAGGGTAGTTCAGACAATGAGCGCCCAGTATCCATCTCACGTATAATCGGTTTATTGTCCAACTCGCGCAAAAAAGTCTGCTGATAGAATCGAAAATCATTGTGAGTCACGTCGTCTGTTGTTTTCGCTGCCGGCTTCCGCCGTTTGAAAATGATAAAGGCGACCACCGAAGCGATCAGAATTATACCGGCGCCAACACCTGCTCCTATTCCGGCAGTAGTCCCGGGGCTAATTTGTCGAAGATGAGGATGAGGATGAAGAGGCCGAAGATGTGTTTGTGTTTGTAACTGATGTTGCGGTCGCTGTTGACGTAGAATATATGATAGTTCCGGTTTTGGGGAGGTATAGGACGGTTTTGAGATTGGATGGGCTAGGAGCGGGGGAAAGCTCATTAGTCGGCTCTGAATAATCGGACTGTCCTCCATTATATGAGTAATAGGCCTGAAGACTAGAGGTTGAGTTGTAGGTAATCTGTGAGCCTGCGAGCCCTCCTGCGCGACCGTAAATACGAATCGTTAGCTCTATGAACCGTTTCTAGAAAGGCAAATGAGTACTGACTATAGTGGTTTTGGTAGCTAGGGTCTTGTAGTGTTGGGTCTGTGTAGTCGGCAGTGTAATGTCTATCACTATTGGAGTTCTTGTAGATGCCGTTGCTCATACAGGTCGAGCCTCGTACGCAGCATATCACATTGTGGCCGACTTGGTTCACGTCTTCACTTGGTGCATCAGAGTAGTTGATGTTAATCGCACCCAAATGTAGAGAGTAGCAGTTGGCCATTGTAGGTTATTCAGAAGTGGAAGTGACACCTGGGGCAAACGAGATTCAGGGAGAGGAATACAGGGTGTTCAAACTATCTACACCTAGTTTGGTAAAGCCTCCCCATTGTGGATTGTCTGGGTGGCTTCTGGCCAACGATCCAGGTTTAGCCCCCAAGCCTGAGCGCCGGAGCGGACTGCGCTGGGCAGCCCTTCGGCATGGTACGTTGGATGATTTTCTAATTCGGGGATTAACACAGCGACAACGCACTTGGATGAAAAGAAACCAGGTTGTTCTCGTTGCGCACTTTAATATTGGCGAATTTTCTTCCTTTTCAATGGCTCGTCAATCGCGGTTCCAGGTAAAATAAATCATTATCCTGGACGTGACAACTTGGATGGCTTCGCTTAGCGCCGGAGTTTCCTCACGCAGTGTGATCTGCTTAAGATGTCCCAGGGACTAAATAAAGAATGAACAAGTGGTATTTAAGGGCAGGTACGCGCTCGGATATACCTGGACTCGGGTTTGCCGCACAGCTACTTCCAATGCGCCACAATAAAAAAACAGATATTGATCTGGTACCTCAAACAGTTCCTGAGATGATTTTTACCACAATAATACATATAAAAGAGCCTTAAAAAGATCAGCGGTCTACAACTTATAATAAAAAGCAATTTTCAAATATCAAAGCAATTGTGAACAGGGTGGATATCAAATAGAAGACTCTGGATGTTCCGATATTTCCTCTCTCTTCTCACCCTTCCACCAGTCAAGGTGACCTGTCGATAGCTCGTTAGTTGCCGCGCTCTTCTGAATCTCATTTTCCGTGGTATTCGCCTTGCTAACTCCCAGCGCATAGAACATCATTATCTCTGTGGGATTCTTCTTTCATTTCGTTTGCTGGTGGCATACTGATGTGGCTAATATAACATGGGTGTTGGGGGTATTTGAACAAGTGACCTCCAGCTCAGAAGTCAAAGCAGTACAGTGATAGTCAATGGGAGCATAAAAAGTGGAATAATGTGAATTAATTTGCTCGCTATGATTAAGACAAGGGCATCATTCCCAGAACTCACCAGTGTAGTGCTAGAATGAATTCCCTTGAACCCTTAGATTTGCTATATTGCCTGCCCCACTCGATTTGCACTCGTTTCTGACCCTGTGTCCTCCAAAGCCTTCGTATCGACATACTCATGCCTCACACTCCATTGGTCCGTCCTCTGAATCGCCATGGTAGGGCTTCTGTCTACCGGTAGATCCTCGGGGTACGTTACTGCAAAGGCAGCTGCCGAGGAACCCAACATTTCTATCTCATCCTCCACGTATTGAGATGTGATCACAGATTCCCTCTTCCCTCGGCTCATCCCAGCCAATGCATATGAATTGCCGTACGAGTTACTGTTGCTTCCACCGCCGATCCGTTTATGCAAAGTAACATTGAGCATTCCAGTCTCGAAAGCATCGAGGAAAGGCTTTAAACATGGTATGCACGCGGTCATGAGACTGACGCAAAGGACGCATTGGGTGATGACGGTGGTTTGGAAGGCGTACGTCGTCATGTCTGCGGAAGACGGGGATTTCTGCATGAAGGCGAGTCGAATAATGGTCGCAATAATTACACTAGATTCAGTCCAACATTAGTCTGCGCCTCGAGGCAGCGAGCGGCCGGGCAGTTAGAATGGTATAATTGTACGCACAATATGCGAAATGCAAATGCAACGACCACAGTCATTTTCTTCCGGAAAGAGACCTGAACAGGCTTGATGATAAATATTGGGAGGATGCAGATTATGAGCTCGGTCATGATGTCAATTGGGGAAATAGCGGCCCAAAAGTCGAACTGAAGACTGAAGCATCAGTATATACCGGGTCGGAATGGTAGAGAGCAGGGCCAGAACTCACAACGTTTATACAGTGTCCACTGTTTCTGTCCCATGGATTGGGAATCCCACATTGAAATGCAAGAGTGAAGAAGGCAGCAACTGTCCACGCGATAATAACAATGGTCGCCAAGGAACATGTCTTTTTGTGTAATTTGTTCACATTGAGTTTGTCGAGGAACTGTAGGATGGAGATCTTTGCGAGGCTCAAACTGAGGATATAAAGAAGTTCGGATGCGTAGAGGTACTAGAAGCGACTTGCGGTCAGTGGTTGTAACTTTTCTCAGGGAAGTGAAACTTACCTTTCCTACTTGGCTTATTCCAACATCCCCCAAGGCTGATCTAGGCTTCCCGAGTCCATGTCTAGTGCCTGCAAATATGGTGCTGGACTGAGCAATGCCAAACACCTGAAAATTGCCGTTAGAACAACAATGCAATGGTTTCTGTAATTGGTCGCAGAGGCCAACGAGGAATTTACCAGAGAGAGGGAAACAGTCGCATCATCCCATTGTAACGACCGAAGCATGAAAAGTCGAAACGCAAGTCGGATCAGCACAGCCATTACCATCATCACCAAGAGATAGAGCGTTGCGATGGCGATCTGATCTACGTGGTCCGTGGCTGGCGTTCCCAAGTAGATGGCTCGTATGTCGACCGTACGGACAACATTTGAGGGGAAAGCGAGCCGTACAGGCAAACCCATCTTGAGAATTGCCTTATGATCACACGAGGACCAAGTGTTAAACCTTTAGGCTTGAATGCATCGCATGTGGTTCATAGACACCGCAATAAAACTCTGAATGGTTCATTTCTTACTTATCGAGGGTGGATGGCTGAGTGCTGTAATTATTGGCTGACATTCATTTATTCTACGGCCCCTTACCAGTAGTGATGCTTGTTCCATGTTTCATAGAGGCGAGTCGCGGGCTACCTGCTTATCGGCTTCCAGGAGCTGACAGGGGCTAGTTATGCACTATGTTCCTTCCAAATCCTTCTAAATCCTGGCAATATTTTGACAAGGATTCCAAATTGCACTAGCTTAAAGTTGATGAAATTAAGCTAATAAAAATCAGCAAAAGTACTCGAGACCGGCCAGAATTTGCGTCGTGCAAAATCTAGCATGCCGACGCGAGTCATGGGCGATTTAATTCTAGAAAGGGTCCAACCTGCCAGCCGTGGTTGTATTTTCATATTGCTCTGTGAAAAAATGAAAGAAGCCATGGAAGTGAAGCCATAACATAGTGTGGATGTAAAGCTATCATATACCTAAGAAAATATGCCAGAGGCGAAAGAGGTCGGACTGAACAACATCACTATTGGTAAAGTCTAAACTTGAAAGATCGGATAGTCCGTACACCGGCGGAATCGGAGTGAAAAACAACAATTCTAAATAATCCACGGCTTATGATGAAAGGAGAAAGGTCGGGTCGAAAATGCCGCATTGATTGTTGGATGTGGCTGTAGTCAGTTTCCAGGTTGCGATATTAGTCTTTTGTTCTTTCCGGATGACAAGGCTTCGCCAAAGCTTTTTTGCATGGTTTTAGGACTGGGATGTCTAGGCCTAGACCTTAGGCGCATGGTGGCTGATTGCAGGCCGCGTCAACTTCACCAGTAATGTGAAAGCCATTAATCCGTAGGGGATACCATCGGATCTTCGGGGATCAATACTCTCCGTATGAAACATTTACTCCTATATTAATGTCATTGACTGGATCAAAACAATAACCTTGCCATTCATCCCCACCGGACATTGCACATGAATCGCAAATTAACACTAGATTGATTGGTTGTTCGAAACTAGCCACCAAGCTAAGTCTAAAGGATCTCGGAAACGGTGTAGCGAATGCCCTCCTTATCCGCCCGCGAAACGCAAATTTGGAAATACTTTTCCAGGGCCGCCACGCGCTCCTCTTCAGATTTGAACGATTCTAACACCTCAGACGTTGCCCCATTCCGTCGCTTGAGAGTGTTGTTGAACAGAGTCAGATCCCCAACAACCTCGTTATTCTCATCGATGATCATTTGTACACAAACAACGTGGAAGGTAAACCAACTTGCCCGGTTGGTGCTCATGTAGTAATTGATGATTTCGAAGTCTTCGGGTATGAACTCAGTTCCGGTAAAGCAATAAGCGGGGGTCCATGCATTTTCGGCCCCATTGCGGATCTCATATTGCCACACATATTGGCCCTTGCTCGTGTGTTGAGCAATCGGTGCGTGAACGAGCCGACCACATTGATCTCCGGTGTTGTGGAACTCAAAGTTCTCCACCAATGACACGGGCTGGTGGGGCCCATTGGAGCCAAATCCCACGTCGATGAGATATTTTTGTTCCCCGATAGTAACGACATTCACCATGTGGTTCCTATTAGCGAATTAGCAAGTGGGCGAATATGAACCCCCATTGTGGGATCCCTGACAAGCGACCACGGGTGGCTGTCAAAGGATCATGGAAACCTGTAAAAAGAGAGAGGGGGAAATGATCATACCATCCACTGTATTTCGGGCCCTTCCAGCTCTTAGATGCCGACATAGGCTGTACGGCTTCATTGACTCGGCCTCCGACTGATGTGACATCGTAGCCCAGGGTCCGCAAGACAGTTCCAAACAGGGTGTTGTTCTCCATGCAGTAGCCGCCCCGTCGCGATTTGTTATCGACAATCTTGTCGAAAACCTGTTCATAGTCTATAGATATGGTGCGGTGGGTCGAGTAATGAAGATTGAGATTCTCAAAGGGCACAGCTGCCAGCTGATAACGCTGCAGTAATTCCAAAAATTGCAGGGAAAGTTGCTCGTCCTTCTGGGCCACACTAGACTGTCGGTAGATTTGAGGAAGCCCGACCCGGTCAAAATACCGATGCAGTTGTTCCGGCGAATAAGAAGCCATTTTAATTGAGCAAGGGGGAGGAACGAAGTCGAGTGGCTAGTTTCGAGCTTGCGTTTCAAATATGAAATTTTCAAAAGTGGCTATTAGACTGTTTGCGGCCACAATTACCCAGAAAGTTCTTCTGTCCGGTCCTAAAGTAGCCGGGGGATCGATCAGCTTGTTCGACTACGCGGGGCACAGTCTTCCGGATCCATCCGGCGGACGATTAGTGCACTATCCAACGCTTGCAGGGATCATGCATAGACGAGAATCTAGCGCGGCAGATAAGAATGTTGGCTTCTAGGGTGACAACGCTAATTAGTGTTCCTATTAGTGTTCACATTAGTGTCATTGTTCTGAACGTGGAAGCAAGGATTCGCCTCGGAGCACGCTGCATTGCATGGACTAAATAAGCAATTTCGGCACGTTTTAGTTGGGGAACCCGGAAATTCTAGTCTCTTCAAAAAAGCCAGCTAGTTAAGTGAGCGCTGAATTTAGGGCACTGAGATTTCACCACAAAGTCGAGGACTTTCCTACTCACCCACCTGGGCACCACGAACCTGCAAGTTGGCGATCAGGAGAGCGACTAGTGAGCATTGAACAAGATATTTCTTTTCTCTTTTAGAGCCTGCATCACCCCCGCATCCAACCTTTTTGTTTCTTTTCCTTTTTTTTTTTTTTTTTTTTTTGAATTCTGCCATTTCAATACCCTTTACTGTTGTTCTTTCCTCGCATCTATTTCGGTTTTCAGAATGCGGATCAAGAATGGCGATATGGCGGTCCAGGAGCTGGGCTCGACTGGATACAAAAATCGGGACGATGAGGATATGGCAAAGCAGGGCAAGAAACAGCAGTTCGAGGTACACTTTCACTATACACCCCGGTATTGACCTGGCACAAACTGATGAGAGCAGAGAAACTTTGGCTTCCTGTCAATGTTGGGCTTCACAACAACGATGATGTGCACCTGGGAAGCAGTGCTTTTGTGAGTTCCAGAATTCAATATTCTCTGATCCCACGACTAAGTATTTTTCCAGTGCCAACCCGACATCGATGATTGACGGAGGCCCCGCTTCACTTGTTTACGGCTATCTCTTCTGCTGGTTCGGCGCTCTAGTCACCGCAGCTTCGCTAGCCGAGATGGCTTCAATGTACGAAATTCGCCTGTCCGTTTCGTTTTCACTCCGAGGCTGATCGAATGCAGGGCTCCCACTTCCGCTGGACAATATCATTGGGTTGCCATGCTCGCTCCGAAAGGCCAAGCCGTCTTTCTGAGCTGGGTAACAGGATGGCTGGACTTGATCGGATGGTGGGCCAACACTGCTGCGGGTGTATACTTCGGGGCAACCGTCACTCAGGGCCTTTTGGTTTTGAATTACCCTGATTATGGATTTGAGCGCTGGCATGGGACTCTACTCATGTTTGCTGCATTGCTCCTATGTGTGGGGGTGAATTCCATTGGAGCAAGGCTTCTCCCTAAGCTGGAAGGTTTGATTCTGATTCTTCACATCATGGGGTTCTTCGCCGTCTTGATTCCTCTCGTCTACCTCGCCCCACACAAAGATGCCGAATTTGTCTTTGGTACATTCATCAATAGTTCTGGATGGAGCAACTCTGGGTTGGTTTGGTTCATTGGACTCATGGGCACAAATCTACCATTTATCGGTATGTGACTCCTGTTTCCTGGCTAGAGCTTTGTCTAACCGGTTTATATAGGCTACGATGGTCCATGTCATATGGGTAAGTGCTTACATTCAATGATCTTTCCCTAATTGCCTCAGACTAACCCCCTTTTAGCGGAAGAGGTCAAGAACGCGTCCGTCATCGTGCCTTGGTGCATGATTGGCACGATCCTTTTAAATGGTACACTCGGGTTTGCAATAGTCCTCGCGTTCCTGTTCTGTATTGGAAATATGGAAGATGCACTGGGCAGTGCGACTGGCTACGACTTCATTGAAGTCTTCTGGAATGCCACCAAGTCCCATGCAGGCACATCAGTCATGGCTGCCCTTCCTACCGCGCTCGTGATTTGCGCTTCGTTTGGATTTTTGGCTTCAGCCTCACGCCTCACCTGGGCATTTGCGCGAGACAAAGGATTGCCCTTTTCCGATTTCCTCTCCCACGTTTGTACCACCTTGATCTTGTACTTGACAAAGGATCGATCACTGATTATGAGTTTCGGTTTTAGGTCAACCCACGCTCAGGCCTTCCAATTCGCGCCGTTATCCTCTGTGCGCTCATCACGGCATGTATTTGCGTCATCAATGTGGGATCTTCGGCTGCATTCAACGCCATTGTCTCATTGACTACAGCTGGCCTCTTCCTTTCCTATGAGATAGCTATTGTGTTGATTGTGATAAAGAAGATTAAGCGAGACCCCATCGCTTATGGCCCCTGGACACTTGGTCCGCTCGGTCTCGTCGTCAATATCGCCTCGATTTGCTTTTTGACTATCACAGTCTTCTTTTCTTTCTTCCCCACGGAGCTTCCCGTCGTGCCATCAAACATGAACTGGTCTATCGTTGTGTTCTCTGGTGAACTCCTCATCGGGTTGATCTGGTACGCCGTCTATGGCAGGAAGGTATACCATGGCCCCATTGTGGAGTCTGGTGTTATTCCCATGAATGGCGAGGTTACTGTGGAATCTGAAGAATAGAGGACACATGTAGCCACGGGCTTGGACCTTACGCTTCGTGGTTTTGTACAATATAGTCAGGTTGGATTTTGATATACAGAACAGATTTAATTTATTGGTGATTCATGTTTCACACCGAAAGCCATTTTTGTAGACATGCTGCTCTTCTGGTGAATGTTTGTTCGGTGGCTCGGTTTGTCGGAACTTGATTATCTCAACATCTTGACGTTGGATTTCTTTCAGTGGGGTCCAGATGATGACTTCTCAATTTGCAGCGGCATAGAAATATTGGTGACTACTTGAAAACGTCCTAATTGATAGGCTAGATGAGTACAAAGATCTTCAAGCTCTTTGTCGCTGAGGGAGCTGTCCCATACGTAAACTGCGCTTGTTTCAGAGTTAGGGTTCACTCTAACCAAGATCAACTCATGCACGAATTTGCACTGGCACCATTGCAGTAGTAAAACTAATGACGCCCTGACAGGATTGCTCTGAAGGGTACATCGGTGGGTGCTCGTGTAATGAGCAGTCAGAATCAACCAGGCGGCGCGAATTTTGGGGGTTATGTAATACCTCCTCAAGGCCACTGTAGTCCGGAGATTTGGCATGTTAAGGTCTTGTCGAGGCGAGGCTGGTAGACTCGGCTGCATGTGTCGGTTCTGAATCTCCCAACCGTTTCCAACGCTTTGTCTTCCAACCTATAGCCCCCCTCCCCAAAATGATAGAAATAAAATAAAGTAAAAACCTTCCAGCAGTATGGCTATCGAAGAACTTGCAGCACCGACGAGATCGGTCGAAGATCGATCTGATCGCCAAGTGGAGCGGTCTAGCGCCATCAAGCCCCATTCACACTCCTTGGCAAGGTCTATTTTTTCCGACGTCATGCATGTTCCACACCGCTAGCGATCCCTTGCCCCATGATTTCTAAAACTATTCCCAGAAATCGGTAAATCTCCGAACAACGAAGAGCATCGCATATTAAATGTATGAAATTCATAGGATCCGTCGGTGGGGCCACTACCGACACGCCCAGACTCAGTGGCATAGCACCACCGGGAACACACCGGTCGCTTGAATGGTCTGCGATGCTCTGTGACCAGGTGGGCTCCTTGCATGGTACATGAGGTAGGTCATATCCGCGTTCCAGTCCCACCGAGAGGCAGTGCCCAACCCTCCTATTCATCATAAATCTCCTCTACAGACGGCCTAGAAGTCGAGTCGATTCGTCCTTGGCTTCTTCTGGAGAACTTGATGTGGACTCGCTCTGTGAGTAGATAAAGTAGAACTTATTGCCGTGCATGGTTGGCGCAACCGCAAACCGTCGTTTCCCTACGCGCCCGCAACGCTCTTGAAAACACTTCAACAACAGACATCAATTCGCACCTAAGCATATTCTTGCTATAATGGGTGAAGTATTCGAATATTCTGAGTGCAAAGAAACGTTGGCCTTCAATGGAAAGTCAAGCTCGTCTTTTACCGATGCTACGCTGCAGACATGCCGCGAGGTCCGAAACCTTCTAGGTAAAAAGACACAGGTTATCTTGGACGGTCAGTCTTTGGATCTAAGCTCTGTTGTGGCCGTTGCTCGGTATGTCACGTTTCATCGGTTTGGCTCTTGGTTTTGTGCGTACTGACGTCGTGCTAAGACATGGCTACAATGTTTCCATTACTGAGAGCCCAGAGGTACACCAAGTGTTGAAGAAGAGCGTAGATCTTCTGAATCAAAAGCTCACACGTGGTGAGATTGTGTATGGCGTCAACACTGGTTTCGGTGGTAGTGCAGACAGTCGAACAACCAACTATATTGCTCTCCAAAAGGCGTTGATCCAACACCACAATGCGGCAGTTTTGCTCCCCAGTGACCGAGGACGCGAGAGCTCTCACCTTTCCAGTCACCATTCTTTGAAAAGCCATAGCATCCCTGTGCCAGTTGTCAGAGCCGCGATGCTGGTTCGATGCAATTCGCTGCTGCGAGGTCACTCGGCCGTTCGATCAGAGGTGATCGAGTACATCTGCACTTTTCTGCAAACCTCTATGACTCCTGTGGTTCCTCTCAGGGGAAGTATCTCGGCCTCAGGTGATTTAACGCCGCTTGCATATATCGCTGGGGCGCTCGAGGGAAACCCAGACATCTCAGTTCACAAATCTGACGGAGACATCATCGGTGCTGACCAAGCGCTCCGTGAATTAAACCTGGAGCCTCTCGAGTTCGGCCCAAAGGAAGGACTCGGGCTGCTGAACGGGACGGCCTTCAGCTGCGGAGCGGCAAGCTTGGTTCTATTCGAAGCCAATCAGCTGGTCCTACTATCCCAGCTCCTGACAGCCATGGGTACCGAAGCGATGATGGGCATGATTTGTAATTATCACCCTTTCATTGCCGCAACACGGCCCCACGATGGGCAAGTTGAGGCCGCGAAAAACATCTTCAACTTCCTGCTGGACTCCAAGCTAGCCACACCAGCTGGTCCCGAACACGACGGTCTGGCCCAGGATCGCTACGCTCTGCGAACTTCCACGCAATGGATTGGCCCCCAAACCGAGAACATGGCTTTGGCCCTCCAGCAGGTTCGGGCTGAACTAAACTCGACAACGGACAATCCTCTCATTAATCCGGAAGACGGCAATATTTATCACGGTGGCAATTTCCAAGCTGCAGCGATCACGTCCTCCATGGAGAAAACCTTGGGCGTTATGCAGATGATCGGCAAAATGATCTTCTCCCAGTGCTCTGAGTTACTTAACCCTACTTTGAGTAACGGCCTTCCTCCAAACTTGTGCATGGACGACCCAAGTCTTTCCTTTGCATTCAAGGGAATTGATATCAACATGGCATCCTACACGTCGGAGCTCGGTTATCTGAACCATCCTATCAGCAACCACGTTCAGTCAGCGGAAATGCACAATCAGGCCATCAATTCACTCGCATTTATCGGCTGTCGCTATGCTGGAGATGCCGTCGAAGTTCTGTCGCTTATGACAGCAACCTACTTATACGTGCTGTGCCAAGCTGTGGACCTACGTGTGCTTCATGCCGAATTCGTCAAAGCTGTACGCCCCGAGATCGACGAAGCGACGGCGAGTACCTTCGCCGTCGCCCCTGCTCATCTTGAGACGATCCAAGCGACAATCTGGGAGGAGCTCATGCACCACTGGCGCCGGAACAGCACTAGCGATCTTTGCGACCGCTGTGTGAAGACTACAAATGGCTCAGTGGGTATTCTTCTCGATCACTTGCCAGCCGATGCCGGTATCTCGCAAGAAGGTGTCGCTCGGCAGTGGAAGAGTAGCGTCTCTGGTGCTCTCCGGCAAAGCTTTGAAGCCACCCGCATCACGTTCCTTGCTAGCCCCACAACAAAGACATATCTTTGCACCACGTCCCAGAAATTGTACAAATTTGTTCGGGAAGATCTCAAGGTACCACCTCACACCGGTATTGACGCCCACCCAACAACCGATAGAGAGAATTCCAAAGGAAAGGAATGCATCGGCTCACAGGTGAGCAAAATCTACACAGCGCTGCGAGAAGAGAGCTTCCGAGATCTTTTGCTCAGTTGCTGGTAGGGGGGACCTCTTCATATGTCCTCAGCAAGATATTTCCGCAATATTATTCTTCCATCCCATTACATGTCATATTCTTTCTTTCAATCCATCGCTTGATTTATCTGTAGCCCACCTGACACAGCCACATAAATGGCTCTAACACCGGTCAGCACCGGATTTAAGCCTCAATGTTCGGTACAGGCTGACAATGTGGACTTCTAATCTCAGGCTTTGGGTATCTTGGCGGTCTTGGCAGTATCCATGAAGGTTCTGGATGGCCATAAGCAAGTTGCATTAGCGCGTTGATTGCCACAGTCGCTTAAGGATGTTTTGGGTTAAATGGATTTATGTCGCCAACACAGGGTCTGATTAACCTAATGTGAAGATAGATATATAGGCTTAAAATGATTGCCTTCACTCGACCTCAATTGACTAGCGACAATAAACATGTAATGGTAGATATAGCCCATGTGTATCTATACTATTCATTTGACAGTCTTTGGCTCATCGTATCTGGACATGATCTTGGCCAGGTAGGCAGCAGAGTTCGGTGCACCAGACCTCAAGATGTTTTAATCTTTGACATAATGCCTTACACACGTCGGCACCTCAAAATCGGGACCTTCCTTGTCGGTCTCTATTTTTGTCTTCGCTTTCACTTTACTTCGCCATTCTAAACGCGTCACGACACCAAATCACTGGCTCTCATGTCCTTGGCACTATGATCCACTATCCAGATGTCATCAACCACTGCTGAAGTGGATGATTCTATCGTATAATTCAAAAGGTTCAACGGTTCCTTTGATTGTTCCCATGGTTAAATTTTTAAGCCAGGAAATCCTCGGGGCTCTATTCAAATTCAACCATCGATACTATATCATACCATGAGAAGGACCCTTGTTAGAGAACTAGGGCAGTGCACATCTGCAAAATGGATCACCTTACTGGGTTATCTTGCGCTAGCATCAGCGACTAAACGTATGCATGATTCCCTTCTGTTTGATGCTCTTGGTGATTAAAGTCTGTTATCTTAGTCAACTTGAACGCCTTCCGGATCCAGGACCCAAGCGCTTCCATTTTCTCGAATAACCCGTCTCAATCCACCAATCTCAATATCACCATAGGAATTGGCCAGACAGGCCAGCGTTTGAGATTCACGCTCGAAGAAAACTTCGATTTATCACCATGGCACACTTCAATTCGATACTTGGACTCAAATGGTGTGTCCCACGAAGCAAACCAATCACCCAGCTTGTATCCTCTCATAGCGAGAGGGTCGGTATTGGTACAAACCTCCACGGATGGAACTTGGTCGGATGTTGGTTGGGCACGTATCGCTGTGATTGAACAGAAAGAAAGCCCACTTTTCGATGGAATATTCACTATCGAATCCATCACATATGAGATTCACCTCGAGACCAGCGATGAAGAGCCGACAGGTATGGTGGCGCATCGAATCGAGCAAGCCAATTCACTGGACGATCAACCGTCGCTATACTCAACCTGTGCTTCACCATCGAACAATTTGATGAACGGCAAGCGGCAGGAGTGGAATGCCTGGGGAGACGACGTAACAGAGACCATCGGAAGTACTAATGGATGCCCAAGCACCAGACAGATTGCCTATATTGGGGTAGCGACTGATTGCGCTTATACGGCTAGCTTCAACTCGACGGATGATGCCCATCGCCATATCTTGAACGTGATCAATACAGCGTCTGTGGTACTTGAGAATAGCTTTAACGTTTCGATCGGCATTCAGAATTTGACTATTAGTGATGCTGAATGCCCGAATTCTGTCTCAGATACAACAGCGTGGAATGCAGCCTGTTCTGAAGGAGACTTGAATTTGCGTCTTCAAAGGTTTTCCTCCTGGAGGAGTTCCATTAACGACAACAACGCTTATTAGACACTGTTCAGTGGATGCCCATCATCTTCAGGTGAAGTGGGCGTGTCTTGGATTGGAGCGTTATGCAACGCCGGGTCTGCATACAGCTCTTCTGGAGTAGGGACCAATGTTGTAGCTCGAACGCAGTTGGACTGGCAAGTTTTCGCGTACGTGACAAATCTCTTCTGGCGATATTTACTGATTCCCTATTCTAACCAACCGAGCAGTCATGAATCTGCACATACCTTTGGTGCCGTACACGACTGTACGGCAGCTACATGTGGAACTCAAACAGGTCAGTGCTGCCCTTTGTCATCAGGTACTTGTGATGCTGGAGGGCAATATATCATGGACCCCATTTCAAGGCCGGGTGTAACACGATTTTCCCCGTGTACGATAGGCACTGTTTGCTCTCGCATGGGCTCCGGGCGAGTTGACTCGCGCTGTTTGGTGGATTCTGGTTCAAGGAATAATACTGGCAGCAATGGCCGGTGCGGGAATGGGGTTCTTGAGCCTGGCGAAGCGTGCGACTGCGGAAATAGCGCCTGTAACGAGAGGGATACAACATGCTGTGACTCAGTTACATGTCAGTGGAGGGAAAGGAGCCAGTGTAACCAGTCCACGACTGATCAAGGAAGTGGCAACAATGGCGGGTTAGATAGTGGTAGCAATGGCGGGTCGAACAGTGGTCATTCGTGGGTGCAAGACCACTTGAAATTGATCATTGGAATTGCCGCTGGCGTCGGAGGAGCTCTCGTCTTGATCATCTTTGGGTGCATACTCATCGGGTATCGACAAAAGGCAACTGTCCTTTGAGGAAGACAGAGAGGGTCCGAAATCTGCGCAACTCCCTCGAGAAGATCAAAGTAGGAAATGATGGCTCTCTGAAGAGTTGCAATATTATTTCTGTGTATTTCCAACGTAGACCTTGGAATCATCGATAGATTCCAAATGAGTCAAGATGAGTCAAGGTAGTCAAGTTCCCGTGATGCCTGAGGCTGTGGCTGTGCTTTTGCCAAGCCGTGCACAAAAGTCAGCCCTGGGCTCTTTCCATCTGTACAAATCTTCCCTCTACTCCCTGCTCCACATTTCCTATTCCCTATTCTCTGATCAGAAGATTACATGGCTCACCAAACTCATAATATCCCCTGGACACTCCTGGCTTCAAATCTGCGGTGGTCACCTGTGTCTTGTGGTCACCACGATGCTTACGATCTCCATCCCCGCTTCAAACCTGACCAGGGGAAGGACTTGACCTATTTTGCGAAAGCTTTTGCCAGGAATGTCGGAGAGCATTCAAATTGCGAGCGCAAGAAGTACTACAAATACGACACGCCAAGTTTCACTGATGTAATGATTGATGAAAATACCGCCGCAAAGATCCACCCGACCATTCGTCGATGGAGGGAAGCTTACGAAAAATCACGGCGACTATTTCATTGTAGTGTCAATGGAAGATCTTGTAAATCTGAGATCTATTCCACCTGTACATGTGCGGTCCTCCCAAATGAAGAAAGAATCGCGTCTGCATTCTGCAGAAGATACCTATATTCGGGATGCTACCGTTTTCATTTGGAGCAGTATTCGGGCTATTTCAACATGGAAGTAGTCAAAACATTGGTCATCTACGGCTATATGAAACCAATTCTCCATGCATGCGCTCATCCAGACGTGGCTATTCGTTCCTGGTGGCACATTGACGAGTGTGGTTGTTGCGTAAGTTACAAGCCTTGACATGACCTCTTGTGCTTTCATCTAGTTGTCTCACGTAGATTCTGGCGCTGACTTTGTTAGTTCCACGACCTCGGATGGGATCAAATCTACAAGAGAGCACTGATGGTATACATCTGTTTAAATACGATTTCCTGTTTTCCGGGGTTATGGGACAGCGCCTCAAGAAGAACTGAACAGAAGGACTATCGACATACCAGATTATACCAGCGCATGGTTATGAAATCGACACAGCCGGGTGTCACTTCACACGTGGCGGCATATCCGCACTGCCAGTTCTTCGGGATCAAAGACCCTTGTCAAGCTTCCTTGTCTACCGAATCGCGAGAATGGCAACTTCAATGGGGTCAATACATCGATAAATATGGCAGATTCAGGCTCGAAAGTATATATGGGAAAGTTCCGTTTGATGATTTCCTTGCAATGCAGAACCTGAACGAGTATGAGGCAGCTCTTCCAGATACCGAACAAGTGCTATCTATACTGGGCTCTAGAGGGCTTCCCGTTGAGCTTGCTCTCGACATCATGGAATTTGCCGACTATATACCCAAGAGAAAATTGAATGTGGCGCACGATCCATTTCACAGCGACAACAAGGAGCAATTAGCCCAGTATCTCAGTTACTGTTGGCAGTTATTGGTCCGCTGTGATATGATGGCTAATGAGCTTAGCATGAAAATTGATTGGGAAGAAACGGTCACCGACTGTATAGGTCAGCTTTGGGAAGCGGAAGAAGCAATGGGCCGTCAGAAATTAACGAAATTGAGCGATGATCGCGTAATATTTCGATGATATGAGGAATTTTATCTATTTCAAAGACAATACCTAGCTCCAGTTGGTGTGCACCCCCTTCCGCTTCCACGTCCGGTGGCCGGGAGCCGGAAGGGGATTAGGTAGCTATTAGTACCGATAATCGGCGCTGTAAAGGGTCTCCTAGACTAAGTGTGGGGGAAATTACGGTTGGACAATTTTGCCTTATCTCAAGATTTGGCATACCCGGGGCTTCTTCGGAGCCAATAAACAGCTCATCAGTCTAAGCGAGCTGACGTATACCGGGGGGGCGGCTTTATCGCCGAGCTTATTGTTTACAGAGTACTTAATTAGATCTATATTGTTTACTAATGCGAGATTGGCTTTATGCTATTGACGGGCTCAGGTCTGCGGAAGCTTATAAGGAGAATCTCCTTTGACGTCGAACACACTCTCCTTCACGAATTCAAGACCTTCTTATAGCAGCGGTCCCCTCGGCCTGCCTTACCTTACATCAGTTGAACATCCATGAGGCTCGGGCTACTTATAGCAAACATACTCTCGCCAATTACGCTCGCTCCCAAAAATTATACCTATCTCGTTAACATCAAACGTCGTGAATTAAAAGCCTAAGAACTTCGTTAGAAATAGGGAGTCAGTAGTAGTAAGTCTTACCCCCTACTGGCTATTAAGACCTTGAATACCCATAGTAGAAGGTGGTAGATTTTGAGAGAGAAATATGACCATACTAATTGAGAGCTTATAGAGAGTAGAGGCCACTTTCGCGTTCAAATTACTTAGACGAATGGGCCACCGCCGAACATAAAAAAAGTAGGAGGTTATACGTTTTAGTATTATTTTTGATACGGAAACTACCTACACCCTAGCCCTATTTATCACTGATAGCCCATACTACATCTAGGGGGGGGGGTTATTCGCCAGAATGTCGTCAAGGATCAGTACTCATAGGGTATTCCACTCTACCTAGAGGTCTAATATATCGATTTGAATACCTATTAGCCTCTTCCAAATCTTTACGTAGATATTTAGAATACTAATACTACTAGTATATATAGGTAAATCACTATAGCTCGTAGTATTTTAATATAAGCCTAGCTAACTAAATCCCTCCCTAGTGGTAGTTCTAAAACTGGAAACTATACCGCCGGAGATTAGAACAGTACCTTCCTACGAGACATTCAGCCGACTGATGTCGACGGAGTGGCTACTTTCGACACTATCGTTCCGGGCTATTACTCCGGCCGTGCCACCCATACCCGCTTACTTATCCATACTAATGCCACCATTCTTGCTAACGGTACCCTCCAAATCAACTCGGGTTCAATCACCAACAACGAACAGCCATCCTACAACGAAGCCTTCGCTCTGCTACATAGGTAGCGAGTCCTTATAATACTAATACGATTACGGTCACTAGTAATAAGAAGGACCAGTAGACGTCGGAACAAGCTACTTCGAGTTACAATCCAATCATTCACTATATTTAGGGAAAATTAAATCAAAGTGAAATTAAAGTGAGAGTGAAGTGAGATAAATAGTTTTTGAGCCGAAAAACTATCTCTAAGAGGAAAGTGAGAGGAAAGTGATAATATACCCTCTTCTTCTTTAATTGATTCATTGAAGCTTCAAGATGTTTGAATGGCTGATTATTAGCTCATTACAGAGCTTAAACACTTGGTGGATAGTCACACCTTTTGTCTTTGAGAAGGTACTCGTACAGAGGAAGAATGGTCCGGTAAGACAAAGAAGGTAGTCAGCCTGACGCCATTCATCCGAATCAAGCTTCAGATTATCTGGGCACTCAATATGGCAATACCTATCAAAGTGGGGCTGAAGTCGCTTAGCCCTTTGAAGCATTACAAGGAATCCGCAGGCGCGCTCTCTACGTAAGAGGGTTCCTAGTATTGACCTAATAGTGACTATAACTCTTGGTGACATATTTCCAAAATGAGCCAAATTTGCACAAGTAATCCCATATGGGGTAACGGCTAGCCTAACCGTCTTTCACACGGTAGACCCGGGTTCGACTCCCGGTATGGGAAAACTCATACATGTTGCCTTCTTTTTTTTCTTCTCTTCAAGACTACTCAACTACGAGGAACATCTTGTTGCATAATTGTTTTTCATCATCATCGCCCTTTTGAATTTGTTAGTAATATTTTGCGGAATATGTTTCCACAATGATGGCCCACGATTTTTTGATGAGAATTGATTTTACTGGCGCGACGTAGCCCTCGAGACAAGCCAACACCATAGCGCATCCAAAGCATCGCTTGGAACTGGCATTATGAATGCTCAAGTGATTGGTAATAAACGATAAAACGAAGATGATGCTTGTGGCAGCACTTCCAGGACGCATCCATGGATATATACGTATAAAGCTAGCATCATTTCCTAAACGGGCTTGAAATTCAACTGAGTTAATCAGAAGATTTCATACTCGTCCAAGAGACCTGGACTGAATTAATCCAATAAAGGAATGACCTGCAACAGAGTAATATAGACAACAAAATTCCACTTAGGTATTCACCCATCTCAGGTTCTCTCAAGGTACCATCCAATTCCAATGTGTTAATCTGACAGAGTAAAAATCTCCCAAAGACAAAAATCTTCTTCGAGTTTTTTCCCTTGTATCTGCCCCGTAAACCCCTCATGAATGTTCCGGCTGAGGCAAAAAAAAGATATGTTATCGTATGAGTGTTCCCATACCGGGAGTCGAACCCGGGTCTACCGTGTGAAAGACGGTTAGGCTAGCCGTTACCCCATATGGGATAACATAAGCTAAATAGTAGAAGATAACATACATGACTGTCAAAGGAATAAGCACAATCAAGTAAAAATTAGCACGTAAAAGGGATTTGCATCTAGACCGGTCTGACAAGGTATTCACGGTGCTGGGATTACCTAGAGTAGTACTTGAAGTAACTGAGTATGCGAATCAAAATACCTATGATAACCCGGGGCTCTACATGGGGACTAAGGCGATGTTTTACAGTGCCGTGGACTGCTTTCGAAATTAATTTCAGATGTTTAATAGTTGGTTTGATAGATCTCAAAGGATTTTCATTCCATTAGTCATATAGAAAGATGCCTAGAAAAACGTTCAAAAATTGACCGGAACGACGTCAAAGAAGAATTAGGGCATTAACAAACATCTTCTTGGCCAGGCTATACATGTGGATGCTTACACTACCATGACAATCATGGGAAAATCGTTGCAGAAACAAGACTCCTAGTACGAAGTCATATAGACACGATATGTAATATAGAAGTGTGATATATGTAGAACAAAAGAAGAAAAGAAGAAACCCAGCGCCCGAATCACCCGTCATGTCAATGGTTTGAAATCCCAATGAAATCCTGCCCAAAGAGGAAAAGGTAACATCATCCGATGTTCCAAACGCCAGTCAACATATCGAATCCGTAGATCCATAGAAAGAAACGCCATCAAAATGCCTAAGGTCATGTCATAGCAGTCATTGTACATCGCCATCAGAGTCAGATGTCAGCATGGGTTGTTTGTCTTTCTTGTGCAGCGCGAGGATGGTATTTTGCACTTCATGTTTCGCGACGGCTTCGATGTCCGTGCGGGGCTCGGGGTCGAGGGACTCGGCTGTTCCCACGCGCTCGTATAGTTTGCGCGAGATGGTGCGGTTGATCTCTGTGAATTGGTCTTTGGAGATGGTCTTGGCTCGGTAGTGCGGTTTGAGCGCTGCGCCGACCATCTTTTGGATGTCGGATTTGACAGCTAAGGAGAGGCCAGCGCGGGTTGGTGAGGTGTCGGGAGAGCTGAAGTGATGCACGGCTCGTCGGGGGATACGAGCGCGTGGGCGACCGGCTTCACGGGCCGGCAGCGGACTTGTTTTACTCGGTGATGACGCCGGGCTGCCGGATAATGACACCTCCGGGGAGAATGGAGGCGAGGAGGGTTCGGCAGGAGAGGAGAGTTGAAGAGGAGAGATGGGTCGACTGCGAGAGAAAGGTGGTGGTGTCGTAGATGAAATTCGAGGAGATGAGTGGTTGGAGGAAACGGGGGAGATGGATGGAGAAGATGGACCTGGAGTGGCATGGTCGGTAGGGGCTATAGAAGTGGGAGCCGATGGTCCATGTGAAGTTGCGCGCTCTGTAGTTGACGAGTCTTCGACCTCCTTCAAGAGAGAGGACAAGAAGCTTGGCTCGCCTATACTAATATCCCCATTCGCGAGGCGTGCGGTCGAGCTGGCAGCTCTGGAAGATTCTCCATGTTGCTGGGCTATGGCAGCCAGCTCTTGAGGTCGTCTAGTGCGCGGGCGCTTGAGCTTGCGCTCTGGCTCGGTCGGCTCGGGCGACGGGGACATGGTAGGCTCCTTGCGCTTTCGAGCCGCATTTGGGTTATTCTCGATCTCTCGAGCTCTCTCAAAGGCATTCCACGCTCGCATTTCCTCGAGGGACTCTGGCTCAGGCGTCGGTTCTCTGGGTACTCGAGGCCGCGACGGGCGGGCGGGTTCAATGTCAAATAACGAGGCTGTGTCCCGGAACCGACTACCACCGCCTTGTCGCTCAGCGACTTCAAAACGACGCTGCCATGCCCGGAACTCTCGCTGGTTGGCCTCATCCCGACGGCGCTGCTGCATAACACGCTGCACCGATCGGTCGTCGTCGAATGGGAAATCCAGATCGATATTAAGGTGATCCCAGACGGACTGCCACACCCGAGCCCAGTGGAGCGAGTTGATGTTGTTGGAGCTTTGCGCACGGCGCTGCTCAGCACGAGTACGGCGGTTCCGTCGCTCGGCTCTTGCAGATCCGGCAGAAACCTCAGTCGCAGGGCCGATCGCACGTTGAGATTCGCATTGCGAGCAATACCATGCGCCGGCGGGTATTTCATCCAAACCGACACAGTATAGATGAGAAGGGGCATCGCATCCATCGCACAGAAGGAGGACATCCTCGTTATCTGCTTCGCCGCATATCGTACACGGTTGGAAATCGGCGAGCTCATCTTCGGCATATTCAATGACCATCGAAGGGTCGACGTCAGCAACCTGGGTTCGGTCTTGGACGGCATATGATGAGATCACGGGGCCTATATGAATCACCCGATAATGGTCAGTAAGATTACGAACTCTCAAACCTGAAGCGTAGACAATCCACCGAGTCTAGGGGAGTACGTACCACCAAGCGAGTCGGTCAACTCAACCATGTTGAAGTTGCGGCGACATATTGGACAACTGTTGGCCCGCTCCACCCATGGCTTTAAACAGTTATTGTGCAGTATATGTCCGCAAGGAAGTAACTGAGCGATCTGGCTATCCTCGTCGAGCCTAACCTTCGATACATCTTTATCGGGGTTCACGGGCTCGGCGGCGAGTGGATTACCGGCGCTTTCGCCAAGGTCTCCTAAACAGACAATACAAGTGTCGGACATGGACAGGATATAAGCCAGGAGTGGATGGCGGCATAGAGTCGAGGGGGAATATGTATGAAGGGAAGATGTGGGGAGTCGAGGAACGGCGCCTTTTGAAGGTGGGCCGGATTTCTCGGTCTAACGCAAAACAGGGCGCCAACGTGACGGAGGCGAATCACCCGCGCTCCAGCTACAAATGAGACCCGGGTATTGGTCTGATGCATAGGGTTTCAAATCCTATAGCTAGTGACTGGGATAAAATAAAAAAAAGAAAGTGGGAGAGATCGTAAATCGGTGCTGCCCTTGCTGCAAAGTGCTCCAACTTGCGACCCGACCTGGTCCCGATCACCAAAGGGACAGATTCTACAGGTTGCGGTGTCGCTAGCGCCCACATTCTTTGGAGGTCCCGGGCCCTTTTATCCCAGGGTCATGCGGCTGAGGAACTCTGCTAGGCTCAGGTGTAGTTCACGTCACCCAGGCGTCCGGTGTGCCCGGGATAAGGAAATCCGGTGCCTAGATCGCGTTACCCCAAGGTACTTGAACGCGGACATTGATAAGCCATGAAAAGCGTTCATTATTGAAAGAAAAGCTGGGGATATGGTTCCAAAAAGTGGTTTCCCGTAATGGCTAATTGAATAGCGAGTCCAGGAGGGGCCAGACATCTACAATTACTGCTCTGTGCCAGTGTGCAACCCGTGGTGAGACATTCGATTCTTTTGAGATCGAAACCCAGCGCTCATGGGTCACGGTCACGGTGGCAAGAGCGATTGGGTTGGGAAGGTCGAACAGACTGGACAGATGAAGGAGGCAAGATTCGGCACCGGAGGGCTTTCTCGATACTGGGATCATGTCCAGCGTTGCGAGCTTCACGAATTACGGGAGAGTTGGAAATCGATTCATGCAAAATCTTCAGATTCCGAAAGTTTTCATTTTTTGGTATTCAGACGTGACCGTAGAAGAAATATGAAACCACATAATCGCGTTTAAACCTCAGCGATCTCACGGAGACGACGGATGGTGGAGCGGGTGGCAGCGGCGGCAGGGGTCCTGCAGCAACGTCGTTGTTAGTATTTGTCTCAGTCTGTGACCAAGCCTGGTGTTGTAGGTGTAGGTTGAGTCCCTTCCAGGTCGGCCTCGAGGATTCGGCAGGCGACTTACGAGACGGTGTAGGCACCACCGGCGACGGTCTTGTTGCAGCCCTTGCACTCCCAGATACCAACAGCCTTGCGCTTGACGGTGTTCTTTCCGCAGAAGGTACAGATGTAGCGGGCGTGCTGGGTGATTTCCATCTTCTTCACCTGCTTACGCAGGGAGGCACCGTATCTGTTGAGGGTTGGTCAATACTCGGTTCTTTCGTGTCGCTTCTCGTTCGAGAACTCATGGTCGTTCGAGTGCGTGTTCGAGGATTGGGCGCGATGCATACCTGACACCATATTTACCGGTGATACCGACCTCTGTGGAAAAGCGTTAGCGATGAGGATTCGTGGGAATTTAATGGAGAGGACTGATCTGTTTGAACAGTGCTTTGGTGAAACATACTCTTCGTGCGCTTGGTCATCTTGTCTGAGTGCGGCTGTAGATGATGAAGATAGAAAGCGAGATCGAGAGACGCTTCGGAATGAGTGGTTGTGGGTGGAGGCTCGCTTAGGGCTCGAGGCCTTGGCAGTGTGTGTGGTCACATGACCATCTCGTCGCTTTTGATTTTTTGAGGGCTGCGTCTGCTTAGTCATGGTGCACGTGCCACCCTGGACTCCGCTTCGGGCCCGTTTGCTCACCGTCATCTGCTTCTTGTGATGATGTATAGAGTGCTTACCAGGTACATCTAGTTATGCGCACTTTTCGATTAGGTTACGGACATCAGATATATCTGAAACTTCAAATTACCGTCTTCTAATTACGCTCAGTCTTAGATCGACCTCTTGCAATATTAACCCAAATCATTTGCCCTCGCTGCAACTTTGCTCCAGTTGAGCCGTCGGCGACATCCATCTATCCGGTCACGTGGAGAGACGTGAAAAGAACAACTCGACATAGGCTACTATTTTGTGGTGTAGAAGGTAGGTTACCATGTTGAAAGAAGAGCTTAGATATGCAGAAACAACTTCAAAAGTAGATGTATAATAATTCCAACAAATTTTCGGACGTAACCCAAATCTTTAAATCGATTAGGCCAAATCACGTGTCATAACATCCATCTCGATTAACAACGCGGCCTGGAGCCTGGATCTCCCCACTGTGTACGACCTAGCGAGGAGCTCTCAGCTGCAGCTTAAACCCCCAGTCTCCATCGCAGTGCTTCAATCTTCCTATTCCACCTCCTCTGATTATCCCACCGAGAAGCCTCTAGCTTCCCCCTATACAGTCAAAGCTCCTTCTGTGAACCAAAGGAGGCAAAATGCCCACTAACCCGCAATATGAAATGGTCCTTCTGGGCCCCACTGGCTATACCGGCCGGTTCTGTGCTCAGCACATTGTTAAGAACCATCCGACCAACCTGAAATGGGCTATCGCCGGTCGTTCTGAGAAGAAGATGGAGCCTATTGCCCAGGAGCTGAAGGAACTGAACCAGGACCGTGTCCAGCCAGGTATGGATTTGCAATGTCTTTTTTTCAATTGATTTAGCTCTCGCTAACTTGGAGTAGATGTTCTGGTGGTCCAGCTCAACTCGACAGAGCTCAATGAGCTGGCACAAAAGACTAAGATCATCATCAATTGCGTCGGCCCCTATCACATGTACTCCACCCCGGTGGTGGAGGCTTGTGCTGCCAATGGTACCCACTACCTTGATGTGTAAGTTATGATCTTTGATCTGCAACACCATACCTTGACTAACCTCTGCAGGACCGGAGAGACTCCCTGGATCAAGGAGCTCATCGAGAAGTGCCATGAAACCGCCAAGAGCAATGGCGCAATTATCATCCCCTCAGTTGGTGTCGAAAGCGCCCCGGCCGATATGCTGGCCTGGGCCCTGGTCAAGCGCATTCGTTCTGAGTACTCCTCCGGCACCCGGACTATCGACAGCTGCATCAAGGAGATGAAGTAAGTATTTCACATTTAACCCTTCAGCTGTCCAAACCACAAATTCTAATCAACTTTGACAGGTCCTCCGGCCCCAGCGGTGGTACCCTCGCGACAATCCTGGGCATGTTTGACTCTCTGCCAATCTCCCAACTGCTTAAATCTACCAACCCATTCTCCCTAGCCGCTTCCGCCCCGCCGAACGATATTCCCGGCGACTCCATTCTCCAGAAGCTCCTGGGTGTGCGCTCAATCAGCGATCTTGGTGCTGTAACCACTTCGCCCAACGGACTCGCCGACATGGCCATCGTGCACCGCAGCAGCACCCTGATGCCCGAGTTTTACGGAAAGCGCTTCTTCTTCCACCAGTTCCTGTACGTCCGAAACACCCTTATCGGCGCCATTGTGCACATCGCTTTCATGTTCGCCTTGGTTATGCTCATGATCCCGCCGGTGCGCATGGTACTGCGCAAGTTCATCTTCGCGCCTGGTCAGGGCCCGGCCACCGAGGCATCCCAGAATGATCGCCTTGAGTACCACGCCGTCGCTACTGCTGATCAGGCCGCACCCTCTCCCGGTCGTGTTTTTGGATCAATCACCTACGAAGGAAGCATGTATGTGCTTACTGGTCTGCTGGTTTCCGAAGCCGCCATGGTCATTCTGCAGGAAGAGGAGAAGGTCAAGAAGACCTCGCGCTGTGGTATCGTCACCTCTGCTACTTTGGGCCAGGAATATGTTGACCGCCTGGACACTGTTGGTGTGAAGATTCAGACTCGAGTGTTCCAGTACTAAAATCGGGATGATTGACGAATCTGTTTTGTGTACTTAATTCCTAGCTCGCTTGAGACACGAATAAACGATGTAATACCCTGTTATAGGTCACCGCAAGGATATGCTCCGTTTCATAGGTTGTGACGTTTGAGAAGGTAGAGCCATATTAACCTCAAACATCGTGCATTCTGTCCTAGTGGCCGCTATCCACCACGCATATTGGATCCACAACACTAAAGCTTACCAACTCGCCCCTCCGTAAACGCAACATCCTTCAACCAAGTCGCGATAATCTCGTTAACCTCCTCGGGCTTCTCCCACAGCGCCCAATGCGCAGTATTGACCTGCTTTAAAGTCAAATTGGGGATATGCTTAGCCATGGACTTGCCCAAGTGAGGCGGGAGAGCCTCATCCTTGAGAGCTTGAATGAATAACACCGGGATCACAATACGCCGATTAAGAATAGCCTGCTCTTCCTCAAAATTGACCTTGCGCGTCCGGTACCAATTAACTATCTCAAAATTAGCTGGACTCGATCTCGAAAATGTGGGGCGGTGATATCATACGTGGGCCGTGGATGCCATTGCGCGCAAACTCGGTGGAATAATAGTCCAGCTCCTGAAAATTGTTATTTTGATATTGCTCGATGAGATCTGTTTAGGCAGGATAGTAGAGATGACTTACCTCCTCGCTCAACAGTCGTGATGGCTTCAGGTGCGGCACCTTGTCCAGAAGGACACCCTTCTCGGCATCGAAGCCATGTTCGCGCTTCTCCGTCTTCCCGCCGTATAAGGCAGACAAAAATTGGCTAATCTCGCCCTTGGAGCGGATTGCCGTCTCAAGATTGCCGCTTGCAAATTGTATCTGGTACGCGAAGTGCGGAGCGGCGTTGGCTACCAGGTCCTCGATGGAGATGTACTTTTCCATGGGCCGGGCGTAGGGCACACAGACTGTGAAAAGGTGGCTGATCAGGTCTGGATGCCAGAGTGCTACGCGGTAGGCTAGAGCGGCGCCCCTTTATCGTTGTGGATTAGCCACCGTGGATGGTTGAAAGGGAGAAGGATAGTTTACCAGTCATGTCCTCCTAGAATAACCTTTGATTCGCCGAGGTGATTCGCTAGAGCCTTAATATCATCGGCACATCGCTTGTGTGAGTAGGGTTCAAATTCATCAGGGGCGTCCTGGTCGTGAATACAGCGTTAGATGGTTTCAAAAGACAAGCCGAGGTTGATATGCTCACCGTTCGGCCGTATCCCAAGCAGTCGGGAGCTACAACCCTCAGTCCCATGCTAACTAGCATAGGGATCTGATAACGCCATCCCATCGAGATATCGGGGAAGCCATGGATCTTATGGGTTCATATCAGCTTGGAGTTCATGGCACGTCAGAAAAGTACCACTTACCAGGAAGATCGTAGCTCGGTATTTGCCTGTTTCGGGCTGACTGAGGAGGTAGGCTAGTCACGAATCGTTAACGTTAGTTACTGTGGGCTTATCGGTTGGCCATGTGTCTTTAAGAGCTAAACTGTGGCTGTTCACAGCTCGGGGTACTCACAATACTTATGGCTATTGACTGTTGCAGATTGGTACTTGATGCGGGCATCCCCTGAGACGTGAATCTTGTCGACTGGCATGATGCTGCAGTAATATATGTCGACAATTACAGTTTTCCACGTGTAAGAAGATATGTGAGGTGATTCTCTGTAACTCAGAGGAAACGGTGGTCCGTCGGAGCTCAGTTACGCCGATATATATTCAGCATTCAAATCCCACAGGTCATCACGTGAAACCGACGGAACTTAATAAAAATGATTATCAAACAAGTCCGATGCAGAAATTGGATGAAATATGCCATAAAGAAGATAAATATACACAGTTTGAAGCTTGTGGCGACGTAGTGGTTGACCGAAACCCCTCACGAACGGTCCTCGGTCAGCCTCGGTTGAACTTTGAAGCTTCAACCCCAATGCCCAGATGCGCCGCAAAAATAAATTCCCAGTCATAGAATGTTCATAAAATGAAAATCAATACCGCTAATAGATCACTGTATCCTCGTTATCCTCCACTACTTCACCTCCGTCGTCATGATGGCCATCTGGCTGCTCTTGAGCAGCGCCGTCGGCCCCGTTAGTAGGCGCTTCGGTCATAGCTTCTACGTCTTGCTCAGTGTTGCCTTGTGCACCCACCGTATCCTCCGTTGTCTCCTGGTGGTTTGATTCCACCTGTGGTTCCGGTGCCGAGGGTTGTTCTGAATTTGACTCGGGCTGCTGTTCAGATGTGTTTCGTTGCGTCGGTTCTTCTGTAGACACTGGCTCTAGATCCTGGCGCACAAAGGCTTCCGGTGGGTATCGGGCTTCGAACTCTGCGACCTCACGGGTTACGGTCGCTTTGGCATCCTCTATCTGTTCCTGGATTACTGCTTCGTCGCCGGATCTTAATTGCCATGGCTTGTAATACTGTTATCACCGTTAGATCTTGGATCACGCGACTGATTTGAGGATTCACATACCAACGCAGGTTCTGTCTTTGTCTTCAGGAAATGCGCCATAGCCACTAGATTTGAATGGCGTGTCTGGATCTGTAAATCGATATGTCAGATCCTGCTACATATCCCGAGTGAATGGTAAACCTACAGCCTCTCGTTCATAAAACGGCTTCTCTTTCCTGCGAATTGCATCTCGCCGGTCCTTGTGTCGCTGCTTCTGCCCGTCGTGTTCGCTATCCTGAGACTTCAATTTGTCCTGCTGTCTCTTTTCAATGTCCGCGCGCCGCTTCTGCGCTGCCGGATTTGAGCTCTGCGAGAGGGTACCCAACAGTCCACCGAACAGTCGCTGTCCGCGCTTGCGCTCATCCTCTCGTCCCCGCCCGGTAGGTCGCTTTTCCGCTGGCTGCTCGGGTTCTTGCGCCGGCGATGATAGGCGTCGGGTCTGTGACTGCGGAGAACCGTCATCTTGCGCGCTGAGCCGGCGGCGTTTGGGATCGTGCTCGGTAACGGAGGACTTGCGCCTCTTCGCGGGGAGCTCAGGGGATTGCCGCAGAGAATCCTGCTCAGGAATGGCAACTGCGGAGGCAAGGGTCCTGTAAAGCATCAAAAAGCCTATGTCAGCGCAACTCGGAGGCAACTCGGGAAAGCAGCCGTACCCTTCAGACATAATGAACAGTCGGCGGTAATCGCTCGGGGACCTTCAATATAGCGTGGCGAAAGAAACTCAAAAAGATCAGTAAGCTTGGCCTGAGATCTGGCCTGTTCCACTGACGAATGGTCTACTCTTGACCACTGGAAGTTGACGGCGAAGCTCGGGGGCTGCTGGGCCACGTGCACGGACCACCGTTCTGTTAGCTTCTTTTCCTCGTGTTCACTTTCACCTCTTTCTCTCCTCCAGACCTGCAGTTGTTTGACACTCTACTCTCTCCCATCCACCCATCATGTCTCGCCATCACCCAGATCTCGTCATGTGCCGTAAGCAGCCCGGCATCTCGATCGGCCGCCTTTGCGACAAGTGCGACGGCAAATGCCCCGTGTGCGACTCCTACGTGCGCCCCACGACCCTCGTGCGAATCTGCGATGAGTGCGCCTTCGGTAACTACCAGAACAAGTGTATCGTCTGCGGTGGTGAGGGTATCAGTGATGCCTTCTACTGCTTCGAATGTACGCGCCTAGAGAAGGATCGAGACGGCTGTCCTAAGATTATCAATCTGGGAAGCTCGAGGACGGACTTGTTCTACCAAAAGAAAAGTTTCAGGAATCAATGACCAAGTCTGCGTCTCCTCTGTGGCTTGGTGTTCTCTTTCACCTGGCGGAGAGGAGATCTCGCGCAGGCCTGCCAGTCTTACAAACGTCCAGTCTAGTGGCCAGCATTTCCCCCCCACGAGAAACGTGTTACACTTTCAATTCAGCACGACTTGACAGGCTATCTAAGGCTCTTATAAATACTTGTCGAAAGTCTTGCCTTCGAGTGATTTACCGGCCAGGGCGACGGGGACGGGCAAATCCACGCGCAGGACCCTGGTCCCGGGGCGGCTTGACTTCTTCCTGCAGTCGGTCTCCAGTGATTTCATCCGGACCAGAGGCCTCGATCTGTCATTCAAGCATTAGCGACTACATCTTCCACAAAGCACAAGCAAACATACCTTCTTCTCGATCTTGAGTCCTTCCTCCTCGGCCACCGCAATGGCAGTCCTCCGCGAGCTAGCGTGCAGCATACGCTCTTTAATCGAAGACCCAGTGGGACATGTGTACACGAAAATCACAACACTCGAGCCGGGATAGTGGTAGAAGGAATACCGGGGCGAAGATGTGGAGATATGGGAGGCGACAGAGTCTGGCTCGACACCAGATTGGGAGTCGGCGAGTGTGATTTTCTCCGTGGGAATATCAACAGTCTGTAGCGGAAGTAGATTAGCACTGAAATCAAACTTATGCCCGCACCAGTTCATCCATGGTAGAATGGTGGCGTTGGGGGTGGAACTGGATCCATACCAGCTGCACTAGACCACCTTCCTGTAGCTCCTTCAAAGCCGCCTTAGCGCCATCATCAACAGGCATGGTAACTCTCATGCCCGATCCAGAGCCCGGTCCAAAAGTGCCGCCAATACCGATGTCACTTCGGGGAGTTCCACTGCGAGCCTCGGCCTCAGCCCTCCGAACAGCCTCTAACTCACGTTCCTTCTCGCCCATCAGCTCTTCCCGACCAATACCAGCAGCGATACCATCGCGCTCCTTCCACGCATCCTGACTGATGATCTCATCCTCTTCTGTGGCGAATACTGAGGACCCGAACTTCTCGCTTCCAAGCTCCCGAGTCAGCGACGTGCGAGTCGACGCAAAGAGCATTTTGGGGCGCACGGGCGCATTGGAAGGGATATAGGTCAGAGCGACTAGGGAGGTCGAGGTGGAAGTGGGACGGCGGAGCAGCAGGTAGATCGGGGTCTTGGGCTGCAGGATGGACGAGATTTGCGACAGCGACGAGAAGAAAGCATCCGGACCGGAAGAGGCACCGGCGAAGCCGATAGGGGTGAGTGGTGTCAGCTCCTCCGATGTGATAGTCACCGGGAGACAGAAGCTTGAGGTGTCGGAGGTGAAACGGTTGAAGGCATCGTGCAGCTCCGAGGAGACTGGTTATCGTGTAAGCGCTGGATGTAGAATTGGGAGGCCAATGCATGGATAAGAAATTGTAGGCCACTGGACTCCACCGGACGTACCTGAGATTCCCGACTGCATGATGCCGGTGCTGTGCTGGGATCCTGGACTGATCGAGTGGTTGTTTACGGAGAGAGGGGAAGCGGTGAGGGGGACTCGGAGCGGCCACGTTTGGTGGGGTTCACCTTTCTCAACTTGCAAGGACGCAGACCCGAGCAGCCATCACCTTTTCTTCTGGTCTTGAAGATACACATCAGGAATAATCGATGGATTGAATGGTTCGTATCGGTGGATCTTTCACTACAACCTACAGAAGAAACATTTGAACCCACGTGTACAAGAATTCAATGAATCCAACAAAGTGGTATACAAATAACCAGAGAACCATATATACAGAAACCGTTGCGACCGGCCTATCTTGACCAGCGATTCCTCGCAGACTCAAAAATACTGCGAACAGACAAAGGAAACGCAACGCCCACCATGCTGTGGTGTGGTATCACAATGCTTTCCAAAAAAAAAACCGAACCACCAGATCTTTTACTCCTCGAATTTACCACCCACAAAGGCCCAGTTGGACGCCTCCAGCTTGCCCTTGAGGAGCTCGTACACGGTGAACGTCACGGCCTGACCAGGAGCCACACGCATCACACGAGGGGTGATACCCTTGTAGAAAGCGCTAGCACCCTCCTGCTTGAACATCTCCTTGGCGATAACCATGATACGTTGGACGGCGGACTGGCCGGGCTCACCGCGAGTCTTTTGGAGGCGGGTCTTAATGGTGTCGATGGGGGCGTTGGAGAAGGGGCCGACGGCTCCGGAGATGAGACCGATCACGGTGGTCTGGTACGAGGGCAGCTGGGAGTTGGCGTACTCGGGCTGCCAGCGCTGGAGAGCGGCCTTCAGCTCGGTGTATGCGGTGAAGTTGGCGGCTTGGTTGGTTCCTTGTCGGAGTGCGGTGAGAGACACGCCGCGGTACAGGGTGCTGAAGCCCTCCTCCTTGATCACGGTGAACAGGGCGTGGGGAGCACTGCGGTACTTGGGTGCGTCAAGGGGATCGGCAAGACTGTGGTGTTGCGCCTGCAGACGAATCTTGACGACTTCCATAGGGTTGACGATGGCCACGGCTTCGGTGACACCGGCGGCGAGACCAGCTGCGCGAGAGATGAGCCAATTGATCGGGGAAAGGGAGGTGAATGTTGGACTTACACAGGAAAGTAGCCTTGCTGGTAACGTGGCCCGTCTCCGGATCCGCCAACAGAGACTTGTAGTATTCGTATGACGTGAACCGAATGGCCATCTTGGGGATGATACCTCCCAACACGGCACCCAGACCCTTGTACAGACCCATAGCAGTTTCCTTCTTCACGATCTCGGCACCGGTGGTGATGAAGCCACGGGGCTTAGCCTATATCCAGCAACATGGTTAGCAATGGTATGGGAGTATTGCAGCGACTTGACTTACACCAGGAGCTCTGGCTCTCCGCGAGAGCTGCATTCGGACTTTGATCGTATCCAGAGGGTGACACACAAGAGCTTCCATCATACCAGCACCACCACCGGCTGTCTCACAGTTAGCATTGAAGCTGGAGGCATTGGGTATGGTGACATCTACCAATCAAGTTTACGGCGGGCGATGCCCTCCTGTTGCCATTGCTCTGTACATTTTTGGCCGACATGGTGACTTTTTTTTTTTCCCAGTCGGATGGTATAGAGTATGCACACAGCCTATTCACCCAAAGATGAAAGGATCACAGAGATGCTATTGTTTTCGCGACCAAAACGAAAATCAATTGACCGAGAAAAGCCGATGTTCGTGATGGGGATAACCGAAATTGCGGAGTGAGTCGGAAGTATACAATCCCGGGGACGAGAGATAGGACAAGATCGACCGAGACAAGAGAAGATCAAGAGTTGCGGGTGTAAAGTGATCAGTGATCAATTGTAGGTTTTAATGACCTCAGAAGTCCCGAGGATAAATCGGTTCGAGTGGCGGTTCGCAAACTTTGTGGGGAACACAGCTCTAACGGGGAAGCGGAGGGAGCTGGACGAGCGGAAGTGTATAGTTCTTTGCCGCCGAGACTCGAGACTTAACACTTAAGACTTAAAACCCCCGTGTTGACGCACAGAAGAATATTAGAGAAAAGGGACAAGACTAGACCGAAAGCTCAACCGAGGGAGTTCCGGCAATCTTATAATTTCAGCTACTTCCGATCCAGGAGTGTCCAAATCAATCCCGAGGCCTTCGGGAACAAGGGCGGATGACTCTGTCTCCACGGCCCTGGACTGCGGCACCGCCAGGATCCCCGGATCTGGATGATCTGACTTCACATGCTTTTGTCACTGTCGTCATCCGTAGATCTTAAAAAGACTTAAAAGGATATTGATGCCCGTGAAGATTGACCATACTCTATTCGCATTACAACTACAGACACCTCCCAGGGGCTACCTCTAGTCTCCCTTGGTCGACGAAATACTCCGTACCGTACCTCAGGGAGATTGAATTACCCCGGCACCGATCGGTCTGTGGAACCGCAGATTCACAGCGCAATCGCAGCGCATTCCGCCCCGTGACGCCCGCGCTGGGCTTCCGGAAGAATTCGGACCATCACCAAAGCTCCCCTCAGCCGAGGTTCTTTTTTGGCGCGCAGTGTAATCTCGAAGCCTAGGTCACTTGACGTCCATTCGACAGCCCAACCGAGTCAGAGGTCTTGGAAATTAAACTACTGTTCCTGTTTCGTCCCTGCCCTGTTGACGTGTCATGTGGCCGGAAGTCCGGGGTTGCGAAAGAGATGGAGGTGGACATCCCCGGGTGGCGGCTGAATGGTTTACCGCGGGGGCTTTATATAGGGGAGTTATGGGGTCTGGATTGCCGAATAGGGGTTCAGCGAAATCGACATGGACATCAACATCGCTATGCGAGCGTATTATGAGCACGCAGGTCCTACTTCAAGAGGCTGAAGAAGCTCAGGATAGATTACATCATGCTGCATGTGCGTTGCGCGCATGTGAAGTGGCTGTCCCGACTGTCGGCTTGGGCTGGGTACCCGGTTTCGGCGTTTAATCCCGCTCAGAACTGAGTTCATTTAGCTTTGGCTTTGGCTTATCAGATCATGGCCGTTAAACTGTAGGGGTGGTGACATTGGGAGAGGTGGTTTGCTGAGTCTAGTGTAGGGTGAACAAATCGCCGTAATGATCTCCAGAGTCAAGTCGGAGAAACCCCGATCGCACTATCCCTGCCCAACATTTCTGGACAACCCCCCCCAAAAAGTCGAATGCGTGACTTCAAGTGTGGAAAGGGCTTCTTCCAGACAGCTGGATCGTGTCCGTGTGTCTTTGAATAGGCATGGAAGAATCCACGGTCGCAGTGGCCACGGAGCAGCGAGCCCCTGTGCGGTGGCAGGCTGTGTCCAAACGAGTGTTCTTGTTTATCCTGCACCAGTGGTTACTGATCGGTATCGGAGTTGTCTGCGTACTGGCCTACTACTTCCCTCAAGTAGCCAAGCATGGAGGAATCATCAGAAGCCAGTATAGCATCTTGTACGGGGTGATTGCCATCATTTTCCTCATCTCCGGCCTCAGCATCCCACGCCAGAAGCTCTTCACCCAGCTCTTGAACTGGCGACTGCATATCGTGGTGCAAGTGATATCGTTTCTGTTTATCCCGGCGCTTGTTCTGGCCGTCGTGTATATCATCTTGGCGGGTGATCCGAGTGGGAAAATTGATCGAGCTGTATTGGCTGGCTATATCTTCACCGCATGTATCCCGACGACTATTGCTTCCAATGTGGTGATGACGAGGGCTGCAGGGGGCGACGATGCAGCGGCATTGGTGGAAGTATTGATTGCCAATATCCTTGGACCGTTTATCACCGCGGCTTGGACAGTGAGTTTGATCCCCAAGACGGCTGAGTTTGATCAATGGCGATATGGTGGTGGGAACTTGGGCAGCATGTACAAGAATGTGTTTCAGCAACTTGGCCTGAGTTGTCTGCTGCCCCTCTTTGTGGGTCAGTTGATACGGTGGACTTGGCCCGATCACACAGCTTGGGTGCTGCAGAAGACCAAAATGCCCAAATGGGCCTCTGTCTGCATGTTGCTACTGATTTGGTGGGTCTCATGATTATGAAATATGAAATATGAAATTACATGTTAACATTGGGATAGGACCACATTCTCGTCCTGCTTCGCCACAGGAGCTCTTCAGTCCATGTCAGCCCAAAGCATTATCTTTGTTGTGCTTTTCAACGTCGGACTCTACATCACCCTGACCGTGGTGTGTTTCTTCGCAGCACGGCCTCCGCGATTCCTCTCTTCTCGCGGTTGGTCCAAGCTGGTCTTCAAGCCCATGTCCCCGGAACAAGCAATTGCCGTTTGCTTTTGTGGCCCCGCGAAGAGTACGGCTCTGGGAATTCCGTTACTATATGCTATGTGGGAGCCACTTGATTTATACACCAAGGCAAAGACATCCGTGCCGGTCTTGCTGTACACCACGGAGCAGATTGCCGTAGCTCATTTCTTTGTCCAGATGTTCAAGCGATGGCATGCCCGAGTAGCTGAAAAGCAGGATGTGGAGCAGGGCCAAGAGGATGGAACTCACATTGACATGGCGGAGACATCGGTAGAGACCCATGGCATTATTGACGAAAATGGGCGCACAAATGCTTGATGCGTCCAGATTATGATTCGAATGACTTATGATTGGCACTTCTGTTCTTTAACGCATTACGTATATCTCGGACGAATAAGAAGCTTTTTTGATTGGGCATCAGACACCTATTGCTAAGCCTTTGACAAGCCTTTTGAGACCTTCCAGAAAGCGAATGGCATGGCCTGTGGATCCAATATTGTTTTTAGCTGATTTCCGAAAATGCCAAGATTTCCACCGCGCAAAGGGTGGACCCCTTCCGAGTCAAGGGTTTTTGGCCGAGCCCCAGTAGTTGAGTGAGTCAAGTAATCGTTCTATACCCCGAGAGTACTTACAGCCTGAAAAGATAGAGCAAATGGGCCCAAATACTTCCAAGGTTGGTTCAGCATATCTTCAGTCTTTCGAATTGTCTTCCCAGCCATTTAGTTAAGTTAGTCCCTTTTTTGTTGTTTTCAATGTCTCTTGAATCGGCTTTATCTATGTCTGAATAGTAAAAGCTTGACTCTTTGGTCTGAGCGAGTTCAGGGGCACATATGCTTCCCACTGACTCATGGTCAAGCTATGGCAGTCCATGTGGAAATTTGTCGAACAAATGATTCCATGGTACTCATTTATTGAATCAAGACTAATCGCAATTAGGCCACTTGTTCCGGATGAAATTGCGGAATCAGCGATCTACATGCTAAATCAGCCGCTCAATGTCTCTATAAGGCTTTGGATGTGGTTCCATCAGGTATGAAAGACGTCTAACCATTAATGAGCACGCGATGCTAAACGAATTCTGCACAGCTCAACGATCCCGGCATGCCTTCGACCGCAACTGGAACGAGCGTGCCGGACAATGAGAGATAAGCGACATCCTAGATAAGACTAGTCCTGGACACCTTGAATCAAGTTCTTGATCCCCTCTCCTCTGGCTGTCTTCGCCCATGCCACAGTAGCATCTTCAAATGGCACTGTACTGCTGATCAACTCTTTGACCGGAATTTTACCCGAGCCAACCAGCTCCAGCGCAATCTCATAATCACCCGGCGCATACCGAAAGCAAGTCTTCAGGACAACTTCTTTCTCACTCATTGCGAGTAGAGGAATACTTTGCATCGGCTGACCCATCCCAATTTGAACAAATATGGCACCAGGGCCGCACGCATAAAGACCTGTTGCCACCGATGATCCCACCCCAGTACATTCCAGAACCACATCGACACCACCTGGAATGCCCATCTCTTCCTGGAATTTTATTGCAGCTATGTCTGGAGTAGAATGGACATCTGGAACGAATGTAGTGCAATCCACAAACGACTTTGCGAAATCCAGCTTATTCTGATTGATGTCCGAAATGAAAACAACTCGGGCACCAAATGCTTTCGCAGCTGCAGCAGCCATCAAGCCGATCGTGCCAGATCCTTGAACCAGGACACTTTGACCGGGTCTCAACTCAGCAAGCCGAACACCATGCACAGCAACGCTCAAAGGTTCAATAAGTACAGCTTCCTGCAAGCTCATAGAGTCAGGGATTTTGTAGACGTAGTCTTCGGGGATCCTAAATAGTCGGCATAATGTCCCGTTCGTAAGGGGGGGATCAGCGGCGAATTTCAGATCAGGGCAGATGTTGTATCGGCCTTGCTTGCACTGATTGCATCGCCGACATGGAAAGCCCGGCTCGATGGCAACCCGATCACCTGGCTTGACACTTGAAACGGCTACTCCGATGGAGTCGACGATCCCAGAGGCCTCGTGGCCCATAACTAAGGGCATTTTTTCCGAGACTTTGCGGCTGATACCCCCATGATGCCAGAAGTGGACCTAGAAAGTCTATTAGCCCCAATATTATATCATTTTCAATATGGACAACTCACATCGCTGCCACATACACCGACATATGCAACGCGGATCAAGATATCATGAGGGTCGTCGAGTGGGGGAATAGGAAGGTTTTCGAAGCGAACTTTACCGGCGCCGAAAAGAACGCAAGATAGGTTGGTCTAGAATTGTTAATGTGATGGATAGCGGATGGTTGTCTGAGCCTACATTTTGCGACATTTTGAGGTTTAATGATGGGGGCAGATTTTAATGGAGCTCAGGAGTAAGTGGCAGCATTTTAAAGTAAGATCGGGTGGTTGTCGACCGATGACCCCTCAAATAAAGATTACTCAAAACCAAGTCGAGTGTGAATCCAACGGGCTGACTCCTTGTGAACGGGCCTTCGGTGGGCAAACGGCGTATGCTAGGTATGACCGGGACTACCCCGTTATGTTACAAGTTTTTTGAAGTACTCTGCAATAAATCTAGAACCGGTCGGGTTGACTGTGGGGTTACCCGGAGCATTCAGTTGCTTCAATATATTGCATGGCCTATATTTCCTTAGTACTATATAAGAAAGATGTACATTTTGGTATTCATCTGAAATTTTCATTAATTGCGTGAAAAAATTGCCGTCTCACCCCGCACGGTCGACTGAGCTCCGAGGCCTTGATGTATAAATACATGATGACCCGGTCATGTTGTACTTCCAACTCTCTATGTTGATAGAGCAATGAAAGCGTCACTATTAGGCAAGCTCAGTCTCAATCAAGCTCTCCGCAACACCTGGGTAACTATAGAGCTTGACCATCTTCGAGCCAGCCTTGTCAAATATACCCCGCCAATCCGCCTCAATCAACTCGAGGTGCGGCCCGTGGTTTTGAAGCCTAAATGCGTATTTGGTTCCTGAGCCGCTGCTTTGATTGCCGAGATTGGTCCCTATTCTTCATCTTCGCATCAATTCGGGGGTAGTTTTTCACCCGCGATCCTTGCAAGGCTCGGAAACTTCCCGTTTGATTAGTCACAAGATCCTTCAGAAGGAAGCGTTGGGATATCAATTAAGACAGGCTTGTAAAGAAAATGATGAAGAAAGTGTTTAAGAGAGTGTGGTCTCTAGGCGGCAACAAGAACAATGGACATTACTGGCAAATTCTGAGTGCAGGATGTGTCGCGCGGTGATTGGCACCGTGGCTCTAATTACTGCGGTAGTCATGCCGCCGATTACAGATATTTGATAAGCAACGTCTAGATGACCACAGGCATCATGAAGTAAACTTGAATCATGGGTTCATTGGACAGTATGGTAAGCGGCAATATGATTGGTCGGAGCACCCTTCAGTCAGGTGACCCTATTTACGTCTGAGACGCTCGTAGTTGACTTCTATGGGTTTGTTTCTCTTCAGCATTATGTAATTTCTCATATGTTGTCTGTGCCCGTGGATCAACTAGCTGTCCCGTGTAGTTGAAATAATTTCTAGTTTTGGGTGTGCTTGACTGGTCCAGACCAAGGAGAGACGGATAAAGTGACGTTGCAGATTGAGGGGTTTGCTGATCTTCCTTCCCTTCTTGTCATACCATAATATTCCAATTTTAGACCTTAAATCAAGTCCATGATCTCATGAGATAGCGTTCTTTAGGTGGTGAGGAATGAATGGTCAATGATAAATGCGAGTAGGCCACGTGGATCACGTGCCAGCCACGGTCAGGGCATTAAACCTTGAAAGTACCAGCATAGACTTTTGAAAAAAGCGTTCAAATGACGTTAGCCAAGATAAGTTTCCAGAAACATGGAAAGGGAAGGGAATAAGTCGGAAGAGTATCGCTCAATGAAGACAAGTCCAGAATATTCGCGGGGTAGGTGCGCGGGGCACAGTCCAAAAAAAAAAAAAAGCCACCTAAGCATGTAGCACGAGATCTCGTACGAGACCTTGAGCCTTAGCTATGTGTAATGGCTATATTGACGTGTAAAGAACACGTTTAAGCGACGAAGGCCTTAGTAACCAGGAACCAACCTTGGAAAGCGTTGGGGAAGAGACTTTCACATGCAAATTGCCATATAGTGGGGGCAGATCCACAACTGAAGAAGCAGATGGACAACTCCATCTGCTTTTCTTAGGGTCTTCTAGGGACATTTTCTCTATATGGAGGGGTGATTTCCTAGGAGGCACAGTCATAGCTATGACAACGACTATTTAGCCACAGTAGCGTCCGCCACTCAGGAACTATATAAGCCGCGATCGGGAGGGGGATCTGATGTGGCAGGCCTCGAATCGATGCATGGCATCTTAGCGGATGCGGCATTGATTGGCCCCGATAAGGGAAATGACCTCTGAGGTTCCAAAGATTTTCCTGCTAAACGAGATATAGACTAGCTTAGTGGTTAGTCCCCATACGAGCTTGCCATCATATTCGCTCTCAACAAATCGGGCTAGAAAATCAAGAAACATGGCATGTGGCCATTTTCCAGTCTACTTATTTCTCCCATCGCGTCATCCGCAGCTGTTATAGCATCAGATTTCACTTTCGACTCCCTTGCGGTTGTACGAATCCGTGCACTAGATCCTTTCTAGCCATTCGAGAACCGAGCACGACCTACCTTTTTTCGTTCGGAGATTCTCGAAAATGACCATCATCGACACCAGGCTGGACCTGCCGTCGCTGTTCAAGAAGCAGGTCCTGGCGACTCCCGATGCCCTGGCGTTAGAGGATGAGAAAACCACATATACCTATGCCGAGCTTGACAAGGAAGTCGAGGATCTGTCCATTCGGCTGCGGCTCCGCGGGGTCGGCCGAGACACTCTCGTTGGAGTGTTGTTGCCTCGGAGCGCGCACTATGTGATTGCGTGCCTGGCAGCTCTTCGTGCGGGAGGTGCATTTTTAGTCCTGGAGCTTGCCTATCCCCCGCAGCTCCTCGCTGATGTCATTGAGGATGCGAAGCCCGCTGTCGTGATCACCCACCAAGCAGAGGCTGGTAAGGTGCAGTCCGACTGCCCTGTCATCTCCCTGGACTTGGCGACCCCCGAAGAAAGCTACAATACCTCAGAACTGCCCCCGTTGCCGGCTGAGGACGATTTGGACCGATTGGCGTTTGTCTCCTACTCCTCGGGCACCACCGGCAAGCCCAAGGGGATCGCCAACCCCCAGAGAGCCCCGGTGCTTTCATACGACCTACGATTCGCGGTACAAGATTTGCAGCCTGGAGACCGAGTAGCTTGCAATGTCTTCTTCATCTGGGAAATGCTGCGTCCCCTATTTAGAGGTGCCACGGTTGTTTGTGTTCCCGACGAAGTCAGCTACGACCCCGCCGCGCTAGTCGACTTGCTCGAAGCCAAGAAGATTACCGATACTCTCATGACCCCCACCCTACTTGCCACCGTTCTTGCGCGCTACCCACGAATTGCGACTCGTCTTCCCAAATTGCGAACCCTCTGGCTCAATGGCGAAGTTGTAACCGCCGATCTTGCTCGCCGCGGCATCGGCACTTTGCCCAACACCCGCTTCCTCAACTGCTACAGTGCATGCGAAACACATGAAATTGCATGCGGTGATATCCGCGATCTAATTGATACGGAGTCTAATTACTGTGCTGTTGGTCCGCCTCTCGTTCCAACGTATATTCTCAACGAGAACGCGGAGGAAGTGGAAGTGGGTACTGCGGGTGAGCTATATGTTGGAGGAGACCTGCTGGCTCGGGGATATCTCAACCTTCCGGAGACGACTGCCAAGGCCTTCGTTCCCAACAAATTTGATACCAAGCCCGATGCGCTCATGTACAGGACCGGCGATTTGGCACGCAAGCTAGAGTCAGGACATCTCGAGATCACCGGCCGAGTGGGTGCCATGATTAAGATTCGTGGGTATTCAGTGGTCCCAGCCAAGGTGGAGAGTGAAATCTACCAGCACTTGGCCGTCAGTCATTGCGCCGTCACTGCTCATGGCGACGGTCTCGATCGTCAGTTGTGTGCCTACGTCGTGGCCGCTGAGAAGGATGCATCGGACGCTCGGCCAGTGGTCGAGATCAACGAATCTGGACACAGCCCCTCCGCTCGTCGCGTTCTCGAGCCTCATCTCGCTCACTACATGCTTCCGTCTATGTGGGTTGTCATGAAGGAACTGCCCACCCATGAAGTCTCTGGAAAGGTCGATCTCAAGAGTCTTACTCCCCCCCGCACCCCCAGCCCCATCGGCGATCGCGTGGCGGAGAAAGATCCAATTGGTATCGATGATATCGCTGCCATCTGGGCAACTGTCTTGAAGACTACAAAGTCTAGTCTGAAGCCTGAGGACAACTTCTTCGACCTTGGCGGTCACTCCTTGTCGCTGGCAGACCTTGCTGGCCGAATGTCTCGTCATTTCGGCTTCCGTGTCGCTATTCCTCGACTCGCAGAGAATGTCACACTCGCTGGTCAATTAGACACTGTGCGTGCGGTCCGAGATGGCCACACTGCCGCCGTGCAAGCAGATCTTCCCGCCGTCTTGCTCGCGGATGCCACCCTTGACGAGGACATCAAGCCCCCAACGAATGCTTCACTCAAGTCGATTGCCTCGGCTGATACCGTGTTGTTGACCGGTGTAACTGGTTTCCTTGGTGCTTTCCTGCTCAGCGATTTGCTAGAAAACACTTCGGCCAAGATCATCTGTATGGTTCGTTTCAAGGATCCGGAAGTGGATGACCAGGCTGGAGGTGTGGCTCGTATTCGCCGCAACCTTCTCGACTTTGGTCTTTGGCGAGACTCGATCATGGAGCGTGTCGAGGTCCTTCCTGGTAATCTGTCGAGTCCTCACTTCGGTTTGTCGCCTGAGGCATATGATGAAATCGCTGGCCGTGTCCAGGTCATCGTCCATGCTGGAGCTACTGTCAATCTTGTTTACCCATACGCAGCGCTGCGTGCTGCCAATGTTGGAGGAACTCGTGAGATTCTTCGTCTTGCATCTAAGAGCGGTGCGACTGTCCAATATGTTTCCACAAACGGTGTCTTGCCTCCTTCTGAAGAGAAGGGTTGGCCTGAAAGCACAATTATTGATGTTGAGGACGTCCCTACCAAACTTGCCGATGGCTACGGTCAAACCAAGTGGGTTGCCGAGCAGCTTGTCCTCAAGGCTGGTGAGCGGGGATTGCCAGTCAAGATTCATCGTTGCGGTACCATCAGTGGCCACAGTCTCACTGGTTCAGCCAATGCATGGGATCTGCTGACTGCGTTGATCGTCGAGTCTATCAGACTTGGCTATGCCCCTGACGTCGAAGGCTGGAGAGCAGAGATGACTCCTGTTGACTTTGTGAGCAAGAGTATCGTCCACCTCGCCACACAGACACAGGCAAACCAGACGATGTTCCACCTGGGAGACCCCGATCCGGTTAACATTCGATCCGTTTTCGAGAACCTGAACACGCTTGGGTATCCCACCAAGCCTCTCCCCTGGGATGAGTGGGTAGCTCTCTGGTCCGAAAAGCGCGGTCTCGCCAAGGGTGGAGATGGTTCATTCACTGTCGACATTCTTCGCAGTGGCATGCCGACCGTGGAGTTCCTGCGCGGAATTGTCGTCCTCGACAACTCCCTGACTAGACCCTTCCGATCGGTAGTTGAGCGACCCAAGGTGGATGCCCTGCTGCTCGAGACATACACTCGTCACTGGTTCGCTCGAGGATGGCTTCCCCGAGCACCCATTCGCCAGCAAGCTCTTGCTCCTAAGCCCATCGTTCGAGGACCTCTGAGCGGAAAGGTCGCTGTCGTGACTGGCGCGTCCTCAGGCATTGGCGCAGCTGTCGCTTCTGCCCTGGCGAAGGCAGGGTGTGCCGTTGCTCTGGGTGCTCGCCGCCTGGACGCTTTGGAATCCGTCAAGCGCCAGGTTGATGTCCACGGTGTCAAGTGCGTTATTCGATCCACTGATGTCACCAGCAAGACGCAGACCGAAGATCTTGTCAAGGCAGCCAGCGAAGAGCTTGGCCCCGTCGACATCCTCGTCTCATGCGCTGGTGTGATGTACTTCGAGATGATGAAGAACACCAACTTCGACGAGTGGGAACGCACTGTTGACGTCAACTGCAAGGGTCTCCTGAATGCCCTCGGAACTACCGTGCCCGGCATGCTTGAGCGTGGCAGCGGTCATATCGTCGCTATCTCCTCGGATGCCGGACGCAAGGTCTTCCCCGGTCTGGGTGTCTACTCAGCCAGTAAGTTCTTCGTCGAGGCTACACTCCAGGCATTGCGTCTCGAGACCGCCGGTGCTGGCTTGCGCGTGACTGCCATCCAGCCTGGTAACACAGCCACTCCATTGTTGAACATGTCGACGGATACAGAAGCTGTTAAGAAGTTCGGAGAGCCCTCTGGTGCGAAAATCCTTGAGCCGTCCGATGTGGCGAATTCGATTGTTCATGCTCTTTGCCAACCAGAATACGTCTCTGTCAATGAGATTCTGGTTGAGCCTCGTGATGAACCTATTTGATATCTTTACCCTGAATGGGATCTAGTGTCTGAAATACCTAGATAGACTTATAGCTTATTTTATTATTTGCTTCAAAGAACCACTTCTTCCAAATCACTAAATTAAAGAACTCATACCTCGTTCACAGCATGTGATTGAACCGTCTTGCGATCGTAACCAGACGGGCCAGCCTTTCCAGCCTGATCCTCATCCTCCAATGCAGTTAAAACACTATCTTTCCCCCCAACCTCCTGACCATCTATCTCCGCCTGGAACTCCTCCCGCTTCGGCAGTAGGTATCTCACATCAATATACCTCAAAGCACAGGTCATAATAATAACGAGAACCAACAAAGCCAACGCAGACTGCCATCCATATTTGTAATATGGTGCCTGAGTAGCGGGCCACACAAGAACTTGCGACCAAGCCGAGATAGCATAATAACCAGCAACCGAAACACCAACAACAAGTGAGCGTACCTCGGGGTCTTGAGGAATCAGATCAGAAAGCCAGGCGAAAATCAGAGGTGCCGTGCCGAGACAAATATATGAGATGAAGTAAGACGCATAGGCAGCTGAAAGAGCCACCGTATTGGGGTGTGAAGTCCAAATGCTCATGATAATGCACGGAATGATCCCGATAACAGCCTGGAGCACGATGAGCGTCCATCGAGTTCGTAAGAAATCAGATAAAAGAGCCCAAATCCACACGAAAACTACATTTATCGCAGACCCTCCGATCGGAATAGCGTTGACCTCGGACGTACTCCACCTCTGGCTTCCATCGGGATTCTTGAGCGATTTCAAGAAAAGCGAGAAATACACATAACCATAGGTCCCTAGAACAGTGGCAGCATAAAGTGTCGCAACAAAGTAAACGACCCAGCCAGAGAATGTCCTCTTCGCACTAGCCCACGTAATACGCTTCGGTTCAGCGCGACCATTGCGAGCGAGACGCTCCATGGACATTTCGCCGTGGTTCTTCTTGAACCAGAATGCGCGCGGGTTGGGCTTGTTGGGAGTGTCTGGGATCATGAAGAAGCCTGCGAAGCCCCAGACGACTGTGATTATGGCATTGATTACGAATAGCCAGCGCCACCCTGCTAGGCCACCGGTGCCGTCCATTGTGCTGGAGATGGAGGCTTGCATGAAGCCTGCAAATAAAGTTCCCATCCCTTGGCACGAGTGGTAGAAACCCATGCGTTTGGCTAGCTCTGTTGGGGTGTACCAGTACACTAGTAGATGTTAGTTCCTGGCTTGTAATTTGATGTGGTAGTCTACTTACTAAGTAAGGTCATGAATCCTGGCCATGCTGAGCTCTCGCAAAGACCGAGGAATACGCGCAAGACGTATACTTGCTTCGCGCTGGTGGTCATGGCCATAAGTCCAGTCATTAGACCCCAGATCAATTCCAGACCGGGAAGCCAATAGCTCGGACGGACGTAGGTCATGATAATTTGTGAGGGGATCAGCATGATGCAGTATGCGACATTGAAGTAGGTCGTGAATCTACATAGGATCCGGGGATGAGTATCTATTAACATGTGCAAAGACTGGGAATCTCACAAGTTCAACTCGTCACCATAGAGATGAAGATCCTCCTGCATCCCAGAGACGTAGGCATTATTAATATTTTGCTGATCAAGATACTTGATAATCTGAGACAGGCAACCGAATGTCAAGAAGAAAGTATCAAGCCGTCGCACGAGCGCTTTCTCCTCGGGAGACCTCTCAAAGGCAGGCGCCGACTCCGACGGAGTACGGCGAAACATGTTGAAGTTCCCCATAGTGGACGGACGAGGAAGTAAAGGGGTCTCACACGAGACCGCTGAGGCCATGTTCAATATTTATCTAGTAGAAACGGGAAACCAAAGCAGTGGTCAGTCGCGTGCAGATCGAGGGGTACAAAGCCGATAAGCTTGTCCGACCAATAGTCGCTCCTCTCGGGAGGCTAAAGCAACCTCGGAATGACTCCGAGCTCTGCAAATTTGACCTCAAGATGGGCAAACCCCGCTCCAGCTGGTGTTTCTTGGCTTTAAATGGCATATGGTGAAGGTCGAGGCGAGGGGCGCCGTGCGCCGAGTCCCCGTTTCTGGGTACCGGGCGTGTGGCTGGTGCGCTAGGGGCTGCCGAATGCCACTTTGTTTCCCTGGGCGCTTCTGGCCGGTTGGAAAATTGCCCTTCTAGTGTTTGATCTCGAAAAGATCACGATAGCAATGTTATGAGTCGTGGGCATGTAAACCTTTTTGGAGAGGTGTACGAGATAGCGGACTTTCCCCGCACGGAGTCAAGAGCCATGGATCCCGATCAGGTCTTTGATTACATTTGCATCCACATATAAGCATCTGACCAGGCCTGTCTTATCTCGCACTTCGGTATCGTTTCTTTTTTGACAATGTCGCCCGATGTCGGCTCAAGCAAAAGCCTGCCAAATGCAACCCCCTGTCTTAGTTACTGGCAACGAACGACTCGGGGATTTCCCTATCTTTTCGAACATCATCTCAACCCCGTGCCCGAGACATCCAAGTATGTCATTATCGGTTCGGGAATCTCCGGTGGCCTCACTGCATTCTCACTACTGGAAGCCGGTGTGAAAGCAGAGGACCTCATCATTCTTGAGGCGCGCGAGGCAGCTAGCGGGGCGAGTTCTCGGAATGCTGGCCATGTTCGACCTGATGCCTTTCGAGGTTTCAGCGCTTATGCAAAAGTTCACGGTCCGGAACAGGCCCTCAAAATCATTGCCAATGAGCGTCTTGTTTTGGAAAAGGTCGACGACTTTGTCAAGAAACACAATGTGCAGTGCGATTTCAATCTAACAACAACATTTGACGTCTGCATGACCGAAGAATTCGCAAAGTACGAGGCGGAGAGTCTCGCGGCGTATGGACTTGCAGGAGGCGACATTTCGCACATCAAACTCTATGAAGGAAAAGAGGCTCAGGAAAAGACGAGGATCCCAGGGGCAGTAGCTGCTTACGAATGGCCCGCTGGTTCCAGTCACCCAGCTAAGCTGGCACAATTTCTGCTCCAATCCGTGATAGAACAGGGAGCAAAGCTATTCACAAACTGTCAAGCCGAAGAAATCAAACGAAACGGCGACAGGTGGGATATTCTTACATCAAAGGGCGTTGTGACAGGAGAGAAAATCATCCACTGCACGAATGCCCACGCTGCCCAGCTTTTGCCGCACTTGGAGCCTTATTTCCGACCAAACCGTGCCCAGGCACACACTTTGGTTCCGACACCAGCCTTCGCATCTAAAAATGCCCTGCAAAGCACCTTCTCCCTGCGCTACAGCCTCCACCACTTCTACTCGCTGATTCAACGACAAGGAGACGGAACCCTGGTTCTGGGAGTATCGCGATCTAATCCGACTCTCAGTGTCGAGACATTAGCCAGCCGGTTCAGTACCGATGATTCCAAATTCAATGAAGAAATAGCGGAAGATGCACTTCGCAGTTTTGATACTCTCTTTCCCGACTTCCATCTCAAGCAAGCTCGTCATGGAGAGGGTCTGCAGGATGCTTGGACGGGTATTATTGCCATGACTACGGACTCTGTGCCTTTTGTTGGGGATCTGGGCGATGGGCAGTATATCTGTGCTGGGTTCAATGGGCATGGAATGGCGAGGATATTTACTTGTGCGCCTGGTGTGGCTAAGCTTGTGCTTGGTGGGGAGTGGAGTGAGACTGGCCTGCCTGAATGCTTTGAATTTAACCAGGAGAGACTTGCGCGGTTGTCGAATGGGGAGCTACCATCAATATGGTAAGACATGAAGTGGCCAAGTGCTGTGTTATTCGACGTTTTGTATATAGGTAGTCGATGAACTCGAGAAGCTAGTGATTAGAAGGACTTCATTTTTGTATATTCGGTTCTCAAGTGCTCATATTCTGCTTGGAGTGGAATGCTTAGCGCCAAGCATACGATAAATTGGGGATAAGCAGCTAATGACTCACATCTGTAAAATGAATTGCACACTCATTCGCATGTCATACCGCACGGTTCCACGGTGTGGGGGCAGCCCCCGCATTATCCACAACTTATCAGCACCAACTTCCGCAAATTTTCACCATAACCTCAACTCCACCAACAGCCAACATGTCTACCTCCAGCCAGTCCAGGGCCGCCAATGAGTTCCGCAGTGATACATTCACGACTCCCACGCCATCCATGCTGGAGGCAATGGCGAATGCCACCTTTGGCGATGACGTGTATCAAGAAGACAAGATGACTGCCGATTTTCAAAACGAGATCGCCCGATTGACTGGAATGGAGGATGCTCTTTTCATGTTATCAGGAACCATGGGAAATCAGATTGGTGTTCGTGTTCATCTGTTTCAACCGCCTCATTCCGTGCTTTGTGATTATCGGGCACATGTCTATGCGGAGGAGGGATCTGGGTTGGCTGTTTTATCCCAGGCTATGGTGACACCGGTGCATCCTAAGAATGGGCTTTATTTGACGCTGGAGGATGTTGAGAATTGGGTCGTTCTTGGGGACGATATTCACACCGCGCCCACGAAGGTCATTTCTCTTGAATTGACTATCGGTGGTGTTCTCACGCCCATCGAGGAGATCAAGAAGATTTCCAACTTTGCCCATGCAAATGATATCAAGGTCCACTGTGATGGTGCTCGATTGTGGAATGCCTCTGCTACTACCGGTATATCATTGGCGGAATACTGTCAATACTTCGACAGTGTTTCTATGTGTGTATCGAAGGGTCTTGGCGCACCCGTTGGCGGTGTTCTTGCTACCACCAAAGCAAACATCAAGCAAGCCAGGTGGCTTCGCAAGCAGCAGGGTGGTGGTATCCGGCAGGCTGGTGTTTTGACAGCTGCTGCCATGGTTGCACTGAAAGAAGTGTGGCCAACCATGAAGGAAACGCATGCCAAGACGAAGAGACTTGAGGAGGACCTAAAGACTATGGGGGTGGTGCCGCAAATCCCGGTTGACACGAACTTTTTCTTCATTGACGCCGAGAAGTCTAATATCGACATGGGCATTCTGCTTGAGCAATGCCAAAAGTTCAATGTCAAGCTGCAAGATGCGCGGATTTCTATGCATCATCAGGTCAGCGATGAGGCGATTGAGAATCTCAAGTCTGCTATCGCTGAAGCGTTGATCTTAACCAAGAACTTGCCGCCTGGATATGCTTCCAAGATCAAATCAGCTGGGTACGGCACATCTTCGAGAATGAATGAGTATAATTAGGTGAACTTTGGATGTAAAATAGATGTTTTTGAATAATGTCAGAATGTACTTTGCTGAAGTATACAAGTACTTACAGTGCGTCCCGAAACTGGTGCAACTACCTACATTCTTCGATTGACTTTCCTTCCCCTTACGCTTAGACACACTAGTCTATATTGGGAGTTCTTCCGGAATGCCCCTGTAAGTTGCGTATGTATTGCTTCTTACGTAGAATACATCGTAATTTCAGACATGCATTCGATTGTAAATTAAATATATCTGACACATCCATACCGCTCCTCCAAAACAGCTTTTCTTAGAAGGTATATTAGAAGGTATACATAACGATCAATCACGAGTGGTCCAATCAAAGATAGCTCTAAACCTAGCTCCTTCCAAGTATGAGCTTATCTATGACATGATCCACAGTGGCGAACTATCTATGAATGAGATAGCACTGGCCACTAGTTGTAACAAGAGCACTATCTCGATAGTCTCTTCCAATATAAGAATGTTTGGCAGGTTCAAAGAACCGCAAATTAATGGCGGATGAACCTGTAGTATCACTCCAGTCATGCTCGAGGCTTTGTGTGACCATCTGATTGAAAAGCCTACGTTATATCTGGGCGAGATAGTGAATTTTCTATGAGATGAGTTCGCTCTTCGAGTAACGAAAGCGAGCATCAGTCGCGCCCTTCAGCCCAAAGGCTAGTCAAGAAAGACTACTTAGGTCAAGAGCCGAAAACGCAACCTTGACCTTCGGGACGAATACCATCATTTGATCTCAGACTTCAAGTCTTACCACCTTGTCTATATTGATGAATCTGGATGTGATAGAGGATAGGCTTCCGGCGAACGGGTTAGTCCCTACTTGGTACTGTATCGGTTCAAGTGTCAAAATTTCATCGTGATTAGCGTTATCACATACTGCCTACGTATGCTTAAGACTGCATTGTTTTGTCTCAGGTATTCTGGTGTTCAACTGACGCGTCCGTCTTTGAGGGATTTTTCGAGCAGCTTCTCGAGCACTGTGGGAAGTTGACTGTACCGAGTGTGGACGTATGATCCGGACCGAGGACCTTCTCGTAGCCTGCCAGGGCTCGTTGGTACACCTCCTCTGCCTCTTTCAGATTCTCCTAATCAGTGTAGAGGTTCCCTAAACCACGGAGTGCTCCCCATACCGCAATGATGTCATCTAACCATTTCCCGTAAGACACATGTTTGGTTTGCGGAATAAACCGTTGCTGAAGCTCCGATACAAGGATTAGATAATATCATATTTTTTGATACCACCGATCAGGTTGACCGTTTTCTATATCATGCCACTTGAGAGTCATTGCGGAGGTCAGGATAAATATTATCAACCAATCAATCACGAGTGTACTGTAAGCATGATGCAGCGAGAGCATGAACTTGACCCTGTAAACTTCCTCGGTTAAGATGTAACATAAGTTGTCCCTGTTTTCTGAAGATACGGCAAATCCAGTTTCATTTGAAATCAACAATTTGCCATCAAACATATTGCCGACTACCGTACCAAAGAATGGGTTCCGCAAGGCATAGCCCCTCAATATAATCGGGAGCCCTCACAAAGAACATACTTCGGCCGAATCTGGATGGGCTTGGTAAGGCTCGGGTGGCTTTAACTTGCCACTCGGGAACTCACGGAAGCGAATGAATATCCGTCGCAACCGGATCCAAGTTTGGTAAAGACTACTCGAACCATGGTAGAAGATACCTTACAATGATGGCCAAAGGGCTGTTCAGAAATTGAAAAAAGTCAAACAATTTATGTTCGTGTCTTTCACGTTGTCTATAAGCATGATATCTATAGTCTATAACAAAATCAAACATTTATACAATCCGCGCATATCCAGTATGCGACCACAGGATGAAGAACTTTCAATCACAAATGCTTTTTCATTTTGACATTTTGACAGATGAATAATCCCGACACCAACGCCTGGGACATAAAAACGCCGAGCAAAGCAGGAAAATGAAAGAAGGAAACTGCTTAGCCCAGAGTGACGACGTAGGTCGCGCTAGTCGAGCAGGAGAGGGTGTTGACATCGTCAGGGTGCTGGTAGGAATCGGCACAGTCGGTGTCACCGGGGGCACAGGTGGCGGTAGTGCAGCTGGAGTCACTGGGGACGACAGAGAAGCCGTTGGTGACAAAGTCGGAAGAGCTATCCATGTTGATGGAAGACATGTCCCAGTAGAGAGTGTCGGAGTCGACGGTGTACTCGAACTGGAGGACACTGTCGGTGTCGCTCGTGGTGGTAGACAGCTTGATGGAGATACCGCCACCGTTGGAGTTGGTCTGCCACGCCTGGCTAAAGGTGCCACCGCCGCTGCTGAGGGTCTGCATCTCGCCGGGGTCGGCGGAAGTGGTCCACATGTAGACATCGTCGCTCATGTTGTTGACGAACTGGACACTGCCGGAGCCCGAGTCACGGGCACGGTGAGGCAGAGCAGCAGCAGTGGCAGCGAGGAGGCCGGTGAAGAAGACGGTGGAGAAGATCATCTTGAATGTGGTAGTCGTGTTGACTTTGTCAAAGGACAGTATAAGTTTGGTAAAAAGAAAGGTCTTGTGTATAAAGACAGACAAAAGATTGTCAAGAGAGAGTGTGGATCTGAAAGAGAGTGATCAGATCGTAGCAAGAGAAAGACACAAAAAGATAGTGTAGTCGAAGGACTGTAGTGATTGATGAGAAGAACAACATCGTGGGGTGTCGAGCTATTTATCCTTTCTGGATTTGGAGTTGTGGCGACGTCTGGACCCCGAACCCATTCCACCACCTTCTCTCCATGGAAGGACTCTTGAGTTTCGGACGAGACGTTCGATGACTTCCTGGGGTTCGCCAATGATCTACAATGGTGTGGAGCCGGTACGCACCCGAAGGTCTCGAACATCTTTCGCCATCGCCGGATTTAGAAGGCCTTCGACAGATCTCTAACTTTTGGAATTTTCCATCCTTCCATTGCACACGAATGGTACAGCATGTTGTTCGCTGGGGACCTGGAGGAACAAGACAGATTTGGAGAAACTGACATCAGAGGCTTTTCCCCTTGTTCTTTTCTCTTGGTTCGACGCGAATGAGTTTGCGCCGCCCCTCCAAAATGGGCTTCAAACTTTGAGACCCTGAAAGGGCTTGCAGGCACAGAGAAACCGAACCAGATCTGTCCTACGTGAGGTGCCGAAGGGGGGAGAAAGGACTGGAAACTTGGTAGAGGGCGGAAGAATCACCCTTGCCGAGTTGTATCCGAGTTCAGTCGCCCTGACCTCAGTCGCCACGCGTTTGAGTGTCTTAGCCACCCCAGAGTTTTAGTCCGCGTGGCATATGGAAATGAGTAGAATAATGGTCACTAAGCATGACTGTACTGTATAGATGCAAGTCTTGCTGTCGCAGTGGGGCTACCCCATAGATCTGCATACCGGGGATCTACAAGATGTAGGTTGAGATCAGGGACTCGTACTTTGACCTGAATTTCGAAAGCGCAAAACTAAGAAACTTCTTAATTCAACAGGTCCAGGTGTACATTGGCATGAGATCAAGGCAACAATACTTCTCAAAAACGAAGTCCGCCGGTCCGGGGCCTGTCATCTAAAGCCAAGACAACCCAACTTTGGCCACAACGCTACCCACTTGGACCCCGGAGAACTGTTTGGTCTAGACTCGAGCCTCAAGATTCCTATCTAGAACTCTTGGCATTTTGTCAAGTCCCTTATGACTCTGCCAAGCAAGAGGCACGAGAACTTGCTTTGCATCTAGAACATGGCTGCCAAGACCAGAAGTAGAAAGATCTTCGGCCGGGTCGACCTTGTTTCTCTATCGCATGTTTCTATACTTATCAAGAGCAACTTGGCACCCTGTTCAGCCGCCTGCCCAGGCCCATGCTCTCGACTAATAATATTTGTGACATCATATCGACTCTGCCTGTACTCAACCATTCATTGTGAACCCCCTTTTGCAACCCATACACGCCACAATATGGCCTGCTTAATGATCACCCCCTCATTTACCCCTCATAAGAAAATTCTGGAGGCACAAAGATTTACCCAGAGCGTTCCTTGGTAGACGTGCGACGTGAAAATTTGGTGGCCTACAGCGCGGATAATATATCCCCTTCCGTCGCCACCCGCACCAGCCTCACACCATTCGTGCCTCAGGCCTTAGAAACACGGCTGGGCCGACAACGGAGCACCCAAATCTATTCAGATGAAGAGTAACAATGACTCGAAATGAAGATCAGAAGATCTATACCACTCATTTCTCCTCTCGCTCCACCACAGATACCTCCGACACCTTTCAAAAGCCAATAAGCAAGGAGCTATAAGCACCAGCCGCCAAACCCCACCATGTTACCCTCCGACCTCGGCCACCGAACTAAACGTCTGCCACGACAGTGAAGGTCTATAAGTTCAAGCAATATCACAACAAATTCCACAAACAAGAAAGAAAATCAACTCTCATTGAGTCTTACTCAAATAAGTTCCACTTCTACTTCTCCACCATTCAACACATCCACCAAAATGGCCAAAGAAACAGCAACCTACACCCACGGCCACCATGCCTCAGTCGTCCGCTCCCATAGCTGGCGCACTGCATCCAACTCAATAGGCTTCCTCCTGCCCCATTTGAAACCAAACATGAGAATTTTAGATATCGGCTGCGGCCCAGGAACTATCACCGTTGACGTGGCAGCTCTGATTCCCCAAGGCCACATCACAGGCCTTGAACGCGTCGGCTCAATCCTCACACAAGCACGCGCCCTCGCTGAAGAAAAAGGCATTACAAATATTGATTTCGTCGAGGGAGATGCCAACGGTCTATCCTACGAAGATGGCACCTTTGACATTGTCTTCTGTCATCAGGTTCTACAGCATGTTGGTGAACCCGTGGGCATGCTAAAGGAGATGAAGCGCGTTACGAAGACCGGTGGAATCGTCGCAGCGAGGGAGGCTGATTATAGTGTTTTCGCATGGTATCCTGAACTACCGGGCCTGAAGACTTGGCAGGAGTTGTACGGTCGTATCGCGAGAAAGAATGGGGGTACGCCGAATGCGGGCCGTGTGTTGCACACGTGGGCCAAGAAGGCGGGGCTAAGCCCGAAGTGTTCGGCTACGATGTGGTGCTATGCGGACAAGGGGGACACGAAGTGGTGGAGTGAGAGTTGGGTTGAGAGATCGCTTTATTCCTCATTTGCGACTACGGCACTGGAGAATGGGATTGCGAGCCAGGGGGAGTTGCAGGCGGTTTCGGATGCTTGGAAGGAGTGGGGGGAGCATGAGGATGCTTGGATTGTAATTCCTAGTATGGAGATTCTGTGTTTTAAGGAGTAGAGTTCAAGTTTACAGGCGAATGGAAGTGATAAGCGATGCATTGGTTTAAGGTATCATTGTAGTAGATGCAGGTGTAGATCGCGCCAGGTTATGCAAAATGTCGTAGTTGTCATGCACACATTAGATGGTGGGGATCCGAGCAACTGACGGCCGGCCCCGTTCGTACGTCGCGTCCGAATTGCCAAGAATTATTTGCAATAGAGAGAGCAGACCGAACTTTCCACATGAGGCTGTGCTATGAAGGCGGTGGTGGTATAGTGGAAAAGATCTTTAGAGGGTCCGCTACTCAAAGAGCGGGTCCGAGATCGGCGTGGCCAACAACATGACAGCGGACCAGTGAACCGGCCGCGTCGGAGAATGGCTTAGTAAAGTGGTTCAATATCTGCCTGCGCCATACGACGAAAGAGTTCGGTTCCGAAGACAGTTTTTGGAGAGAGTTTTCAATGCGGCGGCTTGCCACGTCATTGGACATCCGTCGCTCAAGATTCGGGCACGAATTCGTAGCGATCCCAGTTCTCAGCGACCCACCACTGAGCAACGTGCGCTGCATCTTTAATCCATTGAACGGCTTCTTCGCCATGCTCATTTGCCACTTGTTCTAGTAATGGAGGCAAGGTGAAGGACTGGAGGGTCTTCTCCTCATGAGGGTCGGAATCAATATCGGAGAAGCGCCACTCCACATCAGGGACCATTGGGATCACGATGCGGTAGGACTTATTTGCCGATCGTAGGGCTAGCCAGGTGGCGCCGGTGTTCATGACGGTGAATTGCCAGTCGGGATTGCCATCCTTCTCGGGCACGAGCTCTCGAATCATTGATTGTCCTTCGTAGAGAGGGAGGAGATCCTTGATTGCGTGTGTTGCCTTTTCGTCCAGGGATGCGGACTCAACCAGAAGATCTAGGATTGTCGGGAGAATCTGAAGAGACGTGACACGGCCGTCGATGTTGATTGGTGGTAGCTGCGGGTGAGAGAAGACCATGGGCACGTGGAAGTTGGCGACGTGCGGGTTGTCATAAGGTGTGATGCCGCCATCTTCAATGAGAGAGATGCCGTGGTCGCCCACCATGACAATTAAAGTCTCATTGGCAACGCCATGCTCTTCCAGTACCTCTGTCAACTCTCCAAGCCATTTGTCTGCGACGCCGATCGTGTTGAGGTATCGGTTGATGTTCTTGTTATGATTGAAGACACTAGAGTGAATCAACTCCTCGTAGTTTTGGCCCGGCGGCATATCCCACGGATGATGCGTTTGCCCTGTCAGATGAGTAATAAAAAGACGCTCATGATGCTTTTCGGAATGCTTTAGGGCCTTGGAGAAGTATTGTCGCAGTTCATGCTCGGGGTAGCCCCAGAAGTTGAACTTCTCAGGAGCCTTGCCATCCTTATTCTCCCAGTCCTTGGTGATCGTCTTGTCTGTTATCTTGTCCTGGAATCCCATGGCTGGGATGAGAAGATTCTGATTGTCGTAGTTATCGTCAATACTCTGCATGAAAGTCGAGTGCCAGGGCCAAGTGGTGTAGTCGTCCGACTTCTTCGCCACTTCCGTGCCGTTGGATAGCGAATTCAATGCACTTAGTAGTTGCGGCATACAAGGCTCGTACATATGGTGAAGATACTCGCGGTTGAAATCGACGACCAAAGGTGCGATGCCACATGTGCTTGCCAGGATACTCTTAAGGGTGAAGGTGTCACCGGTGTAGGCATTGGTCATGTGGAGACCTCCGTACGGTTCAACATCATATCGGTCGAATCCAGATGGAGTGTTGGTGAATCTCTCGGCATTCCAAGTGAGATTCGCAAGTCTCTCCTCGACTTCCTCAGGGATACTACCAGAGAAGGATTCACGAATGAGATCGACCAAGTGGGATTCTTTGCGCAGAGGAAAGACGTCGTCTCGGGTGCTTTCCAGCTTGAGTAGGAAAACATGTTTAATGTTAATATCGCCTTTGGTCAAAGCGTCCCTCAATGGCCCGAGAATGCTTTGGTCGAGGTTGCTGATTTTGAGAGGATCCTTGTTTGGATCGTAATGCAAAGCACCACTATCGTTTGATCCTGCGTACCAGTCTCGGAATCCTGCCAGTTGCTCTTCCGGTAGCCAATCCAGCTTTGACGGCGTACCCAGCGCTGTATGATTATAAAGCCAACTGTAGTCGCCCTCCAATGGCGGAAGATCGATAGAAGATGTCTGTTGATGAACCGGGGGTTTTTTAAAGGGGGTCACAATCACCGTTTGCGAGAGAAAGGAATATGCCGTATTCGACGGACGAACGCAGCGTAGCAAAATGACAAAGATCGCGACTGAGCCCACCACTATGCGCAGTAAAAGAGAAGGCTGGGAACTGTGTGACGCCTGAGGAGATTTGCTCGACCCCAGCATAGCCTCGGATTCGTTATTCTCCTCATCCCATTCCTGGCGAGCAACCTGTTCATAGCTCCTTGGGCCTGTTTCCGTCTTTCGTTTCCAGAAGAAGAGGGGTGTCACGGTCGAGTTGAGAATGCGCACGGGAACCCATATTCCGTTGTACAGGTAAGGCGTCGACAGCCAAGCAACTGCGCTGAAGGCGATTTCGACAATTATCATCCCCGTTAAACCGGTCAGCAGGGTTTTGATGGCAGCGGGATCGCGGTGGAAGTAATGCGCTTGTCGCCAATGGATTTCGGCGCCGGTTTGGAAGTAGAAGGAGATGTTGGCCGCGGCCAGGCCGGAGATTGCCAAACTACTATTGGTGATCGTTAGCAGATTTCGTGAATCATTCCAAAGATTCACCTACCCGGGAATAGCTGACAGTGCAGCCAGCACACGCATCCATCTCCGGCCAAAGTTTTGGGTAAGGAAGAGCGCAATGAGAATGCAAATGACATCCTGTAAAAAAAAAGTTGGGCCCCAAAGAAGGAATTGGTCGATGGATAATGAGTTGAGATGAGAGTAAATGTGGAGTAGTTTGGCGCTGATTACGCCGATGAATAGTAGGCCGAAGAAGTACTTGCGCGATGCTGGCCAGTATACGTCAAACCATACGCTCGGGGAGAGTAGACTGCGGAGCAAATCCTTGGACCGGAAGTCGGGCTTCATAATGGAGTGATTACTCTGCAGAGTCTAGGCACGAGACAAAACCAAGACACCCGTGCCCTGAGGCTACAGGGGAAGTAGCTACAGGGGGAGAAAGAAGGTAAAGAAGGCAAGACAGTCTAGAAAGGAAGATGGTCTGCCTTGGGGTGTCACCTCTGTTGCCTGTTGCCTGTTACCTGTTCTCTTGACAAGTCTAACCCATTTTCCATTAAAAATGTAAAAATGTAAAAACGTCGCGCGTTTCGACAGTACAGTAATACTGCATAAGTCTGAAGTCTAGATCCACATGGCTCGTGGTTATCGAATTAAAAGTCCACAATCTTGCGCATGTCGTATTCCTGGATCGCAGACATACCCCTTACCCCATAGTGACGGCCTTACCAGTCGCCAGGCAAAAAATCCACCCTGTATCACATTAGAAACCTCGGCCCAGGCCTCCGGACCCCTCGGCTGTCGCTATTGTTTACCAGAATCGCAAACCACGGATTTTAATGATCGAACACCGAACTAGCATAATCCCATTGAAGATCGAGAGGGTGGTTTCACGAAAACCAAATTTTCAGGGTCCCGCCTGAGACCTTCTCCACTTTATCCACGGGGTTTCAGGGATCATTCGTATTCCAGGCGTGCGAGATTGCCTTCTCGGGCATTTCGTCCCATGCATAAGCACGCCACGCCAATAAAATGCAATCTTATTTTTAGGCCGGTCAGCTTTCGCTGCCTGAATTTACCCCTGATTTCTTCTCATTGCTGTTTACAATGACGTGTTAGGAATGGTCGACTCGCGAATTCGCTCTAGACAGGCTATGACTATAATCTTTTACCGAGTATGAAAGCACTATATTCACAGTATCGTGCGATGCAGTTTATTCATTCAGGTCATAAGCTTTTATCAGCAAAGTAGGCACAAACCGGGAGCGACGGATCGCGGGTCCCAGGCAGCAGCGTAGGAACTAGGGTCCCACTCAAAAGTCATCCAGACTCTGGTACTCCTTGGGGAACTGCTTCCGCACGTACTCCATGTATGTCTTCCAGCGGTGCAGATCATTCGATGCCTCGGCATTGGGGAACGCCTTGCTGAGTTCCTTGGTGATCTTCAAAATGCCCAGCGATGCCTCCTGAGCCTTCTCCAGCTCTTGCTTTACGGCGTTGTCCTTGGGTTTGAATGAGAGGACCTTGGTGTACTGTTCTGCGAGCAAGTCTAGACGGCGCTCGGTCTCCTCGGGGGCAATGGTGATCAACTTGGTAGTCATTAGGTTGCTGATGGCACGGATATCCTGCTCGTCGTCGATACCGGCTAGGACTCGACTGTACAGTTCGGCCATGTGCGTGCGGGAGACAGAGGTGTCGAGGGATGCGTAAAGAGTTTCGTAGGCACTCTGAAATCATTGAGTTAGTATAGTAACTAGAAAACCGATATGGGGCTTCTTACCTTGCGCAAGTCGAGCCCGTCATCCACCTTGTGTTTAAACGGACCCATCTGCACCTCGCGGATCAGCTCTGGCTTTATCTGTGTATCGCCAAAGACGGCGGGGAGTAGTTCGTCCAGGTGGGGAAGAAGTAGGTTCATTTTATTGTGGATGGCGGAGTTCAGGGTGGTCAATGCAAGTCGGTGGTTGCCCAGGTCGCTGTCGGCGAGCATGTTGGTCAGAAGGGGCACCATCAGGGGACGAAGGACGTTGTTGTAGGCATCGCTTGAATCAGCAAGCGTATACCGGAAGGCAGAGATGACTACGCCGCGGATAACGACGTCTTGAGTAGAAAGATGCTCCTGGAAATGAGGAATGTATGCCACCGGATCGATCAGAGCAAGACGGCCAACACACTCGGCACCTACGGCCCGGTTATCCTCTTCCTCCGAAACGACGAGGAGAGACTGCCATAGCTTGGAGGCAGAAGGCGCGAGGTCAGGGCGTACCACCTCAGGATGCTGGAGCAACTCGCGAACTGAATGGAGGAGAAGGTAGCTCTGGGGGTTGAATTTGGTCAATCCGTTCAACAGAATAGGCAGATAGGCTTTGACACTTCCAGCTGCTGCGTTGCCGAGGGCAGTGGCAGCCGCCAAGCGGACATGGTCGGAGGGAGAGTTAAAGTGGGCAATGAACAAATCGGGGGTAAGGGAGCACTCGGCACCCATCCGCAGTCCGATCTCGCCAAGAATTGCCAGGGCAAGACACTTGCGACTGTCGTCCTGGGCAGATTGCAACTCGTTCGAGAAATCGTCCATCTTGACACCTAGGTTGGGTCCGCCATGCACTAGAAGGGTTCCAACGGCCCGACCAACGACAGAGGAGTCGCCAGTAATGCCAACATTCTGTAACAAATTTTGCATCAATTGGGCACCGGCACCTTCCTCGCCAATGACCTTGACTAGAAGAAGCAGAGCCTTCAGGACGGTGCCAACCAACGGTTGCTTCACAATGGCACAGATCGACGAGATCAGAGCATCATTAACCAGCGTCTTGGAGTTTCCGGGGACCAGCTTAGCAAATATGATCAAGGTGGGAGTAAGCAGGTGGAAATCTGGAGCGGCCAGGAGAGGCAGCAAGACATTCTCTAGAGTCGTCATGGCGGTAGCATTGAGGTGTGAGCGAGTGTTGGAGTTCATGGCAATGCTGCGAAGAGCTTCCAGACATGAGCCTCGCAAAGCACGGTCAGCCTTGCGAAGGTTAGAGCCAAGTTCCAGAGTCACATCGTTGACCCAATCACCCGTCACGTCCTGCTTGCGGTCGGCTAGGACCACAACATCGTCGATGGCACGAACGGCCGCTAAACGGGTTGTCTCGTTCTTGACGCGATCAGACAGAACCGTAAGTCCCTGAGACCTGCGGTCGGCTGACAGATACTCCATGCCTCGTTCACCCGACGTGCGGGCCAGGATGACACCGAAGACGTGAATAGCCCGCTGACGGACTTCAAGGTCAGCGCTGGTGTCAGCGATGCGGGCAAGAACCACATCGTAAAGCTTTTCCAGTTGCATGGCCATATCAGAAGCATTGGACGAGGCCCGAGGTGGAGTCAAGGCCTTGACGATTTGCTCCACGGCGCCCAAGGCCTCGCTGCTAACCTTGTAGTTGCGCTCATTCACAGCACCGACGACGCCGGGAACGAGGGCGATCAGGAAGGGCAAAAGTGCATCAGACAGGTGGGTCTCCGCAATGGCAGAGATCAGGCCCAGAGTCTCAATTTGTAGAGTCCCTGCACTGACAGCCGCACCCGAGTGGGCCGCCGAGCTTCCTGAAAGTGATGATGTCTTGAGGGCGTCCGCGATAAGGTCTTCGATCTGTTGAAGGTGGTCTGCCAGGCCTCCGTAGCGAACCAACGAAAGGCTCTTTAGCAGAATAATGGCGGCTTGTCGAAGAGGCATCGAGGCTTGCTTCCAGGCCTTCACCAGGCTCTGCACGATCAGGGGCACAGAACGGGCCAATTCAGCCTGCGGGCCGGACTTCGGTGAGGAGGGAACAACGGGTGAGTCGATCACAGAGGACGTGCCGACACTGGGCTCAAAGTCGACCATACTAGCATCGCTGTCCTGGCGTCTCCTCTTGCGAGAATTCCTAGATCCGCCAACCGCCTCGAGGAATCCATTAGAAGTGACGACGACCGCCCCTTCGCTAGTCTTACGAACGAGGGCAGTCAGGGTAGACACCACCTCCAGCGTGACACTCTCTTCTCTTTCACGTCCGATGCGGGCAATCAGGGCGGGAGCAATCTGCTGGTACAGAGCTGCATCATCCAGGACGCGGCTGCGACCGTAGGTAGAGACCAGCGAATAGAGCAGCTTGGCTGAACACCGACGGACCTTCCAGCTCATGTCATCAACGTCACTGTATCCGTCTTCCTCCTCGAAGTCACCGAATTCGTCGTCGTCCATGTCGGGTTCCTCGGTGGCATCGTCCTCGCTGCCATCATCTTGGGTGCCTCCCATCTCTTCATCGTCCTCCATTTCAGCGACATTCGGATCGTATTTCAGGAATCGAAGAGCTGCACTGGTGGTATTGGCAAGGTACGGCTGCATCTGCTGGTTGCAGGAGCTGATCAAAGCTTCAAGGGTGACCAGGGCAGTCTCACGGAGCTCATCCGCTTGCGGATCATGGTCCTCATCATGCGAGTAAACCGACATTTTGATGACGATGACGAAGGAATGAGTAGATCGCGTGTTTCAAGGTCAACAGATGCGAAGCTGGCGGGGCAGCTCCGGCGGAACAATGTGGGTCCGCCTCCGCGCAAAGCGTTCACTGCAAAAAGTCGAGCAGGTCAAGTGAAGGTTGCGCGCTTCTCTTAGAGGCAAGTAGTGCTTGAAGACCGCCTTGCTTTCGTGATTTAGCTCGCTTCTTGCTGCCCGCGTTGTCCTCCGCTTTGCTGGGTTGGGGTGTTGACAACTGGGATGGAGTTTGCACAGAGGTTGTTATAACCGTAGATGGACTTGATGTAGCAATGGAAGTAATAGCTGGCGCAAATTTGACACCTGGCATATGCGTACGCTTTGGAACCGTTCTCCTGCTTGGGATCACAGTGCGTTGCTGGCAGCGCGCACACTTGTACACTTTTGCGCCGGAGCCTGGCGCAGATTTTTTTCGTGGTTTGACATCAATTAAAGTAGATTGATACTTTCTAAGGCTACCGCAAGCTCCACAGTGATGTTTTTGCTGTCGCACATTGAGAGATTTGTGGTCGTTGTGGAGGACACGAGTATGGGCATCTAACAGATGCGCCGACGTGGACGGGCTGCGCGACCCCAAGAACAGTGCAGCGTCACTAAGAAAACGCAACTGAGGGGACTCAATAGGAGGCATTATTGAGAGGACAATGAATAGGACCAATAGAACCGAAATAGGCGACAATAGCACAATGGCAGAATAGCAGAATAGCACAATCGAGATTAAGAGGAGAACATTTCAAAGTGGTGCAAATATCTGCCTGAGAATCCCGGCACCGCTAAACCCTCATCGTTCACCTCGCTCATCCGCATTTCACCTCAAGTGCCCCCCGCGGAATAGCTCCCTCCTTTCCTCCTTTCTTCACGCTCCCTCTGTCTTTTCTTCGATTTGAGCATGCTGTCGCCTGTTTTTTACTGAGGGTACCATCCGTCGTTTCCACCTCTGCAGAGACCTATCCCATTCTCATTTCATTGTCACCTCACCTTCACCATCAACATCGTGGCTCTCCCCCCTTCCAATCTCTCCTCAGTCATGGCTGAACCTCACCCGCCCCGCTTCGCGGTCGTTGGATGTGTAAGTTTTCCCCCCGGCAATCTAAAATGTCTAACCTGTGGTCTTGATCCTCAATTTTGATACTGATTTTCTTGCAGGTGCACGGCTCACTCAACCAGATTTACGCTGATGTCAAGGTTGAGTGTGAAAAACGAGGCTGGGACACTGTCGACGCAGTCATCCTAGGCGGTGATACCCAGGTAGTTTGGTCTCGTACTCCAAGAAACTCGTATCTAACATGGAACAGACCTTGCGCAATTGCAATGACGCGACGTGCATCAAAATGCCTGACAAGTACAAAAAACTTGGTGACTTCGCTCATTATTACTCCGGTGAGCTCACAGCTCCCTATCTCACTATCTTTGTGGGCGGAAATCATGAGGCAAGCAACTACCTCCGCGAGCTTCACTATGGAGGCTGGGCATGCCCCAATATCTACTTCCTGGGAGCCGCAAATGTTATCCGCTTAGGACCTGTCCGTATCTCAGGAATGTCTGGTATCTGGAAAGGCTACGACTATCGTAAGCCTCACTCTGAGCGCCTCCCATACAATAACGATGATCGAGGGAGCATCTACCACGTCAGGGAGATTGACATCCGCAAGCTGCTCCAGGTCCGCACCCAAGTGGATGTTGGTCTGAGTCATGACTGGATTCGTGGTATCGAGAACTTCGGTGATTCCAAGGGTCTCTTCCGGAGGAAACCTTTCCTCCGCGAGGATTCAATGACAGGAAAACTGGGCAACAACGCTGCTCTTCAAGTTGTGGAACGTCTTCGGCCTCGGTACTGGCTGTCGGCCCATCTGCATGTTCAATTCGCCGCGACTATGCCCCATGATGGCGTTACCTTACAGAAAACCGATCCCACCCCTGGTGAGCCTGTTGAGTGGGCTGTGATCGACGTCGCCGGTTCGTTGACAACAACTGTCCCGGCTACCCAGTCTCAACCATCCGCTTTTATGGATCTCGACAGCAATTTGAACAATACGATGTCGTCCCCAGACACTGTGGGTATTAATCCTACCTCAACTGCCTCCGATCCCGCATTGAACGTCAAATCTCCCGCCATCGGTGACATGGCAACGCGTCTTGCTGGTTGGAACAATTTCCAGCCAATTGCTCGCAAGGCCGAGGTTGATGCAACGCTCAATCTGCGCGAGGAACTTCAGCAAGCCGGGTCTCGGACTGTGAAAGCTCCTGAGACTCAGTGGAAGCGTGTGACCTTCCATAATGGTGACCGCCGAGTTGATCCTGCCATTCGCATGGACACTGCCTCGCCGTCAAAAAAGCTTAAGGTCGAGAACAAAGAAGAGATCGACCTGGAGTCTAGCGATGATAATCTTGACACCGTCGGTATTGATTCTACCGTTCGCATGAACCCTTCCTCGCCGTCAAAGAAGCTTAACGTCCAGAACGAAGAAGAGATCGATCTGGAGTCTAGCGATGACGATCATGATGCCGTCGTCCCCCAAGAATTGCTTGGTTCGCATCAGAATGCCAAGCTTCAGAACAACGAGGAGGTCAGCCTGGAGTCCAGTGATGAGAGCATGTCGTCTCCATCTCGAAAGGCCCCTCAGGGTGTCTCCATATCGGGCCATGTTGATGTGAAAACCGAGCCAATGGGTTTGTCTGAGATTACTGATGGCACCGCCGAATCTAGATCCCATGTAGATCAGGCCATACGCAACAGTCTCCCGGCCAGTCTCTCTCGCCCGGTTCCTCCCCCACCTCGAGAAGTCAAAATGACTCACCCTCCGGCGATTCACAATAAGTTCACTCGATTCTTGGCCCTTGACAAGCCCAACAACCACGATCCGTACCTCCAGCTTGTGGAAATCCATCCCGTCTCGAACCAGGAATCTGTACAGTATGAACGACCTTATCATCTGCAATACGATAAGGAATGGCTTGCAATTACTCGTGTCTTTGCCGGTGATATCCGCATTGGCGAACCGACCATCCCCGTCCCTGTGAATCTAGGGGAGGAGGAGTACCTCCGCAGGATTCTGGAAAATGAGCAATGGGTTGAAGAAAACATCGTGCAGAAGGGTCTGATGGATGTTCCTTACAATTTCGAGCATAGCTCCCCAAAATACGATCCTTCCGTCCCAATCACCACTTCAGATCAGCCCCTGGAGTACAGCAACATCCAAACCACGAAGTTCACCGAGTTGCTCCAGATTCCCAACCCGTTCGCGATATCCGAGGAGGAGGCAATTGCCAGAAACGATGCCGGCCCTCGTCCTATGAATCATCGTGCTTTCGGTGGTGACCGTGGTCACCGTGGCCGAGGCCGTGGCCGTGGTGGACGTGGTGGAGGACGCGGCGGACGTGGCGGTGGTGGCCGAGGCCGTGGTGGTAATCACTGATTTTGTTCCAAACTTTTGAATATGGATTTCTGAACCCAATTTATTCCAATCTTGATCCATTGAGGGGTATCATTGTAAATGACACTTCTGAGTAAGCAGGTAGCTAAATAACAATCATAGAAGGTTGATCTGACTGTGAATCTCACAATGTGGGGAAATGATCGTCTTCGTGCCCGCCGCCCCCCACATCGACTATTTCAAAAGTGCCGCGAACACTACCTTATGTAGCTTCCATCGGGGCGCGTCGGAAAGAAGAGCCAAAGTGGGACACTAACCCGAGGTTTGTTAGTTAGTCCATGCCGCGTCCCGCCTGAGTCAGAATGCTAGCCAGCCTAGACTAGCTTCCCACATACAACTTTGGGTATCACGAGGCTGAGCTTGGGGGCCGAGAGGGGTTCCTTTCCTGTCTCCGATGACATGACACTCGTCTCAACCCCCTCCCGCTAATATTCGGTATTCCAAAGCTCACTACTTTATTTCAAGCGAGGTTCCATCCGCAGTGGATCAGGCCCTCAACATGCCTTGTCCTCCACGAGAAACGTTCCAGATCGGTTGGATATGCGCCCTGCCGATCGAAGCTGCCGCAGCCAAGGAGATGTTGGATGAAAATTTTGGCCTTCTCGATGCGCAAGATTTAAGCGACTCAAACATCTATACATTAGGTCGAATTGGTAAACACCACGTCGTAATCGCCTGCCTCCCGGGCGGCCAATGTGGAATTACGTCGGCCACGACTGTCGCAACTAACATGATTCGCACATTTTCAAAATCGCTCCGGATTGGCTTGATGGTCGGAGTTGGCGGTGGAATCCCGTCAGCTGCTCATGATATCCGGCTTGGCGATGTTGTGATCAGCTGCCCAAAGAATACCTGCGGAGGCGTGGTTCAATATGATATGGGGAAGGTCGAGGTTGGGGGAGAATTTCACCGTACTGGCTCTCTGAATAGCCCTCCTAGGGGTCTTCTTACAGCCATTAACTTGATGAGGGCCGCTGAGCTCACGGATGATCCTCACTATCCTAAGTATTTGCTTAAGGCTATTGGGAGAAACGCACGTACTCGGAAAAACTTCGTGCGACCACAACAGGATCGACTGTTCAAACTCGAGCACTATCATTATGGGACGGCGAGCACGTGTGATGGATGCCTAGCGGAATGGGAAGAGACACATAGTGAACGCGAAACTAGTGATCCACAACCACACTACGGCATCATCGCATCTGGAAATGCGGTTATTAAGGATGGATTCACACGCGAACAACTCAGGCTAGACACTGGGGCATTGTGCTTCGAGATGGAGGCAGCTGGTTTAATGATGGACTTTCCTTGTATCGCCATCCGCGGTGTTTGTGATTACGCCGATACGCATAAAAACAAGCAATGGCAAGGATATGCGGCCTTGGTAGCAGCATCATACGCTAAAGAGCTACTAGGATACGTGCCTATCAGCTCTGTGTTACAAGAGAACCTAATGGTAGATATCTGCGATATGTAAATCTATGGCTACTTTGTGTTGAACATATTACTTATACAGAACTACACAGAGGTGCTGAAAAAAGAAATTAAAAGCATCAATCAACAGCTTCACCGGGTCTATGATCAACAAGAACAACATCACAATGAACTCAAAAACATTGCTCTCACAGATAAGCAACGTGGTCACCAAGTTTTCAAAGTCACGAATTACGAGGAGCAGAAAAATATCAATCCAAGACGAGCCGAAGGAACCTGTCAATGGGCTCTAGGAAGCCTTGAATATATCCATTGGTGGGAGAACTGCGGCAATGATCTTCTCTGGGTGTCAGCTGATCCGGGGTGCGGCAAGTCTGTATTGGCCAGATCAATCATCGATGACTACATCCCAGCCTCCAGTCCAGCTGTGACAATATGCTATTTCTTTTTCAAAGACAACGATGAGCAGGATAGTCTTGGAGCAGCGCTATGTGCGATGCTTCATCAGCTTTTCAGTCAGCGGCCTTACCTTCTGCATCATGCACTACCATCATGGGAAAAGAACGGGGATAGACTTCGGCAAGAGGCTGAAGAGCTTTGGAGGATCTTTCTCACAGCAACGTCAGCGGACGTATCATGCAAAACGATTTGTGTACTCGATGCACTTGACGAATGCCGTGAGGATGATCAACGTCGTTTGATTGCGCAGCTCGGACACTTTCACTGCCAGTCGAATTCATCAACACAGAATGGCTGGTTAAAATTCCTGGTAACTAGTCGTCCCTATGATCACATCCAACATCAATTCCAAGCAGTCAAGGACTCTTTCCCGCATATACACCTCAAGGGAGAGGAAGAGAATGATCGAATCCACGAGGAGATAGATCTGGTCGTGAAGATTAGAGTGAAAGAGCTAGCGAAAACGGCATTCTTATCATCTAAAACGACGCAGGAACTTGAAAGCCAGCTTCTTCGAATGGAACATCGCACCTACCTTTGGTTACATTTGGCTATTTGTGACATTCGCACGACCTTTGAGAATAGCCTTCGACCTGCCGAGGAATCCATCCGAGTGATACCTCCTTCTGTGAATGCCGCATATGAAAAGATTCTCAGTCGAGTGCCATCTGAGCAAGTTGATACAGTGAGGAAGATCTTGAAAATTATCGTTGCAGCACGACGTCCGTTGACAACGCAAGAAATGGGCATGGCGCTCGGGATAGCTATCTGTTCACGATCACGACATACAGCAGAGGCTGGACTAGATTCAGCCCATTTGGATAAGAAGCTCCGACGACTATGCGGCCTATTCGTCTTTACCAATAATTCTAAGATCTATCTCATTCATCAGACGGCCAGGAAATTCCTCATCAAGACGGATCTTTCCAGTTCTGAATACGCATGCAGCCTCAAAGATGCAGAAAGCCAAATGGCTTTAATCTGTTTGCGTTACCTTTTGACAGAGGGATTGGAAAGAAAAAAGGGCCAATCAACCTGTATTCCAATCTTTCTAGAATATTCATCGGTGTATTGGACTGATCATGTACGGCACATGAAATCAACTGAAAATCAAGAACTAGAACCTTTGTTACGCGAGATCTACAATACAACCGGAGAGCTGTTTTTGCTCTGGTTTCCAGTATTTTGGAAAGCGAAGATGCAAAAGAAGAGAACGCCTATGATGAATGATGCAATTCACCTGGCGGCTCTGAACGGGCACGAGCAAGTGGTCCACGATTTACTCGCTGAAGATGAAAGTAGAATAAATATTGTAGACAGCACAGGATCATACGCAGTGATGTGGGCATCGCTGAATGGATACGAGGTGATAGTGCAGATGATACTGGACCACGGAGCCGAAGTCAATACTGCTCTCTACGATACTGCTCTACAGGCTGCCTGTGCTAGAGGACACCTAAGCATTGTTCGAATGTTACTGGGGCACGGTGCCGAAATCAATGCTAAAGGTGACCAGTATGGCAATGTTCTACAGATAGCTTGCACTAATGGTTATGATGAGATAGTGCAGATGCTACTGGACCACAGAGCCGATGTCAATACCCAGGTTAATCTCTATGGCAATGACCTACATACTGCGTGCGCCGAAGGCCATGATAGAATTGTGCAGATACTGCTAGATCATGGAGCCAACATCAACGATCGGAACAGCGAGAGTGTCGACGCCTTGCAGTTGGCTTGTACATGGGGATACGATATTATCGTGCAGATGTTACTGGAGCACGGAGCTGAAGTTAGTGCTCCAGGTAGCAAGTTCAGCAATGCACTGGAAGTGGCTTGTTCTGGAGGACATATTGGAATTGTACGTATGCTGCTGGAATACGGGGCTGGATAGTGCTCAGGATCATTTTCACGATAAGCCACGATAAGCCCTTCAGGTGGCTAGAGGATTGGAGGATATTGTGCAGTTGTTCAAATACATTCAATTTGTTTCTCAGTTGCTGTTGTACTTGATACAGTTCCTTTCCTTCCCATATCGTAACTATTTAAAACCACATTGACACCCCTGGAGCAGTCGTCAGTCCTGCTGCCTTGACTGGCTGGACACATCCACATGTGTTTTAAATGCATTCTGTTTTGTATTTGGTATTGTTCCAGATTACCAGAGCTATCCGCTTATAGATGGATACAGTTAAAAAGTCTGCGCTACTCTCTTGGCAGTGGTACTCTCTCAGAAAATTTCAATGTTGCAAGCTGATTTCGCTAAACACTGTACATGTACTCCAAGAGTGAGAATTCATGCAAATCTTCTTTGGTTGATTTATGATATGATCCACAGTGGGGAACTATCTATATCATAGGTGGCACAGGCTGCTGGCTGCAATATAAGTACCATCTTGAGGATCTCTTCAAATGTACGGATGTTTGACAGCGTCAAAGCACCGCCTATCAAAGGTGGAAGATAAAGCCAAGGAGATCATCTATTTGTGATCGGGATTCTTTTCCCCCTCTACATGCTCTGCGTGGATGTCGTTCTTGTGCAAAGTATTCTCCACATCGGCCTGTCGCTGTTCCTCATCAATAGCGCCAAAGATAAGGTCCATGTCTTCCAAAGTTCTTCCCTTGGTCTCCTTTACAAAGATGGCGACGAAGATACCCATGGCCGAACAGAAGATGGCAAACATGAGGAAAGTTCTCCACCCAATACTGTTGATCGCACGGGGAGTCACTTCAGTAATGACAAAGTTGAAGAGCCACTGCGAGGCAGCTCCAAGACCAACACCGTAAGCACGGAGACGAGTGGGAAAGATCTCACCGAGATACACCCAAGGAGTCGGACCCCATGAGAAAGAGTATCCGATCACGTAGAGATAGATCATAGCCACCATAGCAGTGGAAGCAGGAGAGACAGAGGTAGCATCCGGGTTTGGGGGATGCGTAGCCAAGACAGCGCCAATGATAAACATCATAGCAGCCATCCAAGCAGCACCACCAACCATACTCCACTTCCGACCCCAGCGATCGATACCAATAAGCAGAAAGATTGCCGTGGCGACGACCTTCACCGTACCGTACACACCTGTAGCAAACAGCGACGACTTGGTCGAGCTAACACCAATCGACTCAAAGATCTGAGGTGCATAGTATCCGATGCTGTTTGTTCCGGAGAACTGCTGCCAGAACATGATGATGAAACCAAGGAAGAACCGATACCGATTGCTCTTCTGCAGGCACTCCTTCCACGTCACGCCCTCCGTTTGGGAAGTCTCTTCTTCAATTGCAGCATAGATCTCAGCAATCTCCCTTTGCACCTCCTCGTTATCCTCGCTCTCATTACGAATATAGGCAAGAGACTTCAAAGCCTCGTCACGGCGGCCCTGCTTCATCAGCCAACGGGGAGACTCCTTTAGGAAGAAGAGACCAATGAGCATTAAACCACCGGGGATCAGTTGGATAGCCACGGGGATACGCCACTGGCTAGTTCCCTCCGGCACACGGAGAGCAACACCATAGTCCAGCCAGTATGCAAAAGTACTTCCAATGACTAAGAATTCCTGGAAAAGACCAGCAATCCGACCTCTTTGGGCCGGGGGGCAGTTCTCGCTGACAAAGACAGGAGTAATACTGGACATGCCTCCAATTCCCAAACCGGCAATGACACGACCGCCGTAGATCTGTCCAATAGCGTGGTGGGAGCCTACTTGGACTGCGGCTCCGACCAGGAAGATAGAGGCGAAGATCATCAGGGAGTAGCGACGGCCAATTCGGTCGTTGAGGAAGGCGGCGAAGATAGATCCAAAGAAGCATCCTGCTGTCAAGAGACTGACCACATTTGAGGATACTTGGGCATTCGCGGTATCGGCGAAACCGGACGATGATGTTGGGAGACCGAAATCTTTCTTGAAGCTGTCCATGGCGAGAACTGAGCCCATAACACCCGTATCATATCCTGTAAACAAAATTAGTCTGAGTGTCCTGTCTATTTAGAACCGTGATAGCACGTACCGAAGAGCAACGAGCCCAAATAGGCGACGGATGTGAGTACATAGACTCGATAGTTCTTCATGAACCCTGACTTCCCCATGATGGCGGTTTTGAGGCCTTGCCCGAATGCCTAGAGAGTAAAGAGAAAAAAGAACAACGAATTGACAAACGGCCTGCCGTGTCTGAGCTTAGGAAGATAGGAAAAGACTGGCTTTCAGCCAGGACGGATCCCCTTTATATTCGGGCCATTCCTCTGCAACGGAACCAGTGGGCCAGCTTCTCCACGGGGTCGGCTAATGCTAAGCATCCCAGAGCATATGTTGGCACATTCGCCGTACGACCTGCTAGGGCCTCATGTACGGGATCAAGCCGAGAAGATGAGTGGTTCAAAACTGGGGAGACGGGGAATGGAGGCCCGCATTGGGGAAATTCGGTGGGACGCCGCGGGGAAACGCAGTGGGGAATGGATGATCCCTGCCTTGCTAGTTTTTCCGTCCACTGGGGGCGCACCAGAGCTGCTTTGGTATGGCATGGGAACCTATATTGTCTAACTGTAACTGGCTTTGGTCCGGGTATGTTGCACGGGCCATCTGATGCCAAGAGTTGACGGACTGCGTTGTGATTCATGGAATTTGAGACGGTTGTCCGTCCGGCCCACTATGACTTCGTTTTCCTACCCTTATAAGCTGTATGGCTCGCATCATATTTGGGTCTGACGTGCTAAATCATTGCAAAGATACTGAGTCGCTTTTATTTGTGTTTTTGGAAATGCGATGACTTCAATCGTGGGTGATTCGAGGTTTGCTGACCACAATTCGTACCCTAAATCAAATGCCGTCGGCAATAGATCTCAATCGCCGAATCCCACATCAGCTCTCGGACTCAATGAGTCAATAAGTGCCGATTTACGGAATCACGCCCGTATAAGCAATTGACATCCCATTCTAGCCTGGGATATCATTGGAGATTGGGTATGCCGGCAGTTATGCCGAACTTTTCTTGTCCACTCTATTGAAGTCAAAAGCCGACAAGATCGGAGTCGGGTGGGAGTGGGATATTCATAATCGTGGCAATGAACGTCAATGGCTTACATTGAGAAAACTTTGTTCTAGGAAATACAAATTCATGAGACTATACATTAGAAGACTAGACACAGATTATCACCGACTCCCGTGGCAGCCCTACTTCGGGCGTCTCATTATGACTTTCCATCCTTGCAAAGCCATAATTGCTGAAATCCCCCTTTGACACGTTAATAAACCCTATATTTAAACTCTTGTCCAAGGAAGGGCGGGATCTCACCGTCATAGTCGACTGGTAGTTCTCGGGGGTTCTTGACCTACAAATCACCCTATTACTGAGATTTCCGGGACCTAAATTCGATATCTATACATTGAGAGTCTGTTATCCATACTCACTGTCGTCCTCTTAGCACAGAGCTCAGTAATCTCCTGACCAACAGGGGGCCGTTGATATCCGCCACCAGATCGCATTCCAGCTTCGTCCCGTAATCATTTCTGCTCACAGCGCTTAAGAGCTCGAGCTTCATCCTGTAAACGCCAAAGTTCACGGGCCTGTTTGAAACTGGCAATACTCTGCAGCCTTGCCTTCTCTGTACGAGCTAATTCCAGTTCTTCTCTTGGCCTGTCTTTTTTCCTTCGTTTGCTATTCGCGCTTCAAGACGCTGACCCATGTTACGCAGAAGATCTCGGTGCCAAATCTGTTACAATTCAAAACGCATGAAAATACGTAGTATTCAACAAAATTACGAAACTGAGGAAGAAACTAAGTGTTGAGCGCTGGGAGCTCAGCGAACAATCGTTCGCTAGTCCCAATCGGGTTAGTCAGGGTTCCTTCCCCCATCCAGGTCCATATATCAGTCGTCAGTCCTACGCGTCACACAGACTTCTGGATGTATATGCAAATAAAGGCCGTTTATAATCAATGTCCCTGTAACTAGACGTCTACTTGGTCATATTGCCTCAAGGCAACGGTCGTTCTTCCGATGTACAACACACTTATCCATTCATCCTAGCTTTTCAGCATCCCTGCAAACATCAATTTTTCAGTCTTAGTCTCCTAGCAAAATGCGTGATCGGGGACCGGTTCAAGACTAAGAACCAAATACCCATTGTAGCGAGTGTAAGAGCGATTGTGACTATCCAGTATAGCCAGAAGTCGGTGCCGACGTCTAATTTCTTCTTGTCTGAGTTGTAGTCGAAGAAGCTCATGCCGAATATACCCTGGAACAATTAGTCGCTGAAAATAATGCTGCAGTTATTGAACTTACGGATACAAATGTCCCTGGTAGGTAGATCATGCTCACGATCGCGACCGTCTTCATCATTGTATTGTCGCTGAGTGAGTGTTTGGCGAGCTGGAGAGATACTTCGTTGTTTCTTTGTGAGACGATGTTGAATGCCTGATATCTGTCAGTTTGAAATCCGAATGCTTTCCCTAGGTATTCTGCTGGGGAAGACTTACCAAGTTGATCTCATTCTGGAGTCGTTCACTAAGTGACATACAGCGAAGCTTTGTCGCGAATATGCTCTTTCTCCCAAAATATAGCTGTCGTTTGCTATCATCATAGTCCCACGGCCTTTTGGTGTAAGGAGAGGGGTTCGCCTGATTGAGCATTTCGTTCTCATATATGAGACTGTCGACAGTATCCAACGCGACATCAAGTATTTCCTTCGAGTGGCTAACGTGTCGAGCAATATCATGGAGGAAGAGGAATTCTGGTCGAAAGGTTTCTATCTCTTTGTGATACTAAAAGGAATTTGTATGATTAGCAACTGGATCAGTCATCTGGGGAAAAGAGTTGGATAAAATTACCGCTTCAATATCCCAGACTATGCCTCGTATTTCCCAGATCGCTTGATCGAACAGCTTCCCAACCTCCTTGACAAAAAATGTATACCATCCAAAAGGATGAATATGTCCGACCGAAGCAGACATGCCGGTGAATTGGTCGCGAAGATGTTCCGGGCAGTCGAGAAAGATTACTAGTTGAGATGACCGGCTGTAGTCCTGTCGCACAAACATTCCGAGTTGAATCCACTGATCGTACGTTCGGAAAGATCTGGAGGCCCGGAATACACGCTTGACTTTGAATTGGACCCAAGAGTCTGCGATGTCTCAGTACATATATACCCAAGTGACTGACATGATCAAAATAAGGGGAGGGGACACGACCGTAGGTGACGACTTCTCCAGTAATGTCTCGACGATATTCACCTCCCGAGGAGCCGTTGAGGTTTCTCGATATGGCTAGGCAAAATTCATCCGGAAAGAAGCCATGATTCCCTCGGGATATCCAGCCATCGATAGATTTGGTGGTTGCAAATCTTCAATTTGTAACATTAGACGGAGTTTGCTTCAACGAGAAAGACAGTCATACAATATATTTTGTGAAGAATCATTTTGAATCTGTGCGAGTTAAGTTTTTCCTCCAGGGTTTCTTGAAGATATTCAAGGTCTTACCGGAAGTTCAGAATCCAATGTTGAGATTCGACCATAGTATTCTCCAGTTCCTAAAGTGTGGTCAATAAGGCATATGTGCTATGTTTGTTCAGCATCCCTACCATTGTTTCTCTCCCGCACATGCACCGCTTCTGTTTGCGAATAAGTCTCGGATATGGGCGACTTTTCTGCCAAGAGCTCTTGGCTGGCGCTCGTGAAGGAACCTTTCAAAGACATTTCAAGCGACCCAGCTTTTTCAAGCCCAAATCTTATCTGTAGAGCTGGGAGTCTCGTTGGATAACTGTGGTTCCAAAATTCAAGCACTACTGGAAGCGGTGGTGCTTGTAAGAACGTCGGGAGGCTGGCGCTACCATTCTTGAAGTAGTCTGTAGACGTGTCGGCGCTAATATCGGGCTTATTTTTGCTGATCAATAAGATGCCCTGTCGGCCGTCGTGCATGACTAGCCGTCGGGCTATCCCGAGAAAGGCTGCGCCCAGCGGCTAGCACAGCATTGACGTGGCAGTGTTAATTTGATTCTTGGATTTTTCCTGTTTCGAAGCCTCCAAGTCGCGGGCTGTGATAAAAATTGTTAATACACTGAATTTTCTAACTGCTACTATTAAATTGTTATTTGGTTATCCAAGTATCGCATTGTCCGACTTTGGACTTTGGTGGTACACCCCACTTAGGCCTATCCGTATACGATCAAGCAATGGAAGCTCTGGAGACACCGAAGCCATCTAGAATCAGACAGAGGTCACCTGGATAATCCATCACTTTTAAGGGCGCGGGCCGAACCGACCATTCGGCAGTTGCATGTGTACGTCTCAGGCATTGCTAACGTTGTCTGTGCACCTTACGTTAGGGCTTATTTGGGGCTGAAAATGGTAGGGTCACCTGAAACAATCTAACTAATGACTGCAGCCGACTTGCACCACAATGAAACCAGCGCCAGGGGCACACAAGGGCAATTCGTAAAAAATAAACCGGATAGGTGGGGCATAATTACTCTATCTCCTCAATCTTCGGCCTCGTCGACCCCGCTTGCCCAGCCATTGGATTAACGGCCAACCCAGCGATCCGGTCTCCAATCTCCAAACGTGGTTCGTCATCTCCCTGGGAACCTATTCCCCACATCAACGACTTCTCCAACCAGGCTTCTAAGCTCTCGATCAGTGCACGCAGATGTCCACGCACAATGGAGTCTGTCTCGATCGTTTCGACGAAACTCAGCGTGCGCAGCATGGAAGGGATGTTTCCAACTGTAGACAGGCCGCGAGATTGGTCATGTGAACCGCTGTACGTGACGTCGTTAAGGGAGAAGCCGAAGCCAACATCCTTGCCGTGTCTTGTTTCGCGGGCCGTGTCTAGTGCTTTCAAGATGTCGAGAATGAGGATAACACTAGCACGACGAAGGATTGCGCTCTCGGGGGCAGGTTCGAGGGTGAGAGTGGCCAGGGCGAGATCCACGGCCGATGAAACGATGGATGGGCCGAGACCCAGGATGTTGGTTTGCACCGCCGAGGCGAGGATAGAAAGGGCCGATGCACGTACACGGAAGTCATCGGGCTCTTCATCTGTTGATGCACCGGCTGCCCATGCTGCAACGATATTTGCAGCATGTGCTGTCTGTTCGGGGGACTCTGTTTCGGAGTCATCGTCCTTTTCATCTTCAAGCTTTGGTTGAATTTGATCGGTCGGAATTGACCATCCTGCTGGCAGAGCAGCTTCTTTCTGCTTGCGCTCTTCTCGCTCCTTTTGGCGCTGCTCTTTTTCGAGTTGCCTCTTGCGACTCTTCTGTGTTTCGGGTCGATGTCCTCGGCGACCTGCTAGAGCAACCATTCCCTCGCCGAGGATTTTTGCGGTCTCGCCAGTCAAAGCATCACCCAGGTCTTGAACGGTGCGCAGCAAAGACTCGCCGAGCCTAAGACGTGAGTCTAGGGTTCTTTGCTCATTCTTGTCAACATAGCTGTCCACCAGGGTCTTCATCACTGTCCGTGGATGCTTCGATGCCAATGTGCCGATTAGTTTGATCGCATTGAGGTATATAAACTCTTCGTTGGCAGTTGACTCGGATATATCAGTAATAACGGACAGAAGAAGTGTCAACGTTGACGGAATATCAAGTACAGGCGATCCGCTCATGATCAACTTGGACAGTAAGGAGAAGCCTTCGGCCTGGACCGGTGGCAGATTCGAATTGAGATTCACCAGCGCTTGACGATGTGTTTCAAGGTCGGTAACATGAGAAGGTGTTGGTCTAGAATCATCATGCTCTGGGGATGTAAGCTGAATCTCCAGCAGCATCGACGATGTTGTTGCTGGCTTGGCCATAGCCGGTGAGAGAAGTGGAACCAGCTCGTCAAGATGACCCTTGACCGATTCGAGCAACGGCTTGGTCTCCTGGGAAGTGGAAAAGTCAGGAGATGCCAGCACGGTTGATAGCAAGCTGAAAGCGGTTGCCAACGACTCCGACGACTCTTTGTCAGGAGTACCCTCTTGCTCGCTCTGGCCGGATACGATATTGGAAAGTGATGACAGCGACACATTTTCAGCCCTCTGATCGCGTTGCCTAGCCCCAGAGCTCAGTCGGCGCAGCTCTCCATCAATGACTTGCTTAATGAGTTCCAAGACTCGCATCGGGCGGCGAGATAAGGTGTCTTTGAAATTGTCAAGTAGCTTTTCTGCCAGCTTGGCGCTTACCAGCTTTTGGAGGACATCGTCTGATTCACCAAGCTTCTGAGTTTTGGCACCCTTGTCGGAGACTTGAGGCTGAACCAACCAGCGCTCGCTCACGTAGAGGAAAACATCACCCGTCCGTTCCTCGCTACTGGGGTCTGAGCCCAATAGACTAACAAAGAGCTCAGTCCGACTTTGGAGCGAATCTATTAACTTGATGAGATTTGACTGATCGCCTTCCAGGTTCGTACGTCTTGTCAGCGCGATTTGTTTCTTTGATTCAGTGGAGTAGGTCCATGTTGAGCCACCGTCCCAGAGGAGATGATCGACGAGTTTTTTGAGTGGTTGAACTCCAACCGAAATGCCAAAATATGTTTGTAGCAAGGCCATTATCCTTTCGTGATATTCTGTAAGGCCATGCTCTTCGGAATAGCACGCCAAGCCCCATAATGGAAGAAGAATCGGATAAACAATCCTCTTAACGAGACCTGGGTTTGGATGCTGTAATGCTAGACTTTCCAGCCTCTCGATTGCCAGGTTGACCATACTTCCATTCACAAAAGCGTTTCTTGATGTCTCTCCTGTACTTAGAGGGATGGAACCTTCCATATCCGAGTATTGTGTCATCCATCGCCTTGAAAAGTCGTTTAGCTCGGCCGTTAATGCCCCAAAGAGAGGCTCGACGAAAATCGAGTGGCCTATAGACCCAGGAGCGCCATATGCGCGTTTCCCCAAAATACCATTGCCGATGGCGTAAGATGCGGTCTTCTTAAGATCTGGATCCGCCCCATCGAGTAGTGTGAGAAGCTGAGGAGCTATGGTAGTAAAGTACGACACCGGTTCAACGCCCAGCGGCACGGAGGAAAGAAGTCGTGAGATCTGCATGATAGCTTGCACTGTAAAATGCGGGCCTGCAGATGATTCGTTTTGGGCTTCTTGTCCCAGTGACGGCGCGAATTGCGAGGCAATAAACATGATCGTTTGCAAGACACCACCCGGGCGAAGCGGCACACGAGAAATCTGACTTGAAATGGCAGCTTTGAACCAAGGTGTAGTTTCTGACTGCAGAAAATTGGATAGCGTAGGCAGCAACACTACACTCGCAGTCCTAGATCACGTTAGCGCTTTTAAGGATTCCTAATGGGATTGAAACATACTGCTTGATGACCTCGGCAAATCCATCTTGGAATTTGGTTTGGTGCAAAGAAGAAGTTATGTTTGGATTGAAGGCTAGATCCGCTGCGCCACTGATGATATCACTCAGAATGCGGCCTCGAATAACTGGCTGGATGCTTGGTCTGGAATCCAAGACGATTTTCACAAGAACTGTCATGACATGTTGAAGAAGGTCCTCATTATGTGGAACACTGCTTGCAGATGCATGTGCCTGCTTTGCAATAACACCAGCCGGTAAAACAGAGATGACTCTTTGCTGTAGAGGAATGCCAACTCCTGATGACAATGACGGGTAGATCCCTTCTAGGGAGATCAAGTCCAGCAGAGCATGCAGGATCCGGCGTCGCTTCGCATCTTCGAGGTCTTCATTTCCCCGTGAAGATGCGGCCTGCTGAGACTCTGACTGACTTTCGGCTGGTGTGACAAAAGCCGTGTGGATCCGATATAAGATGTCCAAGGCCTGATTGATGACGGTCGTCCTAGCATCACAATCACCGGATCCTGAGTCGTCTGAACTCCGGTTCAAGATCTCAAGCAGCGATCGCCCCTCGGACTTATGGATCTCCCCTTCAACGCAGTTAGCCTTCGAAGATAAAAAATACTAGTAGTTGGAAGTGGCATGCCTCGATTGAGCACTGGGCTCAAAAAGTCAGTGGCTGCATCGAATGCATCCTGGACAAATTTGAGATCTCCCATCATGAACGTGTAGGGATACACATGATCATGAAATTAAAATTGAAGAAACCCCTCAACCAAGATCCGTAGTTTGATATCATCCCACTTGCGAAGGCGAAAGAAGCAGGCGGTCTTGGCATCGTAGAAAGTGATTATGTAATAGATTGGCGACGCGTAGGTCACATGACCACGTGAGTCGCGCCGGCATTTGATGTGCATACTGCGCGTCTTCGAGCTCCCCTTCTTTTCCCAACTGCAGTTGTTTTGTTCACCTTCCTCCAGCACGACTGATCAATACAAATCGTGATGGTTACGCCAATTCAACCATTCTTTAGCAATCTCGCTTGATCTACGGCACTGCCGTTGAACGAAGGTTTGTTTACACGCGTCGAAGTTCTACCGTTCGTCTTGCTCGAATGTGGAGCCACCAGTCTCTTGCCTCCCCAGGCACCATGTACAGCTATCCCCTCTTTTGATCCGGCTCCCATTACTGCTTTCAATGGCAGCCATTTGCAATCAGATTTGTTCAATTCCGTCGATCTAATGTGATTGTCTCTGGTGTGATGATGTCGCGATCTAACCCTAAGCCCAGCCCAGTCGGACTGTCTTCGCGACAAAGTTTTGTGGGAAAAGCATGCCGGACACTATGACTAGTCGAATTAGTCTATGATGGACTGAGGGTACGAAAGTTGTTCGACTTTTCCAGAGCCTCACGGCGCAAAAGACGGTTAACTATGCAATGAGTCCTCACGGATCACGCGTCGGTTCTCCCATGCTGGAACTCGCATGTTAGTCACAATCGGATGGTCGATCTATGCTGTGAGCGGCTCAATTTCAAGAGAAAAAGTGGGTGGAGCTCGTCGGGCACCTCAGTATCAGAGGTTGCTTTTGGGAGGATCAACACGACAGTGCAGCGGATAGGGATTGAGTGTGACGTTCGAGTTTGAATACCCGGGACATCATCTTGCTTGGTTCAGAGATTCGGCGCCTAGAATACAACAGCTACCATCACGCACGCCATGATGTCAGCAATTCAGAAGGATCCACTCGCCGGAATCAATATCATTTCCTTGGATCTGCCCAGGCAGGCTTCCATAGATGATACTGTCGCGAGGTTCTACTGTTTTTGTTGTCACCGTGGCCCTTTGATGTTTCTCTGCAAAGAGGACATCAAGGTCTCTGGTTTGTTGTCACGTTCCGGCCGGCAATGTTTCTTCCCAATCAAGATTGTTGTTTTTCATTCTTGTTCGTTCACATTTCTGTCTTTGCCTCCGTTCGCGAGAGCTGTCTTCCGTCCCGTACTTGTTCCCACAACGGAGATGCCTGGACATCTTGCCCCTACTTTTCACCTCTTGGATTTGTGCTGTTTCTCCGCCTAAAGCCAGCTAGACACCTCGAATCACGGTATCCGCCATCGATTCGGCTTCTTTGGAAGGCCCAGACTACCCGCATTAACCATCTCTTTGCAAAGTTGTTGCAAATCGATCGATGGGCGCCGGCTACACCAACAATGACCACCATTATTTGTTCCTCTCTTCGGAGAGCAGGAAGCGTTTTTTTCTGGATGTTCTTTGTGCGCTTCAAACCACGCCCTCCTGTGAGATCTTCGGACGGACCAGGAGCGGAAACAAAAACTCGTCCCAGAGGGTACTGTACCACACACATGAGACCGGCTTCATGCTCTTGACAGGATGTCCGTGCGAATGCTCGGCGAGTTGAACAATTCTTAGGAAATGGTGGTCTCGCAGGCCTGATTTGATTGGTTAACTGACATGGCCCGCTCTCAATTTTGTTCTCGGCTGCGTGGAGATGTGGACATTGCAAGTTGCGTTCACTCGGCTTCGTTCTGTACCCAGTCATTCCTCAACTCCCGTCTCTCTATCTCCAGTCTGTTCAACCTCAATCGATCGCAGTTGTTCTGGTTGCAGTCTACAAATTATCATTCTCCTCGTTTGCTCTGTTATCCGGCTTCGTCGTCTGGCCAATCCTGGTCGTAAGGTTTTCGAGCTTTCGACATGTATGCAAGATACAGGCAACCGTGTGGGACCTCTCTCGAGTGAGGATCAAAGCTTTGGCTTGTCCACGCTGTTTCTGTGCTACGTGTTGGCGTTCGGGGCTTGCTTCCTGGGTTGGTTAGGATAAGGCCTTGCGCAACGAGGTGGGTATCTTGTATCTACGGCTATCAAGAGCAGCTGAGTGATCTGTTGAAATTGGCTCTCTGGGAGTGGTTCAGGCAGGGAGCAGAATGCGCTGGACGGGCGATGGCGGTGAACAGCCGTTTCCTTCCACTTCGGTGGTTGGAAGCGGCCCTTTTTTTCTTATAAGTGCCCCTCAACTCAAAGCTTCTTGCAATCATGAAAGTGAGACTAATTCCTATTGCAGAAAACTCATCGTTGGCCGGCTTCCAGAACCATATCCATCCTCTCATCCTCACTCCTAGCTGGAAGTTATTTTTGCCTACTCTCACTAACTCCAGAAAATCTGCTCATAGACATGCTAAGAGATTGACGAGATTGACTAACTCCACATTTGCATCAGCCATAGTGTAGCTCCAGACCACGCAATGTGCCCAACTGGTTGGGCGATTTGCAGCACCACAACTATCTCGAGTGACTCACAGATGGTAGACTTGAAGCATTACTGTACCTCCTTTTTACTAGCTTCGTGATACGTGACCATTTTAGCACAAATGATGTCGAAACTTAAGATTAGTTAGCTTTAAAAATTAAGTTAACTTTAATAAATTTAGTTGACAGGTATAAAAGTAGATAAGAAGCACAGCTGAGTCAGCTGCGTAAGCCCCTCCAAGCCCCGCCACGCAGAACGAAAAGGAATGTTCCGGCGGGCCCTGGAGAACTTTTTTTGGCGATAAGACTTCTAGATTGCTCACCCACACCTCATCGGTTCGCCCTTTGCTTTGCCAAGAGAGAGTTTCTTAGCTTTCTAACTTACTATTTACTTCATCACACTCAAAGCCTCTTCAAAATGTCTGCCGAAGAGAAGATGGATGAGATGATTGACGAGCAGATGTTCCAGAAGCCTGGTGATCTGGTTGAGCGCGATGATGACACCGGTCTCATGCAGCTTGAGAGCATGTGCATGAACTGCCACAAGAATGTGAGTCTTTATCTAGGCGAAGCTCCAATGTGACGCGCGCAAATCTATACGATCCATACTAATCTTGTCTGTAGGGCGAAACCCGTCTCCTGCTCATTCGCATTCCCTACTTCCGCGATGTTATCCTCGAGTCCTTCGAATGCGAGCACTGCCACTTTAAGAACAACTCTATCAAGTCCGCCGGTCAGATCCAAGAGAAGGGTTGCTCATACACCGTCGTCATCGAGAACGAGCTCGACATGCAGAAGCAGGTCGTCAAGAGCGATGTCTCCACCTTCAAGATTGATACTTTGGGAATTGAGGCCCCCCGGGCAACGGCCAATTGACTAATGTCGAGGGTTTGATCCAGAAGATCCACGAGGGTCTGGCTGGTGACCAGCCCGCTCGCAAGGAGCAGGCCCCCGAGCTTCACGATGCCCTCGAGCCGATCATCAACAAGTTGAAGGATATACTGGAGGGTAACGGGTTCCCCTTCACCATTAGCTTGGACGACTACACTGGAAACAGCTGGATCGCCCCCTCTATTGGACAGGATCACGCCAAGAAGTACCAGCGCCGCGAATACTTCCGTACCCACGAGCAAAATGAAGAATTGGGCATTTCCAACGACCCCAACGCCTCCCAGAACGAGGCCACCACTACCGAAGGCGAGACCTTCGACTCTGAGATCGTCAACAACCAAGTCTACACTCTTCCCGCCGAGTGCCCTGCCTGCTACAAACCTTGCGTTGTTAACTGCAAGTCTGTCGACATTCCCCACTTTAAGCAGGTTTTGCTCTTCAGCACTGTTTGCGGTGGTGAGGTTCCCGGCGAGGGAGGCAAGTGGATCAAGATGGATGGCTGCGGCTACCGCAACAGCGACATCAAGACCGGTGGCGAGGTTCCCGAAAAGGGCAAGCGTATTAAGCTGTCTGTTGAGAGCGAGGTTGATTTGAGCCGAGACATTCTCAAGTCCGACACCTGCTGTCTGTCCAGCGAGGAGCTCGACCTGACAGTGCAGAGCGGCAGTCTCGGTGGACGATTCACAACCGTCGAGGGCTTGCTCACTGAGGTCCGCGACCAATTGCACGACCACATTTTCGACGCCGTTGGTTCCGGTGCCGGAGACAGCATGGCCTCTGATGATAAGAACAAGTGGGACAGCTTCTTTGCCAAGCTGAATGATGCCATCGCTGGCAAGATCAAGTTCACCATTACCCTGGAGGACCCCATGGCTAGCAGTTACGTGCAGGACCTGTGCTCTCCTGCCAAGGATGAGCAGATCTTCACTGAAGAATATACTCGCACTGATGAGGAGGAGGAGGAGCTCGGTCTTAAGGATATGAAGACCGAGAACTATGAGGAGGGTCACGCGAAGGAGATGGCTGAGAAGGCCGCTGCCGAGAAGGCTGAGGCTGAGGCTGAGGAGCAGTCATGATATGATTTTCTCAGTTGACCTTTCCCTTATGACGATTTGATATCCATTCATGATGCGAACGTTTTCCTTTTTTCCATGTTGCATGACGGCGTCTTTGTTGTGTACAGTGATCTTTCTCTATAGATATCCGGTGGTGGTTGGGATGTTTAGGGAGTGAAGAAAATAAAAGTTGTCTGTCTGATCATAAAAGTCTTTTATTCGTAATTATTTGACTGCTGTAGTAAAAGAACAGCTTGATTGTTCCGGAATTGGTTCCACGATAATATGGACAATAGTATCTTTCAGGCCAGATGCCTTGATAGTAAGGAACTACCCGTCTCAATGGCTAATAACAGCGTAGCATAGCACTCGGTCCTCAGTGAGTTGCTGTGGCCGTGGTAGCAACCGCACGCCGTTCTGTCATGAGGCGTGCGGCCCTTTTCACGTGATTGGGTATCTTGAATTCAAACGTTAGGGCGAAAACATGAAGTCACGCCTGTCCAGTGAGCCTGCTGGATCTTTATGTTCGGAGACCGGCCCATTCAGGCCGAGTCGGTTCCGCAGGCAATTCACTTAGCAAAGGGGTTTGCATGAATAGTAACCCGGTTGATGCGAAGCGCCTCGAAGTCGTCCCCCTCCTTCGGTTGAGAAACCTTGCCCTTCTTGTCAATCTTCGCCTTGGCCTTCTCCAGTTTGGAAAGAACGTCTCCACCTTCGTCCTGGGCACTTAAATTCAACACCTTTCCGAAAACCGTACTAGCACCGTCAAGATGCGGCGCCGGCGCAAAGGAAATAAAGAATTGACTGCCGTTAATAGCCGGGCCAGTCGCATTCTGCGAGCCCGGTGCTGTCCTATCCTTGACGGGGCGAGATGCCATAGAGAGGATACCACGCGCATTATGCTTCAGGGCCGGAAGGTGAATTTCTTGGTTGAGTGCGGACGGGTGGTATATGGAGGTGCCGCCCTTAGGGATCTCGAAGGGAAGCTTGGGTTTTGTCGAGGCCGAGGGCTTTGCGGCTGGTCCGAGGGAGATGTCGCCGCCTTGGATCATGAAGCCAGGAATGAGGCGGTGGAAAGGTGTATCATTGTATGCACCGCATGCGCATAGGGCGAGGAAGTTCTCTGCAGTCTGAGGTACTGCTTCGCAGAACAGCTCGATCTTGAGGTCGCCTTGCGTAGTGTGAAGCTAGAGGCAAGATGATCAGCACAGTATTCAAATTTAGGCTTCACGGCAGATCATGGAAGCTTCCTAATGGTGAGACACTTACAGTGACAGACATGGCTGTAGAGATAGCTCCGTATATGGGGTTAATACAAACGTGAGAAGCACTTATCGAGATCGATGCGGCGGTGGATATCGGGCTTAGTCAGAATTTGCGGCGGCCGCGGTCTCTCAGCTGTTTACTGTCGCAACTTCAATTCAAGGGTCAAGACAATAGTGTCCAATTTGGAACACGCAAACAATGAAACTTCGAGGCCATTCGCAAGCTCAGATCGACCCAGATATCTTCCCTTCTCGATTCACCGTCGCCACCCCCTTCTGTTCGAGCTAGACTTCTCCGTGCACACCATCGACAATGAACAACCGACAAGTCGAGCAAGCCTTGGGACTCTTAGTCCCTACACATGCCAATGAGTTGCCCCAGGACCTTCTTAGCTTGGCATTGAACCTTGTGGCTCAATCGCGGAGCTTCTCGAGCAGCTTGAAGCCCGAAGAAGAAGCCGCCCGGCCATATGCCTGCGCCGAGATCGCCTGCAGGAGGTAGGCCAGTCCGCGAAATCTGAGAATGAAAACATTACTGACTTGCATAATCAACAGATTAAGTCGAGCTCTCAAACTTCCCCCTCTTCTCGGCCACCCCCCATGTCTTCCGCGCGTTTACAAGAAGCTCTACTCATACCTTGACCGATCTCTCGGGACTGGTTCTGGAGGACTCAAGCGTTCAGCAAGTGTATCCGGAACACCGACTCGCAGTAATTCTGCGCAGACCACTCCTACCAGAACAGCTAGAAACACCCCTTCGAAGGCAGCTCCTACACCCCGAGGCCTCCAGAACACACCCTCCAAATCTACGCCTTTGAAGAGAAGTGTCAGTGTCGCAGCCAGACTGGGCTCACCCTCTAAATCTGCCCGGAAATCCATCCAAAGTCATCCTAGAGATGTCTCTAAGTCGACGATCATTCCCGATGCTCCTGCATGGGCAATGACCGCCATTCGCACAGTCTGCAAGACACTTTCAACCCCGGCTCCGCGGACAAGCACCTGGTCCAGACCTCCAATTTCCCGGACCTTGCCCCCTCATATCTTCTCTGGTGTCTCATCAGTCCTCTATTTGACATCCTGTATGGACAGAGACGAGGAAGGCTTCGACGAAGAAATACTGGAGTTCCTGGAGCCGATTGTTTCTATTGCTGGAAACGATGCCGAATTCAAAGATCTCGTCTATGCCATGGTAGTTGCAGTTTATTTTATCGTCCTTGCTCGACGACGCAACCCCACGTTGTCTGAGCACGACGAGACAGATAGCGAGGCACAGAAGATGGATAAAAAGACATTCACCGAGATGCGCCAGACTGCCTTGACTTGTTTGAATCTCCCTACCGATAGACGGCATCGGGATGATGTCGATCAGTGGATTGCCTTGATCATGGAACAGGGCTGGGCCAATGGGCAGGAGTGGTTCGAGAACATCCCACTTGCTGGAGAAATGCATGGCGAGGATGAGGAGGGTAATTCTTACCGCAATCTTGACGAGGAGGATGCCGCATTCCGAGGCGTGAAATTACCCAAACGCCATGACGGAACTGGTAATTCCAAATCCCGTTCTTCTAAGCCAGAGGCTTCCCACGGTGGATTGCTACCTGGTCTGGGAACTATGATGCAGGATCGTGTGGATTGGCTTAGCGAGGACCGCAGAGAGGACTTTGTCGAATGGAAAGCAGAGATCATGTCTCGCGTCTGATCTGTGGCTGCACAATAAATCTACATGTTAGCATGGGAAGGACGGAGCAACAGGCGCAAGAAATTATTTGATACCCTGCAGCGAAAACGGAATAGAAACTTCGGATTAAGAAAATGCGCCATGCTTAATCGTGCCAAATGTTTGCACAAATCTATCAAAACTATTTCCAAAATCTGGCTGATACTTTGAATCTATACGCTGTATCATTTATGAACTACCTTTTGAACCCGCTGCTCGCAAGCTTCCAGAGCCAGTGCAGGCATGGGATAATGCAATCGAAGTAGTATGTTTCCCACGAGACGCCATCGTCGACGCCGTATACCCAATGCATCTAATACCAAATGCTTCTAGTCCGGTGGTGCGGGACACTCTCGTTCTGCTCCGCTTCCAAGTCTTTCATCGTATCGTACAAGAAGAAGTCGATCAAGATGGCGTTGATCCCGTATGTCTTGTGAGACTTTTCCTCATGCTCTTCCGGGCCTTCGTAGTGCTCCTTCCCCTCAACCCCCGAGTGTTTTACCGACTTCTTGCTAGCGATCTTCACCTCAGGGTGCCGCTTTTCAATCTCACGCTTAATCAGCTCGACACACCAGATACTCGTGCCACGCAACTCAATCTCCCAGTTCGAGCCTGGCGTCAGAGGCTTCAGGCTGCGGATGTGAGAGTCCAAGGGAGGTGAGTACCGGAGACAGCCGAGTTGGTTCAGCATTTGGGGAATGCGGTAGTCTGCAAACATGGTAATTTTGTCGATGTCGTGGAATTCACCGAAGTCTTCACCGTTGAAGCATGCCCATAGGTCTGCGACAAGAATTTGGGCGCGCTTGAGAATGCGCACTTTTTTGCCGTTGAAGCTAGTCTCGTCGCGGAAGTAGGCGAAGTTCTCGGCTAGGAGGTTGACTAGTCCTGCGGCGGAGTAGTTGGCGTCGTCAATGCAGTTGACAAAGCTACCTCCGAACTCCTAGATATGGATTAGTGATGCATATAGACATAAGTCCAGCATAGGACGTACATTACAAAGGACGTCTCCGGCCTCACGCAAGCACTGCACCCGCTCTTCAAACAGGGGGATCTCCTCGTCTGTTGCAGATCGGAAGACATGCCTTAGGACTTCAACGGTGCATTCAGCCTCGTTTACCCAAAAGTCAGGAGTGGTAATTTGGATGCCTATGAGGTAGCTGTTAGTTTCAAAGACCCAAACACCAAAGATATGTGGCATACCTTCATCCAAAGCCCTTTGCAGAGCAGCAACCAGACTCCAGTATCCAGTCCACTTCCTCCCACGATACTCAATGCAGAATCGCTTCGATTCATCTTTTTCATCTGACCAAAAACTGAAGTTCAAGAGGTCCATCGTGAAAATGAAGTCCACGGTACTCTCATTCTTCTCCTGCGGGTGCAGCTCATGCTCCGACCAGGTCTGCGTAGAGTACGCCTTCTTCTGCATCAATCGCCAAATTGTCTCCGCGGCCTCTTTAACCTGGGCAGGGCTCAGAGCAACATCAATTGAGTTATCAAAGATGTACTGCGCAGCCTCAAGCACCTTTGTCTCCGGTGGAGCAGACTTGTTCGGCTTTCCACCCAGACCAAGGTGCTGGCGAAGCAGTTCGACGAGTTCAGGGTCCGCTTCATCTGAACCCCTCCGGTCGGAGTCATTTTCCAGAGATGGCATATTCAATGCCTATGTTGTGTGTAAAAGTGAAGTAGAGGCGAGTAATCCCCTAGTTCGTGGGGCTCGATGCGACAGGGACCAGATGCACTGCCAGGGGAGTGGCCACACAGCAGTTTTCCAGCCCACACCGAGGCTATGAATTGGGGATTAGACGATGAGGAGATCTTTATCGAGGATAGCTTGGTCTTCGATCATGCACAATGCGAAGTTCAAGGGGTTTTTTTATCGCCACGGAGAAAATTCAATGATTTCTGGATAGAAGCAGCTATTATGTAAGCAATGGCAAGGAGCGTCTCTGTTCCAATTTTGGGAGTTGATAGCCCAAAGATTGGGGTGCTAGGGTCATAAGCTCTTTGACAAGCTTCTAGCTATGCATAACTTATGTCTATCCCAAGATGACTATGGCACTTGCATGTTGCCGATGTGAATATAAGCCGAGACCACATACAGTGGTCGGCTACGTGCAAATTATAGCTGGAGTACATTTCCCAAGGTCAAAATACGCACGATTAAACAATCGACAGAGGGTCTAGAGTCAGACGCAAACCGGGAATAGGCCCAGACCATCCTTTCCACGCTGATCAGCAAACCAATCTATATCAAGGCCAGCGCAAAGGTGCAGTAGATGCAAGGCACTGTAAGGTTCCGTCAACAGGCGGCATGGAATGCACAGACAGTCTTAGGGGATCCTTATGCAATGACAATTATGCAGGATCCCCGACAGTGAAGAGAAGTAAATAGAGGGAGTAGTTGTGAGCCGCTAAATGACTGAGGCTCCGCTGTGCCGTCATCGACGTTCCGGTCTCTGCTTCCGGGATCTCGCACGAACACCTTCATTCGCACCGCGACTCTTCGCGCCCCAATCTCCTTCCCTCGTCTCGCTTTCTCTCACTTGACATTCACAACGACATGGGCCGATAGGCTCATCTCCCCCTGAAACACGCTTCTAACATACGCTATCTCCGCGCCCGCAATCATGCGCGCCAGCTCAATCAAGCGCTCCCTCGGAGTGGAGCTCACGAACAGCATCAAGCAGGTATGGACACTTGACAGTGGTGGAAAGCCCTTATGGAGCCCAAATTGATTACTACGATCCGACTCTGACCTTGCCCTTCCTTTCTTCTAGTCGCGCGTCCTACTTGTTGGAGCCGGCGGCATCGGCTGTGAGCTGCTCAAAAACCTCGTGCTCACCGGCTTTGGTGAGATTCACATCATTGATCTCGATACAATCGATCTGAGCAATCTGAACCGTCAATTTCTTTTCCGCCATGAGCATATCAAGAAGTCGAAGGCCCTGGTGCGTCTGCCCTGCGTCCCATCATCCCGACCCTCCCTTGCGAACCGCCCGTCGCGGACCCGGCGCAATCCCCGCAACTACCATGAGAGAGTTCTGACGATGGTTGTGTGATATATAGGTTGCGAAGGAAGTCGCGCATCGGTTTCAGCCTGGCGCAAAGCTGGAAGCTTATCATGCGAACATAATGGACTCGCAGTTCAGCGTCGACTGGTTTGCAGGATTCAATATTGTATTCAATGCGCTTGATAACTTGGCTGCGCGCCGACACGTAAACCGCATGTGTCTTGCCGCAGGTGTGCCTCTTGTCGAGAGTGGCACCACTGGCTTCAACGGCCAGGTCCAGGTCATTGAGAAGGTAAGTAGCCTTGCGGGGCTGTCCATCGCAGCTCGGACCCTACTGACAATCACAGGGAAAAACCGAATGCTATGATTGCAATGAGAAAGAGACTCCCAAATCCTTCCCTATCTGCACGATCCGCAGTAACCCATCACAGCCCATCCACTGCATTGTATGGGCTAAGAACTACCTTATCCCGTATGTCGGCTCTATCACCTCGTGCTATCTTCAACTAACTTTGGTGCAGGGAGCTATTTGGTCAGAGCGAAGACAGTCCGGAGGAACTTGATACTACCGAAGATGCAGACAATGGTCAGTTTTGGGGATGGAACGGCGACTGCAACCAGCGATACTGACAGTCGAATAGCTCAAGAAATCGAGGAACTTCGCAGAGAAGCAGATGCTCTAAAAGAGATCCGAAATTCTATGGGTTCTGATGATTTCTGCCGAAAGGTATTCCAGAAGGTTTTCAGAGATGACATTGAGCGACTCCGCGGGGTGGAAGATATGTGGAAAGAGCGCCCAAAACCAGACATACTGGATTACGACAAGCTCCAAGAAGAATCTGCATCTGTAGCGCCCGCAGTCTCAGTCACTGACCAGAGAGCGTGGACATTAGCAGAGGATTTCGCTGTGTTTAAAGACAGGTGAGGAGTGTTGTTCACCTGAAATATGTGGCTTGGCTGACCGATGAAAGTGCCGATCGACTTACCAAACGTCTGAAGGAGATGCAAGCAAATGCATCATCTGGAGATGAAAAACCTATCATCATATTTGACAAAGATGATGTGGATACGTTGGATTTTGTGACGGCAACAGCCAATCTGCGGGCTACTGCTTTCCACTTGGAAGCGAAGTCCAAATTTGATACCAAACGTATGTTCATACCCCAGACTATCTTGTAATTGAAAGCTGACTTCTAGTAGAAATGGCTGGTAATATCATCCCTGCCATCGCTACCACCAATGCCATGACAGCAAGTCTGTGCGTTCTTCAAGCTTTCAAGGTTCTCCAAGACAACCTTTCAAGTGCTAAAATGGTATTTACCAAAAATATCTGAATCTCCATCAATTGCTGACATATGGTTGCAGGTTTTCCTCGAGCGATCCGGCGCACGAGCAATCAACTCTGATTCTTTGGATGCTCCCAAGCCCAATTGCCCAGTATGCTCCCCTGCCCAGGGACGGGTAACATTTGACCCAGAGCGTGCCGTTCTTGAAGACCTGGTCAGCCTTCTCCGCGAGGAACTCGGTTACAGTGAAGAGTTCTCTATCATTAAGGGTGGTAGTTTGATCTATGATCCTGATCTGGAAGACAACTTGCCCTCCAAGCTCTCAGATTTGGGTGTCACGAACTGGGCATTCCTCACCATCGTGGATGATGACGACCAGGACCAGGATCCTCGTATTGATCTACAGCTCGTCATCAGTGCACGGTACGTTCTACATGCCTAGGGGGTTTCTAGCCTTTTACTAATCCAGATCTGCAGAACTGAACCCACTGAGGACTCGAAGCCCGTTTCCTTACAGAGCGTCCCGGACATCTCGCGTAAGCCCAAGCCGGCTCTCATTCCACCTCCCGAGGAGGCTCTTGTTCCCAACGGCGACGCCATCACCGGCAAGCGCAAGCGTGAAGGCGAGGACGAAGACGTGATCATGACCAACGGCCACGCTGCCAAGAAGGCTACCGGGGAGCTGAAGTCCAACGGCGATGATGCTAATCTGATCGTCCTGGATGATGATGATGGAGCTATTTTGATCGACGACTAGAACGAAACCTGACAGATGGCGGACAAGTGCTTATATTTCTCAAAAATAGAGATGCACATGATTTAACTTCGATTTACTAACCAGTCCTATTTGTATCATAGCAAGCAAACAACTACTCTGAATCAAGACAAGAATTCATGATTCAAGATTCATCTCATGCTAGGAATCATGGGTCGAGGCTAAAGCAGATCGTAATGTCGATGATGGTATAAGTACAGGATAGTCTTTTTAAAGGTCTTTTAGACAGCACCGAGTCCACCGTCGAGATTGAGAATGCAGTTGTTTGCATATTCATTTGCTGCCAGGAAGACAGCCGCATCTGCAACTTCACTGGGTTTTCCGAATCGGTGAAGCGGGATCAGAGCCTTGAGTCTGTCAACTTCGCCTGGTGTAAAATCTGGATACTGTCAGTGATAGTTACTCATAGCATAAGTACCTCTGCTTACCCGCGATCATTGGAGTTTCGATATATCCCGGTACGATGGCATTCGACCGAATCACCGCATCCTTCAGTGACACAGACGCCTCAACAGCTAATGACCGTGTCAGACCCAAGAGACCAGCCTTGGATGCAGCGTACGGAACAGCCCCGGTGCCAGCCTTGAGTGCAAGCAGGGAGGAGACATTTATGATACACTTGGACCGCAAGGTTTCATTGTCTGCAGCGTGTTTGCGGTTGCGTACTCTGTTGCGGATTGTCGCACGTACCAATGCCCGTGAAGTGAGCATAGCGCCTTCAAGATTCGTGCGCAGTATGTCCGAGATATCCTGCAGTTCGGCTCTTGGGAGGATACTATTGATAGAGATTCCCGCTGCGTTTACGAGGATATCCACATTGGCCTGCAGACTATTAAATCTCTTTACTCCGGCGATGTATGAGGAGGACGTACCATCTCTTTCTCCAGCTCATGCTTCCATGATCCAATGTCTCCTACGTCGCCAACAAGCAGACGCACTTTGCTTGACATGCCCGTAATGTTGTTTTCATGATTGTTTGAGATATCAAGACGTTTTGCTGCAGCTTGGAGCCGCTCTTGCGACCTGCCGATTAGAATGACGGATGTAGCTCCTTCTTGTAGAAACCGTTCTGCAATTGCGAAGCCGATGCCTGAAGTACCGCCTGTGACCATACACGTGCGACCGGAGAGACGATTTGAATACAGTGAAGGTGTAGGTTCATTGGTCTTTTGAAAGTAGAATCGAGTGGTTGCTGGGACGCGGAAGCCAGACGTGATGTCATATAAGGGGCGCGCGAAAAGGGATGCTACTGGCACCCGCCGGCCAGTCCTCGAGCATAGAGAGACAGACATTGCTTTGCAATCTATTAATTCGAGCCAGACACAGTAAAAGTAAATAACGGAAGAGTCAAGATGAAGCTAAGAAGGGAAGCATCGGGGCCGCTTATCGTTATCAGTGCGCACGGACCTCGATGCCTCGAGCGGCCTTTTTGGCTCTTTGAATCCGCCATCGACGCGACCACGCGACTACAAACCTCTAACATGGCAAATAACACAACCTCCGATTTCGTGACATTAGTCTCGAGCGATGGCTTTGAATTCGTTATCTCGCGCAGTGCCGCTTGCGTCTCCGGCACAATTCGGCGCATGCTGGACCCCGCGAGTACGTGGATCTGCTCCATCTTTTTGGACTCTTCGCTGATTCATGGTGACATATAGGCAAGTTCTCGGAAGCACTCACTGGTCGCTGTAATCTAGAGACCCTAAGGTACGTCCTTACCTGGCACTTTCCGCATTCCTCGACGTCTCCATCCAAACAGCTAACACCAAATCCCGACGCAGTGGCGTCGTCCTCGAAAAAAGTCTGTGAATACTTCCTTTACAACGAGAAGCACAAGGACCAGACCAATGTTCCTGACATGGATGTTCCGCCCGAGCTTTGCCTGGAACTGCTGATGGCGGCTGATTACCTGGATACTTGATTGCGTGTGAGTGCAGCTAGTCTCTCGTTCTCTCTAAATGTGTTCCTCCCTAACACCGGATATATATAGTATCCTTTCAATACTTTTGCAATGACTCACGGCGCAACGAGACGATCGAATATTCACAAGAAGATTAAAGGGGCGTTATCAACCTGGACCAACAGTCTATGTAACGGCGTTTTTGCTAAGGAATCTACTACTGGTCGAATAGAATCATCATATTCAACTTCTGACTCATTCTCGTTCTGTGAGCAACGAACAACTTTTAAGCCAAGCCATCGAAGCATCAATCATTCGCCCTGTTAACACCGTGGGCGAATGACCTAAAACAGATGGCAGATCAAAACACAATCCAAATAGCCAAGCTTGAACTTACGATACAAATGGGGCAGGGCTTTAACATCAAGGGAGGCATGCATGTGTGCTCTTCTAGTACCTTACATTCATCAGGTACTGGAGGAAGGACTCTTGCGATATATGTTCCCCTCCATAAAATCATGGACGCTTTCATGGATTACACAACCTAGATAGACATGCAGCCTTGGAGAGGATAGGTATATTCAGCTACGACTTCTTCTGTGTAGGTACATATGCTTTTAGCATGGTTACCTATATGACTGTTGCTTGATACGGATTGAAATAACTTCTTCTTGAGAAGATGCGACTGGATAAGCTTCCAAGTAAGTCTAGCAGAACCTCAAGATCCTTGATTAAGAGGCAGTGTTCGGTTAGAAGTCGAAGATACCGCATAGTCTTCGTGGCCTTGTCTGTACATTGGACCGCCATGCTCTACTCTCCTAGGGATTTGTAGATCGTCTAGATCACATTGCCCGGGACCTCGGTCTTTGCTGACTCATCCGGAGGGTGAGCCCGCTGAGTGTCGACGATCAGCGCCCTTCACTTTCCCTCATCGACGAGATGAAAGTCCCAGGAGCTGTGCTCACTGTGACCTATTTATTCTCCAGGGCTTGACTTCTTAGATCACGTTGATCCCTCGCCTCGGGTCTGTTCGATATCGAACGTGGCGTGGGGGCGTCCCCTTACACCTTCCCCGGATTGTTGATAGTGGCTCCTCATAGAGAGACAGTCAACACTCAACGCCCACCATGTCTGGTGTTGTCGGCCCTTCCGCCATGCCGAGTACATCCGCTTCCCTTGCCCAGGCTATCAACAACACTGTCTCCGCGACTTCCGGCAACTCGATCCTCCCCTCCTCGCCGCTCGAACTTCTTACTTTACCCTTTCGCGCCTTACAGCGCGCCGAGACCTTCGCTTTTAGTACGGTCCCTCGACACGTCGCGAGACTCGCTGGAATCGAAGACGTCACTGTGAACTTATGGAGTGGCCCTGCATCGACGGCAAGTGATACAGGGATGGCAGGCGAGGCAGCGGCAGCAACGGCCAATATGGCGCGTGAGGCGGTCGGATATGGCGATAGTTGGTATGTGACCGAGTTTCTGCAGACCATGCGGAAGGTCGGCGGATTCTTTGGCTATTTGACCAGCGTTTGGGCGTTCGCCTGCCTGGTCGAGGCTCTTATCCTCAACCGCATCACTATTTATGCATCCACCCGAAGACATCTAAGGTTAGGATGGGAAAGACGGCTCGCTCTACGGATTATTCCGATCCTTCTATTTGCCTCGCAAATACTTTCGCTTCTGCGTGGCATTCGGTGCCAGACGTCGCCCGATTACTCCTCTATGCGATACGGAAAGCCGGGGAAATCATTGATCTTCGACTATGCGAGTGCCGGAGGTGCTCTCCACTCAATTGCGTCTACGCTGTTACCATGGGAATCCGATGAACGGGCCTGCAGCGCCGTGAATATGGGACTTGATGCTACCAATACCGATATCCCATTCGGATCCTTTTCTCTCCTATGGCCGGTTTTCCTGTTACTTTGCCTGAGTCATTTTGTCGAAACACTTTCCTGCGCACTTCAGGGCCGGCCAGTGATGACCGAGACTGGAATGTCTATCTTCGAGCACTCCCTAGCTTTTGCTGAGGCCGAGTCCATGATCAGTAGATCGATAGGACTTGGGCTTTTCGGTCTTCCCAAGCAAAGCCCTCTCAACGAAAGTGGCTCGGGTGATAGTGCATCGCCCCTCCAATTTCTCACAAGAGCTCAAGTCCTCGATAGAATGAACGCCACTCCGGAACTCCTGCTCATTGTTTTGATTTCGTGCTTGAACAGCCTCTCCTCACACATTCTCGACGTCTTTGGGAAACAGGGTCGATACCGTCTCTTTAATACTGCTCTTTGGGGCTTCTGCTTCATGGCAGCCATGTTGTGGGGGATGGAAAGTGGCCCTCCAGTCAGCCTCGAAACTGGAGTGCTCCGATTCCCCACAGTTTGCATTGTCGGCTTTGTCCCCCATCTTTTGGTCCTCCTCGGCATTGTTACATGTTTCTCTATCTATGGAATTGCTCTGTTTGTTACTGCATTTTCTTTGCCCTTTGAGGAAGGGCAGCCGACTTCTCTTCGGGAACGCTTCGCGCTGGCTCACGAGAACATGCAAGGCTCCAACCAGATCCGTAGCATCCATATCAACAGACACGAAGATTTTTACACCACCTTACTTCGGATTGGTTACGTTGCACTGACCGCTGCAAGCGAAGCTGTCTTTTTGAATGAGGGCAAGGCCGTCGTTGCAAGGCAAATGACTTGGCTCGAAAAAGATCGACTGGCTGAGATTGAAGCTTCTCGCCAAAGAAATTCGTCTCACAGAAACTGGCCCAACCACGTTGAGGGAAGTCCTTTCGAGACTGTAGGCTTCGCTAGCTTTACATTGCCGGATCAGCCTTCTTCATGGGAAAGTGGATACAACAGGGAAAAGAAACTGGAAAAGCCGAAGAATGGATCTCGGCAGATGCGACCTCAAGCCGAACTCGGAGGTGTCGGCGCTGTGCGGGCATCCGTTCGTTTATGGCATGGTATCTCTTTCCTTCGATCGATCTTCTCGCTCGTTGTCCGATGGATCTCATATGGATTCAACCGTGCCCTTGATCGCCTGGGAGTTAGCTACCGACCCCTGTGGCTTAAACGCCAGTCCGGGAAGAAGAAGACCAAAGCTAGGCCCGGAAGAGGACCTCCAGGATCTTTAGACTTTTGGGTTCTCACTGACGAAGGCGAGCTTGAACTACCCGACAACCACGATTTCGATGTTGAGCTGGAAATGCGGAAACGAGAACGTTCCAGTCAACTGGATCGAGAGGAACTAGACGAGCGCCGCATGGATGAGAAACTATATACGTGGTGGAGGGCGGGAGGCTCTTGGGGCGATCAGGACCACACGCCTGATTTCGACCCTCCTGGAGAGGATGATGACACGACGAGTGTAATCTCAATGTCCACCAATGCCTCAGAGTCAGAATGGGAGGACTACCCGTCGGATGGCCGTCGCACCCCAACACAGGAGGACCCGTATCCTCAGTTCTCTCGAGAGGGCACACCTCATCAGGATGCTCTCATGGATTTGAGTGCTTTCGCCCGTTTGCTCGACCCCCGCGATCGCGAAACCAGAGAAGAGGCACGGATTCTTGCAGCACATCTAAGTCCAGGCCAGGGATCTGGTCGAATCATGACTCGCAGCCAGTACCAGCAGCAAGTAGAGCGGGAGAGATCCCGTGTGCTACTGTCATCCCGGTTGCACCATGCAGCGACAAACTCCCACGCTGAGCATCGGAAACCATCTGCCGACGAAGAGGCCGAGATGCTTGAAAAGCTGATCCTTTCCCGTCGTGCAGACTTTGAGAAGTCTTCCAACACGGACTCCAGCACCTGGGAGTCTGGCGCTATGGGTCTGGGGGAGAACGGCCCACCCTGCGTCGTTTGCCAGACAAGTCCGCGGTCGATCATCACCTGGCCCTGCCGATGTCTCTGCATCTGCGAAGACTGCCGTGTCAGCTTAGCCATGAACAACTTTGGCAGCTGTGTGACTTGTCGACAAGAGGTCGGTGGGTTCATGAGGCTATGGGTACCGTGAACGACGTACATATCATATCTCCCTTTGTATTCGCGATTTCAACACCTTGATTCCCTGTATCGGTCTCTATAAGCGTGTAGCACAATGCATCTACATCTCCGACTTGTTCGCGTTCAGGCAGTATTATGGTGAATCGGGCAGTGTCCTAGATACACATCTTTCCTTCTTGTATAGAGTTTATTTGGCCATTTTTAGTACTTTGCATAATCAAGACTGCCTGTTAAGACCATGTCGAATTCGATTTATCAGTCGTAAAAGACCTATCTACATCGAATCTTTCTTTGACGGCATGACGACTTGTGTCTCAAATACCTCTTCGCCATCGATAGGTTCACCAGCATTCTTCTCAAGCAAGGCCAAGTCCCGGGCATCCCGGCGGTTCACACCATCGAAGAGCTCATCAATCTCTTCAAGAGTCTTGCCCTTAGTCTCCACCCAAAAGAAAATAACGAAAAGCAATTCAATGACATCCCAGACACCGTTAATCATGTAGATCTTCCAACCAATCTTTTCAAGTCCAATGGGGAAGGCAAAAGTAGCCAGCAGCCTATCTGGTGTTAGTCAAAATTCCAGCGACATAATAGAAGCGAGAAATTCCAAACTTACCCAAAAGTAGAAGCCACAAAGGTATAAAGACCCATCCCATTGGCTCGAATTGAGAAATGCAAGACCTCAGGAGGGTACATAACACTCAGAGGAGTCCAGCCGAAGCTATAACTTCCCTGGAACAGGAAGATAGACGCCACTGTTCCATATATCCCAGACATATTAGTAGAGCCGCCATAGATTTTAGTCAATGCGCCGATGATAAAGATGAAGATTGTAAGCAGGGTAGTGCTGCTTATTGCTAGGAATCGACGGCCCAGGCGCTCAGCGTATAATGAGCCGATGATGCTGACGACGAGGCAGAAGCAGTTCAGGATGATGTTGATCTCTAGCTGGGTAGTTGTGTTTGTTACACCGGCATTGTCTAGCATGTCACCGAGATAGTAGGATATGATGTTGTTTCCTGTATTTGTTAGCCTCGTTCATTTGTTCAAAAGGAATCAGCTCTTACCGGACATCATTGAGAAAATAGCCACGGAGAAAGCTAGCATCATGCGCTTGCGATTTGAAGGAGTCCTGACGGTTTCGAACATCGTCAATTTCTCTCCCTGGTTTTTCTCCCATTCAATCGCACATTTGATCTCGTCGAATTGTGTTTGAACCTCAGCATCGGTGGTGTCTCCGTTGGAGTGTGTAGCCGCTAGACCCTCGAGAGATTCCTGGTTACGGCCCTTATGAACAAGCCAACGCGGTGACTCCGGGACAAAAGGCAGGATGACAAGGCAGATGATACTGAAAACGCCCTGGACAATAGATGGGGTTCTCCATGCCCAGGTTGAATCCATTTCAGCAGTTCCGTATGTGATTCCCGCAGCGATAAGAGCTCCTTTGGGTCCCTTCTAGTCAGTTTTCTCCTCCTATATCCAATATCTAATAAGACAGTAACTTATCACTTACCGACATACCAGAAGTCATAATACATCCCAAGAGTAAATGCACGCCACTTTGCAGGAACACACTCGGACAAGTAAGTCGGTGATGCCGTACACGAGATGCCGACTCCGAAGCCGATGATGAACCGGCCCGCGATGAACATGCCGATATTCTGCGCAGCCGATTGTATGGCGACTCCAATTATGGTGATACAAGACGCATAGAACAGCGTCTTTTTCCTGCCGAGATAATCGCACAATGGGCCATTGAAGAGACCGGCCACAGCGTTTCCTATACCGACAATCGAGGTGTTTAGTGCGATGCTGACGGTGTTGAGGTGGAAGTAATCTGTGTAGGATGGGAGGATGTTCAATCCATTCCTGATGAGCTGTCAGTCCATAAGCTACCTAAAGGAGGGGTTTTAGGAGCGGTATACATCATGGAGCCGTCGTAACCATATGTCTAAAGCTACATCAGCTATGAACTCCCCTGTCGATCCGGCTTGGCAACATAAGGGTATAACACGTGTGCACCTACAGCTGATTGAACCATGCATGTGAAGATAAGAAGCACGATAAGAACACTCGACGAGCGAGGTACTAGATTTGAGATATGTCGATTATCTTGCCTTGTCGCCATATTGATGGTTAAGATTCGGTATAAGAAGAAACAGCAAGTTTATTCATCCCTTCTAGGGGCGAATATCTGGCCCACATATATACCTTAGACATCATTTCAAGAGTGTAATCATCACAATCCATCATGATTTAGGTTATCTATCGCACGCGTGCGGGGAACCTCTTTGAATTCCTAATCTTGAGGCGGGTAGGCGGATAGAATTCCCTATCTTTGGCCGCGCACTAGACAGGATAAGCAACTTAGCCAATTGTACTCAGCATGAGAGAACGTTGTTGTACTTTTCAAGCATTTGGCCTATGCCAAAATTGTCGGGTAAGCCGATCTTCACCCGTGTAAACGATGGTTTCAATGTTATCTGCTTTGCGGCGGCGCCGACGAGAGGATCTAGCTTCTTGCAATCAACATCTTGCCGGCTGGCAGATAAAGAAATGCTACTTTGAGGCACGAGGTTCACTCACTTTCTTGGCCAGAGCTTTTAGTGTGAATTATGGCAATCAAGAAGATTTTGATGACTTCGAAAGTTACTAGAACGATTGATTGATTGGGAAATGCCTTGGTATTAGGCTACTATATGTGCTTGATAGATATATGACAAAATTAGAAGATAAAGATGTTCTGCAGCTAGCAACAAGCTCCGAGCCCAGTTCATCTAGGTCGTTCAAGCCATGGGGAATACCGCCTCGTCTACTCTGCCTTCTCCAAAGGGCGATACTCAGCTTCCCACATCTGAGCTTGAATCCATTCCCTGAGTTTATCATCATCTCCAGGAATCCCCTCCACCTGCGCAAGTCCTTCCTCGACAGAACACTTTATCACTCCAGCGGCGATATCCACGCTGATCTCCCGCACATCCTCAACATCCGGTAAGAGGGCCCCCTTAGGATCTTCAAGAGCCGGTGATCGAGCTTTGAGCGCCTCGACGGCTGCAACGAGCATCTTTTTTGAGACAAGACGAGTGCGTGAGAGAACTGCCCCAAGGCCAATACCGGGGAAACAAGTCGAATTGTTGCATTCAGCTGTTACATGACACGTTAGCTGCATTCTCCACAACGGAATCAGTGGATATTGATTCTTACCGATCACGTATTTGGTGCCTCCATACTCCACGGGGTCGAATGGACTGCCAGTAGCGACGAGAGCCTGGCCGTCTGTCCATTCATAGAGATCCTTCGGTTGAGCTTCGTGAAGGCGTGTCGGGTTGCTCAGGGGGAACACAATCGGGCGTTCGACATGCTTGGCCATCTCCCGGATGATATCTTCCGTGAATGCCTTGGGCTTTGTAGATGTTCCGATAAGAACATGGGGCTTGACATGCTTCACTACCGAGAGCAGATCCACCTGCTGCCCCTCTGGCCATTCATTATCATCTCTTGCGAAGGGGACTTGGCCTGGAGTCAAAGTCTCTCCGAGCGACTTGACAAGAAGGCCTGGCTTGTCGATACACCTGGGCCAAAACGGTTAATATCCAGCTTTGAACTGGGCTGTTGGACATACCATATCTGCTTTGATGCCTCTTCCTTGGATTTATCTGTCTCTGTCGCGATGGTATCCGCAATCTGGTCTGCAATGCCAGTGCCTGCTGTCCCCGAGCCAAATACTACAACGCGAACCTCGTTCAACTTGACATCGCTCACGTGCAAAGCTGCCATCATAGCCGCTAGGGTAACACAGCCAGTACCTTGGATATCGTCATTGAAGCAAGGTATTTGCGATTGATACTTGTCCAAAATCCGTCTTGCGTTTGGAAGACCAAAGTCCTCACTGGAAGTATTAGACTCAAACGTTTTCAACAATTGGTGATGGCACTCACAAGTGGATGTAGGCCGTTGGGAATCGTCTCCGTGCAGCCTTGACAAAGTTGTCCACAAACTCATCATATTTCTCACCACGCACACGTGGCTGTCGCAGTCCTAAATAAAGGTCATCATTGAGAAGCTCCTCATTCTATCATCGTAGCTCCATTAGCGGGGTCTCATCATGGAAGCAGGGATTCATACATCTGTTCCACAATCGAGCACCACCGGCAACTGGCGTGCCGGATGAATGCCGGCACAGAGTGTAGTGATGACCAACTTGGCCACTGAGATGAGGATAGCACCGACACCTTGATCTCCGATGCCCAGGATCTGCATGGTGTAAGTCTTTAAAATTGGAGAATTGCGAACTGTCTCACCTCTTCTCCATCGCTAACAACAATATAATCCACATCTTCTGCACTTCCAAAATTAGAAAGACATTCATCAATGGAATCCTGATCCCTGATGTTCAGGAAGCATCCCTCGGGCTTTCGGAACAGCCGGGAGTAATTCTGGATAGCATCGCCCTCGGTGGGAGTATAAATGATCGGGAACATCTCCTTTAGATGAGTTTGTAATAACTGCTCGAATTCGTTATTTCCGCTTCATCCGCGCATCCAAACAAGAGAATGTTATACATACCTTGTAGTACAGCACCTCACTCTGCGCCTTCATACTGGCCATAAAGGTGTTCTTGGCCAAGTCATTCTCCCTGCTGCTGTACTGTTGGTAGGCTCTCGCCACCTGCTCATCAAGAGTTTGAATGTTAGGCGGGAGTAGCCCATGGAGCTTGAAATTCGCTCGCTCGTTCTCCGGAAAGGCCGAGCCTTTATTGAAGCGGGACGAGTGGAGAAGAGCTGGGCCCTGAGTCTTCATTTAGTCTCCCGTCCACGCGCGAAGAATGGGATTATATCTCAGCTGACTCACTTCGAGTGAACATTTCAGAGGCCCAGACATTATTCGCGGTAAATGGCTGAACTTGGAGTTCTTGATCGCAGACATGATGCCGGTGCAGCGCATGAGATAAGAGTGTGCGGGGAAGGGGACAAAAGGGGAGGGGCAGGATCAGCCAGGCCGCGGATAGAAGGGGTAGTCCCTACGTTAGACAATCGCGTGCAATGATTCCAATTGATGTGTCTGTTCCACGAGTTGGGATGTTGCAGGGAACCCTTGAAAGCTTGTTTATGGGCTGATGTCATTCCCGTTTCTGGTGGGTCGAGCATTCTCGTTATTAGCGCGGGCCATTCCAGTAAGCCTGACTACATATTCGTGATCTTCCGAGTTAGTGAACCTGATTGAGTTTGTAAGAAGTGGAAACTTCGAAAGGTCTGTACCTTACTGCATCAGCAATGAGTGCTGCACTTCGATTAGGAGGAGGTAGCTCCAATGCCTACGGCTTTTTCTACGTTGCCAAATTCACTCAAGATCACCAGTATTCATATTAAACATCCACTATACATAACTGCACTATATAAGCCCTCCTCCATGAGTGAACATTGTACCATTGTTACATCAAAGAAAGGCAACTGCACCTGGCTGGCTGATCACAGTGCGACCCATGCTCGATAGAGCTAAGCCAGCACCAGCTCCAACACCAAGGTCAAGGTCAAGAGTGCCACATTAGATTAACTATATTTACAGAACATAGGCAGCGGCAGCGGCAATAGCAGCAACACCGGCCATGTTACCCTTGATGCCGACAGCGGCGTTGAAGGCAGGCGAGGTGGTGGCGGCAGAGCCGGAGCCGGTCTTGGTGCCCAGAGGGGTCGAGGTACCAGCCGGGGTGGAGCCGGAGCCGGAACCAGCGGTGGAAGATCCAGCAGGGACGGAGCTGGTGGCAGTCACGGTGGCACCGCCGGACGAGGAGCCAGTAGCGGAGGCGGAGGCGGAGGCGGAGGAAGACTCGCCGGTGCTGGAGCTGGAGCTGCCGCTGCTGGTCTCGGTGGCGGTGGCGCTGGAGGGAGCGCTGCTGCTGGAAGTGGAAGAGCTGGCGCCGGAGGTGGTGGTCTCAATCGGGGGAACCACGATGGGGTGGCCGGCGGAAGAGCACTGGGCGACGACGGCGTTGGAGACGGCTGGAGGAATTGTTAGTGGGGTTTGTAAGAGGTAGCAATTCATCTTGATGGAACATACAGATCTGATCCGCGACGTCGCAGGCCTTCTGGACGCAGGGAGTGATGTCCGAGACCAGGGCGGGCTTCTGACAGTGGCAGGCGAAGTCGGTCAGGGCCGAGCAGCCATCAGAGGTCAGAGCAGAGACAAAGCAGTTAAGCTGGAGGCTATGTCAGTTATGAAGACAAGTAGATAGCAGGAAGGACACTTACCGAGCAGGAGGGAACGTCAGGAAGCTGAGCGTTGGCCAGACCGGCAGCAACGAGAGCAATAAGAGTGGTAGAGAACTTCATTTTGATGATTCGGTGTTGATGGGTTTGAGCGTGCAGGAAACGACAGTCAAGGCTATAGCGAACGAGGTGTGTAGTCGAAGAAAGAAAAGGCTAAGGTTGGACAGGACATTGATGAACCTTTATAAGCTTCGCTCTCCAGCCATAGAATCCACCCTATCGAACCCTGTCAGGGTCACACTAAACATAATCTCCATCACATGTCTCCTCTAGCCCACGGCAGGCGTCGAGATTCGCCCACGGCCGCGGTTGACTCAGATCTTTGATTAGCAGACTGGGGTCCCCGGGAAGCTCATTTCAGAGCCAAGGCCGAATGGCTGACGCCAGGCCCTAGAAAACCTGCAGCCGATGGACCAGGGACAGATTAATTGGCTTCTCGTTTTGGTAACCGGTATGAGGTACGTACGTCGCCGTGCCAAATCAGGGCTAGGCAAGACCAGAGAGGCAAAGCGGATGTCACCAATCATGAAATGGCGCAGGTTCTATTTCGAGCTAGTTGCACAACAGAAAGGGTGTAGCTGGGCTTTCGTTTCCACTTGGAAGCTAGACCCTGTGGAGAAGAATCTCGCCTACCGAGATGCACCCGAAATTGCGGAGTTGCACATGTACAGCAAGTACAAGTATCAAGGGCACAGTTCGCCACCAGTAGAGTACAAAGGACGTTTGTACGTAATGAGATTGAAGACCCCAGACTGCTTCCATCTATGTACAGCACCCAGGTGCAACGTATGCTTGAATGAGGCAGCATAAATTCCATTGCTGGGTCATAGAGAGCAGCGAGACCGGCCATAGCCGTAGTCTTCGAGAACCTTTCGGTATCAACCGCAGATACCGTATTTGGGTGTTTTCGTACGGCGGAAGCCACAGGCCGAAGGCAGATCCGGGGAAGTAAAGTGGACCCGGACGTGCAGGGCTTGACATAGCGTAGCATCAGACTATCCCAAACAAGGACTTGATCCGACGCATGCCCAAGCCCATCAGCGCCGCCCTTTGTCCTTGTCGAGTCACACAGGAACAATGTTGATGTTTTAGACTCGAGTGCACGGTCTGAGGGATAATCAAAGAAAGCGGCCCAAGCCCTGGCCGTTGGTGCGGCTGGCAATTTGAGGGTCTAGTGGGCTTTCTTCAGCGACTGAGAATTTTCTGCTCTGATCGGTCACTGGGTATCTGGGGGTGGGACTGTGCGGAGCGATTAGCATCCGTGGGCCTTTAACTCTCTCGATCTTCTACGGTTCTTCCCCGGAATTCGTCCACGTCCCTTGGGCGGCATCCGCTCGATCTGAAGCGTACCTGCATGGCCGCCATGATCATCGTGGGCAGAACTATGACTCCTGAGTTTGGACCATGCCATCTTGTTGGATCGTATATCATTCGACCAGGAGCTACCCTGAGGGTAACATGCCAGGGCTCGTGCAGGGGCTGGGAGCCACTGGTTCCGATCAAGTGAGACATGGTGGCGGGGGTTACCCCAAGTCCCCCGAAAGAAAGTATGGGATCAGGGGTATGACAGGGTGCAGTGCCAGGAGCGTGTCGGCCGGAACGCTGGACCCAGCTTGGAAGCGAGCAGCCATCGTGGAGCCAAGGACGAAAGCTCTGGAGCGATCACATGGCAGGTTCGGCCCCATTTCGGCGCGGGTTGACGCTAAATCCCGCCACCAGACCCCTTCCAGGGTTTGGCGGGGGTTGCAATCGCGGGCGCGTGGGGAATTAGGCTACATTGGGCTTAGGTCTCAAGCAGAGTAATATATATCGGAAGTCAATGGACCGTCTGGGCATCCGCAAAGTCCGGTGGAGATGAGATGCCCAACTTTGGGGGCCATTGCTGGAAACTATAGGCCTCCATTTCACCTAAAAGAAACTAGAGCTGATACTAACGGGCTATATCATTTACCTTGGAAGTTCAGAGGGCATTTTAAATGTCTTATTGAAGTGGGATTGATTGGATGTTGGTTCATTGCAAGGTTGCGGGGTTGTGGAATCCGGGGTCGTGTGGTCCACTCACTGCCAGGTACGGCTGGAAGTGGTCACCCTTCTCGCCACTTAAACAGTCCTTGTTAAAAGTATAACATCCGCTAAAGAGGCGTTGGTTTTGATTGCAGCTTTCTCATGTGCTCACTGGGCGCTGTATGATGACCGGTCTGGGCTGGCCTGGGCTGTGCTTTAAGCAGGGGACTGCACCCTCACTGCATAGCGCTGACAACCCACCCTCATACTTGCGGAACAGAGCAGGCAACGAGTGAATTGCATTATTACTCAATTGTCATATTCCTTGACGAGGAACACCGGTCTCTATTGGTAAGGAAGCTGGAGGTGTCTCCATCAAGTCCATGGTTTCATGTACATCGCACCACTGCATTCAATTACTCTTACAAAAAACACCAAGTCATGTCTCAAAGCTACAGTCTGACTTTAGCACATCACTTTATGTTTTATACATCTTTATCACCTCAAACAGACCAAGCAACTCGCCAAATCTAGCTCAACCGAATCTCCAGCAACTGAGCGCCAACAGCGACGTCGGTACCGTTGACATCCACGTTAGCGGCGCGAGCACTACCAGTGGTAACATAGATCTTATTCAACTCGCCCTCATCACGTCCAAAGAAGACACCAGTGGGCTCAACAACCTCAGTGGGATCTTCAGCACCAGCAATAATCTCATGGCCAACAGCAGTACCATTCTTGGTGAAGGTCACCTGTTCAATGCTATTCCAGCGGCGGTAGCAAGGTAGGCGAACTTGTACTCCGAGCCAAAGGTCGAGTTGAGCGTGAACCCTTTAGGAGATATTGCAAAGTCATCGCACGCGCTGCCCTGGAAGATGAGCTGGCCCGTGCCAGCAGTGACTTTGTCATAGAACTCGGCGCGATAAGGGGCGCCGTTGGCGGTTTAGTAGACGTAGCCGTCGGAGACCTTGATGCTATTGATATTGGACATCAGGCTGGTCTGCTTCATGGCCTCCCATGTGTAACCAATCTTGGTGTCAATGGCAAAAATGGAATCCTGGTAGGAAGCACTGGCGAGCACGATTGTCTCGTTGGAGGCGGCCATGCCGTTGAATTCGGTCGGTGCCCCGGGGCGGCACAGGAGCTTGGCGTGCGGGTGATGGCTGTTCTTCGTGAAGTCGACCTCCCATATATGAGTGGCGTTGGTGGGCGGGTCGCTGATGTTATCAAGAGTGGTGTTGGCTCCAGCCACGTAGAAAACACCATGAGCACCCTCAGCGATGCCACTGAGTCCCAGGACGGAGTCAAAGTGCTTGATCGGCCTGGGGCGAGGGTACTTCTCGTACAATGATCTGCCCTAGGACTACTAGTAATCGATAGACAGTAACCTTCACCGAAAACAATTTATTAAAATCCGAGGTCGTTTCAATTTAAGCTCTCTCACGCGAATGATCCTTCCCCATCTCATAACGCGTTGGCCCGGCCCACTTGCCGTAATCCAGCGGCCCACTGGGGTATGGAGTTCCAACAGTCGCAGAATAAACTACTGAGATCGACCCAAAAGACCTAAACAAATGTCTGAAGAAAGAACCAACATATTCATCCACCCCAACGCTAAGTGACGGTAAATTGGGCGCCGAAAAAGGCTACTTTTCACGCCGATTTAGGCGTCCTATTTACCAGAATATTAGTCATTGAAGCATCACGTGATGTGCTTCGGCCACTTTTACAGTGTGCTCACTGAGTGCTCACTGAGTGCTCAGGGAGCGCTCCCCTGAGCACTCATGGTTGCTTAGGGATCAGCTCACCCTTCACTCAGGGTACTCAGGCCCGACAATCAGGCATGTCGTCATTGTCTGTCCTCTCTGACATCCGGGTGTAGCCGCTCATTAGAAAAATAGAAAGGCTTTTTTACTAGGTACCGAGCCACCTCAAGCCTTCTTTCCTAATATTTAAAGAGTCTTCCCCCGTCAACTCGTGGCTCTTGCTCTATGCACTTCATCCTCAAAATTCCAAGTGCTTTTATTTCCTCTTTATTACCAGCTTTCCCCTGGGTCTCAGTCATTACCGCTCTCTCTCTTTCTATACTTTTCTTGTCCGCGGCCTCAATCCTATCTTTCTTCTACTCCTTCTCCTCCTGGTTCTTCTAATTCTTGTTCTTCTAATTCTTGTTCTTCATCTCATTTTGACTGAGGCTGTTTTTATTAAAGTCATGACCATTCTTGACTTGTCTGCGATCAAGAAGAAGCAAGCGCCTAACCCCGAATATTATCGGCGACGTCGTCAACAACTTGAGAAAGGTATCATTCAAAGACGATATGCTGTCTCAACTAAGAATAATATTGATTATATCAAAAGACGGTGGAGAAGGTAATACCCTATTCAAAGTATCACCTTAGGATAAGGCTGATAGATTTAGATACTGCGAATACTTAGGGGAAGACCCTCTCCGGTTCCTCGTTGCGGCACGGAAGGAGGATATCATGATCTTTCTAGAGTGGATACTTGATAACTTTAATATTAAGAAGTTTAGCAGCCTATATAAGCTCTGGAGGCAATGGTGCTAGCTCTATCGCAAAGCTATTAGACGTAGTCTTTATACAAAGTGCTGCTAGGATATTAATGATATGAGTACTTAATGCCTTACTATCATTTTCACTTCCTAACAAAGTAGCGGTAGTATATGAAAGAGAATCTAGTCACTCGTTACAATCTCGATATGTCTGTTGGAGAGAAACCCGTCATAAACGTTGACAATTTATATCTTATCCTCTACCATCATTGGACAAAAGACATAACACCCTACCCTAATGGTCGATAAATAATATAGCTCGCCTTCCTCCTTCTGGTATCGGCTTATAACGCTAGTCGACTAGGAGCGCTAGTATATATCGAAAAGAACAAACGGACTAATATTTAGCACTTTTTTAGCAATGCGGACGATGAAGAGGATGAACATAAAGATAATTAGGACCTTAGGCATAAGGATTTCAAAACTCTTTGTTACGGCTAGATAAGCTTGATTCTGCTACCAAACCCTGGAGGCATTCGTGACCACCTTATCATGGAAATTGACTTGAAGCATACCAAGGGGCATCAAAGCAGACCGAAAAAGTGATATATCCCCTAAAACATTAAACATTTCTTTTACTCCTTTGAACTGACTATACCTGAAAGGAAAATATACTTGATGTCTAAAGTGAAGCAGCCTACCTTCGACGTTATAGCTCTTGTGCTTGCAATGGCAATTCTCGATGACGCCTTTTTACCAAATATTCGTTCGGTCAAGGATATTTTCAAGACTCGTGTATCCCTGCCGCGTCGATCCTTGAAATTGGATTTCAAAAAGGGCAAACTCAATATGCCTATCTGTCGCCAGCCAGTCTCCACCTCTTCTAAAATGACTACTGACCACATCAAACCTCTGAAGTACCATACCTATTTATATTTTCTCTAGCGATTAAGCTTGGCTGTAGGGATGATTCGAGCTATGAAACCTTATAATCTCCGGCGTGGTACTAGTGAGGCAGTCGACAGTAAGTAATTGCCTTCGAATACGGTAAGATAATAGAACTGACGCTAAAACTTGTTCAGAAACTGTATCCCTTCCCTTGCTCTAGCAGGTGATAGGTCACGTCTATGCTAGCATATTTCAGAAATATATGAACTAGCGAGTTCAGACATATGTTTAAGCCGCATTTCTCGGATTAACTTCAGAGGATGCATTAATGAGTATTCTTAGCCACCAAAGTCGCTTTATTGACCCTCGAGCCCCGTCCAAATACAATAATCTGCCTAAGAACAAGAGAGCTTCCCTTTCAAACCACCCTAAGATAACACGTCTGCAGCAAATGCGTGATACTCTCGCTATGGAAGCTAGGGAGCTATATAGATCTATAAAGAAAGCAGCTAGCACAAAAATCGGAGAGCTCAAAGCAAAGGCAGATACTACGTTAAGAGTAGCCAAAAAGAAGTTGAAAGAAACAACATTCACGGGTGCTCGCGATAATTTCTTTGCCACTATTGATACTATAGAAATTAACAAGCAACTTGATCCATCGCTATTGGATATAAAATAGGATATTTACGAGCCGGAATGGGTTATCCATTGCCTCTAAGAGCGTCGCCGAGTGGCAGAACTAATGCAAGCCCCATACTAGGAGCTTTCTAAAGTCGATAACATCTCGCGAAGGGTTATTTTAATTAATGCCCTTATTGATCTTGGTCGTGTCGAAAGGGTGCCATCTAGAAACTTGGTTCCAAAAAAGTGGGTACAGGCTACGATCACCAGCGAATACTAGGAGTCCTCGCTAGATGACCCCGCTCGATCAGAACAAGGTCTTTCTCCCTCTCTAGAGCCACGAAACCGTCCAATCTCTCTAACGAATCGGCATTGTCTCTTCTGCATCTTTGAGCCTAACTACCAATGCTATTTCGCATTAGCACGGAAAGCCAGAGAACATTTCGAGAAGCACCTCCGTCACTTCAAGAAAGACGAATTTATCTCATGTCCTAATAAATTTTGCGGACTTGCTTTTCGTGGAAATCAAGCCTTCAAAAGCCATGCAGAAAAAGTTCACTCAATACGTTACTTCACCGAAGCGCAGCGTATCAAGGCTAGCTTATAGATATATCTAATTGGTCGCGGACATGGGAGCCGGCTATGCGCTAGATTTCTTCTGCACGGAGCACTTCTGCTTCCTCTGAACAAGTCTATGTGGGTGCCGCCTTTGCTTAATCTGAATAGAATACAGCTACTTCATTAGCCTTGGTGTTTTTTGTTACCGCTGAAGCTCTTGGCCGATCGATGAAGAAAATTGTAGAGTAAGGATGGCTTCTTCGTCAGCGATTTGCAGGTTTTTTGTCGGGTGTACCGGGACAGAGGCTCACAACTATAGATGTGTATGATGGTTTGTTCTGGAGGAATGTGCTACTCGCCAGTCCGTTTAGGTGGTTATTTGTATCTTGATGTTCAGGACCTTCGTGTGTAACATAGCGGGTAGCCTCAAAATATGTCGTGTTCACTTCATCCAATTGTCCCTACCTACGTTCGACTTATTCAAGTAGACTTACAGATGAACTTCAGGACTGATTATGATAACTGCGCAAGTAAATTACAAGATAGATCGAAATCAGATTCACCATTGCTTCACAGAGATTCTTTATCGAACCCCCTTTCTCAAAACGCGCTATAATTTTTCGGTTACTCTACTCCTGAACCCTTTCTTGGGAGTATTCTAGTACACACGTCAATAACCAAAAAAAAAAAAAAAAAAAAAAATAGCTTCCGTATTAATGCTGTATGGGGAACTCTGAGATAATGGAAAAGAGAACGCAGCAGGGCGATCAAGTGTGCTCGACCTTCCTCTACACAGCCTTATCCCGTTCCTGCTGAGCTCTCCTTGCTCGTTCTTGCCTTCTTTGTTCGGCGTCCGCTCGTTCTTTTTGATTTCGTTGTGCTCTCTCAATTCTCTTTCTTTGAGATTCCTCGTTCTGTTGACTGAACCTCGCCTGGCGAGCCGCTTTTCGCCCGCGAGAAATCTCGATGTCTTCCATCATTTTACCAATATTCTCAAGTTTCCTTTCCATTGCAGTATTTTGTAGCTCGAGCATACGTCGAAAGTTCATCGTCTTCGCCTCAGCTAGCAAATTACCTGGGTCAGAATAATCGCTTCGCTGCTTAGGTGATTGGTACAGAGCTACCAGTGGAACATGGGGGTTTCTAATATCCCAGAACGTGCGCAGAAACTGGTTTAGCTTATACATAGGATTTAGTCACTTTGATAATATGTAGGAAAAAGGACTCCCAGCATACCTGTCCACCAAAAGCTTTTTCAAATTGTGCTCCTCCCAGTCGTTTCAATATTGCTAAAACATTATGTGCACTCCTCGCATATTTGCCGATTGTTGCTGCGTTCACAACAACTCGGTGCACCGCGCAATGTCGGATTTGCCGAATGCTATGTAAATCAGAGCAGAATGATTCACGTTCTTCTTCCGATATGTCACAAGACTGGAAGACTCCCTTGTGATGGAAACAAAAGAACTCGGTCACTTTTTCAGAGAGCCGACTTAGTTCTGCCGCCTCGGGGCAAGACCAGTGACATTCATCGGCCAAGCGTGGAGCTACTGTGCGGCAAAACTGATATAAGAAGAACTCCAGTTGGGTTTGCCATCGACAAAGGAGTTTGTGTCTTTTTTGAAAGCTGTGCTGCGTTAGGCATTCATCATTGTCGCTGACGGAATTAGCACTCTTGCCTATCAGCCGTTGTACCTGCATCAACCGATTCTGAGTCCGTGTGGTTAGTCAACACCATTTTGATTTGCTGGGCTGGCACATGAGGTTTCCATTCACTATGTATCAGAGGAAAGCAGATAGAACGTATAAATGAAATGGGGTTTCACAAATATAAGACCGTTATGACGCCACTCAGATCTATGACGTGAAGACTTCAGGAGCCAGGGCAGTTACCATTCTACGAGTGACTAAGCTAAGAGATAGGTTAGATAGACTAGTGTTTTTTTCAGCATAGGGTTTGAGAGAGGTATATTTGCTCATCTGGTGAGACTGATTTTGATCCATCCTGTACGGCAGAGACTTGGATTCAATACTGTAATGACATTGGTTTCGGGACGCTCTGGATAGCCACGCTTAGCCTGCAGGCTACAATGTTGTTTGACTTGGTACTTATCCTTACGCAGTCCTTACAATACAATACAGCCTGCATCGCCACAGTATAGCATCCCTAGGTGTATACCGCGTAAGTAATGAAATGTTTCGGAATTGTCATGTACTGTAACACCTAGCTTGTAAGTATCTGGCAATCCAATAAAGACGCCTTTTTATTCTAGGCCTGCATATCCGTAAAATTGTTGAAGGAAACAAACACATGTCGTGGAACACTGAAAACAAAGGACCCGCGGTGAACGGCCAACGAACAGTTCTCACCAAAATCTCGTTGGAATAGAATTACAAGCTTGAGGCTAGACTATCTGAGATTGATGGTCTAATCCCTTGTAGCTTCTTTGTGCCCGGGTCCTTGCAAGACCATGTCTATTCACGTTGCAAAGCCAGTAAACGTTTAAAAACGTTAAAAGCGTTCAAATTTATCTTTTGAACCTTTTTTTCAATAATTTTTATTTTTTTCCCCCACTTACTCGAATGCGGGGCCTGTCTTGCGGTACGTCAATTGTCAAAGACTTCAGAATTCATCGAATCTATTGTTCGTATTCGATAAAAAAATTTCATTGTGAACGGGCGAATCCTCAGCGGGAGGGTGAAATGAAAAAGAGCCCGTCAGGACGTTGTCTTTGCAGGAGGACGTATTGCCTACTCTTGTTCAACAATTACCTGTCAGATAAACGCATGATGAGCCGAAGATGATAGCCACTCACCCAAGGTCAAAGTTTCAAGTCAGCATGAACGATAATTTCTCACCGTTGTTGGGGCATCTGCCGCTCCGCACTCCTTGATTGCGTCTTTTGACCGTTTGTCGTTAACCGTTTCTCGTTAACCGTTTGTCGTTTCACCGTGAAAATCCCGATTACTGAGATGGCCATCGGGGGCTGGGATAACGTGCATACATATATACCTGTCTACCAGCCCCTTGTATCTAACACACTGAATACAATAAACTCCCTCAATAATAATATGAACAACGCAGCATCACTTATCAAACAACATCAACCGTTTGCCGTTCACCGTTCGTCGTTAAACCTTTGTCGCCGGTCACCATTAGTCTGCCACTCATTGATAACCATTCATTGCTGACAATTTCTTTGTTGACCCTTCTCTACTTAAGCGGTCTACTTCTTGAAATATCCCGGTTACTGAGATAATGATGAGGCTGGGATCACGTGCATGCATGTATACCTGTTCACCAGCCTACTTGTATCTTAGAGAACAAGCAACACAACACACAATCAAATCCCCTCAATAACATGAACGCTGAAGCATCACTTATCAATCAACAAACCATACCACTTAACCATACCACTTCGTTCAATCACAACGCTGGACTACCTTCATTGAATGTCTAGACTCCATAACCATTTCCATTCAGGGATCGCAGTATCCAATGCGTAGGGCAGCAACTACGGCAACGCTCTCCAGGCCGCTTCGTTTAGAGGCCATCAAGAAATTGCGAATCTACTCTTGGACAACGAAGCGAACGTTCACGCACACGGCGGCGACTACGGCGCCGCTTTTTCTATGCCACGTGCCGAGCCAACGAAGAGATTTACACAATGCTTGTAGAAAAGGCGCGCTTCAACATCATCTTCAAAGCTGTACGGCTCTACTACTCCAAGCTCCGGCTCTGATACTCCACGTCTCGCCAAGAAATGATGTCTTTCATGCTCTGAACCTTCTGATCAAATTTGATGATTTTTTCAGTAGTCTATACCATGCTGTTCAGTACTTAGCTTCAGGCTTATCAGTGGCCGTCATACGACCGCACATCAGATAGATGTTCATCGACGGACTTCAATTGAATGTCGTTAATGGGAGGGGCTACGGTAACATGCACCGAACTTGGGGGATATCACCCTCAGATCTTTAGTGCTGAATAACTCCGAGCCTCCTTATCAGAACGCCACACTAAAGGTAGCCCTGTACGCGGGTCCTGAATGATAGGTGCAACTATAGAACACCAAAGTAAAATCCGAACACGATTTCGAAAAGGTTACTAACTTAATCAATTAGGCACTATCTCGCCAAAATTGCTCTTCTCTGGCAGTGATGACAATAAATGTAGTTGAGCTGACAGAGTGGGCCTGCTAAGCACGGTCTGGCTTGAGGGCTTTTTACAAACAATTCAGGAGGGCAAGGTCACCCTATCGGCCGGGCATGAGAAATCGTTATGAAGGCCCCGAAATCGGATGCTAACAGAAAGGGCGAGGCCCATGCAAGCAGTGAAGTGCTTGAACGATGGAGTAAAGCTCATTTCCGTTTTTTTTCTTTTTTTCTCATTCACTGAGGTATCATCCTCGGAACCCTCTCAGGGGACATCAAATTCGTCACTATGAAAATTGACCTCGCTATTTTGGTTTTTGCTACGGCTAGGGCACATCTGGCACAAGCCCATGGCCATGATCATGGGTTTCTTCACAGACGTGCCACGACAACAACAGACAGTGTTTCAGCATTGTCGAGCCCAGACAAACCAACATTGACAGGCACGATTAGCAATTGCAATCAATGGTACGATGTCGTCTCGGGAGATTCTTGCTGGAGCATCTCCCAGGCTTTTGGTATTACACAGGCCCAATTTCAGGCTTGGAATACTGCTGTAGGTGACTCGTGTATAGTGGAAATCGGGGTTTCATACTGTGTCGGGGTTGGCCAAGCGGTATCAACATCAACAACCCCCAGCACGGCCGCGAGCTCTACAGCATCTACGAGCTCAATTGGAAGCTCCACCGTGATCTCCACCGGCACAATCACGGCGAATTCCACATCTGCGACGCCTTACTCTACTCTTTCTTACAACACGACGACGAACCCTGTCACCATTACGAACTCCACCTGGCCACCTTCTCAAACGCAGATCGGCCAACCTTCTTACTGTTAGTCCTGTCTTATTAAGTTTTGATTGTTCACAACTGACCTGATTTTGAGGTGATAATTGGTATCAGGCAAAGCAAGGCGATACTTGTAAGAGTATTGTGTTCAGGTACTCCACGTGGATGGATCAAGAAGATTTGTGAGTGATGTCCCAATGAGAAGTGAAATGTTAGACCAAAGATTAAGATCAAATTTGCAGTCTGGACTGGAATCCAGCTGTTGGCGAAAACTGCACGAGTATATATTTCGGATACTGGTACTGTGTCGGCATCAAACCCCAAGTCTCAAACTATGACAATGGGACAACCGCAGCCTGGTACCCGACGTGGACATACACTGTCCCTGTAGCAACAGATACAGATTTTCTCCCCAGCCCTACTCAAAGCGGCATTGCCACTGGTTGCCAGGACTATTATATCGCAGACGAGGTAGGTCTGATACCTTTAGCCTCATAAGGTTGAAACTAACAGATCACAGACCGATACCTGCGCTGGTATCGTTTCCTCTGAAGGCTTTTTGACCGAAGATCAATTCATTGAGTGGAATCCTGCCGTTGGCACGGACTGTTCCGGTATTCAGTCGGGCTACTACTACTGTATCTAGAACGGGACTTCCTTACCCATGCCATCAACAACCACCGTGCTGCCATCACCCGTGCAAACGGGAATCACCTCTAGCTGCACAGCGTGGTACCTGGCTAGCGATGGTGATGACTGTGATCTGATCCCAGAAGAGTTCGGTACTTTCTCCAAATCTGATTTCCTCAATTGGAACCCGGCTGTCCAGTCTGATTGCTCCGGTTTGGTTATCGGCGATTATTATTGCGTTGCTATTCCAGACACGCCCACCACTCGAACGGCATCCTTGACAGCCCTTCCAACTCCAACTACGCCATCTGATACAATTTCAGATTGCGCAGACTACTGGCTGGTCGGAACGTAAGTTACCCTCTAATCCCTTGATGCTATAGGCTAATGATGAAAGGAATGATAATTGCACTGCAATTGCCAGTACCAATGGAATCTCCGTGACTAATCTTGAGGCCTGGAACCCTTCGCTTGGACCCGATTGCAGTGGATTGACCGCAGACACCTATATCTGTGTTGCCGCTCCCAGAAATACCAGCACATCGTCAACCTCGAGCTCAATTTCTTCAGGGAGCACTATTACGCCGCCATCATCCACACCCGCTCAGACTTCCGCGACCGCCACATCTGCTGGGGCCAGCCCATCTCCTGTCCAGGTATGTAACGATAGTACATTTTATCTCTTTCGGTGCATGACTGAGTGATCTACGCAGACTGGAATGGTCAGCGGCTGTATTCGATTCTACAAAGTCGAAGATGGGAACGACTGTTATGATATTGCGCAAGAGGCCGGCGTGGCACTTGCTGACTTATACTCTTGGAATCCTGCACTCAATGGCGACTGCTCAGGTCTACAATCGGGAGTATTTGTTTGCATTGGCGTGTCAGGATACGCAACTACGATCACTACTGGCACGCCTGTTCCCGTAACCCCAACCCCAACCCAAGTGAGTCTTCTTCCTCTTCCCAATGGCTGAATCAGAGTCCTTATACGATTCTAGACCGGTATGGTGTCTGGGTGTCTTCGATTCTATGACGTGCAGAGCGGAGAAGGTTGTGCGGATATAGCATCTGAGGCAGGTGTTGCTCAAACGTACGTTACCCGTTGCTCTCATTTGCAGGATTATACGGCCCGGTGACTTACTAACAATGCACAGTGACTTTTATAATTGGAACCCGGCCGTGAGCACCAACTGCGCCGGATTACAAGCTTCTGTCTTTGTGTGCATCGGAACTACCGGTCCAATCACGACAATCACTAGTGGAACCCCAGTACCAGTCACATCCAAGAGCTAGAAAAGAATTGGGGGATAGAATGTCAAGATAGCTGGTAGGAATGACTCCTCAAATAATCTGATTGGTAGTATATATTCACCCTAGCATGGGTCTTTCCATCACCAAGGGGTCCGTCCATACAGTCTCTGTAAGCTCCCACTCCGCTTGACAGGGCATAGTTGCTTTGAATTGTTGGAACTGAGCATGCCAATTATATGGAACACAAACTTGTAGTCGAGTCCACTTGCGGCCTTTTGAAAGTCTTTCAAGTGGCGCAAGAAGTTTTCTCAGCCTCTCGTCGTTGAAGAACTCGGACAAAACCTCCCAGGACAGGACTCGAAGTTCCAAGCGTAGCTGATGCACACCTTGAAAATTTTGCTCGAATAACTTGAAGAGCGCCACATAAGTTGCCATCCAATCGCTCTCGTATTGATCTGGTCTACAGATATCCACAGAAAATGAGATGTCCATAGCTGTGATCAGAGATGCACAGCGCGGTGATAAGAGTCGCGACATAAGAAACGGAGTGTCCATGGCCTTATTCATCGCGAAGACATTTGTCTCATAAAGAATTGCTGATGCTTCCTCATAGCTGCACCAAATGTGAGACACGGTCCAGATATCGAATTATTTTCCACTTACCCAATTTGGCAGCTCCTTAACAACTCTACGCCACCAATTTTAGATCTTTTCTGCATGAGGCCCGCCTCAGTACTCCAGTCTGGACAGCAATCAATGTCAGGGTCCTCAGGGAAGCGATCACATTGTTCGCAAACAATGTGCCACCAATCCCAGCGGGGCCCGCCACGTTTCGGCTGCGGTCGAAATGGCGACGGGTCCTTCCAGAGATACCGGATGTGCACTCGGCGACCACCCATAAGCTCAAGATATATCTGCCTCCTTATCTCAGCTGGTAGGCGGAAAAATGGACTTTGCGGTTGGGGATAGAGCCTTTGAGCACCAAGCATTCGCAGGCGGTCTTCTGGTGGTGGAATTGGAAGCTTCCATCGATTAAATATATCGCCATTGATCTCACAGGTAGAATCTGAAATTCCTATTGCGACTGGAGAATTTTCTTTCAGTGTGAATTTGGGTTCATCTTTTTTCTTGCCCTTGAATAGTTTAGAAAAGATTCTGGGTGCCATGACGGTGTGTGGATGAAGGGGCATGGCAGCGTGAAAGGTGAGCACTTTATATGTACCCGTGGGTGGGTGAATGTCAACAGTGCGTGGCAAAAGGCCTTCCCGAGGTTGGGCCAGTGCTCCCGGCGGTCAGGGGGAGTCCCAGATAACGGGTGGAGACCAGAAAAGACGGCTGTTCCTGGCCCATAGATGATCATTTTGGCGTCAATTCCTCAGTTGTACAGTCACCCATGGCAGCGTAATGAAAGAGAGATCACTTGAAGCAATCTCGTCGTTTCAAGCCTTTTCGTGACTGAAGTGACGAACGGGCCTTGTCGACAAACGCCACAAGGTCTTCATTGAAAGAAATCTTCCCTGATGTTTTTCAGACGGTCAAATTCAAGGCCAATAATTGTATATTCAGGGGCATTTTTCATCGTTGTCTCAGGCGACCGAGCTTGGAAGAATTGTTCAAGAGGATGTAAGGGTTTGAAAGGGACTTGGTCGAGGATCGATGAAAGGTTCGAAAGGTGGGCTTGAACGAAGAGGACATCAATATCAAAAAGCCTTACAGGCAAGGCCTGCTCGAGTCGCGAGTAGTGAGATGAATATTATGAAAGGTAAAGCCTTGGGTTGGGGGCATATATAGACTTTGAGGCTTGTCATGTCATCTACGTGATCATTTGAGAACAGAAGATGAAGTACACGGGTGCCTAACCTTATTAAGGTCTGGGAAAAAAAAGAGTCATCATCTTCACCACCATTCTTTGGGTTTGTTTACTGGCTCCTGGAAGGTGCTATGCTCTAAAGGTTGTCTAGTGCGACGAGTTGTAGAGCAGAGAATACCCTCACCAGCTATGTCAATGGATTGAAGGGTCAGGGCCACATAGGTTGCTGGTTCAATGGTCATTTCCTGGATATCCATCTTGACTAAGGCATGTTTCCCAAATCAGGCTACGATGAAAGATGGTAACTCCAGAACAGTGCCTCTCGAACACGGTTGCCCGCAGCTGTGTGACCCAGCATATCTCTTTGACAAGAATATGGACTTGATAACGCATCTATCAAGAGATGTCCGCAGCTTGATGGGGCATCATTATATGAAAGAGATGACAGGTTACTGCCAACAAACGGCACCGTTGAGCTTTCCCAGAGCTCATTATTGCGGCATCATGGACGGGCCGACTGGAGATTTTGGCGGTGTTTAACGTGAAAACAAAACAGGCAGTCTATATTTCATGAGGGCGTGAGGAATTTCTTCAAAAGCCCGAGACATGACCGCCTGGCATCTATGGGTATAAGTAGGAGCTAAGTCGTCGTTCACCTATGCTCTATCTACCTCTAGACCTTGTCGAAGGCTTTGTGCGCCATGGCTCAACCGAAATCATCAAATGGCGTTCCTCCCAAGGCCGCCAAATCGAAGAAGCAGCAAGACGAACTGACGGAAAAACTTCGAAAAGTCGAAGACGCCGCTGAGAACGGAACAATGCCTAGTGCAGTAGTTGAGAGCCTAAATGAGCAGGTCAACCTTTCGAAAACTGCCAATGGCAGGCCAGCGTTAGATCCACACTCGAAACCTCCCTTCGAACTACCAGAGGGACAATCTGTACCCGACAGTTCCGAAGGCAATGGCGCTGTCGAGCCTCATGATACGCCTATGGGAGAGGCTACTAATAACGACGGGTCACAGCCAGCGGCTGCGGATCCCGGCCGCAATGACTCTGTCGAGCCCATTGACAGGCCGATGACAGAGGCTACTAATAAAGATACATCGGAGCCACCTGTGAGCATGATGCCTGGCTCTCTGGGTGAAAGTGTGAAAGAAGAAGACGACATGCTCGTTAGCTTTCAGAAAATGTCCATTGGAGGCAGGCAATTCGGAGGTCAGCCAGAAGCCTGGTTCTCGACTGGCAGCTCAACCAAAGCCATTGTGCGACATGGGCCTCTCAAAGGCGCCATGTATAAGATCCAATCTGCAAAAGGATACAATCTGAGAAATTTGCCCGAGGCCTCGGATAAGAATTCTCGCATTACGCAGATCTGGGACCGAGACGAAAATGGTAGAAGGCATCGCCGCTTTCCAGTGATGGAATTTCTCCTCCGAAATTCAGCCGACATTAACCAAAAAAGCCCGTCTGGGACATCGCCAATTCAAATCGCAATCATTATGGAACATATCGACATTGTCCGTCGCCTTCTCAGCTATAAAGAAACCTTGTTGGTCAATGAACAAGACTGTCACTCCTTTACAGCGCTCATGCTTGCGTCAGCTCGAGGTAAACTTGAAGTTGTCAAGATACTACTGGAGCATCCCAACTTAAATCTAAATGCGATGGACGACCAGGGGAAAACACCTTTTTGGTGGGCTGCGGCTGGTGGGCTTTTTGACATTGTACAGCTGTTAGCCAACCAAAGTGGTGTCAAAAAGCGACTGAAAGATTCGAATGGGCTGACGGCATATGCTATCGCTAAGAAGCACAAACATGGGCATATCACGGTGTTTTTGCGAAGCTTTTAGACTTCAGCTAGTTCAATGAAATCTATAGGGCAATCATTACAGTGGTTTCACAAATGTGTTCAGGTGCCTTTCATTTAGCATGCTTACGTAAGGTTATCATTATTTCTAGCTTGTGGCCGCAACATAGATTAGTTACAGTACAGAGTAGTAAGGGATCATAACGCTCACTAAGGATGGACGTTGATTTGCAAAATTAGTAATATTCAGTTATATCCAGCGCACCACAGGTATTAGTGATGCACAGTCTGCATCAAACCTATTATATTCTTACATGCTCCTAGAAAAACTCCTTCTAATACAGTAGTAGTAGTAGTAGTAGTAGTAGTAGTAGTAGTAGTAGTAGTAGTAGTATTCATTTACCCCGACCCCTCGCAAAGCGATATGCAGGCTACAGCAACGATATATATCCATATATGTACAGATTGGCTGTTCCACTTCCTGAAAACGAACTGTAATTCCGTCGAAGATCATAGACGAACGACCATTTGGTATGCTGCCGCGGGATGGACATCTCAGAAGCACAAATTGCTTGATTGAGCACCCTCGCATAGATGTTGTGCTTGAGGATTTCCAAGGTAAGTCTGCGCAGGATATTGCCAAAGAACATGGTCATTGGCACATTGTCAGCCTTCTCCAGGCCAAAGTACAAACCATTCCGTGGCGACGATGACATGTCTTGAAACAGAGAACTATGTGAGCAGCTCAGGGCGGCGGGGTGACTAACTCACCCTGTGCTCCGGGAGCCGATCACTTCCCGAGGCGGCAGTTTTACCGTCACCATTATTACATATTAAGAGATTGTTTCTCTCATCAAAACACGAGAAGGCGACACCTGAACCTGAATGATACAAATTAACAGTCCATCTGGCACGGTACAATCGTTTTAGCCTAGCGGTGTCCATGTATTTACTGCCCTGAGAAGGAATGGGGGGTTTGAAAAAGACTTGTGCTCAGTAAGAGCTGAATTATTAGACAGACTTATACCAACTTTTGTTTTCAAGGCTATTTTTACTTGAGGGTGAGTATCAGAAGACAGCCGGTATCAAATATATATATTCATTTGTCATTCGCTAAAAGTACAATTTCCAACGCCATACATGCATATTAACAACTCACCGCTCTTATTCTCTAGCATTACGAGAGCAGTTCATCCATGTGTGCGCGCTCATTCGCATTCTGCTTTTTGAGCAGGACGGCGAGAACCTCGATGGGTGGGTTGAGCTTCAGCATGTTGGCACGGCGCCAGCGCTTGAGCCGTGCGATTCCGATACAGGGCTGGAGATTTGTTAGCATATACTGGTCAACCGGCGAGGGTCTAGAACGTACCCCATATTGGCTGCAGAGATCAAAGTGGCGCAAGATTTTCTCCTCCAAGTAAAGGTCCTTCTGGTGCACTATAGAATGGAGTCAGCGTCTGTATGATTACATGGAACCCGCAGTATTTATTCACCTCGAGGGGTCCTCCGACTCCGTTCCTCTTTATTCCAGTACTTCTGGAGGTCTTGCTTGCTGAGCTTCAGGGCCCGCTTGTCTTCGGCCGAAAGCGGCTCTTCGTGTTCCTTTGTGGCCTGCTGTCGCACCGCTAGCTCTGCAACATGCGGTTTTGATGGCTCGGGTGTGAGCACCTGCTGAGGCTCAGGAGTGCCCGACGCAGACTTATCGGTGGGTAGCGGCGAATCGAGGTTCTTGGCCTTATGGAGTGTTGCGGGTGTGGTCGAGGGTTTGGTCACTCGCGATTGGTTGCCAAACGAGAGAGTCGACTGCGCAGCGGCGGCAGCACGGCGACGAGGAGGCATGATGATGAGGGACTTGCGATGGCTTTAGATACTGCAGGGCTGTCGGTGATGTTGGGGAAGTGGGTTGGTGGACCGGGCGATGTCATTGGGTTGGTGTTGCCCAGTGCAACCAGTCACCCGCTGGCTCTTACCTTGACCGCCCATGGTACTACACCCTTGATATTGACGATATACTTCTGTTTACTTTTCTCGAGACCGAAACATTCTTAGGGCTTCAATCAAGTACTAGATACTCTTTATTAATGTGAATTACCAACAATGCGTTGATCCCGAGGTCGTGCTTGTTGATGACGTCACTCCTTTCTATACCAAAAATGTACATGGTGTAGTTCGTTCTATCCAGATGTCCCAATATCTATATATATCTGAGCAGAAGGCCATCGAAATGGCGAAAAGAACCACCACCACAAATGATAATATCGAACTGACCAGCGTAACCCAAGACCCTGGGCGTGCCGATCTGATATACTTCCTCGCACATGTGGGAGGCGGGCTCTTGCCTGTTTCATCGGTCCAGATCGGAATAGTGATCATCAGACAGGAGAAGAGTAGACAAAACTCAGGACCGTAGGGTTGATCCAACTATCGGCGCATCAAGGTGACTAGGTAGAGAACACAATAATAAAGAGTCTTCGAGAGATTGCAGGAGACATGATCGCGTTGGTGCCGCATTACAAGGGTTGTTACCTAGGTATTGGGTTGTGAAAGACTGACTAGGATACATCCGACTTGTGCGTCCGGATGCCCTGGATTGGAAATGATACTCCGCTTAAACAAGGTAAAAGCGGCGAGGGATGAATGCCAAACTCGAGGGGGAAATATATAGGCAATGGCAGAACAGGCACAGTGCAGTGCAGTGCAGTGCTGATGCGATGCATGCTAGATAGAAAAGGCAAGACAAGAGGAAAGGAAAAGAATAGTGCAATAGTTTCAAAATGGACCATCAACATGAGTGTTGTGCTGATCACGGAGTTAATCGGTGATGCAATCGAGGCTCAAGGTGGGCTCGGGAGATGGGGCTGGTTCACCCTTAGCTAACAGTAACACCCTTAACCCCCCCACATCCTACAGCTCTCTTCTCCCGACATTTGGACCTCCCTTGCCACCTTCCACCTCCCACAACCCCCTTCAGCTCCGGGTTATGAACCGTGCGAGAGGGTGCCCGTCGAGGTCGCAGATTCCCAACTTCCCTGCGCCCCCTCCGCATGTCCATGGTGGTGCGGGAACTGCGCTATCGAGATGGCCGCCTTCGTGCGCGTTTCAGGTCCGGCAAATGGCAATTTCCTGATCGGATATCCAGGTATCTCCGCCACGATGGTAAGCGCTCCCCGATCACCCCTGCTTGCACCGAGCTCGAGCTCGAAGGCTGCTCCCCCAAACCGCAGCTCAATGAACTGACCCTTTACAGCCCCGAGTCGAGGGTAAAGTCGAGATCAGGCCGAGTGTCGGTATTTCAGCGCCCGTCAATGTGTCGCTCGTGACCATTTCCCTCCTGCGTCGCGAAACAATCCACCCGTCGGCCGACTCCGTCACAAAGAAGCGCCTTGCTCCACCTCGCAAGGAGATCACAGATATCGTGGGCAAGGAGATGTTGTTGTTTCGATGTCCTGCTGGAAAAGAATACGAAGAGGTCATTGCTATGGATTTGCCATTCGTGCTATTCATCCCATTCGGCCGTGGAGGACGCGATGCTTCCAGACGAGTACCCCCGGCGAGCCTACAACTACCCAGCCGCACCGCCGAGACATACTACGAGATGGTGGTGATGGTTCAACAAGGGCATTCCGAACAACGAAAATACACGTTTCCGGTTCCAATTGCTCGCTATGACACATTGTCTACATTCGGCATGTATAATCGCCCAGAGTCGGCAGAGCGGGTCTCGGATCATTTGGTGACATTGGCCATATCACTCCCACGATGGTCCTACGGGCCTCTGGACCCTGTCAGTGTCTATGTCAAATTATCACCAAACCAGGATTGGATGGGCAAAGCTCGGAAAGTGACCATCAGCAAGATCACGATTGGCATTGACGAGGAGATCATCTACAACCACGAAGGCGACGAGCCCCAGCGCAAGGTCAAGACGTTGGCCAAAAAGACGGAAACAGTGGGCGTCAAGCTGCCACAATCAGGCTACCTCACCAACTTGGGACTGGTCTTTCCTGCCAAGGATCTGCGAGATTCCGAAGGCATTTTACCGCGAAGTCGTACAGCATTTCCAATGTACGGTGTAAGCGGATTCACAACTACCGCAAGTCTCTATAAAATCGAGTATTATCTCACCGTTCGAGTAAGTCTTCATCGACTACCAGACTAAATCTCAAATTCTAACACATGCGACAGGCGCATTTAACATCAGCGAGAGACATCACCATCCGGCAACCGATCGTGGTATGTCCACTCGATCACGCTGGATGCAAAGAAGAGATGGAAGCTATCGAACAAGCTGCACGAGATGCAGCACATGTGAATCCAGACAACCCGATGCTACCACTACCATCCATCATAAGGCCCAGCGATCCCAACGCCCTCAATTACCTCGGCGTGGCTCTGGTCGGCAACCAGAAGAAGCCACTCATCGATTGAAGCGCACATAAAGCAAGTCGGGCCTTTTTTCTCACTGGACCGTACTCGCATACGGAGCACATCTAATTGATCATGATCTCCCGAGTCGATTGAATGGACCGGGGCCCGCGACCCGGAAGTATACCACATCATGTCATGTCTTACGATTGCATTGAGCTTGGAGTTTGTTGCATGGCACGGACGCTTGTTCGTTCATTCTTGGGGTGGGGTGTTGGTGATTTTTCTAAAGAGGCAATGGAATTTCTTTCCTTGAGGATGGTGACTTCCTTTGCTTTTTCCGTGACAGACTGCGGTCTGCACAGCAGATAATCGCTATGGAAAATAAAATACGAAATGTAAATCCACCATCACACTTTAATCCCGGTACTATATTTCTAGGAATGCATGTCAACATGATCTGCCACAAGATTATCTGCCCAAGGCAGCGTCTACATATCTCAAACCACCGGAAATGACTGATATCACCTGGTGAATCAATGAATCTCGATTCCTCCAGAGATGGTTCCCACCGAGTCCGATCGAACCCACGATAGCCGCCAAGCCCAACCCACAGACAGCATACATATCCCAATTATTAGCCTTAAACGCCGACATCCGCGAATCCGCGGTCTGCAAATGCATCGGACGCAATTCCTTGCCATCTTTATCAAACCTCAACTCATGGTCATATATCATCTCCTCAACAAGATCAGCCGCATACTCCTTCCGACGTGACGCGATATGTGCAATACGCTGCAATCGAAGCACATTTCGCTTATAGGATTCACCTTCTCTGCATACAAGGATCTTCTTTATCTTTGCGTATATCTCATCCGAACTAAAGATGAATTTGTCGAGAGATTCAGCAACGCCACCGGCCACAAGCCGCGTCGTGTTTGAGATTTGGTCAAAGAATATTCCCATGGAGAGGATTGGTTTTCCGTGGAAAAGGGCTTCGTTGGCACTTGAGCCTCCGCCGTGAGTGAAATAGATCTTGGTAGAGTCGTGGTCGAGAATGGCGCGTTGGGGTGCGAAGAAGGGGAATAGCCAGTCTGGATGTTTGTTAGCTAGCATGTCTGCTAGACTAACGCCTGATTTCTCGTCCGTGGTCTTGATGTGGAAGGTCTCGTTGCCGGTGACATCTTTGCGGCCTGTTTCTGGAATGGCCCAGATCACTCCGTCGAGTAAATCCTCTTCCATTAAGCGAAGGACTCCGATTATGATTTTAGTGATATCTTGATGAGGTAGAATGATGTGTGTGCCTAGGGCGATGTATAACACGGACTTGTGCGAGTTCATGAATGTCTCATACTCCGTGTCTAGAGGAGGCCAAGTAGGACTCAAGAGCGGTCCTACAGCAGCGCAGGTGGGAGGCAAGTCTCGTGGAATCTCAAGGCCGACAAAAGAATTCACAAACAGAAGGTAGTCGGGCTTCTTCGGCTTATGGACTGGAAAATTGACACCGTTCTGGCTGCGCATTTTCCTGGTAAACGTGAACATTCTGATGATTGCCGGCAAGTCGCACAAAACAACCAACTCGTTCTTAATACGCAGCTGCATCGACGCATCTTCGGATGTCATAGTTCCAGGAAGTTGAAATCCAGGCTGTCCAGGGATATAGGAACAAGAAAGTTGTAGTGGCGGCCAGTTAGGACATACAATAGCAATGGGTATTCTATACTCGACAAGCATATCATTTGCAGCGTCCACAAAGAAATCCGCGACGATAAAGCTTGGACGGGAAGCCGCTACTATTTTCTTCAGGCCATGATAGGTCTGCGGCCAGTAGGAGTCAAACATGCATTTGGAAATGAAAGATGGTTCAATGCCCTTGCGAACATCCCATGCTTGCATGCGCCGGTAATGAACATCCAACTGGTCTGCCGTGGGTCCGGTACCCAGTAGATGAGTTTCAGTGACGAATCCATATTCTACCCCTTTGATCCAATTTTCTTGGCCATCGAGCGTTGCAAATTCGATTGTATGGCCTCGTTCGGCGAGGACCCTGCCGATCTCCAGCACGGGCGCTGCGTGTTATTGTAAGCGAATGACCCATTCACGTCAATGCCAGACAAGTACCGACCAGCATGAGTGAACCCTCCCGTGGTTGCCACGAGCAATATTTTCCGTGGTGGGTGTGTTTTGGAATCCATTATGTAGTGACAAGGCGGTGCTTCCGACAAAGTGCGCCAACTTAGTTCAGGTAGATGGAAGCCGCAGAGCTAGGGCTGTGGTGATATCATGTTCACCTGGCGTCCACTTATATAAGACGGGAATCCATGGATTTCGGGGGCCGAAAACGAAACCCGCTTGGAAGGCCACGGCGCCCCAAACCCCTCTCAATGCTAACATCCGGGCCGGGGTAGATCAGGCAACCCATTGTTGGGTTCAGTTTCAGTGCAGGGTCGAATTCCGATAAATGCGTAACGCTCGAGTAAATATTGGGTATCGAAAACGTGCTAGAAGCCTCCTATTCTCCAATCTTCAAGAATTCCATTGCGGCAGTCAACATGTCAGGGTCAACCACCTGCGTCTGCGTGCGTGCCTTTTCATTTTCAATATCCTGTAGGCATTCTTTCAATATTCCGAGAATGGCCCGGTACTGATGCGAGGACGGCCCGAAAGTCTCTAGGGCGTTTTGGAGGCTGTTGGATACCTAAACACCCGTTATGTCTTGTTCAACTGGATTTGTAGATTCACAACACCTACTTTGCGCAGAGTCTCATTGTAGTCTGCAAGATTTGACATCGCGAGGATATTCGAGTAGATGAGTAGATGAGTTGCCAGCAAAAAGTGCAGCGAAAGTGGGTGCTCTTATCGATAAGCCTCGATCTCCGATTTTCTCCTCCGCAACCTCTGATTCTGCGACTTACTCAAGCACATCATGGCCGACGCAGATGAAGAGGCCATTCGTGCCACTACGACGGAGGCTCCTCAGATCGAGACCGATCTGTCTGATGAGACTCAGGACTTCCGCCTGCTGAACCATCTCAACTTGTACCTGCCCACTGCTGCGATTGCTCTCCAACTTTGACTAACTTGTGCCCCAGCCTGTCCGACACATCCTCCGCCAGTCTCCCCCGCCGCGGCGAAAAAGACTTCGAGCCTAACCCGACCGAATTTCAAGCCGATGTTCTCTCCGCTTCGCGTGGGGCGATGCACAATGCGCTCGCACACCCGCGCATTCACCACCCCAAGACCCAGGTCGTTGGTATCTATGCGCCGGACGGACCTACACCTCCACCGCAGGCGATGGTCGATGAAAAGGGTTTAGGTGTGTCGTCGGATTATTGCGTCTGTGTCCCTGTCCCGAAGGGCCAGTACTTCAAGACAATTGGTCAAGCAGATCGGTGGAACCGCGTGTGGCTGCTCCCCGAAGAGGCGATGTACTTGATGGAACGAGGCAGTCTGGATATCAAGTGGCCGAGAGAGCTGTCCGGTATCGATGCGGATGACGTCAACGAGCCGCTCATCCCAATGAGTCTACAGGCGGCGTATGCATGCCTGCTTGGCCGTAGTGGCCTGACGCTCGAGCGGTATACCGTCTTTACTGGATTGAGGCGGCTGGGATATGCCGTTGTTAGAGCGTCTGGCTGGGATGATAATGCTCAAGCAGAGGATTCAAAGAACGAGATCAACAAGCATGCTTATACTGAGCCCCAACAACGTGGGCCTGGTCTCGCTGGTATCATTGGGCGCTGTTTCGCCTGGCTAGATGATCCTTTCGGTACGAGTTCCACCGCGGCTGGTCCGATCGTGGGATGCGGTATTCACCGAAACTACAGTATGTAAATTTGCTCTCGATTAATGTTCTCTTTCTAACTATTCGCAGCCGACGTATACCGCAAGCTCGCAACCATACCCTGGTACGACCCAGCAAAGGCAGAGACTAGGGATCCCCTCGACACAGATGCTCCCTTCCGAGTTATCTTCCACGTTTACAAGCCCTCAACACCGATCAAAAAATCCGCCTGGCCAACCCCAGATTTCCGTATTGCTGTGGTCAACGCCCGAGAGCAGACTTCAATCCCTACATTAGCACAGATCGGCGCGCTGCTGGAAAGCACGCCTCTGGACCCGCCCCGAGGCGAGAAGATGGACCGATTGATGTACATGCGGTTGCGACACGGATATCGCAATGTTGTTCTCGCGGTCGTTGACCAGGGCGTTACGAGTTTCCTGCGCATCAGTGACGCTGCATTCGGAAAGGAGAAGCTTTACGAGAACAAGGGTCCTCCCACGGGCCCGAAACGCGGTGGAAACTTCCGGCCGAAGAAGAGGTGATTGATTCTAGACTCATGAGTCCGACTATTGAGCTACGTGTCTCCGAACAGCAGTTCAAGCACTGAATCCCTGAGCCTAGTGATCGGCATACAAAGGGCCACCCCATGTCTCTCGACTTGAATGTCGAGTTGCCGACATGTGTGACAGTCTTGGCCATTGTGTCACTTCTTAATGGCATAAAAATGGATGAAGAACACAGGCGAAGAGCTGCTCCGCCGCATTTGCAACAATAAGAACCGTGTCGCACGAAGTCAAGTGACTCTGCGACTACATACTACTTTTGTACAGCCACGAGATAATGCAATGTTTCTGAACACTTTGATCTTTAGCAATTATAAATTTTCTTTTAGATCTCCTTTTGTTCCTTTCCAGGATATCCTCTAAATGACTTCAAATAGGCCTTGCAGACAGCTCATAGCCACGGATTTCGGTCCATGTAGAACCTCTTTCTTTGAACCGGCTGTACAGCACGGTCCGTTCATTGCAGGTCGTCTCGTCCTGCATATAATAGAGCACACAAGGGAACTGACTCATAAGTTCGTAAATCACTATATCGCCCTCTCTATGAAAATGCGTTTTTGCTCCCACCTCACAGTCTGTACATTTCACTCCGACTGCGGGCGCCGTCAAACACACAGGTATTATCCAGCGGTCCATATTGCTTCGTGATCACCTTCAACGATTCCTGCGCAACCAAACCACCTGCGAGCGAGGCGATATTGTGAAGTTCTCCACCTTCCGCACGGCGCAATTCCTGAATGGCCTTGTGAATGTTCTCCCGAGCATCGGAATCCAAAGGTGTCGGATCATCGCGCGTCAACAAGGCCAAGATTCGTTCCGTGTGGCTCTTCCACAATGCATCGTCGTTAATGGAGCGGTGGTCGTTAGAGGTATCTTGGATTTCATCGACCACTCCATCGAGAATCTGGGTAGCGATAAATACTGAGACTAGGGAGTCGGGGAATCCGAGCTGGGTTCGAATTGCTTTTAAGGTGATGGAATCGCTGTTGCTGCTGATCTGTGGGATTTGTCGACCGTGAACGACCTTGATGTGAGCGGCGTTCTTGCAGAATGCTTCGATGTCACGGTCGGGGATAGGAGGGAATCGTCGCTCGAGCTGGGTCTCTAGCTGGCGCACTGTGTTGGTCACTTCCTCCACATCGCGACGTGCTTTGGTTTTGTAGATATTCTGTAGCGAAACATAGTCTGCTGATTGGGCTTTCATATCAGGCAGGGAGCCTGGGAGAGGGAGGACTCCATGGGTGGTGTAGAAGAAGTGAATGGCGTGGGCGATGAGCCAGAAATCCACCGACTCGCTGTTCAGGTTATGGCATTGTTCCAGCTCGAAGATCTCACGGACAGTGCTGCGTAGGCTGAATGGAGCGATGGTTTTCAGGACGGCTGCCACGGCTTCGTCGAAGTTCTCTTCGCCACCTTCCGCATTGCTGGTGCGTGCTTTGGATCGCACGAATTCTCGGAACTCAGTCTTTTCCTTGTAATTGTCAGGTGCGTTGCCTCCATGTGACTGCTTCCACTGCTCTAGGAAGTGGAGGAGGATAAGGATGTATGGAACATGCCCGTGTTGGTGATCGTCCATGCTATCAAGATCATCCAGAGCTGCGTTAGTCGCGACGAGTTCAGGCCAGGGATTTAGCAGCCGCAAGTCTTGTGCAGACTCCGGATCAGGGTGGGTTTCCACGATGGGATATTCAGCAGGAAGTTGAAGGGAGAAAGTCGCAAAAAACCCGACAGAGTGGGTGTACAAGACGGGAATGCCCTGCTTTTGTGCTCTCTGAATGAGAGGGTCTAGCGAGGAACGCTTGGTAGGACCAGAAATGATAACCAGTTTGTGCTGGGGCAAGAAGTCGGGATCTTGAAGCAAGTCGGCAATAGGCTGGATAATCAATGTCAGGTCAAATATTTCAACGCGCTGAGGTTGACGTACCTCGGAGTTGAAGTCTCCCTTCACATCAGGGTTCAATTCTCTCAACAAGCGACAGGTTTCTTCTGCACGGGACTTTCCGAGTGACTCCTCTTCCAGAAAGAAATTCACACCCAGATCAGCTTCGGTGACAGTCGCGGGGTCCACGATAGTGAATCCACCGATACCCGGCAGAACGAGGTTCTTGAGAGCCTCTACGCCAACGACGCCAGAGACACCAGTGCTGTTCGCGCCGAGGGGACCATCGGAGTTGACCAACAGGACACGAGAGTCTTCTAGGGCTTGCTGTCCACTGGCTGCCCAGAGCCGCAGTTGGCGATCATACTTGCGCTCTTTCGATGTCGGCCCACCGTGGAACGATGCAGCCATGGTCGGTTGTGATTGAGTCGGTTGTGATAGTGGAAAACGAGACAAAAAAGATGAAAAAGAAGATTCAAGATCTCACAATTTCCCGTCTCTAGGTCAGGCGTAGACTGCTGTATCCAGTGTTTTGGTACAGTCGCAGTGCAGTGGGCGGTGAACTGACTAATCGTTGATGTGGGGTACGTTCCAATTATACCTGTTTCTATAAAGCTCCCTACCCGAAGGCGAACTTGTTAGCAACATGCCCTTCGAGTTAATAGACTTGACGATCACTTTGACCCAAAGCTTCAGTATGCTACATTTATTATACCGACCAAAAAATCGAAGCATCCGCGGAAAAAATCCACTGAAATACCCCTCCATCCTCTTATGATGCTCTCTATGCAAGTAAGCTATGTACTTGGCTTCTGCGACAGCCAATCATAACCATGGAAATAGGAAAGAGAGGCTAGAGATGCCTTTACATGGTAGTACAGGACTCTCTTCAGCGAGTGCAGTCTCGGTGGATCTTAATCATCATGTCACCGCAGCCCGCACTTGAGAGCCATTTCAGCCCTTTTTCTGTCGTATATGACAATCACGCGAAAGAGTCTACTTTATCTGACCGACGGACAAGTTCTTACATTCACCCCTAGCACTGGCTTTCAAAACCAGTACTGGTTCATCTATACCTTATCCATACCGCGATAACTAGTTATACCAGCGACAATCAGCTCACATTGGGACTGGGGAATACGGATGTTGCAGAGGAATTTTTCCATTTTATTCCAGTACAAGTTTGTAAGTTTACGGATTTTGTGCAGTGGATTATCAATCTTGACGTTATTCTAGGACGGTTGCCAGGAAATGCTTTCGAAAGCTGGCAGAGAAAATCGCGGTCTTTATTGCGCCTATATGGAGCAAGACAGTAGCTCCGAATCAATAATGTGGCATTTTGGTTGATATGAAGAGCGCTGCGTACATACAATATTCATACAACTTGGGTGTGAATATTTGCCTCTGATTAAAGGCAAATAATCTTGAGAAACTCTTAAAGGACCAGGCTGCGCGTAATCCTTCCTTATTGTGTCCGGTGCGTAGCCTTTCCGTGTACGAGGACCCCACCCCCACCATGGACAGGTTATTTCCGTCAACCCTCGGGAACTGGAGACCTAATGCATTGGTCGCATGGAACATGATCTTCATACTCTCACCGGCAGCGGGGAAGGTCTTTGCGGGCGGGATGGAATTGTTCAATGCATTCAGGATTGCCAGGGTTAACTTGACTAGAAAGATGGCTGTGTAGAGTTGAAAATGCCATCGCATACCTATAGATTGTTCCCACGCCCTCTAACATTCCCAGTCAAGAACAGACATTGAAAAAACGCGACTAGGAACTCTCGGAACCAACAACCCCACACTCCAAACGCCAATGACGCTATAGTGCAGACCTTCGACTTGTCAACGCCCCGGAACGTAGGAACTTGGGCATGGGCCGACTTTTCTGCTTCCCCTCGCCCCGCCTTCTTTTTTCTCCGCGTCTCTTCCCTCTACGTCTCACACCCACAGCCCGATTCCTATCCACTATGGCCGACGTCGAAGCCGCTAAGCGCGCTGCCGCTAAGACCGCTGTCGCAAACCACTACCCTAAGGATGCCCGCTGGGTCGGTATTGGCAGCGGCACGACCATCGTCTACGTCGTCGAGGCCATCAAGGCCCTCGGCGTCGATACCTCTGCCACCCGCTACGTGCCTACCGGTTACCAGTCCCGCCAGCTGATTGTCACCGCTGGTCTGACGGCCGTTGAGTTCGATGCTGTTCCCGCAGGAACCGTGTTGGATGTTGCTTTCGACGGTGCCGACGAGGTCGATGATGAATTGAACTGTATCAAGGGCGGCGGCGCGTGTCTTTTCCAGGAGAAGCTTGTCGCTATGCAGGCGAAGGAGTTCATCTGTGTTGCTGGTACGTGATTCTTCTGATTATAGAAAAAAAGACTTGAAGACATCCCACTGACTCATTTCCCCCTGCAGACTCGCGCAAACTCCAGTCTCGTCTCCTCAGCAGCTGGAAATATATTCCCATCGAGGTCGCCCCTATCGCTGCCTTCCGTGTTCTGCGCAAATTGAAGGAACTCGGCGCCATCGACCCCGTCGTTCGCCAGAACATGGACGCCAAGGAGGGTCCGTTGAAGACGGATCAGGGCTTCTTTCTCGTTGACGCACCCTTCCCGCCTATGCTCACCAAGTCGGATGTCCAGGCTGGTAAGGTCTCCGGCAAGGACAGCGTGTGGGAGGTGAACGAGCTGTCGGAGAAAATCAAGTCTATTGCCGGTGTTCTGGACGTGGGAATTTTCTCCGGTCTCACTGGTCCCCAGGCTACCGCTGCTGGAGGTGTTGGTGGACAGCGGCCTGTTGCGGCATACTTTGGTATGCCCGACGGATCGGTGTCGGTGCGCAAGGCCTCTTCCTAATCGAGCCTTGCAATTGACGCAGTTGACGACGTAAATAACCTTAGATGATACCAGATTTGCTTCCCAATGGAAGTAGAAATGAGAGATATTTACTCTTGGGCTGTCTACATATGACACTTGCATTTCAAAATGGTGGATCATTAGATTCGGTGAGTGGTATCAATGAGACTAGCATATGTACGCCGAGGGTTTATTTCACGCCCTTTCCCTTGGCCTCCGTCTCGCCCAACTCGCGCACAAAGATCTTCACAATTCCCTCGGGTACGTCGTCCTGGCCATCCTCAAAGCCAGGGCTGACTCCAATAGCAAGGTACTTGCCGTCACTACTGAAACCAACTGCTGCAACACTGGAGGGATACTTCTGGTACTGGCGAATACGACGCTTCGCAATTCCATCCCACAGCGCGACGACGCCATCTCCACCTCCGGATGCGAAAGTCCCGTGCACAGGGTGGAAAGCGAGAGCATTGACAGGGTAGACAACGTCAACACCATCCTCGGCTGTCTGGCGATGACATTTGAAAGCGTACTTGCGAGCTTGGGACTCAGGCGACGGGTCAAACCACTCGACTGCGACACGGCCCTCGATGCTGGAAGAGGCGTATCCGGCGTCATCGGGCATGCAGGCAACGCACCGTGTCATGAACTTCAGACTGCTCTCACGCCTTTGCCACGGCTCAATCTCGACCTTGTTTCCGTCGGTGCTTGCGCTGTCGGCTTGCGCTGTGAGAAGGGCGAGCGCCTTAAGATCGTAAATGTGTAGGGCGCGAGACGCCATGGCCACGACCAGCTTGGTCGCTGTGAGGGAGACAGAGAATGGTTTTGACGGGAGCGGGATGATTGCAGGAGCGGAGGTGGTACCGGCGTCAGGTCTGTGGACGTGGAGGGTAGAATCCCACGAGCCAGAGATGATGAGGTTGTGCTCGGGGCTGAAAACGACATTGCGCACACCGGCTTCATGGCTGCTCAGGACGGTCTGCTCGGATGTGTGGAGGTCAATTCTAGTCATGTTAGCATAAACCATTTCTCGCAAGCTCAAGTAGAGCTGTCATGCGAGCACTTACTTGCGGACATCCCAATCCAGCCCAGCTGTGTAGATCACGTTCTCATTGTCGCCGAAGCACACATCCAGAACCGGCGCGCGGTGTTCAAACTTTTGCAGCAGCTTGCCTTCACCGACTGTACCGTTCTCATCGCGCAAGTCGTAGAGGTAAACGTTCTTATCCCATGACGAAACAACGATGCGCGTGGAGTTAGGGTCGGGGGAGAACTTCAAAGCGGAGATGGCGTCTGTAGGCGGCGAAGCCACCGTGAATTGATCTATTACAGGTTAAAACAAACCCATTGGGCCAAAGATAGCAACTTACTTGACGACATTGTGGCGGTTAAGGTGGATGAATGCAGGTCAGAGATCAAGACAGAGAGCTCCTTGAGGGCCTTTTCTGCCGCAATATACCGCCGTGTTATTCCCCGCGGCTTTGATAAGAAAAAAGGTCACCACTTTTGAGCTCCATCATCGCCTTTTCAAAATGCCTTTTGCACAGCTCGTTATTGGGCCCCCGGGTGCGGGCAAGTCTACCTACTGCAATGGTATGCATCAGTTCTTTGGTGCTATTGGTCGCAAATGCTCCATCGTCAATCTTGACCCCGCCAATGACAAGACCTCGTACCCGTGTGCGCTGGACGTGCGCGATCTAGTGACGCTTGAGGAGATTATGGATGAGGATAAGCTGGGACCGAATGGAGCTACACTCTATGCTCTAGAGGAGCTTGAAGAGAACTACTCCTGGTTAGAGGAGGGACTGAAGGAGCTTGGAGGTTTGTTGACCTAGCCAGCCGGAACAAGCGCATGGCTGACTTCGTTGCGATATAGAGGACTATGTTCTATTCGACTGCCCCGGCCAAGTTGAACTCTTCACGCATCACGCTTCACTACGGAATATCTTCTTTCGAATCCAGAAACTGGGCTACCGAGTTCGTCACCATCCCCAACCCTTTAATGAATACAGCGAACACAGCTAACGAAGCCTTCCAAACAGCTAATAGTTATCCATCTCGTCGACTCATACACCCTCACGCTCCCTTCAATGTATATTTCCGCACTTCTCCTTTCTCTCCGCGCCATGCTCCAACTCGATCTTCCACATCTGAACGTCTTGACCAAAATCGACAATCTATCTAACTACGCCGACCTCCCATTCAATCTGGACTTCTACACCGAGGTTCAAGACCTTTCATATCTCCTGCCACACCTGGAAGCCGAGTCCTCGCGACTCACGAACTCGAAGTTTGGCGCGTTGAACCAAACGATTATCGATCTAGTCGAGGAATTCGGCCTCGTCGCTTTCGAGACCCTCGCCGTGGAAGACAAGAAGAGTATGATGAATCTTCTCCGAGCCATTGACCGTGCATCCGGATACGCATTTGGCCCCGCGGAAGGCGCCAACGATTCTATCTGGCAAGTTGCCGTTCGAGAAGGAATGGGCGTTACAGATGTACGAGATGTACAAGAGCGATGGTTAGATGAGAAAGATGAGTATGATGCCCTCGAGAGGGAGGAGGTGGAAGAAGTGGCCAAGCTGCACGAAGAAGCGAGTAAAAATGCCATGAACGAAGCTGCTTTGGACGACGAAGACGAGGACATGGAGAACTGGGGCCCGCTGCCGGATAGCGGAGTGACCGTTCGACGAAAGGAATGAAACCAAAACAAATCAATAATGAAATTAAATCAAAATGTATTATATCGTTCACGATCATGGGGTATCAATAACTGCAGTCCACATCCAATCTCTAATCCGAACCCTCACTCAAAAAACCATTCCCTCATCCTCGCTCTCATCCATAACACCCCCAGAGACAGGAACAGGAATAATACTCCCCTTCACCTCTCCGCCCAACAGATCACCAAGAACCCCTTCCTCCTCAACCCCTCTAACCCTAACAATCTCCCTCCTAGCCTTCGAAATAGCCTCCTCCTCTGCTTTCCGCATCGTCCCAGAGACTCTTAACACCCTGAACACACAAGCCCGCTCACGACCCCCGTTCGGCCGTCTCGCCCCAGCATCACCACCAGTAGCCGGGACATGACTCATATATGTAAGCGTGGACCAAACGAGCCGGAAAGCAGCGCGCGGAACGCGGATTATGGCTGTTGATGTTGCAGGGGAGAGGTATTTAACTGTTTCCGTTAGCCTTTTGCTTGTGCTTGGAACTTCACCATTGAAGCTGGAAGGCAGACACACTGTTTACACCCGTGGCAGAGGCACCGCCTAGTTTGCCGACGCCCCAGTCTCCGTACATCTCGGCGACTTCTTCTCGAATCATTTTTGCTAGGAGACCTGGTGTGAGCGCGTCGGAGGTTGGAGAGTGGATTGATAGGTGGGCTGATTGGGGGTTCAGAGGTTTGGATTTGGTGGTCGGCCAGGTTGTCGGGTCGGGGTATAGGATATCGACTAGGAGGTAGCGGTTCTTGAGGCGGACCATTTTGTGTGGTGATTAGAGTTGGAATTGGGGAAGGTAAATGTGAAGGTGAAAAAGAAGTTGGAGTTTGCGACAAGCGATAAGCGATAAGAGCTTATCGGGATAGCAGGGCTCGAGTATACTCGCTCTTCAGATTCTCCGGCGGCTCCTACCACTTTACTCTACTTCTCTACGCAGACTTTGCCAGACAATACTTAGATGAGGGTGCCCTCGCTACGTTCGGAAGAAAATGTGGATATCATGCAATGGGCACGTTCATTAGTCCCAATTCTAGTCATCTAAACAAATTAAACAGATCCGTAGTCGGGCGTTGCACCGTTTTTGTTCATGGCAAAACCCGGTCATGCCCACAAGGGGCGCAGTACATGAGATACACAAAACTGCCAAACAGAAACCAAGGGGTCAACCTTCCAAACTCCACCACCCCCCCGCGCGGAGGGCGGACTGTATGCTACCAGCTGTCCAAAAGAGAAAATCACAGGTTGACCTCGACACGGCCCTCGGCACCGCCCTTCTGGAGGGTGGGCAGAAGGTAGGTGATGTCGTCCCAGGGGTGACGGTACAGACCGGTGCGCAGGCGCTTCTGGTCCAGGTAGTGAGCAATCAGACCGATGGAGCGGCCCAGAACGAAGAGACCGTTGAGGACACCCATGCGCATGTAGTCCTCGACCTCTTCGGCGGAGAAGGCACCGCAGTTGCGGAGCAGGTCAACGAAGCAGACAGCAACGCAGCCGTCGACGTTGAGGATGAGGTTGTCCTTCTTGGAGGTGGTGACGGACTCGACCGCAATGGCGTAGTCGAGCAGCTTGGTGCTGGGGAAGTTCTTCTTGACGAACTCCTTGACGAGCTCGACACGGAGATCGGGGTTGTTGCGGGACTTGACCTTGTGGCCAATACCGGGGATGAGCTTGTTCTCCTTGCGCATAATGTCGACGAAGTCGCGGGGGCTGAGACCCTTGTCGAAGGCCTTGGTGAACTCCTCAGCGGCACCGTCCAGGGCACCACCGAAACGCGAACCAATGGTCAGGAGACCAGCAACCAGGGAGGAGATGAGGTCCTTTCCAGCACGGGTAGTGATAATAGTGTTCATGGCACCGGACACGGCGGGACCGTGGTCGGCAGTGAGCATGAGAACCATCTCGAGGAACTTGCTAGCGTAGCGGGGCAGGCGGCGGCGGAACCACAGCAGAGACATGACACCACCGATGCCGATGTCCTCTTTGAAGACATCGGAGATGGGCATACCGGCGTAGAGCAGCTCCTGGCCACGGTCGTCGGAAATGGTGGAGATAAAGGCAGCGGGCTTACGGATGAGACCGAGCTCTTGGGCCCAAGCGTAGTCAATGGGGATCTTGGGGACGATGGGCTCAGCGGCGGGCTTGACGGAGCCCTTCGCGACTTCAGCGTCGTAAACCTGCTTGAGGAGCTGGGGAAGATCCTCGAAGGTCTCGGGGACGTGGATGCCAGCCTCGCGCATGGCCTTGTTCTTGTAGACAGCAGTCTCCATCTGGGAGTTGGCGGAGGCACCGGCGTGACCGAACTGAACCTCAGTCTTGAACATGCTGGCGCAGGTACCGATGGCCCAAGCAACAACCGGCTTGTTGATGGTGCCCTCCTTGATGGCCTCGATCACACGGTACTCCTCAACACCACCGACCTCACCGAGGAGGACGAGGATCTTGCACTCAGGCTCAGCCTGGTAACGGAGCAGGTGGTCAATGAAGGTGGTACCGGGGTAACGATCACCACCAATAGCGACACCCTCGTAGACACCGTCGGTGTTCTGGGAGATAATGTTGTTCAACTCGTTGGACATACCACCGGACTTGGAGACGTAGCCGACGGAACCCTTGCGGTACAGCTTGGAGGCGACGATGTTGTCCATCATACCACCAGTGTTACCGATCTTGTACGCACCGGGCTTGATACCACCGACAGTGGCGGGACCGATGATAGTGATGCCCTTCTCCTTGGCGGTGACCATGATCTCACGGGCACGGCGCTCGGGGACACCCTCCGCAATGATGGCAATGGAGCGGATCTGGGGGCAGTTCATGAGCTCCATGGTGGAGCTGTAGACGGAGCGGGAGGAGGCGAAGTTGACAACGGTGTCAACATCGGGGTGCTTGGCCATGGCCTTCTCAACATCCTGGTAGACGGGAAGGAGGGTCTCGCTGGTGCCCCAGTACATCTTGCTGACGAACTGGCCACCAAAGGTGTAGATGATACCGGCCACGGAGGGGGTAGTACGCTTGCAAATGAAGTCAAAGTCGAGCATGCCCTGCACGGCTCGGGGTTGCATGCCACTGCAGAATTGGTCAATATGGGTTCGTGCATGGCGGGGTACATTGGGTTCTCGGAGGACTCACTATACGAAGCATCGTGTCTTGTTGTGGAAGAGGGCGTGGCTAGAGGGAGAGAGGGCACGGGAGGGAGGGTTGAAACGGGTGATGTTGTCGTTGGCCGACTGAATGCCGTTGCCGGCAGAAGTAGTAGAGGGCATGGTGAATCTATTCCAGTTAGAATTGGGAAGAGAAGGGATGGGTGACAACCAAGGCGAGGCAGGCACCTTATGGCAAGGGGAACGTACCAAATGTGAAAAGCCGCTCAATGAAGTAGATGGGAAGAAGAAGGAGGAGGGAGAGATCTAAGGGAATCTAGAGAAAAGGGCCGCGGGGCGAGTACTCGCAGGTACGGTGTACAGCTCCTCCCGTTTTTTTGCGCACTAGCGAATGTTGAGCTCGTTGCTCCCCAAAGTCTGTGAAGTACCGGGTACCGCCGATACCAGGCGCCCCACCCGTGGGTCCCTTCTGTTACAGATACGTTACACTCCCAGCTTATAGCTGTCATCGATTCCACCACCGAGTTGTATTTAGCTACTAGCTAGATGCTGAATGCATCAATAGACTCAATTGGCCATCCTCGGTATTCTATACCAAGTACTACAGCTTATTTCGAGGTAACTTTCTTTAACTGGTTCCTCGGTGACCGGTCACGCAGCAACACTAAAAAGAAAGTTCCCAGAGCTACTGTGTAGATCGGATTCCGGGCGGTGACCCAACAAAAAGTAAGCGGTGTCGGGCCGTGTACAGGTGACTACCGCGTGGATCTGAGTACTAGGTCCAGTAAGGGGCTTAGAAGAAGTACCTGGTACCTGAGTTTACGACAATTACGGTCCCAACGAGACCACCCCACCTTCGCAGTTACTTTTTTCATCGTCTCAACCGGTGGAGCACCCCTCAATTGTACGCTGTAATCTCCAGCACAACTTTTTTCTCTGTACGCCGTACACTCCATTCTGCTTTGCCCATATTCCTCTATCTCCTCCTTCCATCCTTTCTTCTCTTCCCCATCTTCCCTCCCTTCACACCACATCTACACATCATGTCCGCCAAATCTATTCTCGAGGCCGACGGCAAGGCCATCCTCAACTACCACCTTACTCGGGCTCCCGTCATCAAGCCCTCTCCCCTTCCTGCCTCCTCTACACACAACCCTCCCGCTCGTCTCGCCTCTCTTCACTTCCCCGATGACAAGGCCGTCAAGGATGTCCTTGACCAGGCTGAGGTCACCTACCCGTGGCTCTTGGTCTCCGGCTCCAAGTTTGTTGCTAAGCCCGATCAATTGATCAAGCGCCGAGGCAAGAGCGGTCTCCTCGCTCTCAACAAGACCTGGGCTGAGGCCCGTGAGTGGATTGAGGCTCGTGCCGCCAAGGACGTCCAGGTTGAGACCGTCACCGGTGTTCTGCGTCAGTTCCTCGTTGAGCCCTTCGTGCCTCACCCCCAGGAGACTGAGTACTACATTAACATCCACTCCGTCCGTGAGGTAAGTTAAGCTCCACCTGTCAATTCGATGTGCTAGACTCTAACATACCTAACACAGGGTGACTGGATCCTCTTCACCCACGAGGGTGGTGTTGATGTCGGTGATGTTGACGCCAAGGCTGAGAAGCTCCTCATCCCCGTCAACCTGAAGAACTACCCCTCTAACGAGGAGATCGCCTCCACCCTGCTGGCCAAGGTGCCCAAGGGTGTCCACAACGTCCTGGTGGACTTCATTTCCCGCCTGTACGCCGTCTACGTTGACTGCCAGTTCACCTACCTTGAGATCAACCCTCTCGTTGTCATCCCCAACGCCGATGCCACCTCCGCCGAGGTTCACTTCCTTGACCTCGCGGCCAAGATCGACCAGACTGCCGAGTTCGAGTGCGGTACCAAGTGGGCTATTGCTCGCAGCCCCGCCGCTCTGGGCATGCCCACCCTGCCCTCCGCCGACGGCAAGGTCAACATTGACGCTGGCCCGCCTATGGAGTTCCCCGCCCCCTTCGGCCGTGAGCTGAGCAAGGAGGAGAAGTTCATCTCCGACATGGACGCCAAGACTGGTGCTTCCCTCAAGCTGACCGTCCTCAACGCCCACGGTCGTGTCTGGACCCTCGTTGCTGGTGGTGGTGCCTCCGTCGTCTACGCTGACGCCATTGCCTCCGCTGGTTTCGTTAGCGAGCTGGCCAACTACGGTGAGTACTCCGGTGCTCCCACCGAGACTCAGACCTACAACTACGCCCGCACCGTCCTGGACTTGATGCTGCGCGCCCCCAACCACCCCGAGGGCAAGATCCTCTTCATCGGTGGTGGTATTGCCAACTTCACCAACGTTGCCAGCACCTTCAAGGGTGTCATCCGCGCCATCCGCGATGTCGCCCCCGTCCTCCTTGAGCACAAGGTCCAGATCTGGGTCCGCCGTGCCGGTCCCAACTACCAGGAGGGTTTGAAGAACATCAAGTCCGCCGGTATTGAGCTCGGTCTGGACATGCACGTCTACGGCCCCGAGATGCACGTCAGCGGTATTGTGCCTCTGGCCCTGCAGGGCAAGCAGACCGACGTCAAGGAATTCGGCGCATAAATGAAATGATTTGGTTTTGGCTTTTTGTTTCTGCAGCGTCCCCGTCCGTTGCATGGGTTTGTGGTATAATGCATGGCATGATATGATTTGGGCCCGAGTCTCGATATTCGGGTCCGTTTTTTAACTGGTCGTGGATATGGCGTTTCTTCCTGTCCGGCCGAAAAGACCGGATGCTTGTGCCGACGTCTAGTACAATGATTAGATTTCCTTTATGTTCACCTACCGGGGGATAGAGATGTGAGGTCCCATCGGATAATATCAGTGATGATACACGAGTTATTCCAGTAATAATAGCTGAGCGCAGCGACGCTATCAAGTAAATGAAAGTATCTCAGAAATCCCTTTTAATCACAATTAATTTAATAGAAATGTCGAGGAAGGCCAACACCATGTCCATATTCACCCCAGATTCTGTTCCGCCGTGGAGGATCGGTATAAAGTCACATGACCAAAAATACAGCCCGTCACAAAAAAGACTCCACACAAGCTCCGATGGATCTCTGCACCCCGGATTGACAGGGGAGCTCTTAGCTTCCGTAAAAACAGATCTTCAGGGACGCCAATAAGCTATGGACCGTGCTGGGGTTGGACATTGGCGGGTGCAGGGGCGCGTTACCGCAGCCGCTTCCGCTGTCCCGAGGTTAGGGCCGGACGAACGGGTCATAAGAGCTCCTTTCTTTTTGCGGTTGGGTGTGGAGCTGGTGTTCCCATTGACTGATTGGTAGTTTGAGGATAGATGGGAGGTATAGGCTGGCATTGTTTGAAAGGTTTGGAGGACTTGGCTTTGAATTTGGAATCGGATTGATTTTGGATTTGTAGCTTTTCAAATTTATACCGATGCGTTGGTTTGATTGGGTGGTCTACTTTGTCACTCCATCGGCTTTACAGATACCGACCAAGAATCTGGGGCGTTCTTCTCTTTCCAAGATCTATTCATTGATCATCTATTGGGTTAATACTATTGACTTTGGCTGAACCTTCAGTCTAAGTTCAATTTGTTGATATGTTAGCCCTAGGCCCGGTGGGGAAAACCGGGCTACATCTGTCATATTGGCCGCAGTCCCACAATATATTCCATGTATGCCCACTGCGATGTACTCCCAAGCTTCCACCACAGCGATTCTGCAAATAGTGACCCTGTAAATAGGGATAAGCTTCCCAAAAATATAATTGGCTTTCAATGTGATGAATCACGGTTCTGATCACCGCTCATGTGACCGGCATTCCGAGGCAAACGCCAGAACTCTGTCTCCAGGCCACCTTACACGATACTGTTGCCACAGGGCAAAATCCAAATGAAGATGGGAAAAAATGTGCATTGTTACCAAATAGCCGGAAGGAGCATTATACTCGCGTCAACAGCTTTGAGCCGGGAATGAGATGACCCGGTTTGCCTCGACAAGACATCAAGTAATCACAACAACCCCCCTTGGCCGGGGAGCAGTCAGTGGAAGGTGAGTAAGTTCTTAGGTTTGAAAATGAAGTCGTCTCCCGTACCAGTGGCTAATGTATCTCGCCTTATAGGGGGGTCTCAAACTCAAATGCCTGCTTTTTAATCTTGTCTGTGGACTATTTCTGACCTTAGAGATAAAGAATCCTGTAGAGATTGGTGGAACTATGATCGAAAATGATGTTATTCGACGGGGTGTGAGTGCAAGGAGTGACGTCCAGACCCGGAGCAGATGCCGTTAACCGTGTTTCGGCCCACACTGGAGTGGAATCCGGGGTGTTCGCCAATGGTTCTGGATCGATAAAGCCGGTGGGAAGAAGGTGGATGCTAATATCCGGTCCTGTGATCGGCGTTAGATACGGCCCGTGATTACTGAATTGCACTTCCCAAAAAGGTAAAACTGACCAGGCCTGAAGTATATCAATCGGCCGATCTCACAGCATTGAATGGAATCCATATACGCTCTATAGTCGGATTTACTTCTTGCTTCTGACAAAATGGGTTCAATTTTCAAGAATTTCCTAGGTCTCTCTGAGGCCAAGGATGCAGGCAGCTGCCCCATTTCCCCGTCGAAGAAACCTGTCAGGGCTCTTCCTGCTTCATGGTACCTTTCCGAAGAGCTCTACCAGCTTGAGCGTCGAGCCCTCTTCTCTAAGAAATGGCTCCTCACAACACATTCAATGCGCATTCCTAATTCTGGCAACTGGTCTCGTTACAGTATCGCCGGATACCCGTTCATCCTTGCTCGCGGCTATGACAACAAGATCAAGGCATTCCACGACATCTGGAAAGAACGCTTTAACGACGAGCTTGCAGAGACCCTCTTGACCAACGATAAGTACGGCCTCGACACCATCCACGTCCACACCGATTTGAACAACTTCATCTGGATTAACCTCGATGCTGGCGAACAACCCGAGATTTCCTGGGACCGTGATTTCAAAGATATCGACCTCCAGCCCCGCTTCAAGCACTTCAACTTCAAAGATTACGTCTACGACCACAGCTGGAAAATGGACGGACAATATAACTGGAAACTCCTTGCCGACAACTACAACGAGTGCTACCACTGCTTGACAGCGCACCCCGACGTGCCTGCCATCGCAGATCTCAGCACCTACGACGTGGACACCAAGGACGGCAGCATTATCCATTTTGCGAACGCCAAACAGGAGACCATTGATGCTGGACTCGAAATTGCCAGCACCTATTACTTCCCCAATGCATCGATGACCATCACACCCCACTTCTTTTTCATGCAGCGCTTCGTCCCGACGTCGCCCACTCACTGCGATATGCTCTACGAGATCTACCGTAACAAGGGCTCTGATGAGAAGGATTTCCAGCACATCAATGAGATGTACAAACGCATCATGTCGGAAGACAAGTTCCTCTGCGAGGGAACGCAAAGAAGCCTGAAGACTGGTGTCTTTGTTAATGGTCTCCTGCATCCTCATATGGAGAAGGGGCCTCTTTATTTCCAGTCTGTTGTGCGCGATAAATTGATGGAGCATTTCGAGCGCGAGCAAGAGGCCGGAGGTCAGATCTGGCCTGCTCAGGTCGATGAGAGGAAAGCTCAGATGGAGGCTATGATCAGGAAGGATACCAAGACAGATTATCATGCGTCGCTTGGGTATGAGGATGTTAAGTCTTCTATGGTGATGAATACTCAGGTTACTGAGACCGTTGTGTTTTAATTACTTGGTTGTAAGATTTCTTTATACAGTTTTGTTATAGTGCAGCGTTTGAGTTAGGTTTGAATTCAGATTGACTGTGAATACAAACAGTAGAAACATTCTTTTATAGTGTGCTGAACAATCTTCTGCTCGATACACTTCGCTAAACTGTCTTGTAAACGTCATGATACGGAACAAGTCATCAACCACTGTCGGTAATAGCTGACGTAGTTGACTGCGGCTAACGTACACTCCAAGATATCCACAAGGTCTTGCCCCATATCGGAAGCATCCCGACTTGCACCTCTAAGTCCGACGGACCGAAGAATGCACAACACGAGAGATCCACTCCCATCTCACATGTCTTGGGCACCATACCAAACATTGAGATCCAACACTTATTCTTGCACATGGCGCTACTCACTACCTGTGCATCGCTGACCTTTAGGCAACAATACGATTACGACAAACTTATATTAGTATATTCTAAGCTAAATTTAGTATAGTTGTTCGTAAAAGTGTAGAGGATAGGTAAAAAAAAAAATAGAAAGGTACGGTCGGGAATATAGCGTGGTCCTAATTATATAAGAAGGCCTTAGTCCGAAATCTAGGAGAATAGCGTGATCCGAAATACAGAAGTGACCTTGTGCATTTCGGACCAAGCTAAAAACTCCTACATTTTGGACCAAAAATGCCCGCCTAGGGATAGTAACTTTGAACCTCTATATTAAATCTAATTCAATAGCTATAAATAAATAGTCTTTATATCTATAGCCTGAAGAATAGACAGCTATAAGGAAAAATATAATATATATCAATACCGCTTATATAAGACTATCTTTTGAGCCGGTTTTCGACTACTAGAGTTGGGGTTCGGGTTAGCGCGGGTTTTGGCGCAGCCTAGTTCTGGGTGCAGAACCCAAAACCCGCGTTGGGTTGGGCTGGGTTTTGATTCCAGAACCATTCGCAGGTTTTGGCGCAGACTAAGGACACCATGTTCTGCTTCGGATTTGGACGAAGCGCCTGCATAGCCTCGACGCATCTAGTTAGGCTCTATCAGGTTAATAGAACTTTGACTGACTGATTGGTTGATATATGAATTTAAACTCAAGGGGCAACTGTATAAAATGCATGATTTGGATCAAAACATATTGATTCTGTTCTATGCTACGCATTGTTCTTATCTAGGTAAAGAAAAACCAAAATTCTTCCACTACAGCAAGAGACGTTCTTATCGGGCCGGTAATATTTTCTGCCTCAAGTTTGGCGCCCTTCTCGAGCAGAAGCTTGACGACTGGGTCGAGCCCCTCTCGTGTAGTCTATGGTAGCGGTGTGTGGCCGTTATTATCTGTCGACTCGAAGTCGGCGCCCTTCTCGAGCAGAAGCCTGACGGTTGCATCATGACCATTTTTCGCAGCCCAAGATAGCGGCGTCTGGCCAAAAAATCTATCTGTCAACTCAAATTCGGCGCCCTTCTCGAGCAGAAGCGTGACGATTGTCTTATGCCCCTCTCGTGCAGCTATAGATAGCGGCGTGTAGCCACTATTATGTGTTGACTCGATGTCGGCGCCTTTCTCAAGCAGAAGCCTGACGATTGTCTCGTGCCCCCTTTGCGCAGCCCATGTCAGTGGCGTATGGCCAGATAATTTATCTGCTAACTTGAATTCCGCACCTTTCTCAAGTAGAAGCTTAACGATTGTCTCGTACCCCCTTTGTGCAGCCCATGATAGTGGTGTGTGGCCAAATACTTTATCAGTTAACTCAAAGTTGGCGCCCTTCTCGAGTAGAAGCCTGGCGATTGTCTCGTGCCCCCCTCGTGCAGCCATAGATAGCGGCGTATAGTACCTATTCTCCGCTAACTCGAAGTCGGCACCCTTCTCGAGCAGAAGCGTGACGATTATCTCGTGCCCCTCTCGTGCAGCTATAGATAGCGGCGTACAGCCCCAATTATGTGTTGAATCGATGTCGGCGCCCTTCTCGAGCAGAAGCGTGACAATTGTCTCATATCCATTTTCTACAGCCCATGATAGCGGCGTGTGATTATCGTTATCCCTCGACTCGAAGTTGGCGCCCTTCTCGAGCAAAAGCCTGACAATTACCTCGTGCCCCCTTTTTGCAGCCCATGATAGCGGCGTATAGCTTTTGTTATCTGTTAACTCGAAGTTGGCGCCCTTCTCGAGCAGAAGCCTGACAATTACCTCGTGCCCCCTTTTTGCAGCCCATGATAGCGGCGTATAGCTTTTGTTATCTGTTAACTCGAAGTTGGCGCCCTTCTCGAGCAGAAGCCTGACAATTGCCTCGTGCCCCCTTTTTGCAGCCCATGATAGCGGCGTATAGCTTTTGTTATCTGTTGACTCGAAGTCGGCGCCCTTCTCGAGCAGAAGCCTGACAATTGTCTCATATTCATTTTTTACAGCCCATGATAGTAACGTCTGGCCCAATTTCTTATTTGTCAACCCGTCGAAGTTGGTGCCTTTCCCAAGCAGAAGCTCAACAACTCTCTCGTGTCCGTTTCTTGCAGCCCATGTTAGTGCCGACTCGCCAGATGTCCTATTGTTTGACTTTAAGTCGGTGCCCTCGAGTAGTACTATGACGACTGACTCGAGCCCGAAGTAAGACGATATCGCCAGACTGGTAAATTTCTCGGGAGGAGCATTATGTTTGCTCTTCCAGTAAAGTGTGAACCATGCTGACCAGCTTTTGGAATCTGGGCTACATAACCTCAGAGCGATTGGGACTAGATGAGTCCCAACTGCAATGCAAGCCTTGTGATAGTGTATACCCCAATTCAGAGCCGAGTAATTCAAAAAGGGTAAAATTTCAAGTTTCTGATGACTTTCGTGTCGCGAATGCGTCAAATTAGTGTGATTATTGATAAAGTCAAGATATATCACACAGACTTCTGCAAGAATATTGTGAGCGCTCTGGCTGATAATGGAGTGTTGCCAACTTGGCTCTGATGTAACAGCTGTTGCTGATGTTGCTTTTGCAAGTAGAAACTCTCGAGCAGTCTGATGAAGGAAAAACACTTTATCGTGATGAATTGAAATGAATAATCCACACAACGCTCTGAGACGGGACCCGAATTCCCGATCCTTTTCTAAATCGAGGTCTTCAATACACTTTGATGTGCTGTTAACATTCAAAGCAATGTTCATTTCAGAGAGTGTTAGAGGTCGACTCGCTGCCAAGATAATACTTAGGGCCTTCCGAACCTCGGGGTCGTTCTTCGAGTTTTTGAGAATCCGCTCGTATGCTTCATATATGGTTTTCGGTAGGTATTCCATCGTTGAATCGACACCTTTAGGTGTCTTTTTGAAGCTTATTGTGTTCAAGAGTTCGAACACAAGATGAACCCAGAGGTAGGTACGGTGTGAAATCTTGAGTAATCTTGTTGATAGGTGATTTTTGACCAAACCTGAAAGCTGTTTCTCTTTCGCTAACTGCTCGACCCGGTACCGGATGACATGATTGACTTCTTGGCTGATGGTCTCTGACTCTTCTTCTCCTGGTATGTGTACACATGGGAACGATTCCAGCAGCGCCACAAACTTGCACACTATTTGTTCATATGGACGGCTCGTCAAAAGATATTTGAAATTTCTTTGGAGTGGTTGCCCGCTGCGGAGTTGACTCTGGAGTGGGTGCTCGCTGCGGAATTGACTCTCAATATTCTGTATTAGGTCCTCGAACTCTGATTCCGCACACTCATCTAGGGCATCTAGGATGATGATTATTGGCCCCGCCTGGGGGTCACACACGGCCTTAGCTAGAATGGACCAGAGCGACTTTGTCGAGTTGATCAGACCGCGCCCATCTTTGGTGAATTCCTTCATAGCATGTTCTATAAGAAATGACTTCTGGGAGAATAGCTGATGAAGCAAAGCACAGAGAGCTTGGCGAACTGTGTTCTGGTCCTGATCTTTAAAGAAGAAGTAGCACATGGTTGCAGAGCGTGGTAGCCCATCATCAATGAGGTATTTTGCCAAGACGGATTTTCCACAGCCTGGATCCGCCGAGACTAGTAACGGCCCAGAGTCTTGTCGTAGCCACTGCCGGAAATTATCATGGCTTAGGAACCATTCACATGTACCCTGAACTCGTGATTCCACACGATTTTTGTACCATTCATATGTGGAGTCATGGGTGCTAGAGGTGAGACGAAACAACTGAAGACAGTCTTCTTCTTTGTCTGACAACTTCTGCTTCGCTGCGTTTTCTTGTATCTTAAGCTGCTTCTGTGCAATTTTTGTAACCTCTTGAAGGCCTACTAAAATTTCATAAATCAATATTTGTTTTTGGGGCGTGAAGAATCCGCTAGACTAACCAGATAGAATGTCACCGATTTTCTTCTCGCTCTCGATCCTGTTCGGTGGAATTCTGCTTAAAAGGTCTTTTGCATATGCAGCAGCCACCATCGATGCATACCCCTGCCACTCTTTATTCTTATGCGAGTCTGAGTAGTCACAGATACCCCTGATGACTAGACATGGGAAATGGTTCATCAGTCCTGCAGCCTCCATCTCGAAACAGATAACGTCTTTTTCCGCCGCAAGGCTATCCCTCATCAATGCATCCCTCATCAATTGATTAGCAGAAGCAATCAGGCCATAGTGAATAGCTGGATTGTCCTCGTATTCGGTCCGCTCATTTCGTGGTACCAGATTTGAAGAGTCCTCCGCACAGTAAGCAGCACAGCCTCTTGAATCATGGACAACAAGGGCTTTAAAGAGTCTATCAGTGCCTGATTGCGGCCGCTCATACCCTCGACGTAGTCGCGCATTCTTGTCAAGAATGCGATTGACGGCCTCCTCGAGCTGATGACCCTTCCTACTGTACTGCGCCTGTATACCCGTCATTGCAGTACGTAGTGACGTTGGGGGCTGATTCAAGAATCGCGTGTGCTGAAATCCCTGGCCCTGTGTCGACTTCCCGAAGTCATACTGGAACACACCACCCTCACCATCGCGACGCGCACTGACAACAACATCACCCAGACGTACATCGTGCTTCGTGCTCGGTACACCGCCGCCGATGCCGACCATAAGACCTATTCTGACGTTGGGGAAGCTGTTCAGCATGTTTGTTGCTACGGTGGCTGCGGTATCTGTTCCATATTCACGGTCCGGCAAGACGGCAATGACGACGTTGTGTTCTCCCATTTTGCCTAGCGTGTAGTCGTTCGAATCGTTTGGCGACACAAAAGTCGGTCCTTCATGTTCTTCATCAAGAAACTCTTGCGCAGCAACATATTCGGTGGCTAAAGCGCAAATCCAGCCCACAACGTAGTTCGCAGGGTCTGACAAGCCAACTGCTCGAGAGGAAACGACCGAGCAAGACATTGATATTGCCGGGTTTAAAGCCGATTCTCTATCTTAGTCTGCTCTGCTGAGGTTGAGATGCCTAAAAGTGGTAGAGCTGGCAAGCGAGAATTATCCCTTTAGTCTCGTCGAGAGTCATTCAACGAGGGGCTATGTGCAGTTGCCTCAGACTAGCTGTTTCTGTCAATGCGAATACCGCGGTGGACCGGAGATACAATTATCCTTCGTTTTTATTACTTATGCAATCTAGAATCCCCCTGTGAATTGGCAGAATCAGGGGTAATACAGAAACAGAGCTTTTGATATCGTTGATTGGTTGCATATAAAACATTCCGACAGTTTCAGAGGGAGGTCGCAGCCCAATTATGTTCTACTCGCTCAGCTGAGAGGGTCAGTGCGGCGGACGCGCCGGCGCCCGAAGGATTCACACCCAAGTCTATTGCTAACTCGATCTTCCCTCACCCGGTCTAGCCTGGTGGGGAAGTAGCTGACCGCAACTTTTCTGTCGCGCGACCTAGGTGTGTGCGTGGCGAGAAAATGAGAACCTGGGTGAGAATCACTCTCGGTCGCGCGATTGCTGTACGGGTTACTACAGCCGGACGACAGGATGAGAAGTGATTGGCTCGTAGCATCTCTGTCAAGCTCTCTGTCTACAGAGACTATATTCGTATAGCCTAGTATGCTGAGGGACCAATGAGGTCAAGCGGAATTAAAATGATGCGGATTGGAATAATTGATTGATTAAGGAAACTTTCGAATATAAGCGGTCAGGCTGATCAGGCGTATGGAAACTCTGATTTGTCTAATCTATCATTCTGCCAATTTATAACGTGGTCGGTAAGCGAGTGGGCCACCCCACCACTTCTTCTACACTTCTATGCCTATTATTCAACCATGACGCCTCTATATTGATTAATCTCTAGCTTTACATACATTCCTCTTATGTCCGATCTGCCTGTAGTTGTACATCGGGATGGACGCCGCGTCTTCGGTGCTTCTGTGTCCCGCGGTAGTAAGCTTGGTTGAGCTAGTATTACCTGCGAGGGCTCCTCGTGAGTTTCCTCGGGCTGTAGTGCCTCTCGTACGGATAGACCGTCATCGCAGGCTATCAATCTAGTCATACGAGCACGCTTTTGCCTTTGCGTAGCGTTCGCAGCGCGTAGCTGCTTATTTTCTTGCTCGAGAAGTATACCGTTCTGCATTGCGATCTGACAGCCTTTAATAAGCTGGTTTAACGCGGGTTGCGAAGGCGATGGCGGACTTTTTGAGCGTTGCTTTAAGAAAGCTTGAATTGATGATGCTTGCTTCAAAAGCTCATCGACATTCGCGGGCATATATGGGTAAAAAGCGCACGATTGACTACCGCGGCTTACGGGAGGCGTTGGCGTCCGAAGCTGAATATTTAGCTTTAATAGTACTTGTTGAGGATCAATCGGTATTAATCCTGTTGCTCGGAAGCTATTTTGTATCGTACCTAGCTTATATGCGTCGACGCGAGCTTGTGGATATGTGAATAGGAAATCAAGCTTATGTGCGGCCAACTCCCCGAGACTAAACTCTATATGGACATCACCCATGTACAGTGGCGCCGCAAAAGTCTGTGACCCCCTGGCTGACCGCTCTTTTCTGCCAGAGACTGTGCCGCACAAAAACCTCCAAAAATCCTACTCAATAGCTAAAATGAAGGACTAGACACTGGCAAAGCTCTTGTGCGAGGTTTAGGATAGTTGATGATCAAGATATAAAACACAATGCGATACATGACTACGCGTTTAGGTGGTTGGGTAGGCTATGATAGGAAGGCGGTACCGCTGGCGGTCAAGCAGGGGGTCACAGACCTTTGCGGCGCCACTGTACCTTGCCTGGTGTGATCAATTTTCAGTGTTACCTTGCACTAGTCTGGTGGGACTTAAAACTCAAAAGAAAGAGGCACCCGTTGGATATCCGAATAAGGGAGATTGAAGCTGTCTGATTTTCTCATGTTTCGAGTGCGAAATACCAAGAGTTATTAAACTTTTCTATTTAGTTGTTTGCAAGACCGCCATTTTTGAAGACATCGGTGCCGGCAAAGCATTTGCCAATAGATAGATCGCTACTGTCCATGAGAGTAAAGTGATAATGTATTTTATCGCTTCAAGTCACATGTTGCATTTTACCTCTACCTAATACCCCTTTTATCGGAAGTTCTCCATGCTTGTCTAGTTCAACCGGTTCTGTAGGGGTCCAGTGCTACCCTGCGCTACCCTAGTAGAACTAGATCTCGAGAGTTCAAAGACACTAATAAGTGGGGATATGAGCTATAGACTGTTGAAATGCTCAATTCTCCTCCTAATCATGCATGAGACTCCGAGATAGCTTGAGCAGTTATGTCTATACATTGGCTATGGTACCGCTGTTTTTGCTATTATGGGTGACCGGAATATAGGTCACTATGTGCATGAGGGGCGTGAGCATTTTGATGTCCATTCTTTACTCTTCATCTCACCTATGTTCGGTCTCTTTAATGAAAGAGGGTTTTTCGAACGGCTCTTCTAGTCGCCGGATTTCCGGACCCTAGGCCCCACACCAATTTGACCAACCCAACTGGCTTGCCGATTTAGCGCATGCGTCGCGCAACAAGACCAAAGTACAATCTCCAAATTTTTCGTGGATAGAAGCTATGTCCAATTGCAGGTTGAGAATATCTGTCCAAGCAAAGCCTCATTAGGCTCGTACCTCTACATAGTGTAGTGGTGGAACGCATGACATAATGAATACAGTTGCGGCCTGAGGTGTCACGAATACCTTAGGTGTAAGCAGCAGCTTCTACATGAGGAGAGAGAGAGAAGAGGCATCTACCCAATTCATTCCAGTTGTCACTACATTCTTTCGTTCAACATGCTATATTAAGTACACTCCATACGGGCTCAGTCGGGAAAAACCGTACGGCCTCATTTAGGATTGCTGCGTCCAGGATTGCACGTACGACCTCACGGCCTCACCAAGGACACTTGCGACCTCCCCTAGCACGACCTCTACTACGTGCAGGTTGTGTGTGTGTTGTTCGTTGGTTGCTATTGTCCAGTCTGCATTGCCAGACAGCCATCGAGCCATCCCCTTTTCAATAGATACATTATTAGACCCGATTGGGCTGGAACCACATACTACCAAGGGCCTTTAGCAGCAGCAGAATTCTCGAAAAACTAGACCTTGCCTATAGAGAGGTGACTTTCCAGCCATGGAAAAAAATACCCAACAAAGGACTTCCTGTGGCTATCCATCTCCCCTTACTAGATGCCGATGACTGGTAACTAAGGTCAAAAACCTACTACTTCCGCTTTCCAGATAACAAGTGCAAAAACCTAGAATCCTACCCTCTTGCTTGGCTAATTTTTGACTGTATTCAGAGCGTTGTGGTGGCATGGTTGCTGGTTGAATCGGTAATTTTAAGGAGAGAGACGCGACTTCGGTTAGGTGACCGGGTCGACCTTGTGATTGGCGAGACCGTGAATTACGTTATTGTTCAAGTCGCATTCAGATGATGTGGCCGATGAGCAGAACAGAATAGACGACGAAAGAAGTCCTTATTTCTGGTATGTTAATGCTAACCTTGACTTCCCAAGCGTATCTCTCAATTCTGTTGCTCGGTTTCTTGCATGAGTTGCACAATCTTTCGGGCGTCCGCTCGTGTTCTTTCCATCAGCTCATCTTGCTCACTTATCCATCGCTACCGCGTTTTCCAAAATTTCCATCTTTCCAATGAGAACAATGAGTCTCCGTACCATAGGTTGGAATCCCTCTTTTTTAAATTTTCGAGGAGAGAAAGGTCTCTTTTCCCACAAACCGGAAGATAATGTGTCCGGCAAACTCAAAAAATGGAACCATAGCGTGCACATCAGTCTAAAATACGCCAGTCAATCATCGCAAATTCCATCATGGCCTTTCATTCTCCATTACATTCAGCATTTGCATATAATCAGTAGGGCGACCAGTGTCCCGATAGCGGTGGCCTTGCCACTGCGGCGGAGGTTGTTGGGCATGGGTCCATGGATCCTGCTCGAGGGCGAATACCATCAGTCGCAATGCTACGGTTAACTCCCTGAGATCGGGAGATTCGGGAGGATAAACGGCAAGAAAGTGCGCATAAAAAGCGTTGGCGCTGTGGAAGTCAGTCCACCCGTAATAGGGATTTGGGCCGTATCTCATCTCCCAACAGCCTTGGATGAAAAGAATTAGCATAGTGCCCACATTTCGGGACATGAGATCAGCTGCCTAGGAGGAACTCTATGTAGGGCAGGAGGATGTGCTGGTGGATATCTCCGAAATTTCAAGCCGTTATGCCATGGGAGCAAAGAAACCGACTGCACGGCGTTGGTCTGTTAGGGGCGGGAGAAGAAAATCAAAGTGCCACTCACGGGAATATGTCTCCGACCAAATGTAATCGAATGCCTCCAAGGACCTCCAGGCTTCTAGTCGGTCCTCGAAACCGCCGGTGCGGATCTGCTCCTCGGTTCGTTCCAGCTGAGGCAGCGCGCGGATCGCTTCAATTAACTTGAGACTGGCAGGCTGGTAGCGCGGCATGTCGATAGTAGCATCCCATAATAACCAGGAGACACGTTCGCCTTTGTCCACGACGTTTTTCTGGTGCTTCTCGACCACGCGGCCCTCGTCGACGAGCGACATTAGTTGGCGTGCAGCATCCTCTGCTGCAGTAGCAATGGCTGTGCCGAAGGACTCGGCAAATTCTCGCAGGGTTTGAATTTCGTCCAGAATCGAAGCGTCTTCCTCGTCCGGGTCCGGATGGGAGAAGCGTTCCCATTCAGTGTAGTCGTCTCTCATTGATGGCTACGTTGGATACCGGTCATGAACAGGTGTTGCAAATGAGTAACTGTATGGCAATCTACTGCAGGTGCTTCTGCTGGAAAACCTAGCTTCCACCAAGTGTGTAACATGGCGTCAAGAAGAGAAAACTGTGGCTGACAGGCTGAGTATTATAATGAGCAGGTTCATGAGTAGTTGAAGTTACAACACGCAAGTAATGCAAGCCACAACTTGCAAGGTCTGGTGCCGAGTAAGCACCCAGTTCGTCGCTTGGACATAGGAGTGGCATAGGCATGTGTCTCTGGCTTCTGGATGATTTCCATCTTATTCTGAGGCGCCATAATTGTAGTAATTGCGTAGAGATCGTTGCCAACATTATCTGTCGCCTCAAAATACTGTGAAAGCTTCTTGCTTGTATGCTTAAGTGCTCTGAGCATGAACATTTTCTTCTTTCGCATTAGCTGTTTCGTTGACTTCTCCAGATGAGCAAAGAGAGCGTAGTAGATGTCAAAGACGGTATGGATAGTGATATCTCTACTCTTTGAGACCTCATTGGTAAAGCTAAACAATGGCTGGGTGATTGAAAGAAGATAGTCAACCATTTCTTTTCGCTTAGTTGAACATCCATCTGGTTAAATACTTGGCAAAAATCATCAAACGTTGACAGCGACCGCTTCGCTCGCCGGAGCATCAGATAGGTAGAATTTTACCTGGTCATGACATCTTGCATCGGTACAAGCTTTAGCTCTTTACTCTGAAGCTCCAAGAAATGCTCTCGGCGCTGGGGACTCTTGGTGATATAGACAGCAAGCTTTTGGATCTAATAGATTGAAGACTGTCAGTAGGGTAGTAGAAAGATAAGTAAGAGATAATATTGCCTTATTCAACGTGTAGATGACCTCTTGAATCTCTCGACGAGAGGATACCGTTCCTCTTGTAAAATCCATCTCTTCTCTCTCATTCTTCGGATTAGCTTCCGTCTGACCACGAAGCTCTTTCAGACTAAGCTGAATGACATGTGCAGTACATAGCATGCGGATAATAGGTATATTGCTTCGTAGCTTAAGCGCCTGTGCAGACCTCTTAAGACTCTCTACTAGCGTTGAGTTATTAGACGTATTATCATTAGTAACGGTCAATACCCGATCCTCAATCTTATGCTTCTGTAAAAGTGGAAATAGAATTACGCCAAGATTAAGACCAGTATGCGACCAATGAACAGCTTCAAAGCCAAGTAGTATGTCGCGGTAGTTCCATTCTTGATCGATGAAATACCCAGTAACTGCCATCAAGGCCTGGCGAACGGGTGAGGAGGTCCAGCAATCCAATGTAATAGAAAGCTTTCCATTCTTAGGTAGCGTCTAAAGGAGACGATGTTGCTGTTCCTTAACAATTACCTGTAGCCGGCGACGGATACTATTCGATGTTGGTATTTCTGGCATGCTTGGGGCAAGACAGATTGTTTCAACTAGAGCGCGAAACTGGGGATATTCAACAAGCTGGAATGGTAGTTGTAAGCATGAGAGGAATATCAGAATCCTCTTAATCCAGACGTCGTTGGTAAAAGCTGTCGTTTGCGGTGCGAGATGTGCCTGATGTAAACTGATATTAGTATAAGTGTAACAGCTAGATAGAATTTGTCAAGTTGCCCCTTTTTGGATAAGTTGTCGAATATCCTTTGACTATGGTGTCATCTTCCGATAGTCAAAACTTCCAGGCGTTTCAGTCACGGGGTGACGAGGTGACCAACTTTACTCGTCACCTCGAGTAATTTACTAGTAATTCATAGCTTTTTCTATGATTAACCACCGACGTAGTTTTCAAAGAGACTTGCCCCACAGTGGGGCGCGCCAGACTGATTTTCTCAGTATAATACTCTTCGTCAGACCCGACAGCTTGCTGCGTGGCAGGGGCGAGGTTCTGTTTGATAGGGGAGGAAAAGATTTATATCGCGTTGGGATTCTTTTTCTTTAGAACAAGGCGTACCGTACCATTCATCTGTTTCCAGGCTATGAATGCCGTAACCCATCTTCCTCTGGGCGACAGCCATATATAGACATCTGCATAGGACGGCTTCGAGACTAGAATCCGTCATAAATTATCTATAGAGACAGAAACTGTTGATGTGGAGCACGGCAGGAAAAATTGCTTTTTAAAGAGGGGAATGGGATGATGCTGCAAAGATCTGGACTCAAGTGATAGATGCTCGCAAAAAACAAGCAGCCATCCCGACAGATTGACTAGCATGACCTACTTGGATAGGAATCTATGGAACTACGCAGTAGCTGTTCTTACTGAAGGGATTTAATCCTGACCCAATACCTTTCGGAACCATACTTTGCACGTAACGCTTCTCCAGAACTAAAGATTTTTATTATACAGCGATTTAGTATGTGTGCGTACTCCTAGACGCAAACAAACCCCTGAGTCTATTGAGTCCATCGATAATTACCACAAAGTCTAAAAAAAGTATTTATGGGTTCCTGATCCTCCACCACATGTCGTCAGCGCTAATTTTCCATAATCTCATGGGCTCACACATCTCCATAAACTTCACATTCCGTCAGGCTTGACACATTCAAAGGCACAAGGGAATTAGGCAAGATGTAACCATATCAGAGGAATCCTGCAAGCTGGCCGCAGATGTTGACGCTCTCATAGTTGAGCCCGAATCCCTTGACCTCAGGAATGATACGGAAATAGAAGTTGGCAGTGTGATCGGTCTTCACAAGTCCAATGTAATCAGACATCGAGAATCTGTAAGAATCACTCGCCCAATCTTGTGCAATGCGATAGGCCATGCTTTTCTCGTGATCCCGAGTCAGCTTCGAGCGTACACGTGTTGTAGCTGAGATCTTGAATCCGGCACCGTTGAAGCGTCTTTCTAGGGTCGAGCTCTGATCGAGGCCGGAAGGAAGGTGTCCGTAGTCACCAGAAAAGTGCAAGTTCAAGTCGCCGTTATCGAAATAGTTGAATGCAATATCAGAGGTTTTGCCCTGGTCGTCGTATACCACGTTTCGGGCGATAGAACGGTGGACAAGCGTAGGGTCGGAGTCTCGCTTGGAAAGTGTCAGGTTGGAGATATCGATTTGCTCCAATACATCAAACTTCCAACCATCGTTCTGAAGAGCTTGATCCAGGCCCTCCCAAGAAGGGCTCGAAGAGAGGTCGCGCCGCACCGCACCATCAACGAAAGAGGACTGCTCGTTGGTAGTAGAAACGCCAACGGATCCATGCACGTAGGCCAAAGCAACGAAGAGAATGTCGAGAGCGCCTTGCACGTAGCCAACGTACTTGACGCAGTGGGTGGCGCCTTCATTATTGCAGACCTGCTGGGCATAGTTGGTTCCTAGGTGGATAAATGCGACCCTTCATTTGTGTTAGGAACCCGAAAGATATTATCAACAATAGATGAAGACACGAAAAGGGTAAACGGAACAAAGAAATGCTTACACGGCAGAGCTAGTACCAATCCTCACGATTGTGTTGCCGTATTTCCTGCAGTCGATTCGTGCCTCCAGAGGATTCGCGGTATTGAGACTCCGAAGCTCAACCTCATTGGAGCCGTAGCCTATTAACTCGTGGGCACCATGATCCAGGTCAGAAGGAAGCTGGTTCACTGGGACGGCCGAGACCAGTCCAGTAGAAGCGAGGATGAGACAGAATTGATTGATAAACTTCATTGCATAGGAGTGGTTCTCGAATGCTCGTTAAAAGTGTTTGTTGCTGATCTTTCTTGTTCACCTACTGAAGGCCCTCTTTATACGTGTTTTCATTGCCTCAAATTCGACTAGGCCTTCCTCATGCTAAGCTCATTTTAATTGAGGTAATGTCGCAACTTGCTTTCTCTTTTTCTCAGCCCTTGCTGGTAGTATAATCAGGAACCTAGCCCCTAAGGGTATGGGAGCCCAGAACGACCTCAATGTGGTCTCAATGTAGCCCCGTGGTCCCACTACACGCGGAGGTTTTTCCAGATATGGCCTCACTATTGCAGCTAGGCTCCATGCATTGAGGTTCTCACTTGCAAAATAACCGTCTTGAGCCGATTTAACGACAGAGCCATGATACAGAGTGTCAAGCCGCCTCGAAAAACGGCGCTATAGTTCGCCCCATGGTAGTAATCTTCAAGGTCCACTTATTTAGAGTCCATGAGAATCCCTGTGCTGGTCAGACCAACGAAAGTCAGCGTAATTGGCACATTAATCACATTACTGTATCAAAGACTTGATGCCCTTGATACCGTAGACATCCTGACACGACACTATAGCCAGATACGAACAATAGAAGAGGGAGGAAGGCGTGCTATGGTGGCCACGCACGAATCCCTCGGGTGACCAAAAATTGTCTCTGATATCCTACATAACTATTCGCCTCGAGAACAGTGATACACCCCGGGAAAGGATCAATTAGGGCCTTGGCGGAAACTCACGCAAAAGGTGTGACCCTGTGGGTCCCACTTCTCAGACTATCCGTTAGTCATGACAATTGGAACCGATAGATCTGTCTATAGGAAAGGGAATGGTACGCATGTCCAGTAATGCTAGGTAGATGTGTAGGTTCGGCTGACCTGCAACATCCGTACATATGATTTATTTTGTATGACTTTGAAGTTCGTCCTTACGAAGTTGGTGCTGGTGTCCACCACTAAAGGTCTAAATATGCGGGCGGTAGTGGATCTAGGCACATGTCCTCGAAGTGCGTCCAGATGCTAAGATGCGGTCAAAATCCGGTCTGATCCGCACGGACCGCCCCCTCTCACCCGAGGCCCAATAGGCAACAGTATTTTATTTTTGTAGTTCGTACCTTGCGCAGGATAATCGTGCAGTGTTGACGACTGTATTCGAAGCTTAGCTGTCTCACTCTTCTGCCCTTTGCTCCACTAGCGAAGTCTGCTATTCTCTACCTCCTTCGCACCTCCCTTCATTTCATTTGCATTAGGTGTCGGGTTCGTCGTTGATTTCGACCACATTGATCAGTATGGAAAAAGCAACTTTTCAAAGCCATAAATCGACACCTGATCGCGCCCAGCTGGACGATGACGCACCTCCGAACCGCCTTGTTGAGATTGCGGACTTCTTTCCGGACAACCTCGTTGTCAGATATTTTGTAGCACCATTTGCCAGACACTTCTACAAGTAAGAGATGCTTATCGAGTCTTTATGATAGAGCTATCACGCTGATGGAATCAGGACTCTCCTAGCGCTCATGATTTTCATCTATGGCTCGCTTATCACATGCAACCTTTGGAACGACGAAAAAGCTTGTGATCGAAGGTTTAACTCGTTGGTCTTCTTTGTGGGACTTGGATTTGTTGTATTAACCGGCTACACGGCTTACCTTCGAAGGAAGCTCGAGAGGCAGAAGCGATTGGCGCAGGAGTTTTAAGCTTGGTAGAGTCGTGAGGCAGTGGATTCCATCTACCTCAAGTGACGAGAAATCACCGGTTTAATTGTCCCCTCTCCGAAGGAAAGATCAGTGGTCCACTTGATCTTGGTACCCGAATGGGACTTCTCTTCCCTCTCCTTCCAGGTCGAACACGCTGGAAATATACTCCTCATCTTCGGTTCATCCATTCCCACCGGAGGGTTGACCTAGAAGCCTTTTTCTCCTTCGAAGTTATTCTGTCTATTCATACTGGGGACTACCCGTATCAAGCTCCAGGTGGACCGCTTCAATCTTATTAAGATCGCTCTACAGTAGATAGCGGGTGGGTAGTGAATTTTATTACGGAATAACATTAGAGTCACAAATCAAAGGAATCAGGTAGAAGAACGAGTAGGCAGGTTTCCTGTGTGAACAGCAAGTACTAAGCCCATGATGTAACTTCTCTCAAAGAGAGGAAGTCAAGGGGGCCGGGATGGGGGTGGTTGGGGGCGACATCTGCTTTGGGGCGAGGTCTGTTTAGAGCTGCTCTACAGAGTAACTGGGCCGAACTGCATGCATTGCGCAAGGCTATGCATGCGGCAAAGCTGCGGATAAATGCTGTGCTCCCTACTCGTGTACAGCGGGTGGCTGCTATTGAGTATTTAGAGAATGAGCAAAGATGCTGACATATGTTTTCTCACCATGTTCGGACACGAACTCTGGCAGCGAGCTGTTGAAATTGCCTCAAGCCTGTCCTATATTGTACTTGCTTGAAGCTATCTGTGTTTGCCTGGCGTGAACCCTCTTTCTCCGCTTACAATTCAAAAACGGGCACGACATACCACACCTGCCTGCAGAACATAGGTCTTCTCTGAATAGTTAGTAGAGTGAGTTTATCTAATCGATATCACAGGGTTTTTGGCAACATACTATTAGTGCTTTCCAGTGGCCCCTCGGAAATTTCACAGCGAAAAGGCAGAATTCCACTTCCCCGTCGTGAATGTGTAGCTAAACCTTGCAGCCAATTCGTAGAGCCCTGTAAGACCACTTCTCGCATAAAATCCAGCCAACCTTTGGTGGTCTAACGCGCCGTCAATAATTGCGTGCGTCGGGGACACCGGGAAGTCTTCCCGCCTCATGCAAGCCAACCAGATATCTCGCCAAGGATTCTAGTCACACTAGAAACCGTTGTCTTGTATAGTATGGTTGTATTCTATAGAAGATTTATGGGTCCCGACCCAGTATCATAGATACAGGTCGGTTGTATGCGAGTGATAGGAGCCGCCAAGATCCCCGTATTTTAAATAATTAACGAATCATTCTGCTTATACAGATCCTCAAGTGGGGCTTACTCCACCTTTTCATTGGTCCCATTGCCCTGAATCACTCCAATGAAATCGGCTCGATACTTCGCCTCGCTCGCTTCCAGGCTGAACCGTCTCGTAATCCAGGTTCCAAAAAAGCCCTTGGCTTTAACACAGCACCGGCGAGGAAACGTGGGTCTCTCGTTTACTCTCTGCAGCTGCGGTCATACTGAGTGCAATGATGATTAAAGATGCCGGGCATATGGCCATAGTGGCCTTGCACATTCTACTGCTAACCAGCTGTGTCTACGCGCTTGACCTGAATGTTGACAATCAGGGTAAGAGACTGAATCACCTAGATAGATATTATCCTATTGTTTGAAAGGCTGATTTGCTAATTACATTGTTTTTTCAATGAGTAGAATCGATCAAAGATGCCGGGAGCACCGCCACCTACAATATGATGACATGGTACAAAGAAAATGGGACAGACAACCCAGGTTTTATCTCAAGATCCTGGTGGGAAGGTGCTGCATTGTTTCTGGCATGTCTCAATTATTGGCATGCTACTAACGACACAACCTATAATGAAGATGTCAGCGTCGGCTTGCAACATCAGGGGGGTTCGGGCGGAGACTACATGCCTTCGTGGGCGATAGGCGTAGTAAGTGTCCATCTCAATATATATAGTCACCCTTCTGACCATTCTACAGGGAAATGATGATCAAATGTTCTGGGGCCTCGCGGCGATTACTGCAGCAGAATATAATCTGCCGAATCGTCCAAGTGGTGACACCTGGCTTACCCTTGCTGAAGGTGTTTTCAATAACCAGATAAGCCCAAAGGGAGGCGGCTGGGACACGAGTATTTGCGGGGGTGGCCTTCGCTGGCAGAAAGAAGTGTGGCAAGGTGGTTATACCCTGAAGAACGCGGTATCAAACGGTGGCTTTTTTATGCTTGCAGCGCGTCTCGCTTGGTATACCCAAAAGGAAGAGTACGCAAAGTGGGCTGAGAAAGTTTGGGACTGGTCTACCACTGTGAATTTGGTTGATAAATAAACTTGGGCAGTGGCAGATAGTGTCAGTGCAGGCTCCGGGGGGGCCCGATGGCTGCAGCCTTCCTGACAACATCCGGTGGACCTACAACTATGGGACTTATCTGTCTGGCGCTGCTTATATGTATGCCTATGTAAGTATTCTTCCTTTATCTCCCACCTCTTTAACAACCCAAAACTACACATCCTGTTATGACATGCTAATAACAAACTTCGTTATAGACTAACGATAGTAAATGGCTTAATATCACAAACAACCTGATGGAGTCATTGTTTACTACATTTTTCCTACCTAAATATGGAGGTGTGATCACAGACCCGTGCGAAGCTTCAGGTCAATGCTATAAAGACGCGAATTGGCCACTTTTTAAAGGTCTTACGGTGTCGTGGCTTGCAGATATTGCATTGATCATCCCTTCACTTAAGGAGAAGATCCTACCAAAACTCCAAGTCTCTGCCGAGGGTGCTGCAAAGTCATGCACCGGCAATGGCCAAAACCTCTGTGGTAACCGCTGGTACAGCGGATATGATGGACAAAATTCAATGGAAAATGCAATCAGTGGTAGTCAGATGATGAGTGCTATCATGTTGAAATTTTTCGACTCATCCTCAAAACCAGTCTCGACAGCAACAGGAGGAAACGGCACAAGCAACCCGAACGCTGGTACTAGGCAAAGTTCGGGGCCTGCACAATTGCCTACTGTCACAACGGTAGATAGAGCAGGAGTTGGAATCCTGACAGTGCTTTTCGTGGCTGGTATGGTAGGCGCAGTGATCTTTCTGTATAATGACCCTTGAGCCCTTCTAGAATGAGAGTCCAACTACCGGTCAAGAAGCATGGGCGAGGCTTTCGGCCGATTTATATTTCCCTCCTGCATCACTATGGATCAAATGCCGTTTCGCGTCTTTTTAATCTAAAGGATCCTGAATTTTGCCATTTGTTGTTTGGCTAGACCAGATTGCGAGCAAAACCCATGTGCGAATAGTCCACGCTGTGTCATCACATCCGGTAGAAAACGCCAAAAACAGAGAGGTGAGTCAGATCACTGCCTGCATTCAAACCATCAATAGCCTCTCCCTGAAGTTCGATATGTTCATGCGCCTGTTGACCTGTCATTGCACCCTTATGCCATCTGCCTATTTACTCGAGAGCGCTTATGCTGCCGCTTAGCGTTAGCAACGCGTAGTTCTTTGCTTTCGCCCTGGTATTGCCACCCACTCCCCACAAATTCTCGACAAAAGAGATGGGGTAGAATCTGCTCGTTTGTAAGCGTCCGGACTAGAGGTATTAGAAGACCTTGGCACGGCTCCTCGGCACGACCCGAACCATCGGCCTTAACTTCGGACCCGCACCCCGGACCACGGGTCTAACCTTGCGCCGCGACCCTGCATGTCCGTAAAATTATGTAAAAACTTTTGATGTTTAGTAGTTATAGTTAACAATAGATAGTTACTTCCTGGAGATTATCTAACCATTTGGCGGCAAATCAATTCCCTGATAGAGCCCGAGGCTCTGACTGTAGAATCGTCGATCGCTTTACTCTACACCTATACAAAATTGTCAATTATTTTCGACTAGCCGCCCTAACCGTGCTAGGCCCAGCGTCTTCAAAAACACTAGGTCCTTTTCTCACTAAGTCAGCCAAATGTCTTCCTTCCCAGGCTCGTCGCCCCCTTCCCAAAAACGCAGTCAGTAAGGCTGGAGATTAGAGATGACTGACTACTGTTGTAGAGCTTACGCCCGATGTACATAGGTACAAGCGGTGCCTTGTGAGGGGAAGACCCCGAATAAAGGGGCCACTGCGGAGACCCACTCCTTCAACAGGCTGACAAGCCAATGAAGTCACTCCTTTCCACCCAGATGCAATCAGCCTCCTAGGGGATATCAAGATATTCTCGCGTAATGAAGCAAAGGCCTCGAACGAGCATCATATGAGTGCCATCTTGGTCTAATATCCAGGGGAATTTTTTGACGACGTGAAGCGGCATAAAGTAGAAGTCTCCTCGTTGTCTGGGCGAATTCCATTTCCCTGAATGATCATGATATCTTATAGAATCTTGCGCCTCTGTCCATCCAATGTGGCGGTCTAAGCTATTAAAGTTCCACAGTCTGAGCGCCTCGCTATTTTGAAAGTGGATTCGACTTTCGCTTGCGCCTGATCACAATAGTTAATACTATATAGTTCATGGGTGTTCAACCAGAAAAGACTTTATTGGAGCTTCAGCATATATCCGGCCAAATATTGTCATCTAGACTATGTTATGCCCTGGAGGCTAATGTATGGAATTCATGAAGGTTTCTAAGAACATCGGCATGGTGTGGCGCAATACTAGTATTATTGTTAATTAGGGAATCTCTTGCTTTTCTTATAATTTCAGACGGGGAGTTCCACCTGATCATTCCAAATCATTCAGTAACCTATCTCCATATCTACTGGCATCATCTGTTTTATAGGTCCAGTGGACGCCCGCCGGCTCCGGACTGCGAGACCTGAAAAATATCGTAACCTTGATCTGTTAAAGACTACTAGTCGGGATAAAACAAATCTATGTCAAATGGTATAGATCATGTCGAAAGGCCCGGTCTCTCCATAATGCTTGAAAATTATACAGATGGCGAGTCCAATGCTTGAAGGTTATTGTATATTAATGCATAAATTGAGCCTACAAGTTCCCAAAATCCCACCATGTAGAAAACCCTTCGATATTGCCAACAGCTGTTTCGGGATCGAAATTGCTCGCGGATTCCATATCGGAGAATTGAGACTCCCCAGTCCAAAGCCAGGGGACGTTGAACATCAGACTATCTGTTGAGGGCACCACGATATCCCTAACCGTTGTATCTTTGGGGGAAGTTGGGTTCGAGGAGATGGTGGTCAGAAAAGGAGGGAGGTACGCATTTTGTCCTGCAGATGGGTCTATCGTGATCTCTGGTGGGGACAGGGCAACATTTATTTCGAGAGTTGAGTATTCGTCTGATTTTGTGGGGTCTGTGGTTGCAAGAGACGAATGTAGCAAGGTGTCTGGTCTGGAGGACAAGTCTGAGACGTTGAATTGCAAGATATTCCACATCAATGGAATACTGAGACGCAGTTTAGATGGTGCCCATTCAAAGTCCATGCTTTCTGATCCAGAAGCAATTTGTGCCAATTTCTCCAGCATTTGAACCTTTCGTCATTAGCTTTGTCTCTGTCGCTTCCTCTTCCGTAGACATACCAGGGTTGCACAGGCAGGAGAGAACGAAGCAAAGTTCTTCAAAAATCTTTTGCATTTCTCGAAATCCATCTTTGACTTTTGTTTGAGCCGTAGATCAGTCGCACAGCAGAAATAAAGGTGAACCGTGGCTGCGATCGCGGCTGCGTGTCCGTAAAACGGATCAACTAACTGAACTTCCTTCTCGGTAACCATATCAATCATGCGAATAATCCACGTGGCATGTAGCAAAACTAGTTCGGACGATTTTCTCCAGAAATTATTCGGCACCGCAAGATTTGGATGATGTTGTGATGCCACGATGTATAAGAATGGATGATTCAACGTAGTCAAAATGGCATGCCACGTAAATTGCAGCTTGATCCATGGTACCCAGTAATCTCTGTTGAGTTTGACCTCATCGGCCTTGCGCTCAAAGAACTTGACTACATCGTATCGATGGCACCAAGGGACCTATAAGCAGGTCAGCTGAAGTATCAAAGTAAGGGTACTCAAACTCGCCTTGTTCTCGATCTCTGTCATGTCTTGTCCACATTTAGCGTAGATCGAATCAAGCCGCCACGGCTCTGTGAGCTTATTTTGAGCACAGTCAAAAACATACTCTCTGACTCTGCTCCACACCCATCCAAAGTGCGCTGCGAAGCTCCAGATGCCTATGTCAGATGTATTGACAGACGCCTCGTGATCTCGAGGAAAGCCTGCATTGCTACCATCCGAAATATAGTACTGACGCCAGATCTCAGGGGCCGTGCCAAGGATACCCTCTTGCTCACTGCAAAACTGATCCAAGGATTGGAAGCTCCAGAGAAGTCTCTTCTTACGCTCAGCTTCTATTAAAGAGACCCCAGATGCGAATACTCGGTCTATGCGGGCAGATCGACATAGTTGAAGGCCAAAGCCGAGATAGAATTGGCCAAGATGCAAATTTCCGTCTTCGAGGTGTCAGCGACAGGTCTTCTGAAACGCATCGAAAGGGATAAGTCATACCGATAAAAGCCGAATATGAAAGCAAACAGAGACTCTCGATAGTCTCAAGTTCAACAGTGCCATTCGCCACGCGGAGCATGATAGACCACTTGGCATGTTCTCCATACCGCTGTTTCTCACTCTCTTGCATGAATCGGGCTGTCAGTTCCAGGATACTGTAAACAAGCTCTGTGGAGATTTCCTCATTCTGCTCAAGTTCCTCACGATTAAAGCACCAGATTGGTTGTCGGTGAAAGAGGTCGAAGTAGATCTCGATTCCATCAGAGATTGTGGATGGAGAGACTTGCAGTTCTGGGCCTGGGAACCCAGATTGGTGGAGGCGGTCACTCCTAGTCTGACCATTTCGCACTGGAAATCGATTGTTGTGCGCTTGGTCAAATATTCGCGGCCCTTGATCAATCCCGTTGCTTGGGTTGGGCTCAGGGGAGGCCTCGAATGAGTCTGTGGATGTTCTTGGTGCACCTTGATCCAATTGATCAGGAATTTTGCCTTTGCCGCCATTGAGGATGAGATCGACTTTCTCTTCAAGAAACGTGAGTCGGTCCTATTAACAAGTAAGCAGCGGGTTTTTTTATTATATCGTGAAATGATTGTCGTACAGATGGACGTGAGTCCCCTGCGGCATAATTACACGTCTGTTTAAGCCTGACACAGCTTGAACAAGCTGGCTTTTCACCAGGACATCGACTTTTCTTTCTTCTGTGTGATGTGAGGCACTGATTACAAGGTTTTTATAGATCAGGTAACGGTAAGACATACCGGCAGTTAAGGCAAGCCTGTCTAGAGCGCAGCCTTTCCCGATTAGAAGCCTCGGGCATGACGATCACAGTCGGCCACGCCGGTAGAAGCCAATGCCGGAACGGCCGAGAGATTCACTCCGAGGATAGAGATGCGGGGTGAATGAAGCGCTGAAAAGTACGAAGTTCACGATATGTCATAAGCTTTGCGCGGAAACAATTGCCAAATTCGGGGCGAAGCCGAGGCGGGGTAGATAAGAACAAGGAGGGCTACACTCAATCGTCCAGAACTTCAGGTTATGAACTCGCTTCTGAGCGTATTGCAGTAACATAAAGCTTTCTATTTGATTATATAGCCTAATCAATCTCGCATTCTGGCGAACATTTCATCCGCTCATAAGGTAAATATAGAGACTTGGTAGACACGGCACATCGAAGCGCTGCGAATTGGCAGCAGGCACACCCTACCTTCCAAAGCGAGCATTGATCTCGTCTTCTAGAGGCAGATGAGGCACATGTGAAGATGAGAGTCCGGGGGGAGCCGGAAGGCGAGTACGATGCTGGAGTTTCGAGGCTGGACCTTGAGCTGGATAAAAGATTAGCTTCACGCTCGAGTGTTATAGTCCAGCATCACTTACGGCTCTTTGTATTCCAGACAAGCCTTCCTAGAGGAGCCATCGGAATGGAGCTATCCTGTTCTCTTGCTCGCCTGGAATTACCGGTGCCACTCCGCTGATATCGATGCAGTCGCTCGACCCCTTCTGGGCTCAAATGGTACGAACGGGTCTTCGGGGTATGCCCTTGACGACTGTGTGCTTTGGTGGTTATCGGAGGTGGCCGGACGTGGGTTTGAATGGGCGGAAGCATGGTGCTGTTTCGCGATGAGAGGTTGTTTAATGTCTGGGAGACCGTGTCCGAAGCCGCGGTCTGCATCTCAGTCCGCATAGCACGCGCTTTGAGAAGGTTGTAAAGGTTTGTCATCTGTGATAGCTTTTTGGACTTTTCTCGGTTCAGATCAGCCAGCTCTTGATTTTTTTTCTCGAGTTGTTCTTGCGCAGCTTGTATGTCTGTCTCCAAATGTCAGCCAAAACTCGGAGTCGTGAGGTCCAGAGCGTACTGACCAGATATCTTGTTTTGAAGGACTGACATCTCCGAGTTAGCGTTGTGAATTACTTTGTCCATTTGCGTGTTCAAGTTGCTGTATTTCTCAGTGAGACTCTTCCCCAAGAAATCTTGGTAGAATCTGGACATAGGTCAGCACGATTGTTACAGCCATTGAAGGGCACATCGCGATAGAATAGGCAGGAACATACATCTCCTGCGTGCTCTGATATGTCCAAAACCCCAATGCTCGGCCGGTACACTCCATGATGGTGTTAGGGTCAAGCCCGCTCAACACGCTGGTTTTGTAGTCATCCGTAGGGTTCAAATTCGTCGACACAGTATCATCAGGGTTGCTTAGGAGTGTCTGGCATGCTGGACACCGGCGACCACCTGCTGTAGGGAGCGAAAGTCCGAGGCTGTTTGCACATTCAAGACAAAAGATGTGCCTGACCTATCAGTGTTGCCCAAGGGCTGTGTAAAGGAGACATGACTTACGAGCAGGTTGTCACCACTGCTCTTTCCGTCAATGGCACCCGGCATTTAAGATTATTGCATCGCAGGTGAAAGTCCATAACGTGTGAGTATTGGGGCGGCTGATGGAGGAAGATGGGGGGGCGTTGGTGATCACCTGAGGCAGGCTCGCCTCGACCACCAACATCGAACATAGCATTGTCTTAGTTGAATCGCTGCACCTGGATATAATCACATTGAAGTCCCGACATCATAACCACTAAAAGAAAATGTATTTCCGGACGCATCACGCCGGGTTGAAGTCATCTTCTCTTCAAATTCATTTCCTGGCTCGTACTCGTTCCAAAGACTCGCCGGGTAAATATGCTTGTTCTTTTCATACCAACGACGATCCACCACTTTGGTCTCACTAGCATCTTTGTCTGCGCCTTCTAATTGCTCGTCGGGGCGATTTAAGGGGTCATCGCTGGTTTCTGATGGTTTGTCCGAGTAATCAAAGAGCAGTCCGCCGGCCTTGGAGAAGCTCGATACTCTATTGGCAATGAAATAGTAGAACTCATAGTGCTGGTAGCATGTTAGCTTGAACAATGGCCCATGTTTTGAGGGACTTACGTGTGGAACAATCACATCACCCTTGACAAGCATCAAGTCATCGACACTGACTCGGGCCCATTCACGCCGAGTATCTTTTCGTGCTTTCGAGGCTCCATTGGCCCCTCCAACTCCCAATTCAGCACCGACCTTGCGGCACCGGTCGAGGAATAACCACACATGGTCTCCCTTCTTGACCTTGACCGATCCAGCCGGTATGTTTGTTCCATCAAAGAATACAAATGGAATCTCAATCTCGGTATTCTTAACCGCTTCCTGCATCGACAAGAATTCCTTGCGAAGTGTGTCGCGAGCCTGCGCCTCGGCTTCCATCGCAGCCTTGGTCATCGCCTTCGGAGGAGGTGCCGCATTCGGGTTTGCCTTCATGCGACGCGCCGCAGATGTAGCACCCTCGTCTTTGGGAGTCTTGGAACCTGATCGCGATATGCTCGAGTCACGCGGGGTTGCCACGGACTCTTCGCCAGTATCCTCGTTCTCATTGTCGTCACCGAAAGAGAGCTTGCTCTTGATAAACGGCTTCTTTTTCTTCTTCTTAGGTGGACCGTCACTTCGCGGCGTCGAAGATCTGTTGCGCTGCGATCAGCTTAGACGCTCGGGGAAAGAATGTGGCCCTTGACTTACCCGTCAGTCACTTCGCCTGTGGAGGGAGTTGCGCTTCTTGAATTACCAGATGCTAGTCGTCCCAGCGACTTGTCATGCGCCTCGCGGTCCTTTTGTTCCAAGACCTCGGCGCGACGTTTGCGAAAGTCCGACAGATGCACGAGACCGACGGTTTGCGACTTAAGCATTTCCTCCGCGGAGACGCTCTGGCCCGTGAAGGACCGCGGTGTGGAGGCTTCGCTGTCTTTCTCGGATTCCATCTTCTACACTGACGCGAGAGCTTCGAGATGTTGGTTTGGGAAAAAGATCAAATATCGGAATCACTGAGGTCTTTGGAGATTAGTCACGTGATTCTATGCGATATGAGGCGAATAATTGAAGGATAAAGAGCTATGGATTTTGGCACATTTGAGGCTTAATTAGCTCAAAGACTTATTTACAGTGGCTTTAGTGGCTTCTGAATATCTCTTTGGAACCCCCTTCGGTTTGAATCTATTGTGTAAACTTGCGAAATACTGGCTGATGGTTGTAAGTAGCGGTAAGGTGAATATATGTTGAGCACATGCAGGCAGGAAAATAGTATCGCAGATTGTCAACCAATTATCCCTGGAGGCACCTTGAACGAGCAAATAGCACACTTTGAAATCAAATACTTCTTTCCTTTTAATTTTCAGTACATTTTCACTTCAAAAAGTCCTCGATATCTGGGCGTTGACATTCACTACGGGAGTGCAAACAGTCCAAACGGCCGGCGCGCTCACTTACGGAGATCGATCCTGCTACTCTTTGCTACAGCAACATTTACGAAATTGAAAGACCAGAATCATGGACGAAGAGGAAGACGACTTCTATGATCCCGCCGATTCGGTGCCGGCATCCCACACGAACGACAATGCCCAGAATACAGCTCAAGCTCAACGGCAGGAGAGCGATGACATGGATGAGGAAGAGTACGAGGTCGAGGAAGATGATGTGAGACTTCACCCCTCGTTCCGATAAAACATGGACTGACAAATCCTAGGATGACTTCAATATTATCACAGAAGCTCCGGCTGGCGCGCCTCCAGAGATGTAAGCCATGATTGGTCCTGCGCATTGGTTCTGTTTAGCTGATTATTGAAGCTCCCATCCACGCCCTGCGACCTTACGACAAGAGACACAACGACCTTCCTCAGCAGACTCTTCGATAGGCCCCAAATCCGCTACACCATCCGCTACTCCTCGCATTGATGCGCCCACTCCTGCTACAGGCGCAACGCTCGCCGCGAGACCTGCCGCTCCGCAAAAGCCAGGCTCTGCATACCCAGCCATTCACACCTCCACCATCGATGTCGATGGAAACCCTGTCCATCCGACAACAGGCAAGCCGATCATGCTTAGCGACATGGACAATGACTTCCCCGCAGACGACAAGCCCTGGCGACGCCCCGGGACCGACATTTCCGACTTCTTCAACTACGGCTTCGACGAGTTTACATGGGTTAGCTACTGCTTAAAGCAGCAAAATACACGGAAGGACATTGTCGAGCAGAAGGCGGAAATGGAGAGAATGCAAAACGTGCTGGGTATGGGAATGCCCCCGATGCCGGGCGCGCCAGGACCCGGAGCACCAGGAAATGGCCCGCCAGCTATGCCCCAGATGCCTGGCATGCCAGACATGAACCCTGATATGATGCAGGGTATGTTCGCGAGTATGATGTCTCAGGGAATGGACCCGACTTCCATGGACCCGATGGCGTTCATGCAGCATGCCCAGTCTATGATGGGAGGACAGCCTGGTGGTGGCCAGCAAGGACAGCCTGGCTTTGGAGGCCAAGGTCCTGGCCAAGGATTCCAAGGTGGTCAGGGTCAGATGGGACAGGGCCAGATGGGACAGGGCCAGATGGGACAAGGCCAGATGGGATACGGAGGCGGCTACGAACAGCGCGGGAATTATGGAGGCCGTGGCCGTGGGAGGAGGTGGTAGTCCTGTCCACTTTATTCTTAAGGATCATGTTGAATTCTCAATGGGATTGGATAATGCGGCGTTTTATTGCAAATGGAATGAGAATTCAATGCTTTCGGCTTTCGGCTTTGTAGGCTTATTTAGAAGCTTCAGTCCGGGGGAACGGAGGTGTGTCGAAGGGGTTTTTCTTCCAAGTTTGTGCAGGTGTGAGTTAGCGAGTAGTCTATAATCAAAGCACACAACCCATTGAATAGCATGGAAAGCTTAAAAATAGTCCGAATGGACGATAGAAGCATAAACAAAGGAGCATAGATGCAGAGAAGCCGAAGGTCGGGCATGGCCCTCGGCGAAGCTGCGGTCTTGGCATTCTGGAAATTTCTCGGTGCAAAGTCCAGATCTTCCCCGGACACTTCCATCTTCCCTTCTCCATCCCACTCTCATCTCCAACTCTTGGCCTTTTAGACCTCCAACTCCATCACAATGGTATGTCTCTTTTGCGATTCCACATTTACTGCACAAAACAATCCCACTAGGATCCAGCAAAGCTACGCATTGCTTCGCCAAGCTGGTGTTCCCTACGCCTTGCCTCCACTTTTTTTCTCGCATCCGATCAACATCCAACCACTCCATCTGCTCAAGCTAGATACTGACTCCGGATTCAATAGTCTGTCCTCCGCAACATCAAGAACCTTGCTCCCCTCCTCGACCGCGTCCTGGTCCAGCGCATCAAGCCCGAGGCCAAGACTGCCTCCGGCATCTTCCTCCCTGAGAGCAGTGTCAAGGAGCAGAACGAGGCTAAGGTCCTCGCCGTTGGCCCCGGTGCCTTCGACAAGGACGGCAAGCGCCTCCCCCATGGGCGTCGCCTCCGGTGACAAGGTTCTCATCCCTATGGTATGTCGCACCTCCTGCTCTTCCACTCTTCTGTGTTCAACCACCATGAAAATACCCTGAGCACACCTTCCCCCCAATTGGAACAACAAACTAATAGAATTTATTCTACAGTTCGGCGGCAGCGCCATCAAGGTCGGCGAGGAGGAGTACAGCCTCTTCCGCGACTCCGAGATCCTGGCCAAGATCAACGAGTAAGCAGTTAGCTCAACTGCCTCGTCTCTTCTACCAACCCCGGCCGTTCCATACTTGTCCTCTCTGAAATTAAGGACATACGGCGTGTACTATAATAAAGCGCACGAGCTCGACCATTTCAACGATCTCAAACAGGAAAAAAAAAAATCTCCAATATACCTTTGCATACTGAGTTTTGAAGCGCTGGATTGGCTTGGTCTTGCACGTCTTTGTACTGTATTTATAAAGAGTAATTCGATTGATCTCCGCTCTTCAAGATAATATCTGTTTTGATTCAACCCAAACCGAGACATGACCATGGGTTTTCCATTGTATCCCACAGTCTTCTAGCTCTTGTCTCTCTGGATGGCTGTTTCGACTCGCCGTAGAACTCGCTGACCGAGTAGGTCTTTGTATTGTAATAGGCGCTTCTCATTGCTCATCTCAATGAAGCTATCCAACGTCATACCCATGTCCAGAACCAGGCGCGCAGCGAAAGGGTTAAGTCCATACCCACGGAGTGTAACCTCCCACCGCGTCTCCTGTGATCGCACTGGCCGTATCGCCGGCATCATTGATGGAAGCTCAGTATAAGCGAGGTACTCGATCCAGCCTGCTACAGCCCCGTCAGTTTCAGAGACAATCATGGGAATGATGGTCGTCTCCTCGTCGAGAGAAGTGCAAAATGATGACAGATTAGTAACCGCATCTTGCATCTGTTCGTCTGCCTTGTTTGAAAGTACGCAGATGAAGATGTACATCGTCTCGTAGTGGGGTGTGGTTTGGTAGATGCGCTCCATGACTGGGGACTTGATATCTGCTCGTGAGCCTTTGTCTCCCGGGAGGTATTTTTGAGTCAACGTGTGCGCAGAAGTCAAGATGATTCCTGTTCTTGGTGAGATGATAATGTCGGCTTCCGGTGACTTTGGATCGTAGTCTCGGTAGACGAGTCTGAAGCTTGAGCTGCTGTCAAGTTGTCGGACGTGGGACAGACGAGTCTTCAAGAGGTTTGTTGAAAGGAAGCATGTGGGCTTTTCAGGGAGAGGCTGGCTGGACGGAACTGGTGGAGGTATGATGTTGAGGATAGTTTCGGGAGATGTAGATGTAGAGGCAGATTGTGGTGGCTCTTTCCCTTCCGGCTTCTTTATCTCTGCCTGGGCGAAATAGGCACTATTGGAGACTGGAACCGAAGAATCTACGATGCCTCGCGTCGACAGGAAAGAAGATAGGTTGCCTAAGCCTGACGAAGGGACAAGCTGCTCAGGCGGCGAAGATTTGGGCTCCTCTCTTGATATGGATTTTTGAAGTTTGTCCTCCATAACATGAGAGATTGCCTGTTAGATTAGCACCTATTTTTCGTGTTGGTAAAGACTGCGTACCTTGTACTTTCCAATATTTGTATCTTTGTTCGCTTTAGTCTCTCGGGACGAGTGGTGCGCTGGCATCTCGATGTAATGTGCCAGGAGACTTTTGTAAATGTTTACTTTCTCTTGATCCGGGAGGGGCCTTGCTAGCCCAAGGTATTCCTCAATACCAGTGAGCTGAGATACTTGAGGTAAAAGTGGTCCATCCCTACGGGGCTTCACCGGCTTTTTCTTCAAAGGAGTAGAAAGTAGGTGGGCCTGCTCTGCGGCAACGGTGACCTTGGAGTCATCCATGGTCGATTCTTCAAACGGGTCGCCGGACTCATCGCCCATTGTGGTGGAATCCGGGGGTGGAAGAAGACGGCTTGGTCTTCCGGGAAGGTCTTTGTTGGAGCGTGAGCCAGTCGGGGCTGCAGGAGGGTTGTCAATGGTCCGGAAATGCGGTACATGGAGGGCATCGAAAGCATCTTCGTTAAGCGTAGGGTCTGTGTAGGGTGAGTTAGAGGCCATCGTGTGTGAAGTGTAACTTGAAAAAAGACAATATGTTGACAGGTGACAGAATCGCGGTGGTTATCGAAGTGGTAGGTTCGACAAGAAGAGAATCAAAAGGGGATACTAAAAGTAATTAAAAAGTTCAATAATAAAGTATCCAATTTATGCCTTGAAAATGAGATTCCATTGATATTTGCCAAGAATTTCCCAACGCCTGCAGACTCGCTGACTGCTTATTACCATGCCCATGAACAAAAAAAAAGCGCTCCATCGATGCAAATGTTCCCCTCAACCCTAATCATTGTAGTTCGATTGCCGCGATCCATCCTTGTTGACCGGTGGCAGTCCATACAACGCGTTAAGCTCGTCTTCTTGCGACTTGCCCGACTCCTCAAGCACAGGCCGCTCGGCGTGGCAGCAGACTCGCACGGCGTGTCGCCGGTGGGGAGTGAATCCGTATGAAGCAGAGTGTGTCGTTGTGCGGTTGTCCCAGAAAGCGACATCGTCCTTGTTCCACGTGAATCGAGCGTGCATTTCCTGAGTAGTGGCCACCACGTCTGTGAGGTATCGAAGAATGGCGTCGCTCTCCCCCTTGGGAATGCCGATGATTTTAGTCACGAAGCCCGGGTTGAAGAACAATGCATTCCATCCGGTGACAGGGTTGGTTCGGATGAGGGGGTGAACAGTGGTAACAGGGTCGCGGCGGACGGGCCGGCCGAGGGCGCGCGTGTCGTTGGCCTGCATGTCCGCAGAGTGCAAAGCTGTCAAGCCCTTGAGATAGGTCTGCATGAATGGCGAAAGGACGTCATAGGCAGCGTACTGTGAGGACCAGAGGGTGTCGCCACCGCCACCATTGGGAGGGCCAGCCAAGAGCTTCAAAGATGTGTAGGATGGTGGTTGTACCTCGTAGGTAACATCTGAGTGCCACAAGAAGCTGGGGCTGAACAAAGCACGGTTGTCGCCGGAGTTATCGCCGGTATAAACAACGTGGACATCCTCGAGGCCCTTCTTCTTGGGAACAGAGGTAGTTGCATGCTGCATATAATTAATACATGCTTTCATCAGTCCCATCGTGGTAACATACCTTGTGAAGAGTACCAAAGTGCTGTCCAAGTTTCCGCTGAGCTTCGACATCAAAAGACTTTTGTGAACGGAAGAAAACAACTCCGCGGTAGGCAATCAGACGAGCCAGGTCATCCTTTTGAGCATCGGTGAGTTTTGAAAGGTCAACACCATGAATCTCAGTGCCAATCTTGGGGTTGTAGTCGAAGACAGCTGTGGCGTCCGCCAGTAGGTTGCGGAACTTGGGGTCTCCTCGAAGGCCACGGTCTGAATAGGGGACATCCCCAATGGGGGCCCAATGGATATCCGGGAAAGAAGGAAGCAAATCCTCATGTGGATAGTTGTCGTGCTGTTCGACTGGTGTCCGTCCGGGGACATAGCCAAACTTGTTGTCGCCAGCCACCACCTTCTTGGGAGTAGGGAACTTCCCGAATGTGGAAGAGGCAACTGGGGCAATGGGCTCTTCGAGTGAGGGTGCCATGTTGACGCTTAATGTGTATGTGCAAGAGGTTGTGCGAATCACCCGGAATTGATTGATTGAGTAGAAGCTGAATGTATTGACAAGGTTCCGAGAGGACTGAACTCCTTATGTAGACACAGAGTTAAAGATAGCAGAGGTCCCAAGTGGACCCTTGAGTCAACCCCGGATGGAAATCTTGCGTGATTGCGCCTCGGGAATGGTGCAATGGTGCAATAGTGCAATGGGGCCCGGGGGAATCGCGCCATCGGCAACGATTATCAAGCAATTGCAAGTGGACAGGAAGCGATGGATCTGGGATTCGTGACTTACCAGTGACGAAATGGAGAATGGGCCGCACAGGGGAATGTCTTCCCCAGCTTTCCAGAGCGGTTAAGGGGTGATCACGCCATCTTAGTGACGTTGATGGCAAGATTTGCCATCGACTCCCAATTACGAACTTGAAACTTCTGAGTGAGAGAATATTCTCACCGCTGCTTTGAGTCGATCATCAAGATATCTTAGAGCAAACTAGCGGTATGCACACGCAATCGCAGCGATCGTGAAACCATGCCAAGTGGAGGTGGGAATTAAGCAGGCGGAGTTGCGCGCTAAGTGGCCGATCACGCAAGAGTGGCGGATCATGTTGCAACAGAGCCTCGTCACTTCTGCACACTTTACCACTTGGGACTTTTCGTATATATTCCAGATTATCTGAACCTCGGCTTATTTATTTTTAGTTTGATCATGTATTTCCGTTTATTGACTATTTCCATTGTCCTGGAAACCGGAGTTTCAAACGTGGCGTGGTTTCTAGTGTTTCTACAGTTTCCGGGCTCTTATCAATCAGTTCTACGTCACGAGACCAACGAATAAAGTAGCCATATTTCGCCGCGTATCATACCGGAGACCAGCCCATTGCATTAGTGTACAGATAAAATCATGCTTTAGTTCATTCCGAGCCGATCACCCACAGACAGTGGTCCGAGGGTTGTCTCTTGCACCTGCTCCTGCACACCTCCCAGCCGGGCTGCGACTCCCATAATACCAGCCTCGACATCTCCCAGCACCGCGGCCAGATCATTGACGGCCGACTTGGGGGTCCCAGCACCTGCACCATCACGAGACTTGGAGCTGACGAACTCGCTGATTTGGCGGTTCAATGCAAGCTCAACTCCGTGCAGGTGGTCCTCAATCTCCTTGATGTTGCCCTTGTACCGCTCAAGTACTGTGCTCATCTCGTCGGATCGCTGTGAGAAATAGTCCACCAGGTTGACAGGTACGCCGTTGACAGATGTTGCGGTGGATGGGTCGCCCTCCACATCGTCGGGAAGGGCAAGGGTGTTCTTGCGAGTAGACCGCAGAGACCGTCGGTCGACCTTTTGATCTTGCGCCGACCACCAGCCACCACCGCTGGCAGACTGGTACTGCAGAGGCAGCTTAAGGGTATCGATGGCCCGGAATGCGACCTGTGCCTCAGCTGCGTCGCGGCCGACCAGCCCACGCAGCTGATCAATGTCGCCAGCGTCATTCTCTAGGGCATGTTGAATAGTCTCCAGCTTGCCTTGCACGAACTCCACGTCGTTGGGGATCGTCGAGCCCTGCTTCTCAATGGTGGGAAACATATCCGCAACCTCGTGGCACACCTTCATCTGGTTGAGGATATAGTTGTCAATGATCTCGATATGGTTTCGAATCTCATCCGCACAGTTGTCAAACTTGGTGGTTGGTAACAAATTGCTGACATCGATCTTCACACCAGGCACCACGTTTGGTGCCGTGGTATTCTGCTGCAGCGGCTGTGGGCCCCCCGGGGCTGCACCTTGGTTTCCGAACAAAGAGAGTGTAGGTTTTTGGGCTTGTTGTTGTTGCTGTTGGGGCTGTTGCTGTGTATTTTGTGCGCCGCCGCTGTAATGGAATGAATCGGTTAGAAGTGCTATAACGAAGAAAGGACATCGCGATCCACTCACAAAAGGCCACCAGTGGTCGAGCCACCGAGACCACCAAAGGCAGGCTTCTGTTGAGTCTGTGTCGTAGTGCTGGCTCCAAGTCCACCGCCGAAAAGTCCTCCAGTAGTTCCACTCTGGGTGGTGCTGTTGGTAGCACCGGCACCCGCCGTCCCGAAGAGGCCGCCCGACTGAGGTTGTGTTGTTGCAGCGGTCGAGCTTCCAAAGAGGCCACCGCCAGTCGTCCCACTCTGCTGCTGCTGCTGCTGCTGTTGCTGCTGACCACCCAGACCAGAGAACATGCTTGATCCGGTGGGTTGTGACTGCTGTGTGTTTCCACCACCCAGACCTCCTCCAAATAGGCTACCCGCCGGCTTGTTTTGAGGCGTTGAACTGTTGTTTCCAAAAAGACTGCCAGTAGTTCCCGTAGCCGCAGGTGTAGATGAGCTTTGTGTGTTGGCGCCGCCACTATCGGAGGAAAAGACACTGTTAGCTAGTCATTCAAAGTTGGCGCAACTGACGCAACTGAACCCGCCCTGCGCACCACGAAATATCGCGGCCCCGGCAACGGTGCAATAGTGGCGACGATCACCGCCTATTCAAAAGAAGGGATGGACAATTATGAGCTTGGACAAGCTCTGAGAGCTCGAGGTGGTTGGGCAGCAGGGGTTAACCGAGGAGGCACTCACAACAAAGAATTGGCAGAGCCGGTGTTAATAGAGAGGCCGCCAGGCGCGGCCGAGGTCTTTGGGGCGAACATGATGATCGGAATGCGCAGGCCCTTGGATTCCCAAACAAAGAAGTCGCGGTTGCCCGATAAGATTTACGGCGCTTGCTCGGTGCTTAGTTTTCCCGGTGCCGACGTCAACGCCGCGTTGACGACTTTGCCCTAATTACGTTCTACTACAATATCTGTTTTATGACAAGGGACTTTAATTCATCCAATTCTGCTGAAAAAGACCGAACCAAAATCCCGTGCTCCAGTCTGCCGCCACAAATATACTTGGATCATCTAGGTACATCTTTAAAGGACATCCAGCAGTGCGTCCAGATAGACACAGCAAGCACCAAATTACCCGTGGACATCTGGGATACGGAGAAAGAAATTCGGAAGCAAACTCGAACATATTGAAAAGACGCCTGAGTGCCGATTTATTTTGGGATACAGAAAGGGCTTCACTGTATAACCGGCAGGGCAACAAGCCTTGGCAAATTCCTAGCATCTTGCTCGGCTATCGCTCAAGTCAGTTGTCAAAATGGATTATTTCCACAATCGGGAAATTATCTACTGAGAATTTTCCCGGTTTTGATTGAACTGCAAACAAGGATCCTGCGCCTGTAATCAGCATCGGATTTCCCTAACTTCTACTCCAAATCTTTCAAAAATTTCTGCAATCATGACCATGGATTGGTCACCGATCTGCGTGGCCTCAACAGCCATAGGCGCATCAAAAGAGCTAGATAATGATGCTACATCTCCGGAATGCAGAGACACCGGATCTCGGTCTCCCATCGCGCGAGAGAGCGATTCTCCCTCCAGTCACGAGGATCCAGCATCGCCATCTTCCTCGAATAGTGATATTCAAGCCTCCCCAGCTGCAGCTGTTGCCATCCACCCAGAGGACAATCTAACTACTCATCATTTCAAAAGCGTTGAATGGTAAGCCTCGCTCACCTACCAGAATACTGCCCAGCTCACGAACATCTCGACAGGACGCCGGACGGGACCACACTCCTAGCCGAATCGGCAAATCACTGTATCCGAACCTTCATCTTGTGAGATTATCCATCTTTCCTGTTCTTCTAGACCTCCTCGCTGATCAAATCCAAGACCTCCGGACCTGTTAGAGGGAGAAAAACCTCATCGTTTGTCACCATACTCCACACTTGCTTCGGCCGAGCCGACGTATGCGTCGGCCGTATACCCTTTTTTCAACCTCCAAGATCCAACAACCTGTCTGTTTCTCTCTTCGGTCCGTGACCATCCAATCAGATTAGCATCCGCTCTGGTCCCGACATCAGTCGCGAGCTATGCATTGGTGAACCCGATGACTGAGGCGTTCATCACCCCTCACTCCATACTGTATCCCTCCACGCTTGGTGGAACCCATTTTTTGACAGGATCGGATAGCATGATCTGCCTTTTCGACGTCTCTCGTTCAGGTAATGAAGGTCCTGTGTCTTGGATGCCGACCATCCCCAGTAAGCGCAAGCAAATTGTGGGTGGGGGTGTTGGGATGAAAGGCATTGTATCCGCCATGGCCGTCAACCCCACTGGAGATGGTATTCTTGCTGCCGGGACTTTCACTCGACACATCGGGCTGTACAGCTCCAACGGCTCGGGGGAGTTGCTTGGGACCTTCAATATTGCAAAGACCGAAGCGAACCGGGATATCGGAGGCAAAGGTGTCACCCAGCTCACATGGAGTCCTTGTGGTAGGTATTTATATATAGCTGAGCGCAAATGTGATGGCGTTCTGGTATATGATATCCGCGTGACAGGGCAGATGCTCGGGTATTTGCGGGGGCGGAATGCGTTGACGAACCAGCGTATGAACATCGATGTTGTCAACTCCGGTGCTGAGGGCTCTCATGAGGTTTGGGCGGGTGGGATTGATGGTATCATGAGGGTGTGGAAGGACCCTGCGTTCACCGTGGGTGCCCACGATCCAGATTGGGAATTCAAGGTGCATGATGGTATGTTTGTTGATCTCCGCTTGGTATTTATACATGACTTACGTTTTGTAGATGCCGTCACTAGCGCAGCGTTTCATTCCTCAGGAAGTGTTGTGGCTACCTGCTCGGGTCAACGGCGGGATGAAAACAGTGGACCGGCGGACAACAGCCTCAAAGTCTGGTCGATGCCTTTTTTGAACTCGGAGTGATACTATATACCTGTGATGACCTCAAAGCCTAATCGAAATATCTGGCCGCTTTTCTATATATGATATAATCTTGCTGCGGTAGAGACGATGGCAGAAGGCTTGAGTCAAGCATATTGACATGAAAATAAGGTTGCGGATCTCCCGCACCCCACGTGGGCCCCTGCCATCCTAGGCTGTTCTAATATCTGAAGCTCTGAGCTTTCGCACCGGGCTAGACTGGGATCACACTATTCCCACTTAGAAATCTATTGTCTGCCTACTCAATGGACTAAATAAAATTTTCCTGGAACTCTTTCCCAACTGGAACTGGGAATATTTGGCACAATTCACTTAGAGGGCGTGACCTGCAAGACCCTTGACGAGGCGATGAGTGATTCAGCATATCCAAATTCAGCACGTGAGATTCAGAACATTGATGGCACCGTTGACAACATGAAACCCTCAGAAATGAAAATAACCTCTGTTCTGTTTCGGAATTTTTCCATCCCTATCTTGATACTGAGTCCCTTTCGCTTACTACTGACACATTCATTCCCGATGATTTGTTTAAAGGCTCAATCGCAAGATTTGAGGACCTGGACCTTGAGATTGCAGCATGGCGAACTCGGGTACAAACATTCCCCAGAGCTGCTAGAACGGCGGTGCCGCAACAACATCCAGAGCAACGCCAGGAAGTCGGCACGACTCGCGGCACACCGGAAGGCACAAGTGGATGATGCGTTCGAGCATGGCTCTGAAGATGATGATGAGTTGTCAAAGGAAAAAAATCCATAACAAAGAAGCGCGCTGCAAAAGAGGAGACGACTCCGGGTACCGAAGATTCCCCACGATTTGCCACGGCTCCGAAGAAGAAGCGCCGGGGGTAAATTCACTTATGGTCTGGAGTTCAATATTCCATAACGAAATTTCAAAGCGGTTTACGTTTAGATACCTAATAAGTGAATTAGGACCACTTTTGAGAGACATTGTAGAATATGCCTACCAATGTAACCAGGAATACACCCCGGCAGTTACACAATAATCCTCGAGCAAAGACATGGCGGTAATCCATATGTAAGCAGTTGTGAAGCAGGCAATGAGTATCCACGTAATATGCATTTTCTGAGCATTCAAGGACTGAATGATCGGCTGATAAGTAAATAGTAAGCTTCTTCTCAGTAGATATATAGTCATATACTGAGCATGAAATGATTATGCAGAAAAGGAAAAAGCATTCAGCCCGAACCCAGATTTTGTTCATAATTGGATCATAAAAAGCTCACTTTACTCGAAAAGCTGATGCAACACAATCTATGCCAATGTATTTAAAGTCTCACGGGAGCTGAATGCCATATTTTGCGTAGGGGAAGTCCTCCAGCGAGGTGTAGAGCTGTGCCCATCCATCGCCCAGCACGCCAACCTTACCAGCACTCTGGACACGCCATGCCTGCAGTTCGTCGGCCTCTTTCTCTGCTTCACTCTTCTCTTCTTCCTTGTGAGCTCCCGTCAATCCAGCGAGAACTTCTTCTTCGCGGCCCTTGTACGCCTCGAGGAGACCCGGGTGCGGGCACCAGACGACCTGCATACCGGCACGACGGCCGGCCTCGACGCCAGGAACGGCATCCTCAAAGACGAGGCATTCTTCGGGCTTGATCTCGGTTTGGCCCTTGCTACGCAGGTCCTGGTTGATGGTCTCCAGTGCGAGAAGGTAGATGTCGGGTAGGGGCTTGCCTCGACCCTTTCCGATCCGAGGGTCGTCACCGAGGACGCGGTGTATTTGAGGGAATACAGAGAAGAGATCGGTCAGATGGTCGGTCTTGAGCTTGAAATTCCTGCTATTGGAGGATGTAGCCAATGCAATGTGGCAGGGCTGGTCTGTGGATTGGGTTGCTGCAAGGTTGGAGAGCAGGGCAGGGACACCTGGCAGAGGTCCACAACTCGGGAAGTATGCAGCCTGGAGAGAATACTGCTTGGTCGCGGTCTCTTCGGGCGTAATGGGCAGCTTCGCCCAGTCGTGGAAGATTTTGCTAGCCTGAATGAATTGTTAGAGTTGGGTCCTCAATGTATGTATAGGATAGAACAAAATACATGCCTCGGGCTGGGGACGACCCTGCAACTGGGCCTTAATCGACCAAGGCAAGTTAGGCTTGCCATACATCTGGAGGACCTCGTTGGTGATCCTCGAGTAAATGTCCTCTGAGTCAATCAGCAGGCCGTCCATGTCGAAGAGACATGCCCGGATGCGGGGAAGTCTGCCACATCGTCAATTGGGTGCCACAATGCATGATCAAGGATATCCCCTTACTCCTTGTTCTGAGCCATGATCGTGTGTCGTCTGTTTACAGTGCAACGAGGGGAAACAGGGCGCCTGGTAGATAAGATCCTGAACGCGGGGGCTGCTTATCGCCCGTCCCGTGATCGGCAACATTCAAACGTCCTCTTTCTTTGCACATCAAGATGGCTGGCACGGACGATTCAAACCGTGCTTCAAAGCCTGAAGAGAAAGATACTCCGGTGGAGGCTGACGCGGATAGCGATGAAGAGGAATTCCACGATGCGCGGTTCCCCGCAGACGAAGAAGCTGTGAGTTGTCGCGATCGCTGCGTGCGCGAATCCGAGCTAACATTTGCCGTTGCGACAGAGCCTCTTGAAGGAAGCCCAAGATATAAAGGCAGAGGCCAATCAGCTGTTCAGCGCAGGATGCTACGATCAGGCCATTTCATGCTACGACCGAGCCCTCGCCTCGTGTCCAAACTACCTCGACTACGACATCGCTGTAATCCGAAGCAACATTGCCGCCACATACTTGAAGCTAGAGGATTGGAAATCAGCAACTGATTCAGCAACAATGGCAATTGAGCGCCTGGACAAGGTCATTCCGCCAGCTGCCGAGAAGAAGGACCAGAGCGATTCGAAAGCAGCCGATACACAAGCCAACGATGCCGTCATCGAACTCTCGGGGGATGGTGATGAGGCAGAGGAGAAAGAGCTCCAGCGGCTGAAGGACCAGGACGAGCAACGCACAAACGTTCTACGGATTCGAGCCAAGGCTCTTATGCGACGGGCCAAGGCCAAATCAGAAACCGGCGGCTGGGCCAGCTTACAGGGTGCTGCGGAGGACTACCAGGCTCTCGCTGCCATGGAGAATCTCCCAGCAGGTGATCGACGGATTGTTCAGCGGGCTCTTCTGGAACTTCCGGATCGGATCAAGGAAGCCCGTGAAAAGGAGATGGGGGAGATGATGTCGAAATTGAAGGGCGTAGGTGGACCCCTAATTCTCTGCTATTACTGGATAACTAACCCTCATCCAGCTGGGCAATGGTATCTTGAAACCATTCGGTTTATCGACAGACAACTTCAATTTCGTCCAAGATCCCAATACTGGAGGCTATTCGATGAACTTCCAGTCTTGAAGTTGGATAATCTTTACAAGGCATTGCATTGGGAAACCCCGGTTACGACAGCATAGAAACGAACATCAAAAATGAATCCTTATCATATAACTTGTGAACTTTCAGACCGCCATCTACGTAGGCACTTTGGAACAATCATGATGTAGATAATATACAAGGTTCAATCAAATACGCGCGGATCAACGCGCCATGATAAGTCTGCGACAGAATGAAAGGCAAAGGGTATGAGGGGGTTGTTCCAAACGCCCAGAAATGCCCAGGCTGGTAGAAAACAGCAGAAATGAAAACAATGTAATATTTGCGGCTCACCTCGGGGACGCCGGGTGGCTGGTTGGTCCTGCGAGGTACTCTTCTGGTACTTTGGGGACACGCGGAGAATTGGCCGTTTGGACAATGGCGCGATGGGTGGCGCGGAGATGGTCGCGTTGCTTTTCTTTTTCCCGGTTGTTGGCTGCGCCGCCGGTTAGTCGGCGCATGCCGCTGCGGATCATGGACTCGAGGGAGTGCGGGCTGTCTGTTGCGCTGCGGACCATAGGTGGCATTGGAGGGTGTGGACGTCTGAGGGTGGGTCGATCGTCCATATCGGAGTGAGTTTCCTCGAGATCGTCGTCGGACAGAAAGGCGGAGTCATTCAGGCCCATATGTGGTGTACCGTGCTGCGCCATGGTCTGCGTTTGGACAAAGAGATTGTTGGCAGGCGAAGTGACAGATCGAACATGGGACGCCGGTCGCAGAGTCTGGTTGGCGCTGTAAGGTGTTGTTGCGCTCACCGGAGATGGTATACCCGGTCCGTCGAAGCGGAAGTTGGCTGTGCGGTTTTCGGCTAGACCGTTGTGAAAGGACGACGTAGAGCCCGTTCGAGCGAGTGACTTTCGCAAAATGGGCGCCGTTTGTTGGTCATACAGATGGGCATTGGTGTCGAGGTAGTTTCCAGTAAAGCCTCGGATCATCGGCGGAGCCACGTTGAGCGTGGGCATGCTTTGGTCTGTTTCTTCATCGAAGAAATCGTCCAGGCTGTCCAGCTTCTGCACCATGTCACCCATGTTGCCGTCGTTCTGTGTGTCGACAGACTTCATTGTGTCAGCTCTCACTGGGAAGAACGAGTCAGTGTACTCCTCTGCACGGAACTCCACGTTCGGCGTCATGGTGTCTTGGACGGTCGGGTCATCGGCTTCGGCACATGTGTAGAACACAGCGTGTACATTGTTTCGAGTTGTACTTGACTGAGTCGCTGGCATAGGCACAGACCAACCTGAAGGCTCGGGAATACCATAGAGACTTTGGATCCGCTCGTATTCCTTGCGGATAGCACGAGATGAGGTAGCCGATGCCATACTCATGCGCAAATGATGACGCTCCATCGGATTGCCAGAGACTGTCATGATATTATCCAATACTTCAAGAGCCTGAGGGCATAGGTTTGTCTGGAGAAGTCGCAGCAATGGGGAAATCAGATCCGGTCCATGACATGTGACCTCGTTTCGGCGCATGTCAACTTCAGGGATCAAGACGCAAAGGATCTTCATTGTCTTGATACGGAACCAGTCCGACGTGTTGGTGAGAAGACCCATCAAGAAGATTAAGCACTGGAAGTCTAGCTGCGGGAAGTAGTATGACTTGATCTCGGTGATGATATGGTCCAAAAAGACACTTTCGGACTTGTACTGTTGGTTTGCGAAGCCAAAGATCGACGCCGCAAGTCGGGGGCATCCCTCGTTCTCTGCAACTCGAGCAAGTAAGCTGGCATGCAAAATGGGTTTCTGATCTATGAATCCGTGGTCGAAAGACTGAAGGAAAAGAGGCAGATTGGCCAAGATGGTGAACAATTGTCGCGTTCCGTCCCCAATTAGTTCGTTATTTGGCAATCCGCTCAGACGGTAGAGTGTGTCTAGTGCCTGCTCGAAAGACTCAGATGACTTGAGACCCTTGAACACCAGATCCTGAAGACCATCGAATCCACCTTCCCACTTGGGTGGTTGGCCCTCGAGAAGTTGCGCCACCACCATGGGGTCACTGAGGTCTAATCGGTCTAGGAACTTCTCGAGCATACCTAAACTTTCCATGAATTCGCTTTCGTGGATGGTGTTCAGACAGGCGCACGTGGTCCAGAAAAGTTGAGGGTAATGTAGAAGATCCTCAGGTGCCAAGGAGCTGATAATAATCTTCAGCGTAGTCAAAATCTCCATTGAGAAGGTTTGATAGTCCGTCTCCTCATCCGCAATGGTATTGGAGAGTCGGGCAAGCATATCCGCCAACATTCGCGAGTCAAGCGAGGTCGAGATACACCGGAAAATCTGGAATGAGCGGCATGCAAGATGCCGCACAGGGCAGGAGGTCGCCCAATTCAACGCCTCCTTAGCCCAGAGATCGCCAATGCCCTCATATCTAACGCTGAAAAACTTGATCACATCACGCGTCACTGCACCCATAGATTGGGGCACCTTGCGATCATCATCTTCGTCTTCTTTGCCGTTGTTCTCCTCGTATTCCCAGACAACTGCGGGATCACTTTTGCGGATCGACTCGACAAAGTCTTCAATCGCCTGTCGACTTCCAGTGGGGGCGTCATCTTCCAATTTGGCTGCAATGAGCTCGTGGAGAAGATGAACCAGCATCTCTCTCGCCTGCTCCTGGACAGTCACAGTGTAGTGATCCCAAAGGATCAGGACGACGTGCAGGAGCTTGATAACGTCATCCAAAGCCAATGTGACAGGCGCAACCATCAGATCAACGAGGAAAATGAGCGCAACTTGTCCCAGTGACAGACCGGCTTGTTTGTTTCCAACCGGGAGGACGGTACCTAGGTCGGCAACATATGGGAGAGTTTTCAATTCCGGGGGAGGAGGCGTAAGGTCTTTCCGCTCCTGCACCATATTCTTCGGCATGACCTGCATAAGGAAGAACTCGATTACCTTTGATCCCGCGGGGGTGCCAGCTAGGAAGACGACAACCTGCTTGGCGTACTCCACGAAGTTCTGCTCCTTACGCTCCAAGCAAAGGCTGATGATAAAGTCGAGGACAAGCTGGACATTGCCGCCATGAGGTCCTGTCGCCAGCGCCTGCCACAGCGCCTGCACCTGGTTGGGGAGGATGGTGCTGCAGCGGATAGTAATTTCGAAGAGGTTCGCGAGGAGCATGTATGACTTGGACGTTGGACCACCATTGGGATCCACCTGCAACTCCATTGTCTGGACCCACGGCAGGATGGCAGCTACCATATTGCGCTGGCTGTCTGGGCGTAGACTGCGGAAGTGGAGAGCAAATTCGGAGAACAGAGTGAATGCCAAGTCCGAGTGCTGGTTTGCCAGTCGCTTGGAGATATCGAACTGAGCAAGCTTGTACACTGCCGTAGTCTTATCAGAGATGCTGATATCGAAGTCTTGGAGACGAGAGTTCTTCTGTTGGCGCTCTTCCAATTTTCGTAAAAGCTTCGCTGATTTCATCCGAATCTCACGCTTCTGGTTACCGAGGGTCACCAGAACGGCGCCTAGTACCCTGCGGAACTCAAGTGGGTAGTCAGGATGCTCCAGAAGAACCTCGGTCACCACTTCGAAATAGCTCTCGATCGCCTTTGGTCGCTCAGTGACGTAGCACATCTCGATCGAACGCTCCATCAGATACGCGTGCTCCTTGTTATGAATGATAAGATTCTTCAAAGCGCGACGGCCAATCGAATGCCACTTATCGCTGACGGTGCTAAAGATGATATCAACCCACGAGAGCATTCGACCAACATCGAATTGAAGCACCGATCCACTTTCAGTCGTGATACTAATTGGACCAGCACAAAGAGAAGCCATGGCACTCAATGCAGCAGCGCGAAGGTTTTTCTTCTCGATTTCCAAGGCTGCCGCAGCATTTCGCATCTCACCACCTTCATATGGCTGGGCAATTGCAAACTTCCGCATGTTGTCTTCTCTCTGGGAGATCTGTGCTTGGTTCGGTGAGTATCCACACCAATCCTCCATGAGAGAGAATGCGGATTTGCGAGACTCGAAAGGAATCCAGCGAGAAGGATCCTTGGTGCGGTTTACTCCCTCGAAGAGCTCTTCCATCAAGCCACAGTAGTGGAATCGCAGGCGCTGGTATTCCCAGTCATTTTGAACCTCCGCATCGCTCAAGAAGATCCGAATATCCTTAGCGTAGGTGATAAGGTTGTTGACGACCCAGTCGTCATTGTATACCTCGGGTTCTCGCAGGAAATGGGAAGTAAGCTTATAGACATGTGTGACCTCCGTGCGCAGGCGCTCCGTATCTCTGTTGCGCAAGGGGCTACTGGGAGTGCGATGGTGCGTCCCAATGCGAATCTTCGCCTCTTCATTGCAGGTGGTGACTGCATACTGCAGTGATTCCAGCATTGTACGGTAGAGGTTCTTGTGGATAGATCCCAGCGCTATCACAATGGCATTTCGAATGGAATCGCGCTCTGCAGAGAGAAGAGGTATAACGAAGGCGAAAAGACTGCGGGCAGAGCTTATCTTGTCTTGAGACTGAGCTCCCTTAGAAGCCTTGCGAGCATGTTGGGCATTTGCTAGCTGGCTCTGTGATTGAGCACCCACGCTAGTGACAGTAGTGCAGGCCATAACCAGGTAGAGCTTCCATTGTTCTACAAGAATCTCTGCCGTCATGTTGCTTCGACCCATAGGACGCTGTTGGTGAACATCCACTGGGGAAGGATACTGAGGCCTGGTCCTCTCTGCGAGCGAGGTAATAGTCTTGTGCATCTGCAGAAGACGTGCGCACACAATCTCTCGACCAAGAGTCACCGCAAAGGGACATGTCTCAAAGCTGATCCGAATAATGTTGGGGAAGACCTTAGCCCAGAGCGTTGAGTCGTACGAGACTTCGCTGCTGCACAGCTCGATAAGGGTATTCTGGGACGCACTCCTTCGCTTGCCCTTCTGAATACGACTCCTCTCCGCAACAGTGAGTTGTTCGTCGTTGACATCCATAATTACCTGCGAATCGGCCTCGAGAATCCTAATGATTCTTGTGTTCTCCTTTCCGAGCGCACTGTCAAATTCAGTAATCAGTCGCAATACATTGATCGCAAATGCCCGGACTCGTCTTGATTGGGAACACAGGAAGAAAAGTCCATGCGACTCAATCTCTTCCACGTGAGCAAGAACAGTTGAAAGATCCAGATGGAGTGCTCGACTGCCAGAGACGGACTTCTCAAGTTGATCAGAAGCTGCTTCCTTGGTCTTCTGCTTGATTTCATCAATCCAGATGTGTAGCAGCTCAACATAGAGTCTTAGAGTAGACTCAATGTGGCCAGGCCCGAGCATCCCCTCATCGGACATGGTAGAATACCGTGCATCAAAGTTGAATATGAACCGTGCAAAACCAATAGTCACCTGCTGTGCATGCGATTGCCGGGCGATTGCTTTAAGCGACTCTGCAGAGGAAGTTGCAATGTTCGATTTAACATGAGCAGTTCCCGTGCAGAGGAGATTGATCAACGTGTTGAATGGGATATGGTCAGAAAGACAGCGTGGCAAGGCCTGCACAGCCACATGTAGCAAATCGTAGAAGCCTTGTTTCTGATCCAGTGTGTTTATGTGATCATCACGCCGTCCAAACCCAAAGGCATCGGTTATTGGGGTCTTCGGGGTCAATCCTCCAAACTTCTCATCAAGAACGGCCTGGCCACCAAAGGTATTATCGCACAGAATGGTGATTTTTCCAAGAACCTCACAGAATCGAAGATAGTAATCCTTCACATTATCACTGAGTCTGGAAATGTTGACAGGGTTCGATTCTGCAGGATTGAGCTTCTGAGACGCACCTACCGTCTTGAACTCAGCAAGCAGCTGCGGACGATGGAAGTATATCGGGGTTGATGAATCCATGAATGGATTTGGTAGAGAACCTGTCGGGAATGGGGGGCATAGCTGGTCGCTTGTCTCCAAATCAGACATGGTAGCAAGGAAAGCACGAATACCAATGACCATCTTTTCCGGCTCCATCTGTTCAATTTTCAATTCACGACCGGACAAGAACAGATCGGAGTTGATTAAAGGGAATATAATAGTCCTGAAGCAGACATCAGGGTGTTTGAAGCCAATCATTCGGATTAGTTGAATCAATGGATCCGCAACCGCTGGTTCGGCACTCAGATACGTTCTCCTTCCAGAGGGGAGCGCAATCTTGACCACTTCTTCTACCTTGCGAAGGGTCGTTGTCGGGGAGTCGGAATAACGGAAGAAATATGTCCAAACAAGGCGGCAGATGGCTTGTAGAGCTGGAGCACGAGTAGGACGATCCTTCAGACGTGCAGGCAGGCTTGAAATCATCGAGAGCCATTGTGTAGAGAAGGTTTCTTTGTTGGAGATACAGAGCAACAAGACATTCAATGAGAAAGCAGCCACCCAATGCCGAGGCTTGGTGAGTAGTTGTGCCAATCGTGATTGTACCAACTCAAGGAATTCTTTCCATCGAGGGAGTGAAAAGTCCACGGTGGGATTGGCAGCAACGGGCAGTAACAACTTTTCAAGCACATAGCAGTAGGCCTGCTTAATCTTTTGCCCATGAGCATTCACAAACAAGCGAGCCAGAGATCGCATGAAGTCGCATGATTTGCTCCATGTATCCGGGTTTACGGGCAAGCGCAAGTATCTCATGCCGAGGATCAAAAGTTCAGCCTTTGCATCGCCCTCGCGCGAGGGACCGCGGGCGACTTCCGCTTTCTGATATTGGTCAAGCTCCGACAAAAAGCGATTGGCGACACTGGAAAAGTTCTGTTCACTCATGATTCCAAGCAATTGACCATAGATCCTCCAATTGGCCATCCGAAGTGGCGACGCAGAGATCTGATCGGGATCAACGGTCTTAATCTGACCAAAGACAATATCTTCCAGACGATCTGCCATATCCAATGTGATAGATGCAAGACTGCTCTGATTGAAGATCTCAATCAGGACTCGGCATACTAAGTATACAGATACTGTTGCTCGTCGTTCTACCAGCGCAACATCATCATGACGACCAAGTAACGTTGACTGTTGTGCTGGCCGCTCTCCGGATAATGGATCGACGTGTGGCTGTGTTGGTTCCGTGTTACGACGCATCAGTACACCGTTTTCTGTACCCACTGGCTTAGGGGGTTCGTTCGTCATTTGCCTAGCAGTGATGGCTGCATCTCCCTTTGCTTTCCGCCAGACCATAATGGTATCAATGAGAGGTTTCGGTTTTTGTCTGGCAATATGTCCCAAAGCTGATATCAACTGATCGAAGTTCGGGTCTGCTCCAGGTCCACAGACCTCCTCCACAGGTGCCTCGGATTCCCCCAACTTGAGAATAGCCTGGTTTATCTTACTGTCTGCTTGCCCAACGAACTGTCTTCACATCAGCCCTTAAATCCGAGATTCTTTTTGGTCCGCGGATGTCTTACCGAGTTGAATAAATGATGCAGCGCATACTCTCCCACCGTCTTCGAATCGGAATGGTGCTTCGAATGCGAGCGACTATGCGATCGCTCCCGCCGTGCCATGCCTCCCGAATTCATGCGTTTATGTGTTATGCTTACTGGGCTGCCTTTCAAGACGTCGTCAATGCCATTATCCTGAATTGTGCTCAGCGTGCCTTGTACGCCATGACTCGCCGTCATTCCGCTGGAGTTCTGGAAATTCGTATGCGAATCGAGCTGATCCAGCCTAGTCGGGGGACCAGGTTCGTCGAAACCTCCGCGGCCGAGAGAGGCGATGAGCTCGGGGCTCAGCGGACTGGTGGAAGCGGTTGAGCCAGCCATGCTTGTGTTGCGCGAGTGCTGCATGCCATGAACGATTGAGGTCTGGCGGTGGTGGCCGTACGAGTTCGATGGCCGTCTTTCCAATCCCACGTCATACCCTGCAGGTCGCCCAGCTGAGACGTCGGGGCTCTTTGACCCAGAGTGACCGCGACGGGCTTGTAAGGTCGGGGCTAAGGTGGAAGGGTCGGCAGCTCTTCCTCGGACGGCGGACGACTCGCGACTGTGCATTGGGGTGGATTGGGCGGTGCGGGTGCCGCGCCGTTCGGACGGAGACGCGAGATTATGGTGCGATGCAGATTTGAGCTCGTCCGATAAGAGGGGCAGCGTTGATGGCTGGCCGGAGCCAGCTGTCTTGGCTGGATGTGAAGCCACTATTCCAAGAAAACGTCAGGTTGCAAGGGCCGGGAGTCGCGGAGGCCGACTTACTCTTGGATTAAGGGCTCACTGCCGAGTAGACCTCATGCAGGCTGCCGTGTTGAAAGAGTCAGCAATAGGCAGTAACCAGCACATTGCGGCTCAGTCCATTTTAGGGGGAAGGAGGTCGTGGTGTGAGGACCGGAGTGAAGATGGCGAGCTTCATGTTTATTCGGGCCGCACGGGGACCACTTTTTCTCCTTGCGGTGCTCGGTCTCCAGTTACTCCTAGGGGGTTCTTTTTACACTATGTACTTTTCTTTTCATTCCAACATTATGAATTGTATATTGGGAAAGAGCTCAATTCCAGGGGAGGGAATAGCAATAATCTGAGCATGTCATTGTCCGCCCCAATGCAGTTGGGCGCTTGCGCAGGCTTCGTACTCCCACTGTGACTGAGCATCTGGTCAGCATGAGCAGCCTAACCCGGCGTAGTACACACTATCCTATTTATGTATTTTTTTAATTTTTCGTTATCTTCTTAAGGCTGTCACTTATGCCTAACTCGGATTATAAACTTATTATAGAAGAAACGATCGGTGACAAACTCCACTGTAAGCTTATGCGGGATCGAGGAACAGGGAATTGCACGACTATCACACTAACCAAATATCATGTTTCGGATGGCCGGGTTAGGAAACGACAAGACCTGAAACATAGTTACAGGAACCCGTGGAGTCACTAGTCCTCGTTGACAGTTTCCTAGATCTGCTATATGTATTGCCAGCCGGGTAGATCGGGTCCCGTCTCGGCAAGTGGCAAATACAAAGTCAGCCACAGGAGGATGTATCATTTTACACTCGTTCAATGCGAGACTGTGGCTGTTCGGCTAGAGTACAGGTAGAGTTTACCCAGCCGTCTAAAAGACCAAGACACCCTGTTCCATACAGTAAAGAAAACACTTTCCATCACTTGGAACATTGCTGGGTCCCTTTTTTGGCGGAATGGCGACGAGGACGAGGATCGGGTCCCTCGGTGGAACTTCGTGTACTGTACACAGGTCGCACCGATTTGCGCCTGAGGCATAAAACCAAATCCACCACCGGAGCTGCTGCGTCAAGCGGCGGTGTCCGATAGATGTCACCCGGCTTGAGGATATACAACGTGTCCAGCCGAGGGCTAGTACCTTGTGCAAGATGAGCACAGACTTTGAAGAGTCAGCCCAGCCTAGGTTAAAAGGTTATTCCACCTCGGGGAAGCTTTGCGAGTATGAAGGCAATCATATGAAATCCCCGCGGATCCCCGCTTCGTCATGTCGCGTGTCCTTAGGTCCATAAATTCAGCCTGGGATCACCCTCGTGTTCGCTGCTTTAGCACGGGCACAAGGCACAAGGCGCAAGGCACAAGGAATGATTGTGCCAGATTGCAAGTATCAGTGGGCACTACATTCTACGTGGGGGATAACCCAAAAATAATATTGCAGTCCGGTAATATCAAGGAGTCAGCCTGGTTTCCTCGGATCCGAGAGGCAAAGGCTTCCCCACACCATGCCACCAGATGAACGGGGTTGAAGACGAACAGACAGTATTTGTAGCCCGTTTGGCAGCCACTCCAGAGTGGTCCAGCTCAGACACTCTCGCAGAGTACAAGGCATACAAAGGCCGCACAACGCGGAATCAGGCCGCGGTCAGGGTGCTGTGGCTCGGGGAAGCGCGGAAGAGGAGAACCGACCCCGGTGTGCTGGGTTTTGACAGCATAGGCCCAATGCACAAGGCGGATCTTGGCCACTTTCCGTAGACGGTAAAAGGCAGGAGAATGCGGTGTCGGTGCGGGCGCCTAGTTCGATCTCCCGGACGGGCCTGCCGAAGACGCTTACCCGAGGGACTCCCAAGATGGGGGCAGAAGGCCATTGGTACAATGGCACCGACGGCAACTAAGCGTGCTATCGCGCGTATCTGTCCCAGTGTGCAACAGGGTGCTATCCAAGGTTTCCCTAGGGTCGTGGGCCGAGTTCTCTTTCCGATAGACAGTTTGCCCCACGGAGATAAATGACGCCTCCCCCTCAGCCGAGGGCGATCCGTATTGTAGCAATCTTATAAATATCGGCGATTTACGTGATTTTGCGGGGGTTGCAAGGCTATCTCGATATTTTTCTTCTCCTAGGTATACACTTCACCGACGCCAACCCCTCCCATTATTGAAGATTGTGCATGTGGCTCGGCAGGGGACAGATCCACTCTGGTCCGAACCCGAGCTCGGAGCGTGGTCAGACCACTTTGTTCTCTTCTACATACTTGTCAGGGGTCTTCTTTCGTGAAGATCTGAAGTTCTGAGGATTTGGGGACGTTCTATCGTCTTCTGTTTCTTCTCATATACTGAGCTCGCCCCCCCCTCGCGCGCTTTTCGCCCATTTTTCCCCCTCTCCGAGTCGCGGACTGAATCCAACATGGCGCAACTCGACACTCTGGATCTGGTCGTCCTAGTGGCTCTCTTGGTGGGTAGCGTTGCCTACTTCACCAAGGGGACCTACTGGGCTGTCGCCAAAGACCCCTACGCCGCCTCCGCCTCCGCGATGAATGGAGCCGCTAAGAGCGGTAAGACCCGCAACATTGTTGAGAAGATGGATGAGACTGGCAAGAACTGTGTGATCTTCTATGGCTCGCAGACTGGTACCGCCGAGGACTACGCCTCGCGTCTGGCCAAGGAGGGCTCTCAGCGCTTCGGTCTGAAGACCATGGTGGCCGATATTGAGGACTACGACTACGATAACTTGGATACTTTCCCCGACGACAAGGTCGCATTCTTCGTCCTGGCCACCTACGGCGAGGGTGAGCCCACCGACAACGCCGTGGAGTTCTATCAGTTCCTGACTGGCGACGATGTGGCCTTTGAGAGCGGCGCCTCCGCCGATGACCAGCCTCTGTCATCCCTGAAGTATGTCACTTTCGGTCTCGGAAACAACACCTACGAACACTACAACGCTATGGTCCGCCAGGTTGATACCGCTCTCACCAAGCTGGGTGCGAAGCGCATTGGCTCCGCTGGTGAGGGTGATGACGGTGCCGGTACCATGGAAGAGGACTTCCTCGCCTGGAAGGAACCCATGTGGACCGCTCTGACCGACGCCATGAACCTTCAGGAGCGTGAAGCCGTCTACGAGCCTGTCTTCTCCGTTTCTGAGGATGAGGAGGCTTCCCCCGAGGATGAGACCGTCTACCTGGGAGAGCCGACTGCTGCCCACCGTGAGGGCCGCGCCAAGGGACCTTTCTCTGCTCACAACCCGTTCATTGCCCCGATTGTCGAATCTCGCGAATTGTTCACTGTCAAGGACCGCAACTGCCTGCACATGGAAATCAGTATCGCTGGTAGCAACCTGAGCTACCAGACCGGTGACCACATTGCTGTTTGGCCTACCAACGCCGGTGCGGAGGTTGACCGTTTCCTCGAAGTCTTTGGTATTGCCGACAAGCGCCACTCTGTGATCAACGTCAAGGGTATCGATGTTACTGCCAAGGTGCCCATCCCAACTCCTACCACCTACGATGCTGCTGTTCGCTACTACATGGAAGCTTGCGCTCCCGTGTCCCGCCAGTTCGTCTCGACCCTCGCCGCCTTTGCTCCCGATGAGGCCAGCAAGAACGAGATTGTTCGTCTGGGTGCCGATAAGGATTACTTCCACGAGAAGATCTCGAACCATTGTTTCAACATTGCCCAGGCTCTTCAGAGCATTACCTCGAAGCCCTTTTCCGCTGTTCCTTTCTCTCTCCTTATCGAGGGTCTCAACAAGCTCCAGCCCCGTTACTACTCCATCTCTTCGTCTTCCCTGGTTCAGAAGGACAAGATCAGCATTACGGCTGTTGTCGAGTCCGTCCGTCTGCCCGGTGCTTCCCACATGATCAAGGGTGTTACTACCAACTACCTCCTGGCCCTGAAGCAGAAGCAGAATGGCGACCCCACTCCTGATCCTCACGGTCTGACTTACTCTATCACTGGCCCTCGCAACAAGTACGATGGCATCCACGTCCCTGTTCACGTCCGTCACTCCAACTTCAAGCTGCCCTCCGATCCCTCTAAGCCGATCATCATGGTTGGCCCCGGTACTGGTGTTGCACCTTTCCGTGGTTTCATTCAGGAACGTGCTGCTCTGGCCGCCAAGGGCGAGAAGGTCGGCACTACTCTCCTGTTCTTCGGATGCCGTAAGCGCGATGAGGACTTTATCTACTCTGATGAGTTCCAGGTATGATTCCAATTTCCCAATTATCATTATTAGACACAATGCTGACTGTTCTATCAGACCTACCAGGAACAGATGGGTGATGCCCTGAAGGTCATCACTGCCTTCTCCCGCGAGGGTACCCCGAAGGTGTACGTCCAGCACCGCCTGAAGGAGAACGCCGAGCTCGTCAGCGAGCTACTCAAGCAAAAGGCCAACTTCTACGTCTGTGGTGATGCCGCTAACATGGCCCGGGAGGTCAACTTGGTTCTCGGCCACATCATCGCCGAGCAGCGGGGTATGCCGGCGGAGAAGGGTGAGGAGATGGTCAAGCACATGCGGAGTAGCGGTAGCTACCAGGAGGATGTTTGGTCATGAGCAAGAAACCTTTTCTTTTTCTCGTGCTGATCACGTCATTCCATCTCATATTTAGATGACCCAGCATATATACTTGGCCCGTTTTGTCAAATCCCTTGGCGGGTTGTGTATGCCTAGCATTTCTTTTTTCAGTCTTGCCTTGTGGTTTTATGAAGGCTTCAGCTTTTTTTTTCTGCGCAGGAGCACTGCTTGGATGGGGCGAATGATGATTCTTTAGACTTGGTGATTTAAAATAATTCATATGTTTCAATTACCAATAACTGGGACCAAAAAAAATTAGAGCCTCATTGTAGATACAACTTGAATATTGATTTTTACCTGGACGAGGAAAGATGACCGAGATAGAGCCCCGAGTCAATCAATGAACCTGTTTTCGGCTGTAAGCGCGGACTTAATCGTCCTTGACACCGCCCGACCTCGCAACTTCCATTTCCGCAAGCTTAATTCTTGCGAGAAATGCAACAACGATCTTGGGATTGAGTCTTCTTTCTACCTACCCGGCAATCCCCGGCCAGTCTCTTCATTCCCTTGCAGCTCCTTCCCGCAGTGGACCCGCGACACCTCGACGCAAGCTCCGACGGAATTGTGAAGGATCTCTAACGGCTCGCGTCGCCAAACCAACACCATGGCCTACGTGGTGCCCATTCACCGGGCCAGTGGCATTCGCCATGCAGTCAAGCTGAACTTTATGAATGCAGAAGAGGACTGCCTGGTTGTCGCGTGAGTCTACCAGGTACTCGGAGATTGCGGGGCGATACAGCTCGATGATAGCTTCGTACTACCAGCAAAAGCTAATATGTCAATTCATCTATTAGAAAAGCAAACCGCATCGAGTTCTACACCCTCACACCAGATGGAATGACCCTCGCTGCCACTCGCGCGCTCTTCGCGCAAGTGACCATGCTCGCCCGCCTTCCGGCCCCGGCCAACTCGCTGACCGATCACCTTTTCGTGGGAACCGACCAGTATAACTACTTCACGCTGTCGTGGAACGCCGAGAAAAACGATATCCAGACTGCGCGCGCGTATCAGGATATCTCAGATCCGGCATCCCGTGAGGCTCAAACGGAGCCGCGATGTCTAATTGATCCCAGCGGGCGCTTCATGACGCTGGAAATCTACGAGGGAATTATTGTTGTTATTCCGATTATCGAGGCGAGTAAGAGGAAAGGAAGGATCTCGCATGCCGCTGCGCAGGTTGATGCCCCGCAGGTCGGAGAACTGGGTGATCCGACTGCCTCGCGGATTGACGAGCTGTTTGTTCGGTCATCGGCATTTTTGCATTCCGCGTCAAATACACCGTGGCTGGCGCTTTTGTATGAGGATAATCAGAAGAAGGTTCGGCTGCGTATCCGGGAGCTGGAGTATACTCGGGCTACTTCGAGTGCCTCAGCGGATGCTACTTTCAAGGAGGTGCAGGAGAAGAAATTGGAGGGTGGAGTGTTCGCACATGAGCTTGATGTGGGCTCTTCACATCTGATTCCCATCCCAGCTCCGTTGGGTATGTTTATTTCTGAGTTGAAGTGTTAATAGATGCTAATTGCTTACCAGGGGGTCTCATTGTTTTGGGAGAGACGTCAATCAAATACATTGACGATAATGCAAATGATATGATCTCGCGTGATCTCGAGGAAGCGACCGTCTTCGTGGCTTGGGAGAAGGTCGACAGTCAACGATGGCTACTGGCTGATGACTACGGACGGCTATTCTTTCTCATGTTCCATCTGAATAACGAGGGCAATGTCGAAGACTGGAAGCTCGACTACCTAGGCAGTACATCCCGCGCCACGGTGCTTGTCTATCTCGGTGGAGGTGTTCTCTTTGTTGGCTCGCACCAAGGTGATTCGCAGGTTCTCCGCATCAACAATGGTGGATTTGAGATCATTCAGACATTGTCCAACATTGCTCCTGTTCTGGACTTCACTTTGATGGATCTGGGCAACCGCGACAGTGAGAGCCATACACACGAGTTTTCGACCGGGCAAGCTCGCATTGTCACTGGCTCAGGTGCGTTCGACGATGGCACTTTGCGGAGTGTGCGGAGCGGTGTCGGTATGGAAGAGCTGGGTGTCTTGGGAGAGATGGATCACATCACAGACCTCTGGGGTCTGCAGTCCCAAAGTACAGGCGACTTCCTCGACACGCTTCTCGTAACATTCGTTGACGAGACGCGCATTTTCCGTTTCAGCGCCGATGGAGAAGTCGAGGAGCTGGAAGATTTCCTCGGACTTGCCCTAACTGAAAGCACTCTTCTGGCAACGAATCTTCCGGGCGGTCGAATCTTGCAAGTCACAGAGAAGAGAGCGGTCATCGCCGAAATTGAAAGTGGGATGGTTACCTTCGAGTGGACACCACCGACGCAAAAGGCGATCACTGCTGCCTCGGCCAATGATGATAACCTCGCTCTGGTCATCGGTGGTCAGGTCCTAGCATCCTTCGATCTCCAGAGCAATGCACAGCTCATAACACAGAAAGATCTCGGCGCAGACCACCAGATTTCGGGCGTGACTGTCCCTTATAAGCCGGCAGGGGTCTGCATTGCAGGATTCCCTCAGTCCGCAAAGGTGTCGGTTCTAGCAATCAACGACCTCGCCGAATTGCAGAACAAGTCATTAGGCCCGACAGGAGAGGCATTCCCTCGATCTGTCCTCGTGGCGGACGTGCTTGCGGACAGCCCTCCCACCCTCTTCATCTCCATGGCCGACGGAAGTGTGATCACATTTGCATTGGACCCCCATGGCTTTTCACTGACAGGCATGAACAAGTTGATTCTCGGATCTGAACAGCCCACATTCAAAAAGCTGCCTCGAGGGGATGGCTTGTTCAACGTTTTTGCCACCTGCGAGAACCCTAGTCTGATCTACGGCTCCGAGGGCCGGATCATATACTCTGCAGTCAACTCTGAAGGTGCATCTCGCATTTGCCATCTAAACACAGAAGCATATCCCGATTCCATCGCCGTGGCCACTGCAAAAGAGCTCAAGATCGCACTGGTGGACAGGGAGCGCACAACCCAGATTCAAACGCTACCAATGGGATCGACTGTGCGCCGTGTCGCTTACTCTCCAGCGGAGAAAGCATTTGGTCTTGGTACGATCGATCGCAAGCTAGAAGATGGTGCCGAGGTCGTGAAGAGTCATTTCGTTCTTGCCGACGAGATCATGTTCCGACGCCTGGATGCGTTGGAGCTCAATGAGAATGAGCTGGTCGAAAGTGTTGTTCGTGCTGAATTCTCGGTTGGTAAGGACGAGACTAAAGATCGATTCATTGTCGGTACGGCGGTTATGGATGAGAAGGAAGAGAATATCCGCGGGCGGATTTTGGTGTTGGAGGTGGATCATGGACGCAAGCTGACCCAGGTTGCGGAGATGCCACTTATGGGTGCATGCCGAGCATTGGCCATGATAGGCGACCGGATCGTGGCAGCGCTGGTTAAGACTGTGAGTTGTTGATCTTATTCGGGCTCGCACTAGTTACTAACACACCCAAGGTCGTTGTCTACAAGACGGTTGATAACAACTCGGGAGCACTTAAGCTCGAGAAGCTCGCAACTTACCGGACATCCACTGCGCCCATTGATGTTACCGTTATCGACGATATGATCGTGGTTGCTGATCTCATGAAGAGTGTGTGTATCGTGAAGTACATCCCCGGCGAGGATGGGGTCAAGGACGAACTGAAGGAGATTGGCCGCCACTATCAAACAGTCTGGAGCACGGCAGTTGCCTGTGTCGACAAGGACACTTTCCTCCTCAGTGAAGCGGAAGGCAACTTGATCGTCCTGTCTCGTAACACCAACGGTGTTACCGAGCAAGACAAACACCGTCTAATTCCTACAAGCGAGATCGCCCTGGGGGAAATGGTCAACCGCATTCGCCCAATTCACATCCCCCAGCTCGCTAGCGTCACGGTGACCCCTCGAGCATTCATGGCAACGGTATGTACTGCAACTCAAATGCAGACTACAGCTGCTAACTTTTCACAGGTCGAGGGATCGATCTATCTCTTTGCGCTCATTAATCCAGAACACCAAGACTTCCTAATGACCCTTCAAAATGCCATCGCCAGCAAGGTGGAGTCATTAGGTGACCTACCTTTCGAGAAATTCCGTGCTTTCCGCACACTTGTTCGCTCCGCCGACGCGCCATACCGCTTTGTCGACGGTGAGCTTATCGAGCAATTCCTGGCCTGTGATCCGAGCTTGCAAGAGGATATCGTGGCCGAGGTGGGCTCGGGCGATGTAGAGGAGGTGAAGGGAATGATTGAGGCACTGCGCCGGTTGCATTGATTTCAGTTGGGACTGAACCTTTCCTAAATACTGCGCTATTTTCCCATTTCCATTACGACCAGATCATGTTTATGAAGACAATAAAGGTGTCTATTTTTTCGAATTTACCGGATGGCTGCAATGAGTTCCAACCTAGTCAGGAATCAACGTAGTTGGTATATTGGACACCAGTGTATTATTATGCTCACTTCTGATATTCATGAACTCGATAGAATTAGTATACAGGGTGAAATAGTACAAAACATATTAGCAACATTCACAGGTCTATATTCAGTAACATCCATCGTCATCATCGAACCCCCCTATTTCGACTTCTTCTCATCTTCAGACTCGCTCCAGTCCAACAACTCCATAATCTCATCCTCAGTGAACTTCTCAGCCTTAGGACCCTCCTTCTTCTGCAAGTTCTTAATGTACTTCTTCTGGCGCTTGCGGGCCATCTTGTTCCACTCAGGAACACCACTGGCCTCAACAAGCTCATCCTCCTCCTCATCCTCAACCTCATCATCCGTGTTCTCAACTTCACCAATAACCTTGCCCTTATCACCGCCGCGCAGCGAGTTGGCAGACATCTTGGCCTTCTTTCCGCCCAGCTTGGCCCTTTCGGCCTCTTTCTTCTCCTTCTCCTTGCGGCGGTCGCGGTCGTGCAGGAATTTGAAGAACTTCTCAATATACGGCCGGATAAGCACGTAGAAGATCACACTGCCGATGACCTTTGACCAGCGCGACACGCTGACTTCTGCGAAGGAGTTGTAGAGATTCTTGAAGAAGCGGAAGAAAGCACGTTCGACCGTGCCGAAGATCTCGCTGAAAAATTCATTGGCGGCCTCGCGGGCGCGGTCGCTGAGGTCTAAAGCATCTGCGTCGGCCATTTTGCGTTGAAGTTTTTTTTTTTTGGTGGGGATGCGGAAGGCCCGGAGGAGGCGGATGGGATGGATATGGGGGTTGTAGGTGGTATGTGATGATAAAGGGGTGAGGAGCAGGATATGAGGAAAGTGGAAGGAATTCCAAAGCCTCCTAACACTTAGACAGCGAAACGATAAAGCTGTCCTAATGCCCCGAACCTGAAGAAAGAAGCATCGAGAAGGGGGAGCTCGGAAATTGGTTGGTCGCGGATTAACTGTTTCTCCGTCGACGCGTCTCGGGCCAATCACATCACTGTTGTTGAATGTATGGAACGCGCTCTCTCACTTCACCATCAGACATCATGGAGACCGACGAAGCTGGACTTGAGGAGGTGAGTGTTCTCCGACGGTGCGGATTCGAGTTGCTGATGCCTGCCCTAGCGCCTGAAATCTGCCCTGTGGATGTCCATTGGCCAGATCGTGGACGAGGAGACCATGAAGCTAGGCGTCAATGCCACGCCGCAGTTCATCGGCGCCCTGACGGAGATGGTGTGGACTCAAATTGGTAAGTTCGGTTGCCTTGGTCGTGGCTCTGATCTTGAAGACCTCGCACTTGTCTACTCTCATAGGCAATAGCCAATTGTCATCGCGTGTTGCGTCAACCTTGAGTATATCCATGTAGCTTACAATGTCACAGAAACGGTCAGCCAGGACCTAGAGTCTTTTGCCAAGTGAGTAACCCGCATTACATCAACCAGGAACACAATATCCTGCTTTTTCCATCACCCTGGTGCCGGACTCAGGGCTAATCGGTATTACCGGATTAGGCATGCCGGGCGGTCAACTGTCAATGTCACAGACGTGATGCTGCTTGCTCGCCGCAACGAGGGGCTGGACTCGATTCTCCGTGCTTTTGTGGAGCAGCACAAGCAGCCTGATGAAACCTCCTGAGTGGCTGGACTAGTATCCAACCTTGTCATCCCAAGTCGATGCCCCCTGGCATTGATGTCAAAGTGGCTGGCTGCTCATTGGTGGGTTCTTGACCAGTTCGGTCTTGCTTTCTAGGGAAAAGAACCCCAGCTCATGATGTACGACAACTTAATTCAAACATCCCCGTCGATGATTTCATCCGTGTGCAAGCGGCGCTGTTTGTGGCTCAGCCCGGTCATCTGCCATTTCCCAGTCATTCACCGAATGTTCTACTGGAAGCTGGTCAGATCTTGTTCCTGTACATCCTAGCCGTGCTGCAAACCATGTACACTCCCCTGGTGCTCTTCATGACGCCATATCCTCTGTTGTTCCGGTCTTTCGGTTTTGACACCAGCCACACAGCTTATCAGCACCAGATTGCCAACAGTTCTTGGCGCTGGAAGCTGTCGTTTGTTGGGCCTCAACCGGGGATCCTTGGATGGAGCTCCTGGTGACACCAGCAGGGGCGAGGGATCACTCTTTCTTTGTGAACCCAGCAAATCGGCGGCGTTCCCAGAGTTCAAGTGATCACGGCCTCTGGTACCAACCTTGGCTCCCCCCTGCTCCCCCCTATCAATGAACCTATTCCGAGCAAGCTGGTTAGCCGCACTCACGATGGATGACGTCTAAGGAACCCGTTTCGTGTGTATTGTACAAGCCCTCCCAGTGGCTGGCCCGTAGTCTGACTAGGCTAAACAATCTTGATAGTCCTCTATGTCGTAACTTTGTACACTTGCCGTTATCTTGCCACATTCTTGATGTAATTCATTCGTTCTTTGACGATGATATAAAGCATCCTCCCCGGCGGCTATGTTTACTCAAGCTATGAGGATTTAAACGTCTCTCGACAGAAGTCACATCACACAATTGAAATGCCGACACGGCCAATACGCTCATATTCAGCCATCATGTTGAACACAACCACCCAGTCGGAAGACCCACTGCATACGACACTCAAGAGTGTCCCATTGATGAAATCTGTTCGATTCCACGGACCGGGAGATATCCGCGTGGACGAAGTTGAAGAGCCATTATGCGGTAAAGGTCAAATCAAGGTTGGTTTCTATAAGCTTTGAGAACTTTGAGTCAGTTTACGATACTAAAACGGCCGTGTACAGATGAGGCCAGCCTACGTTGGAATTTGCGGAAGTGGTGAGTTCTTTCGCTTCATGCACCCTTCGAGCTCGTCCTGACAGCAAGAGATCTACACGAATATACTGGCGGCCCAGTCTTAATACCAAAAACACCCCATTGCATCACGGGCTCGACATATCCCTGCTCGATGGGCCATGAATTCGGCGGCATCATCGAAGAAGTAGGGGACGGCGTAACACACCTCTCTCCAGGCCAGCGTGCTGTCGTGCGTCCCACCATCTTCGACGGAACATGTTGTGCCTGCAAGCAAGGTCACAACCACTGCTGCGAGAACATTGGATTCGTCGGATTAAGCGGTAAGACGTACCCCATTCATCGACATATTGGATATATGAACTTACATACTTTCTGTACCTCCAGGCTATGGCGGCGGCATGTCCAAGAAGATTGTCGCACCAGCCGGCCACTTCTACCCCATCCCCGACACCATCTCCCTCGAAGCAGCCGCCCTGATTGAACCACTAGCTGTCGCCTGGCACGCCGTGAACCTGTCACCCTTTAAGCCCGGCGATAATGTCCTAGTCGTCGGAGGCGGGCCTATCGGGATCGGCGTCGTGCAGGTCCTCAAGCTGCAAGGGGCTCGAGACATCATGGTGGCTGAATTGATGGAAAACCGTCAACGCTTCTGCAGGGACTACGGCGCCTCACATATTTTAGACCCGCGCGAGGGTGATGTCGCGCAGCGCGTGCGCGAGATCACGGGTGGCGTCGGTGCAGATGTTATTTTCGACGCCGCGGGCGTGGAGAAGGCACTTGTCGGTGCTATACCTGCCTGTCGTGTGCAGGGTACCATTGTTAATATTGCTGTTTGGGAGAAACCGCCCTCTATCCCCGTGAATCAGTTGATGTACAACGAGATTCGGTATATGGGAGCAGCGCTCTATGACGAAACGTCATTTTTGGATACGATCCGCGCGGTGAACTATGGTAGGTTTGCCCTTTACCCCTTTTTGGGTGGTTGGGTTCAGTGTTTATTGAAACTGGGCTAATATGGATACGAACAGGCCAACTTAAACCGGAAGGCATGATTACCTCGCGCATCACCGTGGATGAAGTGGTAGAGAAAGGATTCAAGGCACTGCTGGAGCATAGAGACGAGCACTGTAAGATACTGGTGGACGTGCAGGCTTAGAACTCCTCAGGCAACCTCATTACAGTTGCATGTACCATAGCTTTCATCTTTCCTGGAAAGGGGCACCGCCTCCACCAGAGTGTGGCTGGTGCCTCAATAATTGGAAATTGCTTGTCCAAATTCGGGGTTTTTTCCTTCACATGCGGTGGCGGACGAGCCACAGGCCAGTCATAATGTGTAAAGCGAGGGGAGTGGACACGATGATTCTTGGCCTGACATCATTTCTTGGTGGCTGAGCCACTAACAACTGCCGTGAACCAAGGATCAACTCTTTCCGCATCCACTGATCATCAACAATTGCGTCGCGATGGGGCCAGGGTCTGGTTACCTTATAAACCCCGTCTCAGCCCTGAATCCTTCTGCCTTGGGCTCCCAACTTCTTTCATCCTCCACTATACACTATCATCATGGGTATTGGCGGAGTCATCCTACGCTTTTGCGCACTCGCTATACGCGTGTTGCAGTTCCTCGATGCCGCCGTCATTCTTGGCATCTTCTCGTATTACCTGGCCATCCTGGCCCAACACAACCTCCACATCGCGACATGGATTAAGGCCGTCGAAGGTCTAGCCGGTGCTGCTACTCTGTACGGCCTTCTCGGTACCATTTTCGTGTGCTGTCTTGGCGGAGTCGGCTTCTTCGCTTTCCTCGGTGTTGTTCTCGATGTTTGCTTCACGGGCGCTATGATCGCCATCGCCGTCCTGACCCGCAAGGGCGTCAACAAGTGCTCCGGCACCGTCAACACGCCTCTGGGCACAGGCAATGCCAGCGACGACTCCAAGGCCGGCCTGAGCTACGGTATGGCCTGCAGGCTAGAAAAGGTCACCTTCGCAGTTGCCATCATTGGAGTGTAAGTGGATCCGATCTCATCTGGGCGATTTGCCATATTGCCGCACCCAGGGACATATCACTAACGCCACCGCCTTAGCTTCCTGTTCCTCATCTCCATCGTGTTCCAGATCGCGCTCGCCCGCCACCACAAGCGCGAGAAGCGGTTCGGTCCCTCCCCGACTAACGGGTACACTTGGGGAAGTCGCCGAAACTTCTGGAGCCGCAAGAAGAACAACCCCGATGTCAATGGCGCGGATACCCTGCCTGGCCACCCTACTCCTGCTGATGTCGAGATGGATGGTGAGGTCAAGGATGAGAAGCGTTGGTACAGTTCGTTCGGTCGCAAGAATAAGACCACCCCCACCACCGCCACTGGAGGTGCTAATGGGTATGGCTATGGCAACTCTGCCTATACTGGTAACTACTAAGCCTGGCCTTCGGCTTCGCTCTGGGTTCCACGGTTGATGTTCTTTTCTACGGACGTCTTCCCGATGTTGATGTTGGATATTGGTTTGAGCCGGTACACTCATGCCGGTCGACGATTGCATGACCTTTTGTTTTGGCAGAGATACCATGTTTGTTTGAGATTGACATGTACAAATATTGGGTCATAGGCTAGGAACCGCGTTAATCTTGCGGTTTAGGATATAATGATAATGTGATTTTTTTTTGTGAAAATAATTAATTAATCAAGTTTGAAGTTTAGCTTCAGGAGCACTCTTGGGTAGGAGCACCCTTGGATAAAGTACGAGCCCATTGATATTAACGAGGCCAAGAAAGACCTGTTCAAAGTCGACATTAGCTTGGGGTGAGTCCTTCCTGGCCTCAATGTCCTTGTCCTCGGTATTCTCCGTGGGGTCGTCTTGCTCGACGTCGGCTTTGGGCAGGTTCGTCCTGGCCTCGTCAATATGAACGTTGAGGCTCAGGGCGATTGCAACCGCTCCCATCATTAAGATCGGCGGCAACAGTCCGAGGGCCTTCTTCTTTCTTTTTGTGTCGGCGAGGGCTGCAATGAGCTTCTGCAAACGCTCACGATTTCTATTCGCTTCGGAGTGGAGCGAAGCGAATAGAGTTCGAACGGATGATACGTGATCTTCGGACATTACTGAGCCATCGCACTTTCAAGATAAGGCATATAGCCTACGGAGTATCCTGTAGAATGTAGTTGAAGGATCTAACCTTAAGGAATACACTTTAATGATCGATGCACTAGACGAATGCACAACAGCGCTCCCTTTCCTTCTGGACTTGATTGTCCAGGGATCATCTGCGCGCTCGCACGTGAAGTGGATTGTTACGAGCCGCAACTGGCCTAATATTGAAGAGCGTCTGGACACTGCAGCCCAGACAGCGCCGATCTCATTAGAGCTAAATGAAGCATCTGCATCCGAGGCTGTGAGGGAGTTCATTGGGCATAAGGTTCACCAATTGGCAGAAGTCAAAAAGTTCAAAGATGAAATCCGTGATACAGTAGTTTTCGAAATCAGCTATACCGCCATACTCTTACTACTTGACTCGGGGAAGCCAATTCCGGATGACGCTAACGTGTTTAGCTCCAAACCTCAAAATAACCATTCGCGTTGCGAATTGCATCGCGGATTGCCTCTCTGCGAGACTCTGAGCCGAGTTCCTTTTGCGTCGCTTCCGTTAGATCACAATTCACCGAGTCGATCTGGATATTTGAATAGCTGGCGAGCATGCCCGCGACCTTGCCTGGTGTTCCGGAAGTCCCGAAACACCACACTGAACGAATTGGTGGCGTGATAAATCGGTGGCAAGGGGTAGTTGTGCTCTTCTGTCGGGGTTGTGGACCAGGCGCGGAGGAGCTTGGATGAGAAACTTGCAACCGGGGCGTCTGGGGCCACGGCGTCGGTTCTCAGCTTTGGTGATAGCTCTTTGAACCCCTTGTTCAGATAGTTGGAGGTCGTTGTTACGTCCGCGGACACGGGTTGCTGTTCGGGCGGGGAGACATATCTGCCTTGTTGGTTCTTTGCCCTCCGCTGATTGGAGGGGGACTCTGACGATCCCTGTCGCTGTCGCCTGGAGAGCCTTGCAGATTCGTAGCTGTATGACAGGGGTTTCCGTTGATTTTCTTGATTTTCGTGGCGACGTCACGGTCTATGTCGGATATAGTAGATCTCACCTTGGCTGGTTCTGAATGAGATTCCTTCATCTTTATCTTCGATTTTGATCAATTGATAATCCTGTAGTTCAATCCTAGTGGAGTATTAAATAGTAGCACTTACTCGAGCGCCCCCAGCAGAGGTTCCCTCTCCCTATCAGCCATCTTCACCACCCCCCAATTCCTCGCCAAACAGAACAATGATCTCTGAACCAGCGCAAACACCGCATTATTCACTGCCGCCCACCCAACCATCTGGTACCAGCTCACGACCGTGAGCCATCCATACGCGATTACATCCCTAAACGACAGGTCCATGAACTTCACCCGCATCGTCCACGAGATCGCCACCACGCTAAATACGACGCCCTGGGTCAGGAGCCTCAGAAGACTGAGGGCTTTCACATTCCCCACGGGCAGGGCTCGGATAGCCCGCGCTTGGCAGGGGAGCGCAACGAGAGCCAGAATCGTAACAATCGGGTGCATGAGCATCATATGCCAGCCACTGAAGAAGGCTTCAGCCCAATTGCGGTCTGAGCTGCCGCGGGGACCAAAGAAGTCATGATCGATGGCGTCAATGAAGAATGGTATGATGGAGATGAGGGTGAAGAGGATGTAAACCGTCAGCAGCCCAAGTTTGTGCCCGGTACGGTTATCGGATGGAAACCAGAGACAGATGATAAAGCTATTCTTGTTAGGATTTTATCTACGAAATTTTGGATATAGAAGGGTTGGAAAGACTCCCAGGAGGAGATGTAGGACCCAAACCAGGGTAAGCTGGGCTAGGTTCAGCCAGTCGCCGGTCGTCAAGGGGGTTTCGACGAAGAGATCTGTTCCGCCTTTGTGGTTCACTAGGATGAAGAATCCGGTCGTGAAATGTTCGGGAGCGCTGATGAGGTTGAGCAGCAGGTAGCCGAGCGATATGCCCTGGCAGTTCCCGTGCACCCAAATGCGGTGCAGCTGGGGCAGGTAGGAAGCCCCGCTCAGCAGGATAAGGATTCTAAATAGGAGTCAGTCTCTTGCCTTGGATAGATAGGGTTTTAGTGACGCAAAGTCTCAGCCAGTCTGGGATGATTTGTGCCATCTTCTACCAAGTTTTGTCTGTCTGCCTGGAGATAGGATGACGATCGGATGAGATGAGAATGAAGGAGCGGGACTAACTGAACGAGGGTAACGTAATTGAAGGGCGAACGGGCCCCACAGGGCGAGTGGACCACTGCCGAACACCATACTAAATACCCTGAATTTTGTAGAGAACTCAGAGGTTGTTGACTGCCGTGAGAGTGGATTTATGGTATAAACCGAGGAGCTTCTCATAGCCTGCCACTGCTTGCTGGTATATATACTCTTCCTCCTCTAGCTTCCCCTAGTCGTAGTAGAGAAGCCCGAGGTTATTGAGTGTAGCGAGAGTGGACGTATAATCCGGACCGAGGGCATTTCTCGTCCCTGTAAGTGCTCGCTAGTACATTTTTTTCTGCTTTCTTTAGCTACCTCTGGTTTTTGTAGAGAATATCGAGGTTGTTGACTGTATCAAAATTATATATATGATCCGGACCGAGGGCCTTCTCTCTACCTACTAGTGCTCGTTAGTATATCTCCTCTGCCTCCTTCAGCTTCCCTTGATCTTTGTAGAGATCCCCTAAACCACGGAATGCTCCCCATACTGAAATGTTATCATTGGACTAATGCCTATGATACACCAATTGGTATACGGGATAAACCATTGTTGAAGCTTGGAATGATCTCTGTTACTAAGATTAGGGACAGTGTATCCTACAGATATTAGAGCTAGCTTATTGAGCTAGATAGAATTCATATTCTTATTAGTACTAGCAACGTCAAGGCACTAGTCCTATACCACTGGATGTATCATATAGCATCCCCGTTTTCGCTTAACTTCAAGAAGAGAGAACTCGATAAGAATCCTCACACTAATTTTGAATACGAGCCCACTTAAAGTAGCCCTTTCGAGTCACACTGGCATATCTAAGCTATAACGGCCACTTCTGACTAATTCATACTAGATATCTCGATTCTCGAAGTGAGTAAGTAGCAATAGTAGCTCTGCTATGTTTAGGTGCCGCTTGTGGATCTTATGATATGAGATTAGCTATATTTGTAGTATGTTTCCTTATTGGTACTGGCGTCGAGGGTTCGATTGTAGCTGTAAGTCGGACCAGGATTCTTAATAATAATGTAATTACTCATTGACGTTAGTTCCAGTTTCACGCATAAAAGACCCAGCGATGACTATTGCCAATGATAGGCCATCTAGACGATTAGCAAGGGTAAGGGTATCTAAATATAATAATATTGTTAATAAGATCTTTATATTGAGTGGCTCAGTACCTAGAATGCTCTTAAGCTTCCCAATTATATTCTTTACTAATAGACGGCTACTATATAATAGTAATTGAATCGCATTACTAGAGTTAAGCCTATTGATTGGAAAGGACCTTCCTAGCTAAGCTAATCTCTGGAGCCGAGAGGTGATAAGAATGGCGCCATAATCGGCTATAGGGAAGAATTCTCTAATATTATGTACGTCCCTAATAGCGCTATGGACGGGAAAGTACTGATTAATGCTATCAGAAATGATTAGCTATCGAGAATTTCCCTCTAATAATAGCTACCGTAGTATATTCCTAGCTCGTTGCTCCACCTCCTCGTCTATGATCGCTTCAGAGTTCTAACTATCTTAGTAATCGAGCGGCCAAAGATTATAAGAGTATACCTCGATCTTTGCCACTCAGCCAGAAAATAACAGTCAAATTATTTTTGTAGTCTTGTACAAAGGGGACTGCAAGCTATATCTTTCCTATCCCCCTAAGTCTATTAATAATTACAACTTTCCTTGACTGGGGATTTTTCGGCTGTAAATACTACTATAGCTGGCTTAACTCGTTTATAGCGACCCTTTTCCAGTATCATCTCCTGTAATGCTTAATAGCCCCCGATTAAGGCCAATTCCCACAAGAGTTATGTACGTATAGAGCATAATCGTAAGGCTCATTGAGACAAAGATAGTTACTCCGAGAGTTATTTTTGCAGTCGCGACCTTGATTAGTCATAGAGTCAAAATTAGTGCATTCGTTGACACCGGCATGAAGATAAAAAATTGTACCAAAGACAAAGCCTCAAGGGCCGAAATCATGAGAAGGAGTGCGATCATGGGGTGCGACAGTGTGATTGTTGATCATTTGCATTTAATTTCTGGAACGCGCAATCTATACAATTGAACATTATTATCTAACGTTAGTTACTTTCCTATCCCAATTCATTCATGCGCAAAGCAGGGCAGTACAGGATATTGGTAGATCGTAGCCTAGGACTCCTTTGCCAGGGCATCTTCGCCCTGCATGCCACAAGAAAAGCCAAAAGAATGTTGCGGGTGAATTGAAACTTGTAGTCCAGATGTGTTTCCCAGGATCGGTATAATGACATTCCCTGCAGGGTTCATTCCCCGCTATGAGGTCAATCGCTACATAGAGTCATGTGTTCTTGCAGAACATCCGAGTTCGTTAAGTCAATAATCATTAATCCGAGACTTGTCTTCGCAGTCTCGATTGATGTTGCTCGGCGTAGAGTAAAGATAGGCCTACTCGTTGTCACCGTCACGAAATGCGGCGCGTCGCGGTTAGCGCGTCATCCCGACCCTCAACCTCGTAACGATTAATCGGGACCAACACTCAACTCTCCCGAAATTGGGAGCCCGCTGGATGTGTCGTTCTTTTGCACGACTCCCCCGTGGTCTACCTGTCCAGCATGCCGGCGTCAGGTCTGGCCCCGGGGGTCGCCACCCCTCACTAGGGATCTCCGATCGATCTCCCGTGGCGAACGTCAGATCGCATGCGCCGGTTTTGGGCCATGTTCATCATGGAACGCGACCAAGTTTGCGCTTCCCCTCTCACAACCTTCCTCGCTTTGCGCATTTCTCTACCACCTCCCTGAACGTCATCGCACAATCTCTCCCGCTATATCCCCAGAACCACCCGCGCAGCGCACATCGACAATTACATACGGCAGTGACAATGGCGTTGGACATGGACGTGGACGACATCGATACAAAACCTGCTGACATTCTCAATGAGGATGTCACATTGCCCGAGGGCCGCGCAGAGGCCGCATTGGATCCAGAATCCGACGAAGACGTCCCCGTTGAAGCTGAGGAGCTGCAGGAGGCTCTGGGACGTCCTCCGCCGGTGCACAGTGACTACCTCCCACTTCCCTGGAAGGGTCGCCTTGGCTATGTAAGTTGCAGTATACTAAATTCAGCTTTGCGCAATCTGACTGCTAATGTTTATGTACACAGGCCTGTCTTAACACATACCTGCGATACTCGACTCCTCCTGTTTTCTGTTCCCGCACATGTCGCATTGCTTCCATCATCGAGAATCGTCACCCATTACAAGACCCAGAACAGCCTGCGCATGCGACTAAGAACCGTCCCGACCGTGATCAACCAGCTGATCCAGCGCGCGGACAAGCATTCGTGGAAGCGCTGGGGTTGGCGAACTCGCGTGACCTTCTCAAGCTGATTCGCTGGAATGACAAATATGGCATCAAGTTCATGCGGCTCAGCAGTGAGATGTTTCCATTTGCCAGCCACAAAGAGTACGGTTACAAGTTGGCGCCGTTCGCATCTGAGGTTTTGGAAGAGGCTGGACGAGTAGTCGCGGAGCTCGGCCACCGTGTATCAACTCATCCCGGTCAATTCACCCAGCTTGGCTCTCCCAGAAGAGAGGTGATAGAAAGCTCATACAGAGACCTCGAATACCACTCGGAGCTGCTGCAGCTGCTTAAATTGCCTCCCCAACAAGACCGTGATGCTGTTATGATTCTACACATGGGCGGTGTCTTTGGTGACAAAGCTGCTACTTTGGACCGTTTCCGAGAGAACTATGCCTCATTGTCGCAGGATGTCAAGAATCGACTGGTACTCGAGAATGACGATGTTAGCTGGACCGTTCATGATTTACTGCCCATCTGCGAAGAGCTGAACATTCCTATGGTACTCGATTATCATCACCACAACATTTTGTTCGATCCAAATGAGGTTCGTGAGGGTACGCAGGATATTATACCCCTTTATGACCGCATTGCAGAGACCTGGTCTCGAAAGAACATCACGCAGAAAATGCACTATTCCGAACCTACTGCCCCAGCAATTACGCGTCGCCAGCGGCGCAAGCATAGTGACCGGGTCGCCACTTTGCCGCCTTGCGTGCCTAGCATGGACCTCATGATCGAGGCCAAGGACAAGGAGCAAGCGGTATTTGAGTTGATGAGAACATTCAAACTGCCGGGCCATAATCTTTTCAACGACATCATCCCATACATGCGAACGGATGAAAACAAGCCATTCAAGCCCCCGCGCACGAAAAAGAAGAACGACGCCTTTGTTGACCTCGAAGGCACTGTCCCTCCACCTCGCACCATACCCGACGAGGAGGTCGGCATGGGTGGTCCTGAAGGGCGAGTCTATTGGCCACGAGGCATGGAAGAATGGCTGCGCCCAGCGAAGAAAGTCGTGAAACCCAAGGCCAGCCCCAAAAAGGTCAAAAAGGAACCTGATACCAATGGGACCCTGGAGACACCAGTGAAGAAGCCTACTCGTGCTCCTCGGCGTACTCCATCTTCAGTCAAGAAGCGGAAGGCCGAAAAGATCGAGTCTACCCCGGAGTTGGACGAGCTGAGCGACCTATCCGCAGAGCTGGAAGATGTTGCTGCGAAGGCGTCCGGCTCGCGGAGAAGTAAGCGTGCGAAGAAGGTGAATTACACCGAAGATGATGCATAGATGGTTGTTCGCTATTGTATAACGCAAGTACTTAGATGCTTGATTCTTGTATATATAAGGGAGGGGCTTGGCGTTATGGAAATAATGGCTTCTAGACTTTTGTATGAATACGTCATTCGCCGTGAACCTCTTTATTTCCCAAATTGTATCTCTTCCCAATTATCGCATAGGTCATCGAAACTTGGGTATCGACATCTGCACGTGGGCATTGTACATAATCATACACCTGACTTTCCATACATGACCCTTCCCCGACCTGTTCAACGCTGTATTCCATTCTAAAATTTTGAATCAAATGAATCTTCTTAACTACAGTGGAATTGAACGTATATATAAATATATAAATATAAAACAATCTAAATTTACAGCATAGATTTGGGGAACTTCTTCATCGCCTGCCGCACGCCTAGATCCGCTAGGATCTCCTCGGTTCCGCCGAGGATGGCATCGAACTTGTACGTGCGGTGGAACATCTCCACAACCTTACCCATACCGCTCTGGGTGATTCCACGGCCACCAAAGATGTTGGTAGCCATACTAGCAATCTCGCCAGCGGATCTGGTGGCATGCGACTTGAGCAGGCCGATGGGACCGCCCAGGTGGGCGGCCTGCTCGGCGTAGCTCATGTTGCACATCTGGTAGGCGATGGACTCCAGCCAGGCTTGGTTGGATTCGGTGAGTGAGATCATGCGAGCGAGTCTGGATAATCGTTAGTTGATGAGCTGACTTTGTTCCGTGCGGGATAACTTACTTTTGACGAATGGCCGGTTGGGAAACGAGGCTCTTGCCAAAGACGATGCGCTGGTTGCACCACTTCAAACACTCTTCGACGATTGTCATAGACATGCGGACCACAGCAGCAACCATCATGAAGCGCTCGTGGTTGAAGTTGCTCATGATGACGACGAAGCCCTTGTGCTCCTGGCCCAGCAGATTCTGAACAGGCACCTTGACATTCTCGAATTGCACGAATGCAGTGGCAGCGGCAGTCGAGTAGGAGGTCTTGATCTGCTTGGTCTCGACGCCCTCGCCGCGCGGGATCAAAAGCACAGAGAAGCCCTTCTCGGTACGGCAGCCGGTCACGAAGTAGTCGGCAAACATGCCGTTGGTGATCCACTTCTTGGTGCCGTTAACAATGTAGTGTTTGCCATCCGGGGTCTTTTCGGCGGTAGTCTTCAAGCCTGCGACATCACTGCCCGCGAAGGCTTCAGTAATGGCCAGACACATCTTCTTCTGCCCAGACAAGACTTCGCCAGTGACCCGCTCCTTAAGAGCAGGATCGTTCAGCCACTGCTGCACGGCCGTGAGACTGATGGCCATGCCAGCCATGTTGCCATCTTGGAAGCCTAGACACAGATTAAACCACTATCTCACTTGACATGTACTGGGTGAAAACTCACCTCGTGCATTAGCACGAACCAATTCTTGCGTCACAATCATGTCGTGCAGATAATCAAACTCCTTGCCGTCCACGGCCCCGTCCAACAGCTGGAGGCCATGCAAATGCTTGCCGGGACCGAGGCGCATAGCCAGAATATTCGTTTCCGCCATACGGTCAATCAGCTCCTGACTAATATAGGTACCATCACGCTCTTTCTCTTGCGCCTCGGGGGTAACATGGCGATCTGTGAATTCGCGGACAGCCTTTTGCAGTCGGTGATGGCTTTCCTTAAAGTAGGGACTCTTAAATTGCGGGCGCAACCAGAGTGGTTCCGCATAGGGAACGGGGCTCAGAGCGCCAGGCACCGGGCGGATAACCTCGGGCTTTTCACCCTCGATGGTGCCGATGTACAGTTGATCATGGTACTTTTCTAACACCTCTTGGCGATGCAAGTTGTAGAAATCTGTAGTGGCATCTTGGCCGGCAACCTGAGCGAGCACGACGCTGCCGCCGGGGTGGGCATCGACAAAATCGGTGAGGTCATAGACATTGTGGTCGATAATGCACCAGAGGGAATCCTCGGTGTTGTGCTTGGCCACCTCAGCGCGCGTGAGTATTTGTGAGGGCATATTGGATTATTTTGAGGAGGTCAAGAGAGAAGACGAGGGTTGAAAAGGAGGGACTAAAGGAACCTAACCTGTGAAGAGATGTTATACCCCGGATCTCCGAGACGGCGTTGCCAATCAGAGGGCAGTAAATGTCAGCCGAGGTTGTTTCACTGCACGTTCCTGCGGACTTCCCGAGGTTAGTTGTTTTATCTTATCTTTTGCTTTGGTTGCATCACCATGCGTCTCGGCCGCATGGCATGTTCAGATACATGGAGATAGTTTTATGTACAGGATAATCAGCAAAGATGTCAAGACAGCTGCTTGGATGGGTGGATAGCTTGGAGCCTAAAAACGGATATTAAATGCCAACCAGCAAGTCACCTTGGTGGGGTCGGGGATGAACGTAGGCAATATCATATGAATGGAAATCGTATAGACGGTCTAGGGATATGTACAAGTCTATCCTAACCTCGTGAAGCGAGTCTAAGGCCGGCGTCCAGTACCCGCCTGTATATCCTTCAGTGCGTCATCCACCAACCACACGCACACCGGCTGCGCGTCGCTTCCAACCCGCCAGCTACCTAGGACAACATTCTGCTTCTGAAGAATCTCCGATGCGCGCTCCCATCGACGTCGCCATAGCTCCTCGCGCTTGTTGGGGAGCGGTGTCGGTGGCATGGCAGATTCACTGGCCGTCCGTGCCAACGATTGGTTAGATGCGGGCTTTCGCAGGCCTGCCGAAGGCGATGAAGAGAGGTTGAGTCGCTCGGTGGCATATTGGAGAGCCGCCTGAGCTGCAGATACTGGGTATGACGGCAGATATGACGGTTTTGCGGGTGTTTGTGGTGGGGGTCGAGAGGAAGTCGGTGTGCTTGATGCAGAGCTAGCGATTGGAGAAGACGTGTTGGTACGTCGTGGCGGGGGAAGGGGAGGAGGCTGTTTAGAGCGCCCTTGCCCAGAGCCTGATGCATCTACAGTCTCGGCTGAATAACTCTCGTTCGTGAGCGGGTCGGTGCGAGTTCGAGATACTGGTGATGGTTCAAAGTCGATCAAGGAGTCCGTTTGGGCCGACGGTTGTCGAGGCGGCAAAGCAGGAACAGCCTTACGTCGTACTGGCGGCGGTGGTGGCTTTGCCTTGCCGGATGAAGTCTCGATATCTCCTGGTGCTGCCGTTGTACGTAAAGAAGATGGCTTGGTTGGCTTCATAGGAGGCGCACGCGGCTTCGTAGACATGGGCACCTCAGGAGCAGGCGGCTTCTGTTCCTCGTCATCGCGTAGATCAATCAAGTCGCCATTGTCTATGCTCTTTGAATCTTCGGTGGAAGATGATGTGTCTCGAGCCCGACGGGGCGGCAACGCAGGCCTGTTAGTGTGAGAGTCCGGGTGATCCACCAGCTGCGGAGTACTGCGATTGCGACTAAAAGGCCCTTCTAGATTTCCAACCGACTGGTCGAAGAAAGGCTTCTTATCTGTCGTCGTTACATCTCGAATGAATACTCCCAAGACCCGCCCAGGATTAGCCAGCACAATATCAGTGTAGACCTCTAGGTCGGCTTCGCCGCTATCGCCAACCAAAATGAATTTGCGTTCGGGGAAGTCACGCAAAAGCTGCTCAAGGTTGCCTCGTTTTCTCTCAGCAGTGGGCTCGAAGATTCCTTGTAGCATGCCAGAGTAAGCTTTGAGATGGAAGGAGCCTGGAGGTAGTCCGACAAGCTTGAAGTATTTCTCCAGCAAAGGATATAGTTGCCATGGAGCGTTTGAAACGTAGTGGAAGTCCACGTTTCGCTTGGCCAGCTCTTGATACCAGTCGCTGACTCCATTAACGGTCAAGTCGCCCAGTTCACGAACGAAGGTGTTGCGGAACATCTCTTTAGCGCCACTCGCAATGGCGGAGTGTTTGACGGTGTCATCAATGTCACTGATCAGGCTGATGCCTGTCGGCTCAATAAGCTGGATCGGTTTTGCAGCACATAGGTCTTCGGAGGCCAACACTCGTACGTGAGTTGGGACGAAGGGTAGTGCAGCACGTAGCGTGAAATGTCCTGACTCGTCTGTTCGCAGAGTTCGTGATACACTCTCCTCCTCATTGAAGAAGAACGCCATAACACCCAGGCCAGCAATAGGGTTGGTCAAAAACGGACGAAGTCTCTCCATCAGATGTGCGTTGGCCATGGTCATTTCATCCTTGCTCAGAGGAGTCGGTTGGCCGGTGCCTCGAGACTGATCAACACGAGAGCTCTTCCAGGCCTGGTCCGCTTCTTTCTCCGCTGAGTCAACCAGAGTCTCCATCTGCTTATTCACGTACTCGTCTTCGCCTTTGCTTGCTGTTGAGCTCTGTCCATTGTTTGCAGCAGGAGCTTGAACACCACTCAGCTGCCTAGCCAGCGTAACCATGAGGCGGTGCTTCTTGCCCATCGGCTCTCGACCAGGTGCATAGATCCAGCCACGCACGTCGACCTCCACAACCGCATCTTCGGCCTCTGCATTATCCCAGCCGTCTTCTGAGTGGCGCTCATGGTCCACGCCGTGATATTCATCGAGTTCACGAGACCAAGAATCACGGCGAGAAGGCGAGAAGGCACTCTTTTTTGGCTTGGGTGTTAAGCGCCTTGCATAGCTAGGGAATAACACCATCTCCTCATCGCCAGAGCGCGCGATCTCCACGTCTGGAAAGGCGCCGGGCGTATTGTAATAATCCTCACTGCTGTATTCATTTTTCTGTGAGGTCCATTGTGCCTGATAGGCCTGGCGTAGTTCATTCGCCGCCTTGAAGTACCCGTAGACCTTGCGCCTACGACCACCATTGCCGTCCCCGCTCCCGACGCCCGGTGTTGACGAAAGCCCAGATTGCGCCATCGGGTCTTTCACAGCATTTTTTGGCCCTTCAGTAGGCCCACAAATAGCTCTCGTGTGTGTTTCCGATCCCAATTTACCTGCAGCGACTCTCCCGCCCCGCAACCGTCGCCGTGGCCCAAGGAGATAGGCAACGAAGCCGCCGCCGAATCTGCGGTTGCGGGCTGCAAGCAGCGCCTGGCGCTGGACGATGGCTCTATAGAGTCGCGACTGTGCACGGTGGCGGAGCGCGGGGAGGGTCTCGTGGCGGAGGTTCCAGAGACGGTTCTGAGTTCTGCGAGTTGCAAGAGGTCCGACGAGTATGCGGAGGAGGGAGGAGAGTCTGCCTGCTTTTGGCTCACGGCGAGGCAAGGTAGGGCTCGAGAATGGATTAGGCGGGAGCGAATGTCTGAAGAGAAAGGGTTTGAAGCGAGCGATGGGCCAGCGGAATCGAGATTTGGGCGCCAGGGTCTCGGATGTCCGAAGCCGGTTGGTGATTCTGAGCAAGGGACTGGACCCAGGAAGTTCGAAGGGTAGACAGGGGTTTTAGACTGAAACGATGAGTTGATGGTAATATAATTCAGATAGAGGGAATACTCACGGGGGTGGATGTGAATAGGAATATGCAGAGGGGAACTTGGCAGGGCTGAGATGTTCTAGTTCCAGGTTCCTGCGGGGCGGCCATGACGCGAATCTGGCCCCGTTTCACGCACTCGGACTATTTCTAGCTATTGTACACAGCATCTATGTACTTCTATCTCGATTTGTTCGCAGATACAGCTGTGATTTTTTATTTTTTTTCTAGGACTTCCTAGCTTGACACATTGGTGCTCCAAGGTACATGTAGACAATTTATTGCTCAGTGATATATCCCAGGCGCAACACTTGCAATTCTGGACTCTCCCAGTACTTACCCTAACACCTGGTAAATTCGGACCATAGATGTGAACAAAACTAAACCTTTAAATTCGGCGCCTTTAATCCTACTAAATGTGGACCGTAACCGCTTTCACTTCCATCCCTTTTTAGTCCTTTCATTCACTGTACTTGTTCGACATTGAGGCTCTGTGGATCATTGTTGATCCGCTTATCTCAGCTCGCATCAGTACACCTGCGGCTTGGAGCTACTTGCCACAACTGAATCCTTACAGCTCTCGGGTTGCAACCAATTTCATCCTCAAATTTATCAACATGGCAAACACCGACGTCTTAAACCCGGATCGTATCTTGGGCCTGGCAGCCAAAGCTATCGGTGACGGGCAGCCGAATCTCCAAACACCCGCTGAAGCTATCGCACTGATCGGCCATGCCTGCATGGCCGCAGTGGACTTCAGGTTGGTGGGACTCGGAGAAGACCATAATCTACGTTCGTTTCCTTCCCCGTATCTGTCCATAATTTGCTCATCGCTAACCTTTGTAGAAACATCAACAGAAAGTCCCGCCCTTCCCGCAGAATGGAACACTAATGATACCTTTGCCTTTCGCTACGCACACGCACAGTCCTCCATGCAGTACTTGCTGAAAGTGAGCCGACTTGGTAATAATGCGGTGGTATTTGCACTGGCCTTGGGCGATGATCGCACCAGCTCCTTTGACCTTCCTACCAAAGATTACATCTCCGGATCTGCTCTCCCGTTGCAGTCCACAGACAAGCTCACAGATGCCCTACGCGAGATTTTCATCTCTCCCGCTCGACTGAGCGATCTCATCGGACTTTTTAAGATCAATGTTATCCAGAAACTAGCCCCCGGCTTGCACAAGGAAGGTTACGAGGATCCAACTCGAGCACCTAGAGAACAAGCTGAAAGTAGTCAGCTTCGCGACCGCCTCCGAGATGACTCCCTTCCACAACCTGCTCGTCCATACCCATTCGATGATCCTTTGGCTGCCGCGCCTCGTCGACCCAACCCACCTGGTGACTTTGCCCCGCCTGGATTTGAAGACGAGTTCGAAATAAATCGCCCTCCGAGAGGATACGCTCCAGGCTTCCCGGGCGGAAGAAGCCCATACAATATCGGGGACCGGGATCTATATCCAGCGGGCCTTGGACCTCATGACCCGCTCCGGGGCACCATGGGTCCCGGCTTTGGAGGAGGTGGTGGCATGCACCCGACTTTCGACGATCCTCTCTTCGGGGGATCTGGTGGGGTAGGTGGCTATAATCCCCGTGCACCGCCTGGAGCGAGGTACGATCCTCCTGGACCGGGCCAGCCACCGATGGGCGGTAATCGAGGACCGGGTGGAGGCTTTGGTGGCTTTGGAGGTGGGTTCGGCGGCGATATTATCTGAGCTGTCAGCAAAAGACGGGATGTAGTCCCCGAAACGAAGTGATGATGTGCTATAATGAAACGTGAGAAATGAAATTGTACAGTGTGTAAACACCAAACTTGTAGATTTACAAACCTAGGCGTAACGAAATGAAAGGAAATGAGAGAAAGTATACGTCGAGGATGGCGGTGTGGCTCAGGTGTGGCGCAAACTCACCTCCAAACTTGATCTTCCCGCATCTCTCATCTCTTTCTCCCCTTGTTCCCCTCCCACCCCAACCTCTCATCCCTAGAGTAAAGTTGGGAAACTTGTTACTGCTATCTGTTCTGAGTTCTTTCCACTTCTCTCTACTGTGATTCCTCGATTCCCTCAGATAACCTGGTTGTTCGTTTCTCACGAGACCGCCCCTCCCCCCCCAGCTGGCCCCTCCTCCCCCTGTTCCCATCCGCCAGCTGTGCCCACAATGGACAACAACATGGAAATCGACACTGCGCGGTCGCCCGAGCCGCACCACCTCTCGCCCACAAGCGACCCCGGCTCCATACCCACCTTGGATGGCTGGATCGAGAGTTTGATGACGTGCAAGCAATTAGCGGAGGAGGACGTGCGGCGACTGTGCGATCGGGTGGGTTTCTTTGCTGGATCGCCCCTGCAGGATCCGAATTGATAATTTTCTGCATTTCAGGCACGAGAGGTATTGCAAGAGGAATCGAATGTTCAGCCAGTGGTATGTGATGATCCTCTCGCCGGTCGGACTTCGCGGGAGCACCAGGACATGACCTCAGTCCACTGACGATTAAAATACAGAAATGCCCGGTGACAGTTTGCGGTGATATACACGGCCAGTTTCACGATCTAATGGAGCTCTTCCGCATCGGCGGCCCTAACCCTGATACAAACTATCTCTTCATGGGTGCGTTTGTTTTGTCGGTCGGACTCGTCCCATAGCTAACCTCGGAAACCAGGTGATTATGTCGATCGAGGCTACTATTCTGTCGAGACTGTGACCCTCTTGGTCTGCTTGAAGATTCGTTACCCCCAGCGTATTACCATCCTTCGTGGCAACCACGAATCCCGCCAGATCACCCAGGTGTACGGCTTCTACGACGAGTGCCTGCGCAAATATGGCAACGCCAACGTGTGGAAATACTTCACCGACCTCTTCGACTACCTCCCCCTCACTGCTCTCATTGAAAACCAGATCTTCTGTCTGCACGGTGGGCTGAGCCCGTCCATTGACACCCTCGACAACATCCGATCTCTGGACCGCATCCAAGAAGTCCCGCACGAGGGCCCCATGTGCGATCTCCTCTGGAGTGATCCCGATGATCGCTGCGGCTGGGGAATCTCTCCTCGCGGTGCGGGGTACACATTCGGTCAGGACATTTCGGAAGCGTTCAACCACAACAACGGCTTGACTCTGGTTGCTCGGGCGCACCAACTGGTGATGGAGGGATATAACTGGTCACAGGACCGCAACGTGGTGACCATCTTCTCAGGTATGCTTCTTTCCGTGCCCTTACTGTATAGGATTCGACTAACCGATGTAGCGCCCAATTACTGTTACCGCTGCGGCAACCAGGCCGCCATTATGGAGATCGACGAGCATTTGAAGTACACATTGTGAGTATACCACGCATTCTTTCCGCTGATCCGTGCTAACACTCCTTAGTCTACAATTTGACCCTTGCCCCAGAGCAGGAGAACCCATGGTATCGAGGCGCACACCCGACTACTTCCTGTGATAGATTTCATTGTTGTCCCGCAGAAGGCTACTGGGCTAGCGGAGGAAGGGGGCATATGATCGGGGCTTTCGTCCGCTTAATTCTGTATGGTTCGATGCCTGGCCGTCTGTTGATACCAATCATGAAAATAAAAGACCCGCGAGACTTTCAATTACATGCTACAGAGACCGGTTATTCCAAAGCTTCTGGATCGGATACATGCTTGGATTTGACCTGCAGATGGTGTAGTTAGTGTGCTGTACGTACCTTGGTCGGTATTGGCTTGAGGTTTTGATCCTAGGCTCAATGCTCTACCAGGTCAAGTTTGATATATTTTAATCATGGTGGAATTAAAGAAAGCTGGTAGTGAAGACCAATTCTATCGCTAGGAATAAATCTATCAAGATATGTAAACAACGCCATGTATACAGCCATCCGACTCCCCTTTAGCAATGTCGTGTTCCATTAATTAAATTATATTTTGAATAGCATGACGAAAGCACAGCATTATGCAAGCGCCTTTCCGTCCTTCTCCTCCTGCTGGTTCCAAGCAGAAACAATAATCTGGCTCTGCTCAGGAGATGCCTCCGCCCCGTGCTTCTCGCTCTCGGCAACATCCCCGATACGGTAGTGTCGCACTTTGCTGCTTCCATTCGGAACCCACATGCGCTTATCCTTCCGCGAAACCAAAAAGATCATGACAACGGTCCAGTCAATAGCAAAATTGAAGATGTAGAAACACGCCTTGGACTGGTACCATGCCGGATCCGTGACGGGACGAGGGTTCATCCAGGATGTGCCTGCGCGGAACGAGGCACCGAGACAAAGGAGGCAGCCGGCGAGTAAGATGATGAAGGCCCGTGTATACCATGACCCGGTTCCGGGGTGCTCGACGTAGCGGAAGCGGGTGAGGATGAGAATCGCAAGGACTATGGGGATAGGCAGGAACGAGACGACAGCGAAGTAGGTTAATCCGTAGAGCTGGATATCGCGATCGATACGGTGCGTGTTGGCGTTGAGCGTGTACATGCTTTGGATGACGACCGTGATCACCATGACGATTGTGATGATCACGATCAAATAGAGGGCTTTAAACGTCCATGACAATGGACGAGACCAGCCGAAAGCGGGAAATGCGGCGCGAAGCATACGCTGCGTGTATATCAAATTGAGAACGAAAAGAAGGAGCACACCCGCCGCGACGAAGATCTGGGCTGCGATCGCGAGCGAGACGTTGGTTGGGTAGCAGGCCCAGACGATGCGGATGACATTTGCGCCTATGCGGGACATGCAGAAGCCGAATGACACGGCCGAAGGAATGAATTTGTGGCCTCGTTTTCTGTTGCGTTGGAAGATAGTCATGTGGCCAGCGCCGGCGGCGGCGAAGAGGAAGAGAAAGACAGCGCAGATGGGGACATCAAGGTCCTTTGTTGGACGACCGCCAAGTGCGGCAGTTTTAGGGGCGTATGGCCCTCCCATTGTTGCTAGATTCTGTCACTCCAGGTCTTGCGATGAGTGCTGTGGTGTGTTGTGGGGTGTTGAGGGGTGATGTTTTGATCGAAGATCGTATAGATCGAGCAGGCGCTGTCCGTAGGGCAAGCACGAGTCTCAGTTGAATCTTAAAAAAAGGCGTGGCATGCAAGGAATGAGATTCGCGTTCCAGGAATGGAAGCACAAGCAAAAGCAAAAGACTATATAAGGCCAGGGCTCACTCCATGGCCTTGATTCCTTGGCATGGGCTGCAGGAAACAGCGAGCGCCGATATAAAAGGCCCGAGCCGATCGATCGAAAGGGGGGTGACGGCGCATGGTGTGCGGATCCCTGCTCAACTCGTATCAACAATAGTGAAACCAAGTTCAAGCGTCTTCAGTGAAGGGGCCAAGGTGTCGGTGTCGGCGGTTTGCTGCGCCGCGGAGGTTGGGCGGAGGCCGAAAGGCCGACTCCCCGTGATCTGGGATCGTCGGTTTTGGGCCTTTAAAGGCTGGTTATGGTGTTTAAACCTCAGCGTCGTTTTTGCTCTATTTTATTTTATTTTGTTTCGTATTTTGTTTTAATAAATTTGGCCTATATAACAAAGAAAGTAAAGGAATTGTGAACCTAGAGTTCAGCTTTCCAGGTGATATTGAAACACCGAACTAGTAAGATCGCTGCAAGAATATTGAAAGGCTCGGAGAATCTGGAACCGCAATTATCGCAATAAGCGTCAAACAGGCCAAACAAGCCCAATTCGGCGGAAGGGATGATATGATAGTCCTCACGTAGGGCTTAGTGTCCTAGGACTTATAGATTCTTGGTCTTGGCCAAGATTTCCTCGACCTCCTTTGCATGCTTCGAGAAGTTATCCACAAGACTATCCCACATCTTAGGCTCATGTTCATGCTTCTTGTCGCTGTTCCACGCGTAATCCGTAATCGTAAACGGCCGACAGGATTCAAACATGAAGGCAATCGACGACTCGGAGATTTGCATCACTGGCGGCGCGCTCTCGCACGCCGCTTTGAACTCCTCATATGCAACGCCGTGAGGGACCACTATCAAGATTAGCAGGGTTCGGCTTGGAGCCAGGGTAAGGTGCACATACTTCCGCATTCGAACGATACGCTTCCCGGCTTGAATGCGTCACTTCGGCCGCCGTAGTCGCCGTAAATCAGACCCATTAATTCGGAGGCTACATTGCGGTGGTAGTATGGAGGCCGATAGGTGTCTAGATGGAGTTAAAAAAGGCTTGTGTTTCTCGGAGTAATAGAAAGACCTACGCGATGCAACATCCCATCTCGGAGAAAAGATAAGTAGATCGGCTAGGGGTGCGGTCAGATCGCGCGACTTGGCTGTCAGCACACAGAAAATACTCGGGTCAATATGATCCACGGAGATCGAGCCGACGTTGACGAATTTTGTCAGATCATATTTATAGGGGACCTGGAGAGTCAGCTGGGGTCCTGTTCCGAGCTAGGGGGAATCCTTACGTAGTTCCCGTGCCAGGCCACGACATCGAATGGGTTGTGGTTCTGCTTGCTGTTGAAGAACTTGCCTCCAAGTTTATACACAATCTCCCAGGGCTCTTGAGCAATCTCGTAATGAGCCTCGGGACACAAAAAGTCCCGTGCATTAGCCAGCCCATTGGCGCCCAGGGGTCCCAATTCAGGTAGCTCGAAGCAGGTACCCCAGACCTCGAGAATGTAGCCACGCGACGGCCCGTCTGGAAGTCCCACGCAGAAGCGCAGGCCCCGCTGTATGACTACAATCTCACCGGGCTGAACGAAGAGAGGCCCGAACTCGGTTTGAATGTCCAGGGCCCCCTGCTGCGGGACAATCAGGAATTCGCCGTCCGAGTTAACAAAGGCCTTCTTCTTCATGCTGGTGTTGGCTGCGTAGACGTGAGTGGCCAGGCCCTCACGCAGCGTGGGCTCACCCGAGCCCGCGATAGTCTTCAATCCCTGGACAAAGTCGACCTCGCCGCTGGTGGGGATATCGAAGGGGTGCCAGGCCAGCTGAGTCGGTGAGACATGAATGCGAGGATTCATTGGAAGAAAGTTAGACTCGGTATCCTTGTTGTCGGGCATTTCTGTCTACGTAAACGGTTAGTACCAACTGGGCTGATTCCATGTTCAGTACATACGAAACCCTGGTGCGCAACTGCCGGGCGAGCGCGGTATAGCCATGCCTTCTTGTTAGCATGTCGTGGCGCCACAAATGCAGTAGCAGTCAATTGTTCGGCGTACAGCCCGAATCGGACATTGCGGGGACTGTTCTGGCCTTGTGGAAGGGTACCAGGCACCGCTTCTGACGCGAAGCTAAATTGGTGAGCTACATCAGCCAGTTGAATCGCTAGATGCAGGGGACGTACGCATTGCCAAAACCAGCTTGGTACTGCAGCAGACTGTTGTCAGAAACTGAAAACTTAATCGATTGATTGGCACATACTTTATAAGGATCGTTGCGCCTTGTCGCAAAAGAAGGGACCGTTCCGTCCTTTTGCGTCTCGGCCCAGTGGAATATCTTTTGATATTCCTGAGGGTCGGCGAGGTCACTGGTTGAAGGCATGTCGTTCTTGATTGCTTATTGATTGAATTACAGAATTGAGAAGATATTCCACGCGGGGCGCGAGACCTATATACGAGGAACAGTTCAGGCAGTGGGGTCACGGCTCCCCCGGACTTAACCATGGGGTATACATCCGATGCCCAAGAAATGAGACCAAGCCGTGGAGATCGGGGAGGTACCTCGTCATGGCGGAGCTCATCAGCTGTGGAACAGGCCAGAGACAGTAGAACTCGGCATATGGTGATACACTCGCTCTGCCGACCTCCCCGGGCAGGGATCGCGATTCGTTACCGTGGGAGTGTGGGGAAACCAAACATGAATCGTCGATTCGTGGGTGCGCGACCCCACATGAGTAAGGTCTGAGTAACGGCGGAGACGTAAATAGTCGACACCTAAACCCATTCACTAATCACTCACTACGGTTTAAGATGCCTTTGGTGGGTCGCTCTTTCACTGCTGAACAAGCAAATGCGGGATTCAGTCGAGGGTACAACTGCCGAGTTGTGTAGGGAACCTAGGAGATCATGCATAACTAAACTTGATGCTCGCCTGCTCGGATGAAACTATACACGGCTCCAATGGAACGAAGGCTCGTAATGAGTCCTTCATGTATTCTAATCCAATTTAAATGACATTGTCTATTTAGTTGAGGAGGCTGATGCGTCCTGCGGTGAGGGCACCTAGAATTGGGAGGTAGACTCCACTTCCTGCTTCTCCGAGCACTTTGCAAGGCTCGACTCTTCGTCGCGCAGCGAATTGCGCCTCGTTAATTTCCTTGGATTCACCTAAGGGGCCGAATGCAAATCGGCTATCTGCAGACCAAGGCGCGTTCCCTGAGACAAACTGGATCCAGCGCTGTCGCATCTCTTTTCCAACCGCCTGTGCAGCAGGATTGAATGAGAGATCCAGTCCTTCAAAAAGGAACAACAGATCAACTGCATGGTGGGAGCGGCTAGATGGCTGCCAGGGGTTCGGTTGGTCAACAACGTACTTGTAGACACGCTTGTTGGCGGCGGCTAGCTTGTTCGCGACGATTTCAACTGGGAGTGCGTAACGTGCATCGTTGACGAAATCCAATGCCCCAAGCTTTGCGGCTGTGGGTCTATCGGAAACCACATGGTACATCTTGCGGAGCTTGCTACCCCATTCCTTATCGCCTTCGAAAGCAGCTGCTATGGTTTCGCCGTCCAGTGCCTCAATGCCGTTGCGCCAGATGACGGACTGTCAAGGTTGGAGTCAGATTCGCTTCAACCTTGGCCGGTTTGAGCTTTGACATACCTCATATTCAGTATCACCAATCATAGCCTCCTCCACCTGCTCAGGCCTACTCTCCCAGTTTGCCAACTCGGGCTCTTCTTGAATCCACATGGTATTCACCTTGCAGTCTTTCAGAGCCTGAATCAACACTGGGACGGAAGACTCCCGTAGCGAGGGCTGCCCAAGCTCTTGCACCGTTGCTTCCAATGTCTTGATCAACCCATCACCTCGCTCCACGGGCAATGGGGACGATAGATGAAGGGTACCCGATGCCAATATAGCCCTTTTGACGGGAGGACCTGTGATAAGATGCGCATGGGCGTAGACGGCCCCGGCGCTCTCACCAGCCAGAGTGATGTTTTTCTGTGTACTGTTAGTACAAGATGTGGAATGAATATGAGGGCGCTTACAGGATCACCACCGAAGGATGAAATATTCTTGCGAACCCACTCAATACCGACTCGCTGATCCTTAAGAGCAAGATTTTTCTCCTTGCCATCTCCGAAGCTGAAAATATTAAGACGATAATTAATCGAAACAAAGACAATGGGCTTTCCAGCTTCAATAGAGTCCGACACGAGCTTGGCGGGATCTAGACTATGATCAGCACCAATGAAGTCACAGTGTAGGATCAATACTCACCGCAAATCTTCGATGCAGCAGAGCAAAAAGTGACAATTTGCGAGCCACCTGTAAAGAAAAATTAAACTTAGGCTACTAACAAGAAGGAGAAACAAACCATGAATCCAGACCAGAACTGGGAGTGGCTCCTTAATGGAAGACAGTGGAGGACAAGTGATCTCAAGATTCAAACACTCGAATTCATCCTCCGGCTCTGGGGCTATTTCGAAATCCGCAGGGATTCGAAGCAGATGACGGACATCTACTTCCATCTGAGGACATCTCGGGCTATTGGCGTGTCAGATTTATCAAAGGGAATATCGTCTGGAAGACAGTACAGGCGTCGTACCCATATTTAGTCGCATCGACAACAGCCCCCGCAAAGTCGTTCACTGGTTCAGACTTCTCAAATCGCGCAGGAACACTCGCATATTTGATTCCCAAAAATTGATGAACGGGGACTTGCCCATCTCGCTGAATACCCTTAAAAGTAGCATTCAAAGTCGCGTGGTGAACTTCTGGTGTTGCCATGATTTGTAAAACGATGGTGAAATTAGTAGTTTGGGATGGTATGAAGATATGAAGAACTCCGGGGTATTCTGTCTCGGCCGGCTATTGTTAAAGCCTTCAATTCCCGAGGTACTCACCCCGGATCCATTGTGGTCCCAAGCATTGTTCTACTTTGGGGTGCCGTGGGGCTCTGGAGAACCCACTTGTGGGGAGCCTTTGGGCTTCGGGTGCGGATCAAGCAATTTGAAGGATTCAAGAAGCGAGAAGAGACACAGTAATTGTTTGTAACTCTACAGAGATGTTCGTTAAATACCGAGAGTTCATTGTGCCACTGTGGCCGTTGAATTCCGTGATGCATTTGTAGATTGCCCGATTCCAGGCAGCAAGGCATCAATTCCTCCCCGAGGCCGGGCTTTGCTCTTTGCACCAATCAAAAATGAGTGAAGATCTATTGACTAAGATTTTATCAATGTACAAGATTGAGAATGGCGCTGATTATATACATATGTATGCAAGAAGTGAGAGAGATCTAGAGATATAATTTTAGGAAGTTTCCGATTCCGGCTGATCACCAGCCGCAGCTGGCTTTGGCTTCCTCAAGATCCAACCACCAACAAACAAGAGATTCGGGATCGCAGAAACACCAGCAACCAGACCCATTGCCCAGCCCATGGTGCCCCAACCAGCATTTTGGCGAATGAACCCAGCGAAGAATGGGCCGATGAGACTGCCTGCTGCGAAACCCATATTAGAAAGGCCAAAGGCCAAAGCCATGGCGCCTCCACGGCCAAATACATTCGGTGAATTGTCCTCCTTCTCTTGGACGGCGTTGAATACTTCCGTCACTATGGGAGTCATGACCATGGAAATACAGCATCCGAGCAAGGCGAGCAGGGCGCAAAGGACAACCTTATCGTGCATCGTATTCTCCTTGACGAGACGCAGGAGAGTCGCCACTGGGACGACGCAGAGGAATCCCGCCGCCGTGAGATAGCGTGGGGTCCAGCGATAACGATCGATGATGAAGCCAGTGATCGGATCTAGGATATGGGGTACCATGAGTGGAATGAAGATGAGCCCTTGTCCAGTCTGTTCCCATCCGAATGTGTCCTCAACGAAGATTGGCAGAACACTGTCGAAGGAAGTCAACACTAAGGATATCACGAAATACCCCCAGAGGGATACTACCAGCCGGTATGAGCTCAAGAGCCTGGCAGCCTGTCTTAGAGGGCTATGCGCTACGGGCTTTTCCTCGAGTGTCTCGGATTTCGAATCGTCCACGGGTGCAGGAGACTCCGTGATCGTATCCGTAGCAGCCTCTCTATTGCCCTTCTCTTCGATCGATGCCAAAGGCTTCGTTTCAGTCGCAATCCATCGAGCAGCATGTCGCTTTTCAATCAACACGAGCCGGAGGAAGATATCAATGCCGATTAACCCAAAGGCAAGACCGAAGACGGAGTAGTATCCTCCATTTTCGTAGAGAACACCTCCCAAAAGAGGTCCAGCCATCGTGCCAATACTTAATGCCATAGAGACATATCCAATGGCCTGGCCGAGGCCTTCTTTCCCGACAGTATCAACCATCAACGCTATGCCAACGGTCCAAACAACCGCTGCGGCAGCGCCCTGGAATAGACGACCGGCGATCCAGAGACCGATATTTGTTCCAATGCACAGAAGGGCAGTGGCAGCCTCAAGTGCAACGAGGCCTAGGAGAAGGGGCCAACGTCGGGATTCGGCGCGGTCGGCTACATAACCGATGACAGCTGATCGAATAGGTCAGTTGTACTCGTACCTCCCACAGAACGGTAGCGACTCACGGGAGAAAGCTAGCAATGCAGCTGAGTATAAAGCTAGAAGAATGGATGTCCATGTTTGGACTGTAGGTAGAGGCTTTAGGTTAGTCAGGGTGCACAAGACCAGAATCAAAGAGCTTGACCTACTTTTATCCGGTGAAAGACCGACTTTACGCTCCAATGCTGTTGGTGTGACAGGCACAATCTAGGGGAATCGTTAGGGACATATTGAATTACCCAAAATTATTTATTCGAAATACCATACCAGGCCATACATGAAAATATCCTGACTCGCAAGTTAGCCACTTATCTGCAATGAAAGATATCAAGATAGACACATACCGTAGAAGCCGCGAAGGAAACAGTGAACATAATAAACCATTTGGCAGATCTAAGCTCTACGAACTTCGGCCGCGTAGGTTCACCCTTCTCGGGGAATCCGAGAAAACCCAACAAGCCCATGGTTCTTGGTTCTCAAGAGTCAAGCGGAGCGGGTCCCAGTCGACGTCACATAGGGAAAAAGCTGCGGGTAAAACTTTTGCTAGGCGATATTGGCGATCGCTAATCGGAAAACAAAGGAAACCAAATGATAGAAGTAGGGAAACTGTGGTAGATTTCCATTTTGCTCTAATTCATTCGCACACCAACCGATTAAAAGATCGAGTGGACGGACGTAGAGTCTGCTCCGAACGCGGGGCCCGCGGGCTCCGGAAAGTGCGCCACTTAACCAGATTCGTGCTTATCGAGCTTGTTAGACCGCATTTTGCTACTTGATCTTGATTTCTTGATATGATCCATTTATTGCGTTCAAGATCAATTTGGAAGCGGTCTGTGTCATATCCATGTTTGCCTAATATGACACCGAAAAACGAGGCTATGTCCGCGGGCTCCGTGTGATTACTAAGGTTCCACTAGGTAACTAGTTGATTGTTTACCTATAGTCATGAATATGATCACAGATTCGCTTTGGGTCCCTTGATCTTCAAAGTCTCCTTGAGCTGTCTTCTGAGAATTTTTCCGCTCGGGCTCTTGGGGATTTGATCCACTACATAGATTCCGCCTCGGAATCGCTTGTGGTTAGCGATCTTCGGATCTAACCATGAATGAATCCCGTCAATCACGGTCTTGTGGTCCTTTTCTTTCGCTTGGCGACTGAGCACCACGAATCCAACCGGAAGCTCAGTAGCTTTCTCATCAACCCACTGACCGATAACAGCGGCGTCATCGATGTCGGGATGCTCGATTAGTTTTCCTTCCAACTCGCTTGGAATCACCTGGAGACCCTTGTACTTGATCATCTCCTTGATGCGATCGTGAATAGCCACATAGCCTTCCTTGTCGATCGTACCAATGTCTCCAGTCCGGAACCACCTAGTGCCGTCAGAGTCAATGTGGAATGAGCCCATGGTCGCGGCTTCGTTCCTGTAGTAGCCTCGAGTCACATTAGGTCCACGACACCAGATTTCACCCGACTGGCTCGATCCGTCTGGGTTTGTGGCAACATCCAACATAGTCTCTGGGTCAACAAAGCGGAATTCCATGCTGGGAGCAATGCATCCAACTCCCGAGTCTCTCTTATCCATGCGACTATTCGGGAATCCAGTGGCCAGAGGAGACGTTTCAGAGAGCCCCCAAGACTGGGTACAGAAGACCTCCGTTCGGAAGAGATCCTTGAACTTCTTTTCAAGTGTAGAGCGAAGCTCATTAGTCAAGGGGGCCGCGGCAGACATGATGCGCTTGACACTACTCAGATTGTACTTGGAAACTCGTTCGTCTTTGACAAGCATGAGTGCGACGGGAGGCACCAATGCAAGGTCTTCCGGCCGGTATTTTTGAATACAGCTCAGATACAATTCGAGATCGAATCGGGCCATAACTATAACGGAGGTGCCCCAGAGTAGGCATTGGCACATGTAGATGTTGAGCCCGTAAATGTGACTGAGTGGGAGGAATGCAATTGTTGAGTCGCGTTGGTTTCGTTCATCAGGTTGACCGGACTCCATCTTGAGGGAACGCCATTGTTGCAGGTTGGATGTCATATTCTGGTGTGTGGTGATGACACCTTTGGAAGGACCAGATGTACCAGATGAGAAGCAAATGAATGCAATTTTCTCGGCGGCATCGGCTGATGAAATTGTCGATAGAGCAGCAGGTGGGAATGTGCTAGCAAGATGCTCACAGGTAGGCTGGCCATTGATAGGGGCGGAGCCATCCAGAATGATGATATTTTCCACGGAAGTGCCTTTCAGAGCTTTTTGTGCTGTCTCGAGCAAAGATGAATGGGCAATGATGAACCGAGCTTGACTTGTTTTAAGCTGGGCATTGAGCTCCAGCGACGTCAAGGCTGCGCTTGTAGGGGACAATATGGCGCCAGACCCAATAATTGAATACATCACCACTGGATAGTCTATGGTGTTGGGACTGAAAAATGCGACCACATCATCTGCTTTGAGACCAAAGCTCTGGCGAAGTCCATTTGCTAGAGATTTGGTGCGCTGGACGACATCACTAAAGGTGTACTGTTTCCCGGAGACCGCATCGATGTATAATGGCCGGTCCAGAGGGTTACCCAAGGGGTTTGAAAAAAGATACGAAATTAAGTCCACAGACTCGATGTCGATATCCGGGAACGGAGAGTGGTAGACCTTGGACGGCATTGTTGGTATCACGGGTTTAGAGGAGTAAAAATTTACCGATCATCAGAGTTCCGTGAATTGCAGATGGATTTAAATAAAGCTGGAGATCATCAAAGCAATGTCGCTCGATCCAGACTGCCCGAGCAGGAACCGGATGCCGCTATACAATGCCGACCCCACAAACTAGCAGGCGCGCACCTATCGTAGCCCTTATTTTGGGTGTCTAAGGGGCGCGGGGTAGCTTCCCTGACCCACTAGTGGGTCTTGTTTCGGCCTGAGAGCGAAACCCTCGGTCTCCATTATTTTCCTCGGTCGGATTATTAATCTTGACACTACGAGCCTTGGGTAATTTTCTAAGTTATATATCAAGGCCTTGTTGATGAAATGTAAAGCTGGCAGGATATGCAACTAACGCGTATCAGACGCCTCGAATTTTAAGAATCCACGATAGAAATTAGCAAGTCATGAAGATCGCAAACACGTTTCCGTATTCATCCAGTGACACAGAATCAGCAGAGTCAAACAGAATACCTCTGCGCATACTGTCACCTCCAAAAGCTTCTGTAGCCACGCTAGAAATCATTCCTTTGTCGCTGGGTCCGTAAATCCGCGCCAAGAACCCATCTTGAATATTCCCAGGAGTAAAGGTAGGCCACGGCTTGATTCCATGACAGAACTTGAAAAAGTCCTCCGCAAACGCAGTCCCAACAGCTCGCTGCTCCGAGCTCAAATATTCAGTGAAATTTTGAAAGAGGTAGGCAGTGTCAAGGATGTGGTTTGCGTGACCTTTCCATGGTCCGTCCCATGGATTGCCCTCGTTGAAATGGTAAACATAGGCGTTTCCGCTCCAGCCACGGGCGAAGCTGAGGGCGGCTGCGTGACACATGATATCTGAGATAAAATTGAGAATGGAGTGGATAGACAGCTCGTCGGGTGTGTCACTGGTAATGCCGTAAGCATTGAGTATGCGTTCTGCTTCCTCTGGGTACGGAGCGAGAGCTTGGCGAGTCGCGGATATAAAGCGCTCCGTACTGTTAGTGTTGATATGCGGTGCCACTACCTGTAGAATGCTGGACTACGTGAATAGTCAGTTTTGATTAAGGTACTTATTGCAAAGAAACATACGTCAACTTCCGCATCTCCGATCAGTAGGTCCTGGCACCATGAATTGCCTGGGAGAATTTTCGAGTTCTTTTTCCTAGCTCGGTGTATGTCACGCCTGGAAGAACGATATCGCTATCGATGGCTGGGGCCACCAAGATCGATGGGGGTAGCTTGGCGAGAAGCTCATGACTCGGCATAGTAAGCAGTGCCTGTACTCGGTCTTCTGCTGTCAGGTCAGTCAATCCCAAAGCGGCAATTGCTTTCGCATAGTTTTCCTCGTGTACGTGGTACGGCAGGGCCTGGACGAACAATGACGTGCCGCTCATCGATATCGCCCGCTTGAAAAGTGGGGTTTGTGAATGAAGATGGTAGGTTACCGAAGCTTAGGCCAGTTAGCAACAATAAACACCGAGAGTAAAAATGTCCAGGAATTGCATCTCACCCCCTCCAGCGCTCATTCCTGCTACAGTGATGTTCTCTGGATCTCCGAAAAAGTCTCCGATGTGCTTTCGAACCCACTCTAGAGCCACGCGCTGGTCACGAAGTCCATTATTTGCTTGATAGCCTGCATCCCGTAGTTCTTCGGAAGTTAAAAATCCTGGAGCTCCCAATCGATAACTGAGAGGCTGTCAGCCAATACAGAGAAGGAATGATCCACATTATCTTACTTGATTGCAACTACCACCACAGACAGGCCTCTCTCAGTGGACAGCTTGACCAGTCGGTGGAGATCATTTTGAGGCCAGGAGTTAGCTCCAATAAAGAGACCACCTCCATGAATGTACACAAGCACGGGGAGTCTTGACGAGGAACTGGCATCAGAAGGGTATGCGATGTTCAGATTAAGGCAATCAATATCCGATTGTGTTAATTCTTTTCTGGGCAGTGAATGCTGGACGTGTCCAAGCTCTATCTCACATCCAACTGACGGGGACAGCGCCGTGGGTCTGGGAGAACTATCAGCATGATTGCTTTTCATGATTGCTTTTTCTCAGTCCCGGATAAACTTACCCATTGGTCATGGCATCGAGGACATTGCCCGTTCGTTCTTCAATCAGCTCGGCGCCTGCAAATCTATTCTTGAGATGGGCATATTTGATTCCTAAGAATTGAGTGACGCCACCCGCACTTATGCCTCGGATGTCGCCCAAGGAGCGCGTTTTGAGAATTGTGGTCATACTGGGGCGACTGAAAGGTTCAGTGAGGACAATGAAGAAAGCACGGGAGTCTCTAACGTGTGAGTTTTTGTTCCTCGATAGAAAGCTGATCAAATGGTTCAAATTGGAAGCCGGGGTTAAATCACAACCCCTCATTGTGGACCCCGGGTGCCATCGCGGATTGATCGCCGGGGTTTTCCCGCGCTCTTCGGATTTAGACTACTTTTTCCCCGGATGTTGAGAGTGATTAATTCCGGAGATACCTTCGTACTCATTTCTAACCATGTCGCCCAATCGGCTCATTTAGGGAATCGATGTCCTTAGCTACGGTGGTAATTACGCGCTAATGCACTCCCTGCACCTCCATCCTGTGATTAACCTGGTCCGACCCTGCGCAAATATCTCGGCATAAATAAACGTATCACTGCAGTTCATCACTGCGATGGCATTACTCTGTGTCTCAGTAAACAATTTGATTCAAATGGTAATTAGTGTTGGACGTTTTGTGGAAATCCCCCCATTAAATCATATATCCTTCTTCATCTCTTCGAGACTAGCCTTGCCCAAAAACGCCCGATTATACAAAAATGAGTAGCCGACATGATGCACCATTTCCCCCAAGTCAAAGACTCAAAATCAGTTCTTCCCCTTCGTCATATCTGATTTCTCTCTAACAAGTGTATCGGTGTTGCTGATTGTTGACTCGGAGTCGGTATCGTAGCTCTTGGTGCTTGATTCGGACTTGGAAGATCGTTTTTGACGGCTGTTCTCGACTTTTTGACTTAAGTATTTCCATACATCCTTCGCAAGCTCGATGTCAGTGCGGGGACGAGGAGTGAGAGGTCCAGTAGGTGAACGTTGGATGGTAAAGCCGGCCATTTTTGACGACGTTGGTGTGTAGATTGAGTGAAATAGGGGGAGAATTTTGCTGGTTGGCAGTCTTTTGTATTGTAGATGCAAGTCAGATTAGACTGAAGATTGTTTGATTGACGATGAGTTGATAGGCATATTCTAGACAAAAAGGACTCGACTTATATAGACTTCCATCTCTCGGCGCAAGTCATTCTGATGCCTAATGAGTCAATGCTTACATGTAGGCATTAGGAAAGTTTGCGTGTCAATCAACCGAACCGAGATTATAAGCTTTACTCCGACCCCGAGACGCAGAATGTCGTCGCCTGGATGAGGTGGCAGCGGAAGCCTAGCCCTACGTATGTGGTGGAGCGTGCGGGTGCGAATGACTCGGGCATCGTTTTAGTTAAGCCTCATGGTGATCCTGGGACGGGATTGGTTCGAATTCGTATCGGACTACTCGGAGCTCGGGTCACTACGACCAAAACAGACATGGCGTGCTTGACTCATTCGCTTTCACATCTGTAAAGGTTTCGTATAGTCAGACCCATTTGGGACTCCGACTCCGAACGCCAACCCCGACCAGCGTGAAGCTTACCCCGACTCCGACGCCGATTCCGGACCCCCACTGTCGATCTACTGGCACGTCGTGGCCTGGCAAACACTATCTGGATAACTCTGCTCACTTACACATCATCGGACTTTATCGTACTTAATCAAGGCTGAAGCATATTTAATTATTGCGGTAACATTCCTCGGCCTCCCGCTTTGTCCTTTGATCTGATGAGAGATGATGTCGCACCCACAGAAATTATAATTAGAGCATATCTAAGCTGCTTTGTAGTTCAAATTGCCAGTTATCGAGATGCGTGATATAGTAGTTGTAATCCAAGAAAATGTCTGCGACATCGGAGCTGTTCGGAGTCTGTAAGTTTGTGGCGCTTGACTGCATGGCCGGAAAAACTGGCTGAGCGGCTTCAGGTGATAGAACAAAGTCTAGAACGCGTCGAATGGTCCCCCGGGCCTGTTGACATATATCATAGTTGCCTTCGTGAGGCTGAATAATTGTTTGGAGGTACGATGCAAAAATGCTTAGGTCCTGAATAGCCTGTGATCGGGAGAATGACATGGTCGACTCGATTGAGGGGCTGGGTGTGTCCACGGACTGATTGGAAGACCGGCGAATGAGCTCAATTGAAAGGACCCCGGCTGCTGGTAGGCCAAAGTAAGATATCTTTTGTATACAGATCAGCGGTGTAGACTGGAATGCGAGAAATGAAGGCATAGTTACCACCCAAGAAATTTCGCCAGAAATTCTCATGGCTCGGATTCGACTTTCGACAAGCAAAAGAATCTCGCTTAGACCCTCATGCGAGACCTTGACAAGATCCGGGCTCCACGTATTGAGGCGCTTCGAGAGGATTCGATATAATAGAAATCGATTGAAGATAAAGTCCAGATGCACCTGGAGGTAGATACTTTTTTCAACGCCTGGGACTTCGGATGGATCATGCAATCGCTGAATGAAGGGTGGGAGCTTCGACCAGACTTGATCAGACTGCTGCAATAACTGTCTTGAGGAGAGCTTAGCAATAGTAACATACAATCGAGAATAAAGCCGTACTCAATCTTTGCTGGGAGATCTTCAACCTGCTGGTTCAGTGATAACTCTAGAATGCTTTCTCGCACCGGGCCCATCAGCAAAGCAACCCTGACCCAGACTGCTTGTGAGTTGCTTTTCGTTTTGCTCCAGCCGTCAGCATCTAGCCTGCTAATCGCCAAATCCCGGACACTAGGTTCGGCGACAACTTCTTTAAAGTTGATATCCAAGGGCAAAGTGATGTTACAAAACCGCCAACTAAGACGTGGTGGCCTTCCCAGGAAGGTGGCCAATTGCTTGTCTACATTATAAGCAGACCCCATTACCCTCTTGCGAGTCTCCGAAAGCCAGAAAGGCGTGTCATCATCGGATGAAGGCTGGTTCAGACCCAAAGTGAAGATGACAGTTGACAGATCCCCTAGCGCTCTCCAACAACGGTAGTCTATATAAATGCACATGTAAGCGGATGCACTTCTTCGCTAAAGCTTGCATGACTTGCCTCGATCTCCGTGAATGAGAGTGGTGAGGTAGGTGTGTTCACAAGTTAGCCAACTGACGACATCGTTCAATACGCCAGCTTCATTGCAGAACTTCAAGCATGTCTCGGTTGCTGATAATGCCAAACGCCCCATGTCTTTCCGAGGGATGACCGGCTTGCCCTCAAACTGGAATACCGACTCCCAATCACAAGGTAGAACAGTGCCGGCACCCACGAAAGCGAAAGCCAGACCGACAATCTCCCATCTGCAAGACATAGACGACATAAACTCCGCAAATGTCAGCGAAGAATGTAAGGGGACTGGACTTGAGAACATATGAAATATTTCGAGAGAACGACGGAACAAGGCGTCATCAGCGAGTAAGTGTACATCTGATAGTTCCTGCAGTGATTGGAAAACCTGATTCACTACCGGCCCACCCAGAGCATCACAGTCCTGCGTCGAGTCAAGCCGCGATGCCACGATCCTCCGATATACCGGGAGGTCTCTCAAAAGTCGGAGAAGGTCTGCACCCTGTCGTATGTCCTCGTGTTCGACCATTGCACTTGAGCTGGGACCTTGAGCTACTTCAATATTGCTTTGTATATCTTGAATATTTGAGATGCCCAGTTGATCAGTACTCTCTTTGAAAAGCGCAAAGTGACTCGTCATTCCAAGGTATTCAGACTGCTGTAACCTCCGCTTTGGGGCTGGCCGACTCTCACGGCTCGATTCCAGCGGGGTCACGTCGCGACACGAAACGCGTGATCGATCTTTAGAATGTAATACCGTTGATCTGTTGACGGATCTAGAACTCGTTGCTGGAGAAGGCTGATAGACACATCGGTCTGGCTTGTTCGTACGAGCGCATCGCCCACATATGGGAAATTGATGGTCACAGCGCAGCTTAGACTTCCGACACGGCTCACACGACGATGGCAAACCGTTCTTTCGTAGGGTCACCATTGCGTGCTGCGTGAACAGTCGATCGAGCGACTAGTTGTAAGTCTGGTTCGATGGACAATAGTGGATTCGCTCCAATCCGTGACGGGCGCTTTAAGCTACTGACTAAGCACACCAGCCTGGCCATGGCCCCTAGGCCTTGAAAGCCTTATTGTATTTAAATAAAGACGCTCTTCCAGAATTTCAAATCTTTGAAACGGAATGACTAGGATCTCAGGGTAAAAAGCCCCCATCAATCAAAACTACTATCGAGCATGGTGGATGAGTCAAGAATATTATATTCACGAATGCAAATGTGGTGTTAGTTGCGTAGTCGGCAAGCACACAAGCCTTAGGAACGATCATTCTCGATCGAGATCGAAAATCGATCGGCCCACTCAAATTGAGAGAAAAATGATTAGTGTTCCAATTTTCTTCTAGGCTGCAGATTCTGCAGAAACATGACCAGGGGCTACAGCTCACATTAAGCTGTATATCCAGTTTGGAGATTATGAGCAAAATAAATGACTCTCTGGCTTTCTCGTGGGGTGGAATCGAGCTAGAATAAGTACAGTGATATTGCCGATATGCTACCACATAGTAAGAACCAGCACCGCGTTACCACAGTTTATTGCATTTCACGGTCTTTGGTTCATGTCGGCACTTTTCATGCCGGGCTTTTTTCTGTCAAAATTCATCTAAGGTCTTTTCGGTATATCCCACGATCTGCATCTTGTCTTGTCCAGTAGACTAGAGTAGAGAACAAGAATGACGATGCTATACAATACACGTGACTTCATCCCCATTTCCCCGCTACCGAGCACCGAGACCCCTGTGTCCCTCGGGCTCGGAAAGCCACGGCCTTCGTGCACCTCATAAATGCCCCTCCCCCCGACCCCCGAGGTCGTGTGCATTTACTCATTTCTTGTGTTTGAAAAGCTCCCCATACCAATCGTGAAACTTGATTCTCCCTCAACTTCGCGATGAGTGCCCGAATTGCATACTCTCTACCCCGGGCGGCTCTTCTCCGCAATCCGGGGTACCTCCGACGCTGGCCGTCCACTACAAGCTCGGCGCAATTGACTCGAGCTTTTTCAACAACACTGCACCGCGACGCAACATGGGGGTTTGTCGGTCTGGGACAGATGGGTATGTGCAGATTGAAGCCTGAAGTCATCACGATGTTAATCTCGTGCAGGCTACAACATGGCCAAGAACCTACGCGCCAAGATCCCCGCAGCCGACACTCTGGTTATCCGTGATGTCAACGAAGAAGCCGCCAAGCGCTTTGTCGCGGAAGCCCAAGAGACCGCTCACAGTCCCAATGAGAACCGCGTTGAGATTGCCCAGAATGCGCGTGAAGTTGCAGAGAAGTCGGTAAGTATTATGCTCGACCAAAAAGTACTTGGGTGGCACCATCTCGCCGCCCGCGTGCATTGCAGCATCAGTATTACTGGAACAATAACTAATGATCGCCCTTGATTTAGACTGTCATGATCACTAGTCTACCCGAGTCACAACACGTCATTGATGTGTTCCATTCCATTCTCAAGGAGGGCAAGCTTCCAGTGCTCGAAGAAGAACGTCTGTTTATCGACACATCAACCATTGACCCTGTGACATCCAAGGACATTGCTAATGCGATACACACTACGCAAGCTGGCCGATTCGTGGATGCGCCAGTCTCGGGTGGTGTGGTCGGTGCTCGGGCAGGTACTTTGTCTTTCATGTTCGGCGCTTCTTCTCAGTCGGAAGAGTTCCTCGAGCGTATCCGAGGAGTCCTGGCTCACATGGGCAAGAAAGCATGGCATCTCGGAGAGCCAGGCTCCGGAGTCTCCGGCAAGCTCGCTAACAACTACATGCTGGCAATTAACAACATTGCTACTGCTGAAGCCATGAACCTTGGTATCCGCTGGGGGCTGGACCCCAAGGCGCTAGCTGACCTGATCAACTCATCGACCGGTCGCTGCTGGCCTTCGGAGGTCAATAATCCCGTTCCTGGGGTGGTCGAGACTGCACCGGCATCGCGCGGCTACGAAGGCGGATTTGGAGTAAGTCTGATGAACAAGGATCTACGCCTGGCTCTCGAGGCAGCTGACCAGGCTGGTGCTACTTTGGCCCTCGGCGACGAAGCACGCAATGTTTACAATGCTGTGGAAGAGGCTCATCGTGGCAAGGATTTCTCTGTTGTCTATCAATGGCTGCAGAGCAAGTCTGAGTAACTACTCCATGTTTCCAACATGCGCCATAAACATCTATTGTGATTCCCCATTGTCTCCGACAGGCTACTTGTCATATATATTTGTCGGAATAAGCAAACTTTACTTTTCTCCCATGAAAAAGAATTTAAATCATCTAATGCACGCAATAAGATATCACTGTTTGGCGCCGTACAATGCATTGCGGGTCGTCTATGCTTTATATGACCTCGCTTCGCGATGTTCCAATTATTCACTTCTCATCAACCTCATTCTCACCCGTTTCCTATCCCATTCATCTCAACCTGTTACAATGTATCTGTTTCCCTTGTGCATCACTCATTGAGCTCATCCCTTCTCTCATCGCGTCGCAATCACGACATCGCTCCTGCTGTCTCGCGGCAGGTGCGCTCTTTCCCTCCCAACATCCGCCCTCGCCACTTTATCATTTCTCCTATTCATCTCTTTTCTCCTGTCCATCCATCTCATGCCTTGTCTTGTCGGCTGAGTTATCTTCACCCGGCTTCAATACCCCAGTTTACCTGTTTTCCCCTTCAGGCTCTGGCAAAAGTTTCTTCGTTTCAGTTTTGTTTGATTACCCCCCGGAGTCATTGATTTGCACATCCTCTCTTGTGGGCTTCTATTCTGCGGCTGTCAGTTACATACCTAACCACTTTGAGCGATTTTGAATAACCCGCATCTAGTCACTCATCAATCGGGCCGGATCAATCAGCCTGGGCTGATAGAACTCCCCCTTGTGTACAAGGTATGCATTTCATCTCCTACAATGGGCTCTCTACTGGACACAAGAAGAGTTCGAGCGGCTTGGTTACTTGCTATCTATTCAGACACAGAATTCTTGCCTGGTTTTGTTCTGCTGTGACCATTGTTGGCCGATGCGATCCATGAGCAAGGCTAACATGTGTCAGTTTCGGCGACGAAGTACAAGATGCAGCATCAAGCTCAACAAAAAAGCACCTCGAGCTCTGGCCAAAGCTCCAGCCAGTATGACCCTCGCTCGCCTTACGGGTCTGTCTTCTCCCTCAATGGGGCTGTCTCAACCAGCGACACTAACGGCATCGGGCCTCGCTTGTACCAAGTCTCAAACCATCGTTCCAGGTTTCCCTCGAAGAGCACTGCGCCCACGACCCCAATGAACAACAGCTTAGACTGGTCGGCTGGTAACCGTACGCCATATACCAGTCCATTTTTTCTACTGCCTAATTCTTCCGTGTTCAATGGCGTGCCCCAGATGACCCAGCTCATGACAGGGTCTGTTCCGGGACAAACTGATCAGATGGTTCAATATCCCTATTTCTCATCCAGTGGTTACACCAACCTCAACTCCATAGTGCCAGGGACTTACCCTGGATGGCCCTACGTGATGAACTACGATACGCAGGATGTCTCCACCTCCAAGCAAAGTGCATGGACACCTGTCGATGCACAGAGATCGGAGAATATCGGACCTATGCAATACTATCCCACGCCTCTGCAATCCACAATCGATGCTACTTCTCTCCCGGGGTACACCTATGGGGGCCTGTTCCCGCAGCTCGGCTCGCTCTCGCTGCCGTTCCAGATGATGAAAACTACGAATGGGTACATGTTCCAAGACCTGGAAGCTTTGACACAACAAGAGCCCGCAATCCCCCGTGCAGTGCCGGCCATGTGGACCAACCCGTCCGAGCTGACACTCGCTAAATGCCTGGAAAATCGTGAGGGCATCACAAATGTCTACATTCGCGGATTTCTCCCAGAGACAACTGATGATATGCTGCACTCTTATGCCGTTCGCTTTGGTAAAATTGAACGCTGCAAAGCAATCGTCGATCTAGACTCAGGTCTTTGCAAGGGGTATGATGATCCATATATTGCGCTCCTAATACTAATCACAGTTGTAGCTTCGGATTCGTCCAATTCTTCAACTTCGAGTCATGTGAGAACTGCATTCGTGGATTTTTCTACCTCGGTTACCAGGCCAGCTTCGCCCAGAAGTCTCGCAACTCTCGTCTCAAAGATTTGGAAGACAGCTCGTCTACTAACATCTACTGTACCAACATTCCCATTGACTGGACTGAGGCTGTAAGACCCAATCCTTGCCTCGTAATCATTGATGATTACTGACATTCCCAAAGGACTTGCGCCGCCACTTCGAGCCATACCGTGTCGTGTCAGAGAAGATCAGCCGCGATGAGAAGACAGGCGTGAGCAAGGAGGTGGGCTTCGCTCGGTAAAAAAAATCTTCAGGTCTGACTCTACTGAACTTATGCTGATCTCGGGTTCGTCTACAGTTTTGAAAGCCGTGACATCGCCGAGCGGGTACTGGACCAGTTCCATAACATCACCGTGAAGGACAACGGTGTGAAGTTGTTGTTGCGTTTCGCAGACACTAAGGCCCAAAAAATGCTGAAGCAACAGAGTAACGAGCGCCGCGCCTACCGTACTGGTGAATACAACTACTCGGTGGAGGTTGTGCAGGGGTCTACCCCATCGCCCTCGGCGCCGCATAACCAGCCGAATAGCTCCCACTTTACGCCAAATTCTCAGGGCAGCTTCACTTCTCCTGCTGGGCTTGGCTCAAACTGGACTCCGGCATCTTCAATCTCTCCCACGTTAGTACAGCAGATGCTCCCTTGACTTTCGTAGCATATTCTGACCAAATTACACAGGTATGCCCTAATGAAGAATGCCTCCGGCAACAAGTCTCTGTCACCCAGCAGCATGAGTGCCATCGAAAATACCCCTGTGTACCGTGGGCGCCAATGCAAGGCTCGCCGTTCCATGACTGACATTTCTGGTGGCTCGTCCAAGACGGCTATGCCGAGATCTCCCTCCGGTGGGCCTCGTTCTTACCTGACCACCTCACGCAAGGGGAGCATCAAGACCGCCTCGGTATCTCCTATGCGCTCGCGAATGGAGTTCGATTTACCTACTCCACGCTCGTGTACACGTTCTTGCACCTAACTCGACCAACGCATTTGACGAGAATGAGTACTCATCTCATTCACGTGAAGCTTCAGTAGATGCCTACTGAGAGCAATCCTCCATCTTCGATTCGTGACATCCATTATCATCCGCAGAATATACTCCCAAGTATTTCTTGCAATTCATGTTTTCTTACACGTTTTCTACCGCTTTTTGAAAATGTCCTTTGAGATATTTTTCTCAACATTCCGTCCTTATCTTTATTAACCACAGAGTTGATGAAAATGTTGTTTACTTTGTTCTTGTCATTCTGTTCATCGTTGCAGCTATAAGGTGAAATATGTCTTCTGCAGTATTTGTTCGGGATGCATGTTTCTTTTTTTTTTTTTTCAATTCGCTCGAAAACGCCCTCGCCGTTGCGAGGTTGCGCAGTCTAAAATATGATATCCTCAATTGAAATCCACGGCAGGTCCAGTATAGGTATCCAGTAAGCACAATCTAATGACAAATCGCCAAATTGGGGAGTTTCCATCTATACAGTCTCCAACAATCAATACCGACCAAGTCTCTCCTCCACATCCTCCGTCAGCTCATACGCCGGCAGATATTCCGCATCACTTCCGCCCTCCTTCCTTAGTTTCGGATTCGGCTTGGTATCCGAAGTCCCTCCCAGACTGGTATAGCCCTGTCGATAAAGATCGCAGAACTCAAGATCCAAATGTCGGATAAACGCCCAGATCTCCGCATAGTGCCAATCGATCATCGGGTGAATGCGCATGAAATCAGGCCACCCGTGATCTGTCCGGTCGAAATGCGTCAGCTTCGCTCCATGCGGGTCCGTCCGTCGTATTCCCACGAATATCGCTTTGATATCCGGGTGTCGCTGGAGATAATCATCAAAGACGGTGCGAATTGTAGTCTTTGGAGGGCTAGTTGTGTATTTCGTTATGGAGAGATGATATGCTTGGGCGGAGGAGACGACGAATTCTTCAACGGAGGGGAACGGGTCCGGGGGGAGAGCGTAGATGGAGGGAATCACTTCTTCTCTTGCGGGGCCGGTGCTTGTCTCGGTGATTGTCTTGTGGTCTGTATGCTTGTGCGCGGAGTACGGGTGCAGACCGGCCAGGAAGAGGATCAGAAGAACAAGGCAGTCTTTGCCGCCATTATAGGAGAGCGACATTTCGGATAATTTGTATTCGGAGAGGGACTTGATGACCACATCTAGGGAGATTCGTGTTTGCTTCTGGACCGAGGCGAGGAGTGAGTCGGCCGGGTGGGACTCGTTCAGGAAAGCGTGGACGCGGGCATGGATGCGCTCGATGACAGTGGCGAGTGGAGGGATCGCTGCGCTGGTGAGTCCATTGCTATTGTGTGCTTGCGATCCATTCTGCTGCGCCGGTGCTGTTGAGCTGGTCAGGTGAGATGGTTGCTCAACCCCGCGGTGGGCTGGGTCGATCGGAGGAAACGGGCGGAGGTGCTCTAGTGCGCGCGAAATCGATTGAGCGATGGCAGGCTCGGACGGCCTTTCTTCGGAAGCCATAGACTCGGCCATTGTGGATAGTGGTGGGATCTAGGAAGAAAGGACGGAGGTGAAGGCGGGGAGAGTGGGTTTCTCGGTGTTCGGGCAATCCAGAATGATCTAATCCCATGTGGGGAGGGCAGTACGAACACGGTCTATGGTTTCCACGGAAATTAGCTGCCTGATCTATTAGTATTCTGATTTACATGGGCATTGAAATCAGGGCGGTCTCCTGCGTAGCTGCATCGAATCTTCTAGATATTCCCTGCGCTTATCGGAGTGTCGGAGAAGTGCATGGACCGCCGACGGTTGTATGATAAGTGAAGTCCTAGATAGCGTATGAGCTATAGTGGGCTGTGGGCTAGTTATGAATGCGACTATATTCCTAATGGCAGAGATGCTTATCCCAGCACCTTCATCTTCTTTTTTTTCTTTTTCTCGTCACCAGGTTTGCGCCCCTTCTGAAAATCCCGCCAAGTCCCAATGCGCTCTTCGCGACTCTCCTCCCAGGCCTTATCATTGTCGCGCTTTCGTTTCCGCGCGTCCAGCTCTTCTTCTTCCTTGCGCGCTTCTCGTCCTTCTTCCTGCAGGCGCGCCTTTGCCTGTCTCCGTCGTCGCGCCTCTTCTTCCAGGAGCACGTGAATGGTCTTGGCTCGCCATTCCACCTTGAATTCCTCGGTTTTAAGCTCCGGTGAGTCCAAATTATACTTGTGCTCGCGGATTAATAGTCTTCGTGCGTCTGCAATACATTCGTCGAGGTAGGTACGCTGCTTCTCGTCCAATAGGGCCGTCTGGGCTTTGGCAAGACGGTCGAATGCATCGGGGGCGGCTGGGTTCTTGGTTTTATCCGGATGGATGAGGAGTGATTTCTTGCGGTATTGCATCTTAATGTCTTTCTCTGCCACGCCGGGCTGTAGATCTAGCACGGCGTAGCTATTTGCATCGCGTTAGTACATGGCCTCGGGAAAATTGAAGGAGACTTACGAGTCCAGAGAGAAGGCCTTGCGAATGCGGTCGATCTCCGCATCCTGAAATTGCGCGTTAGCAGAGTCGCACAGTAGAACGAAAAGGTGACACACTTTGGTGAATTCCGAGGCTTCGCGCTCGAGCGAGTCGAAAATGTCCTGATCGTCGTCCGCCATGAGGAAGTGACAAGCAGTCGCTGTCGCCGACTCGCAGATAAGCTCGTTATCAGTGGCTGAGTCATTCTAAGACCTGCTTGGCGTTAATTTCATTGTACATGGTCTACCATGTCATGAGATGATACAGATCTCATTATTGTGAGATAAATCGAAACATTACACTTTTGACTATTGTCCTCATGACGCTACAACTACTTTGCAACCATCGGACTAAGTGTTTGCCGTACTTTTATGCTCTGAGAGTGTTTCCACTGATAAGCGCTTATCGCTAGCTGACTCATCAAGAAAAAAAAGCTGCGCCGTTTGGCTTCGCCGACGATAAGAACTCCACGAACCATAGCATCATGGCCCCTGCCCGGACGTCTCGCGGAAAAGCTCCGAAAACTCATCATGACTCTGGTAGGACCCTCAAGCGAAAGCGTGGCGAGGACACACTCTCCTCGCTCATTCAACGCGTCGAAGATCTCGACTTGAAGGCGACCGTCAAGAACTTCTCCGATCTCCCACTCTCCGAGCCCACCCAAAAGGGCCTCGCGGCCTCGCACTTCAAGACCCTGACGGATATTCAGCAGCGCGCTATTGTTCATTCGCTCAAGGGCCGCGACATCTTGGGTGCTGCGAAAACTGGATCGGGAAAAACCTTGGCCTTCATCATTCCCGTGCTCGAAAATCTATACCGTCGGCAGACAACCGAACTCGATGGCTTGGGAGCACTCATCCTCTCCCCGACACGCGAATTGGCGATCCAGATTTTCGAGGTGTTGCGCAAAGTTGGTCGTTACCATGCCTTCTCCGCCGGTCTGGTTATCGGTGGAAAGAGTCTGCGGGAGGAACAAGATCGACTGGGTCGCATGAACATTCTGGTCTGCACTCCGGGTCGCATGTTGCAGCATCTGGATCAGACTGCCATGTTCGAGACACACAACCTGCAGATGCTTGTTTTCGATGAAGCCGACAGAATTCTCGATATGGGATTCCAGAAGACTGTGGATGCGATTGTCGATCACCTTCCCAAGGAGCGCCAGACCATGTTGTTCAGTGCTACGCAGACGAAAAAGGTCTCTGACCTGGCGCGTCTCAGTCTGAAGGAACCCGAATACATCGCTGTTCACGAATCAGCCGCCTCGGCCACCCCGTCGACTCTCAAACAACACTACGTCGTCACCCCGCTCGCCTCCAAGCTCGATACACTGTGGAGCTTCATCCGCAGCAATCTCAAGTCCAAGACTGTTGTTTTCATGGCCTCAGGAAAGCAGGTCCGGTTTGTCTACGAGTCATTCCGACACCTGCAGCCCGGTATTCCCCTGATGCATCTTCACGGCCGACAGAAGCAAGGAGGCCGACTTGATATTACAACGAAGTTCTCCCAGTCTCAGCATTCAGTGCTCTTCGCTACCGATGTTGCGGCTCGTGGTTTGGATTTCCCTGCCGTGGACTGGGTCATTCAAATGGACTGTCCCGAAGATGCCGATACCTACATTCACCGCGTAGGACGCACTGCTCGTTACGAGCGTGTCGGCAGAGCGGTGCTGTTCCTTGACCCCAGTGAGGAGAAGGGCATGTTGAGCCGACTTGAACAGAAGAAGGTGCCGATCGAAAAGATTAATATCAAGGCGAGCAAGCAGAGCAGCATCAAGAATCAGCTGCAAAATATGTGTTTCAAGGATCCAGAGCTGAAGTATCTGGGTCAAAAAGCTTTCATCTCATACGTCAAATCATGCTTCGTGCAGCCTGACAAGACGATCTTTAATATCAAGGAGCTCAAGCTGGAAGACTTAGCGGGTAGTTTGGGTCTTCCCGGTGCTCCTCGCATCAAGTTCATCAAGGGAGACGATACCAAGGAGCGCAAGAATGCTTCTTGGAAGATGGCTCACCTCTCCAGCGATGAGGACTCGGGTGCGGAGGGCGAAGGCAAGAAGAAGGAGAAGAAGGATGAGAACCAGGTGCGGACCCGGTACGACCGCATGTTTGAGCGACGAAACCAGGACGTTCTGGCGGATCACTACCACAAGCTCATCAACGACGACGGCACCGTGGTTGCAATGGGAGCCGACAACGGCGCTGGCGAAGACGCCGACGAGGATGCCGACTTCCTATCCGTTAAGCGACGCTTCGTTGCAGGTGACGAGAACCTCGGCCGCCAGAGCGATTCTGACTCGGACGAGTCTGTCGAGGATGCGAAGCCAACCAGGATGGTACAGATCGACGGCCAGGAGCCGCTGGTCATCGACTCCAAGCGTCGCGAGAAGCTCCTCAAGTCAAAGAAGAAGTTGCTCAAGTTCAAGGGCAAGGGTACCAAGCTGGTGTACGACGACGATGGTGTTGCTCACGAGATCTACGAGATGGAGGACGAGGAGGCGTTCAAGGCCCGTGGCGATGCCAATACCCAGCGCCAGCGCTTTGTGGAGGAGGAGACCGAACGTACTCGCCGTGCCGATATCGACGACAAGGCGCTCGTGCGCGAGAAGAAGCGCGAGAAGAAGGAGAAGCGCAAGGCACGCGATCGTGCCCTTGCCGAGGAGGAGGCCGAGGAAGAATCCGGTATTCAGGGTCTGCCTCATGTGCCCTTCGAGATTCCAGGATCCGATTCGGGCTCCGAGGCGGAAGAGCCCCGGGCCAGCAAGAAGCCGCGCGTCACCTTTGCCGACGCCAGCAGCGACGAGGACGAGGGCAAGAGCAAGAAGAGCAAGAAGGCCAAGAAGGCAGAGCCTCAAATCGAGACACTCGCAGATCTGGAGGCTTTGGCCAGTGGATTGCTGGACTAATGTGCATCACTACAAGGTATGGGCGTTCCGATTATGTGCTAGCGAAGCCAGTAAAAGCATTGATTTCATTGTGCATGAGTATATAGCGATATTATCCCAGCTTCTTTATGTCTCTCTACTTCAATGTTCCATCACGTAGACGATCGAAGAATTTCCAATTACCAATCACCTGGGGAGTGCAAACAAGCTATCGGCCCCTGTCATTGCCGAACCGTACCAGACCTTCCCGATCGGGGCATGGAAATCTTCAGCTTTGCCTCGAAGAGAGGCACGAGTGGAGACGGTCGAATTTTTCTCAAGTCATCGCGTGCGGGCCCAACCGCGAAACTGCGATCCAGTGATATTCGTGCTCAATCACGCCATCGTAGGAATTGCATGCTCTTCAAGTGACTTGTTCTGGAAGATCTTAAAATGATTCTCTCGTCCACATTCCAAACTGAAACCCGTGCGGGCATAGAAGCTGTCATATCCGTCCGATCTCTGAATCCGGGGTAAAGCCACGTGCTGGTCACGAGATCTTAGGGCTGTGCGTTCCTTCCCTTCATGGCACTATGTCAACCATGTCAACCATGTCGGACATTGTACTAATGCTACTTTGCAGCTTCCCCTCTTTTAACAAGAGGTCTCTTTCTATTCCTCGGTCAAGGTTACTCTATTCATGATGGCCTTTGATTCTGAGAAACAGAAGGATTCCAAGGCGGGCGTTCAGGACTATGTTGGCGATGTCGCGTCCAACCCCTTCGTCAATGCCGACAAGTTGGCTCGTCGCCTGTCGGCGCGTCAAGTGCAGATGATTGCCATTGGCGGTACCATCGGAACTGGTCTATTCCTGGGGACTGGTGAATCCATCGCCAAGGGCGGCCCTGCGTCGACACTAATCGCCTATGCTATCTGCGGTGGCATTGTTTTCATCACAATGCTGAGTCTCGGCGAGATGGCGGCCTTCATTCCGGTCGCTGGTTCGTTCTGTACTTTTGCGGGGTGAGTGCAGATCATTGCCGATGCAACGTTGACTCTTTCGGGGTGGCACTTTACTAACTTTGTTCTTAGTCGTTTTGTCGACGATGCTCTCGGGTTTGCGTTGACTTGGAACTACTGGTTTAACGATGCTGTGTCAACTGCGTCCGATATTATTGCCTTACAATTATTACTGGAATTTTGGACGAACAATTTCCCCGGTTGGGCGATCAGCTTGATCTTCTTGATTGTGGTCATTGCCTTGAATATGCTCTCCGTGCGCGTCTACGGTGAAGTCGAGTACTGGCTCAGCTTACTGAAAGTGATCACCATTATTATTTTCATCATTCTGGGTATTGTGGTCAACTGCGGCGGCAACACCAAACACGAATACATCGGTGCTAAATATTGGCACATCGGAGACGCACCTTTTGTCGGAGGTATCGGTGGATTTGCTTCGGTTTTCGTAACAGCCTCGTTTGCGTACGGTGGCACCGAGTCCATCGCCATCACTGCCGGTGAAACCAAAGATCCCGCCAAGAACCTGCCCAAGGTTGTGCGCAACGTCTTTTGGCGTATCGTGCTGTTCTACCTGCTTTCCATCCTTTTGGTCGGCTTGAACGTCCCCTACAACTACCCCAACCTCTCCAATGGCGATACGCGCGTCAGCCCCTTCACCATCGTCTTCACAGAGGCCGGTAGTGCCGTCGCCGGTAGCTTTATCAACGCCGTGATCATGACCTCGGTAATCTCCGCCGCCAATCACGCCCTATTCGCCGGATCTCGCCTCCTCTACACCCTCGCCGTGGAAGGCTATGCGCCCCGCTTCTTCGGCAATTTGAACCGCTTCCAGGTGCCCTGGATCGCGGTCCTGGCCACATCTGTCATTAGCGGTCTGTGTTTCGGCGCCAGTTACATTGGCGCCGGTGCACTTTGGTCGTGGCTGCAGAATATCGTTGGTGTCTCCAACCAGCTGTCCTGGATCTGCATTGGCCTCGCATCCCTGCGATTCCGGGCGGCTGTTCGCGAACAGGGTATTGAACATCTGCTCCCATTCAAGAACTGGACATATCCCTACGGTCCCATTTTCGCCGTGGGTCTGAACATTGTCCTGGTCCTCGTGCAGGGCTGGGAATGCTTTAGCCCGCATTTCAAGGCTGTTTCCTTTGTCTCATATTATATCGAGATCCCGATCATGGTTGTCATGTTCGTAGGGTGGAAATTGATCAAGCGCACCAAGTTCGTCCGTACGTCTGAGATGGATCTGCGCACGGATCGCTATGATGGAGGTCTAGAAGACACGCCCTATCCTCGTGAGCTGGAGCAGGAGCCTAGCCGCAAGGGGTGGGTGGGCAAGTTACAGCGCTGCGGCCAGTGGTTGTTTTTCTAGATTTGGCTTTTTATGCGGTGATACCTTATTCAATACACTCATGCACATACTTCTAATATGCCTCAATACGATTCTGTCCAAGTGCATTATGTATTATGCCATATGCATTGATGATCTGTGAGATGATCATTCCATTAATTATTTCTGAGACAATGTTTCGCTCTAGACGCCGTAGCGCAGGGTAACGAAGCGAACATTAAAAGCCAATAGGCGACAATCAGCACATTCCGAGATGTACAGCTGATATACAATGATACTCCATTCTGCCGAGTATCATAAATTCAAATGCATGCTCATTTTTAAACAAAGGAAACAAAAACATAGTAAAAAAAAAAAAAAAAAAAGAAAACGCGAGCCCGCCCCCTTCCACTCCGCCAAACGCCATGCCATGTATGATATAACTGTAAGGGGTACTCGCGAGAAAAGAAGAGAAAGAGAAACCGACAAAAGAAATGTAAACGAAACGCCCATCCGTTCCATGTGCAGCATAACCGAGACAAAAGAAAAGAAAACAAATCGCATACTTCTGGGTAAACGTCCGACATGAACTCAGAACGTTCGACGTCGCATAATCCGTCCAAATAATCAACTTTGATCCCAGATCAAATCGAATCACAGATGGTGCTTCCTGCTGCACTGACCTGTACTCGCCATGCGGGATAGGGGGTATCTGTACTGTAGACCCTGCTACAGGGGGTTGCGCATTATACAATACAAGGAGCCTCCGGGGCTGCTAGTATGTTGATCGACAATTTCCAAATAAAAGAGCAAAACGGAAAAAAAAAGAACATGTTGCTAGCCGTTGACCATATCGTCGAGCGCCATCTTGCGCCGTTTGATGGGTCTGGGCTCCTGGTTCTCGGCTTCCGTGCTCAGGAGTGTATCTCGTGCTCCTGTTGGAGGAGACTGATGTAATGTCACGGGAGATGGGAGTTCGACGGGTCCGAGATGTCGGGGAACTGGATCGAGCGGGCCTGTCTGGGAAGACGAGCGTTGATGTAAGTGGGGTGTGGAATGCGAGAAAATAGAGCCCGTTGGCCGGTGGAGAAGGCCCGGTGAGCGCGGCTCTCGGTTGGCGTCTTCTCGAGCAGATGTCCAGGTTGCTGGATATGGATCACTGAGGCGATGCGCGTGATGATGAGCTGGGCCTGGACTCGCGGTTGCTTGATGAATAGGAGGAAGTCGGAGCGGGGATTCGAGATATAACTCGCGTGGTCCGTGGGGAACTCTGGGGTCGCTCATCGGTTGATGCATTGCAGGTCCAGGGGTCTCGTAAGGGCTGTATGGAACACTGGCTGGGATATGTTGCGGAGGAGATGTAGGCGGGGGCAGAGTAGGACTTGGGTATTGTGCAAATCGACGTTCCATCCTTGGAGGCATGACTCCGGCTCTAAAAACCGGATTAAATCCACTAGAAGTCGGCACGAAAGCAGGAGGTGGATGAGGTGGTGCTCCGTATGTCGGTGGGCCAGATGCAGAGAATGGTCGCCTTCCTGCCTGGGTTGGCATCGTCGAAGGGTCAATCGGCCGAGTGAGCGGAAACACAGACGCAGACCATCTATGTGGCTGGCCTCTAGGTATCTGCATCGCTGCGGTTACTTGTCCTGGCTCGTCTATTCCTTGAAGATCGGTCATCGGTCGAAGTTCCCGAGAAGATGTGGCTCGATGCATAATGTTTCGTTGAGGGGCCGCCGATGGTTGAATCTCTGCTGAAATGGCTGGATGTTCCATGTGTGATGTATATGGTCGGAGAGACGAGTCCTCTGCTTTCAGCGGTGGTCGTCCTCGCTTCTTGTGAGTGACGTCCACACATGATGACTTTTCCTAGTCAACTTCCTGTATACTTCCCGTATTGAAGGGGAAATGGTTACTTACTGCTTTCCCCGCCAGAACACATCGTCGACATGGACGTGCTGGGTCACATCCAAGATGCTTCTTCTTGCAGTTTACACATGCTGAAGCTACATGAGCCTTAGTCCGGCGTGTCGATTTTTGCGCTAATGAGCGAGTCGCTGGGCCCGGGACTGAAGATTCCAATGTTGATAATGGGTATGGAGGGGACCCGGGCAGGGGTCTTGGGGAATCCACATATTCCGGGGCAGTTTGCTCGCCATATCTAGGCGGAAGCTGTGCGGGCTGAGGTTCGTTTTGAACCAATGGAGCAGGAACGACAGCAGCAGACGATGAGGCCGGTTCCTTGGTCGTCACGACTGTCGGGGAAGATAGTGGATAAGCCGGCTTTGGCTCTCCGGATGTCACCGAGGGCAGCTCAGCAGGAGGAGAGCCAGACATAGATTGACGGGGGACAGAAGCCCTAGGGCTGCACCCTCGAGCATTAGACCAAGGACGATTCAACGGAAGCCGCTCTGGGCCAGAGTTGAACCGGGGCTGACCGAACTGGGCGGTGGCGAGGCTCGGAGGATGAAGCACGAGTGGTTGCATCGGGGCACCGGCAGGAATACGAAAGGTGAGTCCCACAGGGAAGTTCTGGATTAGGCGGGGATGCTCGTTCACAAAAGGGGACCACTGGCTCTCGGTTCTGCACTTGGGGGCAGCATAGCGGATCCCTGTTGTGGAAAGGGTAAAAGTGCACAAGTCGAAAGGGAGGGAAGGACCAGGGAAGAGCAGGGAAGGGGAAGGGGAATGGTCAAGGGTAAGAGAGGAATAGGAAGTAGAATGCGTTCAGTTGCAGACGCAAGTATACCGGGCGTCAGCGGTGAACAGAGAAGGCCGTCACCTCCTTGGAAGACCCAAGCTTATAATCCGTGGAAGAAGAGATCCGCTATTGGAGGAGTCAGAAAATAGACTGCATCGATCAGCGGGAGATTTCCAGATCATGACAGCAGGGTTACTCATAGCCGCGCATGTCTTTCCCCTCGGGCGTCTTTATTGCAGGATGGCGGTCGATCATCGAGCTAGGATCACGCTGCAGCGTGTCAAAGCCCCCTCTCTTTCTCCACGCCTTGCCTCTAGTGTCTCTCGTGCTCCTCCAGGGGTGGCAGAGCAGAAAGGCGGGATAAAGTGGGATAAAGGGGAAAAGGGAATTTAAAAAATACAAGAGAAATACAAGGAAAACGGTGGGACTATACCGGAAAAAGCGATTTGCTTGTTCGTCAAGACACACTAAAGTATGCCACTTCAACTCAGAAGTACCCAAAATGTCTTCATACCCAAAGTTTCGTCCTCTATGGGATAGGACAGGGGGGTGAGAGGTGAAAAGTAGAAGCAGCCCCCATAGGAGAAAATGGAAGAGAATAACAATTAATTAGTTATTATTGTTTCTCCAGAGTAGCACACCCGGCCTGCGGGACCCAGGCTTTCGATACAAGTAAATAGCGTAGAGAAACAGAAAGAGAGAGAGAGAGAGAGAGAGGTCAAGTGGGCGGGTCTCGGACTACTAAGTAGGCTAGGGACCCGGTGAGTGGTCGCTGACTACACTAGTAGCTGATAGACTTGGATCGACCATGATGGAGATCCTTTTTTCGAGGAGAGAGGGGAAGGAAAGAAGGAGGGGGCAAAGAGATTCCAACGGTGGGAGAGTGGGGATTATCCTCATTCGGTGATAATTAGGAACAATAGTTACGATAGTCACTAGTCCTAGGTAGTTTACCAAGCTAAGAGGAACTAGGGCCCGCGGTTCACATCTTTGGGGCACGAACTACTCGGTTCTCGGGCTGCAGTGGCTTGCATTAGACGGGGGGCACCAGTCGCTGTCAGTGACACCTTTTACTTGCACTAAGATGAAATGGGATATCGACATGGCAGAGCGAATCGAATGAAAATTCAATAAATTAGTAGAGAAGCAAATAAAATTAAAATTAAAATAAATAAAATAAAATAAAGAGGAGGGGGGGCATGCCAATCAAGACTGGGGGGACGCAAGGTGAGGGATTGACGGATCGACGGCGCCCGCAGCCATTGCCAATAGTCGAACTCGGCAATGGAAATGCGCATTCCGTACTTTTGAGGAGGGATACACGAAAAATGAAATCATGCTCAGGCACTATTTAGGATACTGCAACCCACCAGATTTTATCCGATTCTACGGTCCCATAGGGACCAGAATAAGCCTCCCTCTACCGTTCTTGACTCCCTATTTTTCCGGTTTCCTTCTCAGCTCTTTTTTGAGAGAGGGTTCCCACCTTATTTTCTACTCCATTCAGGCATCTTACGGATCAGCTGAACATCCTGGCTACATTTTTCAGCCGTTTCAAAGTCTTCGCCACCCCGTAGAGTGTATTCGCCGGACCCTTATTCTCCGTCACACAAAGGTGAAGGGTTACTGTTACAGTCTCGAGGGGTAGAGGTCTCACAACAGCCCAGGTGCGGTTTGCCATGAACCATGAGTCGGCCGGCTGCAGAGGCACGAACCACCTAACCCACCGTCCCCGAAGTGTGGTTGGATCAGCGCCTATGGAAATAGTCTAGCGCTCGGGAAAATAATTTATTGAAAAAAGCCTGGGCCTCACCTAGATGGGGCTAGATACGACCCTTTCTGGTTATCGGCAACGAGACCTTCATACCTTCATGGTGATACCGATGGACGGGTCTCTAGTACTCCGTCGCACCCTGGGTATCATTTCCAGGGTCTGGCATTGTATGTTCCAAGTTTAACGTTCCGGGTTTTGCGATCATCCTCGCCCCTAGACATGAACGTCATTGCCGACCCAGGGCCGCAGGGGAAACAAAAGGCGGCTCCAGCCCCTTTACAGCTGGAACATGCACGCGGAGCAGCAAGGGGTCTGTCACCCCGTTCATGCACGATCTGCCCAGGTGCCTGCTTTGATTTCAATAGTGCGCCTCCAGTCTGGACTCGATACCCGGTATTATGTCTAAGGTATTTTTCAACTCTTAGGGGATTTATTGGGGTCCATTGGGTTTATTGGATTAATGTAAACGCACCAGGGTTACCTATCTCAGGCTATTCCAAATCTTGTCGGGATCGCCAAATTCGCCGATCGAGCCCCGGAGATTATTTGGGTCATTCAGGGCTATTTCCTCGTGGAGCTCATCGAGAAAAGCCCGAGCATGTGTGATTTTCCGCTGAGGGCAGTGTGTACCGTGCACTAACGGTTCTTTCCCTGCACCGAGACCGGGATCGTCGCGTGACAGATTCATGTAGGTAAAGCTCAATTCTAAATCGTCGGACATGGGACTAGCTTAGCTACCCAAGCACTTGAAGTGAACTAGCGTATCATGCATGCCGTGTACTGCGTATACGGTGATTCACATACAAAATTTGGTAATCATCTGATTTGGATTCGGCAACGTTGGTATCTCCAATGCAAAATATAGACAACAAAAAGGCAATTAGGTACAAACTCCTGACTTTCCTATTCAACGCTTCTTGCGCTGCGGACGCGCGTTCTTCTCCTGCCGTCTCTGCTGTAGCTTGCGAGCCTTGCGAATATCGTCCGTCGACTTGAGCTCGCTCTTGCCCCGCGGACCGGTGGCCGCCGGGCCCTGTCGCTCGCGCGCCGCATCGTTCTTCTTCTTCATCTTTTCGTAGTCGTGTCGCAACGGGTCGGCCCGCTTGGGTGCCCGGTTCTGGTGATGCTTGAATCGACCGCCAGCGCCGCGACCACCGGGGTTCATGCCGTGGCCCATGCCAGCCTGCTCGGCTTCGCCGACGCGTGGAATACCGCTCATACGCTTGCCCTTCTTCCAGGACTGGAAACGACCGCTGCGGAAAGAGGCGGCAATCTTGGCACCACTCTCGCCGCGCACCATTCGCGCGCCCTTCGATCCGTCCTCGTCGTTCTGACGCGCCACGTACTTCTTGTGTCGTTTGTCCCAGCGCATGGTCGAGCGAGGTTCACCAAAGTGCTTCTGTCCGTCGTCGCCATTGAGATCCATGGCTGCGTCGCGTGAGGCAGCCGTGAAGTTGGAGTTGGTACCGGAGTGCACACCGTATCCGCGATCTTCCGCGGCGTTGCTGTGGTTGGGCTTGTATCCCATGAAGTAGTCGGGGTTCTGGAACGTAGCGGTAAATGACTCCTTGGATTTGTCGCCGGATTCCTTCTTCGAGTAGGCGCCAAAGGTTACCTCCAGGTCCGACTCGTCCGCCTCGGACATGTTCTCTCCAGCTTCTTCAGGAACGTCTTCGTCCATCTCATCGGCATCCTCTCCATCGCCACCGCCTCCAGCCTCAATCAGATCGGCCTGCTCCTTGGCATGCGCGCGCTGCTTCTTTCTGTCGACAGTAGTGCGAATTCGCTTGATAGTCTCAATGGTCTCTTCACCTTCGGCCTTGCCGGTCTTTCCGGCACGTCGGTTGTGGTGCTCGAAGATAGTCTCCTGGGGCCGGAAGCCACCGATACGGGCAAGCATCGACTCTCGCTCGGCCTCGAGCTGATTAGTCGCATCGTTGAAAAGGACGTGAATGGTAGACCAGTCTTCAGAAGAAGTGACCTTCTTCGCTCGCTTGGCACTCTCCGCAGATGCGGCGTTTCGGGTGCGCATGTAGAGCTTCTCACCTCTTGTGGCAACCTGGCGCTGCGCGTGAATGTCCGGGACCTCATCCAGGACCTTGTTGGCCCATTCACAGGTTCGGGCTAACGGGTCTCTGGGGATCGTTCCCACGACGACATCCTCAGCATAGTTCACCTTGTCGCCATATTGATGGCCAAGGACCAATCGTCGGCCCAGGAAAAGCTGAAGGTCGAGCAGATACGGGGCATCCGCGTCGCGCACGAGACTGTAACTCCAACCTGTCTGACCGGCACGAGCAGTACGACCGACACGGTGAATGAAGATCTTGGGCTGCGACGGGAAATCGTAGTTGATGACGTTGGCAAGAACGGGAATATCGATACCACGAGCGGCCACATCGGTGACGACCAGGATGTTGGAAATACCGCTTCGGAAGTTCTGGACCTGCATCTTACGAGCAGTCTGGTCCAGGGTACCGTAGGCATAGGATGTAGCAAAGCCGGCTTCGACGAGAAGGGAGTAGAGATAGTCAACGTGATGCTTGGTGGCAGCGAATACAATAGTGGAATGTTCGGTGGGCGATTCCTTCCAGGTGTTGCGCTTCTCTCCATCTCGCTTGCGCTTGTTGTCCCTGAAGCCTTCCCTGAATCTCAAGGAAGCTTCGGTTGGCCCTGTAGGCATCTTGATGATTTCATGGAGAATGTGAAGAAGAGCTCCTTCCTTGTCAGATGACTTGACCGCAAAGAAAGCATTCTGGAGATCAGGAGAAATTTTGCTTTCAGCATCCAGACGAACCAGACTGGGTTCTTGCAAGCCAGCACGTGCGAATTCAACAAGTGACTTGGGCAGTGTAGCGGAGAAGAGAAGTGTCTGGCGGGTGGTAGGCAGGCCGTGCAAAATTTCGGCCAATTGCGCAGCGAAACCCATTTCGAAAAGTCGATCAGCTTCGTCGAAGACGACATACTTGATAGACGAGAGATCTAAATCCATCTCGACCTTCAAATGCAGGAAACGACCAGGTGTAGCGATAACAATGTCGGGGTTGCCTGCCATCATACCGAACTGGTCTTCAAGACTATCACCACCGACAAGGAGAACACATCGTAGATCTGTACCGCGGCCCATTTCCTTGACCACCTTGAGCGTTTGCAAGGCCAATTCACGAGAGGGAGACATAATCAATCCGCGGGCTCCAAATGCGGTGCTGTGGCTCTTCAACTTTTCGATCATGGGAATGACAAATGCTGCAGTCTTTCCGGAACCAGTACGGGCCATACCCACCACATCCTTGTCGTCCATAATAACAGGGATCGTCTTGCGCTGAATGGGAGTCGGGACTGAAAATCCTTTGCGGGCGATCGCCTTGAGCAGTTTGCCGTTTAGACCCATGGCCTGGAAGCCACCACCCTTCTTCACAGTACGACCCTTGAGGTTGGCCCCTTTTCGGTTGGCAGATGCCTGCTGATTCGCAATGAAGGTCTCGTCATCGTCGTCATCGGCGCCGAGGAAGTCGAGATCTCCGGTAGGAGCGGGCTTGGGCTTCTGGCGGCGGCGGGGTTTTTCGTCATTGTCGGATTCGCTATCGTTCTGGAAGAGCGAGTTCGTAATATCGAACTCGTTTTCCGACATAGCCGGAGACGAGTCGCGGTGAGGCATGGTTGAAGCCTCAAGGTTATGCGCCGATCAAAGGCGGAAATGGATATGATAACGATTGAACAGATTTCTCATGCGTCAAAATGAGAGTGAAGGAGTATTGGGGAACAATAATCCGATAGATCAATAAAAAAAATCGAATATTCAGACAATCTCCACGCTTGAAAATATCTTTTCAAGGTGTCGGTCTGCGTCGAAACATTCCGTCAACTTCGCCGCAAAAAAAAATCGAGGAAACCAAAGGCGGTGAACAGCGAGTGCAAACAGCACAAACAGGCTCCCCGCGACGCGCGACACGCTCGCCCGATGAGGTAAAATGATTTTACGACTCTCCTCTGTTCACTCACACACACTTTCACCATGGGTAGGTGACCTAGCTTAACGTGTCGTTAACTGCATACTGACATTTAACTTAGACAATTACAACAATTATGGGTCCGGCGGCGGCGGCGGTGGCGGTTTCATGCCAGGCGAGACCAACAGCCCTTCCGGCGGAAAGGTACGATGGATTTGTTATTTTTGTGGCATTGTCACTAACACTCGACTAGTCTGGCGACCGCGATAATAAGACGCTCCGCCCTGTCACAATTAAGCAGGTTAACGACGCCTCGCAGCCCTACCCAGAAGCCAATTACCAGATCGACAACGCAGACGTGGCCAACGTGCTCATCATCGGCCAGGTACGCAACATCAGCTCCCAGAGCACAAACATCACATACAAAATCGACGATGGCACGGGCGAGGTTGAGGTCAAGAAGTGGGTGGACTCAGCCACAGCTGACAACATGGACATGGATGGGGGCAAGCCACCCGGCGATGGCAAGAGCGAGGTCAAGACGGACGGATACGCCCGTGTCTTTGGAGCCATCAAGTCCTTCGGCCACAAGCGCTATATCGGTGCCCATAGCGTGCGCCCCGTGACCGATATCAACGAGTTGCACTGTCACGTTCTCGAGGCTACTGCCGTGCATCTATTCTTCACTCGTGGTCCCCCTGGTGGCGCCGGCGCTGGTGCCAATGGTGCCGCTGGCGATGCCGTTATGGGCGGTGCGGATGACTACGGTGCGGGCCAGAACCGGGCTCTCGCGTCCATGTCGCCCCTCGCGAAGAAGATCTACAACTTGCTCAAGACGGAGCCCCAGGATGACACTGGTCTTCACATGCAGCAGATTGCCTCGAAGCTCAATTTGCCTGCTACGGATGTTGCCCGTGCCGGTGAGGAGCTGCTCGGAGCGGGTGTGATTTTCTCGACTATGGATGAACAGACATGGGCTATCCTTGAGTATTAGATTGTGGGTTTACCATTCAATGTTCCGTTAGAAGCTACGTGCAGTCTCAAATGATATCATGAATTCATCTTGCATTCACATTAACAGTCCCCACTCTTATATACAATTCGATTCAGTCTAACCAACCCCGCTGACTCCTTCTATTGAGCCCTATGATCTGCTCTCGCTGTACAAATGAATGTTCAAAATGGCCAAATTTTCATCAGATGTATCGTATATGAATTTCATGTACATCATAGATGGCCCCGGAATCAAGTCAGCTCATTGCGCAGTTGAGCTTCTTCAACAGACCGTTCCCAACTGATTCGGCCGATAATGAAGAACTCGACTCCAGATACAAGGAGAAGAGCAAGAGCCACACCAGTCCACAGACCCATCACGCCCCAACCTAAGGCGAATGTTGTGCCCATACTAATGGGCATGGCAATGGCATAATAACAGAAAAGTTGAATGTAGCCACCGATTTCCTGGCGGCCGAGACCACGAAGGATACCGTTGCAGTTGGCTGCCAGAGCGTCAAAGAGCTGGAAAGCCGCGCATAGAGGAAGGACCTCAGCGACGAGATCGACAACTTCAGAGTCCGAGCTGAAGAGCATCGGGATGTAGTTTCGCAGAGACATGAGCAGAACCATGTTGAATAGACCAACGATGGTAGCACCGCAGAAGCTCACCTTGGCCGAGGTCTTTGCGGGGCCGACAAGGCTGGCACCGATCAAATTCGCAACGCGCGTACTACCAGCGATAGACAGCGGGAAGGGAATCTGCCATGTGATACTCGAGATGGTCGAAAGAATCGACTGCGCTGCGAGTTCGGTGGTGCCGAGGTAGCTTGACGCCAGAGTCAGGACTTCGAATGCCAAACACTCGGCTTCCACCATGATCAGACCCGGCAGTGCAAGGCGAATCATGGGACCCCAGTTCTCAAAGGCTCGTCGGGTGAGGCCACACCAGCACTCCGAGCCCACGAAGAAGTAGGCGTATATAAAGAGACAGACTGGCATTAGGTTCTCTGTGATTACAACGGCGATTGGTGCACCAATGAAGCCCATCTCGAGTTTCTGCAATGGCTGTCAGTATCAACGCGTCTCAAGGTACATGAAGAGGGACTTACCCAAACGAAAAACCAATTCATGAACGCATTCAACGGCGCGCAAAGAAGCAGCACATACAAAGATGCCGAGAAGACCCCCTGGGCCTGGAGATAACGTTTGCCACTCTCGAAGCAAGCAACCCCCGGTGTTCCCAGCAGAGCAACCTTCAGATATAGACCAGCCATTTGAGCCACCTCCTTCTCCGGTACAATCTTTGCCAGAATGTGCTCGGAGAAGTACCAGAGAATGGCGATGGGAATAGTCACCAACCACAAGAAAAACACCATGCGCAGCATCTGCAGGCCGACAAGCTTCCTTTTACCGGATCCATAAGCCTGTGCACACAAGGTATCTAAACTGGTCGCCAGGCCAGAATAAACCGCGTTTCCAGTAATGCTGACCGTCATACTAGCCAAGCTGACGGCTCCAAGCTCCTCTTTGCCCAAGTGGCCGATGGTGAAGATACTCGCCACTGTCAGCGAGTACTGCAGCAGGAAAGTCACCATCAATGGCGCCGAGTATCTTCCAATAACCCGAGCTTCCCGCTGCCATGTCGTGTTGATGAGACCAGCTGTCACGGCCTCTTCCCATTTCCGATCGATCTCCTCCGGTCCCATCGCGTCACCTTCACCGCGGGGAGGTTCCAGCAACGCGGTAGACTCGGTGGCAATCGCCCCGGTCTCGGCGTCCACTCCGCTTGCACTTCGAATCGGGCCATACTGCTTGGAAGAACTCTCTTGGGGAGATGTCGAGAATAGGCTGCTCAGCTTATGTTGCAGTCCGTGGGGTATTCCGCGGGCGTGCTCCGTAGGAATGACCTTGTTATCGCTTAGCAGCTGGCGCTCTTCTTCGATCGCGAGTTCCCGTTCGCTTTGCGTCAAAGGCTGGTAGTCGCCGTTTGAGGGAATTACGGTGGTATGGTTGACGGAGGTGAAATAACTCGGGCGGCGATAAGAGCCGGCTAGGGAGTGCGGGTTGGTCCCGGCATGGCTGCTGGCGGGCCGCACGGTCGATGAGTCGGAGGTATCGTTGGTGTTGATTGAGTCCTCGTCGGCGTAGTGAGCGAGGTCTCGGGCAATGATGGACGCGGCAATGGGCGAGCTGGAGGCGAAGGACCGACTGAACGGACTTTGATACTCCGCGGCATCCGCGGAGAGGGTGTTGCGAGGGGCCATAATGGGAGAGGAAATTTACGGCAGCTCCTGCATCATCTACACTCTCTACAGACGGTGCCGGAAGAGGAAGTTGGAAGCTGAAGAGCTCGGAAGGAAAATACGGATCCTGCGCTGGGTCCAAGTGGGGAGGAGCCGACCGCCGTTTCTGCTTCTGCTCCAAGCCTCGCCTCCGGTGCCAATCTACGTCAGGATCAGGTAAGGTCAATGCGAAGCGAATTTTCAACCTCCTAGTCTGGATCCACGCAAGATCTGAGCAGTCCGGTCTTCCCATCACGCAAGGGTGTGTCAAGCGCATGACTCGACAATAACCAATTTCACGCTATCTTCTTCTCCACCGACCCACTGCGACCGTGCGCTTGTCGCTTTCAATGCCAAACGCTTGATTTGTCCCACTTGACTACTTTATCCAACGAATCATGAGAGCGGACTATGAAGCGCGAGAGAGATAGTACCGAAGGCGTGCCCGGTTCGCCAAGACATGCAGAAAAAATAAGCAAGTAAACAGCTGAGCCCAGCTAGGTAAGGTACCTAGACATCTCAGAGTTGGTATGTTGCTGTCTCATATGACTGTTCATCATTTAGGCCCTCCCGATCTCTTGAGGCTATACCCGTAGACATTCCCCAGCATCCGGAGGTCTCCACTCGCTGTCACTTAGGCGATATACATGGACCCGAAAGATGCTCATACGTAGAAGGCATAAACCATCAAAGGTTGGGATAAGATTATATATCGAACATAATTGACTTATACTACGAAGTATAGCCGTCTTCTATCTTGGGGCCCTAGACATCATCGCAACCTTGCAATGATTCGTGATCTGCCGGCGGGATTGTCTGTAATACCAGCTCTCCTTTACACTTCTGTATCTATTCATAGCTGCGATAGCCGCCGTGATATGAGGCTCTTAATACATTGGTAGTCCTAATACGTCTAGTGTTTCATAATTTGCGCCTGGGGCTGCATTCCATTAGGGCAAGCGTTTGCCCCAACGCTAAGCGCCAGACTCCAGGAGACAGATTCCCTGTCAGTCAAGATATAAAAACGCCCACTATTACTTCCTGAAGGCACTTAGCCAACTCTCATCGATCCCCAAGCATCACATACCCGTCTTACCATGATTCGAAACAAGGATCGTCTATACGTCGCTCTCTACGCTCGGCGCGGAAAGTCTGAAACGTCAGGAAAGAAAGACGCGTAAGGAAGATAGAACTTGAATAGCCTGCTATATCTAAGTGACCGCTAAAATTTTGACTCACAGATACCACTGGGGCTTAGTTATTGGGCCTAAGACCGAAAAGAATCCAAGCAAAAGCGGGATACGCTTTGATGCGATAGAGAAATTGACAACGAAGGGACCAGTCTGGCAGCTTGTAGAGGAGACCACTTCACTGCTACCAGGAACTACTATGGTTCTTATCCGAGTCATGATTGGTAAAATCATAGACAAGGAACGGCTTCTTTCCGTTCTTCGGAATACTCCTGTTCCCGCATACGAGCCCAGGCCTGCCCATGATATCTATAATTGTTTTACATGGGTAGAAGAGACGCTGGGATCAATTCAACGTGATGGAAAAGCAATGGGGTCTTCGGTGCTTGACTGGGATTCTGTTCGTGAGACTGCCCTGTGGTATGTCAAGTATCATGTCGCGAAAATGAAGCTAGACCGCCGAACTGAAAGAGATGGCGGTTACAATATAAACACCGTTGCATCGTGGGATCTGATCGCCGGAAAAGAGTTTCCTACCTGAGAGCTCTAGTTAGAGCATTAGAGCTGGACGAAAGAGAAAATCCAAATGGGTCTGATATTTTCTTCTCTTGGCCACCAAAAACTTCTAAATCTCTTCTCGGGCATTTCTCTTCGGCAATTGCCAGAGAATCTTTCTTTGTAGTTCTGTTTTTTTTATTCTCATGACCATATAAGTCAGCCCAAATCGCCTACTTGGTCCTAGTTGCATTATCTCTTCCAGTGCAACAGTGAAAGCGGGTCAAAAAGGGGGACGGTCACAATCTCTGCCTGAGGCATTAGAGCTACGTGCGTAGTTGACAATTTGCTCGACGGACCCGTATAGCTACAGCTCTGCCTCCAAGGTTTTGTGGGAAATGCCTAAACAAATTTATTGAAAACTATAGTCTTTGGGTAAACACGGCAGGTGATCTTGTGCCATGACATCAACCGCAAGCGGGGGTCAGGTGACACTTTGTGAAGGCCCGCGCTCCGACTCTTCGTTCCTATCTGTTTGACCTCATTCTCATTCACGATAACCTGGAACATGGATCAGCCTAATGTCCTCGCCCGAGGACCATATAATCCGTTGATCAACCCGGCTCATTCGAAACCTGCATTGGTGGAACAGTAAGTCCAACCCGTGGAGACTGTGGGCCTGCGGCACAAGAGTTTACTCGTCCTTGAGAAATTCCGGGGTTCTTATTGCTTGTTTACATCAATATACGAACACCTGATGATCATCCCCAATACTGTATCGCGCTCACCTGGTCGCCTCCCTCATTTATCTCTTTCTTGAACAGACACTAACATCGCTCGTAGACATGTCGAGGATCAGCACCACATCCTCTTCTCGCGGCCCCTCTTAGGCGCGCTGCTCTTTGAAAATACGAGTTCCGATGCCCGCGACCACTGCGCCAACGAGCGCACTTTTCTCTCATGGCTGCGCTTGTCCATGTACTTGGCAGTCGTCTCCCTCGCGATCATCATCTCGTTCCATTTCCGGGAGCAGCCCTCTGGTCTGGAGCGGCGCATGGCTCTTCCCCTCGGCATTATCTTCTGGTTACTAAGCTTGACCTGTCTCGCTAATGGGTTCTTCAACTACGCTCGAACCGTCATGAAGTACAGCCGCAAGGCAGCTCTTGTCCAAAGTGGGTGGAAAACTCAGGTCGTCTTTACAGTGGTGGGCACGGTGATCCTGGGCAGTTGTATTCTCTTTCTGTCAACGGACCGAAACGGCTGAGACCTTCGATCTGACTTCTTTGCATTTCCGTTTTTTTTGATAACTTTGCTATATGGGAGCGTTGCATTGCATTGTATATGGGCGGTGCCTTTTTACGGCTGCATTCACATATTCATGTCATGACTGAAATCTGCTAATATTGCTAATATGAGAATGAACCAAGTCAATCGCTTGAGTTCCTAAACTTCAAGAGGCTTTTCAGAAGTGTTCCAATGTGGTGGATTAGATGGTGCGTAAGATGGTACAATATGCAGATGAAACGAGCTAGAGGTATCGGAGAATGTATCGAGAAAGAAAGGAAAGTTGAAGATTGCTGGAGATCTCACATCCGGCGAATCTCGGTCTCGTTCTTGTACTTGTCCAAGGCCGGGGTGCCCAGGTGACTCCACCACTCGAAGAGCATCGAGTTGCAGATCAGCTTGAACCATGGAGTGAACTTCAGATCAGGCTTCTGGAACATGGCCTTCAGCTCGTCGGCCGAGACGTAGCAGGTATCCCGCACCTCGTTCGGGCTGGGCTCCAGGTCAACGTCAGCCTGGATGAAAAGGATGTAGTCCACTAGTGAGATGTTAGCAGTCACCCCGCTTTATGAGTCCATAACAATGACATACCCTCGTGTTCGCCCCACTTTCCATCACTAGGAGCCTTGTAGTGAATTCTGGTGAAGAACTCAAACTTGTCCAACGGCACCTGCTCGGCCTTGATGCCCAGCTCGTGGTCCAGCTTGCGCTGTGCAGCACGCTTCACACCCCGAACGGCCGCATCGAGCTCTGCACCAGTCTCACCGGGAATTCCAAGAGGGTGGGAACAGCAGGTGTTGGTCCACATGTCAGGGAAGGTAATTTTCTCGGTAGCACGCTGTTGCAAAAGGAGGCGGTTGTTGGAGTCGAACAGGAAAACGGAGAAGGCACGGTGTAGGAGACCTTTGTCAATGTTGGTCATCAAGTGGCCTAGAGAAAAAGCAATTGTTAGTACCAGTTCCTGGTAATCGGAGGCGACCGCCACTACCCCTCCTAAGAGAATGGAGGGGAATGTGTGACTCTAGGACGTACAGGCCTTCTTGCTGGCACTGCCAATAGGACGATCATTATTATCAAGGACAATACAGACTTCGTCCATCAGACGAACCTGCTCCTCGTCGTAGCCCGCGAGTTCAGCTCCCTCCTGAGCGGCGCTGCCATGGGCGGTGGGGAGGACATCCCGAGCCAGGGAAGTGTCGACTTCGGGGAAAAGAGAAGCCACATTCTCAGCGGTGATCTCCGGCGGAGCCGTAACTGTCATGGTAGCACTCATCTTGAACAATTGCCTGTAATAAGAGGTTCCTGAAGTCGAAAGAACAGAAAAGGAATGCGAAATGCGGGCGGTGGGTTCAAATGAATGTTTGGGGCGGCACTACCCCCAAGGCGGTATGGATCGGCAGCTTGGACCCTCTAGTTCAACATCTTCCTCTTGAGAATTTCTTATTTTTATTGCTGATCAGTATACTTTGGGAAGCTAGTTTATTCCTAAGAATGGGTTTCAATCCCCTTTTATGACTTAGAAAAAAGCACAAAACGTTCCAGATGGCAGGTTTGTCCAATGCTTTCCAACCCTTACAGCCCTGGAGTCAGAGGTATTCCTGTGTAGCACAAGTAGGGATGTGCAGTACAGCTTGCAGCTTTGGAACATTGCGGTGAGAGATATTTCCTCATGAATGAAAGTATGAATGAGTTTGGCCTCGAAATAAGCATTGATGATAGAGCTCCAGCAGGTCCTTTAGGCATATGTACATATTTACAGTATATCTTGATGTCTGGTTCTGATGCTGGCCTCGCGAAACGAGTGAAGCCCCCACCCTTTATCACACGCGCATGTCCAGGGATACTCATGGAGGTGAGCTCACTTCAAATCCAAGCCACTCAAGTCTGCCAGCTCCTGGATTTCCTCTGGTCCCAACAAGCCAAGCCCTTCCCGCCGAGTGCGTGCCTTAGCATCGAAAACAGGTTTCTCTGCCAACGAGGTTACTCGAGTTCCATGTCTCGGCTGCGATCCCTCATAATCCCAGCTAGCGTTATGAATTGTGATGCTAAAATTTGTCAGTCTGTACTCTCCTCAAAATCACTTCTAGGGAGTCGTGGTTTACCGATTATCCCAGAGTGCACTTGTCCGTGGACTCCACTTGAAGCGGACCTGGATATCTGGATTCTTCTCATAGACATCAAACAGATATCCAAGAATTACATCACTTTCAGCCTTGTCCAGACCCACGATTCGATTTGTCATGGCCCGGTTGACCCAGAGGGCTTTCCATCCGGTAGCAGGATGGACGCGGACAATAGGATGCTCGCGCTCCACGTATTTGGGGCCGGCCTCAGGGTTCTTACGGTCCAAGTAGGGATGAGCGGATCGATAAATGGCAGATTTGCCATCAATAAGTTTGCGGAAGAGGGGTGATAGCTTCTCGTAGGCTGAGTATCCACTGGCCCAGAGGGTGTCTCCCCCCACTGTAGGCACAGTGTCATTATGAAGGTGCGTTACTCCAGCAGGTTGTCTCTCATGGACAAGATCTGTATGCCAGCGTGATGATCCGCCCGGTCGACGGAAGCTGGCTGGTGTCTCTGTTTCCTGTAATGCTGGCCATATGACACTCACACCAGCGACTCCAGGGACCTGAGGCACTTGAGGCTGTAGACGGCGTTAGCGATATGAGTTTTGGGGGAGATGAAGAACATGTCGTACGTGAATTTCAATTTCGCCGAACCACTCCCCTAGCTCTTTCTGCTGCTGTGGAGAGATATCCTGGTCACGGAAGAATACGACGCTCCGCTCGGCAATGAGCAAACCTAGTTCATCTTTCTGCTTATCTGTGAGATCCCTGAGTTGCAAGCCCACAATCTCAGTACCGATGTGCCTCGTTAGATGAATCACTTCCTTCGCTGCTGACAGCAATGCCTTCTTCTCGGGATCGGCTCGAGTGCCTGGGTCTATATGCTGACGATCATAATCTCTCACGTTGAAAACGTCATCCACGAAAAGAGGACGAGATGGTCGATATGGATATCCAGCACTGAGATCAATTCCAGCTTTGTCAAGACGCTCTCGTGCTGGCCCTGGGAGACTCAGACTATCCTTCCTTGGCGGCGCGACGTCTACAATGCGGGGATCAATAGGAGCAGGAGCCATGCTGATCAGAAAACTCTGTATCTCTATCCCTCGATTTGAGGGCAGATATGTGCCATACTTATTGCTCTTGATAATCTAAGTCCGAGCACATCATCGCCGCGCCACATTGCGTCTTCTGCGCAACACCCATCGCAGACGAGATCATAGCCCCTCTATACAGGGATTCGCCTTACCCCTCACCATTTCCCAATAAGAAAATTGTTATTTTCGTCGCGCAGCTCTGGGCCAATCTGAGGCCAACTATCTTGCGGCGTCACTTCAAGCGGGGAACTTATTATTCCACAATGTGCTGTACAAATCACGAAGATTGCATGGGTGGAATTTCTAATCCATTTGAAACCATGCCGTTCGTTCCGAAAGTCATTTGGTGTTGGAGTTTGGGGACTTCATTAACATTACATGCCGTAGCTTCGATGGCGAGATTTTGGACCCAAATGCTTCATCGCCGACACAGCGGCGACTAGGTCATTTAGGAACTTGTACATATAGTTTAGGAATGGACTTCTTGCTTCGAAAGCAAGTTTTTTCCAGCAATCTTGGAATACAAGTACTTCGGGATAATGACCGACAGCACAATAAACCGTGTAGCAATCATTGGCGCTGGCATTAGTGGTATTGTCAGTGCCGCCCATCTTCTTGCCGCGGGGCTAGAAGTGACGGTCTTTGAGAGGAGTCAAGCGGCCGGCGGTGTCTGGTACGTTCTGATAGTGTGTTGAAAACGTCAATTTACGTCAACTAACCTTGCAGGCTTTTTGACAAGCGAGTACCGATCGAAGTTCAGTATCCAAATCGCCGGCCATCGGATGTGGGTTGGTACAGCCAGGACAATAGAAGTGAGAATGAACAACGGACTTTGGTTCACGCACCCCCGGGTCCCTGCTATGAAAGTCTCACCAACAACGTCTCAACCCCGTTGCTCCGCACGAAACTCAATGCATGGCCCGAGGGCACCCCGCACTATGTCAATCATAATGTGCTCAAAGAATACATCCAGGATACATCTAAGAAGACAGGTGTTGACGATGTAACTATTTATGGCGCCCTTGTGAAGCAAGTCTATAAAGAAGATCAAAATTGGCACGTTCACTGGACTACGTTGAATGAGGAGTCCGGCACAGGAAATATTGTTGAGCATCAGAAATCTGCGGTAAGCTTCGCCTGGGCATGATTCAGGTAGCCCAAGAGTAAGATCTAACCCGAGGACAGAAATTCGATGCTGTTGTTGTTGGATCAGGCCACTATCATACTCCTCTCATCCCTGATATCACCGGTCTGGCTGAAGCAAAAGCCAAATGGCCTGCAAAGATCACACATTCAAAGTCATTCCGAAGCTCCAAGGGGCTTGAACAAAAGGTATATCCTATAAGGTGCTCATTATAGTATGGCATGTTGACTTTATTCAGAATGTTCTGTTGGTAGGAGGCGGAGTCTCCTCGGTGGACATTGCTCGTGAGATTAGCCCTGTCGCGAAGCACGTCTATCAGAGCACCCGTAATGGTGCTTTTGACATTCCAGCGACTGCACTTCCTAAAGGCACCTTTCGAGTTGAGGAAGTAATAAAATTCGAACTGATCTCGTCTGAACCGTCACCAGACGAGCATTCGCCGATAATTGCGCACCTAAAATCCGGTCAAACACTGCGCGACATCGATCTAGTAATACTTTGCACAGGTTACCAAATGGTGCTACCTTTTCTTCCGCAGTACAACGAGACTGACGCAACTGCATCGTATGCAAGCAACTCATTCATTGTGACCGACGGCGCCCAGTTTCACAATCTGCACCGCGACGTGTTCTACATCCCAGATCCAACGTTGGCCTTTGTGGGGGTGCCCTTCTATACCGCAACTTTTACCCTCTTTGAATTCCAGGCCATCGCCGTTGCAGCATTCTTCTCTGGGATATCGCAGTTGCCATCGACCGAGAGTTTAAGGGACGAATATGAATCCCGAGTTAGGGAAAGGGGGCACGGTCGGAGCTTCCATTCGCTCAAAGGCGAGGAAGAGGCCTACGTGAAGAGCTTGGTTGAATGGGTGAACGCTGGAAGAGCGCATCGCGGACTACCCCTTATTGAAGGCCATACTTCATCCTGGGTAGAGGCCAAGAAAGGCCAGATTGAAAAGCTGCATTTGCTTTGGCAAGGACTTCCTCAGTCTAGTTCTGAGTCGGAAGCTCTGGTCAAGCGACCTGCAGAAGTGGAGGTGATCGCATGAGAAAACATCAAGGCAATGAAAGGACATGTCATTATCGTTTCATCATAGAATTCAGCTCGTTTCTTGAGACTATCGAATCAGCGAGTTACTTCTCACCAATACTACCGTGGGAACGTGGGCAAACTACATGATATCCGAAGACAACACAGCTCCGGCAAATGATGCAAAGAGATCCCTCAATTTGACAAATGTAATTGGCTACTTTGGATTCTCCAAGCGGGGAAATTGGATTTTCAAGACCCGTGAGAGGTTAGTGGCACACCATCAGTGATGTGTATGGCGAGCTCCACGGCGTGCGCGATGATGACCACTCGGCGGGATATGACACCAGTGGTCAATGTAATATCTGGATCAATTCGTAAGCCTTCGTTCCCTGATAAGATTGTGGCACTTTTGTACGGATGTTTCTCATCCGCGCAGAAATTGCGCAAACAAGGCTGACCATCATTCGACTACAGCAAGAAGCTACCCCCTCCTGCCGAGCTAATGACAAGGCACCAGAGCTCAAGTATGGATAGATCCCCGCTTTCACTATGAGATTAAACATACTGCCTGGTAAGCACGCAATTTTACCACCAAGTTCAATGGTAAAAATGCTCGGGGTGGATCCGATAGCATTCTTCGGTATAGCATACCATTCCAGCCGATCAATTGACGCGGGGCTTTATTTTCCTTCTCCTTATAAGAACGCAGTCGGATGCCAAGAAACATTGAGCGATCTTAGAATTTCAATATGTCAACCACCCGTCTCGAGGAGGCAGCTGGCAAATCGTCTGACCTAGTGGTTCAGAAACCCGTGAAAAAAAGATGGGTCAGCTACATTTGGGATACATTTGACAAGTCTCCAGAGGAGCGCAGATTGCTCTTCAAGTTGGACTCGGCGATATTGACTTTCGCGTCACTGGGTTGGTTGCTTCTTTATGAGACTTTTTTAAGATTGTTGCTGACTGCGTTTTGTGATTCCAGGTTATTTTATTAAGTATCTTGATCAGACCAACATCAATAATGCGTTTGTGTCGGGAATGTACGTCGCGAGTGGAGCTATTAGCATCGCAACAACCTAACAATATTCAGGAAAGAGGATTTGGGCCTATATGGCAATCAACTCAATTATATGCAGACGTGTTGGACTGTCGGCTATGTTATCGGCGAGATCCCGAGTAACATACTCCTGACGCGTATCCGCCCTCGATACTGGATTCCAGCTGCGGAGGTAAGGTGATGAACTTCTCACCTGTAGATTTTTCGGCTAAATTTTTCCAGCTTCTTTGGACGGTGCTCACCTTTTCGTTGTCAAGATGTAACACTGCCACTCAGTTCTACGTCCTAAGATTCTTCATCGGTATGTACGTCCATGATTCATTCATGGTTGATTGTCTTTCTCTAACATCTCGCTCACAAGGTCTCGCCGAGAGCACCTTTTACCCCGGCATGCAGTATATCATCGGATCCTGGTATCGCAAAGACGAGCTTGCCAAACGATCGTGTATTTTTCACACGAGCAGCGGTATTGCCAGCATGTTCTCTGGATATCTTATGGATGCTGTTTATCAACTAGGTGGTCGAGGGGGTTTCAAGGGGTGGCAATGGTAAGGCAGGAACTGAGCCCAGCAAAGATCTTCATCTGACTCGAGACAGGCTCTTCCTAGTCGATGGAATCATTTCTCTCCCGATCGCTATTAGTGGCTTCTTTCTGTTGCCAGATGTGCCCGAAATCTCCAGCCCATGGTATCTCAGCAAGGATGTAGGTCGCTTGGTGCTGTGTGGCTTATCTCTTTTGATACTAACATCCATGGTCGCACTAGGAAGTTGCACTGGCGCAGACGCGGATGAAAGAAGAAGGCAGAAAGGACAGAGGGCCGTATAATAAGGCAAAACTGAAGAAAATCTTTTCTTCATGGCACATCTATCTTCTTACACTACTTTACGTGTGGGTACAAACGCTTTCTCGGTTGATTCATCGCTAATATCCGAGTCATAGTCTCTTCAACAACGGTGCTGCCGGGGCTCAGCCGATATTCCAGCAGTATGTTCGAATGACTTCCTCGCTGATTATAGTTATTAAGCATTCATCGCAGGTTTTTGAAGGCCTCGAAAGACCCCAAATACTCAGTCGGCCAGATCAACGCATATCCTACAACAACCTATGCTGTTCAAGTTGTCACTACGCTCGCTTATGCCTGTGAGTCAATCAAGTTGCGCTGCCAGGAAAGTTGTAGCTAATAAAATCAAGGGTGTTCGGACTCTTTCCTGAAAGGAAAGCGTTGGCCACCAATTATCTTCGGTGCTGTGAGTGGGAAACTGTTGTGATTGCCTCGTAACCAAGAAGCTAACCAGGGCCAGATGGTGAACATTATCAGTTATGTCTCGTTAGCCGTTTGGGACATCCCGGTCGGTTGGAAGTGGACTTGCTACATTATCTGTGGTTCTGGATTTGGGCTAAGCGGCCTCCTGATGGCGTGAGTGAAACGGGCTACATGGCATCTCTACTTATTGATTAATGACGTGCAACAGCTGGGCCCATGAGATTTGCTCCGAGGACAACGAAGAGCGATCTCTCGTGATTGGCAGCATGAACGAAATGGCATATGTCCTCCAGGCGTGGCTCCCTTTGATTGTGTGGCAGCAGGTGGATGCGCCCGAATATCGCAAAGGTTTCATCACGACCTCCTGCCTATCGCTTCTTTTAATCATTGGCACTCTGGTCGTCCGAAAACTTGATCTGAAGGAGCAGCGAGAGAAAGGGTACGTCTGATGGATATTTCCGATTTGATTTACTCTATGAACTGAGTATGCTAACTCGGCTGGCAGTGATAGGACGAATCGCATAGATGGGACGGAAGACGACTTGTCGGACTCGCCGGCAGCGACACCGGTGGATACAAAACTACCCAAAGCGCTAGGTGACATTACACTGGACTGATCCTTGTGATGTCCTTCAAGTTGAATAGCCCCTTGATCTTTAGAGTGCGGCAATACAAAAGACGATTGAGTGCACTCTACGGAGATACGGTCTCATGAACATAAATTATTAACCAAGCATCTATATACAGGAGGCTGATCAGGCGGGCCAATCCGAGAATCCGAGGGGACCTGATTGTACCACAAAGTGTTTCCCATAATTCCAAATTACGTGGAGCTTAAGAAAGCAGAAACTCCCACTCCCAAAATCACATTAGAAATCCGAGTACGCAGTGGGCATACAGACCGAGTGCGTCACCACACGGTGGGCCGGGTGGGTTGAGGCCATCAATTCACTAGCCGACCATACCACTGAATTCAGGTGGATGCCTGGCTCGTGCCTTTCTCCGAGAGGCGTTCGTTAGATCTTTTGGAATACTTTTCTCCGCTTCTTCATCCGATTTGTTCCAGTGACGCCGGTCACACCCAACATCCCCATGAATCAATCACTAGCTTGTCTATACTAAGGCCGATCCCATGATTCAGGATGTAAAAGTTTGTTGGTAGATTGGATGCCCATGTCCTTCGATGCCACGAAACAAAGGCACCCGTACTTTTTGTTCCTGGAGAAGATACGCGAGACTAGCGTGTGATGAAGAAAGAAAAAAGGAGATTTCAAAAAATAAAAATAAAAAAAGTTGAGAATTGAAGGAAATAAGACAATCGTCCAAAGAGCTCCACGACCGGGATGTTTTTGTCATCGTTTTGCGGCTTTTCGTTGGTGGAACCAATCTGTGGACAGTGGAGGCGCGCATCGTGGTTGATCGACACTCAAATCCTAATCTCCTAATCTCCTAACTCAGCGGCTCTGTTATCCTTGCACAACGGTTTCTTCCAGCGGCCCCAGGGCCAAAGCTTCCTGTACGGAATTACCCCTTATGACGACTTCCCCTCTTTCGACCTGCCATCGTGGCGTTTGTTATGCGGCCCGATACGAGGATCAAGGGGAACTAATGCTCATCATTCCGGAGCAGCAATCTCCACCGGTTTAGCGCCTGTGACATCTCGACTTGGTCGATTTGCCTCGGCGGGAAGGGGGGGGGGGGGGGGGGGTCTCGCCCATGGAAAGTCACAGCTACCACTTTCTTTATACAGATGGATCATGCCGTACTTTGCACAGTCTCAATATGAATACTACACGGGTTATCTCCGTACCCCGTTCGCAAAGTACACAAAGTACGCAGATCGACGATCGTGGTCCACGGCGTCATTTCGAACCGGCTTAGACCAATGATCGACACTCAGGCGCGATGGCTTGCTTTGTTACTTGCGGGGATTGCGCCAGCTCCCATTTGAGGACCAGGAGCCGGTTCAACTGGGCAAGTGGAGAGAGCGGGAAGTACCAACACTGTTTGGTGACAAAGTCCGACGTGTGATTCAAGGGTATCAGGCCAGAAGTGGCTGACCCCACAGGCCAGTGTGCGATCTTGTTTCCGGTGACTAGCCGAGCTCAATGGGATTCAAAACTCCGAGATTAAAATTAAACGGTCCGGGTTCAAGGGGCTGAGACATTTGCTGTATAGACGTTGAGCCCTTTGCCCTGAAGAGGTATAACACGATCACAATATATCAACTGGACGAGTTTAGCTCGAGGAGCTTGGGGCGCTTCGGAAGGTTCCCCGACCACATTGCGCTATGGGCGAGGGTTCCTTTTTTCTCAAATCGTCCCTTATTTCGCCGATCATGGCCCGCTTTGTCTCGAAGATCCCTCTGACCCTGTCTTAGCGTGTGACCCGGCTTTGATGGGTGGAGTACTACAAGAGTCGAGACTGTTCACCGGACCGAAAGGTTACGCGGTGTCTTGTTCTGCTTGCGAAGCTAAGGTGGTCAGGAGAGTGGGGAGGGGGGATGGACGGGCTGTATAGGGGCTACGCGTGGGGGGAGTTTTACACGCTCGCGGGGGCCATCGCAGACTGCATTTGCCCAGCAATCTCGGAGAATAGAGAGGGTGTCAAGGTAGCGAGATAGCCGGTGAAAAAAAAAAAAAAAAAAAAGGTCAAATTGTCTTTTGTTGTCCAGTCCCTCAAGTGCCAGGTTGAGCTTCCAGTGCAAATATTTAAGGGACCCGCTCATTAACCGACAAGCTCCGGCTTACCGCGCGCCAGTGTGTCGAACCCACTGCAATGATATCACACCAACACGGGAACATTGGAACATTGGAACATTGGAACATTGGTTCTCGTGATTCTGAGAATGGATTGACAAACAACTGTAAAAACAATTCAAATGTAATCAAAATGCCGCCATCGTGGTCCGTCACCAATGCGTCGTAGTACATGCGAAAAAATCCATCCCGAAATGCAACGCCTGAGGAATGTCGGACCAGCCTCGCTGCTATGCTCGACCGTACAAAATGCTAGAGTTTATGGGGTTTAAAGCAAGAATGTTGAGCATGGTTCTGCCCAGCAGAACTCGTAGAGGGCAGAGTATACAAAGGGCACGGGCAAAGGCCTACAAAGAGGTCACGCCGGCTGCTTGTGAAGCCACTCTTTCAGTTTCTTGAACCTGAGCAGCAGATTCTAGAGTTTGGCCTCCTGGCCAAGGCTGATATAGGCTTGACGTCTTCTTTGACAGGGGAACGTCTAGTTGAGGGTCTCGCACCGCGTGGTCGCATCTCACATTCCTCCAAATGTCTAGACAAACATCAGTATACGAATTGTACATGTCCATTCGTAAGTGCATCTTACTTGATCAAGGAATCATGTCGAGCTACCTTGAACTCACACCACTCGCAGGCATGCTTGCGCACTCCTCGATGAATCTGGATCCCAGTCAGCCAGTGCCTTTCTTCGGTCCTTTTATTTGACTCGCATTGTCAATGTGTCTCCGAAGATCCGCATTTCTCCCAAACGTCTTCTTGCATCCGGAACAGTTGAAGGTTTTTTTGAAGGAAGGGTCATGCCGTTTCTGGTGCTCGGTACAGTTGGAACGTCTGGTGAAGACGTACCCACACACGGGACATTTGCGTCCGTCCTCCATGTCCTTGTCCATGTGATTATTGAGATTGCGGTTTTTGTTGACGTTCTGCGGAGGATTCGGGGAGAAGCTTTCCGTTGAGGTCGCGCTGCGAGGAGAAGAGGAAGTCTGTGCCGGGTTGTAATGGCTAGCGAGGGTTCTGCTTCCATCTGTGACTGTTGTAGGGTGGTATGATCCTCTGTCGACCGGTATCGTCGGCGGATTAACGGTGATGCATGGCTCTGGGAAGTAAGGTTGATTCCAATGACCGGTCGCGGAGGCGGCTTCTAGTGGAGTTGACGGTCCCGAGCACGGCGTCGGGGTCCAGTAGGCAGGAATCTGCCCTGCGTAGCTGACCGGTCCATCAAGTTCCAAGGCCGAGTTATAGTTTGGGGATAGACCTATGGTCTGTGAGTCATAGAGACTAAGCGGGGTGTTGGACGCGGGTGGTACGCCATTATAATTTGAGAAACAAGGTCCGCTGGAAAAATGGTCGACTTTCATAGGAGCTTCGTAGTAGTTTTCGGTGGTAATCATCTGGTTTGAAGGTGCATGAGAAGCTGCAAACGGTACTGCATGGGGAAATGCCCTTAAGTTGTCGAAGCCGGGCTCCAGGTCACAGCCAGAGATGCCTAGCCCAATCGGCGAGAAATTTAGCCCTTGAGAGGTCGTTGCGGAGACTGGAGAAGGGTAGGTAGCTGACGCATCAAAGGTGTGAGTGTCTTCTGGTATGGAGTGGGCCATCAAAGAACGATAGTGCACCGGAATTTGATCCATGATGATCGTTCTACGGGTCTATCGCAAGACTCAGGTAGAAGTCATGCGCAAGGCGAGATCAAGATAATTGAGGGAATGACGGCAGTATAAATAACGAATGCAACAGCTAGAGCCGTTGGTGACAAGTAGCGGCATACATCGAGGGTGGCTGAGGGACGTCAAGCAGGCACAAGGCTATTGGAGACAAGTTTGCGCCGCATCGGTGGTGAAGAGTTGAGTAGGATTGACGCCTCGCCGAACAAGGCAGATTTTCAAAGAGAAGGGGAAGGGGGGGGGGGTGTCTGCAAATGCGGTGGGAACGATAAGTGGGGTGGCAGACTAACGGCCGGGGGGGGGGGGGGGATCCAGATCGATGAGGTCTGTCTGCAAGTTTTTCAGTAGAAGTACCCATGCACCATAGATTTAGCGCCGGAGAAGAGCGACCACAGATGCCCGATGCTCCCTGGGCAAGTGATATGTCATGGGTTCAGGCAGGTCCGTCTTTTCCGGGCTTAGGGTGTCCCTGGAGTCCTCGGATGGAGCAGAGGACGAAGCGCGAGATTGATGAATCAGAGAAATAAATAATACTGAACTCAGGGAGCGAGACGGGAGATTGGCATCGTGCAGGGTAGGGAGGCCAAAAAGAAACCCCCGACCTGCGACTAAACACAACAACGGCGGCTGCAACTTATGGACTTGGGAAAGGCTAACCATCCCATCGATCACCGCCGGACTGGTCTGCCCAACAGCGTCGCGTCCCATGCAATCCCATGCATGAAGGATGACCGTCTCCAGCCATACAGCATCCTCATTTGAGCCCGAAGCTCTGGGTGCTGGCTTGGCGATATACATCGTACTTGAACGCTGTACGCCCTGAGTGTTTCCATACACAGCCCCTCCATGTTGGACTTCCGTCTTCACTTTTTGCCATCTGACTATTGTCGCTTGCCGAACTACCCTTCCGAGGCGTATGTATACCACCGTCGGCTCCACATGTTGCACCCCACAGGTTGAGTAGGGGATCCATGAGCTATGTAATAAACACGGACCCTAAAACAGAGTAGAATCCACAGGTTATTGAAAAAAAAAAAACCAAAAAAAAAAAAAAAAAAAACCACAGATATTCATAAAGTTGAGAAAGCCTCGAAAAACGCCGTAAATCGCTAATTCTAACCAATCTAGTCTTCAAACTCGAGACGTTAGGGTGGCTCCACACTGTCGTGCAGGGGGTCGAGGTCGTGCGTGGCTGTAGGCGCTAGGGCGGTGGCCCCTTCAAGGTTGAGCACGATGACCCCTTTTCTTCTGGATAAAGAAAGTGCATGTCACAAATCGGTTTCATTCGGCACGGTGCTGCGCGGCCGTCCTGGATACGCGCTCCACCTGCGCTCGAAGCTGTTCAATTGCGTCGATCACATCCGCGAGCTGTGCCTGGCCGCCCCGCGCCGAGTCTGGTTCACGCACATCATCCTGCTCCACATCGGTTCGTTCATTTCCAGGGCCTGGGCGTGTTTCGGCTACGCAAGGGTGCTGTGGGTCCTGACATCGTGAGGCACTCGGCTGACCGGCAGGGACATGTCCTGCCATTTGCAATGGAGGGAGACCTGTGGTCCGTCGATTCAGACGGCGCCAGCTGGACTCATAGACCCAGATGAGCATGACAAAGGGAAGGTGAGTTGCGCGCAGGAGGACAATGCGCACGCGACGAACCGTCCCCGCTGAAAGAAACAGTCGCATGGGGCGAATGCAAAATAGCGGGATTAGATTCTTTGTGACATGTGAGCTTTTCGACGTTCCAGAACTTGAACAGAAGCCTTCAAGGTTTCTCGTGGGCGCTAACTGACCAGGGGGGCATGAAATACGTCAGGCGTCGGGAGTTGCTGCTCTCCAGAACGTAGATAGACAATCTACTTAATTAGCGCCACGGGAACTTCTCCGTAGGGCAGTGCGATGATTCTCGTCAATTCGGGAACTCGGTACTCACTGGAAAAGATATTCCTCACGAGCATGAAGCATTACCTAGAATACGATTAGCAACATGTGGTAATTTACGCGCCGCGACCGAACGCACCCCTTCCATGCTCATGCTCATCAGACTGATCAGCGATGAGAGTAATAAAATATTGCTCATCGGAACAAAAATCAACCTGCGATATCGTCAGTGATGGGGCCAAACGTAGAATCTCAAAATTGAATCATATAGAAATGCGTGGCAGTTAATGCGGGGACGACATCAGCCCTAAGAGGAATAGGCTGGAACACCGCAAGATGCCAAACTACTGCAGGCCACCGTCACTTCTCAAAACGTGATCACGGCATTATGCGGTGATTTCTGTCTCGACGTGACACACAAGGGGGAAACTCACATCAAGCCGTAGCCGAAGATCGGGGAGATCTAAAATTTAGCGCGTTAGTCAACTAAACGCGATAGCCAACCATTTCGCCAATCTGCAGGGATCGTGCAGAAACAGCCGCTAGTTGCAGTAGACTTACTTCAGCTGCGGAGTCCTATAGCCAATCAATGCAGCCACCGTCAGTCAAATATGCAGGTCAAGGGAGTAGTGAAGTCACCCACGAGTCCAAGAGCGCTAGATCTGCCTTGCAGTTAGAAAGAAGCGGTCGACAACAAGGGATCTTCACCGCCATACCCAAAAAACACTTTCACTAGCATCCACGACATTTCTTTGAGCGACAAGCGGTCGCGGGCCAGCATCGTAAACGTAGTCAAGAACCCTGCAGTGATCCCGTCCGTTAGTTGTTTCAGGTCTACTGGGCTATGCCATCTCAGCCACTCTCACCGATATACAGGACCATCACTACCGGCAAGAATCTAAAGAAAGCTTTCGTCTGGAAATCTATCAGCCTTGCGGCCCCACAAGCCGGTTTCGAAGTGACACAGTACCATCTCTTTTAATACCGGAATCTGTCATAGCCACAGTCAGAAAAGGCAGGTTTTCAATATAGGTCATACGACTTACGAGACTGCCAAAATAGGAGTTCAGGCTCACGAGGGAGCATATTCTGTGGGTCTTGCGTCAGAATCTGCGAGCTGCGAATTGCATGCCGGTCAAAATGCAGGGCAACCTACCTCGGGACCAAAAATAGAGCCTCAAGGGACAGGATATCGAATGACATATCGAGGATATAGTCATCCCCCCTCGCTAACCCAATGGTCCCTGCGCGTCCCCTGTCAGTCCTAGAATTTGTAGATGACCCACTTGCGCAGTTGAGGATTGGCAAGGCGGACTTCAGAACAGTAAACTCACTCGTAATAATGAAGGAGATTCCGACACCGATAATGCCGAGGTTCCAGAGGCTCCAGAAGTCCATCTGGTAAAACAACATGCCCGCGTCGACCATTCCACTCAGTTCGTCATATGCAAAAGCAGCAATCCACACATCCATCAGTGCCTCAAAGAATCCGAGGCCATTCTGTTTTCTCTCCACAAGGACTGAATAGTACAGAAGCAGGAAGGAAAGGAAGAAGGCTGCTTCGAACAATTTTCGGTACACGGGCACTCTCAACCTAGAATATGGATCCGCCGTTCTGGATGTGCGGGTGAGCCAGCTATCACACAAGTTGCTAAGTCAGTACTAACCTTCTGTTGAACATGTGCGGATTTTTCTTCGAGTTCACGGTAAGTGAATCCCAGAACACAATTTCCCCGTTCCAGATGTCGTTGACCACGCGCTGAACAACCCGCTGGCTCAGGAATCTTTTGGCCTGGGCAATGGCGGCAATTTCCAGTGCATTCAAGCCGAAGAATCGAGAATATCTAACGATACCATGGGCTTCCTCACTGATGCTTTCTCCTCCGGTTTCACTGTTCCGGGGGCATTCTCAAGCACAAGCCGGGAGACAGCAGTCGAAGAGCCAGACAAGAGTGGAGTAATTTCCATTTGCCTCGGTGTCGTTAAACCGGAGAGTCCTCTTCCCGCTTCTACTGAATTTGTAGACCCACGTCGCGGGATCGGTAGTTCTTCTAGCAGAAAGTCGATGGTTTCACGCTGGTCTAAATGGCACAGAAACTGCCAGGCAACGAATTCACAGGCCGAGCCTCGACTTTCATTGAGTCCCCAATCGTCCTCGGGGGCATTGGTAAAGTCCCATTTCAAGATCCTGTGTCACCTAGTCAGCCTCGTTCTTTTTCAGATGAGCTGGACATGGCTTACATCAACGCAACAATAATAAATGGGTTGTGGCTATCCTCGGCCAGGGTGTGAACCAGCTGTCGCAGACGTTGCCCTCGGGATCCATATCTCATTTGCTCAAATGAGTATGCCATGTCACCCACGGCCAGACTGATGAAACTGCTCACGTAGATTAATGTCGGTCAGATTTGGATATCTTGGAGTGCAGGAGATACCTAGACAACTTGGGTATTACTTCGAACAGAGGCTCATCTGTGCCAATGTTGGGAATGACAACGTGGTCCATGGTATTTGAATCCGTAGAGCGCGTATGCAGGCTGGACTTGGCGGAATGCAAACTGTGGAGTTCGGCTAGAGGCGAGCCCATGTCCAAGATGTAGAACCGAAACTCCCAAGAAAGTCCACGTGAGTCGGTTGATCAGATATTGACTGATCGATCTTTTCACTCTGTATGGTAGTGCCTCACCCCTGCGTTCTTTACCGTTCCCTTGGCGCGCTCTTTGCCGTTCCCTTGGCCGCCAGGGTGTATCCTGGAATCCAAGCGGAACTTAATACCGACACATGAACATCGTAGACGAGAATAGAGTAACAGATTCAATGCATCAGATTTTCCGAACCAAATTAACAATGATCAAGTGTAGGTGTTCTAGAAAAGAAGACCAAGCTCAAAGATGTTGACATCACTCACCGCCTATCCATCACGTGCGTACACGTCAAGTGACCGCAACCTCCGCTTATCAACTTATCGATCGTTTCATCTCCCTCTAATAAACTTGGGAGATGACGTCCGGGCAAAAACATGGGCCAAGGTTACTCCCTCACTACCCTGTCCGCGGGGTCAGCAGGGATCGATGTGCCCGAACTTTCAGATCTGGTGTATGAGAAGTCCATGGGTGGAGGCCGGTTTATGAAGAGCATCCGCGCGCGACAACAGAATGGCTTGGTCTTCGTGAAGGTCATTATGAAACCATACCCGTCGATGCAACTGGAGCAATACGTGAAATCCATAATCAGTATGCGATCTTTACTCAAAGCGCTCTTAATGATCAAGCTAACCATACCATCACAGGGGAACGCAAGCTCCTGTCGGACGTGCCCAATGCATTGAGCTACGAGAGGATTCTAGAGACCGGTACTAGTGGTTATCTAGTTCGCCAGTATATCCACAGCTCTTTGTACGATCGGATGAGGTATGTTCACGTATGTTGACATCAGATAAACCAGAACTGACGGACGACTACACAGCACTCGACCATTTTTAGAGGAGATTGAAAAGAAATGGATCGCATTCCAACTTTTGTGTGCACTGCGTGACTGCCATTCACTGGACATCTTCCATGGTGATATAAAGACCGAAAACGTTCTTGTCACGTCATGGAACTGGCTATATCTCTCCGACTTTTCTTCATCATTTAAGCCTACTTTTCTACCAGAAGATAACCCAGCCGATTTCTCCTTCTATTTCGATATCTCAGGACGACGTACATGCTACCTAGCGCCAGAGCGATTTCTTGAAGCTGGAGAAGAGCCTGGAAACCGTCATGTCAACTGGGCGATGGATATTTTCAGTGCCGGCTGCGTGATTGCAGAACTCTTTCTCGAGTCGCCGATTTTCACACTCAGTCAGATGTACAAATATCGCAAGGGCGAATACAGTCCGGAGCACAGCCAGTTGGCGAAGATTGAAGACCCGGAGATCCGGGAGCTGATCTTGCACATGATTCAGTTGGACCCAGAATCTAGATATTCTGCTGAGGAGTATCTGAATTTCTGGAAGAACAAAGCTTTCCCCGAATACTTTTACAGCTTTCTTCATCAATATATGTCCCTCATGACGGATCCATCATCAGGGAGAACGAAGGTGGACGCTGAATCCACCAACCGAGGTGAAACGGACGATAGAATTGAGCGAGTCTGCTTCGACTTTGACAAAATAACCTATTTCCTTGGCTCGACATCCCGAGGCTCTCGAGAAGCATCTCAGGCCAGTGACTCCCGACTCACTGGAGACATTCTTCCGGTAAAACTCGACCTACCTAATGGTGGAAACCAGATGCCGGGGCTGTCATCACAGTCAGACGACGGCGTTTTGATCTTTTTAACACTGGTTGTATCAAATCTTCGGACCACAGCGAAGGCTTCGGCTCGAATGAAAGCCTGCGATATTCTCCTAGCCTTTGCGGAACGGTTATCGGACGAGGCAAAGCTCGATCGCGTTCTCCCTTACATTATGATTCTATTAGCGGACCGGATAGATGCCGTCAAGGTCGCCGCAATTCGCACACTAGCCCAATTACTGGACATGGTTCATGTGGTTTCTCCGCTAAACGCCTATCTTTTCCCCGAATACATCTTCCCGAGGCTTCAATCATTCGTCATCTCGTCCAAACACAATCCGAGCCCATTGGTCCGTGCGGCATATGCCTCATGCATTGCATCCCTAGCACAGTCATCTCTCCGGTTCTTAGACATGATCCAAGCATTGCGTTCCGATTCGCGTTTGACGGCGCTGATTCCTGCCGGCTTAGAATCACAATGGACTGAGGATGCCACATATCGTACTCTTTATGATATTGCTAAGGGTGATCTACTAGCGTATTTTGAGGTTCACACCAAAGCTCTTCTCACAGATACGGATGCTTCCGTTCGTCGAGCCTTCCTAGGATCCGTGTCCAGTCTCTGTGTGTTTTTTGGCAACATCAAAACAAACGAGGTCATCTTGAGCCATCTGAACACGTACCTAAATGATCGGGACTGGATCTTGAAATGTGCTTTCTTCGAAGCTGTGGTTGGTGTCGCTGCATACGTCGGAAGCATCAGCCTGGAGCAGTACATTCTTCCTCTAATGCTCCAATCTATGACTGAGCCCGAAGAGTTCGTCGTGGAAAAGGTGATTCGCTCCCTTGCAGCCATGGCTGACCTTGGACTTTTCCAACGGTCTACGACTTGGAATCTACTCTTTATCACTGTCAACTTCTTAGTGCACCCAAACATCTGGATCAGGGAGGCTACTGTGAATTTTGTGGTCAAGACCACCAAGTTTATGTCAAAAGCGGACATCTTTTCGATTCTGACGCCTCTCATCCGACCTTTCCTGAAAGTCAAGATCATTAACTTTTCCGAGGCGGATCTTCTAGATGCCCTTAAACGACCAATGCCCAGAAACATCTATGACATGGCTTTTCTTTGGGCAATAAAAGCCGACAGAGGGCTCTTCTGGGACCCGTCGAGCTCCCAGGGAGCATTCAGTCTTCCGGAGCCGGGCAGTCATAGTTCTGGTATGGGACTAACTCCCGTTTCCCTACTAGGCGCTCAGAAGAACGACGAAGATGAGCAATGGCTCTCCAAACTGCGGAACCTCGGCATGAGCCCAGAAGATGAGCTCAAGCTTTTTGCACTCCGAGACTACATTTCTGGAGTCTCGCTTCGCCAATCAAGAGATCTCGATACCGGTCCATCTATGCCGTTGAACGATATTATCAGTCTATCGCAGCATGGGGTCACGCCTCAAACAGTTTTCTTCGACAAGAATCTGAATGAAAGGCCACGAGACTCTCCTGTACATCGAACTGAAGGTCATGTTGTTGATGATAATAAGCCGAAAACGATCGCGGATGCGCTACTCGATGCCTCCACAACAATCGAGCGAGGCCCGGGCGCTCATCGCAAACATGCTAGAGCTAGAAGCCAACTTCATAAAGAATTGGAGATCCCACGTCCAGGTCGCCTTGATCACATTGGGGTCGATTCTTCGTCTGCATCTCCTGCTGCATCGTCCCCTGCTGGTCCTGGATCTCGCCCAATGTCTCCCCGGGGCTCTGATGTTGATCAGGATCGTGTTCCTGCCAGTCACCTGTTGAGCTCCGGTCAAGATAGCTTGTCAACAACCCCCACCAATACCGATAATCTTTCTCTCAGAGGCGACAAAGTCCATCGAAAGTCAAGCGCAATCAACCTCCTCGGTCGCAACGAGCCTACCAAGACATACGCGGAAACCGGCACAAGCTCGGCGAATGCGTTTGGAAAGGTGGATGCACCCATGCATCGTGGAGGGACTCCTCAACCATCGCCTCTCTCTCAGGCTTACGAACGCAAGTTGGTCCAGGCGCCCGCGCGGCGATATCATGCCAATCATTCATACGCAGGTGATGATCCCGCGGTTTTACAGCTACTGGATAACGTTTTTGCGGAGAACTACCCGACCGACCTATTTGACTTGGGCCCGTATGTCAAGGAGCTGGATCCTCGACTGCCAATCCGCCAACCTAATAGCCAAGATCCCACGAAGATGTGGAGGCCGGAAGGACATCTGGTAGCCACCTTTGGTGAGCATAGCGGCCCGGTGAACCGTATTGCTGTGGCCCCGGACCATTCTTTCTTTGTTACAGCATCCGATGATAGCACCGTCAAGATCTGGGATACGACTCGGCTTGAGCGAAATTTGACCCCTCGCTCCCGCCAGACCCATCGTCATGCTTCTGGGGCACGGGTGAAGGCATTGACGTTTGTCGAGAATACGTACACTTTCATCAGCGGTGCTACCGATGGGAGCATTCATGCAGTCCGAGTTGACTACCAAAAGGTCAACGAAACTGCCCGGTATGGAAAACTCCAAATCGTGCGGGAATACCAGCTCCCGACTGCCGAGAACGGATTGCCCGAATATGCTGTCTGGGTGGAACACTTCCGGGATGAGGGCCAGTCAACGCTACTGGTTGCCACCAATACCTGCCGAATCATCGCGCTGGACATGAAAACCATGATGCCCATCTACACCCTTGAAAACCCAGTCCACCACGGAATTCCAACCACCTTTTGTTGTGACCGTCGGCACACATGGCTGCTGGTAGGAACGACTCATGGTATCATGGATCTTTGGGATCTCCGTTTCCGTGTACGATTGAGGGCATGGGGCCTTCCAGGCTGGGGGTATGTCCACCGAATCCAGCTGCACCCGCTTAAGCCAAGAGGACGCTGGGTCTGCGTGTCCAGTGGCGGCTCCCGCGGTAATCAAATCACCGCGTGGGATATTGAGAAATTCCGCTGTCGCGAGGTCTATCAGATGGCACCACAGAGTCTCAACGACGTCACTTCTGGTGCCGCACAGCGGGGCTCCTCTCGACCTGTCGCTCCTCGTGGACAACGTCTCAATGTCAAAGATTTCGAGGCATGGTCCGTTGATGATGATCGACCGGAGGGTATGCTTCGACGATTTGCCAACGCTCCCGCTGCGGCTGGAATGGGCGCTATCCCCGAAAGCAACGGCTCCGCGGCTCCTAACCACTCATCCGGTGATCAGCTCGGGACATGGGCATTTGCCGCTGGTCTCAACCCTCCGGACGACGTTAAAGCGAACAGCAGCAAATGCGGGTTCATTATCTCGGCGGGATGCGACCGGAAAATTCGATTCTGGGACCTTGCACGCCCAGAGGCCAGCATGATCGTCAGTGGTGGAGACTCAATAGGCAAGCCGACCTACGAAATGGCATCGATTGCAGCCAACATCCAAGTCACCCTGGAACACCAGCCTTCGACTCCAGCCACCACTAGCAATGCTGGTAACGCCAAGAAGGGTACCAGTCCACGCCCCCCCTCGCAGTACTGTCATTAGTCTTCAGCAGCAACAGCTTTTGAAGAGTCATCTGGACATTATTCAGGACGTTGTGGTGCTGCGGCAGCCTTACGGGATGATTGTGAGTGTTGACCGCGCCGGAATGGTCTACGTCTTCCGGTAAGGAGTGTGTGACTAGCGTTACTTGTTTTTCCTTATCGGGGTGATTCATGGGCCGTGGAGCAATAGAATACCCATAAACTGGATGGAACCAATTCCTATGTTTCTTCATAGTCGGTACCAACTGTTTGTCAACCATGTAATGATAGAAATAACGGGTACGCAACCGTTCTACGACCCCACGTTCAAATACGCTTAAGAACCGAATGCCTCTGTAGATGTGGGACAAAGTCGCCTAAAAATAAGCCAGCCAGAAAAGAGTAGCATCGGGTAAGTTACTTAGCACAGATCAAAGATCAATAGATACCTCACAGATGACAAATGCGATTTTGAGGGGTGTGCGGGCGCACCCATTACGGGAGTTGTCCGAGACGTCATTCAACTTGAAGTATTCAAACGTTGTTCGCACCAATTGACTATTGCCCAGGTGTGATCACTCCGTGCATTCAGTACCGTGGAACTATGTATGTTGCAGGGAATGCAGATTTGGCTATCTAGGCTTGAACATTTAATGCTGAACAAAGAAATAGCCCGACTCGACGAATCGATAGCTCTCGGATATATTTGTGAGTCGGGAGTCAACCCCTCACGACTTGGGAAACCTTGTTTATTTTTGACTTTGGTACCTCGCCCCAGGCTCAAATGATCAAATGATCAATTTTAGACCCGAAGTCACCATCGTTGACTTCCCGTTCCATTCTACATAGCTAGGTAGTACTTACTGCTATTCTGAAGCTCTACGAGGGCAGGACACCGGGGTCAGCTCACGGGGACCTTAGCTAAGCTCAGTCCCGAGTGGAGAAGGGTCAAAGTTAGAGTGATTCCGGAAGTACTCGGTACTTCTAAGACATATGGGGTGCAGCGCGACGGCCGAAGTAGTGGATACCTCTGCAGGTACAAGCTGGGCTGTGGAGACGGACGACGCCGCTGTTTCGGATTGCTGGATCGGTGGTTGATCAGCGGCCCCAGCTTCGACTTCCTTGCTCTTTCGCGATTCTGTTCTTTTGGTTAGTCCCCTGTTCGCCCCCTGCCCTGCAGCTTGGGCCAGAAGACATGCAGCTGCATGTTACTGATCGGATCGATTGGCCCCCATGGTTTGCTCAGATGCGAGGTTGGAAGAGCACTGAAATCTCTGCAATCGTTGCAATCGTTGCAACAATTGCAATCTCTCGTGATTCATAACCCCATCCCTGTCTTGCATTCGGTAGGGATCCTCGTCTTGTACCCTACGAATGACAGCCCTTGGGATCCAGGTTGCCCCCAGAGGGGATTGGTCCGATAGGCCATCTCGATCTCCGTGAACCTCAGACGGCTCGTAGGTTTTTTTGGGGGTGGTTTGACATGGGGTGGAGATACCTAGAGGACTGAGAGAACGGAGATTCCGTACTTTGAGTCCGAATGGATGATCCTTCACATTTCAGGGGTCATCAACCTTACGAACACACGGACCATGATAAATCAAAAATCCTCCCCCAAAAAACAAATCAGTAAAATACGTGGGTCTGCAGCCTTCGCACTCGTGTCAACACGGGACAAACAACGGCTCGAGACGCATCTCGAACCCGAGGGAACCATGGCCCATCAGACGATTGTCCAGTTGCGCATTCGCTTCCATATCATGGATCTCGATCGGCGGGTGCCCACTCGATCGTACCTCTCTCTCGCCACGTCCGACAATGTCCATTGTCGCGTCGTGGGCGCTTGGGACTCCTCACTTCTGTGAGCAGTGGTGAGACAACTGGTCTGTAGATGTAACCCAGTGCACTGCAGGCCCTCGGTCGATGACAGTGGCAAGGAGTGAAATGAGTGAAATGTTAAGAATTGGACCGTGAGCAGACCCAGCGCCATTCCATTCTGACCTATCGATCGTGGGGATGAAACGACACGCATGAAACGGATTGGATAGATCGCTTTCGACCGAGGGTTTGGTGTTCGGTGTGGGTGTCAGGGTGCGGACAGTATTAGTATCAGGATCAGGATCAAGATCCGTTACCAAAGTACTCCGCACCGAGACACATTCCTCAGCATCTACAGTACAGCGCAGCGCAGGACAGGACAAGAGACCAAGATCCTCCCCCTAGCAGGGATCAATTCCAATTTCCCAAAAATCTCCGTCGAAATTTAATTAACGGACCGGGACCAAGTGGAGACCTTCTGCCCGCTCCATCTTGAGTGTTCGTTAGTCCCCGAACCATCCCCCTTTGGTTTAGTCTCGACCTTCTCCTATTCTTCTCTCTTCCCCCCCCTAAACTTCAAACCCTTTCAACCTTCGATAGTGGACACTCTCTACCGGCCTGGGGCTTCTGACACTCCCTATTATCCAACTTCGGCCTCAATCGTTTTCTCGTTCTTTGATTGCTCTATTTTTCTATAGACCCGGCACTCCAGCAGTGCAGAGGTTCCCTCATCCCCGAGGCCCGAACCCTACTGTACACCCGACATATATCGAATTCCCGCCACAATGGGACCATCTTTGAGAGATCACTCGTCCTTTGTCCGGCCCGCCACTCGGGACCGGCCTGCGACTCGCGGCGAAGGGGAAAATTCGCTGGTCGTCCCTAGCCGCACGTCGTCGCTGCACTCCCGCATCACGCAACCTATTCCTTCTTCGCTCAGCACCAAGCCCGCTCAGCGGACTCCTAAAACTCTTACTCATGCATACATGGTCTGCGGTGTCGGCCGTGAACCTTCACAATGGGTCAAGGCACCTGCTCCCGACCAGGGCAAGATTGGCCACATGAAAGGTGCCGTCGGCCAATTCTGGCTCCCCGAGATTCTGGGCAGCAGCCCCCGGTTAGAACAGGACAATGAAATCGCGAGATCCTTGCACTCGGCCATGAGGGTAAGCTTTGAAACAGTGGTGGAAATGGCACGAGAGGACTAATGAATCGATATATAGGCTTGCTTCCCCCACGACGTAGAAATCTGCACCGGAAAGAGCCAGCCCCACTGTGCTCACCACGCCTTCGTCCTTCAGCAGGACTCTTCTCATACTCTGTACGGTATCGCGCTGCGCGTTTGGTCCCGTGCCGACGAGAAGCGTGCCGAAACCATCCGCGAGCTTCGCAAGAAGACCGAGCCCGACTTTTACGACAACCCCGATGAGACCTACTGGATCCCTTATTGCTTGAGTTTCCTGTCCCGCTACCCTCTATACGACCTCTTAGGCGACTACCTTCGGGGCATGTGGATCCACTGGAACAAGGCCACCAACCTCTTCCATGCCGAGGAGGTTTCTCGCATCCTGAGCTTCCCAGCTCCTCGCCTTAATGATTTGGTCCGGATTGATATGAAGGACTATGCCCTCTGCTACCAATTCCCATCATCACCCACCGGCTTCCAAAACTTCTCCATGTGGCCCCTTTTCAACTGTCTGTCCATTCCCAACATCGTCGGTGTCGTCGAGGCCGCTGTGTCGCCCACTCGCCGGATTATCTTCGTCAGTCACTACCCGGCTATGCTGACCGTGGCTTCTGAGACTGTTCGCTACTGCGTGCGTGTCTACGAGTGGAGCGGTCTGTATGTGCCCGTTGTGCACGCCCGCCACGTGAAGGATCTTGTCCAGGAGCCCGGCCCTTATATCCTGGGTATCACGGCCGAGTGCCGAACTCTCTTCAACGCTCCCTCCGATGCCCTGGTCGTTGACTTGGACCGCAACTTTGTTCTGACCTCCAGCCCTCCCAACGTTCTTAACCAGGGCCAGCGCACCAAGTTTATTACCCGTTTGACACAAGCCTTGAACGGCGATGTGTCTCCCTCCGGTGTTCCCACTCATCTGCGCTCCGCCTACGCCGGTGGCAAGCTGATCCCCGCCGGTCAAATTATTGTCATGCGCGGCGAGGTCGAGAGTGTTCAGGAGCCTCAGTGGTGGAACCAGGATGCCGTTATGGGTGTCATGGACCACGTCTGCGAGAAGCTTGGCCGCAACACCGGCATGAAGGCCATCTTCGGTGGCTCTGTCAAGAAGCCTCTGATGACCAAGGTCTCGATGCGTCACCTGAACGAGATCGTCCGCGAGCGCAACCAGTACTCTCGGGATGCCATGGAGGCTTGGCAGGATTTCATCAACCTCAAGGGCCGTATGGACACCGAGCTCAGCAAGGTTACCAAACGCAACAACTTCCTTGTCGAGGAGCTCGAGACCTGGAAGCAGCAGTTCCTCAAGTTCCAGGCCTTTGCTGAGCAGCTCACCAAGGAGACCTCCGAACTCAAGGTCAAGATCGAGAACCATAAGCGCGAGAGCCGTCGCCTTACTGGTCTTATTGACCAGCAGAAGGATGACGTTGCTCGTCTCACCCTTCGTCTGTCCGGTACCGAGAAGCAGCGTGATGATGCTCTCGAGGCTCTAGTCCTTCAGCAGGAGATTGCCGAAGAGCTCGAGCGCGAGCGCAAGCGCAATCAGAAGGAGCTCTCTGCTCTTAGCCACACTAACGCGACACTCGGTCGCCAGCGTGACGATGCTCAGCGTGTCGTTCTGCACCTGCGTAGCCTCATTTGCGGCCAGAGCCACCACATGGAGCACATTGTGCGCTCTATTGGTAGCAGTTCCGAGATTACTGAGATGGTCGAGCAGGGTTACGAAGTCGCCCCCGAAGAGTCTATCGAGGACAAGTCAGAGGTTGCAAAGGAGATATCAGCGGGCAAGAGCAGCACAAGCAAATCGGTAAATGATATGAACCCCGCGCTCGAACAGCACCTGCTGAACCTTGGAAAGAACCACAAGTCCGCTGCTCGTCTGAGTATGTCCGACGTGGCGGATCGTTACCTTCAGGACAAGACCGATGCCATCGCGAACATCATCCGCAGCATCAGCGACCAATGCGCCGCCGCCGTCGAAGGTCTGCATCTCGCCCAGGATGCCGAGGATGAGGAGGCCGAGGCCTCGAAGATCTCGTCCACCCACAACTCTCCCCGTCTGGGATCCGAATACGAGAGCCAGGACGGTCGTACCACCCGCGCCACCAGTGAAGTGAGCGACGTCGATAACAGCTCCCTGCACCCGGAAAACCGCCACTCCAGCATCCCTCCCACCCCAGACCTCATTCACAACCGCTCCAGCACATCCATGTCTATGGTCAGCAGCTCAACCTTCCCCGAGCGTTCGAGCCAGCAGTACGGACCTGGTGACATCCCGACCCGCATCGTGGAGGATGACGACGAGCACGCCCACGACTCTGGCGATGACCAGCAAACCGAGACTGGCACTCTGTCCAAGCAGGCCAGTGAGGATCTCATGCGGCCCAACACTGCCCGTGTGGTCTCGTGATTTGGTTCCATCACTCCTTCAAGGATGATTGCAACGCTTGACTGAGACGACCCTGTTTTTTTTTTTTTTGCCTTTTCTTTGGCGTGGTCTTACCTTCTTCTGATTGGCGCCGAGAGAGTTTTCGGCCCAGCATTGTTTTGTTTCGCTTCGTCGTGTCGAATATTTTGATACACCTATTATATCCATCCGCCTTGAATCCTCATCTTCTTGTCTATTGATTTTGCGGCTTTATTTCCAACAGGTGTTCTTTTTGTGTTACCTGGGAATCTGTTACTTTGTGTCGTACCTTCTGGGATGGACGACTCTCTTGTCTGCTTTCCGCTCCTTGTCCTCGGCCTTTACTTCAAAATTTGGCGTGAGAAGGAGCTATACTCTGCACTCTTACTCCTGCACCAAGAACCAGCAGGCTTTTCTTATATTGTGCCACACTCCCTATTTCCTTTTGTCCGCAATCGTCGATCTGGACTCACTCGATTGCCTATGGGATTCCATCCCTACTGTATTTAAAAATGGACTCTATAATTGCTTTACTCCGTGTCAACACTGTAGACGTTGCTTGCTTTGTAGATGATAGACCCGCGTTATGCTAGATTTGGAATATGTACATGTCAATAAGCAAGACATCACATTATGCAAGCTTCCCAGGAACAACGGGGTGCCCGGCGCTCAGTCCGCCACAAACGGCCCAGGCCTGACCATTAACGTAGCTGCTCTCATCACTACCCAAGAACAAGGCCACACGTGCAACCTCATCGGCTACAGCACCCCGCTGTGTGGGGTTCAACTGTCCGATCTTGCGCTGCGTGCCGCGCTTCCGAGCATGGTCGAAGACTGCCTGCGTCATACCCGTCTCGATCAGACCAGGGCAGATGGCATTGATTCGAATACCAGTACCGGCCAGCTGATATGAAACGGTCTGCGCAATAGACACAACTGCAGCCTTAGACGCAGAATAATCTGTCGAGCCAGCGTTAGAGCGCAGTCCAGCCACCGATGCAGTGCAAATAATAGAGCCACCGGGATACGGCTTCGCTTCCGAGGTCAATTTCATCGCCGGAGCGGCATGCTTGGCAGCCAGGAAAGGACTGTCGAACATATTAGTTTGCATCTTGCAATGTGAGAAAAGAAGCTTACCCCAATGCATTAACCTTCATAGTCTTCATGAATCCATCACCGTCAGTCTCGGTGAACATCTTCTGCTGGCCGCTAATACCGGCATTGGCGAAGAAGATATCCAGCCGGCCGTATTTGGCAACCGCTTCGTCGATAACAGCCGTCAGGGCCTTTTCATCGGCAGCATCAAATTGTCGCACATGCACATCCACACCTGGGTACAGAGACTCGATCTCACGCTTGTGTGTTGCGAGATGCGAGTCGTCGAAGTCACAGATGTAGACGGCTTTGGCGCCGTTGTGCGCGAATTGATGGGCGCTGGCACGGCCAATTCCATTGGGAGAGTTTGCTCCTATATGAGGCTTAGTATTCTTAGTTCTGAAGAGCTTTGGCGCACTCTGTAGAGCTTACCGGTGACAATTACCACCTTGTCTTTTATCCGACTATACCGAGGTTAACTTTAGTCTTTCATAGCCATTGAGAAGGTAGCTTCAATAATGTATGGCTTTCCAAATGACGTTCCGTGGAGAAAGCACTGGATATTACTCACGGGCCTACAGAGTCTGAGGCAATATGCCGAATCTTGGGAATACCCTCAAAAGTGCCTTCATCGGGGATGCCCTCGACAAGCTGTTTGCTGAGGGCTTGGAGGCGCTGCCGAGCTGCCGCAGACATGATGATATCAGGGAAAGCTGAGATTTGAATATGAGAAGAAAATAGTTGTTCGATGCTCAGATTAGAGGTTGATCGAGATTGACCAAGGTAAAGTAGCAAGTGTAAGACCAAAGAAGTAGGGAACCCTCCGCACCTTCCCCACTCGGTCGGTTACTTTGCGGAGAGCCGAGGCTGAGATCAGGTGACTTTTCATAGCTCTGTATTAAGGTCACATGATGTATAGCTCTATCATCACGTGATAGCGTATCACGTCATGTGCCGATGCTTGTTTTGGATGTGAGGCCTTAGCTTGTGTCAGACTTCAAACCCTCTTTCTGCCCCGTCTTCAGCGTGCGCTTTTTTTTTCAGGCCGCAGTCATACCTCCCCTGTGCTGTTGGCTATCACCGTTGTCACCGTTGCGACCCTTGACGCCGATCTCCCTTCATTCTCAAGGTCCACACAGATCGTCTAGGATCGCCAAAAACGCGCGACAAAAGGAAGAAACGCCCTGTTGCAAGGTTTGCTCCTTTCTACACCAACTTCCAGTCGAATCTTCTCGAAAATCTACGCCTGCCAGTGAAACGAAGCATTCATGAAGTCCGTAACCGCCCATTCCGACGTCTATGCCATCTACCAGTCATTGAGTCATGGCCGAGCCCGATCCTCATCCCCAGCGACGGTCTTCCTCCCAGGCCTCGTCCGCGTCCAGCAGGAGCCAAAAGGCTAGAACACTTCGCATAAAAGGCCAGAAACGAAACTCGGCTTCTTCTCATGCGCCCACCGATCTCACCTCGTTCCCCTCGCTTTCCCCGCCTGATCACGCCCCCACTTTGACCGGCGGGTTGACAAGTACGTTGATGACGGGAAATGGCGTGGATGGGGCCTCAGATACTGGTCGTGGGCGTAAAGCCACTTTGGCTAGGCTTACCACCGGTGTGTCTCACAAATCAGGTCGGGCCGCCTTATTCGAGGATTCCGCCCCGCTACGCGACATCCCAGGAGCCCTACATTTGGCGGATGATGCCCACATTGAGCGCCTGATTTCGAGCACCGGTGCCGTGAAGATTGTCAGACAGTATGCGCGGGATCTGGCTCAGCGGGATGCTGAGATCTCAGCTCTGCGGCAACGCGCTGATGCAAGGGAGCGAGAGCTCAAGCGGATGCTTCGAGAAGTGTCTGTATCAAGCCAGGATGTTGAGCGTCGCCTATACCAGGTAGAGAATCATCCGGAGGACCGCAACTCGGACGGAGAGAGCAGCCACAGTGGCGGGAATTCCGCGGGGCTGGATGGTCTCATGTCCCAGGCTATGACAGATGCAGTTGGATCTCAACCCGATGCAGATAACCCAGATCTCCAAGCTACTATTCGTGCTCAGCGATCGGAAAACGAAGCTCGCATCGAGGGATTTAGCACCGAATCAAGCAACAATCGAAAGCGAACGGGATCATTGCGCGGCTGGGGTGACTACTTCTTCGGTGGTTCGGCCAATGCGAGTCGGAAGACCAGTCGTGCCAGCAGTGTCATGAGTGATATGCAGGGCATCGAAGAGGAAGGTGGCGAACGTCCTCGGTTACCCAGCAACCCCGCTGTCCGTCGCAAGGCTCTTGACGAACAGCTTTTCCAGCCTCCGGGCATCTCCGCGAGTGAAGCGAAACGCATTGCCGGCGGCTCTACGAATGGCGACGACCATTCAAGTGTTCATTCACGGAAATCATCACGCTCACTCGGGTCTTGGACAGTCAAATTGTTTGCCGGTAATACACAGACGCCAAAGGAGGCCAGCGATTCCGAGGCCAGTCGCAGCAAGTCTGACAATCCAGACAAATCCATTACCCAGCCGGGCACTCCAAAGAGCGGGATGTCTGCTGTTGCTGCATTGAAGAAGATCAATGGCAACACCGTGGTTCCACCTGGACGTACAGCCAGTAGGGGCAGTGGGACGGTCAGAATAAATCCGGCCGCACGTAGGACTGCAGCAGGAAGCGTGTCACAAGGTGCCCCCGCTGAGTCCACAGATCGAACCGCGACCAATCTTGGCCCCGTAGAAATGGATGCCATCTTGCCTGTCGAATCTCGGCCTCCGACTCTCGCCCCAATCTACAACAATTCTCAGTCCGGTGAATTCCTCACCGATCGGTTTGGTTTCATCTATGATCAGCGCCGGAAGAGACGACAGAGGGAGGCTACCTCGGGGAAGCCGGTCCGATCTCGTTTAAGCATTGCCGAGACTCTTGGAAACCTCCGGAGCGAAGCATCGGACGGGGAAGATGATCAGGCCGACTCTCAAGAGACGCCTCACACACCGGGGTCCCCTCCTGGCTCTCCTGACGACCCCGAAAGTGGCGCTGTTAGTCTTCGCGGCTGGCAGGACTATCTGAGGTTACCATCTCGTCCAACAGAACTCCTGTCGCATACTCCATCTGCGGCCCCGATTGTTTCTCTGACCAATGCCGAGGATAGTCGCCCTCACAGTTCGTCTATCTCAACTGAAAAAGGACTCTCTGTCAGTTCGAGCCCACAGCCATCGGCATCCACGTCGGCCATCAACGCAGAAAATCCTGAGTTTGCTGGAGGACTTACGGAAGAGCCTACCGCTATTTCTACGAAAATCAACTCTGCCGAGGTCGAGCCAGTTAAGCTACTGCTGGAGCAACTGACTGATCTCCATGATACACTCCAGCGCGATCGCACCGTCCGTTGGAACGAGTTCCTTCGCAAAGTGCGCGCCGAGCGCAGAAAAGAAGGTGAAGCCGCAGCTGCAGCAGCCACGTCAACGGATCGATCCCTCACTGCAGTGGACACACCTGAAGCAACTCTCGCTGATGGTGAGGTTATTGGCATCGCTGGTCTGGGCAATAAAGGCAAGGTTGGCCGCAACAAGTGGCGAGAGTTTCGATCGCTTGTTCTCGGCGGTATCCCCGTTGCACTCCGTGCCAAGGTGTGGTCTGAGTGCAGTGGTGCATCTGCGATGCGTATCCCTGGATACTATGGTGATCTGGTGCGGGGAGTGGGTGGAACCGAACCTGATGCTTCGGTAATTGCGCAGATCGACATGGACATTCGTCGCACCCTTACCGACAATGTGTTTTTCCGCAAAGGCCCCGGTGTTGATAAACTTAGGGAGGTCCTCCTGGCGTATTCACGTCGTAACGAAGAAGTGGGATACTGCCAGGGGATGAACCTCATCGCAGCATCACTTTTACTCATTATGCCGACGGCCGAGGATGCCTTCTGGATTTTGACTTCCATGATCGAGATCATTCTGCCTCAACATTACTATGACCATGGACTCTTGGCATCTCGTGCCGACCAGGTGGTGCTGCGCCAGTACATCTCCGAGCTTCTTCCCAAACTCTCGGCGCACCTTGAGGATCTGGGCGTCGAACTGGAGGCTCTTACGTTCCAGTGGTTCCTTTCCGTATTCACGGATTGCCTTTCCGCGGAAGCGTTATACCGAGTGTGGGATGTGGTGCTGTGTCTCAATGTCACCAGTGTAGTTCCCAATGGCCCGGGCCCGACCGTCTCTTCTGCCTCCAGCGTTAAAGACGGCACTGACAAAGCAACTCCAGCCTCCGAGGAAAGCGCGTCCGGCAGTGGAGGCGGAAGTACGTTCCTCTTCCAGGTCGCTCTCGCCCTGCTTAAGCTCAACGAGCCGCAACTGCTCACGACCTGCTCCACCCCGGCTGCTCTCTATACGTATATCAACCACCAGATGACCAACCACGCTATCAGCATCGACGGGTTGATCCAAGCAAGCGAGGCATTGCGTAACATGGTCCGCCGCGAAGATGTTGTCTCTCGCCGCGCCGTCGCCCTCCGAGAAATGCGCGAATTCAGCGGGGGGCACAACTAGATTTATCTCAAGTGGTCTTCGGTCCACAGTGATGATCATTCACAATGTTCTTTTGTTCTTTCTTTTCTCTTCACATTAGAGCTTGACGATGCCAACATGACGAGCATTGGGCAGGGAGTTCTGGATTTTTTGATTCGTTGATATCCTACCGGCATTCATTCCTTGGGCGCTATTTTCCTTCTGATTTTGCTTCTCAGCCAGACATTTGACTTGGGCCTGTCTCTGGCCGTTTCTCATACTCCCGCGCAGCATTTCGAGATACCCCTAACTCTTACCTGGGATCGTTAGATTTTAAAAATAGCATTTTCTGTCAGAATGTCGGTTTTCTATTATGCTATGTTGAAAGCTCTGTTTCAAAACATCTCTATATGCTTCCGACAGAGAACCGACTCCAGCTCCGGATGCGAGCTCCATATATCATGAACAAGATAGGCGAGACCATAATTACTGCCGATAAACCGGCTAACAGCGTGGCCGACCAGTTGATGCCCAAGCTGTTGTACATGGGCCTCTCAAACAGAGGAAACGTGGCCGACGCCATGGAGCGGACCATGACATGGATACTGATTGCGGACACAGTGTTGAGTAGATAGACATCCACAATGAACACGATACCCGAGATGAAGATAAGCTGCAGTGCCAGCCCAATGACAAAACACGATATGACCTGACATGACCAGTGAGCATTGCCACTCCATCCAAACCACAGAAAAGCCGGCGGAAGTAGCACCGCGCCGAAGATCATAGGCGGCAGTCGATGTTCCGGGGTGATGCGAGGTGGTCGGGGAGATTCATCGACCTTTTCGGTCTGAGAAGCATCCCATCGCTTCTTGTACCAGGTCATGGTGAAGAGTGAAAAAAGTCCCACTGCTGCCACGATACCCAAGCTGACGGCGATGAATGGGAGACTTGCAATGGGCGTGCTCCAGCCTCTGTTTTCAAAGGCCTTGGGGAAAAGCTGATATGAAAGGTACAACGAGCCGTAGACAAGCGTCAAGTAGACTGTCATCACGATGAGGATGGGCTCCCGCACCAACATGCGCACTGGCTTGGTGCAGTATTTGCGCAGCAATACCTTCATATCCGTTGAGACTATCTCATTTCGAGACCTCCAGTTTTGATTGCCCGTTTCACGACGCAAACGAGCTGCACGCTTCATGAGGATCCGGTTATGCGATGTCTCGCGCAGCAGGAAAATACACATGAAGCCGACCACAGCGCAGAGAATCAGCGTGACCCAAGCCGTCCAGCGCCACGAGCAGTTTTCAACGATGAAAGCACCGACAATCGGCGCAATAGTCGAAGCGAGGTTCATACAACTCGCCGACATTCCCACCGCGACGCCTCGTGTCGGTCCGACAAAGACATCTGCCAAAATCCCCGACCCCACAGCGAGTCCACCACTTCCCAACAACCCAGCAAGAAAGCGACATACCAGGATCGTGGTGACAGACTGCGCAAGACCCAGTGGAATCTGGAAGATAGCGCACCCGGCCAAAGCAACCGCCAGCACTGGAGCCGAGCCCACTAATTCAGCCATCGGGGCAAACACAACGGGGCCTGTCGCGAAACCTGCCACGAACAGAGCCACACCTAAGCTCATCACTTCCTGCGAAACCCCATACTCGCGTGCCGTCACCTCGGCTGCCGATCCAAAAATGCTAGATGCAAATGCGATCGAAAAGATTACTGCAAGCGGCGCCGATGAGCGTAATAGCTTGTCACGTCGCGGCCAGTTTTGAGGGTTCTCGGGATCATTAGGACCATCCCAGGTGACGAGGTTGAGAGTCGGTTCATGTTCGTTAGGCGGTGATTGTGGTTGAGGTTGAGGGTTAGGTGGAGAGGTTGACCTCGGCGTGGAGACTCCGCTCGGTACGGCTATCGCGTTGACGGCCGTTCGATCCATTGTTTTCTCCATGGCATTCAAGTCCATTTTCAATAGAAAAACATAGGAACTGAAGGAAATCGAATATTGAGGAATCCTCCGGGAGGAAACTAGTTTTCAAGGCCTTCGTGATCGGCAGTTCAGGCTTTGGGACTGGGTCCACTACCCTGTATAGTAGAGCGGGACTTGCTCCGAAACCGATATTTGACGTCTCCGGCTTCGAGAACGTGTCGCGGATCGATCTAGATGGAATGTGTTATACCTGGCAGCTTAAGCACTCTCTTAGAAATGAGCCTGCGAATTGTAGATCAATTCGATTGCCCTGGGGTGAAGATATTCTTCGTTTCGGGCGTCGTGTGTACTCGAGTCGAGTCAGTATACAGGGCTCGGACAAGTCGCCGAACCAAGATCCACCCGCGTTAGGGTGATCGGCGACCCTGATTCGTGCAGATTAGGTTGGATGTACTCGAGTTATAGATGCTAGCCATGGTTGCGTTGGACTTTTCTCATCCATCACTTGTAACTATCCCCAGTCTACATAAAGTATCTAGGCACCTGGACTAGTAGCAGGATAGTGTCCACATCGTCGTCATCTCTTCTTTCTTCTTTCCCCCTTCTTCCAGTGAAACACATCACTCACTATGACTCCCTTATTGTCCCGGATCAAGTTCGGCAAAGCCTTTGAATTCCCAAGATGTTCTTAATCGTTCAAGGGATTCATTAATCCCAGCGCCTGGCTTTTAAGTCCACCTATTCGAAAGAACGACCCGACTTTGCATATAATATTGCTCGATGGTTTCGAGATGATCGACACACTTTTCTTGGCCACCCAAAGGGGCGCCCTATGAAATCCTCGAAACGACATTTGGCTCAGACATATGTGCAAAGACCTCCTCAGGCAAGGATCTCCGCTTCTCGGCTTGGCATCAAATCCACGGAGATCGGGGGCCTGAATATATCAGCCACAACCGCAGCCCAAAATAGATCATTCCGCAAACCAACACGAGATCTGTCTCACCATACGCGTGGTCAAATTTGAATTATCGAAGGGACTGGGGCGAGCTCGCTGCAGCGTTGCATTTCCCGGCCGCTCAGCCTCAACAGTTCTGCAACGTGGACATGTCGACAAGTGCCTTACGCCAAGTCTCTTACGAATTTTGATCCAAATGCTGGATGCCTCATGAGCGGTGGCATTTTCTAGCAGAGTATTGGGATATAAAAGGTCTCCTTGCGGCTTCGATCCAGCTTTCATCCATCACAACATCAAATCCTAACTCTTTCTGCCGAGCCAATTCATTATACAAAATGAAGTGGACTATTACTTCCATTCTGCTGGCCGCCAGCTCCACCCTCGCTGCCCCTACATATGTTGCCCGCAGCAATTCCATCCAGATCAGTGATTTCTCGGCCCGAGCTGCGTCTCCCGCCTCCACTGCGAGCATGCACTTCGTTGTCACCGATGCGAACTACCCCGATGACACACCCACTGATTGCAACCTAATCTGGTAAGTCAACAGGTGCCCCGATTGACAGCTTCCAAAGCTCACTATCGATCGTTTCCAGGACCTACGAACAGCTGCCCAAGTCCAACGCACGGTGCAACAACGGCGAGTACTACATCAGGTTCCCTCAGGGGGCTCCCGACTTCAACCGCTTTACGCTAGAGCTAGAGAGGGTTTCTGGCCCCATTCCCGAACAAGGCCAGATCTTGCTGAGTTCGAATGCCAATGGAGAGGCGCCTGGAACTAAGTGGATCTGCGTGAACAACCCTGACCCCAACGTCGAAATCAGTTGTTCCTATGATGGAGTTCTTGAATTGCAGGTCTAATTGGTTTACTTCCGAGAAACGTGGATATCAAGGCATGATATTTTATGCGAAGTCAGATTGTTCATGGATATTGCGCAGACGAGATTGTCAAGTGAATAATGCCACTTGATTGGCCGAAATCTAATGATATATGCACTTTTACGTACCAGAGCATTCAGCTGATCCCTCGCGCGTAGTGGACGGCCACGTCCTCTCCCTTTGCCCCGATCTTCCTCGGATCGCGAACAAATTGAAGAAGCTTGCCCTACGGCTTTAGACAAAACGAGGAAATCAGCATGTGCCCCCGAGGCGCAAGAGATGAAGGCCATTTAGTCTTGGGAATCACTGTGCCGTACGAGGCCAAGATGCGGCCTCCTGCCGATCCACGGGCCCTCGGGTTCTGCGGGTTTTAACGATTAGCGGACTTAGTCGCCTAATCAGCTACTCTGAATTTGAATCCTGGGCAAACAATGCAAGTGGCGTAGATTCACAGCGGGCCGCTTTTCTCGCTCTTTCTTTCCATTCAATTGAGGAAGAGTAGGCGGCGATCTGACATTGTTTCAATATCTGCGCTACAGCTGCAATGATCCTGTCAATTTTCGTTCTAGTGACCATTATTCAATAAAATGACTACGTGTCCAAGTAGTCATGAGTTTACGGAATCAATCACAGTGTCGTCCGATATAATTAATAGACGCTAGAGTATAGACTTACAGCGCGACTGGGGGCCTTTGAAGAGGTCTCAAGAGGCCCCCATACTTGATTGTTTAGCTCTTTCTCAATGGCTTTCTAGGTATCTGTGTAAAGCGCTTATCCAATTTTTCTTGGTTCGCTTTCAAAGCCTTCTGGATGGCTTCGAATACGTCTAGGAGAACAACTCACGACTGCCGTATTGGCCCATTTCTAAGCCTACGAATTACATTGGAGATAGATGCCATTATCTTGAAGCACGAGATCATCAGGCAGCAAAACCAAACAATATTGACTTCATTGTGTCAAGTCCAAGCTCTAAATCTATGAGACGACGGTTGAATTCTTTCTCGTTACTATAGCCATCATTCATGCGCCCACTTGAACTACCTGTTGAAGGATAGTACCCTGTGTTTAGGGCCCAAATAAACCACGAGGCAGACCTGATGAGAATGCGTGGCCTTAGGGTAGCGAAGCTATTATAATAGAGTCCACTGTGGTAGAATTATAACTCTTTATGTCGATGAGTTTCAACCCAGCACCGGAGACTAAATCGGTCCACTGGCTCTCTGTGCGCTCAAGTGCACCAAAAAACGAAAACATGATTATGTCCAAGCATGCAGGCCACCAATGAGACCCCGTATCAGGCACTGCCATATCGTCGATAACAACCAGCGAGTGTGCATCCATAGCAGGAACCAGACTTTTCAAGATCTGTGTAGACTTCTCATCATCCCAGTCATGGAGAATATTGCGGATGTAGTAGACCTTTGCGCCTTTGATAGGCTGCGGCTCGAAGAAGTTATGAACCATGAACTCCACCCCTTCAATAGCCTCGGCATTTTGAATGGTTTCCGGAAGGTCCTGGACAATGATTCGCCCCGGTAGATCTGGGTACCGAGCACGTAGGCGTGCAGACTGGTGACCAACATTGCCACCAATATCCACCACGACTGCCTGCTCTGCCGTGACGGACATGGCTAGCGACGGAATTGAAATAACATTCGTCCAGTCTCCATCGTGAGGTACGGTCATGAGAGACTGGAATGTTCTGAGATACTCGGGGTGTTGTTTGCTCCATCCGAAAAAGGCCATGTCGGTGTTGAATGCACGCTGGAAAGGTAATTCCTTGCTGGAATCCGTATTTCCATTCTTTCTCAATGTCTCCGGGAGACGCTGATAGGTTGGGTTTCCAATGTTAAACCTGCATTCTTTAGTGGCTTTCTCAATGTATTTGTCATGTAATAAGTTAGCACTTACATCCAGTAGATACTGTCTTGGAAAGCCGGAGCAGCCAGGGCCTGCGTCCTGTAGTTGGCTTCAAAACAGTCTTTCCCAGTCTCCGTAACATCACCATTTGAAGTAAGATACCGTAAAATACGGCGGAGTAGTGTTGGCGCTGCTCCAGTTTGTTCGGAGAGAGATTCGATACTCAGTGGTTCTTCACTTTCAGTCAAAGTGCGGAAGAGGCCCATCTCACAACCAGCCTGGATTGCTGGTAGCCTGATTTGCTATTAAAATAGAAATTATAAGATGTTTTCAGTAAATAAGAAGTCATCAGAAATACCGTGTTGGTCAGCTGTAGAAGATATCGATAGTGGGTCTCGTCAGCCTCGCCCCCTTTGTGACTCTGTATTTTGTTCCCGTTGATCGCCATGGAGATGGTAGTGTGACAAAGTACTTAGATAAATTTGGCTCTGGAGGATTCTGGGAGACGTAATTTGAACTCAAGCTTCAGTGAGAAAAACGTACTGGCTGAATATTGGAAATATCGAGTAGTTAGGTCAAACTTAAATACATGTTCATTTTCTTTTTTGTCTGGGTAACTCCTATCCTGGAGACCTGATTAATGTGCAGAAAAAGCGCAAAGTTCGGACTCCGGTGACTGGGAAACACTTTTAGGCGCCGATTTGAGTTCTAGAACTACCTACATGTTCCCGAGACGGTCTGTCAGCGTGACGCAAGAGACAATCTCAAGGGTGCAAGATGACGTGTGCGTAGCTGTAATGCAATACGAGGCGAAAGTACATGCTGATCTTCCAGTATGAGTAGATAGACAACATTATTTAGCCTTACTCCTCGCAGAAAAAGCGGTATGGAATCTACGACACATGGATGTATATACCATTGGGTAATAATACCCTTGCGAACAAAGGCATTCTTGCGGAATAACAAAGAGGCGAATAGCAGGGGTTTCCCAGACACTGATGCCTCTCTGGCCATTTATATCAGACTGGATGCATCAGCTCCGACGCAATGCCCAGGTGTCCGTGGTAGGCGAATTGTGGTGCCGTGAGACTTGGCGTTCTCGGTTTCTCGGCCGCTTGCAAGATGGGCCACTGTCCAGACTTATTCTCCAGGTTCTGGATGGCTTGCAATATTGACGTGCTATTACTAGGACTATCGCGGACCTTGCACGTAGGCCGTTCGATTCCAATGCTGAAGGGCGACCTTGTTGATAATGTTGATGGACTGAAAAATCCCTAGTAGCTCCGCAGCATGTACCCATAATCAGTCCACTGATCAGACCCGGGCCTGTCGGGATTCGGCCACATCCATTTTGTCATCGATCGTCACGGTCGGTGCGCCCAAGAGGCCTCGGTGTCCTGGAGAAAGCATCTACTATCCGTGATGGCAGTGGGATTGAGTCGGTCACTTCTAGTTCTTGCAGCTTCTCCCGACCCATTGTCTTCAAGGCCTCCACGAGCGGAAACTGAGCCTATGATCCAATGTCATTCGTCGCCTATAGGCTCGCAGCAAGGAGTTTCAGACAAGATCCTTGTGTGGCAGGGGTATGGATTCTGGTGATGGTGATCTGCGTACGGCGACGGAGGCGCAGATTGACAGGCAGTACATATTGGGTAGGCATGGCTGCCGCCCGGATGTCGCACAGGACACATATGAAGGCTGTCCGCTAAACGGTACGCAGGTGACGTAGATGAGTCTCGTCTCGAAGCAGGTGGGGCCAGATCATCGACGCGTAGTCGGAGACCGGTGTATCGCACGCCTCTTAAAGCTGTCACATCTGTTCTGGGCGCAGCTCTCGAAATCTCCCATGGGCAATGTTGAGTTTCGTAGCTCTTTTGATTGCCTGCTGTAGACATTGAAATGGCTCATGGGCCTCTTAGCGGCTCCTGATACAAAGAGATAGTTATAACTAGTTACCCAGCGTTTGACTTGTACAAACAATCTTGGTAAGTCTTCACTTCTCTCTCACTTTCTCTTTCTCCCTTTTCTTTCTCCCTTTCTACTTCTCTCGTGAGATAATGTCTCAGGGTCAAAAGTTACGATATATTTCTCTCATCAGTCTACGATACAGACGCGCTCGAAATCAGTTTCACCACTTTGTTCTCTTTTATTCTTTCCCAAACTCAATCCTGAAACACGCTAGTCTATATTCAATTTAGCTAATTTTCAGACCTCGAAATGTACCGTAAGAACAAATCACATGACGAGTTTCGCTGTAATTTACTGGAAACCAGAGTGTATACCTGGACTGGGATAGGCTAAACGTATTTTAGAAGCTAAATAGAAGCTGGGGCTGAAAAAAAATTGGTTTGCTCAAATCGCTGCCTAAAGCCAAGAACTCCGTGTGGTCAGCAACAAATTGATTAAATGTGATCTCGGCCCATAGGTCTATCAATTTTACCCGAAAGAATGATTCATCCTTCCACATTCAACACTTTCTAGCAACAAATGAGCCACCGAACTACCAATCTCTCGTCCTGACACGTTTTCACCAAGCGCAGCTGAATGCGACACTGGAATACGAAGTGCAGCCATTCACAAAGCGTGCGGCAAAGTGCGAAACGTTTCCGCACATGAACCAATATCAAACTCGACGAGGACCATCCTAACACGGTGACGAGTATGGATAACCTGGCGTCGACCTATTTGCAGCAGGGGCGGTGGACGGATGCCGAGCAGCTCTTTGTGCAGGTGATGGAGACCCGAAAAGCCAAACTCGGCGAGGACAATCCTGAAACGTTGACGAGTATGGGTGGCCTGGCGTCGACATATTTGCAGCAGGGCCGGTGGACAGAGGCCGAGCAGCTCTTTGTGCTGGTGATAGAGACCCGAAAAACGAAACTCGGCGAGGTCCATCCTGACACGCTGACGAGTATGGATAATCTGGCATCGACTTATTTGCAGCAGGGGCGGTTGGAGGAGGCCGAGCACCTCTTCGTGAAGGTGATGGAGACCCGAAAATCGAAACTCGGCGAGGTTCATCCTGACACGTTGACGAGTATCGGTGGCCTAGCATTGACCTATTTGAAGCTGGGCCGGTGGGAGGAGGCCGAGCGGCTCCAGGTACAGGTGATGGAGATCAGCAAGATGAAAATCAGCGAAGACCATCCCGACACGCTAGCGAGCATGAATAACCTGGCGTTGACGTATAGTGCGCAGGGGCAGTGGGAGGAGGCCGAGCGGCTCCAGGTGCAGGTGATGGAGAGGAGCAAGATGAAAATCAGCGAAGACCATCCCGACACGCTAGCGAGCATGAATAACCTGGCGTTGACGTATAGTGCGCAGGGGCGGTGGGAGGAGGCCGAGCGGCTCCAGGTGCAGGTGATGGAGAGGAGCAAGATGAAACTTGGGGTAGACCATCCTGAAACGCTGATCAGCATGAATAACCTGGCGTTGACGTATAGGGAGAAGGGGCGGTGCGAGGAGGCCGAGCGGCTCCAGGTGCAGGCGATGGAGAAGTGCAAGGCGAAACTCGGAGTGGACCACCCTGAAACGCTAGCGAGCATGAATAACCTGGCGCTGACGTATAGGGAGCAAGGGCGGTGGGAGGAGGCCGAGCAGCTCCAGATGCAGGTGATGGAGAAGTGCAAGTCGAAACTTGGGGTGGACCATCCTAAGACGCAAATGAGCATGAATAACCTGGCGTGGACTTATTCGCAGCAGGGGCGGTTGGAGGAGGCCGAGCGGCTCCAGGTGCAAGTGATGGATACGAACAAGACGAAACTCGGCCAGGACCATCCTTACACGCTTATAAGCATGGCCAACTTAGCGGCGAGCTATATGGAGCAGGGGCGGTCAGAGGAGGCCGAGCAGCTCTTCGTGAAGGTGATGGAGACCCGAAAAACCAAACTCGGCGAGGACCATCCTCAAACGTTAGCGAGCATGAATAACCTGGCGACGACCTATTCGAACCAAAGCCGATGGGAGGAGGTCGAGCAGCTCTTCGTGCAGGTGATAGAGAAGTGCAAGAAGAAACTCGGCGAAGACCATCCTGATACGTTGACGAGTATGGCCAACCTAGCGGTGACCTATAAGAATCAGGGGCGGTTAGAGGAAGCTGAGCGTCTCCAGGTGCAGGTTATAGAGATAAGCAAGACCAAACTTGGCGAGGACCATCCTTGCATATTAACGCGCATGAATAACCTGGCGTTGACGTATGGTGCGCAGGGCCGGTGGGACGAGGCCGAGCAGCTCCAGGTGCAGGCGATGGAGGAGTGCAAGGCGAAACTTGGAGTGGACCATCCTACCGCACAGCTGATTAAGGCCAACCTAGAGACAATACGAAGAGGAAGAAGGAACAGGGCCCGTACTTGGGCCCCGGGAAGCTTGACGAGGATCTTCTCAAGACTATTATCATAGTTTATCGTTATTTATTCCTTCGGCTTTTTACAACCCTTAAGTCCTATGTAGCCCCTAGCTAGTGTGTACCGCTCCGTTGAACATGTACACTTGATACACTAGAGTTCCTAGTAAGTATAGGGAAAGGGCTCTGAAGGCTCTCTGGGGGGGACGGTCTGTTGAAGGGTGGAATCCGTAATCTGAGGGTGATGCATGACCGTAGTATCCTGATCCGAGGCTTCCAGCTCACACGAGGAAAATCATTACCGTTGCAATACGAGTCCATAGTCATCGTTCCTGTTTTAATCGTTCTAACGTCAGCACAATTTCGCACATGCAGAGTCCAGCGGATACTTGGCCCAAGCAGCATTGCTACACAACGCATAGGAAACCGTTCAACCTACCAGAACTGTCTCTTTACACCTCGCTCTTCCACAATGGTCATTCTTGTGGAAGAGGAGAGGGAGTGGATTCGAATTCTGGCCAGTCTGGCTGCCTGGCCAGGCATCCCCCTTATGTTTTGCCTTGTTTGCAGGATCAACGTTCTAGACGCCCTTGAGACAATACTAGCTTAATACAGGATATATTTTTATGATGTTATTTACAGCTGTACTAGAAATACAGCCAAGAAAAGGGGTCAGGGGTGGAGTAACTGTAATAGGCATAGCGTGTTTTGAAAGAGGGTTCGAGAGAGAATGTCTGTGTATAAGTGGTGAAACTGATTTCGATCCATCCTGTAATATAGATAGTCTAGCATACCTCGCATCAGATCCGCCACAAGTATTCACTCCCGAACCTTCTAGTAGTCAGCGAACATTCGACCCTTTTGATCATGACTTTATCCGACCACAGCCTCGCCTATCAATTGCATCCTCTTTTACGCGTGCTGGCCCGGATCGCAGAAAGAACTACCTACTTTACGATCGGACAATGAATACTGAGTGGGTGGACAGGTGGATTGAGACTAACTATAGAAAGACTAGCAAAATCCGCTGGAGTGCGAGCCGTTAGCGGAGTCATGCGGCCATCCAAAAAAGCCAGTGCGATAGCTCCCAGTCCCGAACACCCTTTTCTAGGTAAATTCTAACGGGCGTCAGAATTTACTTATACCGTAGCTCCTAGTGTCCAACCCTATTTTCTGACGGGCGTCAGAAAAGCTAATGCAAGAGCTAAATACACATACTCGAAATTCCTGACGGGCGTCAGAAAACTGGTGCCGTAGCTGGAAGAACTCATTTAACGTACGTCAGAAACTGAGGTTCAAACTGAGGTATCTATTGCCAAATACCCAAAAATACAGACTGACACTACATAAATTATGCAAAGATGGGGACTCACCTGAATGGATTGGGTTCGGGTTAGCGCGGGTTTTGGCGCAGCCTAGTTTCAATAGTCCATCAGCACGTGGACGACTCTATCTTGCGCATCAAAATAGAAATGTAAAACATGTAAAATATACGACAAGTCCAATGCAAATATAACTTGATCAAACGCGCCTTGCAAAGAAAGCTTGTGATTTCCTGGCCAATCTCAAGTCCTTGCACCCGACACCAGGAGAGAAACAACCACGAAGCGGCTTCTAACCTAGCACTGAGCATTGATGAAGGTGCTATTCGTCATGAACAACAGTGACGACAGGCCTCCTCACGTCGTCATGCTACTCAGTCTTCAGGTCCGGGAACGGTTTTCTAGCCCAGACTCTTCTCGCGCGTTGATAGGAGTGGTGGCGAGGATTCATCAGTTCCTTTCTCATCTTGGCGTTGTAGACATGCACCTCCTCTTTAGACCACGGGATCGGACTCCCAAATCTAGTCATTAGATACATCGTATATCCCTCCATACCAGTCAGCCAATGGTGGAGGTTGACTAATCCAAGCTCTTTCAATTTTTTGTCTCTAGGCCATGGGCCAATGGGCCACTTAACGTTCTTTTCGCGAACTCCGACAAAACCGGCTTTCTCAATCGAGGCCCGCATTGTTTTGATAAGGTCCATAGGCTTTCCAGACTTATTGGCGGCAGCATCGAACCTAAAAAATCATTGTTTAGCGATGTTGTTGTCATCAATTTCAGAAATGGGGCTTTGTTCATACCGGGGTCCGATGTCAAATAAGATATTATCATGCGGAATGCTATTATCGTCGCAATAGATTGTTGGATGGATTTCCATCTGCTCAATCCATCCACCAGGCTCTAGGCGTTCGTAGATTTGCTTCATCAACTGCTCTGTCTCCTTAGGAGTAAAAGCACTTGCCATAATGCGGAGATGAATCAAATCGAATTTTTCACGCCAGGTCCACTCCTGTAAAACGTCATCCACCTCGAGAATACAGTTAGGTGGCATCCAGCTAACTGGCGGTGGGAAAAGGTCCACTCCACGGACAGTAGCATTAGGGAACATATCCGCAACGTCAATAGCCCATGACCCCTTTCCAGTCCCCAGATCAAGAACGTTCCTTGGGATCAACGGGGATTGAAAAAGTAGATTTTCTTCCTCAGAATCCACGATTAGAGCTGCAAGATGTGCAGCATCGTAGGTTTCGAACTGTTTTTCATCGGCAGGAAAGCAGTACTCGTCGGACTTAAGGGACTGGTATCTTCGGCCATTCTCCATAAGGCCTCTGTATAAAGAGGAACCAATAGAAGTGGTCTCGGAGCTCCAATCATCAGAATTGTATTCATTTGTCACTAAGTGCAAATCCGGGTCCACATCCACAGTGATCTCGTTAGCCATGATAAGAAAAGTAAGACTAAACCGTGGTAGATCGGACCGCGGTGGATGTAAGGTATGGTATTAGACGGAAGTTTTGTTGGTGGAGCCAGTTGTCATGTATCGCGGGTATGCGATCGTTGGCGTTGTGATGGACTGGAAAAAAATCTTTGCAGCAAGGATGGGTGCCACGCTATTATAGCGCTCTCCGCACGGTACTTTTGCGCGAGGGGCGCTAGTGTCGTCCAGTTCGGGGAACGGACCGTGGATGGCCTAATCGAGCCGGAATACATCCGGTTTCGTGTGATGCGGCAGATAGTTCAGAGCTTCAAAAAAACCTTGCTCTCCATCCATCGAAGGGGAGGACATCATGGCGCGGAACAGGCGAGGGAGAGCGCCCCCCCAGGCTTTACTGTGTCGCGGGCCATGATTGGGGGCAGACGCGGAAACCTCCTTTCCGACCGATAAAAGGAGATCGTGTCGATTCGCACTAGGCCAAATAATGCCCGACTCTCTTGAGGCAATGGCAAGAAGATTATTCGCGTGGACCCCGCCGTCCTGCAAAAGGCCGAAGCCTGGCAGAAGTTTTGTCTGGAATTAGCTTTGGAATGTTAGCCGCAGTTTGCAGGGTTCGTGGTGTTGCACTTATAAGGGCGCTGCGACACTGCACAGAGCTCTGCTAATGAATAAGGATAATTAGCCACGTCTGGTATGTGGAGCCCGACTTAGGCTTCCCACAAGAGAGGATTCTCGTGATCGTTGTTGGGGGCCAAAAATTGGTAGGCGGCATTCACACTGCGCCGGCCCGTGCCTCGGTAATTCAATCGGCCAAGGGTGGTATATACCGACACTAGTTCCAAGGTACAAGTCTGGAAGAAATACGATCGATACGGTAATGCGCTTTTCTAACGCTCGCAGATGCCTCAACTGGACCAGACCGCAGACGCCACTACCGTCGAGACTGAGAATCACCGGGTGCTTGGTCGGTGGAAGTTGGCGAATATTAACACGGAATTTTTCCTCGCACATCGGGCATTCAGTGACATCCCAATGATACTCCCCGAGAGAACGCGACTTATCGAAAATCACGATATAGGTGTCACAGAGTGCGTATTTGCACGGTATCTTTTGCTCGGGCGGGCGACTCAAACATACAAAGCAGGTCGTGGTGGAACGAAGACCACCCCATTGGCGAAAGAACCGACCAAGTATATCTTTTCGAGAAGTCGAAGTGGCGCCTTCTCTTTCTTTCCTCAGTTTAGAACATTTCTGAATGGCACACAAATTTTCCTATACTGGCCAGTGACAAAAAGTGTTATTTATTATGTTTGTACTGTTTGCATGCTCATAACTATAACTATGAATTGTCGATCCAGGGACCATATAATGCCAGAGTTCTTGGTTAATGCCTATGATTGGGTAGCTACTTCCGACAGATGAATAGGCCTCATTCATACCCGCCGGATACGCTGAAGCTGAAGAGAGAGAACGACGTGGCGTTGTGGAGCTCCCAAGTGGGAACATGTTCATACTTCTTTTATGGATAATTTAAATGCATCAACCTGCACAGACAATCACCATGGCAAAAATCATTCGCTATTTACATTCATTCGTCAGCGCAATGCACCCTGGATATCTTCCTGGGTTTCGCTCACACAAAGGTAACTAAATACAAAGAACCGAAATTCAATGATATGAAAAGTACTAGTATAGGTGATAGGACAGAAGCCCGTGCTCAAAGTCCCCAATTTTTGCCTTCTGCAGCCAGGACTCATAGGATCTTGTAATCTGACGGCCTTTCAGGCCGAGGTGCCGAGACGCGTCAGTCCTGCAAAAAGCAAGATTGTAGACCATTGAACGACTCATCGACTGCCTGGGCCTGAGCATGTTATGTCTAAAAATATCTGCTAGCAAGTAATCCTCGACTTCATGTGGTTTCTGGCCCTATCCCTTGGCCGGTGCCTGACTAATCTCAGCTGATTAGATATCTTGAAATCCCTGAAGATGTCAGCTTGAAGGATTCGAAAGTCTGACTTGTTGAGCCTGACCTTGAGATAGGTACGGTCTAGCGAGGTCGAAATGTCCCCTTCGGCATATTTCTCGAGAGATGCCTGAAACCCATGCGGAAATGTACATGATGCAATAAAGTCACTTGAATGACAGCATCTCCCCTTCAGAATTTCCTTCAGCTGCCGCCTTCCTGAACCCAGAAAGTCAGATCAAGCGGGTCCATGCTCGGGCGAACACCCATGTCCAACACATCCCGAGAGACGGCTTTTATCTGTCGCATAATGGACTGCGAGATGGCCCAGGTGCGACCCAATGACTTGAAGACTCCGATGGTCAGACCGATGCGCTCACGACTTGGGTCAGGCATGGAGCCTGCCTTGACGGAGCAGGCGGCCAGCTGAACAATTGAGCTAAGAGTGAGGGCGCAAATGAAGAACGGTGTGTGTCTCTCGACTGGCAAACGAATAGCAGCCAAAGAAGACAGCTCACTGGCCGCCTTGACAGCCTTCATGGCATGGGCGTGGTGTGAAAACGCTGGTACGCTAATGGGACCATGGTGACCACAGATGACTTCTGAGGCGACTGCAGGCGACGAAAGAAGATCAGAGCGGGGGAAGTTCAGATAGATGGAAGCACCGTTCACGATCATGGTCGCCTGGAACATAATCTCGTCGACCGAGCCGTCCGGACGCAGCAGTTCGGCCTTCGACTCTGGAAGATGGTGGAACCAGCTTGCAATGCGCGCGTCAATGGCTTCGACGTGGTCCTGCTGACCCTCAACCATCTCCTGTGTTGCGACCACACGACCAAGAATGCGCACGGCCTCAATGCGATAAGAGTAGGAGGAAAAGTCGCGCTCCTCGTCGGCGAATACACGCTGGTCGAATTGCATAACAGTAGGTGGCAGCGGAGGGGTCAAACCATCCTGGTAGATGCGCTCTTCACAAGGAAGAGGCACCACAGGCGGAACCAGATTCGTGCGGTAAATGCGTTGCACTCCAAGAGCCGTCAGAAGTCCCTCAATCACAAACAATTCCCACCAAGTCCGACGCAGGCATTCAGCGCGAATAGGGTCGAGGTCGCTGGCAGTCTCAGCATAGGTCGCCTCGTGCATACCGAGGTCAAATGCCAAGTCCACGGCACTAGCCAGGCACTCTCCCGCTTCGCTTCGTTCATTGCGCGAATGTAACACGATAGCTAGCAGAAGCAGTGCTTGTACCTTCTCAACCGAGGGTGCTTGGTCGCGAACCGCCGCGACCACCATGGGCCGATAAGTTTCACTGGAAGCGGCCGGAGTGAAGTGGGCGGCGATAAACTTCATCACCTGCTCCAAATAATGCGGGAAATGGCCGCGATAGAGGAACCGCAATGGCGGTAGGATCGGATGGGCCGAGTGGAAGTACGTGTAGTAGATATCGAGCAGATACCCGTCCCCGCCGATTGAAGAGGCAGAATCCGGGGTTAGCGGGCCGGCCGTTGGTCGAGAGGGCGTCATTGTCACGGGCATGTCGTTCAATCCTGGACTCGCAGACCCGGAGGATGATAGAGGCATGGTCGGCGTATAGTGGAAGCCGCCGTGTAAATTCCAGTCCACTGGCACATCGACCAGGCCCACGGCGGGATCAAGAGGCAACTGGTCCGGGGAGCCCGGTTCAGCGCGCCGCTTCTTAGATGGGCCCTTATAGCCCCTGCGTGATTTTGCATAATTGCACTCGGATCCTGTGAGGGAACATCGGCTGCAGACCGGGGTCTTTCCATCGCACTTGAGATGCTTGTGGCGGCACAAGAGACAGGCCAGTAGCGAGGGACCCGCGGGTTTAGACCCGGGCGCGGAAGGGGATTCAGTCATGTCGAAAGACAAAAGTGCATGGGTCTGTGGGAAGAAGAATAAAGAAAGAAGAGGGGGGACCTCGAAGAGGAGGGGGGGGCACAAGGGAGGAAGAGAGACAAGGATGTCCCCAGTTGCGGGTTGCAGGCGCTAAAAAGGATGACACGTCCCGTTAGTTCTTTACCATCTTCAACTCTCGCAACTCCCTGCTGCTTCCTACAGTACCACTCGGATACCAACTTTTTCGTGCCTCGTGTCGAATTGATCCTCCCCTCTTACATTTAAAGCCCGCTCAAGTGCTTAAATACACAATTCCTTCATCATGATCTCCGATGGCGACCTCTACCGCCTGGCCATCTTCCTGGGCTCCTGCGCCATGATGATGATTGTCTTCTACCACTTCCTCGATGTCAATGCGCGCGACGACAATGAAACCGAGAACACAAAGTCCAAGCAAACCAAAACCACCGCCGAGACCGCGACGTCATAAAGGTGCCTTCGCTGGCTATGGGAAACATCAAGATGCAGGTCATAAATGAAGCTGTGAAGAGACGGACAGGAACCCAATTCTCAGCTCAGTTTACGCGGAGGAAAGTGGACTACAAGCATGTACAATACCCGCTTCGATGGTCATAATCAGTGCATGACCTTGGAGCACAATGTCAGATGGCTTCTTTTTTCGTTGACAATTCATTCACATTGTTCCATGATGTTACTCTGCAAAGTTGATCGAATATTGGGGGTCTTGCTATGCGAAATAATGGAACCTTGAATATTCAAAACGCCTGCTCTCGAATTAAATCGCGCAATCAATGGGGGTATCACAAGGCTGATGAGATCATCATGGCCGCTTCAAGGGTTATTGATCGTTATCGCTCTCTCCAGGTCGGGCACAAAAGGCTGCATGGCCGGCTGGGAGAGGCTTCGGTTGCTCGCATCCGTATCGACCCCCGTTCCCACCTTCCAGCGAATGCCTCCGTCTCGGAATTTCCCCGCCTTTTCCTTGTGGTTGTAAGGGCCGTGAACGCGACTGAAGGCGTCGATGGTGTTTTCGTTAGCTGGAAGGGTCATGGTGCCCGGGCGAGGATTCCGCAAAGAAAGCGGGAACCCGGATGATTCATAGTCGTCCGCTAGACATAGCGATCCCATTAGACATTTCTCGTACAAATGATCATTTAATCAAGAATCACAGATGTGACTCTCGCGCAGAAATATCAATTGTAGCTAGGTGGCTCTCACCAGAACGAATCACTGGACCGTCGCCAGAGGCCCAGGCCGCTTCTTCGAGATGCTGCGAGGTAACATGCTCCCACATGTTGGCTGCAGCCCGCGGGGTTGGGTCGGCACATTCTCCCCACCCACATTGAAGGTTGTGCGGAATATGAACCTTGAGGACATGGCTTTGAAGAGTCTGCAGGTTGTGGAGCTCTGCCTCACAATCCAACCATTTGCAGTGAAAGACTGGGTATGAGACTGTCGACTTGTGGTGAATGGTCCCCAGTAAGTGGCTCTTACTCGGGGCAGTCTTCCCGGGCCGACCGACGTGGCCTTTCTTGTGAGGGGGTCCGCGAGGGCTCGTTGGGATCACCACCTGCATTTGCGTGCGAGGGGGTTTAAGCGGGGACTGTGATGGCACGTTTAGGTTCGATGTATTCGAAGCCTGTCTTGGTCTTGGGCTGGACCTTGAAGGTGATGCTGGTTTAGTTGTCTGTGGCGGTATCGGCGCCGGTGTTTGCTTTGAGCTGGATGGTAGCTCTACCACAGACTGTCGCACCGGCGCCGGCGTCGGCGTCGGAGTTGAATTTGGCGTTGGTACGGACGGCCTTGTAAACATCGGAGGCGGGGCCGAACGTAGGAGTGGAGGCGAAGAGGAAGGAAGGGGCCGAGGAGGGGGTTGAAGGGTGGGACGCGCGAATTTGAGAACAGGAGCAGGGGCAGGAGGCGACGGTAATTGTCGAGAATGGTAAGATGGAGGTACAAATGGCAACGCGCCAAGAGCGTTCGGACGCGACGGAGCAGGCGAGCCTTGAGGAATGTCACGTGGTCCCACGGGGTCAAGCAGATCCCAGCGAAGTGTTGCCAAATCAGAAGTGATGGTGACGGAGGGTATCTTCTGACTGAGTATTTCCAAATGATGGTTCAAATTAGGCTCAGTGGGATGCTTATCCGCGTTTATCAAAATATCCCGTGCGATAGTAGCAGGATCATAGGACTCTTTAAGAGCTGCGTCTTTAGCATCGATTGACTCAACAAGGTTATTTCTCATTTTGAGGTGCGCCCGAGAATGAGAACGGTGAGCATTTTTCGAGAATTCCTGTATACCATTGAAAGGATTGACCGCGTGCTTAGTGCCATGTTGAAGTCGCCGCCTTTTCGCAGTTGGAGCCTGTGTATCAGGCGGGGTTTCTACCAGTGGCGGCCCGTTTGCCCATACATCTGGGATGTCCCAGATGTTTTGAATTGAACTATGAAGAGCCCCGTTTGCGTAGCTGCCAGGTCTTCCGTCCTCTCCCGGCTGTGGTGCAGCTAGAGGCAAAAACGGTAAAAACGCCGCGGGCTGTTCCCTAGTTCCCGGATTGGAGGCGTTAAATGGTTTAAGCATTCTCGGCGTCGCACAATTCTGTGATTTTTGTAAAAAGGCGGGGCTAATAGATGAATGTAATGAAGATGTTCGGGCTGCTGTAGACATGCCAGTGCTTCCGGATGGCGGGGATGCGATTTGAGGTCTTCCAGGACGCGAGTGTGCTGTTTGTATAATCCCGCTCTGGGAATTGGGCACCTGGTTAGATTTAGGGTCTTGCTGGTGAGTCGGCGCAGCTGTTCCTAGACCCGACGCCGATCGAGAAGGATTCGGCGCCAGAACTTGGGCTCGACGGGAGGTATTGGATGAATACAAGGACGAAGGCGGATTGGTGACAGGTTGTCTCGTATACTGCTGACCCGAGGGATATTGCGGCTGGTGCTGGTGCTGGTGCTGTTGTGCCTGTTGTGTCTGCTGCATTTGCTGCGGTTGCTGAGCCATGTGTGCCTGTTGCCATTGAGAAGCATTATCGGTGCTTATGAGCCCATGGTGCGAGTACTGGTCTGTCCACGAAGCATGGATTGCACGTTGGGCCTGTTGGCGCAAATTGGCTTGGTTGGCGGCCTGTGCCACAAATGCGGCTTTAGCAGAAGCTGGGTGCTCATGATGTGTCTCCGGGTCCTGGGACTGCTCCCAGGCATCTTGTATAACCACGTGGGGTCGAAAGCTTTGAGACCAGTGGTTAGAATTGCTATTGGCCATTGCGATGGAAAGCGGCGCGCAACGGGATCATTGTTCGAGGGATCAAGGCGAAAAATGCCACGCGCGCACCAAGGCCCGGGTAATATGTTGGGCGAGCATAAATCCTACACGAGAAGAGAATCTAGACACGGCTTGGAAGTGAACGAGCGCGCATAATGATCACCTGCACCTTTCCCCATTGAGCTGTGGGTTCATGCACGTGACAATCAAAGGTTGTCGAACATAGAAAGCGGTCAACCTGATCGGTGCCCAATGTCCCCCATCCGCAGTAGACGCACGAAGCTTTCGTGCTTCTGCCTCGGTAGAAGCTTCGTGAGGCCGTCGACCGCCATATGGTCGGTGGATATCCATTTTACCGCGATGCGGCCAGCTTGCACCTCTTGCCTCAGCCAGTGGTGATGGATATCCCTGGGGTCTCATCGCTTTATTTGATTTAATTATAATAAAAAGTGTATGAGTCGTGCGACTAAACAGGTAGTGCGACCGTGGAGAGAGTTGTAAGTGAAATATAGAGATTTGTAGAGAGAAAATGTATAACTTATTCAGTCACGGGGTTGTTTAATGTTTGTATTGTTAATGACCCAATTGGGGCCCTAATGGGTCCTGTGGGTTACTCATTTGAACCCATAACCCATTGCGGTTGAAGAGTTGGACCCAAAACCCAACCCATTTGCGGGCTGGGCTGGGTTGGGTTGGGTTGGGTTTTGGGTCCTGCGGGTTATGGCAAAGTCTAATGCGGATATTCCCTTGCCTGATACGCAACACCAGGTACAGTAGAATATGAAAACAGATTACCCCATGGACACTCACGCTTTCTTTCCCAGCGCCCCACTACGATCGCGCTAAGCTGGATTAAGTCAGGGAAAGACCCCACCGTCTTTTCTTGATGTATTTCTGGTAGATCACCAAAGGTACCGTAATTACAGGTTCCGGCATTGGGCAGACCATACAGTGGCACCGCTAAAATCTGAAACAAATTACCCCTTCGTACCCGAAACTACCTTAATACGTATTCGGATAAAGCGTAACTTATCCTTCCCTAGAAATGGAGCCCTTACATTTCCAGGACAGCTGCGTGGTGTATAATACTGTATATTACAATAACCTCTGATATACAGTGGCACGACTAAAGTCTCCGACCCCTTACAGACCGCTTTTCGTTATATCGCTTTATCTGCCAGTCCAAATTTGGCTACCATCGACTAATACTTGATACACCAACCGTTTGGTTCTGAAGTAAGGCTCATAGGCTGTTCAAGTTTACGGATAAATGCGTTGTCGCAATGGTCAAAGCCCACGAAAACCTCATCCAGTCCCTATGTGACCTCGAAATTCCAAAGACCATCCGGCTTTCCCCGGACCGCTCAAGTATCCTTTACTCAACTGAACTCACCTGGGGTCATCGTAAAGGGAAACATGCCGTCTCCACCCTCTGGCTGGCCTCCACCGGCTGTGCAGACTCTTCGCTGCAGCTCACCCCGGGCCTCTTTCGCGACTACGCCCCCAGATGGAGCCCGGATGGAAAGGCGGTGGCCTTTGTATCGGATCGTGCGGATGCTGGCGCCAAGTGGGCTATATATCTCTTACCATTGCAACAGGGCGGCGAGGCGTACCCAATAACGCCGATGGAGAACGCAAGTCCAATCGAAGCATTCGCCTTCTCACCTGATGGCACCCACGTTGCGTTCCTCTCGGCCGATGAGGAGGTCCAATCTGCCTCGGTAGGAGACGGCGCCCACAACGTGCGGGCTTGGGGCGAGGATTGGCGGTTTACGCGTCTGAGGGTCGTTGACTTGCGTACCAAGCGAGTCCTGTGCGCCAAGCTCGACAGGCACGTAAAGAGCGTCTGTTGGAACCCGGATGGGACTCGCATTGGCTTCTCGAGTTGCCTATCGCCCGACATCGAAGAGTCTCATCTCACCGGGACGACCATCTCAGCTATTGACGTCGACCTTAGCTCTGTGGAAGAGTTGTGCCACTTCCCTAAAATGGTCGTTGACCTGACATGGGCTGCTGACGGGAATATATACTTTTGCGGAGGTGTTCCCGCAGACAAGATGTTCGCTGGCTTCGGCGCTTATCGTATTGACCCTACCACTAAATTTCACCAGTATGAGTGGGTGGGTTTTGGGGTAGAAGATGACTCCATCGGCCTCATTAAGGGCGGAAGTGGCGCAATTTTCGTCAAGGTGCAACACCGGCTAGAGTCTCGCGTGTGCCTGCTCGACGGCACGGTGCTATATAGTAGGATGGAGGAGCTCGAAACATTCGACGCTGCAATAGATACTGATGGCAAGTTTGTCCTTGCCATCGCAACTTCAGACGTCAACCACCCTGCCGAGGTCTTCACCACATTCTCATCCGATGGCGCGATGACGCGAATGTCAAATCACGGACAAGAGTTCGCAGGCCGTCGTTTCGGGACGTGTAACTTTTTGACGTGCACGTCAACGGACGGCAAGGTTGAGCTGGATGCCCTCTATTTGACTCCGGCCTCTTCCTCAGTCGGCGACCACCGTCGCCCGCTGGCAACCGCGGTGCTCATCCACGGCGGGCCCAACACTCGTCTCACTAATGCCTTCAACGCCTACTACTACATGCTTGCTCCATATTTGCTGTCGCTCGGCTTCGGAATTTTACTGCCGAACTATCGTGGAAGTAGCGGACGTGGGCAGTCTTTTGCGTCCTACTCCATCGGCGGGCTTGGCGTGTATGATTATTCTGATGTGATAGCGCTCACGCAGTGCGCGATAGACCAGGGTTATGCGGACAAAGAAAGACTGCTAGTGGGCGGCTGGAGCCAAGGCGGATTCTTGACAAACCTTTGCAGTGTGCGTAACGACTTGCATGACGGTGATTGGCGATTCCGAGCCGCCGTGTCTGGTGCCAGCATCTGCGACATCGATGCTATGGCCTTGACCTCTGACCTCGGCTCCTGCTTCGAGCCTGAACTCTCACGCGGCGGTGTAGCCTGGACTATGGACTGCGAAGATACACGTAATCGCGCTGCGAGCGCCTTGTGGGCATTCAAAGACGCCGCACGGCGAGCCCATCTCGAGAACGCTACTGTCGTGCCACCTATGCTGATTTTACACGGCGAGGCGGACGCTCGGTGCCCCGTGTCGCAGGCATGGGGCCTGCGTCGCGCACTACGTAGCTACGGCTTGCCCTTCGAACTAGTCATTTACCCCTCCCAAGGACACTTTTTTGAGGAGCAGAAGTATTGGGTAGATATGGCGCTCAGAATAAGCCGATGGTGCGAGAAGTACATCGGTGGTGCATCATCATGAAGCAGTCAGCATCATAAGCTTTATACAGTTATACTCTCTCGCTTAGCCATACTCCCTACTTCGGCCGTGACCCTCCAGTGGCACTAGCTGTCACACGTTGCTAACTAATCACGGTGAGTAGGTGCCTTGGGCAGTGCGATATCTGAGATAGTAATACAAATGAGAAGCTTGTTAGCTTACTAGGGTTAGCTATTTTCAGTATATCAGAGTATCATATTATATAAACGCCTTTATAAAATTCATTGTTAGCGAGATATGGAGTTGTAATTTATCGCAATTACTATGGGGTTTAGGGGTAGGCGAGAAGACCGGGTGGGCGGGAAGACCGGGAAATACGTCAACGTGGTTTCACAAGCGAGTGACGCACCCCGAAACACCATACTAAATGCAATAAATTACAACCTTATATCTCAACAACCATAGATTCTCGTAAGACTTCCTTGCAAGCATATGCTATTTATGTTAGAGCATCAAAAGTCTGGTATAAAAGTCCCGATTTATTTAATCCTGATTTGACAACTTTTACCAAAATTACACTGTAATTTTGATTGTTGAGCTTCAAGGATTTGTTATCCGACCACCACTTCCTAAAAATCTGAGACTTTCAAAAAACATTAGACTTAATTAAGTAGTATAATATATATTGCGAAGAATGAACTTATGGTTATTGAGATCAATTGTTACATTTACTATGATGTTTTGGGGTGCGTCACTCGCTTGTGAAAGACGTTAACACGACACTTGGTTACGTAAGAAGTAGATGGGGGACGCCTACGGAGAGTGAGTGGACGGCTGTAATCGATCAAGCCAGATCACAAGATATCCGGGGTAAGTCTTCTACGGCATTAATACAGCAGTAGTACAGCTTTCGTCATATAAGAGGTAGATGAAGACGAAGACGAAGACTACGAAGAAGAGGAAGAAAAGGATGGCGTCGATCAAGCCAGATTGACAGATCCCCCTCCCTGACCGTCTACTTTCTGCCACCTAAATTTTGCCATAATAAAACACTCCAAGGTGTCCCACTAGTCTAATGTAGAAAAGAGGTATGGGCGGTGAAAAATAGTGGCCAGGGAGGTGGGTTTCAGATTTTAGCGGTGCCACTGTATGGTCTGCCCAATGCCGGAACCTGTAATTACGGTGCCTTTGGTGATCTACCAGAAATACATCAAGAAAAGACGGTGGGGTCTTTCCCTGACTTAATCCATCTTAGCGCGATCGTAATGGGGTGCTGGGAAAGAAAGCGTGAGTGTCCATGGGGTAATCTGTTTTCATATTCTACTATATCAGCTAGGGTACGAGAACGCTCAAGGCGCCTTGATGGATATGAGCTGGGGCGGGCGTAGTAGGGTAGATATAGTAGATCACAGAAAGAAAAATAAACCCCTTTTTAAAATCGATTTCTCTCCGCCCAATATTAGTACATTGACTTTGAGCTATAATATGAATACTCAAAGATACAGCCAAATACATTATCTATGCATCCTAAGCCAAGTCACGAGCTTATTATTTTTACCCTGTTTGAGGACCCGCCCTCAGGGTGGGAGGTTTGGACCCTCGACTCTGAAAATTGAGGGTCACCCGCTGGTCGCGCCGAGGCCTAGTCTGTTTCCCTTCCTCTTTTTCTTTTTCTTCCCTTCTCCCCATTTTGAAGATTCTTGTTAAATGTTACTTCTTGATCAAATCGGACCGTCACAGTTAAAATGTGATCGTCTATTCATCAGCCCGCCATTTCCCCAACTGGCCCTGACCTGGATGGATTAGCCTAAATAGATAAGTGCGCCCCTGGATGCATTAGCCTAAATAGATAAGTGCGCCTTTCCTACCACCCCAGATTCACGTCTTCTTAGAACAAGCCATTCGGCTCGAATCTGGGGTCGAGTCCCCACTGGGATAAAACCCCAGCCCTCGAGACGGTTAAAGTCTTCTCTACGTGTCCGGGAAAAGTCATGATCTGTGGTATTTAAGTCCCTCTAGAATCTCACCAATATAAATTTTTGAAATTCTACCTTTGCCAATAATTTATTTGCACAACGCGAGGGGCATATGATATTTTAAGAGACTTGGGTATTATCATTCCAGTCAGGGAGAGCCCTAAAATCCACCCACTCATTCGCCAAGATGAGGGCCTCTCAACTATTGTTCCGTTCCCTGCTATGCTTATCCGCGTTGCTGGACGGCAGCGAGCTTGCTAGAGCTGAGAACCCCATCATACAGACTATATACACAGCGGACCCAGCACCGATCGTGTATGATGGGCGCCTTTACTGCTTTACCGATCACGATATGCCAAACTCAACATTTTTTAATATGACGGACTGGCGGCTTTTTTTCGACCATGGATATGGTCAATTGGTTGGATCATGGCACAGTCATGAGCCTAAAGACTTTCAACTGGGCTAGTGCTAATGCCTGGGCAGGCCAAGTCATCTCTCGAAATGAAAAATTTTACTACTACGCTCCGATGACCCATGGCGCAACAGGAGCTATGGCTATTGGTGTTGGTATAAGCGACACAATTACCGGTCCATATGTGGATGCGCTTGGTCACCCTCTACTGGAGAATAACGAGATTGATCCAACTGTCTTTATTGATGATGACGGCCAGGCATATTTATATTGGGCTAACCCAGACCTGTGGTATGTCAAGCTGAACGAGGATATGATTTCATATACGGGTAGTCCTGCACAGATCAACCTTACGGTTGCTGGTTTTGGGGCACGCGAAGGCAGTGAAAATCGCACAACTTCGTTTGAGGAGGGCCCATGGGTCTATAAGCGAAATGGCATCTACTATAACATCTACGCAGCAGATTGCTGCGCTGAAAATATTCGCTACACAATCGGTACAGGACCCCTAGGACCTTGGAATTATCAGGGTATTATCATGCCGACCCAAGGCTCAAGCTTTACAAATCATCCTGGGGTTATTGATTATAAGGGTTATTCATATTTCTTTTACCACGATGGCGCTCTACCAGGAGGTGGTGGTTTCGACCGATCTGTGGCTGTTGAGCTCTTTACCTACAACTCAGATGGTACGATTCCCGAGATGAATATGACCAAGACGGGCGCTCCACGAATTGACACCTTGGACCCATACCAACGCCAGGAGGCAGAGTTGATCGCTTGGGAAGTTGGCGTTTCAACCGAGGTCTGTAGCGAAGGAGGTCTTGATGTCTGCAATATCAACCATGGCGATTACATTAAAGTCGAAGGCGTCAACTTTGGTGGTGGTAAGGGCGCCAAATCTGTCGAATTTCGAGTCTCCTCAGCCACAAGTGGCGGCACAATCGAAATGCATCTCAGTAGTGTGGGCGGCACTCTTCTTGGCGCCTGTACTATCCCGAGCACTGGGGGATGGCAGACATGGACCACGGTGTCCTGTGCTGTCAGTGGTGCTTCGGGAATTCAGGATCTGTACTTCGTCTATACCGGCACTGGCACTGGGTATCTGTTCAATGTCAACTGGTGGAGATTTAGCAAGGGCAAGCCTGGAAAGCCTAGACCAATCTTCACCTGAGTAGTAGGAATTCGGTCAATTGATATACTCGCCCCGAAGTAGTTGGACGCTCTCCACAGTCAAAGTATCCCACAGTCAAGTTATCATTTTCCTCCTCCCTCTCAATTTTCCTAGTATTGTCCACCACCACGATGCTTAAAGTATCTAGCGAAGTTGAGGCCTATTTTTTTTTAAATATTGTGCTTTAGTTATACTGTGTTTATAAAAATCATCTTTCTGTTCACTCAGTAGGTTGTTTAAAGGTTGAACTGGTGAAGCAATGAATAAATTGTTGTAGGGACCGTCTGCTCGCACGACGGCCCTGCACTGCATTACACACAGTAAACTATATAACTAACTAGTGGTGGCACGCATAACATAATAGATGCAGTTACGGCCTGAGGTGTCACGAATATCTTGGGCGTAAGCAATAGTTTCCACATGAGGATAGAGATAGAAGACTCATCTACCCAATTCATTCCAGTTGTCGCTACATTCTTTGATTTATGATGCAGCATTAAGTACAGTACGTACGGCCTCATTCAGGTACACATACGGCCTCATCCAGCACGACCTCTACCACAGACAAGGAGTGGCTGTGTGTATTCTCTTGGATGGTGTTGCCTAGTCTGCATTGTCAGACAGCCATCGAGCCATCTTCATTTATAGTAAATTATGTCATTCCTAACTCCGAGGATCTATATAGTGTAGTGGGGGAACTCCTGACTGCATGAAGGAGCGGTCTATCAGATGACTAAGGCATTTATGATGTATAAGATTCTCTGCGTGCAGAATAAGCAAGACAGACACTCTTTCCCTTCCAACCCACCCCCATGTGTTCTCTTCTCCTATAGTCCTTGTGTGTGTGGTTGCCCCGTCTGTAGCGCCAGACTGCCATCGAGCCTTTCCCACTTCAATGAGTATTATTAGCGATCAACACTAGCGAATCCAAGCATAGTTTATGACAGCTGTCAAAAAGCACCTATATTCTGACGGCCGTCAGAGAACTAGTGCCGTGGCTAGAAGAGGTCATTTAACGTAGTCAGTTCCCCACCACCCGTTGCATTCACCAAGCATGCACGAGAACGCACCAAGACATGGTGCAAATGGATTCGCATCGCATTCCGCAGGTTCACTCATAGGTTAACGGCCAGCACACGACAATTGATTCTCAATTAGATTGTGCAGTGCCCACCCGACTAGATACCCGTATCCTATAGGATCGTATAGCTGACGATTTTAACTACCCTAAGGCCTGGTGGAGGTTTTACTGGACGAGCGTACGCCGTGACCCATTGATAGATCTATCGCATAGGGGTAAGTATCCCATGGGGTTAATTGTAATGCGGCGGATTACGTTTTAGTCAGCACCACCTTGCATCTACGAATATACCTTTGATGAGTCATAATAGAACACTATATAGACAATCTACTAACTATAGCATTGATAGCTTTTGTATAACCAGTTTGTTTCGATATCTAGAGCAAATGATAGCCAGTGAAAACCGTCAATCACCATATCTGGAAAGGTGCGTCTAAAAGATTTCACCCTATTTGATTTGCCTCCAAGAACTCCAGTAGTCTGTGCGCGACAGCAGATGGTTGCTCTTCGGGGAGAAAGTGCCCACAATCATGAACAGCGCCCCCGGAAACTTTGGTCGCGAATTTCTGGACCAAATGAATTATATCCGAACCGACGGAGCTGGCCCCACCTAAAGCTAAGACAGGGATATCGAGTGGTGTCTTTGCATATTCCAGATTCTGTTTCGCACTTGTTCCAAAAGCTCGATAATACTCGAACCCTCGACTCATCGCTCCTGGTCTTGAATAGGCTTGGATATAGCGTTCAAAATGATCTTCGGGTAAACCATCTGCATGGTCCGTCTTCAAATTAAAGAACCAGGTCAGCAGCTCCCGCTCACGACCGCGAGTCAAAATTTCAGGTAATTCAGGAAGCGCATTGAACGAGAATTGCCAAAGACGCATGTTGGTCTGATGAGGCAACGGAAACTGAAGCTGGGGCATGAAACCCGGCACTGACGCGTCCATGATACTGAGCGATTTGATTCTCGATTGAAATTGAGCGGCCCAAGGATAAGCAATCCATCCACCCACATCGTGGCCAACTAGATGGTACGGTCTCTCTTTCAAGATATCGTGAATAGCTTCAGCCATGATTTTGCTCACGTTTGCGGTATCATAGCCATTGAGGGGAGGAAGCGAATCACCCAAGCCCGGGGGATCTAGCGCGAAAAACTGATAATATTTTGAAAGAGGCTCAAAGATACCGCTGAACGCCTCTGCTGTTTGTGGCCAGCCTGGCAGGAGAATCAAAGGGTGACCTTGACCGCCAACTAGGGCTCGGACTCCGTGGAGGAGACGTGTGGCTCGCCATTTTGGTGTCATGGTGTTGACTTCGGCTGGGTCAACTGTACGGATGAAGACTTCAAAGGGCGGGCAATTGTAGGCACAGTAGTTTCACGCGTGTTCGGGTATTTCTGCGGGTTAATATCAATTTGAAATGAGTCATAGAGTAAATGATGAATCAGGGCAAGGGGTTGTTTCAGGTCATACGTGTACGTACCCACATGAATCGGTGGATCCAAATCTGTGATGGGCAAAGGTCGCTTAGTTTCCATAGGGCGCTGGCTGGGCCACTCGTGATCGACAAATGAATAATAAACCGCAAATTATTTTGATTAGCCTCAACTTGAAATCCAGGTCTTTCATGCGCTGCTGGCAACATGAAATCCTCCCTTCGTGTGACAACAATACAGCAGCGTCTACAACAAACTCAGACTCCTCGCTTTCACGTTTGGCAGAATGGGCAAATTCATTGCTCAGAGGGGATAAGCTTCTACAATGGACGATTACCAGAAAATCGTCGTGGCTCAATTTTTGAGCAACTGCCAAACCTCTCCCAGACTTCGTGTCACTGGTTTGTCTTGCATCGTGTTGCCCCGATCCTTCTTCCCAACACTACCGGCAAGATAGACGTTCAACCCAGTCCTCTCCAAAGAAGCATGAGCTACACCGCTGTATTACTGTTTAGTCTCACCGCCTTTGCCTTCTGGCTTGCTTTCTAGATAGATTGTATCTTCTTCTCTTCTTCTTCCTTCTTCGTAGCTTCAATCTATCACTTTCTTCTCTCCTTTATTCCTTTCTCTTTCTTCACTCCCCCGGGAGCCGTCGAAAAGAGAGAAACGAGAAGGGATCGGGCCACTGGATAAGGAACGGCTGTCGAAACGAACAACAAGTAAGCATTAAAAGCAAGATGAAAGAATTAAAATTGTGCAAGAAAAGACAAGGAAGTCGAGAGAAAAAAGATGTTTCATGCTTGTTGTACAGAACGCCGTAGTGAATACAGAAAACATAATAAAATATGCTTGCCATGGCGTATATAGTTAGATCACCGAAAAGTCAAATAGAAACCTTAAACTGCATTTCCACTGCCTTGCCCTTGATCATTTCTTGCTCCATTCTTAGTTGGTGTGGTACCTGGCCGCGAAGCCTGTTTTTGCTGCATTGCCTGGCTCCTCTTTCTGGGCTTGGGCGGTTTCTTTTAACCATCGTCTTCCACACCTGCTCCATGGCCGCTAGGCCTATGCGTTCCTGGTCTGGGTCCGGGACATCTTCCGGCTCAAAATGCCAGAATTGCCCGAGCAGGCCCGTTTTGTGCATAAATTCAACGACGTTGCGGGTCGTCACAGTTTCAGTATCTCCATGTTCCATGAGCCGCAGCCAGGATATTACGAGAACTCAAGAGGAACAAGAAACCGACGAACATGGTCACAATGGCAAATAATTGCATGCCCATAAAGGTTGAATCATGCTGCCTTCCCAAGATAGCTCCCATGATCGGCAGGCCGGTAAGAGTGCTGCTAGATGTCAGTACAGTAGAAAACAAAATGATTCAAATAGGCTAACGAAGACCTACGAGATAGCTATAACACCCTGATAAGTGCCTATCTGTCTCCCAAGGGTCTCTAGGCTTCCAGACTTTCCGCAGCACGGCATCATGATGCTAACGAAGGCGCCGCTAAAAAAGCCGTAAGCAACAGCAAAAACGATGAGACCGGCATCTGAAGAATAGTAATCGAAAGGCAGCCATAGACAGAGGATGGCAATGCAGCTTAGGAAGGCGGACCCCACTATAATATTAAAGTATCCCACCTTGTCTCCGATGTGCCCGGGGATAATTCTTCCGAAAAATGAAGCAGCACTACCCTCAGGTCAGCTCTGATTGAGACAACAAGATTGACAAATCTTACTTCACTATAGCGATCAGGTAGAGGGCCAGCGAATCCGACATTCCCGACAATTGCGCCATGCTAGGAAGATAATCGAAAGGTGCCCATAATCCCCACATCACAAAATATGAGCCGAGGGCATAGAAAGCAAAGCCTCGGTTTTTGAACAGCGTGAAGTCAAACCATGCCATTTCCGAGTCCCATTTCTTTGGAGGTAGACGTGCACTGAGAAGAAAGAAGGCACCAACTAAAGCGATTCCTATGAACAGCGCTGTGTAACGTACCATGCCATTGAATCCCACGTCTTCCATAACCAGTTGCAGAAAGAATGGGAATACCACGCCCCCTATTCACACAAAAAATCAGCCCGTGATGAGCACTGATAGGATAGTCTGCTCCTCACCGATACTACTACCCGCAACAGTAATTCCCATAGCAAGACCTCGCTGCTTGACGAACCACTGGCTCACGCAGATCAAACAGGTGGTGAAAATACCTCCAGCTCCGAGTCCATAACCAATTCCCTGCGCCAAGATAATTTGATAGTATTCGGTGCTAAGGCTCGTCATGCACAGTGAGAAGAGGCACAGAAAGGTACATGGGAGCATGACCGGGCGAGGTCCGTAGGTATCTACAATGCGGCCGAATAGGGAACCTGGAGCCCATATGAGAGCGAGCTGGACTGTAAAGATCCATGAGATGTCGGAAGAGCTGTAGTCCTTCAGAAGAGTCTCTTGATAGGTGGTTTGGAAGATGCCAATGCTGTCCAGGTCAGCAAAAGGACCGGTCATGAAACTTTTTCGCGGAAGGAAGCACTCAACGCGTTCAAGAAGCCCAAAGTAGCGAACAGACCTAGGGAACCGCCAGCGCAACATAGCCAACCTCGAAGGCCGCCCTCTGGTGGGAGAGTTGAGTCCAGAGCAGGACTTTCAGAGATGGGGGCTGGAAGGCCTCCTCTTCATCTTGCTGGGTGCCGATGGGCGACAGCATCTTGGAATCGGGCATTTTGGTGACTGTGCTTCACGTCTACAGTGACTATGCGGCGTTAAAGCTGAAGTCCAGCTCGCCGTTCATATGCAGAATACTGATAGCACTATAGCTATGGCGGGTGGATGGCGGTCCGCGCGGTCCGCGCGGCACGCGCGTTGCGGGAATTACGGTGCCCACATACTGTAGATACAGTATTTTAAAAGAACGTTAATGACTCACTCAATGTGACGCCAGAATTTACTAGGGTAATGCACTAGACGTTCTCTTTACAGAGTACGGAGATCACAGCGGCGATCGAAAGGGGCGGGCCGGAGACGCATCCGTTTTAGGCCGTAGATCCCTCTTAGTATATGCCAATACGGATGGCTGACTCGAAGGGGTCCGGTTGGTAGTAGTAGTTTTTAGAATAGTATCATCTCCATATTGAATGGGGATGGCTCGATGGCTGTCTGACAATGCAGACTGGGCGCCAGCAACACACATACATACACATTCCAAAGGACTCAGGAAGGCGTAGGGAACATTCTCTGTAGGTGGATATCGCTTTATCCTTGAAATTGTAGCATGAAGTAAATAAACCGAATAGTGCAGTCATATTCCGAATAGTTCTTTTACCTCTGTATCCATGTAGGAGAAAAGAATGCAGATAGGAGGGCAAAAGTCATGTAAGACACTTCAGGCACACTAAATACCATATCACCGCTTTGACCACTACACTATGTAGAATAAAATGGAATTTTAATGATAGCCATACAGACATAACAAGCAACTTCCACCCCTTACGCAGAGCCTGGCATATTTGGTACTCCTGCACAGTATCATAAAAAAGAGGTAGGAATTGCAAGGTAGGTAGGAAGGTAGGTAGGTCAGTAGGGAATGTATTTAGGATATCATATTCTGAATACTTGGTATTTAAAACATAATAGTCAAGTATATCAGTTCTTCGCTACGTAATAAGCTTACCGAATCCAGGATGTTTCCAAGACAGCCCAAACAAGAGGAGATCCGGTGATCTGGATTGATCCAAACTTTGTTTCTTTTCCCTCCGCAGACTTCACCTACATCTACCTCGTATATGATCAAGGGTGTGCTATTGTAGAGGGCTAACTGCTAGGCTAACATAATTGTCGTTTAAATTTTCCCCTAGGTCCTTCTCTAATCATTTTTAGTCTCTCTATGCCTGTCAATTTCCGACAACGCTAATGCAGACCTCCTAGGTGTTACGAACTCTGCAAAAGCCAGCTCTTTCAAGGGGCCGCAGCTTACTCATAGGCCATCGAGGGCCAACTGAGTTCCTAGGAAATGATCTGTAATTCTAGTCCATGTGAAATTGCCAATACCCCCGAGTTTGGGGTACAAATTTCGCCCTACTCATCGAGCGGAGCGTCTTGCAAGTGACAGTCGCCATTTGGCTTAATCGATTTTCTAGTGGTAATTTCTGTTTAAGACGTCTTTTTTCCGCTTAAAATTTTCGAAATCCAGTATACGACATGCATCCCACATTACGTAGCCCGCTTTCCGTTCATCGGCGAAGTTCTTGCTCAGAACAAAATCACAGCCCCACTGGGCATGATCATCGGATAGATGCGCCTGACACCAAATTTCTGCCGGCCCTGACTTGCCCAAATCTGGTAGGAAGAGGTCACAAGTCGAACCATTAGGGTGTTGTGACCTGTCTTGCAAGGCTCTCATGTAGGCTGCACCAAAAAGGGGGACTTCGATCAGTATGGCGTTCGTGGTAGTATTGGTCGTTAAGATCCTCAATAGCGACGTTAAGCAAAAAAGATTTTCCTGGCTTCGTTTCGGCAACCAGTAATCGGCATCGGGCTTCGCGTGTCGGTGCTCTGGTAAGCTCGTAGACATAATTGATACCGCGAGAGACCTATAAAGTTCAGTGGACGTCCTTATTTGTGAATTCACTACTAACTAAAAATGCCTTTTCGTCATTTTCATAGTCTGGTGTTTCCAAATCGGTCGCCCAGGTACCCCAGCGGATGCGATATACGTCATTGAAAGCTTTAGGTACAGTATTTGGTCAGCATCATTCTTATCCCTGTGGTATAGATCATCATATTTACCAATGGAGAGTTGTCTCAACAAATACTCATACACCGAGGCGAGCTGCTCGTTTGTCCACGGGTCAAATCCAACATATAACGGCATTAACCACCGACGATCCCAGTCCACAATATACGGACCGCCATCCCAGAGACAGCAGAAAAATTCAAAGAAATAGAAACTGCGTTGGACACGATAGACCTCGGTAGGTGACGGTATGGGTGAAGAGTGGTCTAGCACGCCTTCAATAGCCAGGAAGTCAAGGGCCATAGATATAAAGTCGGTCGTAAACTTGTCAATAGCGCGATGTAGTTGGTGGAAGTATTTGTGCGCCTCGTCCAAATCCACAGTGGTCAAATATTTCCATGCTTCTTGGGGAGTGGTGCTTTGGCATTCCTCAAGGATCGAAAGTGCGTCTTTCTCGTCGTAAACCTTAGCCTCTTTTCTACGTGTCCGCATTTGCCATATCGTCACTGCGACCGACCAAAGTCGAGGATCAATTTCGTTTCCCAGGACATGGCCAACAATGGTGGGGGATTCGCGCAACGCCTCGGCCAGCAGGCGGTGGCTAGACACTGCCGCGGAAAGATCCCCGATATCGGATAGCTCTTGCAAAATGGAGATACGCAACTCAATAGGGAGGGCAAGTATCCTGCCCATACCTGCTGAGGGCCGTTGGAGTCGAAGTACTTGACTCTTGCAGATCTCTCTGATTGGTCGCAGGACTTGAATGATCAGGTGTCGTTTTAGGAATGTGGAACAAATGTGGACGTGTTTCGCGCGAGGTCGACAGGCGTGGAGGGCCACTGAGGGGCCACTGAGGGGCCACTGAGTGGCAGTCTCAAGAGTTTCATGTAATATTCGGTATTACACGTAACGCTGTCGTTCTGGAAATAAACAGAATCTATACTTAGAAAATGCCAAATTACAACTTATCCAGATGCAGATTAAGTTGGTTTTCTGATACGAGCCGAGAAACCATCCGTGTGTTCAGGGGGCAATCTGGTTTCGAAATCCACTGTAACCTTTATGTGATAAATTCATAGTGGTGTAGTGAGCACGGGCCATAATTGGTAGAAAAGTCACGTGAGTTGTGTAGTGACCGAAAGGGTGTTGTGTAGCCTTCTGGTTCCTCAACCTTTATGTGGTACTGTAGCGATTGTGGCAGTTCGCCTACTAAATATTCCAAGGTGCTTTTGATCGCCTGATCTAGATTTCCCATTCCCGTAGATCAGGATGACATAAAACATGGGTTGGCTGATTCAACTATAGCATTCTAGGGCTTTGTCTGCATATTTCTGCACGTTACCCTTCTATAATTGCTTCGTGTCGTGTTCTTTGGCCATCGCTCTACTGCGTCGCTCTGTTGTGTATTAACCCCAATGGCCCTTGTCACTATGTTATTAATAAGTTTGAACCCTCCACACTCCTTCGTTTTACTGTTCCGCGATGTCATCTAATCGGCCTTGTTTTGATTGTGGGCGCCAAGTACGATTATCTACAACTATCCAACCGCCGCGGTGGCGAGTCAGCGGTGAATTACATTACCAATTTTGGCCTAGTATGATAATGTGGGACAGGTCGCGTCGGGTGGGACTAAGGCCATTTTATCCGAGTTAAAAGGGGAACATGGTAAGCCGAGTCCCACTGGTGCAACGCATTAACTTCGGTCGCAGTAATCAATGCAGAGAATCAGGGTTAGGGGGTTTTCCGACAATCTGCATGTCTTGAGGTGATTAAACGTAATCTTAACCTAATGATCCGAGAATCCGGAGGAAGTGATTGCACGGGTCTGGAATTCATCGTTTGAATTTAGGCTTCTTAATCTCCCACCTCATAAACAGCCTCGCCCTTTCAATCATGGGAAGGCGCAAGGAACGTTCCAAGACAGGTAGACTACCACCGTTATTTGCAGAGCAACGGGTTCTAACCTAAATAAGGCTGTACTAGCTGTCTTCGTCGGAAGATCAAATGCGATGAGCAACACCCCACATGTCGCCAATGTGTCGACGCCAAAATCAAGTGCTCATGGGATTTGAGCTCCCGAATATCCGTCCAGAAAGCACGGATACGATGCAAAGCCACTGGGTGCTCTACAACATCTCCCGAATCTAGTCACCCCGCTGCTGGAGGCAGAGCTGGCGGTAATATACATAGCACGGCTTTTACTGAACAATCTCGATTTCTAAGTTCTGATTATAACTTGCCAGAAATTCTTACATCCGAGGAAGATGATGCAGCCTTGTCATTCACAGCACGGAATGATATCTAAAGGCCCCCGGATGGCGTTCACGTCTGGTATATTGACCAGCACTGTTTGCAACGTGACTCGACACTGGCAATTCCGAATCTGCTTTCATCTTTTATCTATCCCCCTTCTATACCGTGCGCCAGCTCAATTCTGCTTTCACATCGGGATATGATGTATCTAGAATACTTTCCCGCGTCTTCCCTAGTCAAGGTTCTGGAAAAGGAATATAACTGTAGCAGTTTCAGGTACATATGCCAGAAAAAAGCTTCGGATGAGGCCATTGTAATGTACGGGGTCTTGGCATTATCCGCTAGCGAAATGAACAAAAGCTCTGGCCAAGCAAATTCTCACGACAAGGGCCTATTCTACTATTGTCTAGCCTTGAATCGCACCTTGGATGCCCTCGGCAATCTAACGTTTGAATCTAACAGTATGGAATCGATTCTCAGTGCCTTGTTTCTTGTCATCACTTATGAATGGAGATTTGGGTCGTCCAATTCCACTTCAAGAGTCCTATCCAAGTTCTTCTTAAGCTTTTCGGCACTCATACGGTTTCATATATGGAGAGCAATATCCAGCTGAGCAGCAACAAGACGATTTAGAGAATTACTGTCTGTTAGGGCTCATTCACCAAGACTATCTTTTCCGATATCGAATTTGGCGGCTTGCTGAACGATACTACCGAGGGGAGCCTATTCAATCTGAGCTAGAAGTTCTGTAGAGAGATATAAGCGCGATTCGAAAGGTACGATGTTTTCATTGCACTTACCACAAATTGAAGCGTTTAACTCACTATTCAGGTTTATCATGATTTATTTCAGGTCCAAAAATCTCCGAAGGAGTTTCGTCATCGTCGGGCTTTTATAAGTCTCTGCGAGGGTTTAGCAGGCTATTATTGTAACGTACTCCTCGTTTGTCGTTTTATTGTTTGCATTTCTATTCCTCTAACGTGGTCGGTAAGCGAGTGGGCCACCCCAAAACACCATAGTAAGACAATAATTTATATCAACAACCATAAGTTTATTCTACTCTGTCTTTCGTATCGTACTTATTTAGAGTATAATAAGTCCAGTGTGAATGTCTAGGTCAATTTAATTATGATTTGACACCATTTACCAAAAATACACTGTAATTTAACCTTTGGGGCTTCAAAGATATATCTTCGAATCCTAACATCTTAAAATTTTTCGAGACTTTCAAAAAAACCTCAGACTCAGTATGAAGAATATAGGTTAAGAATAAAACTTCACGAGAAGCTACGGTTATTGAGATATAAAGTTGTAATTTATCGCTTTTACTATGGTGTTTTGAGGTGGCCCACTCGCTTACCGACCACGTTATTTCGCGCTAAGAAGTATTATGTAATCTAGAATACTGGGGCCAGTGAAACGAGCCAGTAGTCCAAGCCCGAGCGGTATCCCGTCGAGTGGCAAGCAGCGGTTCCGACGACGGGAGATGGAGCGAAACCGGATAGCCATCGATGCATGGCAAGGGGCGATGCACGCAAAGACGATGGTTTTAATGCAGGAGCAAGTGCGGATATGGCGTGTGCGGTGTTGGATTTGCGCGAGGCAAGGTTTCGCGGACGGGCACGAGTTGATTATTGCTTCACAGGCGATTGGCCAGGAGGCCAAAGTATAGTTGATACCGGTGCGCAAGGAAATAAATTTCGAGAGGTATACGGCATGTTTCGGATGTGGAATGCTGCATCGGTTATCCCGGTGGTTGCGGCAGCCCAATGACTCCCAAGCTTAGCCCTGCCGGGAGGTTTACAATTCAGTCTAGGCTGATGGTATGCACGATCGTTGCCCATGAGACATGCATAGCAGAGGTACGACATTGCGTAAACACCCCTTACATACTTGAATGAATCGACAGTACTCATTGAAGGGAGATAATATCTTCAATACGAAAAATTTTCTGAACTCGGTGGCAAGACAACTGTTCTGAATAGATTGTCTTGTACCATGAGGAACCTGACTTGGCCATTCATCTTTGCACGTATTGTCTTGACTCACAGCACCCATCATTCACCCCCCACAGCCATTACACGCAATGGTACCGTCCACGGCGTACACCTCCCCTCCTTTCAGCAAGATCTCTTTCTGGGGATACCTTACGCTCAAGCCCCGCGATTAGACAACCCTAAGCCTATCAACACCACCTACAATGATGAGACTCCATTTGACGCTTCTCGCTACGGAAACACATGCTACGGCTTCGGCTCCAACGAGCTTCTGGGACTGACCCAAAGCGAAGACTGCTTGAATCTGAACATCATCCGACCCTCCAGAGCGACAGTGGGCGCTCTCCCTGTCATATTCTGGATATACGGCGGAGGTCTGCATCAGGGCTCTTCCGCAGACCCAATGTGGAATCTGTCGTATATTGTGCAACGATCTGTGACGGAAGAACAGCCCATTATCGCCGTGAGTATAAATTACCGTCTTTCTTTTCTCGGTTTCCCAGGAGGACGTGAGGCTTTAAATGCGGGGGTGACCAACCTGGGACTTAAAGACCAGCGATTGGCCCTGGCTTGGATCCAAGAGAATATCGTCGCATTTGGTGGTGATCCGGCCCGGGTGACAATCTGGGGCGAGTCTGCAGGTGGAGTAAGTGTTGTGCAGCAGCTAATTGCCTATGGAGGCCATGGTGGCACTGGTTTGTTCAGTGGTGCCATTGCAGTTAGTGGTTTTGCTACAGGGGCTGCATTACCAGAGATAGAGAAGATGCAGGCTGGTTTTGACAAGCTGGTGGTAGGGGCTAACTGCACGATGGCAGAGGATAAGCTTGACTGTCTTCGCGGGACCTCGTTGTATAATTTGTATCCTATTGAAGGGAGCACGGAAGGGGGATGGGGTCCAGTGATAGATGGTGATTTTCTACGAAGGCCTCCTGCTTGGGAGATTCATGATGGGAACTGTGCTCGTGTGCCTCTCCTTTTGGGCAGTAATTCGGACGAGGGTCTGATCAAATTAACGGCGTCGGAATATTTCCCCAACTGGACGAATGAGACTACAACCTTACTGAAGACCAACTTCCCACTCCTACAACATTCGGTCATCGAGCAGCTATTGGATTTTTATCCAGAAGACGGACAAGGAGAAGCACCACCGTACTCCCTCCCGCCGGACTTCGCCTGGTGCAAGGCTCTACACGCCGTCAATCTCCCCTGTGGCTCTCAATACCGCCGTGCCGCGGCCCTGCTGGGCGATTACGTCTCGCACGCACCCAGACGGTATATGGCCAGGCTGTGGTCGCGACTCGGTCTGCCGACGTACAGCTTCCACTTCAAAGCAGCTGTGACAGGGGTCCCGATCCAGTATTTCTACGGCCTGGGGCCTGGCTTTTCAAACCATGGGGCCGAGTTAGCGTACGAGATGGGATTGCCGGGGGTTTCACCACGCCAATTCGGTTTTATCCGCCGGTAAAAAATGTTTCTGGACATGTGGCTTTGTCGATGGAAATGAATCGACGGTGGATTGCATTTGTGGCAAGGAGCGATCCGAATGAGTTGAGAGGTATGTCTAGATACATCTGAATGTGCGAGTAGTTTGGGACGCTGGTATGGCTAATACATTTAGTAAATGGGAATTCGTCACTAAAGTGGAGGGAGTATAAAAAGTCCGTATCGAACTTTGTTTTTGATGCCACTGATGAGGATATCAATCTGTATATGGAGACGGATGATTATCGCGAAGGTGAATGTCAATTATGGACGGACAATGTTGCCCATACAGATTATTCTGGCCAAGGACTATAGGAGACTCGACTTGGGAGTCATGACAACACTTTGAATTGAGAGAGCGACCGAAGAGTACAGTTCTAGTGCGATCTATTGATTAGCTATGTACTGTAGCCGACACAGTGAACGATCCAACCAAATGGCCACACAATGGATCACCTCGTTATTACAAAGCCATAGCGTGCGGCAGGGCTCAAAATTGGCTGTAGATCAGAGTCGGTGGGGGGTCATTTCACTAGCCAGAAGACTTCGATGAGCTTAGTGAACTGCATTTCATGACCCGGCAATATACGAAGGAGACCTTTTGGGCCCTGTGGTATGATGATAAAATGGCTGCGTAGTGCACGGTATTTGTTGGCGACGTTTGACCCCCTAGGCGCAATTTAATGACCACTCCAACGGGGTGGAACATAGGATAAGATATTTTTCAGTCAGAGTAAGGCCATTGAGGGTATTAGGGTAGTGCTAGCAAATAGTCATATTTATATTATTCTTGCCAGAGAATTTCGGAATAGATCCTCGAAGGAGCGCGATATGACATATCGAGTAAAGATTCTAGAAGCCGTCATTATAACCGTACGTGTCGAGAAACCCCTCCAATAGCCGTAGCAAGGAATCCCCTTCGAGAAATCAACGGATCGCAGTACTAGGAGAAAGCTTACCGCAAGAAGTGTACGTGTTACCTCGACATATCATTCTCAAACCGGGTCACAGAGAGTCTTATATGGGACAGAGATATTTGAGACGGAAATACGCGCGAAGCATACACACACAGGAAGCCAAGTGCTTGGTGAATAACGAAGGATGCAGCGTTAGACAGTGCAGATTATGCGCACGGAGCTGACGAAGATAGATTGGCGTGACTAGTTCGTTGAGAATGATGTCGAGAGCGATTTTGGTTGGGTGGATTTATTGGCGGGAATGAATTGAGGAAAGGGTCAAAAAAGGTTGCTTAAAAGCGAGGCGAATCAACGGGTACCCGTGAAGCGGTCGCTCTTCTAGACCTACAATCAGAAAAACGGATCATGCGAGGCCGACCAGGAAATGGGATTTTACAGTTCCGTCAGATAACATCGGAAGCGCGTCTAAGTTGGCAAGCTCTACAGCAAGGATCGGACGAGTTTGTAGGTATTGGAACACTGCAGCGTGAGCAGGGGCGCACTTCAAGCGAAACCTGTAAAGAGGGTAGGTGGCAAGCGGGGCACCATAGCGGCTGGATTGTTATAGATAGGTGTACTTGACGGCCGCAATGAACACAAGAACGATGAGTTAACATTGTTGGCGTCAGCGCTAACAGGGAGGTTAGACGACAAAGTTGAAGAAATGTCGTAGAAGAGGATAGAGACACAGGTGGCAACACAGCTCAGAGCGTCACCGTAAAAGAAAGGTCTAAAATTGGGAACGATGGAATCATATCAAAGAAATGTGCAAATAAGTTGCATATACAGATGGCGAGCCCTAAAGCCCTGATACACCGGATCCGAAAAGGCAAGGCGAAGGCCAAATAGACAGTGCGTGTGGCAGTAGCGGCCCTACGTAGTCGATCTCCCTTTTTCTGTGGACGCGCACGTACATGCATATTGATAAGTTCCCTATCTCTCACTTCGGTCGTTTCAAGGCCAATGCGCGCCGGGCGCGTCTTCCAGTGCCCTGAAACGATAACAAGAAGACGGTGGTAAGATATTAAAGTATAAGCGGAGATATATTGGTGAGCCATAAGCCATTATAATTATTGAATAATCAGATCCTAGTTAGCTAGGTGCCCTTAAATAACGTAGACTAATAATGGAAGCCATTAGTATGACTAAAAATCAGACCGTGGAAGAGGTGCAAAATAGGATTGAACTTATTAGAGATTTCAAATGTTATGGTTCGATTAAGTATCAGCATAGGATAAGTTTCATGGTCTTTAGGAACATCTTCTTAGCGTAGGACTATAAGGTTGCAGTGAGGATCAAGCATCATCGGGTATGTCTAGAGATTAGAGAATGGCAGTTCAAATAGGGACGTGTCTCTTGCATAGGGAGAAAACATAGTAGTCGACAGTTGGGGCAGTTGTTACAACCCAAAATGCATGAATACACGTAGTATTCAACGAAGGTACGAAGCTAAAGAAGAAACCAAGTGTTGAGCGCTGCGTGCTCAGCGAACAATCGCTCGCTAGTCTCAATCGGGTTAGTCAAGTTCCCCCATCCAGGTCCATAGATCAGTCTATGCGTCACAGTCTGACTTCTAATTTTAATGTCACAATGAGTTAATTCAATTCATACTTTCAAGTTGCATTATTGATTTCTGTTATATTCCTGGTATCTAAAGCAGTATACTAGACATATGGTTCAAAATGCAATGCTCTTATCCGAGTCGTAGGTAATCGGCATTCATCTCTTTTCTAAGCTACTCTTGGTTACATCTGTAGCCCTTGATCTTGCTTTTCAGACTGATTATGTCAAGCTCATACCTTGTTTTCGACGATGTGCTGAAGAAAAGCCGCAGAAAATCCCCCAAGCTTTATAATAGTAACCACTTATCCTCAAGCATTCGATCAATGTTGTCAGCTATTTGTTTCTCGATAATAAGATAGAGGCTGGAATATTCGTTACCTTTCTAGGGCTCTTCCATAACGTGCCCAAGCATTCTGTGCGCTGCGATCTCCAAGCCTAGGCTTTGATATCTTCTTTTGCGCACTTTTCGAGGGGAGGGATGTTATATTTATCGCCCGATACGTATATAATAAGTTTTAATAGGCCATAACTCCCTATAGTTTTCCAAACCTAGTCTCGTGTCTTTATAGCTTTGCCTATACAGATACTGAACCAATATGTTTATCGCCTCGGGGTCGTCATCAGGTAGACTAATCTTTCCAGTTTTACCTTCCTGATAGCTATTAGTCATCTTGTGTAGGAAAATCTCTCGTTGTCCTTATAAGAAAGTTTACGTTACAAATAGCGGCCAGAACTTCAGACTAAGCACTTATAATCGCTCGATGAACTCGATAATTGTAGGCACCACAAGAAATGGTAATATCCGAATATTCGTTAGAGGTCATTATTCGCTTCAATAGCGAACGTAGATCGTCAGTATTGGACATACTAGTACTGGGCTCGGAATAGTGGGGGAACGCGTGAGATTGTGAGTGATGATGGTCGGTGTTCCTATTATCCGGATGTGGGGCAGATTACTGTGTAATGGCCGGGTTAAAGATTTTCCGTCATAATCACCCATTAAGACTGTACTCTATTCTATCTAGTACTTAAAGCTACAAGATCAGGAGCCGTTGAGGGTGTCGTTCGCTTGCTATCATCTGACAACTATCGATGGTCGTTGGTCACTAACAACATATGTCGAGGTTCTCTACAGTAGTTTTCGAAATCAGTTATACCTCACACTCTTTAAGCATCAGAAAGGTACCGAGTTAAATAGCCAAGCTAGTAATAATAACGTGGTATGATGAAGTTATTTTAAAATATTTAGGCTAGCTATGTCGACGGCTCAAAAGCTCTATGATATAACACAGTCCCAGTAGGTGTTGGCTTACGCCAAGTCAGAGCCATAAAATATTCCGGTGGCACCCCATATAGCTGCAGAGAAGGATATGCCTTAAAACCAAAATGCCTGTAATATTTCGGGTCTCCTGATACAACGCAACCGGCCGCATGGCGACTTTGGAGATCTGCCAACGCGGCTTTCATTAAAGACGACCCCACGCCGTTTCCTTGATATTGAGGTGAAACAGAGATTGGCCCCAGCCCGTACCAATTCTCACTGCCATCCGCGATAGTTATAGGTGAAACAGCGACGTGGCCCACGATTGTATGCATAACTTCGTCTTCGGCGACTAGCGAGATTGATAGATGGTCCGCTTCGCGGAGGCCGCGGATAATAAATTGCTCGTTGTGGTCTGTGTGCTTGGCATTCATGAATGCGGCTGAGGTGACTTCTTCTATTGCCGGCACGTCGCTTTTTGTCTCAGGTCGGATACAAATTTGCCTTGCGCTCGTCATTCTTGCGTATCGTTCTAAGGGGCTGCGGGATGTTTGTCGCCTGGAAGGTGTGGTATGTACTCGAAAATGTTGGACGGATTGTGATTGGAGACATAGAAAGGACATATAGCTCTAGTCTTGGAAACAGCTAGACAATATATCCTGCAGCTAATGACATAAGTCGTAGTGAGTCATTCGGCAGCCCTTGGAGCAGACACATCTCGGAAGTCGGGGCGGAAGTGTCTTCCGTTTTAAATTCGTATCATAAAATACATGAACCATTCAAGGAAGCGGTCTGGAAAGCAGAATGATTACTATCCCTCCGGATTTAGACTAGTGCTTTTCCGATTCTTGCTTGGGAATTCAGTAGTAAGAGTATGAAGGCATAAGTAATTTTGAAAACTACTGTAGCTCAGAGAGACAGTCTCGTAAGCGATGCGTAGCATTCACCGTGTGGAAGACGAAAGAGGTCTCCTAGCAGATGATCATGTTACTTGGCGCCAGGTGACCTTCCATACAGCAAGGATATCATGAGCCTTCTTCTCATACGGAAGATGTAATCTTCCGTCGCGCATTACCGTAAATACGCGGAACATCTTACTACGCCCCTTAAGTTTAATGCGGCGCGCTCAAAGTATGATCTGCGCTAAGGCCTTGGTGGTGGGACCGTGAAAGATTTCTCGGTATATATTGGTCAAGGCGACTTTGAGAATCACTACTGCGGAAACCAGAGGCACCAAAATAGATGTGAAAATGACGGTGGGGGAAAAATGTTGGCCTCAGAAAAGTAGCGAGATGAGCGTCTATCATACCGCACAGCGATTGGCTGGACATAGATGTGGGTCTCTATGAATCATCTAAGTGAGGGTTGGCAGGGTGGTGTAAAATCACCGCCAGAAAATCCCGGAGAGGTCAATTTGCTAGGGGGGAGGGGGAAGCTTCGATTGCCCAGATGTCACCTAATTGTGAAAAGCTGACTGTACTGGCCAGAGCTAAATTAGAAGAACTTGCTAGAAACACAACTGCGAACTACATTCCTGAAGAGATGAGGGCTTGCGATTTTGAGAGAAGAAACGTATTTGAAAAGTTCCTTTGGGGCTTAGATTGTTTATTGCAATGGCACAGAAGCCGATTAATAGGGTCAAACTCACGTGCTCAGCTGTATGACTCAATGGGTACCGGTGGAAATATACTAAGAGCTACTGTAATATCAGCCTTGGGATCTTTAAGCGAGCAAGGAAGTACACTCGAGAGGAAGGGTTGACCTTCAGCTAAGACCTTATCACGGTCTGCTCTATCGGATTGGAAATACAGTGTAAAAGATGATAACTGATCCCGAACTACTCCTTGATCTATAATCTGAGTGGGTCGGCTCGGATGTGGGCTTTAGGGACAAAAGCCCAATCAGTACTTGCTATTTTCCCACCCGGTGGATCTGCTCGGAATTCGGCAAAGGCGTAATGATTTCCTTGTCTCAGTCAGACAGACTATTTAATAAGTGGAACGTGCGCTCGGAAAAGAGAGAGATGTAGATTCTAGAGATGGAAGCTATGGAACTAGATCTATCATAGAGGCTTAAGCAAGGGATGCGGTGAGGAGGGGCAGAATCCCATTCACTGCGAACAGTTTGAAAATGGTTTATTCTCTTTACGAAGGGACTATCGTGATGGCAAAAAGTGCCCTCGCCTCTTTGACCCATATTTTGCATCAGGGTGAGCAAAGTCACAATTTTACCGAACTCCTTGCCGCACGTTTGTAAGAGGATATGAAACCATTGACCTCTCAAATCCATATTGCCACTCAGGTATCCGAGAAAATGGTTGCCAGACTGACCGGTCGGGAGGCTGCAATCTTCAATGAGAAACTTGACTCCTTTACGCAACTATATGAACGTCTCAGTAACGCGATAAAGGCACTAAGCGAAGCCGACAAGGATGTTGTCAATCGACGTGGCGAAGAAGTGGAAGCTACCACATTAGGCCCAGACACGATCTTGCCGATGAGCGGGGCAGCGTTTGTAAATGGCACAGCGATGCCTAACATATTTTTTCACCTTACTATCGCCTATGCGATCTTTCGAAAGGAAGGCGTACCGCTTGGAAAACGGGACTATATCACAAGTTTTGTCGCCCCACAAATCTTCGGGGCCCAATAGTGGAAAGGGAAACGCGCCCTGTTCCTGAAATCCGTACCTGTCAGGCAGATCCGCTATATACGATGCGCTTATACTACCCGTTGACTTCACGGGCTTGACCTTCTGATAAGCTCATGCTTACAAGAGGCTAAGTTTGGCGCCATCTCGGTTCGACCATTTGTGTTTGTTAAGATACGCCAGTCCCTCAAGAGAGTTCTTTTGGAGTAGAGTGTGGATGTGTCAGTTGTATTGAAGTTACAAGCGAATACATGCTTGGAATTACAACTTTGGCAAATATAAGAAATAATACACATCCAACTGACAGGGGCCTCCGGAAGATCCCAATTTGGATTAATGCGTCTTGGCATTAGGGCTGGGAAATCAATCGAAGTGTATGTAGGTGGTCGCACCACGTACTGTAAGACTTTACTAACACTTTCTTGACACTTTCCAATATCCTCTACGACACGTCGAGCGATGCGAATTTTGATTCCTTTCTCAATGAAGAAATGGGGATCCCGATCCCTATACACCTGCTCAAGATCAAGACCGTTTTCGAGTATCACATCACGTACTTCTCGAATGCAGTTTTGAGGGTGTCATTCTCGACATTCGACACCTACCACTCACCGTACTACTTGGCAGCTACATCTGTGAGACCAGGAATGTTGAGTGGGCTTAAAGTCTGCAAACTATCTGCTGCTTTCGGAGCCGAGACGTCAAGATTATGGGGCGCAGACTACGAGGAGGAAACATTGATGTTGATAGGTGGATATGGTGACCTAGCACCAGTGACATGGCTTCCCTTGCGCTTGTCTCTACCCAGCCTATCTTATTCTTCCCGGTATAATTCGTCACGAACTGATTCAGGTACGTCCTTGTGATCTTCCAGAACACCACCTTTCTCAATGTGGGTGATAAGGCGTTTGATGTGATGAGCTTTGAGCGGGTAGGGCTTTTCCCTATTGGGTCTACCCAGTAATGGGGGCCATGCTAACACGTCGATGAGTCACATCGCATTAGGCCATAGACGCTGCGCAAAATTGGCTTCCCGCCAGAAGTACTTTCCTCTGCGTCGTGCTGTGCATCCCTCTCACCGAGCATTCTTTGCGTGGCATATGATTTCCTTCTTTTTTCCCCTTTCCGGCCAGCGGATGGAGAGGAATGACGATCGTCTACATAGTTGAAACTGATTTTCAGCGTAAGTTTTTTTCCACGGAACAAAAGATCTGACCACATCAGAAGCTGCTTTTTGATTGCGGTCCAAAATATATCGGTATCGTCAAATTGTTTGGTCAATTTTCGTTTAGTACGATCGCTTGTTGATACGGTTATGACGGTATCATCTGGTCTCACTTGGCGACAGCGAGCAGTCTTGCGTCGTAGAGCTTTTTTTCCAAGGACAGCTGCCGAAAGGTGCTAGGCGCTAAAGCGACATCTTCTTCCGTATCCTTCGACACCTCCCTGTTATTGACTGTCACTCGCCACTCTATACGATAGTGGATGCACGTTGGCGGGTCCTCGTCGTAGGCTTTCATATCTTCCCAATCACCCAGCTGAAGAAATTTGGGACTTCCTTCTTTTTCGCCGTAAGAGAGGAGCTTTTCCCACTGCAAATTATGCAGAGGCAGACGCTTCGATATTTGGCATACAATGGTAAGTGTGAAATTCATTTAATTGTAGGTTTCTCCGCTAATCCCTCTCTCAAGTGGATGAAGCCCCTGCTCTATCTCCTCTCGATCACCGGTTATTCAACACCGTGGCGAGTTCTGAAGTGGCTGGGCGATCATTCTCTGGGATGAATGCCCAGCACACAAGAGCCCGGAACCGCCTAGCTGCAGCGCAGGTTGGAAAGCTTGTATTCATATCAATGAATGACCGAGCCACGTATTCATGAGTCTAAGCTAAAATATTCCAATGAAATGTAAACGAAGTGCAAAACCAAACCAAGTACTGAGATTGCAATTGTACTGACACTGACAGCCAACCGCTTTATTTGGCGTTTTCCGAGCCCTGGCATGTCTGCTCAATTGTGACCAGCTGCGGTGCTCGGTCAATTTCATTTGCAGCCTTCTGGCTATTCTCCTTGCGTTTCTTCATGAAGTATCCTATTGTGAGACACATGACTTTTGTCTGAGATAAGATATTTTGTTCGAAAAAGGGAGCTGCCAGGCTTCTGATTAGGATGTTAGGACTTAAGAGACCAGTTGAAACATCTGGATAGAGGATACCTAGAGCATAGAGAAGTTTGTAGATTTGACGTTTTCTTTTAGGCTTGTTCACGAAGTGTGAGAGAGAATGTCTTCATGTGGCACTCTGTGCACTTTTATAGCTACCTAGGTCCATTTTAATATAATTCTGGAATTAGAATATGTCTCACCTAAGTAAAGAGGTTTTCCTATTGGAATGGAAGTAATAAAGCAAATCTTTGGTTTCAGGCTACTGTTATTCCCCTTTCGACAAGTAGTGACGTAAAAAGATGCCGTCCGTGATTTTCTACAGAAGGAAACCGTTGCGAATGTTCAGTCGAAGAACGGATACTCGGCGACTGGTAAGTGGAGTAGCTCATAAATTGAGCCCCTACGAAACAACGGAGTTATTGCTTGAATAGGACTTACTTCGTCGAATATAATTGGACGAGGCAATTGGGCCCATTGGGTTCCACTAGCTAAGCCCAAATCCAAATCCCAGTTTGTTCAGGGTCGTCCACTTAGGTCCACTGAAATCGACTCCTAGACCCATGCTAATGATGCATTTAGCTACTCGAAAGCCGACCTAAGCATTGGAGTACGTTGTGTTTAAGAAGCTAAACTTCTTACCACTGTCCGGTAATATTGGTGTATCCGTTGCGTTAGTCAATTTTGCCACGGACAATTTTGCTCTATTCGTAGTATTGTGTTTTGAAAATTTCAAGTGGTAATCCCTCCTACCATCAAGGTAGAATTTGCTAATTCACTATATTCTGGTAGTACTTGAACTACGAAAGGCATGTAGAGCTTAAAAACTGCCAAGACCGAATCTTGGTTCAGAAATACGGTAGAAAGAGAGATATCGGACACATGGAAGGGCGCACAGGATAATAATTGATCAGAGGATTAATAATGAGGGATTTGATTGACTTCCCTGGAGACAAGCGCTCTTAAAGGGTCTTTCTGTAGTGAGGCACTAGTATTGTCACACTAGAACTTATCTGTCCCCTTGAGACCCGACTCACTGTACAAAATGGGTGGAGCGGCGGGTATCCGCTGAACTGCATGACTCTTTGTGGTAAATTAATGCTCTTCAGGTCGACATTTTTCAGTCGCACAACCGTTTATCAGCTGGAATCCCTTTTTAGCAGGATCTCAATGTACGCCCTGTCTACTCCATACTACAAAACAAAAAGATAATGGCAGAGTACTAAGCCTTCACCTAAGCCTAAATTCTAGAATACTGTGCCGTGGCTGTCTCAAGAGCCCGAGTCTGTGACAATCTTCATAGTGGTTATCAGAGGCAGATCCCGACTTGAAGAACCCACATAGATCTTATAGCTTCCACTTTGCAACTCCCACTTCTGCGTAATAACATTCCAACTGCTGAGATCGCGCCGGGTCAGATGAAAAGCAACCTTAGTAGACTTGCCGGCCGCAATATGGACCTTGTCAAAGCCACGAAGTTGCTTCACAGGACCACCGGGAATGCCAACGTAGAGCTGGGCTACCTCAGCACCGGCCTTGCTCCCAGAGTTTTTGACCGTAGCTGTGACGGTTGCGACTGAATCCCACAGATCCACAGCGCCACCTTGCTCAACGGCACCGCTGGGATAAGCAGCGATGCCATACTTTACGGGGGAGGTTTTTAGGTCCGAAAAAGCAAATGTGGTGTACGAAAGACCGAAACCGAATTCGTATCGCGGCGTAATACCATAGGCGTCGAAGTGGCGGTAGTCGATAAGCATACCCTCGGTGAAGTCGGACTGTGGGAATAGCTTGTAAGGTTTGACAGCATAATCATGGAAGAACGCTGGGTAGTCGGATTCATTCTTGCCAACGGTATAGGGGAGTTTTCCACTGAAGTTACTGTCTCCATAGAGCAGAGACACGATTGCTCGACCGGAGTCCTGGCCGGGGAGGTGGGCGAATACGATTGCGGTAACGTTAGGATTGTCAACGAATTGCTCCACGAAACGAAGTCCGGCGTTATGAATGACGACGATCGTGTTTGCACAGGTTGATGCGACATTTTTGACCAGTTCGTCAGAATAGTCGTCATTTGCTCCTGAACGGTCTACGCCCTCGGTGGCAAAAGCGTTGATGAAGACGAGACAGGCGTCTGATGCTTGCATCACGCCCAGCATGCTCGGGCTAGAGGAAGTATCCCACATGACGGCACTGCTATCCTCATACGCTCGCTGCTGAAGGGCATCGAGAGGAGCACTGAGGTAAGGACCAGCGCTGGCACCGGAACCTCCGCCGACAGGAAGTGTACCGTTGAAAGCAACCTGATAATCGTACGGCTCGTCTATGATGCTAGCAATTTCAGCAGCCGCAGCCAGCTGGAACACAGCTGGTTCTAAGCCTATTTCCCAGGGATCTCTGAAAAGCTTGCTATTGGGTATGTACTGAGGCGGAGCCACAGCGTCGTATCCAAAGACAGAGATCAACTTCGGTGACTGGAGTGGCAGAGCGTTGTCCAAATTCTTGACCAACACATGGCCTTCCACAGCACCATCGAAAAGAACGGGCTTCGCGTCGGCAGTGAGAGCATTGACAATGTCATGCGGCATGCTAATATTGTGTGTTATTCCCACTCCAGGTGCAGGATAGCTCGATTCGTCTTGGCCCATACGGTACCAGGTCGCGATGATCCTAGATATAGGTAAACAAAACAGCACCCGGTAAATCTTCATATGGATTAGATGCCGATTTTTCTTACCGGGTTGCCATATCATCCAAACGAGAGATCGGCACGCTGCCATTCTTAATGGCTTTAGTAAAATCGTTACCCCAGTAAGATTTGCCAGTTGCCATAGCCATATCAAGACCAGCCAAAGCGGCTCCCACACCCGAGTGCTGGCCACCCCAGTCTGTTACGACAAATCCATTGAATCCGAGCTCTGTCTTGAGCAATCCATTGAGGGTCTTGCTATTTTGGCAGGCATAGGAGTTATTGACCCGGTTATATGAACACCTACACCTTAGTCAGCTCAAGCTTTCTTTAGCGCCTTCAAAGTGGATCAATCTGACATGATATTCCCGGCACCCGCTTTCAGCGCATCTTGGAAAGGCCACAGATACAGCTCATGCATTGTCTTATCGTCGATGTTGCTGGAAATAGACTCCACGGTCTCATTGTCGGGGTTCGTTGTAGGGTTGCGGTATAGTTCTTGCTCATAGCCGACAAAATGCTGCAATTTTCCACTGTTAGAGCCACTCGCGATGCTAATTATCCACCTTCCATCCTATTGACTAACCTTGACACTCGAGATGACACCTTGACCTTGCATTCCCTGTACCGTTGATGCCGCAACTGCTCCGCTGAGGTACGGATCAGAGGCAGAACCTATAAAGCCGTGAGCCTTGCACAATCCCCTTTTCCGCCGAGGTAATTACCTTCCCAGATTCTTCCACTGGTTGTGGTTCTTCCAATAGGCGCAACTACAGGTCCCAAAGCCACTTGGACGCCCTTCTTTCTGAATTCGCCAGCCATGTGCCAACCACTGTCGTGGGCAAGAGACTTGTTCCAACTTTTCGTTAATGAGATATTAGGTCCGACTTCTTAATGCAATGAGAGATTCATATAGTGCTTACCTAGCGCCTATGTGGAGACCAGATGGATAACTGTTCACGAAGTCCGTTTCGTGGACTCCATTGCCTGAACCCTGAAGACACAACCCAGGAAAGTTAAGACGGGTAATTGCGGCAATATTTCCAGCACATCCGTTGGAAGTGACTGTGACTCCGTACGTCAAGTTATTCTAGGACAATTCTGGTTAGTCTTGAAAAATGATCTCAAGCAAACTTCTATGAGTGCACACTTTCTCTTCCAAGGTCATCTGCGAAACCAGAGCTGTGGCCTTGTTATAAGCTGCCGCCCAATCACCAGACCCAGTGCCATTTGCTATACAATATTAGCTATCCCAGCGCCAAATTAAAAAGATAGTGGGAGGTAAGAACATACGTGACGGGTATACAGGCTCAGACCAGCCATAGAAGTAAGTATCGGAAGTAATTAGGCTCTTAGAATGACTAAGTCCATATAGGGATAGAAAGGCCAAGGTAAGGCCAATTTTCGTAGAAAACATAGTGGTACCCCGTTAGCCAGAGATGCAATTACCAGTTTCTATATCTCCATAGGCGAGAAAACGAGCATAAATCATGTAGTCTGCGCGCTTTATGTACGTCTTCTTCTCTGCGGAACGCACGGCAACAACACCCCGTCATCGGCGATCTTAATTTCCGGCTAGATGCAAAATCCGGTCTGGGCTAAGGGATCACTAGGGAGTTCTTGTTTAGCTCATCCCGGGTATTATCTTAGTGTCCCTAGTACCTTTCCACGCGAGGTATTATAAAGACCCACTGAAATAACCCCACAGTTATGCCCATTCGGCTTTGGGGTTTGTTTTTCTGGAACTTATCTCTCCGCGGGGTTGTATCCAGTGGGGCATATTCCGTAACCAGCGACGTTCTTTAGCTTCGGACTAGGTAAACTCTAGGTGAGGTTTGAGCCGTGCCTAGTGCCTTCAGGTTATAAAGACTTTTGAAAATTTTGAGATTTTTATAGCCATAAATAGCATCAACATGCAGACGATCTTATGCTCTGCTATCTGTATAATCCAATCCTTCGGATAGGGCCAGAGATATTGGCACAGGGTATCGCCGAAGGCGCAAACAAGAATTTGGAATAGTAACAGAGGCGCGGAAAATTATTAGATGTAGGTGTATTTATGCTGAAAGCAACACTAGCCTCTGGTGACCGTGCTTGACTGCTCTTACCTCAAATATGAGAGGTAATATATTTATTAAGAGCGGGGAAAATGTAGGCCCATATGCAGTGAGAGTGCCAGTTTTACAATAGTGCCACGCGCCTCACAATCGAAGTAGAGAGATTCCATGAAGCAGAATGTCTGGAATGTACGGGGTCTTTGAAAATTACGGCAATATGACACTTGTGAGGAGGGAAAGAAGGTCATTGACTCGGATATGGAGATAAATGACGTCGAATCAGTCTATAAGGTCTGACAATATATGGGACGACATTAATGGCACTATATGTATAGAAACAGCGTTCGGTCTAGCTCTTGAGATAATAGTTGAATATATTATTTTCGGAATAAAGACCTTTAGGGTGTTAGAAAGCATTGAAGATATGAGGGGCTATCTAGCAGTTCTCTACGCTATATCAGGATTTTTGTTTTGCTTGTTAGCAATGCGTAGCTATGTCTCATACTTTTATTCAAAAATCCAAGTTCTCATACCAAAGCCTCCATTAAAGGCGGAGCTCGCGGAGCTCGCGGAGTTGGCGGAGTTGGCGGAGTTCGGGGAGCTCGCGGAGCTCGCGGAGCTCGGAAAGGAAGAGGGCGGGAGATTTTGGTTCACGCTTAGCATTCCATCTGGGTGTGGGTCTATGCAGTACCAAGAAAAGTTCAAGGCAGCGTTATAATTTCAGGATTCATGATCGGAATTCCCAAGAAGTTTTCATTTCGCCATGTTGCTTCAGGCCCCATTATCATTCATTTCCTTGGCAAGTGGCAAGTGGCAAGTAAGATAGTTATGGGCTCAGCGGACTAACCCTCAACGAGAAACTATTCTGTTCAGCCCGTGAAATTCGCCGTTTGATTCATCGGGCTAGAGAGTGTTGGATTGGGACCACCAGGAAATCAGGCTCACAATGAGCTTGTTAAATGGATTAGCCACGGTCTGCATTAAAATTCACGGAGTTGAAGTGTAGGAGTCTTGATATGATCTCATTGCTTGGAAGCCAAAAGCAGGCAAGAGCCTAGGTGAAAGCGGTTCGCTTTGTATCGAGTTGAAGGGCGAACGTCATAAATCTCCTATTGTCGGGGCTATCTCTTACACACTTCCCAGAAATGACTCCTCTTTCACTGGTCCTTTGATCTATATCGCATTAAACGGGAGCATATTTTCTGTGGATTTCCGGGGCAAGATAGTTCTGAGACTATAAATCCATTGCCCGTGCCCAATGCGTATCTCTTTAAAAACGCCTATGTGAGTTTGGTCTACCACTTACGTGATTTACGAGATGAGTTACTAAAACTGAATGATAGTATATCTCCCCAGATCCTGCCGCCCAATTGAACGGTATCTATGAAAGGCCATACCTCTCTATACCAGCTGATGACCTCATTGCCACCGGTCAGGGTGGAGCTCATGCCCTCATCATGTTCTCATCAACGCATTTGACACCCTTCGAAAGATCATGGAATGCTACTACGACCCTAATTTCGGTCACCACTGTCATGTCCCAGGAATCTACCATGGCTCCGAGGAATACTACTTAGTCCTACATGCCTCTTCAGTTCCACAATATGGCCTCCATCAATATATCTGCGGGCACAGACTGGACGCATACTCGCGAGCCGTTCGCACCCTGCTAGGGAGATCCAAATGGATTATCATCATCGACTACCACACGGATGGTACTACGTTAGTCCAGCAACATTAGATTTCTGAATTATGAGCCCTTCCAAAATACTTAGACCTAGAGCTTGGTCTAAACTTTGTTTCACGGGAGAGGAAATTGTCGAAGATGGATTAAGAACAACACCCAAATAGGGTTGATACGAGATGATAAACTAAATAGATATAGGGCCAGAGACGGCTGCTCATAAAGAACAATTGAATTGAAGGAATTCGGTTGATAATAAGAAATATATGTAGTAATGCAGATCGTCATGAGAGTTCCGTCTCCGACATGAATGGGCATGAGCATTCCACGCCCTATATTTCCACAAATTTCTATGATCGGCACATAGTAGGTCAACATTTCATGCCCAAAGGAACTGACAGCTGTCGGCCCGTAATTCAATTCGTGACCCTGGTATCCAAGAGCTGGCTTAGGGTGTCAACTACCATTTTTTCAAGTGGGATCCATGGGCCAAGATTCAGGATCCTGAGGCTTTGTGAGGATTCCACCTGATAAAATTCCACCTAAATAAGGCTATTTAGCAACCTGAAATTGTCCAAGTAAGCTGTACACTTACATCACTCTGCTGCTCCATTGACGGTTGGAGTTGAGGGAAATGCTTTCGAGCGACCTCTGCAATCTGCAATACCAAAATTGATAATCAACATCCGCAATGTATCATGAGAGGACCGAACATGGAATTCCACTCACGTCAGAGTACGTTACACCTCCGGTAGCAAGAATGAACCGTTTCCCATCGGCCTCCGGATGGAGGAGCGCCTGGATATGCACTTTCGCGACATCTCGTACATCAACCCAATAGGGATAGTCAACCGGTGGTAGGCTCTGTTCGGTGACAGCCTTCCAAATGACTTGCACACTGAGGCTACCTGACTGAGTCCCTCTTTGTAAGGGTAGAACAGATGGGCCGCCAATGTAAGCAGGTAGGACGACGCTTACGTCAAACCGAGGCTTGATGGTGTCTCGCGCTTTCCAAACCGCCTCCTCCGCGAGTTTCTTAGATGCCATATAAGTAATCAATGGTCGCCACAGTGGCTCCCACTGCGTTAGATCCAGCTCTTGCGAGCTTGCTTCGCTGTAAGATATCGGATTCCAATCATCAGGCGTGTAGGTGTAGCCAGGGCGGAGGCTGTAGGCTGGGTCAAAGGCCGATAGAAAGGAGCCGGTGATCACCATTGATCGGACTGACGGGAATTTAGTAGCCGCTCGAAGGATTCCCACTGCCCCTTCGATGGCGGGCTTCAATAGATCGGCCTCGACATTGTCGATACCGAGGGCCAAAGGGGAGGCCACATGGGCTACATGGGTAACGCCATTCAAAGCTTCGTCAAAGGCGTCCTCGACGACAATTTCTGGTACCAATACCACAGAGAGACGTCCTGAGGATAGATCTGCAGCAAAATAGTCCTTGATCTGTTTTGCCGATGTTTCAGAGCGCACGGTTGCTCGAACACGAGGTTGTCCTTCTTGACGTAGTAGCTGGTCTACCACATGTTGCGCAACATAGCCATTTCCACCGGTGACGAGGACAAGATCGGTCGAGATGAAGCCAGACATATTCGTTGGAGAGGGGAAGTGCAAGAATGTTTTGCTTTTCGTATGGGTCATGTAATTGAGAAAGCCGACTCTAGAGCTCTGAAATATTTCAAAAAGTAGGCATATTCCATTACACATAGAGATATATATATGGCATTTCGATTCGAAACTCCGGTAATGACAGTCAGTCAATGTCATCACCTCGAGAGGTGAATTTGTGGAAAGTGTGGGTTAATCCAATGATCGGCCCGTCTCGAACATTGCCCCCGAGAAAGGTTTATTCGGCTGAATAGGACGCAATATCCGCACGATATTCCCGTGTTCCATTTGGACAGACATGGCAATTTTCACTAAGTTAATGGAATAGACATGATGATTCTAGTCGCTATCTCCGTTTTTCACGTGGATACAAAGCCATCCTCGAGTCAATGGTACTAAGTTTGGTCATTCCACTTGCTATGTCCGCCCTATTTCCGTATTTCATGCCAAGTCAACGGTACAAAAATAAGTCCTTTCTAGGGCGCTGTGGAAAATCCATCAATACATACCACTCATTTTCCGTATTGTTGCAAATTTAAAGTTTCATGGGATGCTTTGTGTGGCAATAAACTCAATTACTAGTCGGTCAAGGACCATGGTTGCTTTACTAGTTCGGCCGGCCGTTTTCTTATCTCCCGCTCGCGGCATAATTATGCTTATGTCCGGCAAACGACCACGGTAGTCTAAGTCATTGAGTTCGCATGGACTAACTAATATGAGTAATAGTCATACGATTGAGTGGATGCTTTGCTAGAGATTCCCGTATAAAGAGTTGTAAGTCCTATTCTCAATTCAGTTTAACCATTTCTCCCCTTCAACTTGAGCATCTCTGTCACTCACAGCCCTTTGTCAGCTTTTTTCCCACCATCTTTCAATCCATAGAGAAAGAGACCTGATAGCCGTCATGGATATTCTAAGAGAGGCCCCTTTGGGTCAACTCATTCGATGGGTCACTCGCAACACATTCCTTCGGTATCCCGAGGAATTTCCAACTTTCAAATTTCCAGCGACATGGAATGCTCTTTTAAACTTGGCAGAAAAAGAGCAGGAAACCACTGCTACCATTGAAACCGTCAATGAACAAACACTATCGTCAAGCCAAACAAGTCGCGAAAGCATATTTGCATTTCCGGGGACCTGTGAACTTGAGGTGGAAAATTTCGAGCAACAACATCTTGAAAACGATCTTGATCTAGAAGATGGTCATCTCAGTCAGACAAAGAGTCGACTAGAAACTGCCCCCTTCACTGAAGAAAGATTGGAAATTGAAGCTGAACTTGCCCTTGAACGGACGCAAACGAGGCCAATTGTCCCACAAAAGACAGCAGACGGCAATATCCTTGTGGATTGGTATACCACTGATGATGCAGCAAATCCTCAGAATTGGTCCAACACAAAACGTTTTGTTGTTTCTTTGATAATTTGCTTGTACACCTTTGTCGTCTACACTGGCTCCGCGATCTACACCTCGAGCGCGCAGGGAGTCATGGAAAAGTTCAATGTTGGGCCAACAGCCGCATCGCTCCCGCTTTCCCTCTACGTCTTAGCCTATGGTATTGGACCCCTGCTCTGGGCTCCTCTATCAGAGATTCCAGTAATCGGGCGATCTCCAGTCTACGCTGTTACAATGACGCTATTCACTATCCTTTCCCTTCCCACTGCGCTTGCTGAAAATTTCGCTGGCCTTCTGGTTCTGCGGTTCCTCCAAGGTTTCTTCGGGAGTCCTTGCCTGGCAATCGGGGCTGCTACGATGCAAGATATGTACTCTCTACTCTACCTTCCATTTGCACTGTAAGTATTCACTGTCAGCATATAAAGAACCTTGGCTTACGGATGACTAGTACTGCTTGGGTCTCGGCAGCTTACTGTGGGCCGTCTGTTGGGCCTCTCCTTTCTGGATTCGCAGTGACCGCCAAGGGATGGCGCTGGTCACTATGGGAAATTCTCTGGGCAGCTGGGCCTATCTTCCTCGTGATGTTTACGCTTCTGCCTGAAACCTCTACCCCTAACATCCTCCTGCGCCGTGCCCACCGACTCCGAAATCTAACAGGTGAAAAGCGACTCCGAGCACAGTGTGAGATCGACCAGAAAAACCTACGGCCTTCAGCTATCCTCCTGGATGCCATTACTAAGCCGATGGAGATCACCATTAAGGATCCAGCTATTGCATTCGTGAACCTTTATATGGCTCTGGTTTACGGCATATACTATAGTTTCTTTGAGGTGTTTCCGCTAGTTTACCCCGTCTACTACGGGTTCTCGCTCGGCATGATTGGTGTCGTCTTCACCTGCGTGCTCGTTGCCTGCTTAATTGGCGTTGCTATATACTGCCTCTACCTTCATTTCATCCTCATCCCAGATATCGTGGCGAACGGTCTACGCGCGCAGGAGTCTCGCCTGGTGCCCGCTCTCTTCGCCTGCTTTGGCCCTACGATTGGACTCTTCATATTTGGCTGGACCGCCCGCGCCAGCATTCACTGGATCGTGCCTACTATCGGTATCACCATCTATGCCGCCAGCGTCTTTATCATCATGCAGTGTCTCTTTGTCTACGTTCCTCTCTCTTACCCTCAATACGCCGCGTCCTTGTTCGCTGCGAATGACTTCTTGAGGAGTGCCCTGGCTTGCGGGAGTATTTTGTTTGCGAGGCCATTGTTCATCAATCTGGGTGTAGCCAAGGGTGTTAGTGTCTTAGGTGGACTAAGTGTGATTGGTATTTTTGGTATGTTTGCCCTCTGGACCTTCGGCGCGAAGTTGAGAGCAAGATCGAAGTTTGCTATTGTGTAACTTAAAACACGACCGCAAAGAAGTCAGTGTTACAGTATGTCTCGAAACTGGTGCCGCTACCTACACTCTTCGATCGTTTCCTGAGCCATAATGCCAAGATCCGCTAGTCTACATATAGAATAGCGCTGGAATATCAGTGTTCCTGTATCAATATCCATATATTATCTTACTCTACAGTAGTATTCGAAATCAGATGTCTACACAGGCTATATTCGTATAGCCTAGTATACTGAGAGGACCGATAAGATCAAGCGGAATCAATATGAAGTGGATTGAAATGATTGATTGAGTGAGGAAACTCAGGACACTGCTGTTGAGAGTAGTTCCCCTTGCCCTTGCCCTTGCGGGGGAGGGGCTTGCCGGTCCGTACGGGACTGTCAGTCCGTACGACCGATACTCGGCGGTCACCACGCTCGAGTCCATGAGTAAACATAATTACATACAAGAACATAAGAAATGTGATCTCCAGTGTAACCACTTGTTAGCGGTAAGTTATCACTCCATGGGCTGACAGATTCTTTCCCAGACCCTAGGATTCGGGAATGAAAGCCTAAGAGTGTAGAGGTAAATCTGATTTCGAATACTACTGTATTGGGGTGTAAGTTATTGAGACCAAAAGTAAATTGATCAGTCCAGCTCTCCCCTGGTTGGAGGAACTCCTCATCGGTGTTATCGAATAGATTAAACCCTTCTTAAGTAACTATAACATCCAGCGGCATATGGAAACATATTTCAAATATTTATTTTGGTTGCTCGACGAACTTCTTTTAGAGCGCCGATCCGTTTGCCTTCTCTTTTATAATGTTATTCTGACGATCATCGGTACTCTAGCGTGTGAGCTAGAATTAAATGTGTAGGCGGATTTAGTTGCTGTGCTCAGCCGTGATCAAGTGCTTCAAGATAAATTATAGTGTCACATACTTGGAATGGTATTGTATATTCCAGATTCCATGAGAGTCAATGTAAACAACTGGACTTAATATACAGAGAATCCCGAGGTCATATCATATCAACCACGGATGAATGCAGCAAACGCAAAATCAAACATCGCGTCATACATCATCAGAGACAGCAAGATAACCAAAAAGAGAAAGAAATAAACTAGAGCCATGCTCGCTAGGAAGTTGAATGTTGTAGGACGGAGACCGACCCCCTGATCACGTCACAGGCTTTACTCCGACTTGTGTCCAACACAACTCGACCACGCTGGAAGCCCACAACCCATGCCGATAAACAGGTACAGCAGGAAGATAACCACCACGCTGAGAAGAATCATCAGCTTGATGTTCTTCCACCACATTCGCCGCCGCAAACCACGGCTTCGGATACGAAAATCGTGCGCGCTGCCGCCCAGACGGTCCGTTTTGTCTACCAGTAGGTCGATCCGCTCGCCGCGCTCGAGTACCCGTTCGATGTTCTCGGTCATGATGTCGCGAACGCTGTCAATTTCGCGCCGGGCTGAGGCGAGTGAGTCGGCTGGCGGGGCGGTGTTGTATGTCTGGAGCAGGCCGCGGAGCTCTGTATTGAAGGCTGCACATCCGTAGGCGGGCAGGGTGGAAAAGTCCGTACTGGAGGGCGGGTAGCTGGCGAGGAACTTGCGCTTCATCTCCAGTAGGTAGGCGAAAGGGATGCGGCGGCCTTGTTCGGCGGATGCGACAACGAGATAGCTGAGCGGGGCATAGCTGTTGGCCTCGGTGCGACCATTTTGTTCATCGGCCGGTTCTCCTGCCGGGGAGTCGGCGATGTAGTGCACGAATAGTCGTTCATGGGTGTAGGTCAACTTCTGGGGCTTGTCATGGGTGATCTTGGGGAGAATGATCGACGCGATGGATGAAGCAGAGGTGGAGGAGGTGCCCGGGGAGGAGTGCTCGGCTAGAATAGTAGTACGATGGGCAATACAGGCGCTTTTATCACTGTGGTTAGTGTCGCCTTGGTTCGGTCTCGGGGTGGTTTGTCTCACTAGAGCAGGAAGCTTGGAGCCTTTGAAGAGGAAGCCATGGCTGAGATTCGCAGGTGCGAAAGCGGTGAACTCTCAAAGATCGAGATCTGAAACAACAGTCGTGCTGATCGGATGCAGCAAGTTGATGATCAGTTGCGCAGCTCGAGACCCAGTTCCTCCGGGGACCGTGGATCCCGCTTACGTCATCGGTTGTCTCCAACCACTGGAAGTACTGCCTCGGATCTATACCCTGCGAGATGTTCAGAATGTGCTTCTCTCGATGCTTCTGAATACTTCCGTGTGACTTTCGAGCTGAATTATAGCTTCGTATTTGCTTTTCAGGAAAGACGGTTCTTAATCGTCTCTGAACGCTTTTGGACAGATAACTACGGCCTTTAAGTTACTCTCTACTTCTGCACTTAGTCGACTGATCCAAAAAATCTATTCCAATATGTTTGCCACAGCATTCTGAATTCCTTGCGCTGATATCAATATCTCATGAGTCGTTATCATTCCATCTCTCTCTAAAGTCATTTGGTCTCTCTATCTGAGCCATCTTCAAGCTCGAACTCCACAACATCAAGATCATCATCGCTACTAGGGTTTTCCATGTCAATGTCGATGTCATCAGAGAGACAGGGAGAGCCCATGGTCACAGTACCAGCACCGTCACTGTCATAGTCCAGGTTTGACTCCTCTTCAGTTGACTGAGCCGACGGCACCGAACTTTCGACGTCACTAAGCGCCAAGTGTATGGCTTCCTCCATGGTTTCCATCTCTTCATCACAGTTTGGCGCAAACTCAGCAGAGTTGACCGACATGAGATCGGAGATGTGGGAATAAGTAGCATGGTGCGAGGCCCCAAAGACGGTGCTCATAGAATCACTCGGGTTGATCTCGCTGAACGAGCAAGGAGTCGAGGCGCCGCTACCAGTGTGCACTGCGGGACCTGGTGCAGAGAAGCCACCGTTGTTCATGAGGGGAATGTTGTGGTCGGTATACACACCCCCGGATTTATCGTCGTTACCACCCGCCCACAAAGGGAGATACTGGTATTGATCTTCTCCCAGGCAAGTCAAAGTGGGTGTTGCCTCCAGTGATATGTTGTATTCGTTGTAAGGGAAAACGAGTCTTCGTGAATAGGTGCTCAAGAATGATGAGACCTGTGCGAAGAATGCTTCCAGATTGAACTTTCTGTTCTCGAGGTTTTCCGAACTAGAATACCCTTCCGATCTCATATCCCGGGCGAATAAGTCGAGTTCGTCTTCGATTGAATCTGACGAGGAAGTGGCCAAACCTTTCTGAGGTGGAGCAGGTCTGTAGGGAAGTGATGCTTTCATATCGATGTCCGTGGCGGCACTGCTTCCAGCGACCGGTCTGAATGGAAGTGTGGTTGGGTCATCAGGGATTGTGGAAGGAACATTACCTGAAGTTGAAATGTTCGCGTTGGCAAATGGAAGAGGGCAACGACGATCCAAGTTGAAGGCCCACCGCTTTTTCTTGCTCGCTATCTGAGCAGCCATAACCCACGAGCTGGTAGTTGCGTTGGTTCGGAGGGCGACAGTGTTGTTGAATTCGTCCACAAGATGACGGAGCCATATGTGTGAGATATTGAGAATCCGCGCAGTGTCCTGGCCTAGAAAGGCGAGTAGTCCGCTGCCGACATCTGCAATCGAATGGTGAATATTGGGGTCATTGGTTTCCCTGGATGTGAGATCCAGGACCAGAAGCGCCATCCAAAACTTCTTGCCGATAATCCGCTGAAGAAGATCACAGGGTCGGAAAGCAAGCAGGTATGGCTCATTATGTCCTGGTGGCACAGAATCGCAGGATCGCCATGTGTCCCTGACTGAATCCAGAGCTCGGTAAATCTGGTATCGAATGTACTCTCTCAACTTCGAGATCAGGAAAAGAACCATATGTTTATCAGCAGGACTGTCCTGAACTAGCTGCGTGAGCTTCTGGAATTCTTCGAGGTCTGCTAACCAGGTCATTTCAGTCCCAGCCAGATACAAGAAACGGCCGATGACCTCGTCCGCGAAGCTTTTGCTGGCATACTCGACGCGTTGCATTTCGGAATCATCCAACGAGTCGGCAGCCCGGCTTCGAGCAAAATACTTTTCCCATCCCTTTAGCGGTTGCAATCGACCAGCTCGGATCAGATACAGAAGGGCCTCATCGCCAACCAAACCCACGAATGCATTTCGACAAATGACCTGAGACTCGATCCCACAGGCCACACGATATGCAATTTGCGGGTGAATTTCGACGAACCGCATGTTGTTCGCCATGTAGAACCAGGAACTGACTAAGTCTCCCACGGCGGGGACAGTTGCAACTTTGAAAATTTTGGCCACTGCGAAAAATGTCCAAAGCTTACACGGGGTGTCGAGGGTGATGTTTAGTCCCTCGAGAACGTGCAAGACCTGTTCGATGCCATCACGGTGGCGCGCAGCCGAATATTCGACGGGCAGGCCAGCTCGTCGATATGTCCGAGGACCAGCTTGCTCTTTTTCGTTTTCATCTTCGCCTTGCTCCTCCTCCTCCTCCTCCTCCTCCTCCTCCGCCTCCTCCTCCTCCTCTTCCTCTCTAGAATCACCTCCCCAATCCTGATGTTCCTGATCTTCTTCCGGAGGCGAGCCATCCAATGCAGAAGGAAAGAAAGCCTCTTCCACCATTTCTGTTTCGTCAGTGCCCCCAACGCACTGGGAGGGAAGATCCCATGTATGTTTCGAGCTTGCCCATGTTCGAATCTCCATCGGACAGGAGACCTCGGTCATCGAGATAATGGCTTCCTCTTCAAGCGTTGGGGGCGTCAGGTCCAAGACGTATGTGATGCCATCGGGCAGTGTGTCTGGAAACCCACGCTGCTTTCGAACTCGGGTCTGCTGGCGCGGACCTAGCCGGCGTTTAAAATATTCTGAGCCTGTCACCAAAAGTCGATCGCTGTGGATCCGGTGAACGGTTGGTGGCTTCCGCAGGCGCGGAGGTCCATCCTCAGGCGCTGGATCGATATACACAAGCGTGTCTCCGTCGGGAAAGAGGAGGAGCGGCAGTGCCATCGTAGTGCCTGGCTCTAGTATCTCAAATCGCTGGTTGAAGCGAGCGTTTTGAAGAACAGTAGGAGTAAATGCGGGAGGTTGCTCGATCACGCTTTCCAGCCCAGGACCAGTGGGAGAGGGGGGTGGATCGGAATCCATGAAGGCAGACTTGAAGGTCGTAAAGATGCTCAAGTATGCTAAATAACCCTTAACGATTCAGAAGTTGAAAGCAGTGGGCACTGGGCACTGGGCACTGGGCACAAGTCCGAGATGAGGGGCGCGGCTGAGCGAATGAGGCTCAACTGGATTTCTTGTTCGCTCGTGGCCTGTCGATTGCAACCAATCAGGGGGACGGGCAGCCACCTCGTTTGACTCATTGCATTGAAAATGGACGTCGGCAGTTCGATTGGAAGGACACCCTTGCGCAAGAAGCAGACCCAGTTACAGTGGTACTGTACAGGAGCTTGCAACCTCGCCTTTCGCTTGTACACTCACGGTTTGTTTCCCAACCCCAGTTGCCAAGACCACGTTAATCCCAATCAGTTAGACTTAAAAAGCGCCCCTGGCTAGAACCTCGTGAACAGTATGGTAAGGAGCAAGACGATGATAACACGGCTGCGACTTGACCGCCCCCTGATGTGTGCTGTTTCTCCTATTCAACGTCGTTCCCCTCCTTCACACCCACTGTTTACAGTGCCACGGATGGCTCCGAACTTATCCCCATCGAAGCGGCAGCTGATCTGTGATATGATCGAGGGCAAACTAAAAACCACTGATATCGCTAATGCAGCAGAAGGCAATAAGCAGTCTGTGAGATATATTCGTTCTAGTCTACGGATGTTCGGCAGTCCCAAGGCACCCCCAATCCCCTCCGGCCGACCGAAGAGGATCGCACCACTTATGCTTGAGGCTGTCTGCCATCACCTTTCCGAAACCCCTGGATCGCACCTCGATGAGATGGCGATTTTCCTTCGAGAAGAACTTGATGTCTGCGTGGCCAACTCTACCATCGGTCGAGCTCTGGCAGCAAAAGGCCAGTCCATGGAAACAACCCGGAATCAAGCGAAGGAGCGAAACGCGGATTTGCGAGACTACTCCCGCCATAATCTATCAGATTTTGAGTCGTATCATCTGGTCTATGTGGACGAATCTGGATGTGACAAGCGGATAGGGTATTGGCGAACGGGTTGGGCCCCGCTTGGGGCCGCCCCGGTCCATGTGGCTAAGTTCCATGGTGGCCAGCGATACCAGATCTTGCCGGCATACTGCCAAGATGGTGTCCTGCTCTCCCGCGTCTTTCGGGGCTCGACTGATGCTCCTATATTTGAGGACTTTATTTAGCAGCTTCTTCCTCATTGTGGCAGATAGCCACAGCGGAAATCGGTATTGGTGATGGATAATGCATCCTTCCACCACTCTGAGCGAATAAATTACATGTGTCTAGAAGCAGGAGTTAAGTTAGTGTATCTTTCACCATATTCTCCGGATCTAAATCCCATCGAGGAGTTTTTTGTGGAGCTGAAAGCTTTCACTAAACGCAACTGGCAGTTGTTTGAAGTTGACCCGGATGGAGGCTTTAACGGGTTTCCGGAGTAGTGCGTAAATGTGGTTGGCGCAAGAGAAGAGAGTGCTGAAGGCCATGTTCGCCATGCAGGTCTGACAATTGAGCATTATTGATTGACTGGTATGGACATATCGAGCTCATTCATATTCAAGTATTGTTCGAGCGCATAATCGACTCCATGAGTAGAATTTTTCTTCTCTCAATTTGATAAAAAGCCCTTCAGTCGGATGGAATTGACACCTACCAGCATAATAATGCGGCTTTTTGGTTTCACGTGGGATGCTGCGTGGCAGTGCCTGAGCGTGTCGGAGACGGCAAGTTTGATAATCCTGCTTCTTGTGCCCCCACCTTGTAGGCTGCTGGTTGGTTCTGCTGCGCAATCACAACTCAGTCGCCAATAGCACGAAGTACCTCGTGTAGCTCGACAGCCACTGTATGCACATGACCCACTCAGTTGTCTCGTTCGCTGATACGGGCGGGCGCTTAGGCAGTGCACCCCTTCACCCCTTTACCCCTTCACCCCTTTACCCCTGATGCCTTAGGTTGATGGCAAGGCGTCTCTGCGGTCGCAATCACTCCTCGTTACCCCTCCCCCGTCCCCGATTCTGCTGAATGGCTGAGTTTACAGCCTATTGACACTTTCGAAGCCAAGCGATATATTTGTATTTCTGCCTAGTCACCCGTGCCTTCGTGGCGGCGTCAGCGGCAGCTTATGCCAGGCAGTTGTTTTTCAACGTGCCCATTGAAGAATTGAACCCGATACCCGTGGCGAGCATGGCGTCTGCAACATCGTTTGGGTGTTCGAATTCGGGGTTCCAGATGGGTGTGAACCACGGCTCGGTCACTAACCACTTCCACATGCCTATCGAAGAAACGAAAGAGATAAATCCTAGGCCTTGTAAGTCAACAGAAAAGCCCAATTAAGATATCAGACTCACGTATTCTTTCTAAGGTGATCAACCTCAAGCCCACTACGTTATCCCATCCTTGGAGAATCGTCACTTTACTGGCCGTGAATTCACGCTAGATGAGCTTCAACAGAGGCTATTTCTACAAGCGAATACTGAAAAACTAGCTCTATTCGGACTAGGTGGCATCGGCAAAACTCAAGTTGCTCTTCAGCTTGCTCGCTGGGTGAAAGTGCACGTACCAGACTGCTCAATTTTCTGGGCTCCTGCCCTTAGTCTCGAGAGTTTTGAGCAGGCTTGTTCGCAAATCGTGAAAGAGCTGCAAATCCATCAGAATTCAGACGGTGAAAGTGCGATGGAATTAGTACACCGAGAGCTAAGCTCTGATAAAGCCGGAAAGTGGCTTTTCATTGTCGATAATGCCGATGATGTGGACCTGCTTTTCGATGAGCTTGATCAGTATTTCCCTGCTAGCAAGGAAGGCGTTACTTTACTCACTACTCGTTCCCGCGAGGTGGCGCTATCTTTCGCAGGAAGGGATAAAGTCGAGCTCCAAAAAATGACAACCAAGGAAGGGATTGCTTTTCTTACTAAAATTGTAGGAGAAGACTCACTTTGTGATCAGAACTCCACCATACAATTACTGGAGGAGCTGAACTTCCTACCACTGGCTATTTCACAGGCAGCTTACTATATTTGTCGAAATGATGGAACCACTATACGGTACCTCGAGCTTATGCATAAAACCGAAAAAGACCGGATGCGTCTGGCGAGCAGGGAGTTCCACGACAGCACTCGCTACCGTAGAATGCCAAACGCGGTAACCACCACATGGCTTATCTCATTTGATCAGATTCAGGGCTCTGATCCCTCTGCTGCTGATTTGTTGGAATTTATGTCTTACCTTGAGTCAAAGGCAATCCCGCGATCTATTCTCCCCACCCTCAATTCGGAAGAGGAGATGGAGTTTGCAATTGGTACGCTGTGTAGCTATGGATTTCTGACCAGGAGAGACAATGAGAATATGTTTGATATGCATAGCCTCGTACAGCTATCAACCCGAGTGTGGATAACAGAGGCACGGAAGACACGGCAGATTATCGCGGCCGTAACGCAACATATGGATAAGTGTTTTCCATCCGATGAATATACAAATCGTGAGACATGGAGGATGTACCTACCACACGCCCTTGAAATTCTCAGGAGAGAGGAAAGTAAAGATACAAGTGAGAGGTATAGCTTACTTTCTAAGGTTGGTAATTGCGTTCTAGCGGATGGCCGAGCAAAAGAAGCTGTCGCTTTTTTTGGAGACGTGTGTGCATGGAATGAAAGCCACTATAATGAAGAACATCCTGATCGACTGGCGTCTCAGCACGATCTCGCAGGGGCATATAGATCCAACGGGCAGATCAAGCAGGCTGTGCAGCTACTCGAGCATGTGGTTGCAGTGCAAGGGAGAACGCTCGATGAAGAACATCCTGATCTACTAGCGTCTCAGCACGAGCTCGCAGGGGCATATCAATCCAACGGGCAGATCAAGCAGGCTGTGCAGCTACTCGAGCATGTGGTTGCGGTGCGAGAGAGAATGGTAGATGAAGAACATCCTGCTCGACTGGCGTCTCAGCACGAACTCGCAGGGGCATATCAATCCAACGGGAAGATCAAGCAGGCTGTGCAGCTACTCGAGCATGTGGTTGCGGTGCAAGGGAGAACGATAGATGAAGAACATCCTAATCGACTAGCGTCTCAGCACGATCTCGCAGGGGCATATAAATCCAACGGGAAGATCAAGCAGGCTGTGCAGCTACTCGAGCATATAGTTGCAGTGGAAGAGAGAACGCTTGATGAAGAACATCCTGATCGGCTAGCGTCTCAGCAAACTCTCGCAGGGGTATATCAATCCAACGGGCAGATCAAGCAGGCTGTGCAGCTACTCGAGCATGTGGTTGCGGTGCGAGGGAGAACGATAGATGAAGAACATCCTGATCGACTAGCATCTCAGCACGATCTCGCACGGGCATATTATTCCAACGGGCAGATCAAGCAGGCTATGGAGCTACTCGAGTATGTGGTTGCGGTAAAAGGGAGAACGATAGATGAAGAACATCCCTCTCGACTAGCGTCTCAGCACGAACTCGCACGGGCATATTATTCCAACGGGCAGATCAAGCAGGCTATGCAGCTACTCGAGTATGTGGTTGCGGTGCAAGGGAGAACACTCGATGAAGAACATCCTGATCGACTGGCGTCTCAGCACGATCTCGCTGGGGCATATCAATACAAGGGGCGAATCAAGCAGGCTGTGGAACTACTCGAGCATGTGGTTGCGGTGCAAGCGAGAACACTCGATGAAGAACATCCTGATCGACTGGCGTCTCAGCACAATCTCGCACTGGTATATCAATTCAACGGGCAGATCAAGCAGGCTATGGAGCTGCTTGAGCATGTGGTTGCGGTAAAAGGGAGAACGCTTGATGAAGAACATCCCTCTCGAATAGCGTCTCAGCGCGAACTCGCACGGGCATATCAATCCAACGAGCAGATCAAGCAGGCTGTGTAGCTACTTGAGTATGTGGTTGCGGTGCAAGGGAGAACGATAGATGAAGAACATCCTGATCGACTAGCGTCTCAGCAAGATCTCGCAGGGGCATATAAATCCAACGGGAAGATCAAGCAGGCTGTGGAACTACTCGAGCATGTGGTTGCGGTGCAAGGGAGAAAGCTCGATGAAGAACATCCTGATCGACTAGCGTCTAAGCGCGCGCTCCAAGACGTAAAGCAGTCAATCAAAATTGAGGTCACGGAGAACGTGTTCTCATAATCTCACCAAATAGTACTTTTTTCGTTTTTGTTAGTTATGCCTTCTGACGGCACTCAAAGGAAAGAGAATCAAGATAGGTAGAGTAAACCTGAAACGAGCAATGTTACGGTTTGTGACAATACTATGTTATATACAGCAGCAAGGACATGTACATAGCAAGCGGTATTTATAGACTTCTCGGCTTGTCTGGTCGCCCACATGCATCATCTGGCCCCAACTTGGCCATGTCTGTTTGTGACAAAAATAAAAGGCACTGGTGATGATGCCTGCCTAAACTGAGGCTTGTTGAACCTATTCCTCAATTAATTTCATGCTGAGCATAAATCTACTGCGGGCTCTGGAAAGTCAACGAGAACTTCTTTCTACAGTCGTACTAGGATAGTGGTGTTCAGCCTTTGAAAAAACCGTCGGTGAAGGAACGTTGATTACAGAGAAAACTGGTGCAGAAATATTGATCCTCAGCAAAAGCTGCTCAATCAAAAAAGCACCTAGAATTCGAAAGGTTTCTCCAATTGTTCATGGTCCAACGTTGACTCAACGACCGCACTTTTCAACACCGAGAAACGACGTGCAGCGCGATCACCAAATCAATGCCATGCACCGTCGGCTGTGGCTGCCATCATTTACTGTCGTCCCTGACCGTGGACCTGAAGCGCAAGTCGATTCGGTCGTTGTGTGCTGTGAGTCTAAGTCTACGTCAAGCGCCGTCACTTGCGCGAGTCACGGTCGCGCCGGGACTTAGGTACGATCCGCTGTAGACTTGATTGAAGCGCGATCATGCCACATTGACTGAAAGCATCCTTGCTTTTCTCATTCTGTTCACGCCTTTCTCTTTCAATTGCGGGTCGTCTGTCGAAGATACAGGTCTTTTTCGGACCAAAGCATTCGACTTTGTGGCCTCTAATTTACCATCATATATTCAAAAAATACTGTAATTAATATCATTTCGATTAATTTTCAGGGAACATATTCTAAAAAAATCATTAGTGACCATCTACTAGTTATTAGAAAAAATAGGTAAAGGAGTGTATTAGTGATATATCCTCCCACTATTGCTGTATAAAATCCCAACTTTTGAAATTTGAATATATCTCTAAGCCACTAAAACTTCGAATCAAAAGAGAGGTAATATCGACTTGTATATATATATTATTTGAGTAGAGGAGACAGGGAGTTTAAAGACGATTAAAGAGAGGGGGGCTGATATAGGGGTTGAACTGGGGTTCAACTTCTTGGAGGGGTTCAACTTGTCTTGGCACTAAATTCTTGCACTATGATTGGTCAGAAACATGACTACTCGGTCAAAAATGGGTTGCGCACAGCGAATGATGCAGACCATGAAAGTTTTGGCAATTTTACCATACAAAGAAGGATGAAAAGACGTGCAGCTCGCGAGCCGGCTGGTATTCCGTATTAATACATAGAATCACATTGGGATCCTTCTTTGCGACTGACATTTTGAAAATATTACTTAATGGAGTCATGCTTTCTTGAGAACAACGCCAGGGCTGTTTGTATGGGAGATTCGTCTATCCTCCACAAGGACCGCATCACCGTAACCTCGTGGAACACAAAACTTCACCGGTTTAGAGTCAAGGCAACTGCCAGTCCTGGCTCATGTATAATGTTAGGCGCTACCGATGTGATGGAGGTTGTTGAATTCAGTTTTGATGCTCTTGCAATGTTTGTTTGCATTAATCATCACCTGCATGTATTTGGTGCGTTTGCTAGATTGTGCAATGAAAATTTTATTATGTGACTCCCTATAATCTGCTTGCTGACCCGTCTGATGACCATACCGAAAAAGGTTTTTATAAAAAGGTGTCTACACAGGCTATATTCGTATAGCCTAGTATGCTGCGACGGCCAATGAGGTCAAGCGGAATCAATATAATGTGGATTGAAATGATTGATTGATTGAGGAAACTCCGGAGACTGCTGTTGAGAGTAGTCCCCTTGCCCTTACGGGTGGGCTTGGCGGTCCGTACGGGATTGTCAGTCCGTACAACCGATACTCGGCGGTTACCACGCTCGAGTCCATGAGTAAGCACAATTACATACAAAGACATAGGAAATGTGATCTTCAATGTGACCACTTGTTAGCGGTAAGTTATCCCTCCATGGGCTGACAAAAGGGCACTGAAAGATATGCACCGTCAACTCATTCCGATGCAGGAGGTGAGATTCAAGGTGCTACTAGATTATTGTTTTGAAGGCATGACAGTCAACCGAGGATGAAAAGGTAACATGCCATGTGCATTCGTCTTCATGTCTTTTTTATCATCTCTCCGTGACGATACATGAGGCCCTTGGACTAGTCACTGCCCAGCCCAAGTGTCACCGCGAGTTATAGCCCGTATGCCCGATTGGCCACCCTTGAGGCGTCAGCTGCCCACAATAGTGAGGATCATAGATTGGACTCGCCTTGTCCAGGGTGGCTACGTAACGATTCAGCCCTCCATGTTTTCCGTGCGAGGTATGATGGGCGCTGAGGTTATCACGACGCGAGAAACCGCGTTGACAGCCAGGAACCCAACAGATGTAGGGTCGTTTTCCCGAATGAATTGTCAAATGACGTTTGAGTGCCTCCTTTCGTTTGAAGGAGATCTCGCAACCTGGATGACTGCATTTGAATTGCCGTTGCGAGATGATGGCTGGTACACTACCGAGACCCGAGGTGGGGGCATGCGGTATGCCGTCCTTGATACTGGAACACGACTCAAAGATGTTATAGGGCTCAACTTCGGGCGTATCTTGGCCAATGGGAGGCCCTTTATGTAGCTGTAGGCAGGAATGTTCGGCATCCTCTCGGAAGGCGCGTGTCCTGAGGGAATTCTGCGCATGCTCAGAGCAGCCGGCGGGTCGCGCCTGCAGAATCGTGTTTAGAAACTCTGGACTAGGTGCACATATGAACCAGCAGATGACGGGCTGGCATTCGAAATTATTTAAAGCTTGGTCAATCGAGCAGCCTGGGTATTGACAAGAATGGCTTTCCAAATCGCTTCTAACACGGGGTATTGCAAATGTCGAGAGATGAGAGTCGGTTTTAGCCTCGTCCTGGCCATGTTGGATGACATCCATGCCGGACTCCTCGGAGGATACAGTATGTGCGAGGTAGTTTCGTCCGCCGCTGCCGCCACTGCTGCCGCAGAGCATTGCTATATTGCTCGAGAACCATGTGTTGTCCTCGCATATTTCGGTTTGCGAGGACGTTGCTGTACTATACTGCTCCATCTGTTGGTTGCCACCCTTCAATGCCATAGTTCACATCCTTGATGGCAAATCGAAGTGGCAGAAGTAATGATCATATACGTAGCATAGCACGCCACCTAATGTTGTTCAAGTATAGAAATTGCTAGCTGATATACATGCAGGTGAACATTGAAATAAGCACGAGGCCCTTACGACTTGGACGAAGAGAATGGATTACATGCAGTGGTGGGCGTTTAATTGAGTCTGAGTAAGCTTAAATAATTATTTGCGGCCCTACCAGCGTTATTGAGAGGGAAGAAGAATTGCTTCGTTGATAATTTCCTGGCAAAAGTGGCTGCTCTTTTCAGGGCTAGAGCACGCCTCAGCATATGTTGATAGCACCTGTGAAGCAACTAGTCAATCTATTGTTGGGCATGCGAAACAATAGTTCAACGTTGAGACATCACTTACCATGTTCACTTAACAAGCACCTTGTTTCAACAAACGATTCCAAATCAACATTAATGTGTTGAGTGGCTGGCTTGAAGCAGTATCGCAGTATCGAAAATGTCATTGAAAGCTGTTGACGGACTTTCAACCGTAACTCACCAAATCTGGCTCACCAGAAACCTGAAACCGCAGAAATCCAGGACCTCTCACTTACAGAATCGTCAATACGTAATAAGTTGGTTCGACTCCCGAACAAGTGTTGGTATCAGGATGAAGATGATGGGTTCAGCAGGCTGCCCAGGAAAAGAAGAGATCAACACTAGTTGAGGTGATTGTGCTGATCGATTTGAACACCCAGCGTAGGGACCAGCAGCAAGGCACATACACCCGGTAGGTTATAAAGAGGATCAGCACTTGATTGGAAATAGATTGTCTTCCACCTGGATTATCTTTCTCAGCCTGCTGAACGCAATGGAGGCTTCCGAGTCTATGCCGGACCAGAACAGGGAAGAAAGCTCGCAGCTGAATGAAGTCCCTCCCCAGAGCGATGAAGCTGTTCCACCGCACACTTCCGACCCCAAACCTTCCCTGGTAAGTCAATTTTGAGAACAACTTGGATCCGCGGCTAACCACTCCCTGACAGCAGGAGACAACCCCGAAGAACGCCTTGGCAACCGAGCCATTTCAACCCGTATTGGAGGCGCTCGCAGATCTCGAACGTGACGACCCGAAACTCGCTTTTCAAGCCGCTCGACTTGTGGGGCTCTATCGCCGTCTTTGGGAGTCGTGCGTGTCGAAGCATCTCGACTGCGAGAAAGCAAATGAAACAAATCAAGTTTTGAGGGAAGCTAGCGTGCAATTGAGCAATAAGAGGGACAGCCTTCAACTTCGCCACGCCGAGCAGTTATCCCGACTGCGTTTCTTTGACCAGGCTTTACAATCGTCTCGGGAGCGACTGACTGGCATCCTCAATGACTGGAATCAGCTCTCGAGAGGCGATCTGGCCGATTTGGTGGATGCCGACCGACGCGAGTGAGGGGTTACTCGTGAATTTGTATTGAGTCATGCTATACGTCGAGCAACAATTGGAAAGATACTTCTTTGTAACTGAGTGAAAGAATTTAAATTCAAACTTTTGTTTACGTCTGAAGACAGGTTATGTTTTGAGAGCATTGTGCAAAGCAAACTGTAGTCATGTATGAATGTAGACAATTTTTGGAGATTTCATTCGCGAAGGAAGAGTTGGAAACGGTCCGGACATTTATTTGCATTCCGTGCTACTTTCAAATATAATCTGGCAGGAGATTGCGTACAAGAAAGGGCGGATTCAGGGATGGCATCGAAGGTGATGTAGCTAGCGGGGAAAGCATGAAGTGACTAGAGTATGGGGAGGGTTCCATACGCGGTCACAAAGACAGCCGGAAGCTGGATGCCATCGATCTCACAGCAGTCTGAGAGATGATGATTAGTATCTGCTGCCGCGTCCGGCATAGATTCCCCATGACCGTTTCCACGCGAGGCAAGAAGAACCGATGCTCTCCGATCATGTCCCCGGTAATTCGATCAAGCCGTGCGAGTCGAAACTCCACCCAGTGTATTTCTTCTGTAAGAAAAATTTTTGATATGAAGAGGAATAGATCTTCAGACTGAGTGGAGACAGACAGAGGATCAGGGCCAGTCCACTCGAAGCCCGACGGATCCTCTCGGTTGGGATGGAAGAAATATTTCACCAGGGAGGGCCCCTGCTCTTCGTACCCAGCAGATTCAGCTAAATTCAGAGAAGCTAGCCCGCTGCTAGCACGGTCCGTGGTAAGGCAAGGAGGCGACGTCGGTATACCAGACGACTCTCGCCGGATCGCGTGAAGTTCGAGGTCGAAGTCAGAGCCTATACTGCCGTGAGCATATGTTGGTTAGAGATCTACATGTACGTACCATCATGAACTGGATCGTTCATGTCCATCCTATTTTATTGGAATGAACGCCGTACAGAAGAGATGGGCCTTGGTGGACTTGGCGATGTGAAGATCGCTGGAGGTAATAGAGACGTGCAGAGGCTTACAGGCCTTGAATATATTCATAGAGTAAAAACAGAGACAGAAAACGGGCTTTCATTTCCGAGAGACTAGCAGTGAAATGAATCAACATTGGTGAAGATGCGATGGCCCATCACCAGGATTAACGGGAACTCACCATGGGTTCCCAACCGTTTACGCTGATGGAGATATCGAAAGGGTGCTAGACGGAGAGCGTGAGAAACGCGTGAAAGCACTATCTCACTTGCCTGCGGTCCATCTCAAGCTACTCGGGATCTTCCTTGAGGCCTCTCGACGCGACACGTCCTTTCACGGCTTGCGTTCAGGACTGCAGCGACCCCGGCGTGAAGGTCATGAAGCACACACTCTCGGCCCCACAACATCAGCGTTTGCGCATTGCAGCGCTGCACGAGAACGTCATTCTCAGTTTCCAGCCACTCGTTCGATTCTTGCATTTGTTGCTGTTCTTCATCCAGGTATATCTTCTCGGCGGATTTCACGATATAGCAGTCCCACAGGCAGAAGTATAGGTCAAGAAGCTGGAGGGCGGGCATAGCAAGGTCCACGTTGTCACGGAGAATCCGTATGAGCTGCGTTATAAGGAGACCGGCCGGTCTGACAGGAGTCTGTGACTTGTTAGTTTCGTTCCCTGGCTGTCGGGAAGTCGGGAAGATTCTAACCTCGGGATCGATGGCCGTGCGATCTGCCTGTGGCTGGTAGTCTTTCATATACACCTCATTGTCTGGCTGGTCAGAGAACTGACGCTGTCGCTTGGCTGGCCGGCCGGCTGGGAAAGGAGAAGGAGGGCGGTCCATTTGGGTTGCGGGTAGATGGGTTGGGGCCATGCCATAATGGGAGAGGAGTTTATATATTACGGAGGGGACACAGACTGTTGTGTTCTATCCGATTCTTGGTGAAATAGCGCGCCAGTTTCAACAAAGTAGGTTAAGCTGACCGTTAACGCTTCACCTGTTGATTCACCACGACACACATGTGGCCGAAAAAAAAGTGCACCCATAACAATTCAAGTACGAAGAGCTTGTTCGGTTTTAACGCAAGTGTTGTAACTAGCGACATTTGATAAATCGACATGTTTGTGGTTCACAGATACCCTGATCCAGCTAGCCTTCACTAGTATTTGCAATTGAGAAAAGTACTAGTCCTTTGCTGCGACGACTGAGCTGGCCCTGATACGGGTGTGCCGAAATCATCAATCTTCCTCTGGATCACCCTCCGAACAGAGTCGCTAGATGCAAAATCCAGCGCCCTGGTTAAACCGCACGGCGATAATCTCGGGTCCGCTAGTAGCGCGTCAACAACGCGTAGGTGTGCCCCTTATGCTGCCAATGCCAGAGGTGCCTGGAGCAACTAGTTCTCAAGATTCGGATCGATCTGGTCATGGCGTAGCAGAGCCCGGGCTATCTCCGAACTCCCATCCCGCGCGGCGATGCAGAGCGCAGTGTCGTGAGCCATCATGGTTTTCCGATTGATCTGCAGACGCCCGCCCTGCTGCACTAAGAGACGCACCGCTTCTAGCTGGCCCCTTTCCACTGCCTGAAAAATCGGTGGATCTCCAAATTCGCTGGTGTTGATATCTACGCGGCCCGTGTTCAGCAGCACCTTCATCGCCTCGACACGTCCGTGCGCACACGCGAGACCAAAGGGCGACTGGCCTGCGGCGAAGAGACCGAGTTCGATCCCCGGTACAGCCAGGAGACGCTATAGTGCCACTGTGTCTGGCTTAAGCACGGCGTGGTGTAGGGAACTCGAGGGTACCTATGATTCATCGTACCCGCCAACGAAATTGATATCAACACCTCTCTCCTCTAAAAGTCTCTCGGCGACGGCGTCAAATGACAGGTGTGTAGATATTTGTGTAGCCAACCAGAGAGGCGTGTTTCCATGCTTGTCTCTGCAATTGATTCTGACCCGCGGGTGATCCAGCAGCAAAGCCACTACTTCCCGGCTTCGGGTCCGAACCGCAAGATGGAGCGGCGTGTTGCCATTTCGATCGTGAGCTCTCAGATCGACATCATTCTTTCCCAGCAGCTGCCGTACAGCATCTGTCGATCCATGGGCCACGGCTTGATGAAGGGGTCGCTGGTCGTGATATACGGGATCTATGTCGAATAGGCACCCAGAATTGGGCGTCGTGGAGAAAATCCTCTTCATAAAAGGCTTGTCGTTATGGCATGCCCAGTCCCATAGTGAGTAGCCGCTGTCATCTTTGGCATTGGGATCGCTACCCTGAGAAAGCAACACCTGCACGAGTCCAATCCTGCCCGCCCAGACTGCTCGGTGGAGCGCCGTTCGACCTCGTTTGTGTCTCAGGTCCAACTTGATGCCTGGACAGGCAACTGCTATCTTCAGAACAGTCCGGCTTGTGCCATACTTGATGGCATACCATAACGCGCTCTCCCAAGCTTGGTTCTGGAGATTAATGTCTACCCAGGGTGCTTTCATCAGGAGCAGAAGCACTTTGATGGAAGAGTGTTCCAAAGCTCTCATAATCGCAGTTTTCCCGCGAAAAAATGCATTGACGTTAGCGTGACAGCCAAGCAGAGCCTCTGTCAAGGATACATCATTGGTCTCGGCTGCCAAATGCAATAGATTGCTGTTTTGGTATTTGATATTATATTTTAGAAAGGCAGGCTGCAGTCTGTCGTATAAATTTTGGCATGATCCTGCAACGGCAAACATCTCCATACCGTTCAGACTTGCCGCGACCTGCCACAGGATTTCGTTGGGAAAACCTTGAATGTGTGGCTATATTTTGAGGTTAGTCTGCGGAATCATAATGTCAAAGGAAGATCAAATACACGAACCATGATGAGACAAATGTTGAGGTGGGGTTATGGCATAAAAGAGCTGACACTGCAAGGCTGCTTTGAGGGTGAAACAGTAAGCTTTATATGAGTACTCGCCTAAGAAGATATCGTCGCTCTCTCACCACCAACTGGGTCAGCTCAATAGCAAGAGGCAACTGACACCCGCACTATCCGATAGCGAGGCAGGGAGTCCAATGATTCGCGACGCTGGGTTTGTGGTTCCTGGAATCGAGGGATCGGGTGGAAGAACGAACATGGGTAAGAAAGCATTGTAAGAGAATTTGTCAATATTTAGGGATGCAACCAGGGGGTCAATCCAACGCTATTATATGACAACACTACCAGAGACCCCAGGAGCGATGTCAGTCCTGGGAGCGCCCCACGAGGCTCTAGGAACACGTGAGCAGCTCCTGGGCGACGATATTCTTCTACTCTGATTGCTCGCGGCAGGCGATTGGTTTATCTGCATTCTCGGTTCAAATATTCCTACCGCTGTCTACGAGACTGGGAGCTATGTGACAGTATAGCCCAAGCATGCTGTCCTTTTTGCCATGATTTATAAGAGCCATTGTACAATAGCACATTCAACAGGCAATGTCACCCGTCCGCACGCCACTTATCAACTCTGGGCCTGCAATGCTCGTGCCCTTGCACCTCGCCAGAGGAATGATCTGTGATGTGACCTACTATCAGCTACCTGGAACATTAGTATGTGTAAACACTACTAGAAGGTCTATAAAGCTGGGGGTGGGCACTGCAGAGTCTGGCCAGGATACACTGCGATCACCTCACCGAACGTACTTCCTTCTCTCTACACTCTCCCCGCGTGCATAGCGCCAATGCCATCTTTATCCTTTTGGAACCCATTAGTGGTCTGTGAGATAGAGGTTGAGCCACTTGGCCAACGCAGTCTTTGTTGTGGAATCACGGCAAACGGAATACCGTGCAAGAACTCGGTCAAAATCAAAGACATCAACCAAGGCCATCAAAAGATGACCGACCTCTCTAGGATCCCATTTAGGTTGGCAGCACTGCAGGCCTCACTCCGCGAGATCGCCAAAAACTTCCTCTGCAAGCGATGGCACCGGGATCGGCAGGCTGACCGTATAGGTCAACAGTGGTACGAAGCAGCTGTTCGGAACCAGGCTCAGGCACATAGTGCTGCCGCGGACAGTCCACGTTCGCCTCCTGCACCGGCCGTCCCGCGCCAGACACGATCCGCCTTCAGACGAGGCCCTTCGGAATCGGACCGGCCCCATCGACTCCTTGATCACAGCGATCACCATAGCGACCGAGAAGCCTCGCCAGCCCATTTTTGGACTGGCTCTGGGCCAGCCGAGCGAGTTAACCGACCGACTCATCCCTATGTCACGGCCGCGATGCTGCGAGCGAATAATGTTCCATGGCGCGTTACTGTGGCTCAACCGGCCATTCTTTCGCTGACTCCTTCTACCTGGGCTGGCGGGTAAGACTTCATACTCCAGGAGGTCACTCGCAGCCACGAAGTGGACAACATCCACTGCTTGTTCTGCTTGGCCGAGGATGAGAATCGCTCTTGCGTTGTGTTAGGTGCAAAGGACTGGCTCACCTTGCTTATACACAAGAGTGGCTGGAAAAGCGCGAGACTGGACACGGCACTTCGTGCTGTATATGGTAAGTTCACGATTCAGTCTGGGCTTCGGAATGCTAATACATTCTAGTCGAACCGAGACCGCCTTCCATGCCCTGTACCGTGGACCCAGAGGCCCCTCGCCCGAACCCGAAGAAAGTTTCGTCGAGGCCATCGCAGATATCTCGTCTAACACAGGCACGATTGCGCCATCAATTGACCCTCCCCGGGCGGGAGTGCGGCTCGCCCAGCCAGCTGAGCCAAGGCGGCGTCACCGGGGGTCCGCAGCGCCGGCCGCCCAAGAAGGTGTCCGTCGATCGGCCAGGCTGGCGCAAGTTCCTGCCCCACTTCGTCGATCAACCCGCTTTCGCGAGAGCGAAATGTGAATGGCGATAAAGGCGTCACATTTCTGGAAACGATCGTCAATTTTTTTCCCGGCGCTGAAATAGCAAGTACCATCTTCCACGCATCGTATGGTGGCGGAGCGCTGCATTATCGAGCTGGCGTGGTTTGATTTACAACTCTATAGATATTAGGATAGGAAAACATAGTAGACAATAAATTCACTCATCCTCAACATCCTCATCTGTCGATACGTGCGTAATTCCGTGCGGGCCTTCTTCGAAAGCGCGATTGTGTAACGACATCTCATAGCCTGAAAATGGGGCCTCACATCTAGTCTGTGCGATCGCGCCGGAACTGGTCGAACCCAGCAAACGTTCGCCGCACTTGTTCATTGGAAGTATATGTGACAGGGTCCGCCATTTTACCTTGGGGCCTTAGCTTGATAGAACATCAATTGATCCGTATTTCTGCCCCTCCATTGCTACAAGGTATGGAAATGGACTTGGGGTGGGAAGTCTATTTGTACCAAATAAATTCCCATGCTCGAGTTGGCGATCCAAAAACGAGATTGAGCACGCGGCTGATCGGGGATATTGCTATTCGGCACTTTACAACCCTTGATGAATTTGATGATATGTACTGAACTTAAGCAAATTATTCGAATCACTTGCATATACTGAAGACCTTAAACTAAAATAAGAGATACTTAGTAAGAAGTTGAGTGAACAAAACATCGGCATTTCTGAAGAAAAGGAGATTGAAAGACCACTGCAATTATTTGAGTCATTGCGATCGAGTGACGAACCAAATTTGGTTTACTATTCAATTGCTTTGAAGAACACCTCACTTAGGATTGAAACGCCCTCACAACCGACCATCTCTGGACTGACAGTCATGTTGTTCCCAAGACTGTCCTCTTGAATCCGGACTCTCGGCTTGGGTGCCAAGTGGATACGACAACTATATAGAATACCTCTGTCCAAGCCCACACAGCTCTTTATGTAGTTCGAGGCAACCATTGACACTTAAGTACGTTTGGAAGTAGGTGTCCTCCTGGGATGTGCTTAGGGGTGGGTCACAGTGGAGCGAACAACCACAGTCGATATCATCACCAAGATTAGCCATCAAATATCAAGCTATAAATATCGGGGCATTACCTCGGGAGCTCGCCAGACATTATTTCTCACACGCGCATCCCTGGAGCGCAAATCAAATATCAAATATCCATTATCACCTGAAAGTACGTCAATGGCGAAAACTTGTGACTGCATTGAAAGTGGATGGTGGGTAACTCGACTGAGGGTGCACGGATCCTTGGATGGCACTTTTGTCAGCAAGCAATTGGAGACTATCGAACATCTTCTACAAGAAAGAAAAATATCGATCTTCCTCGTTATGGCCGGGTTTGCATCAAGAAAAACCTCGTGCCGACCCCTATATTGGCCAAAACGGTGGCAGGAACATCAGGGTATAATGTCGGATTGACGGATACTGGTATGTGCTAGTATTGAGGTGTTCCATTGAGATACATTGATGTTGTTCTCTCTGGATCTTGCTGTTGAAGCGTTATCAGATCTCAGGAGTTATTCCTAGCGTGTTACGACGCTGGTATGCCGAGCGTATCCCGTTTACCTTACAGAGACAAAGAGAGAATGGGTACTTGATGAATAACCCTCTCCTTAGTGGTAAAATACCATCCCTCAGTTTGACAATTTGTATTTTCTTGCAGCCTTCTGCCGTCTCAGCAAATAATATCCAGTAAACAAAATTTATCAAGTCTTCTCATGCCAGCTCCATCCCTCTTTCAGCACTAATTATTGGTCCTCGTAAAGAAAAGGATAGTCGCTCACCAAACCTGTCGGTGGTGAGTCATCCCCCGAACCATTTGTCCAAAAAACACTAGTAAGGCTGACAACAACCCCAGCATCCCTATATAATCAGAATGAGTAAGAGCATTATGAAGGACGAAGATTTTGTTTGATTAAAGACACACCTGGACACCCGAAGCCCTCTATGAAGGAAAAACCGTGAATAGTCAGCATATAGTCTATTACCCTGAAAAGCCACATTTATTAAGGTGGGCAGTCGACATTCTTACCTCGCCAAGAGGACAGGTTGGTTGATTTTGTTCACACACAGCAGCGCAGACTTTGGCTTGGGCGATGCTTGTCAAACAGAGAGTCGCAATAATGAGAATTGGTAGAGTCATCACTCTTCCAGTCATGTTGAACCAATATATACTAAAAGCAATTTGGGAAGATAGTGGGTGGGAACTGACAGAGCGGATGATGAAGTTATAAGATTTTCGATGAATATGGATGGGGGTTATGCTTTGTATTAATACTCTGGCCCACCCGGCCGAATCCGACCCCGGCCTGATTTGTCGCGTTTTCTTGTAGCATGTGTATGATGGCTGTATTGTCTTGTACATCATAGATACAGGTCTAACCCAAATGTATGAGCAGTGCATATCAAGGTGACATAACAATACCATCAGTACAGGGAATTCATCAAATTTCCACACTTAGCTAGTCTGTCAGTAAGAATGGCCTAGCCTATTAATTTGCTTGGTAGAATATACACCGCTTTATCCACCGATTTCAACTTTCCTTCCGCAAAAAGCGCGGTCAGTGGTGGGGGTACTAGTACTGTAACTTCCTTATCTTTATTAGGCACCTTTATCACAGCATGACTCGTATGGCCTTAGTCTGATAGGTTTGCCACCGAATAGTCACCGGATAATCACGGTCCGTCCGAGACGGGTGGAATCTCTTCGTTACCGAGATTACCTAGGAGCTCTATCTAAATAATAACAATTACTGTGTAGATACTATAGATATCCTGTAGAGCTTTGTTTAACTATTTGATCTCATGTCTCATTCGGAGTAGTATATTAAAATACAGCCATATCAAAATGAAAGCCTCGGTCACCCCAAAACAGTATGCATCCTAAGTCAGCTGATCATAAGTTTTTGGCAAGCAGAGTTCTATGTACGCTGTATGCAAATCACCTTAGTGGGCCTGTTGGAAGAGTATCGTGGCTAAGCAGTATAGGAGGCGGTGGGAGGTAGGGGTGTAAATTTTGTTGGGTGACTAGGTACTGAAACGGGGATGGCTCGATGGCGGTCTGGCACTACAACCTGGGAAACACCAACTAGGAGAACGCACACAACCACTCCCTGGCGGCTTTGTGGTAAGCAGATGAAGGTTGCTCTAGATGAGGCACTGCGTAATAATCTATGCCGTATCATGAATCAAGGAGTATGGCAAGAACTGGAATGAATTTTAGTTAGATGCTCCTTCTATCTCTATGTTCGTATTACGTACACCCAAGGTATTCATAACACGTCCCGCCACAACTATTCACTATGCCATGTGTTCCACCATTACATTATATATTTGATTGTGAGGTATTTTTTTCAGTGTGCGTCCAAGTGGTCTAGTTGAAAAGAGTTGTTGCTGCCTGATCATGCTTAACATCGTGTGACCTCCGGTGGAGACGCTCCATTTTGGTCGGAGCCACTTCGGCCAAACCAGAACCTCTCGGATCTTTCTCGGTAAATTATTCAAAACCTCCATCTGCCTGATAATCGTAAAGCCAATCCCTTAAGTTATAGGACTAATAGAGCTAAACACGTAAATCATGTTACTACATCAAAAATAGTAGCTATAGTGCCTTGCTGTTACGACCCTATCATAGCATGAAGCTATCTAGGAAAGTCACATCTAGTATGGAGCAAGCGTACAATCAATATGCATAGAAGCGGATCTCCACGTGATCTCACAAAATTCATAGAGGGAGAAGCTCTATAAATTTGGAATCTTTTCCCTTAAAGATAAGTCCATCCCTCGATCAGTCCTCCTACCAGACTTGTGCTTATATCTCTTTCCCTTACCTAGTTACCCAAGCTGTAACGCTTGTGGTGTAGAGGGGCCTCTTGTGTGTTTTATATACAATGTCGTAACAGCATAGTTACTAATCATTTATGATATTAGTATTATGATCTCACGGATACTAAGGGCTTTCCAGCAAATTATCCCAGTTTATATAGTTTTGTCAATCAATTTAGCTTTACCCTATCTATAAAAGCCTGCTTGGCTAGGTAAATGCATGCTTCTCACAGGGCCATAGTAGGAAATTCAGACGTAGCTTCTCATATGTTGAAGATAATAGAGAATAAACAGAAAGGAGAAATGGACGGAACCACGCTAATTGTTGAATATTAGACTAGCTCTTGACACTTGACAAGCACTCTCTCGAGTCAATGTAGTAGTTCAAGGGCTGGTAGAAGAGCATCCGCCACTAGCATACTGGCGGTGACAGCCACTGTACGCACGAAAGGAGCTGGGCTCGAATGTAAAGTCACAGATTTGGCCAGCATCATCCTGGTCATTGCACACTGGGTTGAAGCTTCCTTTGTGCCCGTTGCACACAGTGCTTTTCCAGAATGTCATATATCCCTCTCCGGCTTAGTAGACCGCGATGTAGCGCCAAGGAGCGTGGCTCCCACTTCAGCATGCCCCGTCGGTATTAATGAGATAGCCATCTCGGCCACTGTCGCCTATCAGGCTGAAGGCAAGTTGATTGGTGTTATATCTTCTCTCCACGCCGGGAGTTTCCGGACCGGTGAAAAGGTCATGAGATGCATTTTGCTTGCCAGCAATGATGCCATTGAATTCCTGAAAGGCGAGCTCTGGGATGTATGTATAATTGCTGTTTGAAACATGGTAGACCTTGGGAAGCTGGCCACCCAAATAACCCCAAGAGGACAGGTCATAGTATGGCGCAGCTTTGTTTAGCTCTTCCGTTGCAAAATGTCGATCGAAAGTTACCTCATAGGAAGAAACAGTGATAGCGGCCAGGAGAATAAGAATAGAAATTCTGATCATCTTGCAATAGAACAGCAATCTTCAACCAATAGAAGATAGATTAAAAAGATCATAGAAGACACTTGATGCCGGCAGCAATCACTGCTATTTATGTTTTTTGTAATGGGATCCATTTCGAGAAAATCAAATGCATGAAATCATCACTATCTCTGTTTAGCTCACCAAGGTTGTCTCCTAGACCAATATTCTCAAAAATGGAACGTTACATGGTTTAAAAAGTACGCGAAATCTCCGACTAACATTATACCAACCCACATCGGGCCAAATACGTGTGATAGCGAAGTACAAGAACTGAGGCCCAATAGTCCCTTTAAGATACCATTCGCTTCTCAATTGAGAAGAGTATACTAAGCCACCTTGAGAACATAACGGAAAAGGATGTAAGGTGAAATATTCCAATGGTATTCCGGCTTCAAACTGAAATATCTTTTCAAGGTCTATCATGGCCCCCAATGTGACTATCTGACCCACTTGTAACTAGTGGACTTGGATGCTAGTACTAGCCTATGAAAGAACTTTGAGCATCTAGGGTGGGGCATGTGTTTGAGGCATTTTGTTACACACACACACACACAATTCATTACGCCCGGAGGTTTCAAACCTAGAGGGCACCTATACGCTATTTGATCTTTCCACTGCATATATCTTGTCATAGTCTCATTTTCGAGAGGAAAAGCTGAACCAGCTGCCAAAAACCCCTCTAGCCCATACGGGTATGTCCTTAACGATTTCTTCTTGTTGTTGTTGTTGTCATCATATCCTCTCCCCAAAAGCAATAACCCATCCCTCTGTGACACCGGACCCCCCCACGTGTCCATTCTCGATGTAGTTTCGTGAACCTCTTCCCTGAGTAGCGATTTACCGAAGGTACTTCTCATATTAACGCCCGAAGTAGCTGACTGCCTCGCTGGCGGCAACACCAGATAGCAGACGAAGGACTGACGAATCGACATGCGATCGAACCGGTAGGGCAGGTGAGTTATTATGAACAAAACCCAGTGAGGATAGGTTGAAAATGTGTAGGTAGGTCGGTTATTCGAAGGCTTGTCGACATTGCGACGTTGTCGACGTGCGAAGTTGTCGACGTGTCCTTTTGAAGGCTTCCCGCCGCGTCGTCACAACCAATAAAGGAGTTTCCACCGGAGTTTCGATTTAGAAAGTTCTCAGCTTCGGTCAGACCTTGCAGTCCAACTTACTGACATCCCTCACCACGAGAAGGTGACTTTCCACGAGGGACTCACCTTAGTACTGTATATAAAATTGCCCGTGGAGATGTCTGCCATCACCATGGAGGAGGTCGAACGGCAGCTCTTGGCGACAAAATCTTGGAAAGCACCTGGCGAAGATGGCCTACCAGCGACCAGGCAGTGGAGACATGCAAAGATCATACCACTCAAAAAGCCGAACAAAGAGAACTATACCATTGCCAAGGCCTGGAGGCCGATTTCACTCCTCGCGACACTGGGCAAAGTACTGGAATCAGTCATCGCAGAAATAATCTTACACGCGGTGGAAACTTACGGCCTGCTTCCGACCAGCCACTTCGGGGCCCGTAACCAACGATCAGCGGAGCAAGCACTCCTACTTGTACAAGAGCAAATCTACGCGGCGTGGCGTGGCCGACGGGTCCTGAGCTTGATCAGCTTCGATGTCAAAGGAGCTTACAATGGGGTTTGCAAAGAAAGATTGCTCTAGAGGATGAAAGCGCGAGGGATTCCGGAGGTCCTGCTCCGGTGGGTCGAAGCGTTCTGCTCGGAGCGAACGGCGACCATCCAAATTAATGGGCAAACATCTGAGGCCCAAAGCCTCCCACAGGCTGGGCTGCCTCAGGGTTCACCCCTGTCCCCTATCCTCTTCCTCTTCTTCAACGCAGATCTCGTATAGCGACAGATCGACGGCTAGGGAGGAGCGATCGCCTTCGTGGACGACTTTACCGCGTGGGTGACTGGACCAACTGCGCAGAGCAACCGGCAAGGTATTGAAACAATCGTCAATGAAGCACTCGACTGGGAAAGAAGAAGTGGAGCGACTTTTGAAGCCGAAAAAACCGCGATTATACACTTCGCCCCCAAGGCCCACAAGTCGGACTCGGAGCCATTCACCATTAAGGGAGAGACCGTCGAACCCAGAGACCATGTCAAGATTCTTGGCGTCACCATGGACACAAGACTCAAGTACAGGGAACAAATCGCGAGGGCAGCGTCCAAGGGCCTGGAGGCGGCGATGGAGCTTCGGCGGCTGCGGGGCCTATCCCCCGCAATAGCGCGGCAGCTATTCACCTCGACGGTGGCCCCGGTGGTGGACTATGCCTCCAATGTCTGGATGCACGCTTTCAAGAATAAGAACGTCGGGCCGATCAACCGAGTACAAAGGGTAGGAGCGCAAGCGATTGTCGGGACATTCCTCACAGTTGCGACCAGTATAGCGGAAGCGGAGGCCCACATCGCCACGGTCCAACACCGGCTCTGGAGACGAGCTGCGAAGATGTGGACAGACATGCACACCCTACCAGTCACCAATCCCCTCCGCAAAAGTACAGCTCAGATCAAGAAATTCAGAAGATACCACCGTTCGCCATTGTATCAGGTCGCAGACGCGCTGAAAAGCATCGAGATGGAAACACTGGAAACCATCAATCCATTCATATTGGCACCATGGGAGGAACGTGTACAGGGCGATGGTCAGGATTTACCAGAGACACAGACCGAAACGGGCGGAGTCATGCGGATCGCGGTCAGCAGTTCGGCGCGGAATGAGATGGTAGGATTCGGCGTGGCGACTGAGAAGCAGCCCCCTCGGTACCGAAAGCCGAGGCTGAAGACCTTCTCCGTCACACTGGGCACAAGAACTGAGCAGAACCCATACTCCGGCGAATTGGCAGCAATGGCACACGCACCGAACACGCTACACGGGCTGAAACGGTGCAGAGTCACGCTGCTCACGAGCAATAAAGCGGCGTCACTTACGCTGAAGAATCCCCATAAGCAGTCGGGCCAGGAACACATCTGCCAGATATACAAGTTGATGCAAAGACTACGGAGACACGAGAACCGGGTCCACATCCTTTGGATTCCCATCAGCGAAGATCACAGGCTGTTAGGTCTGGCAAAAGAGCAGGCCAGAGCCGCGACTAAGGAAGAAGCTAGCCGACAAGCACAAGTCCCCCGAATGAAGTCGACCACCCTGAACATTGCACGATCCCAAGTCGCAGCCAGTCAATGCTTGCCGGAGAACATAGGCAGACATTCCAAATGAGTGGATGCAGCACTTCCAGGGAAACATACGCGGAAGCTGTACGATCGATTATCGTGGAAAGAAGCGAGCGTGGTAGCCCAACTCCGGACTGGCATGGCGAGACTCAATGGATACCTCTACCGAATCAACGTCGCGGAGACGGATCAGTGTGCATGTGGACAAGCAAGAGAGACCGTGGAGCACTTCCTATTTCGATGTCAAAAATGGACGGCGCACCGGACGGAACTACTACAATGTACCAACACCCACCGAGGAAATATATCCTTCTTCCTAGGAGGAAAGTCGCCTTTGGATGACCAGAACTGGAAGCCGAATTTGGAAGCAGTGCGAGCCGCGATACGGTTTGCAATCGCCACGGGCCGACTCGACGCCGCTTAACCGTGTCGACCAACACGAATTAACCCCACCCCACCCCACCCTATTCCCATCTAACCCCAACTACCTTGTGCCAGAGACGGTAGACGCGCTTCAATTGCCGAGAATAGGATGTTGAACACTTGGAGAAGCGCCTTCAAGAAAGTCTACTAACCAAACACTAATCCACAAGGACCCGCTAAGATATGGACAACTGAGATGACATACACTGAAAGGAATCTTGTATGGGCTCCAATGAGGCACCGCATTAGCTAGGGCATGTATATTTAGATCAGTGATAGTTGCCCTTTCGGTTCAGCCGCCGGGCGTTAATGAATTGTGTGTAATACATTTACGCAATGGGCTTGGAAATTAATGTAATGTTCCTTTAGGTCCCAAATCATCACAAATGGCCAATTGTGGTCTCACCCGTAAGGTCATTTGAAAAGATTTTATTTTGACATTGAAACGGAATGTACTACGTCTATTCTTCCAACACTACAGTTGCTTTACAATATTAATCAATCGCATTTCAACTGGTCCTCATTTTCGATCTAAAGTACCGGAAACCATGTGAAAGAGGGCTTAAATAACACGAGTAACCGATGATCTTACGGTTCCTGTTTGGCTGAGGGGAGAAGCCTATGAGATGATCTCGATGCGAATTGAGATCCAAAATACTGATGACTGTTCCGGAACAATACGATCAATCTAAAGCACATAAGGTTCGACCATTGGTGCGGTTCGTCATCTCCAGTGAATCATCCCTCATGATACTATCTAGGTCGCCCTTATTAAGCCAATTCGAATGAGTTTACTGGTGGTGATATTTTTAATTCTATTGAACAAGCTACCACTATTGTTATTGGTGGTCTTTTGTACTCTCTTGCTGACAAAATCTCGGACGAAAATAAGACAAACAACCATTCTCTACTGCAGCAGGCTGAGTAAGCACGTGTAGTTGAAGGACAGGGGACAGCGAGCCAAACGGTCAAAGATAAAAAGAAGTCCCAGGCCAAGAACCAGGGGGAAGCCAGGAAGAATTAGACAGGTTCGGGGGGTAGAATTTCATCGAAGAGAGGATACATGTCAAATATACTAAATATCTAATCAATCCAGCGATACTCCCACGCGATTATGCTGTGTGACGCATAGGGATTTCCACCTTCGTGCAATGGAACAAGGTTTTGGCGGCCTCGACGGAATTCATGCTCAGGCTCGAGAATCGACACTTGCCATTTCTTGGTTTTTCCCCGGAGATTCATTGTACAGACTGGTGTTAGACTGTGTTTCTTAGATATGGCTTCTCCAAAGCCAATAATATCGCAGCTGTCCAAGCTTTGAATTCTTGAATCCGTCAAAAAGCAAAACTTTGTTTGGAGAAGCCCATTACCATTCAATCTTCGAGTTTTTTTTCCTTCAAGATATAAGAATTCATCTCCTTTGATGATACCTTGTACATTGAGAATGAATTTCGGCAGTTTGATTTTCTCCCCTGCAGAATCTCTCCATTCTTTAGCGGGCAGAATTACTTCATGGCGCTCCTTGTTGTAGCGGTGATTGGTACGTAGGCTTTTGCGTAAAAAGTCTATTCCATCACGGAATAGGTCACCCGAGAAATTATTTGGAAAGAGAATGATATAGGCGGACTTTTTCTTTCCAGGCTGGTTCGCGACAACCTCATCTAGGTTAGCCCCAATCAGAACTGGCTCAGCGCCAAGATCAGTAGCTGCTTTGAACTATGCCTCATCCTTAAATATCGATCGCCAAAGTCGACTTGATGCATTATTCTCAATGAAGTATATTGAGTTTGCAATTGCCTTTGCCTGAAAGGGATCGGGCTTCACAAGATTAATGATCATGTCCAGGATCTCACGTGGAAGGTTTGACATCTTAAAGGGGGTTTGGTATGGTATATTCCAGAAAGTCGTGATACTAGCACTGGCACTTGCTCTATCCATTATATTTATACATAATCGTCTTCACCATTAAAGCTACAAACTACTATTGTGAGCCTCGTAATACCCCACGAAATTGCGGCGCCGCAGTTTTTTTTTTCTCTCGGAATTTTGACAGCGCTGAACTGGTGTGTTTCCCACATATGAAAATAGCTGACCTGGAATGACATCTTGTCTTTCAATGTTTAAACGGTTGAAATGACAGTGATGACCCCACGTTGAGGCACAGGATAGTCCATCCGGTATTTACTATTACTTTCAACAGCAGTCTCCTGAGGATAACCAATCAATCAATCATTTCAATCCACACCATATTAATTCCGCTTGACCTCATTGGCCCCCCTCAGCATACTAGGCTATACGATTATAGCCTGCGTAGACAGCAGGCAAAAAGGAATTTGAGTGGGTATGTCACTGTATTAGAGAAATCACGTGATAGTGAGGCCTAGCGAGAACGGCGGGATTAAAGATCTGATCCCGATGAAGCTATTAGCCCACCCCTACTCCTATAGGCGAGCACTCTCCATCGGCGGACCAAGAATGTTAGACATAAATAGAGAGTCTAAAATCAGCTTCTAATACGCACCGGGTAATTGAGGTTTCGTTTTTGCATGGATAAGCTCGGGCTTTGTGTGCATGTGACTAACATGCAGCATAACAACTATAATTCTGTTGCTGTCTACACTCTGTGCCTTTAATAGGCTTAGTGTATTCTTGTATTCATGTTGTCTACTAAAAGGTCTTCAATGAGCTTATTGATATGACTTGAATCAATGGGGTACCGAGACTTTACCATAACAAGGAGGCCAGGGTGGAGCCTACCCAGCCCGGGCCGTTTTCCCCTCCATGGTAGGGTCGATCTACTCGGCTGGACCATATTCCCATTCCCATTCCTTTTTTCGCCCTCGAACTCTATCAATGGATGCCCAGGGACATTTACCAAAAAGAAACTTTACCAAATGTGCCAAGCTCCAGACCATAATCACGTAATACGGGGACTGCTAGTCATGCCAGAGGGCCCTAGATTTAGAAGTCTGCGCTTCATTTGTTACTGTAAAGGGCTAACTGTACGCGGTTAAAGCCATATTGGCATTAGGGGTTAAAAAAGAAAGTCTGCATGCAAAAACGCAGGGCGGTTTTCCAGGCTGCCGTATTCGAAATCAGTTTTACCCCCTCTCTGTCTCTGTCTCTCTCTCTCTCTCTCTCTCTCTCTTTGTTTCCCCAAGGGCCCACTAATAGTGCACTAGTCCATATTAGAACATTCTTCTACCTGGCCTTACATTTGTCGATGTACCTTCGGTGAGCTGGAATAAATTAGAGTTACCTCCTCTCTTGATAGTGTCGAGAAAAACAGTCTTTTTTCGTAGTCTTATTTTTAGTATCATTGTATCTACCAATTATACATCTCCAAGAATTTGAACGCTAAAAAAAACAATAATTATCACAATTTGTTGAGACCAGATGGATAATAATGACTTCTCTACAACTATACAAGAAGTATTTGTGTCTTGATTTGATAAAATGCTAAACGCTGGAGCTGCTCCGCCAGGGCAAGTGGGGAGCACTACAAAGAGGAAAAGTGTTTCGAAGCGGATCAATCAATTAGACATCACTAGGCTTCAAAATGCGACTTGCGCGTTTCGAGATCCCACTGAAGCTCATATTCAAACTTATTGGCAAGAGGAGAGAATTTCTCAATAAGAGAGATCTTCAAGAGAATCTTCAAGAGAATCTTCAGGTACTTCACAGCACTATGGAGGTCCATAAAACGCTCTCCGAGAGTTCCTCCACCGCATTAACTCAGGAGACCCTTTAGGTCGTCCCATTCCTATTCTCAATGGCTGAAACCCAAGCCCTTTCTTCAATTCTTCGCGATTGAAGCTCCTAGTGTACACTTTCCTCCCTCCAGGTATTGAAAAGCTGTCCCAAAGCGGTGGCCGATTGGTGTCCCAAATTGGTTGTAGACTCACCAACCCATCAACTTCCTGCTTGCCCTCCTCTTCCTGTTTATGTTTTCCATACAAGTTCGAGAAGCTGACGTTTTCGAGCCTTGGCATCGATTGGTCTAGATGAGAAAAAATGGGTGTCCATGACCCAGTGGTCAAAACACACTCATGTAATGTGAAAGAGCGGAGGTCGGGATGCTTCTGTAGAAATAGCAGAATCGAATCCCTTTTTGCCAGGAATCCAGAATATGCACATTTTTCTAGTATCGGGAACTGGGTTTCATGGGCGATACTTTCAATGATCCGGTCGTAGCTGTCCGTTGTCCCGTCTTTCAGCGTATGGCGAAAAGACAAATCTAGCTCTCGAAGAGCAGACACAGACTTGAGTAGGGGTGTAATCCCCGGTGTGCCATCAGCTAGCTCTGCACCAGGATCATCGCGTGATAAAAGTCCATCTGGTGTGTATTCATCTGGCCCAACTATCTTAAGAGCATTGGCAAGGTCACGAGCATTCTGTACCTCCGCAGATATACTCAGCTTGAGTGATTCCAGGCCCTTGCCCACTAGCCCTAGCTGACTTGGATTGAGACTTGATGCATAGGTGGTGATATCACCAGATGGAATGCAGCATCTAGGAGTACTGCGATATGCATCGAATTTCTTCACCGAGATCCCGCTCTGCGCCATGGCTGTTATAACCAAAGAGAATACATGCGAGCCTCGCTTCCAGAGCGGATGCCATTCATCATTCCATGTCGATTCTCTCTGCGTACGTCCGGTGATGACCGCACCATCTAATTGTATAGAATTCAACTCGCCAAACCCTTTGAGCGCAAAATGAATAAGTTCAATCATCTCACTCGACAACTCATTGGCTCTTGCTTTTTTCTGTCCTCGCAACCAGTTCAGATCGTTTTTGGCGTTTGAAAGTTCCTCGGGGGGATAGGCTACCGTGGTCGCTGTAACAAAGGACCCGTGGGATTTCCGCACAGTACGTTTTGCAGAACTCACGTTCTTCATTAATTCGGAAGAGTGAAGGCTAATGGCCAAGAAGGTTAGAGAATAGATCATGTTGCTGAGGGCAGGGTTGCAAGCCAAGGCATAAAGAGAACGAAGGCTGTGCGACGATACATCAAATATGGGTTGTTGAATGGAGCTTAAAAAACGGGGTCCAATGCACTTGTCTGCGAGCTTTCGGTCTGTTAGACGAAGAGCCTTGACTGTGTCAAGATCTAGATGTGTGAGGATTATCTCGAGCACTTCTGGGGGTAGTTTGGTCCAATCCATGATGGGGGACGAGTGTCGCCCCGGGCTACACATTTTAATGAGCAAGATGAAGTGAAGTGTTGAAATATGGAAATCCACATGCTTCTGCGGGGTTATTCGGGGACCGGGGCTAACAACCCGGAAGAGATGTCTGCTTTTTGGGGTTCACGAATCAATTCAAGAATCTGTAGATCAATCTGACTTCGAATATTACTGCAAGGCGGAACACTCGCCACTGTCTGTGCCACGATGTGGATGAACGACTGACTTGGCAATAATTTGTGTGATTGAAAGGGATAAGAATATTCTAAATGCCAAAAGATGAGATTACTGTAATTTCTGCCAGCTCGTCGATGGTACATCGACAAATGTCCAAATCCGGCTTAGTGCACTATAGGTGGGGCCTTGAGAAACAAAGAAAGAGAGAAGGTGGAGGCCAAATTGATTTCGAACTTTACTGTGTAAAGATCAGCGTCCTACTATGGGTTTGTGGACCTGTAGGGCTTCTTATACTTGCTCTCGTCGCATCTCGGTCGCACCGCTTATCGCCACTTGCCTAGACACTTTATATGATTTCGATGGACCTGATCTTGCCTCATGAGCTCTTGATCATGACACTGATAATCTGATTGCCGAGCTAGTCGTGATTCAGAGGAAGCTCTAAAATGATCCGCCCATAAATCTCGGGATTCCTGCTCTACGGCAAATTACTTCTGCATATATATTGACACTTACGCCTAAATCCAATAAAAATCATGTTCCCATCATTTTTACCATAGTTGATTGCCAGTTGACCCGGACCCAGACCCCTAAACAGGGAATGGAAGCAATGTAAAATGCCGATGCTATTCAAACGAACCCGGGCAATCAGACCTTCGCTCCACCATGCAAGATATAGCCGACTCCACGAAGCGAGACTTGAGTGACATACGCGGAAGTTACAGTACAATGATAATAATAGTGAGCAAAACAGACGAAGAGCTAATAAAGGGACTGCTACTTGTATCTCTCGAGGTCTACCAACCTATGCTGGACACCATGATTCGGTAAAAGGCGTCCATTTCATGTATACAGCGACAATACACGTCGCGGTCGCTTCTATCGACAGATAGTGGACTAGAATATTACATTTTCAAAGGCCTCGTGGAGCCCCTTCGTCCTTAACCACGCCTCCAAAGCCTGCATATCCCCACGATTGGCGCGTTGTCCGCCTCTTTCTCCCAGTGAATCCGTGATTTCTTCCATTCCGGAAAATACCCTCTCAATCCCCTCTGTCTGTCGGAATCTCTCGCTAACCTTTTTCTGATGACTTGGGATATCACCCCACGAATGTGTTTTGATGAAGCTCATATAAGCATCGATATCCATCGACGCACCCTCGAGACATAATACACCCGGTTTGCCCGCAAGTACAAAGCCAGTCAGAGAATAGCCTGGTGCGAGATTAACCATATCGTCCCTCTTTTTCCGCGTTGACAAGGATGGGAAATAGAACCAGACTCTGACGAGCGGTCCTTTGGAACTTTCTTCTGACGTTGCAGTTCGTGATTGGGACTGCTTCTCTTCAATAAAGCGACGAGCTTCTTCTTGGATGTACTCGAAAGCCTCGAGAGCATCACCTTGTGGTATTGAGGGGGCAAGTCTGGCGACTTCGGCTTTAGACATCCAGTCCGGTTGTCGGAGTGAATAGCCTAATGATGGCGGCTCGTCACAGCCTGTCTCTGGGTCCTCGCAGTGTAATGGAACTGAGATATTGACCTGGATTGTTTTCTCTCCGTCTGAAATCGGGAGGCAGACGACGAGAGATATACTTGGAGGTATCCCAGATGGTGTGGAAGTCGGATCCTGGCACCAGTTCCGGAGTTTCCCAACGCACTGCGTTGTAGACTCGGGGATTTCCAGCTCGCCCGGGGATGGGAACATCGCTTCTAGGAGGTCAATTGTGGACAATTGGGCCTCCATGATGTCCGCCGGGAGAATGGATGGTTTTTTTGAGGCCATTTCGGGCTGCGGGGATTGACGGTGTCGGAATAGGCGTGCAACCCCAGTATGAGATGGGCAACCGTTCCCAAATGATGGATATGGTATATCTTGGAAATTGATAACCAGGGTAATCCAATTATTGAGACTATCAAGTGGTTATCATGCGGAGACTCCGAGAATACTGGAGACCCCGAAAATCGGCAGTAATTTTTGGGTTGTGCTCGGTGGGTACAAAGCGGCGAGGGGTTCGCCCTAATTGAGCAATATCCAAATTGGTATCTTCTATGTATGTTCGGCGCAGTTCAAAAGGTGGAAAACTTGAATGACGAAATTAAGGACAATTGCCGCCCGCGATACATATACAAGTTCTAATCAAATGTACAAATAATTACGCTTCGGGGTTCCCGACGCGCGTCTCCTGATTCTCCTCCAAGTTCGGCCTGCGCTTCTTGGTGTCTTTCTTCTCCCCTCGCTTCTTCTTTTCCTTCTCGCGTCCGGCTGTTCGAAGCAGGTCGGACCGGCTGCGACTGCGACTGCGACTAGATCCCCCGCGTGCGAGGTCTTTGACTTCTTTGATCACTTCGCGGAAGCCTTCTTCAATGTTGTTCATGCGAGCCAATACTAATTTGCTCAGCATGTCTTGATTAGGCAGATCCCGGCGGATACCCCCAGTGGCGAGTGCAATCTGGGTATTGAAACTGCCTGGAATGGCACCCGCAAAACCGCCAGCCACTGCTCTGTTATCCCCCAGATCAGATCCGAGATCAAACAGCAAAGACCGCTGACGTCGTGCGGAAGGGCGGTCAGAGAGGTAGTCGAGCTCTGGAACAGACATTGGGTTCAAACCGCCAGACATGTTGCGAGCCATGATCGCCTTCAGTGCATGTTTCCTCATCGTGCCTTGGTCAACGGACGCAGACACGAGAGCGGGATTCTCGTCATCGGAAGAGTCGTCATGCGTTCGTAGAGGGATGCTACGACCCTCTGTCCTTTCTTTCGGCGACTCGAGCGGATTGTAGAGCATGGTGATGCCAGATGCATTTCGAGCGTGCATGGGCCGACGCGTGGGGCTGCCACGGCGCGACACTCGTGCGGTGGATGGTCGAGAGCTGTAAAATTTGGGTGTCGTCTTTTCGGTGCTTATGATATGCTTGTCGTCATCGATGGATCCCTTGTCCGACTGTTTGCCATGCGAGTCCTCGTCGTCACTAGTTAGCTCGTCATCTCCCTCCATATCCGTGTGCTGCGAGAACTGCCGGGTGCGAGTCGGGGAGACCGATTCGCGACGAGGTCGGAACGGAGGGCTGACAATATGACTGACTCGGTCCTCCGGATTTGATGCCACCGAACGAGTAGTCTCAGTGAAGTTCCGACCATGCGTAGTCAATGTCTTCCGGAAGGGGAGCCGAGGTCGACGCGGAGGCATTTCAAGGACGGCTGAGTCTTGTTCATCGGGAGTGTGAGCAGGGCCAGAGCCGATTTCCTGCATCCAGTCTTTGATCACATTATTTGTCTGGCGCTTCAGAATGCTACTGGGTCGCCGCTCATGCATCCCTTCTTCCCCAAACGGCCTTCGGAACACCTCCTCTAGCGCCCGGTCTTTCTGATACGTCGCAACAGATGGCTCTCGCACCAGAGGGTGTGCTTTTGAGCTAAATCCACGGAACCGACTAGGTGGCCGATTTTGCGGGCGGCCTGATGCTTCTTCACGGGACGTGGTTTCAACCAGATCTATCGGCTCAATTACTTGGCGACTGAGAATCGCCCTCTCGTACAGGCAAATAGTGAAAAGAATCGGTAGGTGAGTGATTTTGATGATCGTTCGGTTGAGTTTAATGAACTGACGGAACGGCATTGCAGATCGCAAAGGCGTCACAAGCCAAGCGATAGTATTTGCCGGGGCCACGTAGGAAAACAGGGCATCGGATTTTACCATTGAAATCGTGTTGACAGCAAACAAGAATTGATGCTCCTGGTTGGCATTTTGAACAATTCTCATGAAGGAGTTGGTGAGGACAGTGATTAGTATGGTCACCACCACGAAATGACATATAAAGAGGAAGAGCGTCAAAATTGCCCTTCCCACGAAGTTGTAATCTTCCCACATGGCCCATGCAGTGGGTGTAAAGCCCATAAGCATCTGGAATAAACCGTAGGCCACTGTTCTCGGTGAGTTATCGTTTCCAAAAGACAAGAAGGCGACGAAGAAGCCACTGCATGCAATCACGATAAGTACGAAGACCGCAATCAGATCCGCGGCCATAATGCGGAACGCAATCAGCAGTTGGGAGAAATAGCGATAATGGTCAAGAATCGAAAAGAGACGCGGAAACAGCAGTACTGCATTAGCAGCCAGGATATCGTATGCTAGGTCGGCCAAATCACGGTTACGCGGATATGTCAAAAAAGTCCCATAGATCCGAAGGCAGCAGTAACAGAAGAGCAGCAACAGAATACCCAGGTCAAAAAGGTTCCAAAAGCTCATAAGGTAAAGGCTGAATCCCTGCTCGTTGAATCCGACGATCTCGTCCAGCATGAATCCCGCGCTCCAGAACCAGAACAAGATCTCGAGGGATGTGATCGACCGACTCTTTTGACTTAAAACCGCCAAAAACAGTCCAAGTAAGACTGCGAAAGACAATGTCGAGAGAAATTGGCGATAGCGCGGAACCCGTAATCGCGAGAGTTTGAATAATGATGCGTCGCGAGGATTGTACAAAGTCACGGACCGCCTGTGCTGTGCACTGCGAGGGATAGGCACCTGGTTTCCACTCTGGTCCAACGACGTCCCGTAGTCCAGATCGCCAGCGGTAGCTCTGTTCCCCTGGCGATGGAGGTGATCGGCAGCAGAATGGAAGACGATCGTGCCGGCCCAAATGGCCTCCAATTGCTGCACCACTACCGGATGGGCCAGGAATCGCTTGGCCTGGGCACGAATGGCCACCTCCAGACACGATACACGGGCCGAGCCTGCCAATCGCCTTCCCTGTGGGCTAGGTGACCATGCAGCAGCGGGATCCTGACCCTGGAGAGGATAGAACTCATAGGACAAGGCGTCGATCAATTCCCTGGTTGTGTATTCCCGCAATAACTTGATGGCAAGCAGCTCGCTTACCATCGCTCTGGTCTGATTAGCACCACTGTTGCCAGGGCTGAGTTGGATTTCCTTTTCGAACTGCAGGCAATTGGCCATCAAAGCATAGAGGGTGGCTCGTGAGAAGTGTGCCGCCATAATTTTCTGCTGGATCGGCTTGACGAGGAACTGTGAGACTTGAGGTGAGCGCAGTTGGTCCCAGGTCAAGGTTGTCTCGCATCGAGAGGCGATTAAGGGACGGATAGCATGGGTGATATCGTACACGGGCAGGGCATCTGTAGCAATCTCTCGTTAACCATTTGCTCTCATTGTGGTTAATCTGGTCCCGCGTACCCAAATGCGACGAGGAGAACAGGGGCAAGAGAGGGGTTGACTCGACCGGCCCATCGTCTTCCTCGTCCTCTTCCCCAACCCAGTCCTCGTCCATTTCCTCGTCGATCTCCTCGAGTTCTGGCGCGTCGTCTTCACTGCTGTGGTTGGCATCGCGAGCGCGCGGCGGAACGCGTCGCGCGGCCGCTCGAAACCACGGAGAGGTTTCACTGGGTGTAAACGGGGAGGAGAAAGGCGTCTGGTCAATGCGATCCCGCCGTCCTTTTGGACGAAGCAAAGAGGCTAGCATAGTGTGAAGCGAGGAGTTCACGTGGGTCTGTGCATGACCGAAGTATGTTGAGGGGAGGTATATTTTACAACATTCGAATGATAGAGGGGCAGCTGGGCCTCGATATGACTTTGGAACCAGGGCAAGAGCACGGCAAGCGGTGAAGGGGGTAAGAAGGTAATCCGGGGTCTCCAGAAGAAAATGATCGAGCGCGATTAAACACACGAGTCGGAGCTATCGCAGATCTAGAGCAGCTCCACACGTCATTGTGCGCGGTCTTCACAGGTGCAGCTGACCCCCCATTCTTCCTATTCAGGTTTAACACCAACGAGACTTGCAGATAACTTGCAAATGACTGGGTTTGACTTTTTTTCTTTTCTTTTTCTGGCTTTCTTCCTAGAGTCCTAGTGGTGGGCAGTCCAAGTGGTTCACACCGACATATGTATATGTACGATAAGGAAACCTTCGAAGTTGAATATATATATATACTGTATATTACATAGAAGATAGATATCCTAGGTTGAAGGTAGCAGAGGTGTTCACTACCACAATGTTGTCAGGTCAAAGAGCTACGGACATACTAGGTAAACTCGATCGTGGAACCCCCCAAGGCGGATTGCAGACGGGCTGTAAACATCGAAATACCATTTAGGTCAAGTGTCTGTCATAGCATCTCGGTTCGCACTAGACTCGAATAATAGGGCGGACCAGCCAAACGGCCCGAAATGTGGTCCTCTTCCGTCATTATGCTGCGCGATCGGCCCTCAGCCATCCATACTCAGGCTCTGGAACCTATGCATGAACTCTTCCCAATACTTCATCTGAACTTCATGCCGACCTGAGAAGTATCTAGCTTCAATAGCAGTGTCCGATAGAATACATCTACTGCAAGCATCGCCGCATCTCCGCCTATCGGGCTTATCAGCACTCACCGCCTGCATGCACTGCAGGGCGAGCTTTGCGAGGGGAATCTTTTGCATGGAGGCCAGGAAGATCACAATCAAACCCGGACGCTCTCCAAGATCGCCTCCCAAATACTACAATCTAAAGCATAGACCATTATCGTACGTCGTATACACAGTACTACTCGACTAGGTATTACTATGGGCTTCCACACTGCCGAATCAGTGCGAAAACTCTGAGGCGGTGAGCCCCACTCAACACCGGAACCGGTGGGCCCTCAGTGGCACGAAAATTTTATTCTGCCACAAACTTCTTCTTCTTTCTTCATACCCCCAGCTCTTGCAGCTGTTCTCTCTCATCTCTTCTAATTACTCCTCCCCCCACTTCGTCAATAAAATTCCCAAAAAGGACACCCAAAAAAATCACTCGAGAAAGTCCTTCTGGTTGATGTTGCAGTAGAGGCACCTGCACTCGCTCAGAACGTCCTCGAGAGGACTCGTCCCCTCTTTCTCGCTTCTCCAATTCCGATGTCCCAGTCAATTCCTAACGAGGAATTGACTTCCCCGACTAGTCCCAAGTTGGGCGGCGCAGTAGCTTACCAGAACACCAACCTGCTGCCCAAGATGGCCTCTGGTGCCTTGATTGCCCCGGCCTCCATCCCCGTCCGGGGTGGCAGTGACCGCCTCGTGGCCCTCGAGCTGGAGGATGGCACAGTCTACCAGGGTTACAACTTCGGTGCGGAGAAGAGCGTGTCCGGTGAATTGGTCTTCCAGACTGGTATGGTCGGTTATCCCGAGTCCATTACCGACCCCTCATACCGCGGACAGATTCTGGTCATTACCTTCCCGCTTGTCGGTAACTATGGTGTGCCGGACCGCGAGCAGATGGACGAGCTGCTCAAGACTTTGCCCAAGTACTTCGAGTCGACTCAGATCCACGTCGCTGCCTTGGTGGTGGCCACTTACGCCGGCGAGGACTTCTCCCACTTCCTGGCCAAGTCCTCTTTGGGCCAATGGCTCAAGGAGCAGGGTGTTCCCGCCATGCACGGTGTCGACACCCGTGCGCTGACCAAGCGCATTCGCCAGAAGGGTAGCATGCTTGGTCGTATGCTGCTCCAGAACACTGGCGCCACCGCCGCTGTGGACGAGGCAAACTGGAAGTCGCAATTTGAACAGATCGACTGGGTGGACCCCAACACCAAGAACCTTGTCGCTGAGGGTGAGTTATTCTGATCTACCGGTAAATAAATCCAGAGAACTGTGTTTCTGACAACAATTGTTTCGACTGCAGTCTCCGTCCGTGAGCCCCAGCTCTTCACACCCCCCGAGAATGTTGCCCTCAAGCACCCCTCGGGACGCCCCGTCCGCGTTCTGTGCTTGGACGTTGGTATGAAACACAACCAGCTCCGCTGCCTTCTTGCCCGTGGTGTTGAGGTCTTGGTCGTCCCTTGGGACTACGACTTCCCTACCCTCGCTGGAAAGGACTACGACGGTCTGTTCGTCTCGAACGGTCCCGGTGACCCTGCCAGTCTGACCACCACCATCAACAACCTGTCCAAGACCTTGAAGGATGCTCGCACACCCGTCTTTGGTATCTGTCTCGGTCACCAGCTGATCGCTCGCTCGGTTGGCGCTACCACCAGCAAGATGAAGTTCGGTAACCGCGGTCACAACATTCCCTGCACTAGCTTGCTCTCCGGCAAGTGCCACATCACCTCTCAGAATCACGGTTACGCCGTGGACGCTTCCAGCCTCCAGGACGGCTGGGAGGAGCTGTTCGTCAACGCCAACGACGGTAGCAACGAGGGTATCCGTCACACCAGCCGCCCCTTCTTCAGTGTCCAGTTCCACCCCGAGAGTACCCCTGGTCCCCGGGATACTGAGTACCTGTTTGACGTCTTCATCAACACTATTCAGCAGACCCTTGCCTCTACCGAGGCTCTCACCAAGCCCGTCGAGTTCCCCGGTGGTGTCAAGGCTGATAACGTCAAGGCTGCTCCCCGTGTGCATGTCAAGAAGGTCCTTGTTCTGGGCAGTGGTGGTCTGAGCATTGGACAAGCTGGAGAGTTCGATTACTCTGGTAGTCAGGCTATCAAGGCGTTGAAGGAGGAGGGTATCTACACAATCTTGATCAACCCCAACATTGCCACCATTCAGACTTCCAAGGGTTTGGCCGACAAGGTCTACTTCCTGCCTGTTAACGCCGAGTTTGTTCGCAAGGTCATCAAGCACGAGCGCCCCGATGCCATCTACGTCACCTTCGGTGGACAGACTGCCCTTTCAGTCGGTATCCAACTGAAAGATGAGTTCGAGAGCCTCGGTGTTCAGGTTCTGGGTACCCCCATTGACACCATCATCACCACTGAGGACCGTGAGCTGTTCGCTCGCAGCATGGATTCCATTCAAGAGAAGTGTGCCAAGTCCGCTTCTGCCTCGACCATTGAGGAGTCGCTGCGTGTCGTAGAGAACATCGGCTTCCCCGTCATTGTGCGTGCCGCTTACGCTCTGGGTGGCCTCGGCAGTGGTTTCGCCGACAACATGGAGCAGCTGAAGGAGCTTTGCACCAAGGCTCTGGCTGTCAGCCCTCAGGTGCTGATCGAGCGCAGTATGAAGGGCTGGAAGGAAGTCGAGTACGAAGTCGTCCGGGATGCCCAGGACAACTGTATCACCGTCTGCAACATGGAGAACTTCGATCCCCTCGGCATTCACACTGGTGACTCCATTGTCGTCGCCCCCTCCCAGACCCTCTCGGATGAAGACTACAACATGCTGCGGACCACCGCTGTCAATGTCATTCGTCACCTTGGTGTTGTCGGTGAATGTAACATCCAGTACGCCCTTAACCCTTTCTCCAAGGAGTACTGCATCATTGAGGTCAACGCCCGTCTGTCCCGTTCCTCGGCCCTTGCCTCCAAGGCTACTGGCTACCCGCTTGCCTTCATTGCTGCTAAGCTGGGTCTGGGTATTCCTCTCAACGAGATCAAGAACTCTGTCACCAGGTCCACCTGTGCTTGCTTCGAGCCTTCGCTCGACTACTGTGTGGTCAAGATTCCCCGTTGGGATCTCAAGAAGTTCACTCGCGTTTCTACCCAGCTTGGTTCCTCCATGAAGAGTGTTGGTGAGGTCATGAGCATTGGCCGTACCTTCGAAGAAGCCATCCAAAAGGCTATTCGTTCCGTTGACTTCCACAACCTGGGCTTCAACGAGACCAGTGCCCTCATGTCCATTAAGGCCGAGCTCCAGACTCCTTCCGACCAGCGTCTGTTCGCCATCGCTAATGCCATGCACACCGGCTACAGCGTTGACGACATTTGGAAGCTGACCAACATCGACAAGTGGTTCCTGACCCGCCTCAAGGGCTTGAGCGACTTTAGCAAGTCCATGGTTGCCTTCAACGCTACCACGGTTCCTATCAACATGATTCGCCAGGCCAAGCAGCTCGGTTTCTCCGATCGTCAGCTTGCCAAGTTCTTGAGCTCTAACGAGCTGGCTATTCGCCGCATGCGTGTTGAAGCTGGCATCATGCCCATCGTCAAGCAGATCGACACTGTTGCTGCTGAGTTCCCGGCTGTGACCAACTACCTTTACCTGACTTACAACGCCATTGAGCACGACCTGACCTTCGACGACCACGGTATCATGGTTCTTGGCTCTGGTGTGTACCGTATTGGTTCCTCTGTCGAGTTCGATTGGTGCTCTGTCCGCACTATCCGCACTCTCCGCGAGCAGGGTCACAAGACCATCATGGTCAACTACAACCCTGAGACCGTCAGTACCGATTACGACGAGGCTGACCGTCTTTACTTCGAGAACATCAACCTGGAGACTGTCCTTGACATCTACCAGCTTGAGTCTTCGAGCGGTGTCATCATCTCTATGGGTGGTCAGACCCCGAACAACATCGCTCTGCCTCTGCACCGCCTCAACGTCAACATTCTGGGTACCTCTCCTGAGATGATTGACGGCGCTGAGAACCGTTATAAGTTCTCGCGCATGCTGGATCGTATTGAGGTTGACCAGCCTGCCTGGAAGGAGCTCACCAGCATTGATGAGGCCCGCGAGTTCTGCGACAAGGTCAGCTACCCCGTGCTGGTCCGTCCCTCCTACGTCCTTTCTGGT